CCCGCCGAAAGGTTAAACCTTAGAGTAGTTACTTACCCGACCTATCGCTTAGAACTTACTCGTCTAACGAGCTCTAAACCCCTTGTACCGCAGGTGCATAACATTTACACTCTTCTAGCATTGCCTGAGTTGCGAACCCCTTCGTTCCACTACGTAATCTAGCGGTAGAGTGACATCCTGCTTCGAGCCTTTCTGCTATAGGCAAACACGAGAGGAATAGCACCAGAGCCTAGCCGGTACGTAAATAGAAAATTAAATTGCGATCTGCCTCCTACTTAAGTCCAAGGAGCGCTGCCTAAACTACCACCGATCGTACGCTGTTGCGGCGCGGTAGTCGTGATAGTGGTCGTCGTCGTAGTCGTGGTGCTTGGACTCGTGACTGTATGCTCCCAGTCGTATCTGCTATGCTGCGGGGCAATTAAATCGCTGGGCGCAGGATACGTAGGCGGATGTTGCACCGTATTCGCTAGGTACGGCGCAGGAACGGCGTCAGACGGTGGACGCGCAGCTTGGTGCGAGATGGTTCCAGGTGGCAGCCCGAATGCACCAGGCGGCATTGAGTCGCGCTGCTGGTCACCCGCCCATGCCCCACTCGATCGCTGTGTGATATTCTTCTCCCCTAGAAGAGCACCGCCAGACTCGCGCTTCTCCTGCTGCACCTGTCTCCTTACTTGCTTCTTGACACTGTAGAAGCAGCATATTCCAATAAGTATGCCCACGATCGCGACGCCAGCAAGCACACAGCCTACGATGATTCCGGCGCGGTCGTTCACAGTCAAGGTCTTGGAATGGGATGAGCCCAAGCCAGCTCCAGTGGATGTTGCTGTGCTCGAGGAGAAGGAGGATGTGGATGGAGACGCCGCATTCGCAGCGGTGGTGGCTACTCCAGTGCTGGAGAAGGAGGTGGATGAAGAGACCGGACTCGATGCTGCGGAAGAACTGGCCACGCGCTGAGACGTGGCTAATGAGGATGTAGCTCGCGAAGTCGCACTCGTGGAGGCCGCGAGAGTCGAGGAGAGACTGCCGAGGGCACTCTCGAGGATCTGTCTCGTCTCGTCAGACCGGGCGATGTTTCAGCTGCAATGGGTCGCACCTACCGAGAGCACTTGACTCGCGCTTTCGCTCTGCGCGTCCGTGTCGCATACTAGGAATAGTAGAAGCGCGGCGAAGAGAGGTAGATGGATCATGTTGGCTATGGTCCTACAAGCCCTTGCCCCCAAAGATGCATGTACATTCGACAACGGTGGAGTCGTGCCATGCTACACACTACACACCACCCACGACTGCGATGGCCAAGTTCTAGAGCGTGGCTTTTACTTTCGTCTCGGTTGATGGTGGCGCCGAGGTCGACTAGCACTTCGTGATGTCATTTCAGCGGCATTCGACAGACCTCACCTCGATTGGATTTGTTACTTTTCGGCAGGCGATGTCCAGAACGATGCGCAAAGTGATGCTCGAGAAGCGCAATGTGGATGGCGAGGACAGCGCGCGCCAAGGTCCGACAGAAGGACAGGGCAGCAGATGGATGACGCGAATCGGGCAATCACGAATGGGACCCACACCAGTTCGAAGCAGGCATATCATCAGCCAGGATTGAGGACAAGGCAGACACTCACAGGCGATCTTCTCACTGCCGGCCGATTGAGTCCCCTTCGACCCAAGAGCATCCGGATCTTACTCGCGAGAATGGAGGTCCGGCATCCGCGCACGAGTGAGGCAAGACCAACAAACACGCCAAGCCCAACTAATCTACTACAAGAGAAGTGGTTGGCGCGAGCGGCTGCAACGCGGCTTGATTGCCATGTCAGCACTCGTGACCCATGGCGTAGCGATCCGAGTCTGCCGTCCGTACAAGTTGGCATCCAACGATGGACGTGCCATTCCATGTATCATGTCGCGCGTACAGTATGACACCGAAGGACTGGACATGCTCACCTGCGAGACCGAGGCCGAACCAGGCATGTTACTGCTAGGGACGGTGTCAATATCTGGCGCTGCCGTCCATGAACTGCAAATGGATCACCGCTCCTTCACCATCGCACTGTCCGACCTTGATGTCTTTCTCTGCTTACCTGGTTGCCGACCTCCAGAGGTCTATAAAGGTCTAAGCAACCTCCGCGTGCTGTCCCTATCGCTATCGGATGGTCTATTGACCGACAAGCAAGACGTAGAACAGATCTCCAAGGCTTTCATTGACATTACCTCTCATGCCACCAATTTCGAGTGGCTGACGCTCGAGTGGCTGACGCTCAAGTCCGGCCGCTACGATATCGAGGCGGCCGAGAAGACACTGGTCGAGACTGTACTTCAGCCGGCCTATTTCCCATCATTGACTCAGCTGAATCTGCTAGACTATGCTGTAGGAGCGCAAAATCTTAAAAGCTTTGTTATTCGTCATAAGAAGAGACTTGAAGAAGTCGCCATAGCTAGCTTCCACGGTGCTTCATGGTACGACGAGCAACAGATCATAGCAGTTGACCTTTGTGAATCAATAGCTCGACAGGGTTACCTGTTGCACTCCTTTATGCTGGGGGGTTTTTATACTGGGGGGTTTTGACATCGCTCAGCCTCTACTTGAGCCCGATTTCGTGTTAGAGGAAGCTCGAGGACCCAAAAGCTCGGGCTGATATAACTATACCGCCGTATAGTATCTCGCGCCCCCGAGTTCAATGACTGCCATGGCCATAGTCCCAATTGACTCGGCTCCAATAGTGCTATGGAATAGTCGTGTTTCGGCTCTACCAGCAATCGACTTCAGCTAGTATAGTCTGAGGATCTACCGAGCGGCCATTACTGGCGGAGCCTTGCAACGAAGGCTGGAACAAAGTGATGGGGCCGGATACCTCCTAAATCGAAGGACCTCGACTATAGATTACTAGAGCTCTCAATCTCATGATTCTACAGATCGCAGACAAGTGGTTGCCGAGCCTAGCCACGCTATATCTCCTCTCCATGAGCTCAAACGCGGAAGAATAAAGATCCCCAGAGATCTAGCTCCGGCTTTTCTGGTAGCCAAGGCGCATTGTCGTAGTCACCTGCCGGACTCACTCTACCATGTGTCTTACAAATTGAGAATGACGTCGCTGATAGTGGGTCGCATAAAATGGTCTCATCGTGTGACTCGAGCGGGCTCTGACGGAACGACCCATCAACCCACCGCCGACTTCTGATGCATACCAGCTTGCGAGGCCGTGATCCAGTAGCGAAGACATCGCATTAGTGTCTACTATTGATGCCTTTCCTTTTCGACAATGTATGCTAAAGCTTGCGACAAGTTCGAATCACAGAGAGACAGGTCCCGCGGTCGATAGTTGGCTCGATCGTGCAGGCTATATCATAATAATGACCTTGCAGATATGTATAGTGAGCTTCACCGATATCCCCATGTGGCTATATACAGTCATCAAGCGGTTAAGCAGGAGTGCAATATGGGTAACTCGATGAAATCCAACATTGATCGATCGATGACAAACACGCCCAAAGCATGCCAATCAATGACGTGGTGTTTACGATGAACCCGAAAGCTTTCAATAGAATAATGCTCGGGTAGCCAGAAGTTAGGCGCATCCTACCTCGAAGAACTCGCGTATTAGATAACGCGGAGGCAGATGACAGAGAGCGACATCAAACCTGCGTCGCGCACTAGAAAAGTGCGGATAGTGGGTCCAAGAGAGCGCCGAAGTTTACCACCTTGAGCTCGGCTGGTGGGCTTCGCACAACGCCCGATGTTGAAGAGGCACAGCACAATCAATACTCGCCTATTGTCTACTTTCGGCTATCAACAGTCGTACTGGCCCGACAAATCATGGCCGCATGGCAATTCGTCTCTGTGTCGTGTCCTCATCGAAGCGGCACAAACATGACCGCGCGACATAAAAGTCTGCGGTTCCCGATGGTGACACTAGGACATACATATATCCAGCAGCTATCCCAACAAGCTCGCAACATCCCATCTCAATCTGAGCGAAGTGAAGCAGAACGCGACACCAACCATCGACATGCAAAATCCAGAGGTCATCATCATCGGCGGCGGGCTCGGCGGCCTCTCACTCGCCAACGGACTCTACAACAGAGGCATCTCCTTCCATGTCTTCGAACGTGACCGTACCGAGCACTACCGTGCCCAGGGCTATCGCATCCGCGTTGGTGGTCCTGCTATTGACAGTCTGGACTACCTGTTGACTCCGGAAGCTATGGAACGATTCAATCTCTCGTGCGCCGACTTCTCCATGCATCCCATCCCAGAGATTGATGCCGAGAGCGCCAAAGTGTCTGAGCCCAACGTACCAATGCCAGTTCTCCCGGAAGGCCTGACATGGAGCGGACTTCTGAAGAAAGCTCGTTGTGTCGATCGAGCAGCTATGCGGGAAGTTCTTATCAAGAGCATCCCAGCCGAGCACATCTCTTACGACAAAGTGTTTACTCACTATAAGGAATTGGAGGACGGGGCTGTCAAAGCCTTCTTCCAAGACGGAACCACGGCAATTGGCAACTTACTTGTTGGGGCAGACGGCCGTAGCTCTCACGTTCGGCAACAACTTCTTCCAGACCTGGACATCGAAGACTGCGGTGGCATGTATGTCTATGGCAAGACGTACATTACGCCAGAACTCATGAAGGAGCTTCCTAGCGCTGCGCTCGATCGCATGTCATTCATCAAAGACCGCGCACACGAGCATATCGTCATAGGCGGGCTAGAGCCCATCTCCTTCTCCAACGCTACAGAGCGCCAAGCATGTGGCCTCAGCGTACCGAGAAGCTATCTTTTCTGGGCCATGGCAGCTGCACCAGAAGCTCTGGGGTTTTCGCCCGAAGTCCAGATCCAGCTCACTCCAGACGAGTCCGCAAAGCATATGCGGGGGCTGAGCGAGCATTGGCATCCTTCCCTTCGAGCGGTGATCGAGCAGCAAGCCCCCGGACAGACGAATGCGCTGAAGGTGACGATCGTGAACAAGGATTTCGGCATGAACGTTTGGGAGTCAAACAAGCACATAACAGTCTTGGGCGATGCAGTACACCCAATGGCTGCAACTGGATCAGGAGCTGTGACAGCTTTGATGGATGCTAGATCAATCTGCGAAGGCCTTGTCCAACGCAGGGAAGCCGAGAAAGATGGCGTCGTCACTTTAAACGACTACAAGGAGATGATCACTACATACGAAGCTACCATGCGCAAGAATGCGGGAGAGGCAGTCATCGGAAGCTGGATTGCAATGAAGAACGCCATAGGTATGAAGCGTGGGGAGAACGAGATACATATGGGTGAGATGGCGATGAAGATCAGGCAGAAGAACATGATGAAGATGTAATCTACTAAAATGATTGTTTGTGACGGTGCAAATATGATAGATGGATTCCGAAATCGACAAAGTAGTGCAGACCCGTCAGAGTCCTGCAGCCAACTGCAGCGCAGTTTGATTCTGTCCAACGTGTAACGGCGTCAGCGACACCTCTCTCACGTGCAGATTCTCCATCCTCCGCCTAAATAGACGACTCCCGCTTGTGGGATTATGGCAGACGGTGTATGACGTGCAAGTGTTACCAGAAGTAAAGCACGATGTGTTTGTAACGCAGGTTTCTCCTGGGGGGCAATCGGTATCTGCATTACAGTCACTTCCGCATTGCTCGTTAACGCACAAACCCTGCCCAGTAGACTTGTCGGTTTCACAGCCGCAGTTCCCGCCGCAGACCGTGAGGAAGTTACCAGTAGGGAAGGGTGCGTAGCAGGCTATGGTGGTCGCTGGCGTTATGGTAGAGGTGATTGTGGTCGTTGTTGTGGTGACGCTAGCTGCGGTTGCGGTCACAACGTTCGTGAGAACCACAGACTACAGATAGGTCAGCGTATGGGCACAAAGAGTAGAGATGGACTGTTCAAGGATTGTAGATTGGGGACCGGTTGTTCACTAACCAGAGTCGTTGTGGAAGTCACAAGCTGAGTGGTTGTCCCCGTCACGGTCCTGAATGTATGTCAGCCTGAGATCGTATGTGCGGCAGCAGTATCGACATACAAAGTGGATGTGGCAGTAGCAGACACGGTCCGCACAGCTGTAGCGCTAACTACCTTTAAAGGCGTGCTCGTGATTGTTGTCGTAGCTTGAGTTTCGAGGCATGTGCAGACGGAGCCAACAAAACTGCTAGCCTGAGCAACCACGCTCGACCACACAGAAGCCTTGGCCGGAATTGAGCTACTTGTCGATGATGTAGTGCTTGACTTGATGCTGCTTGTCGTCGTGGATTTGACGCTGGTCGTGGGGAGAGACTTCGTACTGCTACTCGTTGCAGATGTTGCCGCATTCCTCTTTTTCTTCGCTAGAGCGGTAATAGTAAAGTATGCGGTGTCGGTCTTGGTTGATATGGACTGTATAAGGTTAGTCATGCAAGCAAAGATCGGGACTTGATGGCGACATACAGTCACTACCACAGTGTCGACTTCAGTGGATACCGTCGTTGTCGCTGTCAAGGTAGCAACGAATGATGTTACGGTGACCACGGTGGTAGTAGTCAATCATACTAATGCTTCCAGATGTCCTGTCGACTACGGCACATAATGGCCGTGAGGGCGTGGAGGGTCAGTAAGTGTGGACCGTATCCCTTGGCTTGAGCGCTTCGGCCGATCTACATCAGCATGCATCTGAATACGGGACTTCTACCGCTGTCGAGCTGCCGATCCAAATAGCCGAGTCGAATAACGCTCTTCCTCGAAGCAAGGTCCACGGTGCTAAGCGCCGTCCCGAGCAGGATGGGCGCGCCGTGTGTTTAAGTGTCCGGGGTAAATGTGAGGGTCACACCACACCACGCTTGACTGGGGATCTTGTGGGGTCGAAGTCACGAGGCTGCGTGTTCTAGACGTAGGTGCAATCTCCGACTCAGCTTCAATTCTACTTCAACCGAACGCCACGACAAGTATACGGTACGTAGCACAACAACAGCCCACAGGTCGCTAGAGCACTGGCGTACTGAAGAGCAACAGTCCACGACAGTTGGCACCCGAGCGATGGTAATCTTACAGCCAGCCAAGGTATCTTATTTGGGATCCTTTGAGAACGGCTTGTAGATAATACATTCTCCTATATATATCAAGCATATACCTGAGCCTGTAGCCCAGGGATAATCTCCCTCTCGCTCGCAGTATACTCATACTTCGTTCCCTCGATCTTCGGAGCCCGCGTGCGTCGTTGCTGCATCGTCTGCTTGGCTCTGACCCATTCCTCCATCGTTAGATGCTTGCCAAGGCGAGTGAAGTCATTACTTTCGAGACCCATCCGCTTCATCAGCGGGCTGTTATCGATGGGCTCAAGTACGACGTGGTTGTTCGGTCTGGCGAGATTGTCAGTATGGTAAGAATTATTTGATGTTGGTGTAATGGCTAACCTGGCAAAGAACAGTACGCCCAACCGATCAATATACGCCTGATCGTCCGGCGGCGCATGCACACGATGGATGCTAGACTTGAGGTATCCGCCAGTCATGGCAGACAGGGCATCGCAGATATTGATTGTGATCGTTGCATCCCGCGGCTTCACCCACTTCCATTTGTTCTGGGAGTTCAGGATTTGCAAAACGGCAATTGGTTGCCTGAACAGAAGCGTGATACTGCCAAGATCCGTGTGGCCGGCACTATAGAGCTCACCGACAGCCTTGTTCTCCTCGATACTTCGTGCAGCGTAGTGCATGTAGCGCAGATGGTCCTCGCCCTTGACATCGTACTGGTGCTGGCGAACAAGCTGCTACTCGTCTGATAGCTCCAGGAGTAGAGCGAAGAGTCTGAGGAGCTTGACAACCACGAGATCATGACATTTGCGGCTAAAGTCTTCGATCTCTGCGATATTGTCTTGAAGGACAGGAGGCTGGGCACGTTTGTGATAGCCATCGAACTTGGGTAGCTTATAGACCTGTACGTTGTCGCGGATTGTCTCTGTCAACCTGAGGCAGCATCAGCTTCGATGCAGGGAGATAACATCTGATACGCTTACGCCCTTTCCCAGCAGGCCTGTAGCCATTGTACTCTCGATTTTCCAGGTCTTTGATATTGTGATACTTCAACCTCTCTGCAAGTAGCAGATTATAGAACTCCCGACCCAAGGCAAACTGCCTGTCCACTTCCTCTTGACTAATGCCAAAGTTCTTGACGTAGAAGAAGCCGAAATGCTGCACAGCATACTCCAGCTGCTTCACGAGCTCCTGTTTCCCTCCCTCCTGGTCAAAGAGGCCGAGATCCAGTGTGACTAGCTCCGCCCAATCCACTATATCTCATCAGCTGCGGTTTCCCGGTCCTGTCGAACCCATCTCCATTCGAGTAAGCATACAATCGGTCTTGGTCTCGGGTACCTGCTCATACGGCGATAGTGTCTTGCTCGGCATGGTGAACACTCTGTGTAATGATTTAGAAGCAGGTTGATAGGTAGTACACCAGACGGACGAGAGTACATCAGCGCATTGATCAGAGAGGAACAATACCAGCAGCCGGATATTTCACGTCAAGAAGTTCAGCTAGCACACCATAGCAATGGCCGAGAGACTTGCGACATAGCATACTCATCCCGTGCTTTCCTACCGCATCTACAGAGCTGACCCCTCATCGTAGCAGAACGAAGCGATTGATGGTCTCTGATGTGACACAGGGAGAACTGGACGTGGGTCTTCTGCGAGGCTCGGGGTGGCGTGACGCTCTCGTGTAGTGTTGGTTCGGGGTGTAGGAGAAAGAGCTACTCGAGCGTAGAGCGTACGGGAATAACACAGCACAGTGCGAGCATTTTCAATACCAGAGTGTTCTCTTTCTTGGCGGCGAGCTCGACAAGTGATGAAGGACGAGACAAGCGCTGCAGTCCAAGTGAACCCATCAATTTCGAGCGAGGTGGCAGTGGGATGGGAGACCAAGAGTAACTATATTCGTCAAGCGGTTTGCGCTACGAAACAACAATCGTCTCCCCCTCCACAGCACCGGTCTACTTGCTGACTCTGTAAATCGCCATATCATGACTCTGTAGCGATCCCGAAACACTCGACCCGCTGCCAGTCTTGCCACTGTACAGCTCCTTCCATTTGAACGAGCCCGAGCCCAAACCAGGAACATCAAAGAAATTCACATTGTAATTGAGCGCACCGCTGGCGGCGACGACACCGACAACGACGCCGTTGCTGAGCTGACCGGCCCAATATGGATAAAGCTGGCCTCCTATCGGGTTTGCAGCATTTTTGGGTTTAAAATATGTCGCTGCTTTGCCGAGTGAGTCTTGGTTGACGGCGATGATGTCCTGTCCTTGTCAGCATCTATGTTCGGACTTACCAGCGGTTATACTTACAGCATTTTTGAGGACAGCTAGGGATGAGGAAGAGATTTTTGACAAGTCGGTGCCAATAATCAGTGGTGACTTTGCGATGGCCCACAGTCCAAAGTGTGCACGCTCCTCTGCCGCAGAAAGGCCTCCGTTGCCGATTTCCTGGATCTGGTCAGTCATCAAGATGATTTACCCGCTGGTGACATGACTTACAAGCATGTCCAAGTCGTTGAAGCCCCCAGGTCCAGCATACTGCGCGATACCTGCAGCTGTCGCAGCGATCGACGAGACTGAGCCCCAATTATTTTGCACGTCATTGGCCATACGCCAGGAGCTCCCTCCCACGGATCTGCCCCAGGTCCAGACAGAATCCTGACCCCACTCACAGAGCGAAAATAGGATAGGATGACTGACAGTTGATATGGCATTACCCATCGTGGTGTACCATGGCTTGACATCCCTGCTAGGGATGTTCCAGCAGGTCTGTGGGTATTGGCCGTTGCAGTTGGTGTAGCAGTTGTCGTACCTGGAAGTGATGATTAGAGCCGATCGAAGTCTCAAACATGATTCGCGTTGTTGCCTTGCTTACTTCCAGTAATCCACACCCCAGCTCGAGAGGAGTTGAGCATCCTTGGTCTCGTATCCCATACTTCCAGGATGTCCGCCACAGGTTTGCTTGCCGGCATCGCCGTAGAGTCCAAACTTCAGACCCATGGAGTGGACCTGGTTGGCGACGTATGCGACACCATTAGGCCATTTGGAAGGATCGGCGACGAGATAGCCAGAGCCGTTACGGCCTTGTTGAGTCCAGCAGTCATCAATGTTGACGTATTGGTAGCCGACCGCTGCGAGGCCTAGATTCTTGAATTGGTTCGCTGCTGTCATGGCGGCGTTGGCTGAGCCTCCACTGCAGCCGAAGGCATTCTTCAGGAAGTGTTAGCATTGTGCATATCAACCATCGTGTGTTGCGGCAGGGAGTCATATTACTTGCCCAGCTATTCCATCCCAGCGCTGGCGTTGCCTTTTGGAAAGAGCGGACCTGTAGCGTCTTGCCTTGCGGTGCGGCTTCAATCCCAATAACCAGAAGAGCGGCGGTGAATGTGCTAATACTGAGGGTATGCATTTTGTTAGGAAGGTAATTGACTTGTGTAGTTGGGAGATGTGAGTTCAAAACGTGAGATCGATGAACATGGCCATCTACTTATTCATTATGTCGATATCCATCGTAAAGCCTCGCGCCCATCTCGACGCATCATGAGACTTCGCTTGGCACAACGTTACGCTTCGCCGAAACCTACAGAGAGTGAGAAGCCCACGGAGAAATGTATTCGGCCTGGTTGATGCGCCACCTGTCACAGAGCCATTCCAGATCCACGAGTTCCAGCCAAATATCGCTCGGAGGACTCCTCCACATCACCCGCAAACAGGCTACTTTGAGACCCTCGTGATTGGCTGGCCGGAACAGGATTGGTGGAACCACGTCGGCTGCAATCTATCCCCTACATGGATCGACAGGACGTCCAAGAATCATCTGTCGCCATCAAGCGTATGCCTGCGACAAGGGCAGGAGTGACATGCTCTAGGTTCCACCACTCCAATATATGGTGCAGTCCGTCGAGGATGCATCGTATCGTACTCAATATGCATTGCTGGCTGGTGGCAACCTCCCACCGGCACTACATGCGTTTCAGTCTCGCGATATCAACGCTGTTGCTCCTGCGGACACTCTCCCCATCCCGCTGACGTTCACCTCAAAACGACTGTATATACCTCGCTGGAGTGTCGAGGGACTAGAGGTATCGACCATGTTTCCAGGTGATCTGAAACCACATTATGTGCCGTCGGCTTGCCTGAGATGCGTATGCTGCTGGTCCACGACCATAAGGAAAGCGCACTAGCGCTATGATGTGCCGGTCTCAAAATAGTATCTGACGGACATGATGGATTCGGAAGTATTGTTGCCTCGACTGTGTAGAGCAACACGATCTCGATGTCGTGCAGCCCTAACACATCCGAGCGGCTGAGTGCCTTCGCGCGGACTGCGAGGGCTTAGAAATCATGCCTACATCTAGCTCCCGAGTCAACTGCATAGGGATTGTCAGAAGATATATCGTTCAAGATATACGTCTACTAGACCACGGCGTCACCATGCCGGCGTGCTCTCGCCACCGCACTCGCTGCACACTCGACATCAGACTCCGTTACGATCACGCCCTGTGCCCCAGCTGTTGGCCCTAAGGATACGGCATGACTCTGACTGAAGTTCTCAAACTGTTCGCCAGGCTTGCACTCTTCGTGCTCGCTGCATCTGTAAGCCACTCTGGACGACCAACCCTATTGCGTAAGGCAGTCTCTAATGTCGTCTCACCTCCATCTAGGCACTGATCGCCGGTCTGTACCAAGCATTCTTCCACCCTTCAGCCAAGGTTCCGGGACCTTTTCTTGCGAAGTTCACGAGGCTTTATGCCGCCTACCACAGCTGGCGTGGAGATCTTCACATCGATCTGTTGATGTTGCATCGAAGGCATGGTTGGTAAAGCATCGTTCCTGTCTGCTGGATAAAGTGATTCGCTAGAGTAATGCTGACATGCTATGACAGGAAGCCACATCCCTTATGCTCCGAATACAGTGCTGGTCAATTCGCCAGGAGCTGTACAAGGTCACTCTTCATCATTTCCACGTGGCTAGCATAATACTGAAACCAATCGCACAGACATCTACCTGGCCAAGAACCATATCCTGCCTCTCAAAGCAGTAGCGTACGATGCGATGTCTCATTTCGAGCCCAATACATTGACAGCCAGGGATTCAGAGGTTCATCAACGCAAACGGAAACGCCTAGCTCAGGCCCTGTCAGACGATGCACTGCGGCATTACGAAGAATTCATCGTTGCCGAAAGCGACGAGTTGTGCAGCGAGCTGAGGCAGTCAGATGGTGCCACTCTGGACATGGCTCACATATGTAAGTGGTCAGTAGCTTGGTCGTCGCATATGGTCAAGCTGATGGAATGGCTTAGACTCAGTCGACCACGTCACCTTCGACATAATGACTCAGATTGTCTTTGGCAAGAACTTCCGCACCATAAGTGACACGACGTACCGATTCATCTTAGAATCCATGCAGATCTCGCGGGTCAGGAGCGCTGTGGTAGCCTACATGCCCATCGTTGGAGCACTGGGGCTGGATTGACTCTTCCTGCTCAAGTCTTTGCTGGAGGCCAAAACATTTCTCACCTTTATCTACGGCCTCATGAAATCGAAGTTGGATGCACCAAGCATACCACCAAGAGACGTTATGTCCTATCTTATGGCATTGGAAAGAGACACTCCACGAAGGAGGGAGCTGTACGCCGAAACGCCGCTACTGATCATAGGCGCTTCCGACACCACAGCCACCACGCTTGCAGCCTTGTTCTATTACCTCAGTCGCTATCCTGGAGCTTACCAACAGGTACAGCAAGAGGTCCGCTCCACCTTCATGACGCCAGATCAAATCCGCACAGGTCCAAGTCTTACGAGATGTGTATACCTTCGAGCCTGCATAGATGAAGCATTGCGACTCGCACCGCCTGCACCCGGCCCCTTAATCCGCAACGTACCACCAGGCGGCATACGGGTGGACGGATTATGGCTTCCAGACACTTGTGAAGTGGCAATCAGTCCGTACTGCGTACAGCGGAACCCAGAGGTATTTGATGAGCCAGTCGCCTTCAAACCGAGCAGATGGCTTGTAGACGACAAGGACAAGATCAAGAAAAGACAAGCAGTCGACAAGGCTAGAGAGGCATTCATGCCTTTCTCGATAGGACCACGAAGCTGCATCGGCAAAAGACTCGGAATGATAGAAGTGACAAGTTGCGGCGAGGATTCTGCTCGAGTTCGACTTCCTGTCACCTGATCACGAAGCAATTCAAACGCCCAATTGCGCCCCTCGAGTGCCTGATTACGTGCTTGAGGATCATCACAATGCGTTCAAGAATGGGCCACTTTTGCGATTCCTTCGAACAACTGCATAAGGACCGTAGATCACTCCCGCAACAGAGGCATGCAGCCCGATGCACTCAGGAGACATCGTCGCGGGTGGGAACTCACCAGGGTTGGCGAGCAAGGTCGTCGATGGTGAGCAGAACGACCTCGAGAAGTCGAGCTACCAGTGGGGGGCCGAGCAAATATTAGTGCGTGCTGCGAGCACGACATATTCCACCGATTTGAGGATTTTCTTGGCAAATCATGGTCACCGACTAAGGTCAAGCTTCTTTCAACTGCTTGAATCGACAGCGAACATTACAATACACCACCAAATTCATCACCGACAATGGTTCACTCTGCTGCTTGCTCATCGAGGGTGCATCGCAGAGTGTCCGGATGGGCTCGGAGATCATGAGCTAGGTGCGGGTACAATGCATTGGCCTCTGATCCCCATGACCCAATACATACGATTCCTGTCCGGTCCATGCAATCATTGACCACTCCTGAATATTCAGTCGTTGCGAATCGCCGTACCATGCCGAGCTGCAGCTGTTCCAGCGTATCTTTGTCAAATGTGTCCGAGCATGGCAGCGATCTTTCCCTGCACCGAGGACAGACTCCTGCACCGTAGAGGAAGGTGTAGGGGTGTCGATGGTGGCTCGCGGGTTAAGGTGGCGAGATGGATGCAGAAGATGATGTGATGGGACATGATGGATCAAACTGCGGCAATGCTTCAACAGCTTGCCACCGTAATCATTCACGACTAGTGCCTCTTTACCAAGAAGTATCAAATGACCGATCCCTCTGCAGTCGTTGCCTCAGCAGACTGGCTTGTATGATAATCCTGTATCGACGGGGAATGGGAGTGCGAAGTTCTCCACAAAGAGCAACATAGCCACAGCCAGCCTATCTGATCTCCAATGATAATGTCCGGCCAATCGGGCAAGATGCGGCAGTGCTTCTCGAGCGTAAACTGTTTCAGCCTTAGATCAGCATCTTTCGCGCCAACTCTATACCATCTGGTCGAGATCGAGGCGCTGCATCGCCAGTGCGGGCGCATGGCTTCAGCTGCTCCTCTTCGTGGCATGATGATATATCTTCCATCCCCCTCCTCGACTAATCGTCCTAGCAGATTGATTAATCATGGCCTCTCTTGGGAAGGCGAGGTTGTTGCGTGGCAACAGCCATGAAGACGGACAGGAGCTGGATCGTTTCAACCAGCAAGAGGCAGACCTCAGCAAGACTCCCGACGCACCGTCAGCAGCACTACCGCCACGCAAACTACACAGATCGGCCACATATCGTATGCAACAGAAACTCGGCTATAGCTGGACCATCGAACTGGCAAGCTTGTTTCTCAGTGCTGCCTCCTTCTGCACGCTCGTGGCCATCCTATCGCTGTACAATGGCAAGCCGTTGTCCCATTTCGGGAGCTCGACAACCATCAACACCGTCATCTCCGTCCTGATCACACTCTCTGGGTTCAGCTTGGTCTTTTCCGTCTCTGAGGCACTCTGCCAACACCAATGGATGCATATGCGCAATGCCAAAAGCCGTGGAAAACCACTGACAGACCTGCGTAATATCAACAGAGCCGCTTACAGCTCCGTAGGCGCAATCAACGTGCTGGCTCATAGCAGGCGCTATAGCTTCGCTGTCCTGCTCGGCGCAATTGCCATGGTGGCTCACCTCCTCGTTAGACCTTTCGCACAACAGGCCGTGCATTATCCTGTACGCAGTACGGCTTTGCTGACATATGGCGATAACAATGCTATCATCACTCGAGCACAATCACAGCGGGATTTGACCAAAACGTCGTTAGTGCCGCGATCAATGTCTGGACAAACGCTCGCTTCCCCCCTGACTGCACTTGTTCGAATGCAAACTGCTCTTGGGATCCCTTCCCAAGTGTCGGCATCTGCATGAAATGCGTGGATGTAACAGCCGACATCACACCCGATTGCGGTTCCGACGGCAACAACGTGACTATGTGTAATGCAGTTTTCCCCGGTGGCGCTCGGGTCCCTGATCAGGATGGCGGCTACAAGTTCACCACATACTATCAAGATGCTTGTGAGTATATCAGCTGGAACGGTAGCTCAGTTCCCGAGGATGACCAGATCGCTACACAACAACAAAGCAACTGCTCCTTCGAGCAGCAATACGGCGAACGGCTGGGCGGCCTGGCTTTGCCGTTTGCCGGTCTGTCTAGCTTCCAAGGCGGCAATCCGGTCGTGCTCGTCACCGCCCTCGAATGCGCTTTCCACGTGTGCTTCAAGTATCATCGTGGTGTGTCTGTGGTCAACGGTACTTTTCAACCGGGCGATGCGACGGAGATACCCGACCAGAGTGCCGAGTTCCACGTTCCTGTTACAGCACCCCCGGCAGATTCTCCCTTCCCGTATAACGCCAGCATAACCTTGACAGCACCAAGCCAAAACGTTCCCAGACCTGACTACCCACGCGGGTGGAACCCAAGCTACGACATCGAAACTGGAACACTCGGCAGCGCTTCAGACGCTCTTTTCTATATATTCCGCCCCAACGCCACAAGTCAGTACGCCAGACCTGCATGGGATGTCAGCCGCAATGCCTGGTTTGACCAGGAATGGACGACGCCTGGTTTCAATGCCAACTACTCTACGCTTGTGCCCAAGATGCTCGACTCAGTTGCGGAAACTACGACGTCTATAATCCGAAATGAGGGCCCCAAGGAACCCTTCTTCAATGCATTTGAAGACCCGTACTCACCACTTCTTCTCGTGGGCCAGACTTGGGCACCTCAAGTCTTTATCCAAGTCCGTTGGCTTTGGCTCATATTGCCAGCTGCTGTCGTCGTTTTGGGAGCAGTCTTCATCTTCACAACGATCTGGCAGACTGCACTATCCGGCCTTCCGACCTGGAAGCCATCGATCCTTGCTCTGGTCTATCATGGTCTGGATAATGTTCGTAGCGTTGAGCTCGAAGGTCTGGAGCGCTTGGGTGACATGGAAGATCATGCACGACGTTGCGATGTCAGGCTCACTGGCTCCGAGCATGGAATGCGGCGGACTTTGACTAAGATTCAGTAGGATTGATGACAGTGAATGATGCGACCCAGAGCCTTCAGTCCTTCCTCTTTGCTCTGGCTGTTTTGCAAGTCTCGAATCCATTGACTGTGAGCCTGATATAGTACTAGTTCTCAAACTATCAGTGTAGGATCCGATTGCCGACCACCGCTACTAGCACTACTACTTCCGATACCACATTCTACTGCTTCTTCCCCTCCGGATCCGCTTTTGCAGCTGGAAAATGCCATAAAGTAAGGCCTCACCCGTGGGCGGACATCCGGGCACGTATATATCCACAGGCAGGATGCGATCGACACCACGCACAACACTGTAGCTGTAATGGTAGTATCCTCCACCATTAGCACAGCTGCCCATCGAGATGACCCACTTCGGATCCGGCATCTGATCGTAACATAGTCGGACCGCCGGAGCCATCTTGTTCGTCACCGTGCCAGCAACGATCATAACATCCGCCTGTCGTGGAGAAGCTCGAAAGATGATCCCAAAACGATCTTGGTCATAGCGTGGCATTGAGGTGTGCATCATTTCGATTCCGCAACATGCTAGAGCGAAGGTGAGGGGCCATGTTGAGCCTGTGCGTGCCCAGCCCGCGAGCCGGTCAACTGTCGTCCTGCATCGGAGGCATCACGTCAGCATACGACGGGCTGGTGTCTCTGAATGCTAATGTTTCGATTATCTTACAACGCATACTCGACAGCATTAGTCGACGTCGATTGCGAGGCTAGAGCCTGCGTGTCGTGAAGTGTATTTTGCGGTAGATCAGAAGCCGCAGATCTGGTAGCCTTGCTGGATTGGCACCTCATATCGATGTGGGTGTACAATTGAGGTCGAAAGAGGACGCGATGTCTGCTGGATGACAGTGGGAGGCGGGACCGCACTGTATGCAGTCAGTGATGAGCACCGTCCAGTGGACATGATAGAAGCAGGCTCACGGTAGATTGTACCTGTGGATATCATTGTCGAGCCAGAAGACCATGCTAGATCGATGACCATTGGGCAAGAACAAGACTTTGTACCACATTGTCGTTCTGAAGATCGTCGGGCAATTCACACTGCTCGATGGCAGGCTACGGTAGTTAAGCTGGGATGCATGACATCGAACATGTCCACGATGGGACAAAACGGTTGATCAATTGCCTGATCTGGACCACTTTTAGACTTCGCTCCAGGCAAATTCACTCATCCACACCTGGGGGGATTTCGTTCTCGGAAAACAACCTCACACTCTCGCCTTCGTCGTCTTGCTTTCATCCCACCACAGGAATCTTTTACGAATAGTTGAAGGTGCCATGACCAGCCGGGAATGTCCATTCTGCTCGGCTTTCTTTTCTCGAACCGACGGCGCCAGGCGGCACGCCAAGACTTGCCCAAGACGTGCTGCTCGACCTCTCCCCGCCGAAAAACGTGGTCGCAAAGTGCTCTCATGCGACCGTTGTTCGCGCATCAAAATCTACTGCAATGCTCGGCTACAGAAACCATGCGCATCTTGTGCTTCCCGAGGGACGCCATGCACATTCGCAAGACCCTGCACCGCAGCGGAAGACAATGCACCGTTGCATGCATGCGACCAGAACGAGGATCGGCTATCACTCAGTTTTCTTTTGAGTACGACCGATGATAAACAGGATTTCGTCGTCGAATCTGCTATTGGCCAGGAACCAGATAGTGCACTTGTTGGACCAATCCGCCGTCCACCGCCGCAAGATCACTTTTTGGCCAACGGCATGTTAGACTTCATCGACCCAACGCTTCTATCATCAGTTGATTTAGCGCCCTTCCTACTGGACGACTCATGGGTTGCCCATGAAGGATATGATCTCGCCGCCATTCCTTCTTTCCAGCCTTGTCGAACGGGACTCGCAGGACGACTAGAAATCTTGACTACGGATCTTGAGGCGTACGCTCACAGCAAGGCTCTCTTGCGAGACTCGTTCGATCCTATTGCTTTCCGTTGCCTTTTCTGCGTTGCCAACGTGCACGAACTTGCTGCAAGATTTTGTCACAAGAGGCAGTATCGATACCCGATCATCCACTGGCCCACCTTCGTCCTTGAAGAAGCTTCACTACCCTTGCTTATGGTCATAACTCTCACGGGCGCGAGTTATTCGTATCGACCGGAGCCAGACAACAAGCTCTTCAACATCGCTCGGGATTTCTACTCCCTTGCAGACTCCTACGTGTCTGACCGATTGACAGCTTGTTTCGATCATGTCGCGCCAAGCAATCACCTTACGGAACGTATACAGCGATGCCAGGCTGCACTGTTGATGTACGGCCTAATCACACTCAAAGTTAGCGACCCAGAGCTACAGCATGCGGCATTGACCAAACGACTACCTGCACTCGTCTCTGCGCTGCGCTACTCGAGGTTCACTAGCTGCAAGCATGCAGAAAGGGAAAACTGGCAGCTCTTCCTTCAACGAGAGAACATGATTCGTCTAGTTGCCTGGACATTCTGTGTCGATTGCTTGGCTACCTTGTCATACAATCAACCCCCTTTGTTTTGTGTACTGGAGCTGACGGGTGATCTGCCGTGTGTACCAGAAGTCTGGGAAATGGACTCAACGCTAGACTCCGATCTATGGGCCGCTACTAGATCGCCATCCCTCAATTGTCTGCGGGATCTTATGGCTAGGTTCCTCGATACCACGGGTAACTCCCATGTCGAGCTTGAGAATCTCCCACTCTTTCACCTCCATATCGTACTATGTGGTGAGCTTTCTGCCTCGCAATATGTCTCTAGAGTTTTACGTGAATGGCTAACTCGGAACTTGTCAGGATTCCACCAGGTCATCTATAACTTGCATGTTGCTATGGCCCTGTCTACACAATCAGGCAAGCTGTTGCAGACACTCGACATGTGGGCCCACCACTGGACCAAAGCTGTAGCTGATGTTCCGTCCGGTCCTAACAGCCGCATTGGCGTAGCAAAGTATGTACTCGGCATGGAACACCTCACAAGACGCATAGTCGAAGTGGCGGCAAGTGAAGAGGCCAGTCTGTCAGCATACTTGCAGCGAGTCCCGTCCTATAGCGCTCAAGGAATACACGAATTCATACGAGTCTTTGTTGCCAGAGGTTAAGGTATGATGGCTCGTAGCTTGACGCTGATAACTTGTTATTACACTGGACCCGATCGTTGCTAGGAGCCAAAATAACGGCGGATGACCCCACGACGCTGACTCTACTGTGGACAAAGTCTGATGCAAGCACAGAATGCGAAAAGGCGCAAGATCTATTCCACTGGGACAGGAGTATGCCGGAGAGTCTGCGACTATATGGTGAGAGAGTTAGCGCCGTAATTGCAGCAGGGTCAATGACGGAGTGTGTCGAGATCCGGAGGGTCGCTCTCCTAACACAGTAACGTTGTTGTAGGACGAGTCCAGTCGTCCTGGCGCAACGCTATAGCACACACGCACCTGAACACTTTGGGGGGAACACACACTCGTCCGGATTGATGAAGCATGTTCATGGGCAGTGCCAGCGATGTTCATACAGAGTACGTACTGACCTTCTACGAAACCCGACACTCAGTAGACCGTCGGTATCTTGGCCTTGATGAATGGCGTAAGCGGGTTGCTAGCTTTCTGCACCGCCTCAGCAAAAGCGTTCGCCGATAAGTTTGCTCCAGCAGGACTTGTATGCGTATGATCAGCTGGATACAGTGCGTTGGTGGCCTGATTGCCGAGTTCCTTGTACATGGCAGCGACCGCTGAGAAATGGTCTACAAAGTATGCGCCTTTCCCGGCATTGGCAGCTGCTGTCTTCGCTAAATCCAGAAAGCGAGGTGCAGTTGCGCTGTATACACCGCCTTCCCAGAGGTTGTTCGGAGTCTGGCTGCTAACGATGACGGAGGCGTTCTTCGCTGTGTAGCTCTTTGCAGCCGTCGTGATGTAGTAATCGAAAGTGTGAACTGTCGAGCCATCTTTGCCGGACTTACAGGTCGTAGCGCCAGAACCAGGACAATCGCTGCGACCATTGTCCGAAGTGGACGTCGGTGAACCACCGTCGTTGTGACCGAACTCGATCACGACGATATCGCCCGACTTTACGACATCCAGGATCTCGGTAAAGTGGCCTTCCGCCGTGTAGCTGCGAGCTGATCTGCCTCCGATGGCCTTATTCACTACTGGTAGGGTGACATAGTCGGCGACGTAATTGCCCCAGCCATCTGTCTTGCCGTTGTTGGCGCCTTTGAGTGCCATGGTACTGTCGCCTGCCAGGTACAAGGTCGGTTGTGCCCTGGCTGCGTTCTGGATGGGCGATGCATGTGTCGACATTGCGAGTGTGCAGATCGTAGCAAGAACAAAGGCCTTCATGGCTGGTGTCAACCGCGATGTCTATGGCGAGAGCTGGTTTCTTAGTAGTTGGAAATACCAAAGGCGGACGTAACCGCAGCGGCCCTGTACAAGTATATAGCTACGTTGTCCCATCTTGGAACGTTCGCACCATATGGCGGTAATACTATAAGAGACTTCTAGACATATGGCATGGAGAAATCTGAGGCGTAACACATTGATCATGATCATCTTAACGACTAACGCCGAGGACATCGGGAGACGTTTGCCAGAAAGCCACCAATCACAGCAGCAATACTTTTTGGCGAGAGTTCGTTTTGGGTGCATCAACATGAAACGTTACCCTCCAGATGACACATATACTAAAGCCGTTCTGCATCGTGCTCCGACGCCTCAATAGTAGGATTTGTCCTGCTCCGGTCTCCATTCAGTCGTGAACGCGATGAGGTTGCCAATATCATCACTTCAGGCCTGTTTCTCGTCCTTTCGTCATCATGCTTGACATTTGCCATACCCAAGAAATGCAATTGTTCAGGCTAATTCCCACGCATAGCCTACCCCGCTGCCAATGGCATCAGCGACCTGTACATATAGCAGCTGACGGAGAGACGTCTCTCGAGTGTTTCATGCAGGTACGGTAATTCAGCAGCAACATCATGAGTCTCAAGACTCTCGCTATCACAGCCAGCCTTGGAGCTCTCGGGCTGGCCAACCCATTCCCCAGTCCCTACGCCAAGAACACTACCTACTACAACCCCATCATTCCAGGTTTTCATCCAGATCCTAGCTGCATCTTTGTGAAAGAATGGGACAACACTTTCTTCTGCGCCTCTTCGTCATTCATCGCCTTTCCGGGCATGCCCATTCACGCAAGCAAGGATCTCGTGAACTGGAAACTTGTCAGTCACGTCCAGAGTAGACCGTCACAATTCCCGGGAGCTGGCAATATCACTCGAGCGGGTGGGGGTTGGTATGCTCCGACGATACGCTATCACCAGGGCACTTTCTATGTCATAAATGTTGACGTTGATGCCGCGACTGGTGGCTCCGGTATCTTCACGACCAAGAACCCATATGACAACGATGCCTGGAGCGATCTTCTCGAGGTCGAGATTGGTGGCTATGACCCTGACCTCTTCTTCGACAAAAGCGGTACCATCTATTCGCAGGCTGCAATCACAATCCTTGGCGATCCATTCACGACCGATATCGAGCAGTTCACTATTGACCTTCCATCCGGGAATTCCACACCGCGCCATTTTCTATCCAACGGCACAGGTGTGCAACCTCCAGAAGGACCTCACATGTACTACAAAGACGGATACTATTGGTTACTGCTAGCGCAAGGCGGCACAGCTCTGGACCACCAGGTCACGATCTCTCGATCAAAGTCACCATCTGGTCCATGGGAGCTCGATCCATCAAACCCAATCCTGACTGCAATCAACACAACCTCTCTCTTCCAAACAGTAGGCCACGCCGACCTCTTCCAAGACGCCGCCGGTAATTGGTGGGGAGTAGCCCTATCCACCCGCTCTGGACCAGCCTACATTAATTGGCCCATGAACCGCGAGACCGTCCTCTATCCAGTCTCATGGCCTACAGGTCAATGGCCTGTCCTCCAACCTGTACGAGGCAAGATGTCCGGACCTCTCCCGCCTCGTAATATCAACATTCCAGGTACCGGACCCTTCGTCAAGGATCCCGATCACTATACCTTCCCACCCGGCTCATCACTCCCACGCCACTTTACGTACTGGCGCTTCCCCAAAACCCAGAACTATTTTGTCTCGCCAGCTGGCCACTCAAACACCCTCCGCCTCATCCCCTCCAATTCCAACTTGACTGAGTTTGACACCTTTGATCCTCGCGCCGGCAAAACGTTCATTGGCCGCCGTCAAACAGATACACTCTTCACATACACCATCGACATGTCCTTCACGCCACAGCACAGCGGCGAAGAGGCCGGCGCCACCATCTACCTACGGCAAGAACGCCATGCTGAAATTGGTGTCGTGAACCTCAACGGCACGACTCACCTGCGCTTCCGAGCTGAAGGGCCCGATGCTCCGGCTACAGTGACGAAGCCCATTCCCAACTCTTGGTGCGAAGGGATAAGCTTCGAGATCAAGGCCTTTAACTTCACGCACTACTCTCTTTCTGCAGGCGCACGTGGAGGACGATTGGAGACATTTGCGCAGGTCAACAATTCTTTGCTATCTTTGGAGTTCACAGGCAAGTCGACCATTCCGTCAAGGACTCACGTCAAACCCATTGTACGCATATGCTGACAATACTTGCCTTTCAGGCGCCTTTGCGGGTATATACGCCACCACTAACGGCAACGGAGAAGGTGGCTCGCCGGCCTACTTCAGCAACTGGGTGTATCAGGGTCAAGGCCAGGCGATCGACGACGGACAGTACTACCCCAGCAACAAAGGGCCAACCGTATAGAAGATGAAATGCATATATTGGTGCTCGACTACTAAAGATACAGGCCTTTGCACACCACAAGGACACATAGATCCGATGTATTCACTTCCCAAAGCTACCACTCACTTTCATAAGTACTGTGTACATGCGTTGCACTGCGTCAAGAAGCCGTGCGAAGGCAGCATTGTCAGAATCCTGTCGGCCAGCCTTCGACAGCCATACTATGAGCAATACATCCGCTACGTATAGTTTGGCATGTGCACGACACTTAATTTTGACCACTGCTCCATAGGGGAGCGGAAGGTGCGGCATGTCATGGGATAGCACTTTTGAGTCCAAGTGAGCTGGGATTGCAGAGTCTCCAACACTACAGACCTTGCTGCCTTGCCTTCCTTATACCAGAATAGTCGGAATCAGCACAATCAAGCGACCCCAGGTGCCCTTACCGCCATGTAACATGTTCATCCTAGCGCACATCCATGTTTACTATCCTAAGACTGCTGCGGTCCCCAGCGGCGCACATCCCGATCCCATTCCCGCTCATCACTACACATGACATCTCGCATCCACTGCTAGAAACGAAGAGTAGGAACCTCGACACAGGCTCTTGGGCCAGCGAAGATCAGCAGGGCAGCATGAGGCCAGCATGAGGCCAGCACGCCCCAGAAGCAACCGAGAGCTCAGATCCCCTACTGGCTCCCGAAGGTAGCTGCCAGCAGTAATGACACAGTGGTCGATGGCGTTGAACAGGGGTAGAGGCTTGGCGGGCAGCGGGAGGGGTAGAGGCAGGCGCATAACAGGGTGTCAGCTTTCCAAGCTTGTGTATTCCAGTAACCCGTCCCCTCAGGTGGCCATCGTTGGCGTGACAACCCCAGCTCGATGGAAGACGCACGGGAAGTACGTCCGGGCTGATCTTTCGGCCGGTAACGAGTCGCCAGATTTCGCCATCCGTGACTTCACCCCCCTCCCCCACGGCCTTCGGGACAAAGGCTATGACCGCTTCCGTATCGATCTTTATAGCAGACACAAAGTCCAAACTGCTTCTCCGTGCAGCAAAGACACATGAAATGGCTCCAGAGCGCGTGACTCGACCGTCGAGATAAGCCAAGCCGAGCCAATGCAAGCACATCCCGAACCAAGCACAATCTCACCGCCGAGCACAGCCAGCATCATCAATCACACAGCGATATATCCTCAGCCACCCCTATGATCTCCACCATTATCCTCGACATCCCTCAACGATTCCATGGAATTACTAGTGGAACTCCACCAACCCTCCGGCCTCCTCCTTCCACTCCCACTTGCGCTACCCTGATCAAACCCCGCGCCGATAACAGTGGCACTAGCGTCACTACCATTCAAACTATCTCTATTCCTTCTTTTCTTCGTCCTCGCTGCCGGGGTCTCAGCCACTTTTGATACGTCGGTGCCATGAGGATGACGATGATGCTCCGCCTGCCCCTCCTCCCTGCTGTGATCCCGACGGCCACCGCTTATCCTGACTCTGTCCGAAAGCGACATAGGACTCGCTGTCGAAGCCGAGAGCGGCGAAGTGGTCTCTTGCTGTAGTAGAGCTCGAGGAGCCGATTGAAGATCGCTCGACTGCTCGGGCGGGAATCGCAGGCGGCGAGGTGAGAGGATCCGCCTGTCGGGTGTCGTCAACCCCATATCGTTGCTGTTCATCATCGTCGTGGTGGTGGTGGTAGTAGGGCGCGCGGGTGACAATCCCATGGTGCGTCTATGACTCGCCTCAGCCTCAGCATCTTCTTCACGCCGTGCACGTTTCTGGCGAGACGGGGTGGTGGTGCTCGCCTGTCTGTAGTTGATCACCGTACTGGTCTCGCTGGAGGGGGAGAGTGGACGTACCCTCCCTGCCGCACCATGTCTGGGCACCGAAGCCGGCGTGAGAGCGAAGCTTTCGGCGCCGGTATTTTCACCTTCTTCTTCTTCTTCTTCGTCCTCAAGATCCGTCTCGTCCAAGTGCTCCTCGGCCGTACTCGGGCGATCATCAAGGCCGAAATCGAAAGCTGCTGCTACACTGCCTGATATCTGTCGATTGTTCCGCAGACTCGAAGTGTTGTGTGTTGCAAACTCGTCTTCGCTGTAGCCTGGTGGAAGACTGCCATTTGGACTCTCCGAAGTACCCAGCTGTGCCCGATCCAAGATCCCACGGTTGACGGTACGCCATCCTAATGCTGCGTGCTTCGTCTGCGAAGGCGCCGCATAACTCTCCAGCGCCTCCAGTACGTGCGGGAAGACGAGAGTGTCAACGTCGCTGGCCCAGAGTAGGTCCAAGTGCTCGTACTTTTGGATCTCCTTGGCGATAGTATGTTTCGGGAGTTCGGCAAGCATAAGCTTGATATCTACCAGACTGTCTGAGCCACCATACACCAGCACAATCGGCGTCTTGATATTCCTGGTGGGAAACTTGGCAACTTTGTAGTATTTGCTCCCATTCCCTATCGCGAGTGGGGTCGATACCTCATCATCATACATCTGAAACGTGCCATTCCTAATAATCTGGAACCAGTGCACCACACTCTTCGTACTCGTGAAAGAATACAGATGTGGGTATGCGGCCAATTTCTGATGCGGAGTGATATTCATCGTCTTCCAGCCAAATAAGAAGAGCAAACACTTATCGATGAACCAGGCGAAGATGCCCGGGTAGAATAGGGCCTGCCACATTGTCGCACTACCCAGCATAGCGCGTCGGCCGAAGGCGAGGAAGAGGACTTCTGGATTAGATTTGCATAGCGATGCCACAACGCCAGAAGCAAGACCAGGCGGTGCCATGGCGGGTGCGAGAGCGACAAAGACATCGACCTTGTTGTTGAGGGTCGGGTGGATAGATAGTGTTGCGAAGGCCTGCGCACTGCCCTGGCTGAAGCCGATGTAGCTTAGACTCGGCTGCTGGGTAGTACTGAGAATATAGTTGATACTATCCGGAATGTCATGAAAAGCAAACTGATCCATACTGAAATTCCAGAATTGGGTCTGAGTGGGCGCATAGTGGAGGTTCTTCTTGCTGTACTTGTTGCCGCGATTGTTTCCAAGCCAGACATCGTAGCCCTGGTCGACAAGTGTGAAAGGGAGACAGCGCTCCTTCTCTGTCAGGCAGACCCAGACCTCGCTGTTCATGAGGAGACCGTGGTGGAGATAGACGACTTTCTTCTGCACACTGCCCACCCCACCATTGACCCGCTGGTCCTCCTCGCCTTTCCTCCACCCGAGACGGTGTACACCGAGTAAGTAGCCATCACCTGTCTGCACGATATGTTCCTCGGCATAGTAGCCGTAGAGATTACATAATTCTACAAAATCCTGCGCCTGGGCTATGGGACTGGAGACGGCTTTCTTCTTATTCCGGGCGCGACGACTGTAGGGCGAGGAGAGGGTGTTGAAGAGCTTGCGGGAAAGGTTGTAGAAGAAGCGAATGATAGGTCCTGGGAGGAGGAGTGTGATGGTTCGGAATACCGTCTCAAGGATGACCAGGATGAAGGAGAGGGTGAGGGCGAGGTATTCGTAGAGGTGCAGGCGGCCGATGAAGGGGATGGAGGCCATGGTGAGGATTGATTGATGTTACCACATGACTTAGGTGAATATCCACCAAGGGCATGAGGTGTAGAAATAGATGTGCAGGTGGAGGTGAGGGTGAGGGTGAGGGGTGAGGGTGAGGACGAGGACAAGTTGGAGGGGGAAGAGCTCCAATGCCTCGAAGGTTAATTGCTTCAAGTGTGCATTCCGCTTTCGTCATGATCATGTGAAAGACGGGTCTGTGCGGTCTGGACCTGCATGGGATGAAATGGATTAATGATGGAGAGCTTCAATATATATAACATCTATCCTCTCACACTATCTCGCTACATCTCCCCGTTACATCCCTCATACAAAAGCAGTCATGCCCGCCTCCTGCAACGACATCCGAGCAGCGCTAGCACTCTGCCTCCAAAACTCCGACTGCGTGCTAATCCACCGCAACACGCCCGCCGACTGCCTCCGCCCACCCCTCAACGACACCCTCCCCACCCAATGTCAACAGCTCAAACACGGCTACGGCCAGTGCAAGCGGGGGTTGATCGATATGCGGAAACGGTTTCGCGGGAACAAACCCATCGCCACAAGCACCGAACTGGAAGCCGGTGGAGGTCAGCCGACGGGGAGGGGACCGAATGCGGAGGTTGGAATGTTGTATGCGGGACGAAGTAGCTATCAGGATCCCAAGGGTGGGGTCAAGGAGGGCGGGGAGGGGGAGTGGGAGACTTATACACGGAATGATGGGATTGAAGATTTGAGGAAGACGAAGTGAGGTGATCATGCTAGACTATGATTGTGCAGTGCACGTCAGGGCTCACGTAATGCCATCGGGGAACGACGGCAGATAGTCTGTTGTGTTCACAATGAGCATGTGATGAGAACCCGCTGGATCATGTTTCTAGATGAGCCGTCTGCGACGCCACGAAGAGCTGATGGATGCTCGACTGTGACGGGGAAGATGAGGCTGGCAGGCAATCCGGCATGTCCACCCCTCGGACTTAGGATGTCAGTGTTTGGCCATCATTGACAAGACGGAAGTCATCCTGTTCAACTACCGCTTCGTCGGCTCCCATAGCAACGAGGGCAGGGCGAGGGAGTACGAACGGGATCTCGATTGACCAAGGGCTCAGAAGAGATCAATCTCAGTGAGTCCTGAGATAGCAAGATCGCACTCAGTTTACATCAGCATGTCCTCGATACTGTCCCTGCACGATTGGCTCTTACTGAATCCTCACCTACCAAGTCAACCGCTCCGGGCAAAGCAGCGCAGCGCAAACAAAGAACAACTCTGCTGCTGCAAGAGTAGTGTCTAGACCCCACCGGATAGATGGAACGCAATAGCAATCACCATACTGATCTAGAATAGGCCATCTCAATGGAAGATCAATCTTACCTCTTTACGTATGAAGTCTCAAATGCATCTCAAGCCATTGTAACGGTAGCCGTTACAAACGACTTCCTATACGTGAACAGGCTTCTGAACAGGCTTCTGAAGAGGCCTACTAAGGGACTTGGATAGCCACTACCGATGCATCGCACAAGAGATACGACCGCGAACACGATAGCCAAAGGACAATGGTAGTGCAGATAAGTAAGTGCAGCGCAAGCTGCAGATGCATGTATGCATGTATCAAGAGAATCAGATTGAATCTCGCCACTGACACCGGGCAAACATGTTTGCTTGCCAGCAGCAGATCTGCTCTCGTCTGGGAGTAACGGAGATATAACTTTCCATCCGCATCACTTTGGCCATTGATGTGAAAAGCGGCCATTCGCAAGAACACGAAAAGTATGAACGGCCTTCGACAGCATCCACCGATTCCAACCGACCAGGAATTCGACGCAGGGAATAGTGAACAAGGCAGTCCGCCTCATTGCTGGAGTACAGAATGTGTGACAGGTCTCCATCCAAATTCCTCGTTGGGCTCCGACCATCTCAGCCGTAGCAGCGAAGAAGAATCCAAAGGAACGTCGTCGTCAAACCCGTCGTGCTCGCCCACTAGCCGTCGACCCGTCTCCAGACCAGACGGTGGCAATGGAGATGCGGAGTGGGATGAGATCCGATGGGCGAGAAGGCGAGGCGGGTACTGGGACTACAACCACCCTAATCCCACCCACCCAGAAACACAAGACGCACCCACGACTCAGCCCCACCACGCCACCCAACAAACCAGCAAAAGCGCAAACTTCCGCACCCTAAGTCGAGCATACCACCATATCCGCAATCAACTCTGGGCGCAGATGGTAAGGAATAGGAAGCTAAAGGACCAGCACAAGCGGGATGAGTGTCTTTTGCGGAATGCAGGGGTGGGAAAATATTGGGCCTGGACTCCTGGATGGGGGTGGAAGGCGAGGTGCAAGGAGTTGGAGGAGGAAGTGGGGGAGGCGAGGGCGGAGGGGAGGTATTGGAAGAGAGTGGCGGGAGGAGGGAGAAAGTTCTGAAGATGTGGCGGTGAGGGTGTATTGTATTCGTCGTTTGTGATGGCGGTGTAGAAGTTAGTTATTGCCCAGAAAGGCGGCTATTTGTCTGAGCACATCTTTGGTGAGCCCGTGAAATCAGGGCTGAGCTACCCGATAATACAGCTTGGCTGTAGATTGTAGGATGCAAAAGGTGTATGCTAGATGTCAAGGGATGGAGCTCGGGGGGGGGATGAACAAGTGCTAGATACAGATTTAATCGCTATGCGCGGCGAAAGCTTGATCCGCTCCGCTCCATTCGCGTCTTCCCATGCGCGTTTACTTTGAAGCATGTTTCCATGAAATGATCTGCAGCATTGCTGAACGATGGCAACCCTCGCCCTTCCCAACAGCGCAGGTCGCTCCATACCAGCATCGCGACCACGTGACGACAACACTACCCGAAGAAAGAAAGAGAAACGGAGCGACATCTGGTCGAACCTCCTTCGCCAAACCCGCGAAGCCCAAGCCCGAAGCCGCACCCAGACTCTCCAGCACCGTGAGCTGATCGTCTGCGGTGGCTCACCCTCAGACCAACGAACCTTCGTCCGCAATCTGGCTCGCCCACCACCGCCCGCACCACTGAGCAGAAATCGGGATCGGGATCGAGATCAACGTCCTCAGAGACCGAAAGGGGAGGTGAAGTTGAGTAACAGTCATGCTTATGGATATGGCCACGTGACTTTGTATTGTCCGCCGCAGCAGACGGCAGGGATGTTGTTGGGTGGGGAGGCGGAGGAGGCGGTGAGGATGGAGGTGCATACTCTGCCTGAACCGGATGGGGTGTATGAGGGGACGTTACGGAGGTTGCTTGCTATCAAAAGTGAGGGAAGAGGAGATGGGGTCGAGGATGATGTTGGTGACGAAGTGGGGAGGGGAGAGGTGAGACCGCCGAGACCGGAAGTCTGTCTCTTACTGTCGTGGAAAGAGCCATGGGTGTTCTTGAGCTTAATGAGGCAGTGGTTGCAACTACTAGCTCGATCGCTCTTGCCTCCGGAGACTGCCGACGAGGATCCGATGGAGGTGGTGAAGGAGCACAAACTAGCCCTCACCATCGTCGTGCAACACGTCGAAGCTCAAGAAAGTCTGGAGCGGGATGGCTATCGGGAAGAAAGCTTCGACTACATTTCGCAATGCTTACGTACTGCTGTTCTACCCCTCTCTGCTGCTCTGGTCTACACATCTAGCAGTACGCCACCACAACAACCAGCCTCCACTTTATCAGACGTGCAAAAGGTCATCTTCACCGGCATGGCTCTAGATCTGGCGCCACTTTCACCAGCCCCTAGCAAGACCACTACCACAGCCAATCGAGACGATCTAGCACCAAAACATAATGTCGTCGACCGCATGGCCATCGTCGTCCCTAGCGGCTGGGATAGTCTTGGCAAGATCCGACTGCTATCCGAAACATTCTCCCCCGAAGCCGTGCTAGACGCATGGACAACAGACTTGCGTATCCCGGTCCTCATACAGCCAAATCCCACTCAGCCAGACGACCCACCTGAACAAGCATCACAGCCCGAGTACCAAGCAAACGGCGGTGCAGAACGACACGAGCCAGAAGCAGAAGTGTACGCCACCTCAGAAGTAGGCGACGAAGACTCTGAACTAGCCTCTCGCCCCACATCACCCTCCAAGCAATCTCTCTCAACGATCGCGACTTTCGAACAGACAATCTTGAATCCGAACGCCTACAAAGTGGCCAAACCGCCTCAAATCCAAGTAACCACAAAACCAACCCAACAATTCCTAGCAGAAATGCGGACCCATCTCCTCGAGCTCGAAGCACAGGATACCGAGCGTGCGAAAAACAATCCGGGTTCATCGTCTGGAGTATCGACGACAGCGGGCGCAATTCATAGTTCGAGCACGAGTACGACTCGCGTGGCCGGTCTCCCCTCTGGAGGCGAACAAAGCGGCGCCCTGGAGAATCTAGGCGATGTCTCCTTCAACGTCGGAGGAGTGAACTACAACGCCGTCTCCGCCTCTGCGGCGATCGAACGCCTTAAACGTCCTGCGCAGCCTTCAGGCTTGGAGTCGCCTGTAATCGCGGCTAGTCCTTCGTCTGGGCGTAATATTACTCCCCGGCAACCACGACGAGAAGACCGGGCTGCGGACGTCACGCCTCGATCACTCCAGAGGTCTTCAGCGAGATCGACGTCGGGGAGGGATGGGTCTTCGACGCAGCCGATGGATAAGTTGGAGGTGGATAAGTTGGAGGAGTACTTTGCTAGTTTGATGAAGAAGGGGACGCCGTCTGGTGGTGGGACGGGGAGTGGGAGTAGTACGCCTAGTAAGGCTCAGAGATAGTAGCAGAATGTACTACAGATACCTGCAGCGCTTGATACACCGTCCCATTCATCCATCGTCAACATTATACCGTTTGTTGAGAAGGTGGTCGGCATGACGCCAATAATGATCTGAAAGTCGTTTATTCATTCGCGTAAAAGGCGCATCGGCCGACAATGGCCATGAGCATCGACCGGCAGATCCACCACGAATCCACGAGATTGGTCGAATCAGAGGCGCAGTTCATTCGTTCAGTGAAGAGCACGTACATTCTGCCAGACACACAGCCGGATATACATCCGTAACAACACCATTGGCTCCATCCACGACAACAATCCCGAGCTTTCCCTTCACTCGTATACTTTGCATGACGCTAAACCCGCTTTCGTATCTCTTCCCTGCCTTCGAACTGTATTCTTGACGATGTTCAACTCTAACATGCAATGTTACATCCATCCGTGCATGATGATGGGCTGACAACCATAACATGAGTATCGCACATAACGGCTCTATCGGTCTTTAGCTTGGGCGTCACTCGTAACACCGTTGGCAATGATCATACCCGTTTCGATTGATCGATCCAGTCGTGGAAGAAAAGAGGTATATTGAGTACTGTCTTCCCAGCGTATGCACATACAAAATAACAAAACGTCGTCGGTCTTTCCTCTCTATCTCGTGCTGTGATTGAGCTGCCGCATTGCTCGTCAATCCACACGCTTCTCAAGATGGTATCTTACCATGCCGTCCAATCCTCCAACGCTCAAATCTCCACCCTCATTCCCGGCCGCCTCACAGCAGTCTTTGCAGGCGGCACGAGCGGACTAGGAGAATACACGCTCAAGTCCTTCGCCAAATACGTTGCAGAACCACGGATCTACTTCATCGGACGTTCGCAGGAGGCCGCGGACCGGATAGTCAAGGAGTGCCAGGTGCTAAATCCACGGGGCGAGTATATTTTCCTGAAGAAAGAGTTGAGCTTGGTTCAGAATGTGGATGAAGTGTGTCAGGAGATTATGGACCGAGAAGGGCCAGATGGGTATATCAACTTACTTTTCGTGAGCCAGGCGATGGCTTACAATACTACTGGTACGTCGACTCGCCTCTTGCCAACATGCATGGATTACTTACTGACTTGCACAACACCTGCTGTAGTAACATCCGAAGGTTTTATGCTGCCCATCGCCTTAGTGATCTACTCCCGTTTCCGCTTCATCATCAACCTCCTTCCTCTCCTCAATCGCGCGACGGCACTTCGCCGCGTGATATCGGTCTTCTTGGGAGGCAGAGAAGGACCCGTCGATATCGATGATCTAAATTTCAAGGACGGGTTGTCCAAGCCGATCAAGTTCAGGGATCAAGCGTTGAGTATGATGACGTTGTCAATGGAAGTACTGGCCGAGCAGAATCCTGGAGTGGGGTTCATTCATACAGCTCCAGGAAGCGTGAAGTAAGTCACCCGAGTGACCGTCTGTAAAGATACCATTTGTCGAGAATCGCGTTGATGAAAATCGAGCCAGGTCCGGTATCTTCAGAGAGCCCGGCCTGATCAACGGGACGCTGAGATTCCTCTCCTGGCTCGCTCTGATGCTAGGCTATAACCTCACTCCCGAAGAAGCAGGGGACAGACATCTTTACTACGCTACTAGTGCACGGTATCCTTCGAAAGCAGGCGCGAAGAGCGACGTCCAAGTCGTGCCGTTGTGTGAGGGCGTGGATGTTAGTGAGGGTACGGATCAGTCAGTGGGTAGTGGTGTCTATACGCCTGGTCCTGATGGTGAGAGTTGGGCAACAGACAAGGTGAAGGAGTGTTTGGCGAGGATGAGGGAGGATGGCGTACCTGCGAAGGTGTGGGAGTATATTGAAGGCGAGTTTGTCAGGACTACTGGGAGGGTGAAGATCGAAGCGAGACTTGAGACCTCAGCGTAAATGCTCGCTATCGAGTACTGGAGCGCATGCCGTCCCGAATGATGGTTCTTGGTGTAGAATGCGAGATTGAGGCTCAAAACTCACCCACGACGACCGTGAAGGCCATGTCTGTGGGAAATCCGACTCCAATCCGAGCCGTTGAGCATGTCGTGCACTTGAGCAGCGGAGGATGTGCCAGACGTCAAGGTCGAATCTTGCTGCTGCTTTGGCAACGCTATGACTCCAGGAAGTAATGTGGACATGCTACTATCCGAGCGGTAGCGGCGTGGGTCTTCATGTCCGTCGGTGATCACGAGATGCAAGCGGAGGAAAGCCTGATGCAGTCAAGATCCCGTATTAAATTAGTCTTCTGCGTCCGGTGCATGGCGGGCTCCACGAGAAAGTGGGATGCGTGGAGCATGGTCACGGGGTCTCCACGTGTGTGATGTCCATGTGCCGAGATGGTTCGGTGCTCGCGCGACTTCGTTCCGAGCAATATCAATACCGCTCGTTCCGAGTCTTTATCAAACATCGATCGTCAAGCGTGGCATTGCCGTTGATGCAGGATGATTACAGGCATATGATCTCCTGTAGCAATCACACCCACCACTGTCTCGCTGCTCCTCAAGACGTCGACCATCAAGTACCGATATCTTCGTCGGCACAAAGGTCCTCTCTTGCAACATACTTCGGTCTCTGCCTCTAAGCCCTAACTCTTGGCAGTCTACACGACTCAAGCAACCACGGGAAGAAGTGGTTCACCGGTCAATCTTTGGGCACTTGTGCCATGGGACGGCTCTATTTTGCTGCGGGGACCGGCCTTGACTTGCATAAAGAGGACTAGGTCGTGGTCGATTCGCTCATGATCCAACGCTAGCAAGTAGTGCCAGGTACTGAAGGCTGGGACCACGAGCCATGCCATTCCGTCATGGTATGGCAGATGTCAACGGCACTGGCAACGGAGTTTTCTCCTACTGCCAATGCCGCGGACCTGGGTGCGCGACGGAGTGGTATAAAGATATGGATGTCCATCCTGTATGAGCAGAGCCGCATCTACTACTCATTCACGGGTTTGACTGCATTCTTGTGGCCAAGATGATGTTCACCACCCAACTTCTGGCCGTTGGCCTGGCTTTCATCGAGTTCACTTCCGGACAGAACATCTCGACCGCTGCGCTCGCTAACCTGGAGCGCTACTGGTCATATGGCAGATCAACACCAGTCTACCCAACGCCCCAGAGCTCAGGCCTCGGCGAATGGTCGTCGGCCTATGCTAAAGCCAAGGCTCTGGTGTCGCAGATGAGCAACTACGAGAAGAATAACATCACTTATGGTCAAGCTTCTACGACCGGCTGCTCTGGTGTTTCTGGCAGTGTCCCCAGACTCGGTTTCCCGGGACTGTGTCTCGCAGACTCTGGCAATGGTGTTCATGCTGCTGACGGTGTCAATGGATGGCCGAGTGCGATTCATGTTGGTGCTGCATGGAACAGAGATCTGGCACACGATCGAGCACTTGTAAGATATGCAGTTTGACGTCACATGTCCCAGCTCTGATCGATCGCTAGTACATGGGCGCTGAGTTCAAGAACAAGGGCGTCAGTGTCGCTCTTGGGCCTGTTGTTGGTCCACTCGGTAAGCTCGCCAAGGGCGGACGCAACTGGGAGGGATTTTCGAACGACCCATACCTGGCGGGGAAGCTTGCCTACGAAACTGTGCTCGTAAGTCATCGCGCTACTTCTCCGAAAGTCATTCGAATGCTCATCAACAGTAGGGTCTCGAGAAGAATGTGATGTCATGCGTCAAGCATTTCATTGGTAACGAGCAGGAGACAAACCGCAATCCACCAATTCTGATTCCTACTGCACACAATCAATCTCTATCGTCGAATATCGATCCGAGAACCGAGCATGAGTTGTATATATGGCCATTCCAGGACGCCATCCGGGCTGGAGCTGGTTCGGTCATGTGCTCGTACAACAGATACAACAACTCATATGGATGCCAGAACTCCTACAGCCAGAACGGTCTCCTGAAAGGCGAGCTAGGCTTTCAGGGTTTCGTAGTTTCTGACTGGGGCGCACAACACTCCGGGGTTGCCTCAGCAGACGCTGGATTGGACATGGCAATGCCCAGCAGCGCATACTGGCAGAACGGCAATCTCAGCAAGGCAGTCACAAACGGCACTCTTGACCAGAGCCGACTTGATGACATCGCTGTGCGCATCGTGTCTACATGGTACCGCCTCGAAGAAGTCAATAGCCCCGCTTTCAGCAATCCCGGCTTTGGTCTGCCAGCGAGTCTCAACGCACCGCACACATTCATCGACGCCCGTGACCCAGCATCTGAGCCGACGAACCTTCAAGGTGCTATCGAAGGCCATGTCTTGGTCAAGAATGTTGCGAATACACTGCCGCTCAGCAAGCCGAAACTCTTGTCTCTTTGTAAGTTGAGTCCATCTCGAATCCAGACCTTTGGCTAATCAATATATGTTTTCACAGTCGGCTACGATGCCGTAGCTTCCACTCGCAACACTCCCAACTCTGGCACCAAATGGGGCTTCGGTCTCGATAATACTCAGGTATACTCGGACGGCACTGTGTTCAACGACACCTTCCTGTTCGCCACTTTCCTGAGCTCTGAGCCTGCCGGCACTTCAGGCCCTAGCATAGCGCTCAACGGCACTGTGCTGACTGGAGGTGGATCGGGCGCAACTACACCAGCTTATATCGATGCGCCGTTTGATGCTTTCCAGCGTCAAGCATATCAGGATCGAACACTACTGGAGTGGAACTTCGCGGACTTCAACCTGACCGGCAAGATCAACCCCGCTAGCGAGCACTGCATCGTCTTCATCAATGCTCAGTCCTCCGAAGGTTGGGACAGAGCGGATCTGGCTGATCAGGCTTCCGATGACTTGGTGAACTACGTCGCTTCGCAGTGCAATAGCACCATCGTCGTGATCCACTCCGCCGGTCTTCGTCTCGTCGAGAACTTCGTCCACAACCCCAACGTCACGGCCATCATGTACGCCCATCTTCCCGGCCAGGACAGCGGGAGAGCTCTCATCGAGGTCATGTACGGCAACCAGTCGCCCTCTGGCCGTCTACCTTACACTGTTGCAGCCAAGGCTACAGACTATGGTAATTTGGAGGACCCCATTGTGCCTGTGGGCGTCGATTACTACACTCAAGACAGTACGTGCATACACCAGCCATGCCAGATGGATCGCAATGACTAATCCTGTTTTAGACTACACCGAGGGCGTGTACATTGACTACAAGCACTTCATCGCTCAGAACATCACACCTCGATTCGAGTTCGGTTATGGGTATGTGCATCACACATGTACATTCTGATCAATGCTAACATCCTCACAGCCTCACCTACACCACCTTCAGCTACTCCGATATCAAGGTCTCCACTGCCAGCAACGCAAGCCTAGCATACCTCGCTCCCAACAGCACCCTGGCCGAAGGGGGCCTGGCCTCCCTCTGGGACACTGTAGCTACTGTCACTATCTCTGTGACAAATACTGGCAGCGTTGAAGCTGCCGAAGTAGCACAGCTCTATGTTGGCATTCCAGGTGGTCCTCAAAAGGTCCTCCGTGGCTTCGGTAAGGAGACGCTGAAAGCAGGCGAATCGTGTACCTTCACGTTCGAGCTCGGCAGACGCGATCTCTCGACCTGGACTTCGCAGGGTTGGGTGCTGCAGAAGGGCACCTACCAGATTTATGTCGGCAAGAGCGTGCTTGATATCCAGCTCACAAGCTCATTGACGATCTGAGGTGGAGGACCTGACGACATGACGCAATGTGAGATGCACGCCTGTACATAGATAGACATCTCAATACCGCTCTAAGGAAGATCGATCTCATGTTCCCAGTCACCCCAGAGTGCCTGATGCGATGGACAGGGTGCTGCAGCGTGTGAGGTGCCCTCACTTCGGTATTTAACACAAGCAGCGCTGGACCGTGGGTTCGGATAGGTCGAATACCCTTTCGATGAAGATGTGCTCTGTCTGCGTACTGCACTGCTCGCAACCTATCCCATACAAGCCGTCTTACAGCTGAAACCTGATCAAATATCTCAGCCTTATCTGCGCCACATCATAGCAGATATACTCATTATACTGCAAATAAGCATTCGGATGATTCGTCTGATCGCCAGGCTCCTTCTCCGGATCCGGCACCATGGTACCTCTCAACTCCTCACTTATAACATCTCCCGCATCGACCCACCCCTGCGGCGTCGTGCGACCGATACCATATGTAGCGATAGAACCGGCCTTCGCCGAGTCCTCTTGTGCACTGCTTTGGCCGGACAAGAGCTCGTACATAGGGTTTCCGAGCTCGGCTTCGCAGAGTAGAAGTAGGCCGGTGTTGCCGCTGCTGCTGGAGACGCAGTAGTTGGCGCTTTTGGTGGAGATGTCGGCTAGGTAGACGCCTTTGCCGAAGGCGTAGCCATTGACTGGTGCTTCTGGTGGAGCGATTCGGAGGCCCTGGCTGAGGATACCACCTACAGCATGTCAGTACGGCCGATGACGGTGACAGATATGGATGTGGACTGTACTCACCATAGTTGGTCGTACGAGAGCCGTGCCAGAGCAGCCGTCGATTCTTGTCCTTGATACTCGAGTACTTTGACTTCTCAAACCTTTCGCTCTCGCCCTCGCGTTGAATACGGAAGATGTCTTGCAGTCTATATCGGATATTATGGGTTTTGCCGGCAGTGTTGATGAGGTAATTCTTGAGGGATTGGTACTCTGCGGACTTCTGTTCCAGTGGTTCGCACTCCGAGAGCTTCAGTTGCCCGAAACGCTGATCGATCTTAGCGACGGAGTCTGCGTCTTTGTGGCGACTGTCGGATTTCATTATGCTGTTGGCCACCTCCATGTCCGTGAGAGTGTCAAGCATAGCGACTTCGCGAGTGAGGATATCGTTGTTGTCGATGATTGGTGGTCTGTTACGGCCGAAGACGTGAGGTATAGTGCTGTAGTAGCGATTCGTATAGTCTTCGAGCGCTTCCTGTTGCGAAGTCCCGAACTTGTTTTGTGCCAAGGAAGGGTGGCGAATCAGACTGGACAGCTCGTGCAACTGCTCGAAACCACGCTGAATAGTGCTCTTGCCAAGTTTCCCGAGCGGAAGCTTTTCCTGGTTGTATCCGATGTTCTCCAAGACACTGTTAAAATGGTTCTCGTTGAAAATGAGCTCCATCAAGCGTTGAGTCTGCCTGGGAAGCTTGCTTTCGACTTGGTCTTTCGAGTCCTCGTCGTCCACTTCTTTCTTCACATCCTCTCCAGTCTCGTCGTCTCCTCCAGTATAGTCCATCTGCAACCAGGCATACTTGCCTTTCTTTGGCTCCTGGTCGCGATCGTCCCATGCAAGGCCGGACTTGTCCTTGAACTTCTTCTGGAATTCTGTCATGGCGTCCTCGAAATTATCAAAGTCCATGGTCTTGACTTGACTAGGTCATCCGTTAGTATGTCATGAAGGTGTTCATGTGCGTGGAGATTTACCCAAACTCGCCGACACGGCCCCAACGCGTGTGAACATGATAAGTCTTCTTGTCTTCCAGCAACTGCAGACGATAGAACTGCAAACATGAGCACAAGCAGCCAACCAATTCATCGGCACATTGATACCTTATTGTTGTTCTTGGCCACTTGGCTTTGGTTCAACGAAGCATCGAAGATTGTGCCGTCGTCAGCAACATGAACCTTCCCTGTCGCACGTTGTGAGCACACAATCACAAACGAACTGTGCTACAGACCCACCACCGCCATGGAAACCCTCATCGAGAGCTATGTAGATATCCTTCGAGACAGCTTTCTGTCCATCCTGCTTAGGCTGCTTGGTGTTGGCAGCGCCGCTTTGTGCTGCTGCCTTCCTCTTGCTACCCTTTGGTGGCATGGTAGCAGTGCAGTGCGGAGTGTGAACTTGGAAATGATGGAGACGGTAATATGAGAGTCTGCGAACCTGCTCGATATATGTGTTGCCATCTGGCTTTATGCAACATTGCTTCACCGGTCTTGGGGCCAATGCACGATCCTTTTGTGGAGGCAGCCATGCCTCGCTGGTGCAGATCAATCTTGGCTCGATTGGCCATCATGGCGCTGCTGTCTGATAACAGACTATACAGTGACTTGACGGGTTCGCCACCCAGGCTTCTATGCTCGAGCGGAGATGGGCGTTGGTGAGGGAAGAGGAGCGTAGGGGTGACTGGTGCCTTCGGCTCCTCGGGAGAACCACAAAGCCTTGGCGTTGTTGGACGCCGGCAGATCCTCAAACGCCGCTGCATCGGCCTGGATGTTCGTCGCAAGAACAATGCCCAGTCCAATATGACTTCGCCTGAGCCGAAAGTCGAGCAGCTTACTGTTGATGCCGACGACGACGACGACCATAATAGGAACGATGACAAAAAGGAGAAGCGTACAAGTCGCGCCTGTCTAACATGTCGCAAGCGCAAATCTGCCTGTAATCTGTGAGTGCTGAGCTTCGTCAGATGCCGACCACGCGACGGCAACCCAAAGGAGGCATATAAAATGTACATGCACGAGACATACTGACGCTCTCTCAGACCGGTTGTCGATGGTGTCGTGACTACACCATGCGCAAGATGCAAAAGCACTGGTCTGGAGTGTGTAATCGGCTCTAGCAATCGTGGCGGGAGACGAGAACGCAAACGACCGGTCGAGAGCTCTTCAGAAGTCGACATCACTGACCGACGGCCTTCCCAAACACCACGTCTCGACGCCTGCAACAGCGATGCCTCCTTCATCAACGAGGTCGTGGACGCCGCTCAAGCCTTTCCCATGATGCCACTCATGCCTACGATGAACCCATCTCCTGGAACATCTATGTACCTGGATCCAGCCCTCCGACCAGATTCCGTGGCTATGTACTCCGGCACTGGTGCAACACGAGAGTCATCGACCGGGTCTGGCATCCACTTCAACGAGCTGCAGAACCCTAGTGATGCCCTTGGCATTCTAGCCCAGATCGCCAGCGACGGAGACGCAGCATACTCGGGGCATAGCCATCGACAACCCTTTACGCACGACACCCTCGAATACCCGCTGGTCAGGAACGGACGGCTCAGTTTGACCAAGATTTTCCATCTTCTCGAGAGATACAAGCATTATTACCATCCGTACTTCCCGATTGTGCCTCTTTCTACACTAATACCCGCGAACTTGCCCAAAACAGCTCGCGAGGAGAAGCATCTTCTCACTGCAATCTTGGTCATCGCGTCTCGAGATCTGACCGATGAGCCGCACATCTTCGCTTCCTGTGCCGAGCATATGCGTTCGCTCGTCTCGGCACTGGCGGCTGGTGGACCTGGCAATGTGGAGACTGTGGAAGCCTTGCTATTGCTTGCAGAGTGGACACCATACACATCACGTAGTGACGCCGGTCATGTTGGTAGAGGCGAGGAAGATCGTGAGGCGTGGATGCATGTGGGTACTGCCTTACGCATTGGCTATTATCTTGGCCTCGACAGATATTCGTTCGCTGTGCGAGGGGATGATGTGAAAGACCCGCAGTGGCAGCGGAAACGTCTCGTGTGGACTGCTTGCTACATCAGCGACCGACAGATCAGCATTAGGCTCGGCCGGGCATTCTGGTCAAGAGGTCCTGGACCACTCACTACATTAAGGAAGGAAGACTTCCCAATGCTTCAAGCAAAAGCACAAGGAGAGGAAGACTTCGCAAGTATATTTCAAGCGACACTCGAGCTCACCTTGCTGTTCTCGAACGTTCATGATGTGCTCTACTCGAATCCTGGAAACAGTATGCGCAGCCATCTAAGTGGCGGCTACATCAAGTACATCGACGACTTCCGCTCAGCAATATATGGCTGGAAATCTGTCTGGGGCACTTTGACATGCTCACCAAACCTCAAAGCCACTCTCCTTATGAGCTACGACTATCTCAGACTATACACAAACGCCTTCGCCTTCCACGCCACAGTCAAGCGAGCATCGACACAAGAGCAAAGCAGTGATTCTCAAAGCAAGAAGCGTGGCCCATCTGTTCAACGAGTGTTCTACAACAATGTTGGCGCAGTAGGAGATGCGCGCTTCATCTACGAAGGCCTTGATGCTGCGAAAAGTCTCCTAAGCATGTGCAACACTTTCGTCGACCCAGAGAAAGCTCTACGATACATGCCATTACGCTTCTATCTCTACTGCGTTTATAGCGCCGTATTCCTCTACCGAGCGCGATGCGCTGGCGTGCTCTCAGCAGACGAAGAACAGTCCGTCCGTCAAATGGTTCAAGAAACAGTGACTCGCCTCGAGCGCTCCGGCATCGCAGGCTCCCAGCATCCAGGCAGCAGGTACTCCCAGCTCCTACGCCTGCTGTGGGATAAAGTAGACCGGAGAGAACATAAGCGCCATCAGAGCACCGCCACTCTCACGAACCCATACAGACCAGGCAGTGGAGTAGCAGGTGGCACACCGGGCTCCAACCCTAGTGTGACTATGCAAGAATCTCCCGCTATGACGGAGATGGTGGGAGACTTCTCGTGGACAGATCTCGATGCTATAGGGAACTTTGCTGTCAATGGGAACGCGGGCCTTAGTAACGTGGGTAATGATCTGGAGTGGTGGTCTGGTTTCTTGCCTACAGATGGCAGTAACTTTATGATGGACACCTTTTCGGGAATGGACGACTGGGATCTGGGACTTGGTGCTTGAATTGTCACCAAGAAAGCGTGAACTACGATGTCCTCCTATAATACCAGTGCTCTCCAGCGAACGCCTGCGGCTGAATGGCAACGACTACGGCTCAACATTTACACTCTGCGGAATCAGACAGCTTTGGACCGGAACGCATTGCGCTCTTGGCAGCACGAAGTACCAATCAGACACCGAGATCTAAAGAATATGGCCATCTCACGACGTAGCAAAGAATCCGACGCAGTCCACAGCTACGCCTTGCTTGCTGCATTCCAAGACATGTTACTCGCACAAGAGGGCCGTAGACCGGGACACAAGGAGGCCATCGAGACAGGATGCAGGTCGGCTCCTGCTCAATCCCTTGTATCGTTTGAGGAAGTGAAGGCGGCGTTATGCGGACGAAGGTGCATTGCAGGCGGAGTGGGCCAGACTACTATAGGCTGAGCCCTCGGGGGTCAGAAGGGAAGCATCGCGAGTAGTGAGCTTCGGTGGCCTGTAAATTAGTATACTGATGAGTGATCAATTTGTCAAGTACGCTCGTATGGTCGCACAACATAGTCCGGGGCTAATCTCTTAGCTAGAGGGGCATGGTCCGAGGATGTTCACTAAGCATAATACAATGAACTGCCCGCGCCCTACACATGTTCACAATGCCCTCTTTGTTAGGAAGTTACATCTATCTGCTCAGAAACAATTTCTTGAACGATGCGTAATTGCGAAGCTCTGTGTTCTAATACATGCTTTGGTCTCCATAGCACAACAAATCCGGTCATACACAAGCCATATACCTGGAAGTGAGCACCTGGTGTCCTAGAGGCATAGTGCCTCGCCGACTTTTCCGCGGCTGCCGTAGATCGCCTATGCCTCCTTGGTTGGATCGGACTTCGGTGGGAAGACGTATCGGCCCAGATCGAAAACAGGGAGGGGGCATGGTATTGCCACGGCTTCGCAGACTTCGAGGATTGCAAGGTACCTGGAAAGAACAGATGTGTTAGCCTGACAACTATCACGAAGGAAGTCTGGAATTCAATAGGTCCAGTACTCACCAACCACAAACGAGACCGATGAACCCGAACCCTCCAGCGAACTTCAACAGGTGCTCGACGTGTGCCAAACCGGCTGCGTCGACCGCCAAGGGCGCGGCAAAGTCTGCTGCTGCGATGAACGCGAAGAGCATCACGAGGCCGAAGAACGTGAGGGCGAAAAAGGCGTTGACACGGAGGGTTCCGATCATAAGGACGAACGAGACAATGCACCTATACATCTATCAGCATAGTCAAGCAGCATCTTCGTGGTCTGCGATGATCTCGACATACATCGTCACGTTGTGAAATGCCTGCGAGCTCTGGTAAGCAGCGCCGGTAGCACCACCGAGCTCAGTCGTAAAGACGGACGTGGTAAGGTGAATAGGGTCCTGGGTGTATGCCAGACTGCCCCAGTGGCAGCCGTATATGATGAAGACGGCCATTGGGAAGGCTAGACATGGTCAATCTTGGCTCGATCAATGTGCAACCATTGATATACTCACTGTTGCCTAGGACAAACTCCATCAAACCAGCCAAATTCATAGCGATGGCACCAAGGAAGTAATAGTCTCCACTGAGACCCACAAGGGTGTACGGTGGAACGGCGCCGCTGAATTGGCAGAGCGTAAGGATGGTCGAGGTATATGGGATCAAAAAGGCAATGAGACCCAACAACGATGGGTTACCGAAGCGTTTGGCCAAATCACCACGACGTGGAGCCGCCGGTTGAAAGAAGAGACGTTCATACTGCTCGTTACTCAAGGTGACGGTGTGCTGGCGGCTGAGAGGAGATCCTTCGTTCATCGAGACGGTTGGGTGGGCTTCGGTGCCAATCTTGTGGTCCATTCTTTCAGTCATTGACTATGCCGGAGCGGGTTGATGAGAGCTGAGGTGGGATGGTTGACAAGATTCGAGAGAAGAAGACACGTGCCGGCAAAGAAACAGATCGACGACCACGGCCGCCTTTTGACCTGCGAAGCCATGGGTCACCTACACTACGCAACCCTTCGCGGACCGCCATCACTCAAACTGTGGAGACCATCCGTGTGCATCCTGCATGCACAAACCTGCCTCGGTCCACGACCCAAAGCACACCCTCTCCGAACAGAGACAAGATGGCGGCCTGCCGCTCCAGACAAAATGTCCCCAGTCTTGCTCCGCATTCGTGGAGAAAGAGGAAGAAACGGCATCATCCCGCAGCAAAACATCCTGGTAGACTACGGCGTGGCGAAGCGCAAAGGAGAGACGCCTGGGTCCCGAATAGGAAGGTAAAGAAATGATTTCCGCTCTTGAGATTTTATTGGTTTCCTTAGCTGTCCCACAAAGGTGACATTCTCGACGCCAGGTCGGGAGAAATCGCGACTTCAAGACAATGACCGAGGCTCTTCGCTGGTCGGAAGAGCGATGAGTGGTTCTGCGGTCAATAAGTCAAAGTTTATAGACGTTTTCTTTCAGAAGCGCGGAGAGGATGTGGAGGAGCAGATCGTTTCTGGAGTGCCGTTGTGGGGCACTCACATGGCTTCGGAGGCCGAGGCGTTCGACAGAAAGAAATGATCGACCATGCCGTTGTATTCCGTGCTATGCCGTGCATAAAAGTATTTTAGTGGAGATGATTGGAAACACTTCGTTCGCGACGCGCAACTATGCCAATGGATCGTAAAAATTGTATTACACGTTGAGTCCTGCCACTTAATTCTTCTCCTCACACCTTGATTCCCTCACAGTCCATTGCTGCTCAGGAAACTCATGATCCACGAAAATGCGTCAGCAGCAGCGTAATGGAGGTTCAGAGCGTGACCAGCATCCTGCCCAAGATACGTCTTGAATGCACCGGCCGATACGGCTGGGTATAGCGACTTGACCTGTGCTGCGAGATCAACAGGGTACGAGCAATTCCCATAACAAAACGGCAGATCCTCCAGTCCATTGACAACAGCCACTGGATTGGTATACGCCGTAGCATTCCCACCTGCTGCGCCAGTTGTGAAGATCTCACCGAAAGTCGCACTGGCCTTTGTAGTCTCTGCCTTGGCCAAGATAGCAGGATCGAAGCCAGGATAGTGGTAGAAGCCAATCTGGTTGCTTATCTCGGTATCGCTGACGATGTGCCCATTGTTCAACCCTGCAAACCGAGCGGCGTTTTGATTCGCATGGTCCCAGTTCAGCCCTGCGAAGAATGCTGCAAGTCCTGCGCTGCTTACCGAAAAGCCCGTCAGGATGGCTGCGTCGAGTAGGGTGGGATACTCCATGGTGAGAGCTTGTGTAATGATACTGCCGAAGGAATGGCCGACGCCTATGACCTTCGTGTACGCACTTCCGCCAATCGTACCATTTCGAAGCAGTAAGCCGAGACTATGCGCTATCTCAACCTCCAATGACGACTGGACGACTGAGAGTGGATCTGCTTTCTCCGATACACCAACACCAAGCCTGTCGTAGAAGAATACGGCGTAGCCATTGTTAACAGCAGTATCTACATAGCTGTAGTTCTGCACAAAGTCCCAGTAATAGCGGTCGAAGCCCACGCCGTGGGTCAGGAGCTGGACGCCCTTCGATACCTTACCATCACGGGGCAGACACAGTGTAGCGCCAATATTGTAGATACCCGAGATTGGTGTATTCCCACCCAGGCTGTTGTTCATGAACGGATTGTCGGGACTGATGTAGGACACAAAGGTTTGCGTGACTTCATACTGATTCTGTGGCAGCTGGTAGTTGATGACTCTGTTCATGCTAGTGCCCGCGGAAACTTCGACTTGTCCGGAGACACAGATGGCTGCACCTCCGCGCGATATACTGTGTGTCGAATTTGTGAAGCCTTGCGAGCTTGGCTGGAAGCTGCTAGGTGGTAGAGGCGCAGCGAGTGCTGAAACCGCTGGTAGTGACGGCATTGCTGCAGAAGGTGGTGCTCCATGTTACCATTGCGGCCATGCCGCAGTCGGCCTCTGGGCAGCTGCGAGAGTAGCGGATAGCAGCAAGGGGAAATACATGCTTGGGTGATAGAGGAGATCGTTCGGTGTGGACAAAGAGAATGGAAAAGGCGGATAACACCAGCCTTTATATGAAGTGCGAAATACAAGCGCACGAAGCACGCAGAGCGTCTTACAGTGAAGTCTGCTGTTAATGATGATATTCCCGCGCCTCTCGCAGCATAGTAATCAACGGTGAAGTAATCACATATGACGATGTCGACAGAGGATCGCATTTGGAATTTGATGCCCGGGTACAAACTTGCTCGAAGCATTCGGAATAAAGCCTCTGACTACTGTATACCAGTCGCTATTGTAGGTTTGGCGTCAGGTACTATTGCGAGAAGTCGAAGGTAAATTGGGTAAGTTCTCAACGGCCATCTAGCCAAGAAGCTTTGGAGAGACCTCCACGTACTAGTACCACAAACAAGCAATGATATTGCCATGCGGATTGCGAATCGACAGAGAGACACCAGACGACAGAGACTCGAGACGTCATCATCGTGAATAGTGCAAGAGAGGCAGGGAGAGTCAGCTCCTGGGTGGTCTGTGTAGTCGATGCAACCAGCAGATGGATCACGCAAAGTCGTCCTCATTCATTGAAAAACCTAGGAATGAGTTGCGGATGAGGGTGATTTGGAGGGCATTATTGGCGGTTGATCCGGGCCATTCGAGCGGGCCTTCAGAGTTCAATTCTGAGCAGCTGGAACCTTTCGGTTCGGACAATGTGGGGTGTAATCTGACCTTGAGGGGTGCTTCGAGCCACAACGCTATCGTGTCGTTGTTCAACAACGAAAGCATCTCGACTGCTGGGCGGTAATCTTTTGGGAAAGCAGGCAGGTGCGAGAGAAAAGAGGATAGTCGTCGTGTGGTGAAGTACCAACGGTAGGTGAAGAAAGTGGATGCGGATCGAATCTTGGTCACGAAAGCAAGCGGAAGAAGCCGTGGCCATCCGATCTCTGTGCGGACGAGACGGCCGCATCTGACATGATCATGAAAGTCGGAGCATGGTTCAACCGATCGACTGTACAACATTCTTTCCATTTCGTATACGGCTACTAGACGGTCTTTCAGCCCTCGTGAAAACTTAAGAGTGTGTCTTAAAGTCGAAGACGATGTGCCGAGTGATATGGGGCGCAATGAGCCTGCTATAAGACGACCCTCCCTCCCGGTGACCACTGGAGTTGCATAATCAACATCACCAACCCAAGTGCGTACCATTGTCGTATAGATTTAAAAGAGGCAACATGGCGCCCAATTCCGACTTCAGCGCAGCTACCGATGTCCCAAGTCTGATTGGCAAAGTCATCCTCGTGACTGGTGGGACCGCAGGTCTTGGACGAGAGACTGTCCTGTCATTTGCAAGCAAGCAGCCGGCTCACATTTATTTCACGGGTCGATCTCAACCGTCTGCAGAAAAACTTGTCGAGGAAGTCCAGAAAAAGTACCCCGAAGCTCATATCACCTTTGTCCCATGCGACCTAGCATCACTGAAAAGTGTTCAGAAGGCTGCCCGTGATTTCCTGTCCAAGGTCGATCGACTGAATATCGTGATGCTCAACGCTGGAGTCATGGCATTGCCACCTGGCCTCACATCAGACGGCTACGAGATTCAGTTCGGTACAAACCACATGGGTCACGCCCTGCTGGTGAAGCTTCTCACTCCAATGCTTGAGGCGACAGCAGAGAGTGGTGCAGATGTCCGTCTCGTCTGGAACACATCATTGGGATACAAGGGCGCTGCCGACTATATCAAGAACGGGATCGTGTTTGACAAACTCAAGACCCCTTGCAAGGATCTCTCCCCAGTGCTCGGCGAATGGATGAGATATGGACAATCGAAGCTCGCCAACCTTCTTTATGCTCGGGTGTACACGAAGCATTATCCAAGCATCACGTCCGTATCGATACATCCAGGTGTCTCGGCGACTGGACTGGTTACCTCCCTCAGCTTGTTCCAGCGTATGTTCGTGTATGCAACGAATATCGGTCGGATGGTTTCTGCCGAAGACTGTGCTTCGAACCAGCAATGGGCTGCGACTGCACCATTGGGAGATGGCAAGCGTGAGGTGCAAAGTGGGCAGTACTACGAACCTGTTGGGGTGAAGACGACGCCGAGTGGAGAAGCAACGAATGACGAGCTAGCGGAGAAGCTATGGCAGTGGACGCAGGATGAGTTGGAGACATATACCTTGTAGTTCGATGTAGCGGATTGCTCGTCAGAACTTGTGCACCTCTACCGTTGATCGAGAATTACGATTCCTAGCAAACTAAGCCTAGTCATAGCGCGTTGATGGCTGAGTCTATCATCTGAGCTGCCTAAAGCGACAAGCACCAATGCATTGCGCAAGACATTACCCTTCATCACCCTATATCTGGGGATTCAACTGTCATAGATCAAATGCCTAAGATGATTCTCGCCAAGAAGTGCGCGGACTCCATATTTCAGCTCACGCCTTGCGTACTGGAGGACTCTTCGTCATTGATCGCTCGAGCATTGTTGCTGGCAACACCGTGGTACGAGCAACAGCGTGATGTGGAGAAAGCTGCTTTTGCTCTTGTGACTGCACTCTGCCCATTGTAGTGAACCCCTCGCATCACAAAGCGGCGCAGCGCAAGAAACTGTCGCTCTTTAACGATGTCAATGGCCATCTTTTGCGGCGGTTACTATGGGCGAGGTGGACCGGGCCTAGGAGTTGTAAGGACAAGGGCTAATCTGGCGAACAGAATGAAAATGCTACTGATGTTTCAACTGTCACTGGGATTTGTCATTAGAGCACAGAATCGAGAGAAGGATAAGGGACGATCCATGGCCATCGGGGGAGGCCGCGCATCGGTATGCGCACCTTGAGTTGCAGCCCTTGTCAAATGCAATGAGTCGCGAGCGACTTCACGGATGCCAGGATCACTCTCTCTTGGATCCTCATACGGCAGGGCCATCACGACAGGTAAACACGATTTCGTTTTGACACAGATGAAGTGTGCAAGTGGTTACCAGAACTACAAGAAGATAAGCATTCTCCGTAGCCTCCGCACGATCTTTCCATTCTTCATGACTCTGCTGCCGAAAGACGATCATGTAATATCATCTATGCGGTGAAGTACTTGACGGTGCACTGCAGGCTCTGGTCAGTAAATGCTCTAGAATCGGTCTTGATGATGTACTTACGCCAGCTGGGATGCTGACCGAGGCAGTCGGCGCGGTAGTGGTCTGGTGAGCGCTGGTGGGGGCGACTGTGGTAGGTGCCACGGAGCTAGCCTTGGTGGAAGTGGCCTTGATAGCAGTGGACGAAGCAACAGGGGCAGAGGAGACGGCAGAAGAAGCAGCGCCGGCGGCAACGGCAGCGACCTTGACGGAGGCGGACCCGGAGCCGGAGAAGGCTTCAACAGCCATGACCTGGAAGTTGTAGCTCGAGCCGAAGCCGTGCTGCTTCCAGGTGTTCCAGTGCGTGCCTACGGTGATGGTTCCGCTGGTGCGCTGGGTCTGGCGGACGGACCAGTACTGGGTGAAGGTGCTGGTACCGGTGATCGAGGGCTGATTGGTGCGGGTGTCTGTGCAGAAGGTGTACGAGCCCCCATCGGAGGAGATCGTACCAAGGTTCTGTTGACCAGAGCAGGGGTCTGGGTTGAGAGTGTCAGTGATGTGTCCGGCTATGTTGTGCAATGAGGTACATACTGTAGGAACCGTAAGACTCGACGATGTAGTACTCAGCTTGGGGGGAGTTCACCCAGCCGTACACAGCGAGGTAAGAGCCAGAGCCGGAAGCGCTGTAGGTGGCAGAGTACTGGATGTTGCGGGCCGCACCAGTCGACCAACCAAGACCGACAACAAAGTCGGTGTTGCCGGACCACTTGGCAGTGTAGGTACCAGCAGACTCTTGGTAAGAGAATGCTGCAGCATTGCCGTTGTAGTTTTGGACGTAGTTGATGGCATCTTGGGCCATGACGCTAGTCGCAGCGACGCCGGCCAGCAGCATAGACTTGAGGAAGGAAGGCATCTTGATGTGATCTGTGAGGTTCGACGGAAGAATGAATGTGTAAGTGTATATGGAAATGTATGAACGAGAGACTTTTCTGCGCTGGGCAAAAGAATGAATGGGAATGCTTAGGCTGAGAGGAGATGATCTGGATAGGCTATCTCACCATCTTATACTGAATTGTCATCCGGACGGTCGGCGGAAGGCTTGAAGTGATGAGACGTCTATCGTGTGTAATTCTCACATATACAACGAGCGGGTCTCGGTACCTGAAGTCCGCTCATTGGTCGTTTCAAACAGAGGGTAGCCAAAGCCGTTCAAGCTCAGGCAAGCACTTCGCACTCAACAGCGTAGCTCTTGGAAAAGAGTGTGAGGTTATGACCTCGCAGAATCGTGACTCCTGTTGGCCAATCTTCAAGACTTTTCTTCTATGTTGCTTGAGCTGAACTTTCCGTCGTGCTGAGTCCTGCAGAGGTGATAATACTAGACTGTGCGGACGAAAGCATGGCTGGAGCGCTCGACGATTATGTGTGAAACGAATTCGGGGTCTCCAAACAGCTGAAGCACACGGCAACGTGTGGGCGAAGCATTGGCGAGATGAAGTGATGTTTCATCTATACTCGCCTCTCAAACTGTGCGATGCACAGACGATTCCAAGGACAGAAGACGACGCGAACGTTTGCACCCTCGCCCCCAAATAATGTCATTTGACGTGCTCGGCGTGATCTGATTCCATCCACAAGGTTCGGAGATGATCCCCTTTCGTCGGCTGATGAACAATCAACTCGCGACCTCAGATCTCTAATCCATTACCACGTGTCAGCCTGTTGATGACGACCTCTTCTGCCTCTTCGTGTAGCACCTTTGCCGCCGGACGAAGCGCGTGTATTTCACCATGGAAAAGAAGCGAAATAGTCGCCAGCATTGGCGCAGATCGACTTCTGCTTCGACACCACTACCTTGATGGCTGGAGAGTACTTCCCAAACTCGCGACATACTGATCTGCAAAGGCGCGCGATACCTCCAAGATGGCGGAATGGCCAAAGGGACAGCGCGAAGTGATAGCACTCTTGATACTTGGTGGGTGAGCCTGCTATGGTCTTGGCCAGTCTTCCGTCTATAGCTTGCGCCTTGACTGCCATGCAACGAGAGCCTGCATCATGTCGGCGGAACCACGACGATACGTAATTACGGTTCCTTAGCCCCGTCAAGGTAGATATGTGCCACACTATGTCTGGCGCTCCTCAAAATTTTGGAGCAGGCTCTCTTTCCTTTCAAGATCTATATTCCTTGCTCGTGCCGTGCGTCAAACGTCGTGGCGGGTGCAAATTCATTCGAACAAAATAGCTTGTCTTCGAACGCAACAACTCACAATACCAACCGCTAGCGTGGGACCTGCATACAGCTAGCGCTACTGGGTATCGCCAAGAATTTCATAACGGGTTAGACAGAATATGGAGACCGTCGATGAGGCCAGAATAGCCGCTATCTACATACAGGAGGACCGCTACGTACGCTCAGGTATACCTTAATGCTCGCCAGCCTTGGCGCTGTCGTTTCGACAGTTTTTTTGCCGCGCTCAGTCTGGTCATGTCATAAAGTCGAGAGGGTATAACTGTGAATGGCGAATCGATCTTGTCAACGGACGGGTCGAAGGGGTGCCCCTCGATGCTCATGACGATGCAGCGAGCACTCCGACGGTTGGCTTGTATTCTTCTTTCACACCTTGTGCGGGTACTGTCACATGGCATCTGGACACAACTTCCCTTCGATCGATTCTGGACGCCTTTTTCCAGATGCTCCGAGACACATGCTCTATGTATCATGAGCCTGTTTGTCGAACTCGAGCGCAAGTGACCTCCTTGGATTGTCATGTAGCCAGTAGACTGAATTACCGTAGGGTCGCGACTTGGAAGACTCGTCTGAGTCTTCTGGATAATAAACATATCCTTCCTTCTTCTGCTGTCGATGATTTTGTACTCTGGGAAATTCGTCTTCTCGGATGACGCTTAGCCATCGCACACGGTCGACGTCGCGGTCTCTTTCAGGATGGTGGACTAAACCAGCCTTGCGAAGTCTTGCAATGTCCCAAATTGCGAACCCGAGTCGCCTCCAGGGGGAGAAGCCGTCTCCATTCTCGAGCGACCGAATGTCCTTGAAAAGTCGGACGAAATGTTCCATCGTCTCGGAAACATCGGGCCACATTTGAGCGTCTCCCACTCCTTGCTCACAGGACAACAATTCTGAATCAGGATGCTTGTCAGCTCCTCGTTTGACGTCCGCCAAATACTCCTCCGCCGTAATGAAGAGCTGCATCATGTGAAAGAGATAGTCTCTAGGACGGTTTCGACTGTGATACTCCTGTCTGCCTTGTCTCTCAAATCCAAATAGATCAATCGGCTTCATATCGTCAATCTCCATGTCCCGGCAATCCTCTGGGATGTCGAAACTGCGGTGTTTGTGGTGGAGGAAGAACAAATTTGCGAACTGAAGCATCCAGAAAGCTTTGAGGAGTTGTTGAAACTCAGTCCAGAGTGGAGCACCAGTATAAGGGACTAGAAATCGTGGACCAGTCGGAAGATCGTCCCAACTATCATTACGTACGTCGAACTTGACGCCGTCTCTGGATCGCACCGGCCGTAATGCATGGAAGTGACTGAGATAGCAGTTGATGCAACGCGAAGCTGTAGCATGGATTGCGCCTGAAGTTGTGAGCAGACTCCGGACTTCCACAGGCTCCATGCTCTCAGGCAGTGTGTCGAACAGCTCTTCTTCGGCGGGTAGATTGGATATCGGTCGATTGAACCCTGGTTCAAATACGTCAAGTCCAAGATCGTTCAGTTGACCTATCAATTGTGGCGATTGGTGGCGGAGGTATGCGACAGTGCGTACGGCGAAAGCGAGTTGGCGGTGAATGGAGTCCTTTTGCAGTAGCTCGTCCAGGATCGATGAAACCTGCCGGTCGTTTTCGAGGTGTCGCCAAACGTGCGGTGAAGCTAGCATGATATTCTGCAGATCGAAAATGCTGTCCAGGTTGCGGAAAAGCATGGTCAAAATCTCGCTAGGCAGTCTCTCGAGGGGGCAAGAAGCGGATTCCATCCTGGCGCGCAGCAATCCCCGTCGTATCGCAGAAAGTATCGAAAAGTGGGAGTTCTCAAGCGGAACAGCACAAGTGAAGTGAAATACATTGGTATACAATAGCAGCATTTATATTGACTAGTCCCGAGACTCCACATTCAGGCAGAATTGTGACGTCGCAAAAGTTGATCACGCGAAAAGCTCGCCTCCCTCAGTGCATGAGCTCGTGAACTTTGTGCTCCTGCGATATGTGGCTTGACCTTGTCTAAGCCGAACTCGCTTGCTCTCAAACACACGGAGCTAATTCACAAAGAATTTCGGACGGTCGCGGATCTTCAACCACAACTCATATGTGCCACACTCGACAAAACGAGTCAGCCTACACGACTCTAGTGTATTGCGATTGCTACATGCTTCTCCATCTTTCTTTGAATGCCCGCAATGCACTACAAGCCCTCAGATGCAACAAGAGAGTGAGATGAGTAGTCTGAACTGTCTTTTTTGTCTTTGGTAGTTTTGGTAGCTGCTTAGCTGACTTACAGCTATTCTCCCGCATAACCTCTCTGACACAAAGGCGCCGCCAGTACAGAAAACATTTGAATCTTCCAATCCTGCTGATCTCGTAAGGTCAGTCCGTCCGCTGAAGTAGATCCTAACCAGCCATAATGGCTCTAACCGTGCATGATCAGGTATTGCAAAGCGAAGGAGGCGGACCACTCATATCGGTTACACTTGCGCCAAATGATTCGATCATTGCAAGGTGAACGACCGTTCTAGTATCGTCGGGGCCTGATCCCACCGTGGTTGAGCCATGAGTATATGCTTGGCCATTGCGTGCTGCTTTCATAGCATTGTTGTAGTCGTCCACAGAAAAGGCTTTTGCGGTCGGGTCCAACGAGGCCTTCTGCAAGTCGTACTTTGTAGAGGCGTCTCCAGTTTCTGTGCCATCTTCCAAGAGAATTGCCTCAGTAATGTAGTAATCGGGGTTCGTAGTCCAGAGGTTCGTGGTGCCGGGATTAAGTTCTGCGCAATATGCCTGAGTGAATTGAAGCTGGTCCCGTATGCGATACTGTGTAGCTGCTTTGAGGTAGGGTATACTCTTGTCCACCCAGCCTTGTATAACGCTGTCACTGGGAGCCAGATCTCTATATCCTTGTACCCAGGCCTTCAGCTGGTCGATCACCGGGGCAAGCGGTTTGTCCCGCTCACCTGGAGTAGTAGAAAGTGTCACCAACGGATTGGTCTTTGGCAAAAGGCGTGGCATCACCACCCTCCATTCAAACTTTTTGGCTGAGTCTTGTAGTTTCATGAAATATGCTTGGAACTTCTGGTCATTTGGTTCCAGGCCCTCCCCCGAGGTGAACTTGTTTTTGTAAGTCTTGCCCCCAAGGTACTGCGTGAATTCATCGATAGTGCAGATCCCAGCCACGCCAGCAGCCGCAGCTGCATCGTCGAAGGCTAGATCGACACCTGATTTGTGGGTACATCCCCCTGCTATTTGCCTTTTGCTCGAGTCAACTGATTTCCACTCGATCTTGTACGCCTGGTAGTACCAAAGCACTTCGAATGGTGCGGCTTCCTTGAGAGCGAATGCACCAAGGGCAGCTGTAAGCCAAAGGAGCAGGATAGCTTTGTACATTGCAGAAGACAAGCAAGTGCGATTTGCGACAAAAGACTATGCCCAAGGTAGTAAAGGGAACAACAAAACTAGACTGGTGGTAGTGAGATAGCTTCAGTCCTATACATCTGGGATTGTGGAAGGAGGCGTTGTAGGAATCATCCGGAGACACCATGGGCTACAAAGCGCTCTCTGGCAAGTCGGGTGACTGAGCGGCTCAGACCGCTCAGCTCTGGGCAACATTATCCGGCATAGCATATTGTTTCAAAAGAAGCGTGTATTAGTATGTTGGTATGTTGGGTGCTCGAACGAGATTTGCTGTGGCGTAGTTAGTAGGCTAATCAATCTAACTCGAGGGTCTGATGCGATGCTACTGCAGTTCGGCAAGTAGTCCGTCGCGTATCGGGCCGGGCCAGGCCAGGCTGAGCAGTATGTCGTCGCGCACGGCATGATAGCCCGGCCATTGGCTTGGCCGACCAAGAGAACGACATGCGCCGCCTGGCGGGACTTTGTGTGGAGATGCACTCTGAGGATCCAGATGAGTCTGAGACGCCGAGCATGCATCACGCTTTGACTTTTCAGTATCTATCAATTTCATTCGGACTTTGAATCCATAGTTCAATCTGTGGAGTGGGATCCTGAGATGAGCCCGTGTTGACCTGCATTCCTCACCCGAAGAGGTTATTGCCGTAGCAGCTGGCCATTGCTGGGTTTCTAGCCACCCAGAGTTGTACTGCAAGCCAACGATCAAATCAGACATCTTTCTACCAGGGGTCCTTCAACATTCCGGGCGCCTCAATGACTTGTGAGGATATGGCAACAGCACTGTAGCCCAAGACGTCTGATCCATTCGGCAACCGTTGCGGCTGAAATGCTGGTCCTTAACGGCACGTCAGTCTTTAGCCGTATGCAGCTCTGCCAAAAGTTCTCGATATTGGCGCCGCAATATGTACCCTTGCGATTGCAATAGTGTCGTGGAGCTTGTCCCTCGCAGGACTAATGAAATAAAGTTTGATACTGTCCATGCATATTGTTAGTGTGGGGGCCAAGCACAAGCCGTAGCTTGCAGAGCTTATCACTGCACCATCAATACAGATTCAGGGTCATGTACACATGTGCCGCATGCTGATTGACAGACTCCATCACCCGCATGGATTCTGCGCTAAGCGGAATCCAGTGTACGGTGCTTGCTCGTACATCGGCTACTGCAGCATAATCTGAACGATTGTATCTGAACGTGGCTTCTTGGCCTCGGGACCGCAAGGCAATTGCTGTTCGGGCAGCTCTTGCTCATCGCAATGATCAGGCAAAACTCAGGAGCACAGCTGATCCTTCGACATCCGACCACTGCACAACGTATGGACCGTCAAAGATTTTGACATCGTAACAACGTCGATCATTTCAGGAGCATCCAAACACCTCAATTCATCCGGCGGCAGCACTTTATGCGCGGGTGAGAGTTGTTACGTTGAGGTGATCGCTTGTACGATTGGTAGCATGATTATTCCAACGCCGAGCTTTGCAGGATACGACTAAGGGCAATGGTCACGGTAGAGAAGAGCGCTGCCAACGTTGCGCTCAGTAATGGACAGGCTGCTCACAATTGTCAGAGTGCGACTCATCGCCGCCGATGTACCAGAAATGTGGTCATGGGCGTACTCTCAGTACTTTCGGGTTATCTGAAATGAGTCTGCTGTTGGCAGAACGACCATCAGACCTTGAAGAGGCAGTGCGGGCAAGATGCGTGATAGGCTACGTCTGTCCGTCCGAAGAAGCGCTGCCCCAAGCAAAAGATTTGGGCTCAGCTCTGCCAGGATGCAGAATTTGTAGAGCTTGCTGAAGTGGCACATGCTGCTGGTACAGTCAGTGTGTGGTTCGGATCTGCCTCCCATATCGTGCTTCCGTCCGTTCCATTGATCTTCACGAACTTGTATTCGACATATGTCCCCGGGGCTAGATCAACAATCGCAGACCACAAGGGATTGCTGGTTGTATACTGCGCGGCCGACAAGGCCACTCCGCTGGAAGGTGACCAGTTTCCCAGTTGAGAGATTGATCCGACTAGGTAGACGCTGTCGCCATACGCGGTCGTGACTAATTCGTCGAACGTCACTGCGACAGATGTGGCCGTGGCACAGACCGTCCCACTTGCTGCTGTAGACTTTGCACTTGTGGATGTCGCGATTGCAGCTATGCCATCAAATCCAGTGGCCAATAGGAATGCGCCCTGAGATCCTGCCGTCGTAGGAAACACAGTTGTCGACCCCGCCGAATTGAAGCTGGTGACGTCGAAGAACATTCCTGATATAATCAACGAAGTGCATATAGCGCCTGACAATGGTCGCTGGGTGTTCGATAGATTGGGAGCGATGGCACCCCAGCCGCTGCGTCAATGTAAGCATTGTACAGCATTGATTCGCAAGAAGTATCCAACTAACTCTGGACAGCAGACAACATAAGTCTCGTTGTATGGAATGGAGGACCATCCTGACGGGCAGACGAGAGGATTAAACGGTGGCAAAGCGATGCTGCTCGCCGCAGCAATCGCACTGGAGTAGAATTCACTTGGATAACAGGAGGTCAGGGTTGTGTGTGGAGCTGGCACGATGACATCTTGCCAGTAGTAACTGCCGACCTCGGTGAAAGAGCCGGTACACTCAGCAGGAGGAGTAAATAAAGTTGTCAGAGCCGTCTGATATGATCTGGGATCCGTCTGCACGGAGGTCCAGGGTCTGGTAGACGTCGTCGATAATACGCTGCTCGAACCTGGGTTTGCGGTCGTTTTTGTCGTGGCCTTGGCTGTGGATGTCTTGGAAGTCACGAGACCAGATGCAGAGGTAGATACAGACGCCTGATTGCACTCGAAGCAAGCGATATCGTAGTACAATGGACCACTGGTTCCGGACTTGAACTGACTTGGACCATTGTAGAGAGCACAGCTGTTGCCAGCTGAGAAAGTGATTTGAGTACAGCCTTGGGTCGAAAGGCATATTTGACTGCAAGCGATGCTTGATGCGGTCGAACTAGCGTCATTGTAGATCTGTATGAACTGGCTGTTGGGAAACTGAATCGCGATTGACTGAAAATTGCGTCAGTATGAATTCTTTAACTCTCTTACTCATAGACTCAGTCCGTCTCACTTACACCCTGACCACATACTGCGGCCGAAGGTTTGGGGACAGCCAGACCGGAGGAGATCGAGCATGACGTGTACTGTACTGTAGAGACCCCGACCTGTCGTTCCAGGATGGTTGCTGGAGGCGCTGCGGTGATACTCGGATCTTGTGCTTGCACTGTTGTGGCGATCAAGGAGCCGAACGCAAGTCCGAGCAGTTGGACTTGCATTGTTGTCGAAGTGTTGAGCTGTACGACGGCCAAGCGTGGAGGGCAAAACCGTTTCTCGACGAGGTGTCGAAGTAGTTTGACGGGACGTTTTTTAGAGGACTTGACAGTTGCCTCGCCTATACTTTATCCGCTGACCTAATGGACGCAGATAGAGGATTGGTTCCTGGGCCAGGCTTTGTGCAATTAGCCTCGAGCTATTCACGGCCAGCATCAGCCGAATATGAGAGTTTTGCCTTTGGAGATGCAGGACCGTGATCTCGGCCCATAGATGCGCTACAGATTGCTGCGCATGTTGGGATCAACGCCGCAGCGGACTGCTAGCCTCCTCATATCCGCACATATTGTGTGGGCTTTCCCACATTCCAAATCCGGATCGTGCCAACATTGCGGCGTTCTGTCGACGTCGAGAGCCTTGCTGCTACTCATGCACGCTTGTGGCTATGGTCCGCCAGTCCTGAGGTCACGTAGACCCTTAGCGTAGGATCTCAGACGGCTAATGCAGGTACTGCATATCAGTAAGCTATATGCAGTCGGTGCAGGGACTGTGGAGATCAAATTAAGCACCAAGGCACCTGCAGAAACCCCTGCCAAGACAAGGCAAGCTTCGCTTGCACCCGCAACTTCACCCCGACGACATCTCCTCGTACAGCTTTATTGCACAACCCAACATGCTCATCAATCAGGCGTCTAGCGCGGGCTCACTTCAGGTCTGTGATCCTGTTTCCACCGCACTGCTTAAAGTGCAAGATATGGCAGCGAACGGTAGCCCTTTCTCAGCGCAGGATGAGCGGAGAGACGGGGCAACGAGCCGCGAGCCATCTCAGCTCCTCGTCACCAACACCATTGCTATACCAGACCTTTGCGGCGTCATATTGCCAAGCAAGTACTCTTCAGCCGCCACGATCGGTTGATTTCAAGCTCATCTCCAGGGCCTTGTAGGGAGTCAAACGTCGGCTGAACACATATCGTGCCTTCAGTCTCCCGAAAGGTCTCACTTCATCATTTGTGCCTTGCAGGCCTCTGCAAATCCCTACAACCATCGTTCGTTCTTCGAGACTCTGTAACCCGATCTTGCAAACATGGCTGGCAGTAATGCCGCTCTGCGGCATCTCATACTCTTGCTTGTATTCAACGCATACTTCTTGACCGTAGCAGCAGTCCCTGGCTGGAATCACGGGAGCGTATATGATGTAGCATTCGAGAGAGGTCTCGTCACTCGTGGTCTCAACGCAACATTCGCCAACACAACGACAACAACGAACGATACTGTCGCAGCTGCTCGGGAAATACTGGCAGAAGCTGTAACCCAGCAAGGAATCTACAACAAATACCGCTTCGCACACATAAGAAAGAACAGCTACAAGCCGGGCCAGCGAGTCCCTATGCGAAGACGTGACGCAGGCGAGCCAGACGCACCTCATCTCAATGCAACTGTGCTCGCAGCTTCAGCAATCGTCGCCGAGCACGACGCCAAAACCAAGGCTGCTAATGGCACACTCCACAAGTCGTATCCTCCCCTTCGCTACAAGGCTTCCGAGACAGATGCAAGTCCTGGGCACAAACGAGCCGTTGAGAACGACTGGTGGGTTCCTGCCATCAAGAGAGATGGCTTGGCACCTATGGGCGCAGGCTCTTACCCAGTAAGACGTGTCACGCTGCGCACCTTTTCTAAGACTAACCATTCCAGGTGTGGCGAGATGTTACCGATCCTCAGTATGGCGGTGGTGCCAAAGGCGATGGTGTTACGGATGATACGGCGGCCATTAACGCTGCTATAGCTGCCGGTAGTAATTGTGGGCAAGGCTGTCTGTCGTCTTCAATCAAGGGCACATTGGTATATTTTCCACCTGGGACTTATTTGATCTCTTCACCCATCAACGCGTACTACTACAGCCAACTGGTCGGTGATGTATGCGTCCTCCTCCACCGCGGCTGACGGGTCCGGGCTGACACAATTGACAGGCTGTCAATACCCCAGTTATCAAGACGTCACAGAACTTTATTGGCTTGGGTTAGTGGAGGAACTTATTATCTCACTACGGACTGATCTGAACTGACTTCTCCTAGGCGCCATCCAGTCCGATGTCTACATTCCGAGTGCGTAAACCCATGAGTATTATCACCCTTAGTGGCCGGGACATTCGCTGATGTTTATGCTCCCCGCTATTAGATGACAACGGGAACGAGTGGTACATCTGGGTAAGTCATGCCGCTTGGAACGCACGAGCAAACTCGCTGACCAGCTTCAGCAATCCAATTTCTACCGTCAGATCCGCAATTTCAACATTGACATCAGCGAATCAACGACCGCTAGTATGGCTGGTATACATTGGCAAGTCGGCCAGGCCACCTCCCTAATGTATATTGCTATATTTGGCAGCAAAAAGGCCGGCAATGATCAAAGACTTATGTTCACCGAAAACGGCAGTTCTGGCTTCATGTCCGACGTAGACTTCTACAACGGGGAGTACGGACTTTGTAAGTTATGTGCATTGCGCTCTTGAAGGTGAGCTAACCTCTGAAGACGGTGGTAACCAGCAATACACTGTCCGGAACTTCAACTTCTACGGTCACAGCTCATGCGCCATAGCAATGCTCTGGGATTGGGGCTGGACGTGGCAACAGATTACCATCAGTGACACACCCGTGGGCATCCTTCTAATGAATCCGGATGACCCGGGAGGACCAGTGCCTGGATCCATATACCTCATGGACTCCCAGTTTCAATCAGTTGGCACTGCGATCAAAGCGAATCAGCTGAACGCCGACCTGAAAGATACGTCAGTCATCGTGCTTGACAATATTGGGATGCAAGGAGTCTCAGAAGTACTCACCTTCTCCGACGGTTCGAGCATGGAAATTACTCCAGGCACACTCGATTTTTTCCTCTTTGGGAATATGAAAGACGGTTCGTCCACTTTTGGTTCTTTTGGTCTGGCAATGCCTCATCCGGATGACAGTCTCGCCCCTAATTCGACCCCGCTTTATGCCCGGCGCAGCTATTTTGTCAAGAGCCGGCCCCAGTACGAGAACTATCCTCTTAGCTCCATCATCGATGTCAAATCGTTTGGCGCAAAAGGAGATGGTCAGACGGATGACACAGCCGCAATACAGAAGGCTCTTAACTCTGCGACTGAGAGCAATGTCATATATTTCCCCTCGGGCTCCTACGTCATCACGTCCACCGTGAAAGTACCTTCAACATGTCGGATCACCGGCCGTGTTTGGTCACAGCTGGTTGCTAGGGGATCCGCTTTCGCGAACATGGCGGAACCGACTCCAATGATACAAGTCGGTCAGCCTGGAGATACTGGTACAGTGGAGTTCTCCGACATACTCTTCACATCGATTGGACCACTGCCTGGTCTCGTGATGGTTGAGTGGAACGTTGCCGCCACAGAGACCGGCTCTGTCGGCATGTGGGATACTCACTTCCGAGTAGGAGGGGCTATCGGGACGAAGATGCAAGTGGCTGACTGTCCTCTCGGTCAGCCCATCAAGACAGGTTGTATCGCAGCCTCTCTCTTGCTACACATCACCCCTCAAGCTAACGGCTATTTTGAGAACGTGTATGTACCAAAGTCCTATTGTTGCTCCCTTCAGTGCTTACGGGTGGTGCAGGTGGGCTTGGGTTGCAGATCACGATCTGGACGATGCTGCCAACACTCAAATCACGGTCGCTGCTGCTCGCGGCATCCTCGTCGAGTCGGAAGGTCCAACATGGATGTATGGGACTGCGGCCGAGCATTGTATGTTGTATCAGTACAACTTCTTCGGCTCGACCAATACCTTCGCGGGAATGGTGAGTACCTTGGGCCGGCCCGCAAAATAGTGCCTTCATGCTGATAACTTCACAGTAAGCTGACCGTCCCAATGAACACACCTGCCACTCAACTACTCCTTGGAGGACAGGCTCCATTCTTGAATGGATATCCCACCTCGTTGCCCACCGAATCGAAACATTGCTAACATCTTCTTCTTGAATTTTGCAGGATCCAAACGGAATCCCCATACTTTCAATACACCGAAGCAACCATCTCACCAGGCCCTTTCAAAAGCTCCATTGGGCTCTTCAACGGCGATCCAGACTTTGCCTCCGACACGACCTGTGATTCGACAGATCTCATGTGCGATTTCTCCTGGGCCGTGATCGTGGACAGCGTCACCAATCTTAGCATCGCGAGCGCCGGCTTGTATTCCTGGTTCGACAACTACGTCCAACCGTGCGTCGACACACAGGATTGCCAGCAGCGGATTTTCCTCAACAATGGTGACAATGCGGGTTTCCGGCTTTTCAATCTCATCACAATCGGCAGCGTTGAAATGCTCAGCTCCCCTTCCGAGGACCTGATCATATACGCTAAGAACAACACTCAGCAGCAGAGTCACCCTTTCTGGAGCATGCTTACTGCTTATCTCGACGATGCCGCGACTTCTCCTGAGAGCGACGACATATACGAATGTGCCGACAATGATACCTCCCCTGAATGTTACACACCATCGCTGTGTGACTACACCATGAGTTATGTCGATTTGGACGCAGTTCAAGCGGCATCGGGCTCATTTGCGGCCGCATGTGCGGACTTCTATGCGCTTACGGCGCTGCGTAATATGCTCCAAGCGAGCGTGGACGAATTCAGCAGCACGAATAATGGTTATGACTCTCTGTACAGCTACTACGTGGAATCAGTCAAAGATTTCGTGCCCAATGGACTGGCCACCTTCATGGCACAGGGAGGAGCTGGCAACCAATACTTCACATGCGCATTCGTGGAAGCGTACACTCCAGGGATCAAATCGGAGACCATTACCCATCAATGCCCCATCACTCAGAAAGAGATCGGCTTCATAGCAGCATATACTGTTACCTATACGCTGAACGATGCCAATGGGTTCTTCGATGCCCTCCAGACACAACTTGGCATTGAAAAGGACTGGGTCCAGTTTGGTGATCAATCCACGCCCCTCTTCTGCGATACACCAGGTACCCCGTGCACGGGTCAAGGTATCGAACTGGTCAATTATCCGATGGCTGCTGGAAAGATAACGGTTACCAATCCCAAAGATACGGTCACCGCGGCCATGACGAACGTCACAGCGACGCAGTTCACGCTGTTGGCCGCAGAAGTCGATCTTGTTGCTGGCCTCTGGTATGGGTCGACGAACGACATTGTGCAAGTCTTATCGATGCCTGTGTTACTGCTCCAGCAAGGTCTTGACTCCATGGCGCAGGCCAAGACCATGGCACAGTCGCAGAAGGCACAAGACAGGAAGAATCTCATCCTGGAGATCTTGACCGTTATATTTACGTTCATTCCTTTCCTTGATGATGTCGCGCCGGCGGCGCTGGCTGCCGCTAAGATCGGGACTCTTATTGGCGACGCTGGAAGTCTTGCTATCACGCTGCAGGACATTGTCACGAACCCAAGCTCTGCGCCTCTCGCGATCCTCGGGGTGGTTGGAGGCGCAGGCGCTACGCTTGCGGATGTGGGCAACATGGCTAAACTGGCAAACGCTCGGAGAGGAATTTCAGAGGACACAATAACTGGTATAGGTTCTAAGTTCAAGGCGCTAGATGATGACCTGAAGGCCATTGAGCAGCCTTCATGTAAGATCTGATGGATGGAGCAGGTTCGTTCTGCTAGGGTGGAGGAGCGTGCATCTTGCTCGGTTGATCATCGGATTCTCCAATAGTTACTGTGAGGCCTTTTCTGCTCAAAGACAGCCCTGGACAACAATCAATCAACAAATATGCAGGTCTTTGCTGCCGGAGAGGACTCCCTCCTTGCCGAAATCATGATTGTGTTTGACCTTGTGACAGAGCCCGTCTCATCCAATTCGTTCGCCTTTCGTGCTGAGACGCCGGCCGACACCCATCTATTCCCCACCATACTATGCTCAAGTCATATTCGCCAGATCAAGTATTCCTTCCACTACAGCATCCCCGTATCATAGAATTTCCTTCTCACCTCTCTGATGTACAAGAATTCAGCGGAGTTGCGCCAGCACCAATACATGTACGCCACCACAGCCAAGATAAAGAGCACCAATGACCAGCGAAGTATCTTGATATGACCATCCTTCTTCGCAACGGCCAACTCCTCTCCAGCCGCTACAGCAGCAGCCTGGCCGTCAGCCTCAGCAACAGCAGCATCCCTCTCCTGCTTGAGTTGAGCACTCAGAGCCTGTGATCGAGCAAGCTCGGCGGTGTCGAACTCATGTCGGCGACCAAGGCGCTGCAGAAGATGATTACTACTTTCCACAGTCGCGGTCAGGCGCACAACCTTTTCGCGAGCACGGCCGGCTATCATTTTGTAAGGCGGATCGTCTCTGCCAGACTCGGCATCAGAAGCGTCTGAGCTACCAAACATCTCGTAGTGGCCGCGGCCTGCAGGTATATCGTCTCTAATTTTAGTCTCTAGCACGAGAATCGTGGATGATGGTGACAGGCTTGCCATAGCACGATGATGGTTGTTGAGGCTCATGTTGCCGGCAATGCCTGATGGAGACTGTCGAGAGCCTTGTTGAGTGGTGGTGTTTGTTCGGCGATGATCAGGCGTGTGTCCAGCAAGCGGCCTTGACGATGGGAAAATTTGGTAGTCTTGTCCTTCTGCAGGGGTACGCTCGAGCTGTACAGATGATCCGTTGTGTAGTGAAGAAGTGGAAGTGTTCACGATTGAAATAGCTGGAGCATCTTGATCGAGCGGACCGTCACCTGGAGTTGGCGTGTTTGGCGTGGCGTTACGTGACGGCAGGGTGGAGGAGCGATCCGGGGAGCTGGGCTCAATGTCCTGCGAAGCAAAAGGCGTAACGAGTTGATCGTTATCATTCACTGCCACGCTCAGGTTGAAGCGACGGACTGCTGTGACTCGCTTTCGTGTACCTGACGGAGGATCTTTCAATGACCAAGAGCTATTCCAGCCGAGACTGTGAGACTATTAGCATACCGGGGAAGATGCCACCTATGGCTGCGAATACCATGTCTGACTTACTGTTGGTCGTCTTCGGGCATCCGATGTAGCTTGCCATCGTCGCATCTTTTTGGGTAAGCCATATGTTTGCTTCTCGCTCGCGTTGTTTTGGTGCGAATAGACTGAGTATGATTGGAAATGCTCCTTGCTCTTCTTCGTTATCTATGCTCGATGCGATCTGGCCGAAGAAGAGAGACGTCGACATCATGCGGTTTTGATCCTGCAGTCGATGCGTGTCTCGATTGCATGTGTCTAGCAACCAATCTTATTATCACATAGGCCCTATTGGCTTGTCCAGAAGAACAAAGAGGTTTTAGACATGCAGATGAGGCGCGACAAAGGTTTCCAACACATTCCGGACCAGATCGCGCAAAGTAGCACGAGGTTGACTCATGTCTGGAGGCATTTGTGGTAGACACTCCCTAAGTGTTCAAGACTGAGATGTTTTGTAGACATAGCCGCATACCGGAACAATGGGACCTGTAATGGAACATTGTGGGCATTTCTTCGATGAATGCCGCAAGTAGTCTCAAATACGGCAATAGCTACATAGCTTTCAGCGAGTATCGAGTCCAGACCTTCGCCCTCGAACTTGCCCAGGAGTTCATCGACCATAGGATACTTCGACTTACCGCTTTCACAACCTGCTCAGCTTGCGCCCCGAGAGGTATATTGGCCCTGCTTGTTAATATTGGATAGATGTTCCGTAGTCACAAATATGCGCCCGCTTCAAGCTGATGACCAGAAACGATGCCTTCGCCAACCACTTTGCCGACTGTCAGATGCAAGCTGCTAGATGAATCCGTTCGCCTCAGTGCCGTAGTCAGCCACCATTTCTCCTTCGTCAGCGGTATCTTGAGGGCGTCATGCCAGGCTGACATGTTGAGGAGCCTTGTCGCCGCGACTAGCTCATCACGAAGAAAATCCAGCTGAACGATGAGGTCGTGTCGCTTCTGTCAGTGTCATTAGCTCGTAGTTCTGGACGATGTGTATTTGAGGATGTACATCGATATGGATGTTATCGCCCAGATTTTTGATGTCGGCCAGACAGTCGTATACTCGCTGACGTATCGATGCCCGTATACCACAGAGATGTGCGTCTGACTCATGCCGTGCTACTATCATAGCAGAGATCCGACCACGGCCCTGCACATTTGGATCATCTAGACAGTCGTGTATGGTGTTGTGGAACCTGCTGGATAGTGTTTCAATATATACGATCCGGCGGCGGATGCGGTCAATCTCGATCCGAGGATTGGGCTCGTGGCAGTACTCTTGTCCACATGTGTGCAGTTGTGGTTCGAGGCGGAAGTTGCGTGCTCTGTGGTGTTCGGCCATGGTTGTGGATTTGTGCGTTGTAATCAACGAGGAGCGGCTGCCACGGGTGTGCTGAACAAAGTGATAAGCTCTATGACAGTCGTTACGTGGCAGCAGTGACCATCGGAGGCACGATTGTGGCTGGCGGTGACCATTGTGCCAATGTCGGTCATAGAAAAGCCGTGAATGGTGGTGACTATCAGGACAAACTGTGGAACATGCAGGAATATCCAATAGCGATCTATACGAACCAGAAAGAGACGTGCTTGTTCGAGGAAGCACAGTAGCGACATGACCCGATCCTCTGGAGTCTTCCAAAGGGATACAATGGATAGCTCCAGTATCTCAATGACATGGTCTTCGGATGCGGGCAGATCTATGATGGCTGAGATGTAGTACACTTAGGCACGAGATTATAGATCTCCCACCGGCACATGTACGATCCCAAGGTCTTTGATAGGAAGGAAGGTGGCAGAGAGTCAGCGGATGTGGTGCAGAGCCGAAGCTATGGGCGGTCGAGAGCCTAGCAAATTGACTGAAGCTATCTGCGTCGTGTAGTACCAATGACAAATGCAGAGGTTTGCTAAGGTGCGTCGCCATCTTCGTGGATAATGCAGTCGTAGATATGGTCCCTGAGCTCCTGTGGCAATGTGAGCAACTTGGGAGGCGTGAGCTCACGTCATAGGATCGTGGAGAAGACACTGACAGGCTGTGTCGAGGGGTTTGGTGCTTTCGCAAGAGGTGCAGGGGCATTTCAAGGTTGAATCGGCGTCTTCTCGAGCAATGTGGTGTTGTAATGTTGGAAGTCTCCTTGGTATGCTTTACAGTACAAGTCTAGATAGATATAATCCTGATACTCGCTCAATACCAAGCAACCTGGCTGGTCGATCATATCATGTGTGCCGTAGCAAAGCTGAATGGATGCGAATTCTTGTGAGGGCTTACTAACGGCATTTGTCAGTTCATGTAAGCTCTAGTTCTATGTCAGCTGCAACATCTCCCATCAAGTCTATCTCCCATGCTACACCGCGTCCGTCATCTCGTTGACACAGTTGTCTCGCCGACCTCACCCAGATTCATCTCGCAGGCTTCTCGCATCATGTCAACGACGAACGGCACTTCGATGCCGGAAGGCTGGCATTCTGGACCCAATGATTCATGGCACGGTTTCGTCAGCCAAGATGGTCCTTTCCTTCCGGAGAAGGGCAGATATCACCTTTACATCGGCCTCTTTTGCCCCTTTGCACACCGAGCGAACTACGTTCGAGAACTGAAGCAGCTTGAGAAGTACGCTGGCATCGACGTGAGCATTGTCAAGCCATATCCCAAAGGCAACGACAAGGGTTGGCCAGGATGGCGTTTCAATCATAAAGACGAGACAGACTACGATGGGGCCACGGAGGACAAACTATTTGGGAGTCAGTTCTTGCATGAGGTCTACTTCAAGAGCGATCCGGACTACAAGGGGCGCTACAGTGTACCCGTTCTTTGGGACAAGAAGCTCAATACAATCGTGAACAACGAGTCGGCCGAGATCTTGCATTGGCTTCCTGCAGCCTTCAATGAGCTTTTGCCGAAAGTATTAGTAGAGATCTCCTTGTATCCAGGCGAGCTTGAGAAGCAAATTGACGCTGTTGCCGGCTGGATGAGCGACCATCTGAATACTGGTGTCTATAAAGCTGGCTTTGCACCTGACCAGGAAACCTACAACAAGAACCTCCCGCCTGTCTTTGCTTCACTAAACAAACTGGAGAAGATTGCGAAACAGAATGGCGGCCCATACATCCTGGGCAAGCACATGACTGAGCTCGATGTTCGTGCCTACGCAACCCTCATTCGCTTCGATCCAGTCTATGTACAGCACTTCAAGTGCAATCTCGGCATGATCAGGTACTCATACCCAGTCCTACACAATTGGCTCAAAGGCATGTACTGGAACCATGCCGAGGCTAGGAACACCACGGACTTCAGGCACATCAAGGACAATTACACCAAGAGCCATCCTGATATCAACCCGTTAGCGATCACGCCCATGGGTCCTTGGCCGAATATCGACAAGGGTTACGAGAGTGACTGGAGCAAGATTGAGCCTGGTTGTATCGATATGCCCGAGGTGCTTGATTGGGAGAAGAAGCTTGGCTGAGTCGTTCGGCATTACACATCTGCTCTTGTGTTCCTTCACTCCAGTCAGCGACGATCGTTATGTGACGCGGACGGTTGCTAGCTTCGTAGTGACTGCAGTGCTCCTTACTGTCAGTGGCCTTTACTGTGGTCACGCTCGTAGAGTCGTAGCAAGCATGTCAAATAGCTGTTCGGACGCTTCAATCGTCATGCATACTGCGCAAACCAAGAACAAGCACCGTCGACCGATTATCAACCAACGCCATGTCCGACAAAGCTCCTGACATGAGATTCGCACCCCCGCCACCTCTGAAGCCGTCGAAAGCAAAGGAGCCCAAGAAGCGCAGCAAGCTTCATGCCCTTTGGCTCAGGGTCAAGACCGACAACGAGAAGAAGAAGCGGGGCGGCGTGGGAAGCGAAACAGCATCAAGTCTCCTCTTGGCTGCACATTCCTTGAACGATGACATCGGTCAAGTCACACACGAGGCTCAGCTTCTCACGCAGGATGCTTTGAAGACGCGTCGCCCTGGTACTCCACCTAGCCGAGATCCACTGTTTCAGCGTCCTCGAGATGCACCACTATCAGACTATGAGAAGTCTGCTAACGCGTACAATTCTGTCGTTGATCGGTACCGGAAGATGAACGATGAGGCGCGGTCAATACAGCAGCGATTCTCAACGTTCCAGGAAGGTGTCAAGACCTTGAAGATCGAGCATCCACCTGAGAAGAAGTTTGGGAAGTATGAGCATGATGTTGAGAGTCTTGATAATGCATCCAGGAACATAGAGACAACTACGACCCGGATGGTTGAAGCTGTGGGCCAGGCTAGAGAGGCGGCGAGGTGATGTGATGATGCACACCTCACTTGTAAGATGCTCTGGACAGCTTTCTGATCCTGATCAGACGACATGTATGACCGATAATGACTTCACGAACGAGAGCACAACTGCACAACTAGGCTCTGATGTTCTTTCATCTATCCCTTAACCCTGTATGTACAGTACCGTGCTCTACAGTGGCCATCATGTAGGACAGCTTAGCCCATACGGCTCATCAACTTCTTCTGCGCCTCAGCGTTGACGAACTCGACAGTGTGGGTGATCTTGTCATTGCTCTCGTTGAAGTTGACGACGAAGAAGCTCTGCACAGCACCGAAGTCGTACTCTTTCTCAACGAAGAGGGCGGTCTTCCGCTGCTCGACGTCTTGGATTGTTTGCAGGATCTTGATCTGTGGAAGGAAATGTAGTATCAGTGACTGTGATTTCTGCCCCATTCTTCTGCTAACTCTCCGTTTCGTGGAATAGCGTAGTGATCGCTTACGTTTACTGGCTTGTTGTCGAGAGCGGCACCCATCTTCTTGATGACCTCGAGCTTGCCGGCGTTGTCCTTCTGGCCTACGCCGAGGGATGCTGGGAGAAGATCGTGCTTGGCATCGGAGGCCAAGGTGGACTCAACCGCGGCGGTGTCCCATTTGCCCTGGGACTCGATGAACTTCTGGGCGAGATTCTTCTGCTGTTCACGTGCCATGTTTGCGGTATTTGATATGTAAAGGCGTGTGGGTTGGAAAGAGTGTGTATTGCTGAGGTGTGTATATGTGCGAGGGACAGGGGAGCGAGGTAGAGGCGTGCGCGACTAGATACTTATGCTGATTCACAATCTCACTGAAACCGGGCCATGATGGCTTTCTGTCTACTGCGTCCTACTGCATAGTCACCACGCCGTCGCTCGCTATACAGACGGCGCTGCAGACCCGCTGGCCTAAGAAGTTCTAGTCAGGTCCAGCTCCTTGTTCGGCAACACCCTGACGGCAGCCACAGTAGTGATCGTTGGGAGACAGGCCTAGATAACGTCGAGTGATTGGTGCTGCATAGCGGTGAAGAGACAAGTGGCTCTTCGTCGTGACTTTCTTTTACGACTCGACTGTGCGTGAGTCCATATCACCCACGCGGCAAATGCAAGCTTGCAGCTCCGGTGGAGCCCCGCCCTGCATCTGTGGTAGCATCTTTCCGTTTACCGTCTTGGTTAGGCACTTGTAGGTCCTTTTCCGTAAGTGGTACGTCTGGGAAATTGACTTTGTGTTGAGTGTGGAGTGTATAGCGAGGTTATGGAGAGACTTGGAATTGTGACACTCCTGTGGCTAGGGGCCTTCAGGTATGTCACCACTGCCCCTTGTCTTCGGCATTGATCTCAGGAGTTGATAGATCTGTGCGAGGGTTAAAAGGGCGGAAGTCGCTCAGGCGATGTTCGAGACGAGGGTTGAGTTCCTGCAGTAGTTTGCATGGCCAGAACGCCTCGTCGGTGAAGTTGTGCTTCCCAAGCCGACCTGGCTCGTGCATTTCGGCATTCGGTTCAGGTTTCTTCGGCTATTCTCTTACTCTCCCTTGTCTCCTCCTCCCGATATCCTACTATGACTGTGGACACCCCAAAAGTGTGCTACAGGCGAGCGGGCTTCACAATCCCAAGAGGTAGGGTGAGCGGGCTCCTGGTGAGCGGGCGATCATATTTCAATTTGAAAGCAAACATACCTACGAACATACTTCAATATTATCGCACTCATCAAGCTAATCTATACTCCATCCGATCATCAGTACCAAGCTCATCCCGAAAGACTCTTCATATCTGCACCCAGTCCTCCAGATCTTACTCCCTAGCCTGAATGTCGATTTCACCAGGATTGAGCTGCTCGTTAGCTGCCAATACATTGGCAAGAGCAACCAGATCCTCAACTGCATTCCTTGTCTCCTCGATAACTGTTTCCAGCATCTCCACCGATATTTGCGCGTCTTCCAGACTGCTTCCCGCAAAGTCTAGATCGTTGTTAGTAATAGCGCGTCTAGCGACTTTGAGGAAGTAAATGCACTCTGGGAAGTTGTTCTCCGCCATCCGTGGGACGTCCAGGTACTCCACCCCGGTGGTAGTCCCGAGCATCTTACAGTGAAAGGCTTCTAGGAGCGCATTTTCCTGTTGGCCGTTATATTGTTCATGGCTTTATACAGTACTGGGAATGGGAAAGTACGACGTACCGAGCTCAAGGTAAGACCACCAGGCATCTTCGATTCTTTCTTCGAAGTCACGGATCTCGTTGAGCATGGCTGAAGCCATTTTATCTGGTTCGTCTGAGTGTTAGCGCCGAGCAGACCTGCTGCTGATGTGGGAAGGAGGGATTTGGGTATGCTCAGCCTTTTCTATTGGCATATGACCTCGACAGATTGATATAGCACGCTGCTTGATCAATGTTGTGGTATGTGGTTGCCCGGCTATATAACACAGCACGACAAGCGACAAAGGCCAGGTCTCTCGAGACCACATCTATTGTTCAACATCTATTGTTCAGCAGACATTCCTTTCATGTTGCACTACGGTTCTCTGTTTGATAACAAAGCAACATCATGATGGTACGAATGCATTTATGCCTATATGCCGATGATCTCCCAAAAATCGAATGGGCTGAGACATCGAAGCTCGATACGTAGGAGAGCAAGCGTGCATCTACAGTGCGACTTCGTATGGTTGCAGATCAGTGGCCAGCCTTCATCACGCAAGATCGCTTTGGCAGGAATTCCATATCCTAGTGGAGTCTGCTCCCCTAATGTCGATAAAGGCTTCTCTTGCAGAACTGAAGATGTGTTGCTGTACTAGCATGGATTCAAGTCCAGCATCATATCTACGGAGTAGGAGAAGCACATGCCATAGATCGACAGCGAGGGTAGTAGGCCAGAGTCTCAGCATTATCGAGTCCTGTCCAGCCCCCATTCTTGTGACAGATCCGTACGCTTCATACGAGTAAATGATAAATATGCAAGTTCTGCTCAAGATGCTCAACGCCAACCACTCGCACCTGTGGCACGGCATGCCGCGGATTATCTTTGACAGCGGACATCTCTCTGTGCACGGCGGACCTTCACACGTACGGAACTCCGGCGTGCCCCCAACATGGTACAGCTGTCCCAGCCTAGAGTGTGCCACAACTTCCAATACGGCAAACCAGAGTCACGATGTTTGCAAAGCGCTGCTCGTAGACTATAGTAATGATGATCGACCAGTAGTGATAGCGTGAGAGTTCAAAAGACCAATGGGCGCTTGAAGCGATCAGCACAACATAAGGCCGCTGGTGAGCTGCAAAGCAAATCAGTCCTAATCTTCATGCTAGGTTATATTACGTGCAGAGAATACGCCCCGGTGCTTCGAGTAGTCTCATCGAAATGATGGTGGAGGAACATGGTGAGCTTTATATGGTCTGCAAGACTGAATGTAGTGGTCGTGGTAAGGATAAGATAGCAAATGGCGGAGTACCACGTTTCGTCTGCCTGCATGATGTGCATGTCGTGAATCGTTGAGGAGCTGCACTTTAACGTGGTCGCTGCATACTCGCTGGAGACGCCGGATTACTCGCAGGTCAGCATAGGACTGCAAGTAGAAGCATGGCGAGGTGAAGTAGCCGTATCTTCGACTGGACATGAGAGTGTGCTCGAACAGTGAGCGGCTCGTCGTGGTCAGCCTCCTCTACAGCATGATGGTGACGGACTCGGCAAGCCGGCCTTTAGCTTGGTGCTGGACCTACTGGTGATCTGACTTGCAGCGCTGCCCAAGACTACTGCCTCCACAGACCAGGCCCGTGTAGCAGGTTCGCCACGTCGCAGATATGATTGATGATGTGCCGTCCTCGTGTTTAGGATCTCGATAAGAGTTTCCAGAAAGTCAATCATCTAGGCATTGCTGTTCGTCACGCACAATCCTCACGTCTTCGCGTGCTCGAGATCGACGACACGCGACGTAACTGCGCAATTCGAAATCCTGCAGAGTTCATGGTTGCAGAGATTCCGGTCACGAGCGTGCATCATTCGGCCCAACTCCCGCGCGTATCACTTTGTCTGGTCCAATCATTGAGTGGCGCCAGCTGTTGAGGCCCGACCTAGCCTCCCCGCCCAGCTTCTTCTCAAACTCACCGTCAGCCTTCCTTTCCCACACTCCCACGATCTACATCATCGTTACTCTTCTTTACGCGCTGGACCACCAAGGACTTCTTGACAGCTGCCATTGCTTCACTGCCATAGTGAGATACCAGGAGTAGTGACACACACGTGCACGCTTGATATTGTAGCGATCGCTGCCATCTGGACTTGCCTCGCCAGGACGTGACATCTGCTTGTTTGCCAAGGACTCCACTTCATCCTCCCATAGCAGGACGGACTTCAGCCAAGGATATTGGACTATCTACTAGTTGCCATTCGGACGAGTCCACTGCCCTCAAGCCGCTTGACCAGGAGTTTCTAGCCACCATGGCTCGTGAGATCGCACGTCAGTGGTTCATATCTGGAGACGGCATTGATAGACATGTCATATCTGCGGACATCCAGCGCTACCTGGGGAACGATGCCACGGTACGACCAGGTGTCGGTAACGGCGACAATGAAGTCAGTGACATGGCGAGCGTAAGTCGGCTAAGCCTCACTAACAACATACAGGGCGTCCACGGCTACTGGATCAAAGCGTATAGGAATCTCACAACGGTAGGGATACCAAGAGCTCTAACACGCGCGCTAGCTGACTCAATATAGGCTATGCTTGCAGACCTGCGTGCAGACTCATTAAGATGGAGACAAGAGTCGAGAGCGACCGGAGGAAGAGGTAGCCACAGTCCAGCATCACTCAAAATGGCAGGGATCTCAGTACCTGACCAGATCACAGAATCTTATGTAGGATCAGAGACTTATAACCTGTCCAGTGCAGGGAGGCAACCCGACCGCCGCCATGGCGAGTCTCCAGTTGTGGACGGTCGATATGGGGCAGCGCAGCCGCGTGCAGGAGAACGGGAGCGAACACTGCCTGGTCGCGCACCTGTGGAAAGGATGAACGCCGATCGTATGGACATTGATCCGCCTGCAGCCCAGCCAGATCGGAGGTATGGTCAGCCCGACCGTGGACACCAGCCGGATCCCCGAGGTGCATATCCAGCCGATGCCAGAGGTTTTCCCGTAGACGCGCGAGGCTATCCGATAGATCCTAGGACAGGCGTGGACCCAAGGACAGGCGTAGATCCAAGGACCGGCTATCCCATTGATCAGTCTGCTGCCGCTGCTGCATATGGTCGTGCTCCAGTGACGTCCTATGCTCAGCAAGATCCACGGTATGCTTCGGCCTACCCACCGACTAACGGTCCACCACCTGGTTTTGTCAGAGAGGGCAACTTTTACGTGCCGATCTCAACGTATGAGACGGCACCTGCTATGACAGCGGGTAGGTCAGACATGCCACAGTATGCTGGAGCACCATATGGACAACCTCCTCAGGGTAGAGACATCCGTGACCCGAGACAAGTTGGCCAGATGGATTATGCCGATCCCAGGGCGGACCCGAGAAACGACCCAAGGTATGCTTACCCAAGCCCGGCTGCCACCACCATTTCCGTTGCAGGTACCCATCGGGATACGGTCACAAGCCCGCCACAGTCTAGGTTCGCCGCCTCCGGCTGGTATACATCAGTGCTCTGCTAACGGTTGCAGTGGTTATCCTATGAGCGGTACGACTTATGATCAGTACGGCCGACGTAAGTATCGCTAGCCTGTCCTGACCGATGGAGCGCATTTACTGATACGGCGCCGTCAGCTGTTATGCAAAACCCAGGCCAGCCGGAGAGATCAATGCCCACTGCTCGGGATGGCCGGGATGCGCGAGATCCCGGGTACGGTCGAGAGCGGGAACGTGAACGCGAGCGCGACCGTGATCGCGAGCGTGAGAGGCCAAGCACCAATGCTGGAGGCGGAGAGAGCCATCGGACCAACCGTCGCCGCATAGGATGAGAGCATATTCCAGAGCTGCCAGGACTGTGAGACGAACCAAGGACGTCGGCTTACGGATCTTGTCATTCCCAACTCCTCTCGGGCGGAAATCATATCTCCATGGATGTTACACCTTTTTGTGTCATGCCTTGGGCTGTTGCGTCGTGATCTGCTTCACCACGGCTGGCCATGGCCACCGTGCAAGCTACACAGCAGAAGCGAACCATGTTCGAGCGTCTCTTGGACGGGCGCCATGTTGGACTGAAGGCCAGGACCATTGCCCTGACCGACTACTGAAGCGCAGAACCAGCTGAAGTTTGGTGCTGCAATACTTCCGGATCTCTTTTGCTCTTTACTATCTAGCGTTCTGCACGTCAGCATTTACACGGCATAAAGGACTGAGCATATGATGTTTAGCATTGGCGACCATGGACCCAACAAGGGATGGCGACTCACGGTATCATGACCTTGGGACGTAATCAGACAATGTTGTACGAGGCCATATCCTGTTCGAGCAAGTCTATTCACCGTTGTCCCTGGTACCGCCTCTCCCAGGTCTCTCGTGTGGGCGGTTGCTAAAACTGCGAACACGATTCTGGTTTATGACACATGTCCCTGAAAAAGACCTGGCGTGGTTGTCTCTTTCCTGGCTTCTGTCATCCTACGGGAAGGTGCACCCCCATCAGACCACAAGGTCAACAATCAATCACAAGTCATCCAATAATGCAAAAAAGTGAGATGAGCCATACCCGAGTTGAACGGATGATCTTCTGGAATCCCGGGCCTTTTCATGGCAGAAGCCATGTGGATGGTCCGCTGGAATCAGACATGTTACCACTACCTGAAGGTTGTTGTTAGACACTGTCTCTGCGACATCTGTGTGGTGTGAGACCGGCTACTTACACCAATAGCCCTTGTTTTTTGCGATGATGTGCATGTCCTCTTATCTGTTTACTCGTCTCCAGTAATCTCGCCGACATGACCCCGGTGCTGGTGTGATGTGAATGCACTGTCAAACGCAGCTGTGGACTTTTGTTGGCTTTGGACGATAGGACGCAGGTGCAGTGAGCCGTACGGTGCATCTATTCGGTCAAGTGCGACCACGGATTGATATGAAGTGTTATGATAGATGGTCCTGCGTCGTAGGAATGGATGATATTCCGTCATCATCTGAAATCACTCACAGCTGCCGCTACTAAGTCATCCCTCCCAGCCCAACCCTTGCGGGCCTTTTCCTCTTGAGGTCCATACCCAGCTAACGCCGCTATCCCTACTCAAGCATCTATCTTCCGTTAGTCTCAACGCCCAAAAGCTGGTGGTGTGCCGATACATGCCAGCATCAGCTTCTCGTAATCGCTGTAAGTCTCATGTCAGCTATCCGTCACGACTCGATTGTACTTCATGCACTCACCCTCTGGTCTCAGAACGAATCCTGTCAGCAAGATCCTTCTTGTAGAAGTGGCGGTAGGCAGCTTTGCATTGTTGGAGACGATCTGGGTTCCAGTGAATCATTACCTGAGTGTATGATTAGTCCCCCATGAAAGCAGCACGATTCTTTCGTAATACTTACGATACGACGGATCAGTGCCGAGTCGTTCGTGCCCATGCCACGCATAGCGTCTTCGAGCAGGTCCGCGTCATGTTTCGCGGGATCCTCAGCAGCAGTGACAAGGTAGCACAAAGTTTGTTCCATATGTCCGGACATTTCATTTTTGATGACTTCGTCCAGTCCTCGATGATACTTTTGGCGATACTGTGTGGCTATGGCACGAAGCTGACCAGTACTTCGGGATGTCAGGATCTGACAGACGACGATCTGATCTGTTCCAGCTCTGCCTTCGGTGGCACGATAGATGTCCTGAATATCGGCATCGATCTGCTGCGGAATGATTGGTGCAGACTCTTCATTCCTGCGCGCCGCCATGACCATATCGAACATTCGTTCAGTCTTGGCGGAGAGGTCACCCTTGACATCAGCTTCGACTGTACGCCGATACTTGTGTTGATAGTGCTGCTTGATGGCATTCAAGTCGGCATTGCTCCTTCCTAGGAGGACATCGTTCATAGCACTCTCTTTAGTACCCATGCCCTTGATAGACTCGTACAGCTCGTGGCAATCTTGGTCCAATGGTCCACGAAGACAAGCTTCTAAGCCGTCACGGAAGTGACCTGACGTCTCCGAATGAACATCCTTGACGAGATCGCGACGATGTTTCGCAGCGAAAGCTGATTTGACGCCATTGATTTCGAGAGGACCCAACGATCCTATGACCCGTGCCAACACCTTCTCATCTGTTCCAAAGCCTTTCATTGCCGCTCGAAGTTCGTCAGCTGCTCGCGTCATGTCCATATGTGACTGCTGTCCGGGAATATAGCCAGGAGACGGAGCACTTGGGGGGGCAGGAGGTCCGCCACCGTACTGTCCCTGGGGTGGGCCATATCCGGAACCACCATAAGCTGGGTTTGGCGGCGCAGAGCCATATTGTCCCGGCGGTGGCCCAGAACCATATTGTCCAGGCGGTGGCGCACCATACTGTCCTGGCGGTGGGCCACCGGGAGGAGCACCTTGAGGTGGGTATGGCGATTGTCCATGTTGCGGGGGATAGCCCTGGTTCATGGGTGGTTGTCCATATGGCTGTGGAGGATATCCTCCTTGGTTCATAGGAGGGGCCTGTCCATAAGGTTGTTGAGGCGGATAGCCACCTCCTTGCTGAGGATAAGGTTGATCTGTTGTCTGTCAGCATCTCTTGACTATTGTCCATGTGGTACCTGAAGCTGGCAAACTGGGATATAGGCCGAGCCAACCGGAACATACTAGACTGTTGATAGCCGCCTGGTGGGCCTTGCGGAGGACCTTGATTGTAATAGGACATGTCGCAGGTCTAGACTGATAATGTGATGAGGGTTGGTCACAGAGTATCGAGTCAAGCCACGCTGCAGGTTGGTATGAAAGCTATCAGGCAACAGACACGCCACAGACAAGATAGTCGTTCACTGGCTTTGATATGGTGTGGGTCTCGGAGAAGAGAGGGCAGTGCGGTGCTCGTCAGCCACGGCGGGGCAGTGTTGGCAGCGTAGACTTTGACTTGCCGCAGCCGGCTCCTTCTCGCACCTGACGTCTTACCAACTCAGTTGTACCAAGAGACGGTGATGTCGGCCCAGCCGGCAGGGGTGGCTGATGACTGATGGTGCAGGACAAGGAGTGGCGAACCACGGTCGATCACGTTGTAGGCCTTCTGCGAGGACTTGGCAAACAGAGTTGGCCTTTCTGGCGACGATCACACTTCATGTTCAGCATGTACTTTGTCGAGCGATTTGCAGACACGACCACAGCTGAGATCAATTCTTTTCGTGACAGTGCTTTTTGGCGTTTGCGAGATGGTGCTCTGCAAATCATCGTCGAAATGGTGCCTTCGATATCCTTTCCTTCCTAGGCACTACTCGATACAAGGGACGCTACGCCATTGACGGTGGGCGTGCGACCAAGGGAATGGAGCCTACATGATATATGTATTGTCGTCTGTTCGACAGCTCCCGTTTCGTAGACATGCATCCTCTGCGCTCACGAGGCCGCCAAGCGAGCCGAAGTGCTCCGCCTCTTCGATGGTGCAATGATTTGTACATGAGTACGTCACTTGGCTTCAGCCTTGCCACCGGCCCAATCAACAGCTATTACCAAAGACTTCCTGCATCCATCAAAATCCTAAGCCTTGCTCCGAGGCCGCCATCTGCATGAACGATCTATGGGAGATTGAGTGGTACACACAGCCTGCGAACCATCTGCCAGCCACGTCTGCTGCCTGTAGGCACATATATTGACCCCATCAGATACTCTAGACAGTCAACGACAGTCGCGATTTACCTGAACTCCCTATCGAAGAATAGGCGCATACCTGCTCGCGTGCCTGCAGATCTCGAAACCCATATAGGCAGTACGCTTCGCCCCAGTGCAGCCAGACCGGACTGGAGTCACACCCACGATAGCTGTGCGACTCCAGCCTCGCGGCACAACGAGCATAAAGGACTAGTACCTGGCTACAGGAGGTGCTAGAGCTCATCTCAAATCCAACACGAACCCGTCAACATGGCCACATACCCGCCACCGCCTTCGACGCAACGACCCAGGGCGACTTCCACGTCTTCCGGGCGATATATCCCGGATGATTACCGTGTCAGCCCTGGACAGGCCCCTTCGCCACTTCTGGGTCAACCCAATCCATACCCCTACGGCATGCCCTCAGCTCCTATTCCACCACCTATGGTATCCAATCCATCGAGCAGCTACTTTCCGCCACCGCCACATGGCCATTACATACCGCAGGAAAATACTCTTCACCCCTCCGCTGCAGCAACAAGACCACCATTCCCAACCTCCGCTACGGACCCTTTTCCTCATCGCCCGACTCATGGGAGAGAGCGTCGAGAGAGCAGGAGCTCTCAGCACTCTCGACGATCACATGACTCGCATCGATCTCACAAGAGCCACCACTCGCATCGCACAGCTTCCGAGGACCGTGAGCGCGACAGACGACACAGGCGGCATGATCGGGAACGTGAGCACGAACATGAACACGAACATCACCGGCGCCATAGCGACTATGACTACGACAAGCCATTGAAGCGGCGAGACACGCGGAGTCGTTCGTTCGGCGATACAATCTTCTCCCTATATGATACGTTGAAAGATTACCTGGGTCCTCGGGACAAATACTAAGTTGTTATGCGAGGAGTTACAACTATGATAGTTCATGACTTTTTCTGGTTGAGAAGCAGGAGTAGCAGTATACCCTGCGATTGAGTACTGTCTTTAGCAGCATATATGATATACAGCATAGCAAAGTCTTTCTACCAACTTCATCTCATCTCACATTATTTCCTGATGAAGCAACCACTTCTCGAATCCACAGTAGGAAAGTGGCGCGTGCCTCCACTTCTCCGGCTTTCCTTCTCCTCGACACTCATCGGCTGTCGCTTCTCCGCCAGCGAACAGCCCCTCTGAACCACCGTACATGCTCGCGAAACACCTTGGAAAGCTAGTTCTGGCGTTGCGATTGTATAAGAACCTCGCGTAGGCACACAAAGGTAGATATAGGTTATTTCACTATCTTGACTCCATCACCATGGCAGCTCCGCCAACAGAATCCGTTCCCTTTTCCGTCAATGGCAAGACCGCCATCGTAACAGGCGCTGGATCTGGTCAGCTCATAAATTTGTCTTCAAGGAACCACGGCAGTTGGTCGTTGACATAAAATAGGAATCAACTATTGTTTCGCAAAATTACTGCTCTCCCGCAACTGCAATGTAGTCATCGCCGACCTAAGCCTCCGCCCCGAAGCCCAGAAAGTCGTCGACGAGCATCAATCGAAAGAGGAGGGCAAGCCGAGATGTGTATTCGTCAAGACGGATGTTGTGCAATGGGGAGACCTCGACAACATGTTCGCAACGGCGGACACAGAGTTTGGAGGAGCAGATATTGTGAGCTCTCGAGTTGGGATAGTGGTGAGGTTTTGATATTCCGACTGACGAAGATTTGCACATAGGTTTGTCCGGGAGCAGGCATATTCGAGGTACAATGGATACGCAGATATCATGATCCACTCTCTCGAGCTGACACAAAACGCAGCCACACTGGACGAACTTCTGGCATCCACCCGGCACTGCCAAGTCGAAAGACTCGGCCAACCCACCCGATGGAGTAGGCCACTACGCCTTACTCGACATCAACATCACCCACCCAATCCGTGTCACCCAATTAGCCATCGCCAAATGGCTGAACCCGGACCCTTCGAGCAAAGTCGGCAAAGTCTCGACCACGAATCCGAAGCGTGTCGTACATATAAGCAGCATTGCCGGCCAAGCACCCAGCTTTTCGGCACCATTGTACATTGCGAGTAAGCATGCGATTAGTGGCTTTGTCCGATCGATGGCACAGCTTGATACTCTTGGTATAAGGGTCAACGGTGTTGCTCGTAAGCAGATTCACCTGATTCCCCACCCAAGGTAAAACTTGTAAGCTAATGAAACGGTAGCCGGCGTGATTAAAACACCGCTCTGGACCGAGCATCCCGAGAAGATGACCATGATCGACGAGGCTCGTGACAAGTGGGTCGAGCCTGAAGAGGTTGCCGAAGCTATGCTGCGCTGTTGCGAGGACGACGAAGTGGTTGGTGGCTACATCATGGAGGTCTCCAAGGGCAAGACGAGGCATGTGGACTGGAGGAATGATCCAGGTCCCAGTGGCGAGGGCAACACTGCGAGCAATTCTGCTAATACTATCGCGGAAGTGTTCGGATGGTTAGGCGAGGATGGATGGGGCGTTGTGAAGGGTGGCGGGAAAAGGAAGCGGGAGAACGGCGATGTGGGGAGGAAGCCGTAGATTTCCTCTCATGGCCTTTGCAGTCTTTTTGCAAGCTATCTGCTATACAGGTCTCGATCCTTCGATCATCTCATCTGGTTGGCCATGCGCAGAGCTTATGCTTGGTAATCCGTTAAGCAGCACTAAACATAACACATTAGCACAAGCACCCCTCCACTACTCGACTCGACTGGACTCAGAATTGTACTCACATGCCAATGACACCACAAGCAGGACGAGGCCCAGCATTGCCCGTCTTCTTGCTCTCTGCGTGTCCGCCCTGGCCCAGATCATCAGTGCCGCCGTGCACAACAATGGTGCGACCGAGAACACTCTCGGGGCCAATGAGCTTGATCAGCTTGTCAGACACAGAGCCCTTGGCGTTGCCGGAGCCATCAGTCTTGATGTTGCCGAGGTCGCCAACGTGGCGCTCACTGTCGGATGGTGCGCCGTGTTCCTTGCTGTGAGGGTTGACTGGCAACGAGATTCTTGTCAGCTCCATCTTCCTTGCGGTACTTGAGTGTTTGTTCGCGATGACATACAATGAGGACCAGCAGACGTGCAGCCATTGGTATTGTCGCCAAAGGCATGGACGTGCATGCCACGCTCAGCATCGGCATCGTTGCCAGTGATGTCCCAGGAGATGGTGGTCTCGGCGCCCTCGGACTGCTGCTCGAAGGTGACAGTGCCCTTGACGTTGGAGTCACCACGGACAACGGCAACTGTGTGGTATGATTAGCATATCTCCAAACGGGCACTACTCCCCTCTGCCGAAGTGGAGGAGCCGTAGAGGCCATCATGGTGTCCACTAGAGGATGTAATTGCCACGTGAGTGTGTGACCTTGATGTCCTCTTCCAAACACTGTTTCCTGGTCGAGAAACATGCTCATTCTTGCTTGACGGCTCGACTCCACCTCCACGAGCTTGTGCTGCCTCCTCCATCAAGCTTGCAACGTACCTGCTTTGACCATTTTGGCGGTGAGGTATTTGTATTCGGAATTGGCTATTGTACTGTTTTTGTATCGAATCGAATCGAATCGGTATCACGAAGTTGATGGTGAGATCGTGAGGACACGAACAGCAACAACAGTCAAGCAATAACCAACCCCTCCATGCCCCACTTGCCATACGTCAACGCTGACTTCCAACCGCACGTTTTTCGCTCCATTATATCCGATGCTTACGCGGTAGCACTTCATCTGCTAAAAGAGGCAGAACCTATCGAGCATAGAGGGAATGGCTAGCGCAAGAAGCATGTTACGATAGTTCTATGGCGTGAACGCACGATGGTGGTAGAAAGTTTCTTTCATGCTATGGCTATATGAACGTCCTTGTACGATTAGACAATTTGATTTTGTGTACCCACAAGCGCCATCATCAGACAAACACCCTCTAAGCAGCCTGAAGCTTCTCCTTGAGGATCCCCTTGAGTGTGATAGCATCAGCAGCGAACTTGCTGATACCCTCAGACAACTTGTGCACAGCCATGGTATCCTCGTTGAAGTCGAAGCGGAACAACGCCTCGTTCTTCAAGTAGCTCTTCTTCTCCAACTCCAACTCCGAAGCACCCTCCGACTTCAACTTCTGAGGAACAGAATCCTGGCTGTTATACAGCTGCTCCAGAAGATTGGGCGCAATGGTGAGGTAATCGCAGCCGGCCAACTCGGTGATCTCACCAATGTTGCGGAAAGAAGCTCCCATGACGATGGTCTTGTAGCCGAATTTCTTGTAGTAGTTGAAGATCTGCTGGACGGACTTGACGCCCGGGTCGTTGTCCTTGGTGTACTCGGTCTTGGTGTTGGCCTTGTACCAGTCCAAGATGCGGCCGACGAAGGGGGAGATGAGGAAGGCGCCGGCTTCGGCGGCGGCGATGGCTTGGACGAGGGAGAACATGAGGGTGAGGTTGCAGTTGATGCCGTGCTTGCTTGACAGCTCGTGGGCGGCTTGGATACCCTCCCATGTCGAGGCGAGCTTGATCAGGATGCGCTCCTTTCCGATGCCCTTCTCCTTGTAGAGCTGGAAGGATGTCAGTGCAGGACCGTCGATATTCAGTCGTGTTACTACTCACATCGATAATGTGCAACGCCTTCTTGATGCTCTCATCCTTGTCAAAGGAGTATGCAGCATCCACCTCCGTCGACACCTTGCCAGGCACGATCTTCAAGATCTCGCTGCCGAATTCTACGAGTAGGGCATCGATTGTGGCCTCGACCTGATCTTCGACTTTGCTGCCGCCGTGTTTCTTGCCATATTGCACCGCTTGGTCGATGAGCTTGGCGTACTCTGACTTTTTCGATGCGGCGAGGATGAGAGATGGGTTGGTGGTGGCGTCTTGTGGCTTGTACTTCTCGATGGTGGCAAAGTCACCGCTGTCAGCGACAACGACCTGTGAGAGACATGTATGTTAGTATCAAGTATCTCATATGCCCCACCATGCTTTTGCAGCTCATATCTTGCTTGATAGTGTGACTTACGGTGCCGGTGGCCTTCAATTGATCAAGAGAGTTGGACATTGTGATGGTAGTATATGATAATCTGTGAGTATGTGTAAAGAGTGTAAGAGTCGCGAGTTACTTGTTTGTATAAAAGGCAAACTGTTGAGCACATGGAGGGGCTACGAAAAGTCGGCGGGCGAATAATGGACCCTGAATAACAATTACGTCGGAAATGCAGAGCAGAGCTTTGACGCGACCGTGACCGAGCTGTTACTCAGCTGTTTTGCATGCGAAGCTCTCCTCGGGCTCTTGCTGCTCAATGTATGGCCGAAAGACATTCATATCATTGCTTTGAAAACACTCATACCCCCGGAGGTAGTCTATTATAGACTTACAAGCACGCCAACGTGTCCAAGAACTTTTTTTCGAGCGCTTGCGATTGCTGTGCTCGGCGACTCCCAATGAGACAAGGTTGCGGCTAAATGCCTGCCTCGCTCTTTGGTCCTTCTCCGAAGACCGCCGCCGCCTCGTGGGACAGCGCGTGACAACGCAATCGCGAATGCCAGCAGCCATACCAATTGAGCCGTCAGCATTAAACCTCACGCCATCCACCGCTCGACCACATCACTCATCGCACTCCTAGCTTGCTCAACCAATCTTGCTGTCTAAACATTAGAGATTTGTCCTTGGAAACCCCTCAGTTTCTTGTTCCAGCTTCGCCATCGGTCTCGTGTGAAGCCGCGCCATTTATCAGAGCCATATTGCGAGCGTGGTTTGGCGAGTTTGCCGTCAAAGGTCGCTTCTTGTCCGCAGAGATTCCAGATAGCTGGTGCAGCATTGATGGAGCAAAGACTCCCCGCTGATAATGCTGCGTGTTCTGGCTGGTCGTCAGAATCCTCCAACGCTGTTCGTACAGTCCAGATACAGTAGAGCGACAAATCCGGCTTATCCTGAGACTGAGAATGCGAGGTGGCGACTAGCTGTGCGGCAAAAGCGTTGATGTTGTTCCAGGCTTGTCGGACCCCCTTGCCATCGTTGTCCGAAGCAGCTACAAAGATCCCATCAGTAAGTCTGTCCCGGCGGATCCGAGTCTGAGAAAAAAACGCACCTCCGTTCCACCCTTCACGTAGCTGGCACCGGAACATGCGCGAATCTTGCCATACAGTTCTATCCTGCACCGCGCACACTCGACCATGCTTCTCAATATCTGGACGCTTCTGTAGCTCGATCATGGTGTCCGCCAGCTCTCTACGAACCGGGCCATGGAACGGAGATTGTGGAGCGATGGGTGCTCAGCAGGCTCGAGAGAGCAGTTCTTCGATATCTGATCCCTCCCATGTTGCCTTGTACTTGTTCTCGACAGCTCTGCAGGAACTGTCTAGGACTTGCCCATCGTTGCCGCCAGATTGCTCTTTCTGGACGTGAAAAAGAGCTCTGTATCAATGAGAATCGAGTACGATGCTTCCAGTGACATGGTTGTGGTTGCCGGCCATACGACCTATGGTTGTGCGCCAGGACAACGAGCAGGCTGCAGACAGGGAGATGCTCGTGTGTCTCTCATTCTCAAGTCCCCTCTGTTGTTTGCAGACGGCGAAGTTGCGACTTCTGGCTCAACGGTGGTCGGGGATAGCATTATTATTACGCCAAGAAGGGACTACGAATATATCTCTGAGTGTTGAACAACACCGTGGTCTCTTTCAGGCTTACAATTGGGCTCTTGCTCGTTCATCCGGCTTCGACTACCTATAGAGGATATCTTACCCAATACAAATCATCTATACCCCAAAGTTGAAAACAAACGTCCTACAGAACTTTACACAACAAGGACTGACAGAGCACGAACAAAGCGGCCATCTACGAATCTTTGACCTGGCTCCCGTACTGCTGCACCTCGTCGCTTTCCGACGACATACATGTACGAGGCATCAGAATAGACGGCGCACGATGGCTCTAGCGCAAAAAAGCACGTCTGTCGATCGGCTACACCAGGTCTTCGAAGTACGACCCGAGTCAGCCGGGGGCCGGGCTCAGACATGAATGCTTCTGAGGTCAATTATGGACTACACTCCGTGCCAGACTTCAGTTCTGCCTGGCCCATGACGCTGTCTACCCCGGCCGACTCTTTGGCTACCCAGGCGGCTTGTTGGCTGTTCGCTATCTTACGCTACTTGGACCTCATATGCTCGTACCACGACTGCTGCGAGGATTGGCATCACTGCACCAGCCAAGCCTGTTGTTAAGCTATTCCTCCGCTTCTCTGTCTCGGAGTAAGAACGCGGTGATCCGAATATATCGTGAGCCCGCGACATTGGGAGATGATCTGTGTTAGTGGGTTCGTCCGGTAGCTATTGTAAGTTAGGGCGTAAATACCTCTCCCGCCCACTTCTTCACCACAGCTTGTTGGGTGTTCGGGTACGGACTAGATGCTGCACCTGTGCTTCTGTGGCGAAGTGGTCGCATGGCTGTGGTAGAAGAGAGTACGAATGCCATGATCAATGGAACATCATTTCCCCGTCGTCCTCTGATGGCTGATCGGTGGATGGTTAGTGACTGGCTGGCTGGTTTATCAGAAGTCCTGGATACCCGTTTCACCTTCTGGCTTGCCGCCTTCGCCCACGAATGCTTCCTCCTCAGTGTCCAAGTATCGTTGCAATGCCTTCCTGTCTATCTCCCCGCGATCATCATACTCCTCATTCTCATCCACGTCAGCGTACTCGAACTCCTCATCCTCGCTCTTCAAGAACCGCTGCCCCATAATATCTTCCCATCTGCGTCTACCCTCCTCCCTGCTTTGAGCGCTCTCATCCCGATCTGCCTCGGTACTGGTGATACTACCATCCTCCACTCTCTGGTACACAACACTCCTCTGCGTATCCGGATTCCGAAGTGCAGCTAGCTTGGCTTCGCTGCGCACGAGATCTGCTTCGAGATTGCCCGTATACCCTCGCTGCTTACCTTCTTTCTCTCGCTCGGCTGAGCTTTGGAAGCGGCGGACTAGCCTTTCATACAGCAGTGGGTCTGGAACATGTGTTGGCTAGGAGTGAGCAAGGGTAAGGAGACGATGATAGATTACCTGCCAGCTCGAGATTGGAGCCGTGGAAGTACTCCGGGTGGAGCTCGAGGTAGCGATGTCTGCGGTTCTTGATGACAATTCGCTTCTCCGCATTACGCTCCTCGTTCGTCTTGCCACTGGTACTTGTAGCCTCGATGTCCTTCATGGCGGTAAAATGAGGCATAAGGAATAATAGAGTAGGGCACGAGTGATTAGCTATAAATATGCTTATTGATGAGCTGCATTGCGTCATTGCTGCAAGCTCTCTACGCGTGCCACCACGCGCCTCGCTCGAGCATGTGAAGGAAGAAATAGAATCATGAGTCTTCTTTCCGTGACTCAGCATATATCACGAGCCATGACACGACGATAACGACAATCAATGGATGGAATATAATGTCCTCCCCCACCTTCCACTCCTCCCCCCTCACCCCACGCCGCACCCGCCGCAAATCCCGGTTCACTTACAAGCACCTCTCCACCCTCTCGCAATCCTCCCCTAGCTGCCCCCTCCGCGTAATCGCCCACATCGACCTCGACGCCTTCTACGCCCAATGCGAGACCGTGCGCTTGGGCATCGAACCCGGGAAACCCCTCGCAGTCCAGCAATGGCAAGGCCTCATTGCCATCAACTACCCTGCCCGCGCATTCGGATTGAGCAGACATGTCACGATAACAGAAGCGAAGGAGAAGTGTCCCGGAATCATCTGTCAGCATGTCGCGACGTGGAAGGAAGGGGACACGAAATGGACGTATGAACTCGAAGGCACCGATGCAGCGAGGGAGATCGCCACGAGGAAAGTCAGTCTCGACCCCTACCGGATCCAGAGTCGCCGCATCCTCGCCACGATCAAAGCCGCTCTCCCACCCGACACGCAAAGGGTAGAAAAAGCAAGTATCGACGAAGTCTTCCTCGACCTCTCCGCCCAAGTCCACTCTATCCTCCTCCAACGCTACCCCGAAATCCACGGCCCAGCACCCTACGACGACCCCACCGAACCGCTCCCTCGTCCCCCCACCACAGCCCTCGACTGGGCGGCCGACGCACTAGTCGACCTCGACGCGAGTCAAAGCGAAGAGGACGATCCGGACTGGGATGACATCTGCCTCCTCTTCGCCTCGGAGATCGTGCGAGATGTGCGGAAGAAGATCTTCGACGACTTACATTACACCTGCTCCGCCGGCCTGAGCAAGAACAAAATGCTCGCCAAACTCGGCTCCGCCCACCACAAACCGAACGGACAGACCGTGATCCGAAACCGAGCCACGCAGCATTTCCTGTCCGGGATGAAATTCACCAAAATCCGCGGTCTGGGAGGCAAATTCGGGGACGAGGTCGTGAGCGCCTTCCACACGGAATCCGTCTCCGAACTCTTACCTATAACTCTCGACCAACTAAAAAAAGCACTCGGAGACGAAAGCGGCACGAGTTTACATTCCACCCTCCGCGGCGACGACACCAGCGAAGTCAACCCGCGCACGCAGATCAAATCCATGCTCTCGGCCAAATCCTTCCGGCCCAGCATTAATTCCTTCGAGGTAGCGGGGAAATGGCTGCGTATTTTCGTGGCGGATATCTTTTCCCGATTAGTGGAGGAAGGAGTATTGGAGTTTAAGAGGAGACCGCGGACGATTAATCTGATGCATCGACAAGGTGGCGGGACGAGGTCTAGACAGGCGCCGATTCCGCAGGGGAGGGTGGTGAGTGAGGATGTGCTGTTTGAGTTGGCGAAGAACTTGTTGGCGCAGGTTGTGGGGGAGGGCAGGGCGTGGCCTTGTGCGAATTTGAGTTTGAGTGTGGGGGGTTTTGAGGATGGGGTTAGTAATAATAGGGGGATTGGGGGGTTTTTGGTGCACGGGGAGGAGGCGAAGGCTCTGCGGGAACAGCCGAGGGTTGAGAGGGGTGGTGAGGAGATGCGGTCTGTGAAGAGGAGAAGGGTCGGGGATGAGGGGGTGGGGATCACGAGGTTCTTTGGTGCGAGGGGGAGGGAGGAGAGTAGGGGGAGTGAGGTTGGGGTTGACGTTGAGGATGATGGCGAGGAGGGAGAGCAGGCAGTAGGTCGGGAGCAGGCTGATGAGCAGGATGAGCCCTACGCCGATCGCGACCACGAGCAGAACGAAGAGCAGGAGCTAGTGGATATTGATCGCGATGGCCCAACCTCCTCCGCATCAGTCCTCGATCAAGTCTATCCCACCGCCGACGACGATTACAACGACGATGACGACGGCGAGGACGCCCTTCGAGGCCCAAACATCCATAACCACGCTATCGACCATAACAACTCGGTAGACAACAACCGACATCTCCCAGCACCTCTGCAACAGCAGTCGACGCAAAATCATCTCTACCTCTGTCCCCGCTGCACCACCACCATCCCAAAAGAGGAGAAAGCAGAACACGAGGACTTCCATTTCGCGCAGGATCTACAGAATGAAGGGTCGAGTCAGCCGCCTCCAAGGCCTAGACCACCGGAGCTAGCTAAGGATATGACGAGACCGGGTGGCGGTGCGGGCGGAAGTGGAGGTGGGAGTGGAGGTGGGAGTGGGAGTGGACGAGGGAGGGGTGGAGGTAGAGGAAGGGGTCGGCCGCCGGCTATGGAGAGGGGTCCTGAGAGGGGCCAGCGGCGTTTGGCTTTCGGGTAGTATGATGACGAGAGCTCAAGACTTTTTGTTCGGAGGAAAGTAGACATGAGAGGATGTAAGTCACGGTCTAGATGGTATCCCACGAAGATGTCTCCGTCCTGCGTGGAGTAAGTACACTCATATTGGGTGAGGAAACGTTGTACTTGGCTGGCACACGTTACAGCGTGTCTCGCTTTTCCCTGCCCAAAGGTCGTCGTTGTTCTGTAAGCTCGCCGTTTGTGGCAATGAGACCTTTCCCAAGCCTACCTGCTACCTTTGGTGCTTGGAGCGCGTGTGGTATATAATGCAGTGAGCCACTCCGGTTCAACTCAACACTCTGCTGCGTTCAGCATTGCCGTCGGAAGGAGGTCATTGTTATCTGCATTCCGCAAGCAAATCACGCAGCAGCAGCAATGGCAACGTCTTCCATTCCGATCTCCTCGTCATTATCATCCACACTCCACTTCTCTCGTCCGCCGAAGCCATTACGATATGGCTATACCACAATGGCACCACCGCATAAGAACGACAACATCAACCATAAGAAGAACGACAATAATCGCAAGACGCCACAACCACAACCACAACCACAACCACCCACAGCCCCAGCCTTCACATCCACTAGCGCCAATCCAAACAACGCGGATGGAAGCGGCATCCCCGTGCCGTCCGAAGCGAACCAATCTCCCGAGCTGACCGGCCAAACGACACCGTTGACACCCGCCTCCGATCTTCTACTCTCACCTCCAGCGAAAGAGCAGATTTACTATGAAGGAGTAGTAGTGAAGTCGGGGCCGAAGAGTCCGCGGGGGAGACTGCAAAGGAATAATGGTGGTCGGTCTGCGTCCGCCACTTCGACTCTGACCCCGGATGAAGATGTCTTCGCGCCATCACTACTGTTGTCGAGGTCGTTGGAGGATGAGGCGCGTATGAGTAAGTCTACGATGCATTGACGTTGGCGCGTGAGGTTTGGCTTCGACGCGAGGGAGCTTTCAAATCTCTATTCACTTCACTTCAACCTCACTTCACCTCATCACCGCACTGCTATTCATCTTTATTGGTCGTATTGTCGAGGAGCTTGTTATTGTTTGCGAAAGTGGATATATACACCATGCACACCTTTTTCTGCTTCTCCCATCCTTTGCGAATATCTTCATACCATCATTGCGAAGGAGAGAATACTCCATCATCATCATCATATCCTGCATCCATTGCACAACAAGAACATCATCACCTGACCCACCATGGCAGACGAAGTATCCAAATACAACCGGCTCAAGGACCAGACCGACGCCGAGCGCGAAAAAGCCTACGACCAATCCCTCGCCCTGCAAACCGAACGCGATGACGCTCTTGACAAACAAAAGGCTGCCGAGTCCGCCAAGACGAGTCTAGAGAAAGACCTCAAGAACAAGACCACCGACGCCGACAATGCGACCAGAGATAACGAGCGTTTGGAGAAGGCACTCCAGGCCAAGGAGGGCGAGAAGAGTGCCAAGGAGAAGGAGGTTGGGGACTGGAAGCAGAAGTTCGAGGACATGAAGACACTTTATACTAATGCGGAGAGTGATCGCGATGAGGTTGCTAGGCAGCTTGCCAAGGCCGAGGAGGACAGGGATCACCAGACTACATTGAAGGAGGGTTTGAAGGAGGAGCTGGAGAGGCAGGATGCCGTTGTTGGGCAGGTCGATGACGTTGCTGAGCAGCAGGGTGCAGCGCAGGAGCAATTGGATAGGGTCCTGCAAGTCTTTCAGGAGGAGTTCAAGCAGTTGGCTGAGGGGGTGGATCTTGAGGGGTATCTGCAGCAATTCCGCGAGACGGTGCAGGCGGGCAGGAGGCTGAGGAGGGATGATTCGCAGGCGAGCTTTCATCAGCATGGTCTTGGGATTGATGAGGCGCGGAGTGATCGGCCGAGAGGTGGGCATCGCCAAGTATCGACCGCGAGTCTGGGGGATGAATTGAAGGGGCATGGTAGCGAGAGCGGAGACGAGACTGGCGATGAAGACGAACAGGCTCCCGGCGATCAGGTACCTACCACCGACGACGACCCAACTCTGAAAGATCTAGATTACATCCACCTCACCCCACCCACAACCCACAACTGGACCGCCGGCGACTCCATTTCAAACGTAAACGATTCCCTCTTCGGCGAAATCGACACGGGAACCCAGACCCCGGCCTCCTGGACCCACCGCCCCACTGGCCAGCCCCTGGGCCTCCCCCACATCCCAGGAATCGGCGACCGCACCTCCATGGCCCACTGTCTAGACTGGGGCCCCGGGGACAAAGGAACCGATACGGATGAATCCATCCCTTCCCCCGAGCAACTCGCCGCCCTTCGCGCCAAGGCCGCCGCTTCCGCAGCCCTGAAGGTCGCGTTGTCGAATTCGCAGGGTTTGGCTGCTACGCGGCAGCAGGAGATCGAGAAGCAGTTTCGTTTGGCGCAGGGGTATGCGCGGGAATTGAAGGTGTTGAGGGAGAACGAGCGGGATGCTTCGCCTGCTATGCGGGATGGGTTTGAGCCTTATCGTGGTCGGGCGGCGGCGGCGGAGAAGCAGAGGGGGGAGGAGGAGAAGAAGAAGGAGGGGCCCGTGACGGCGGAGACGGATTATGTTGCGCTGAGGGAGAGGGAGAGGGAGAGGAGTCCGGAGACTAGGACAGTATTTGTCGATCGACCTGTCCCCGGACCCGTGCAGATCAAGACGGTGGTGAAGGAGCGCGTGGTGCAGCGGTGGACGGTCCGATTACCGGAGACGTGGAAGGAGTGGTCTGGGGTGGTGCCGCTGTGGATGAAATTAGTGGGGATGGCGTTGCTGGTGCTGTTCTTGGCGCTGTGGGGAGGGTTGGTGCGGGATCGTGCGATCTGGTTCTCGGTTAATGATCTGGGCCAGCAGAATCTCATCAAGCTTACTGGTGCTAAGCACCATGGAGGTTTCTGGGGGGATGTGGCCGAGTGGGTTAGTGGTGGGGATTTGAGTCTTATGGGCTGATGGGGGGTGGGAGGGATCTCTGTGTGATCTCCCCGTCGCACAGACTGAGTGATGATGAGCTGCTGGAGGGCGACTGGATGATATGAGATGATCATGTGCTGTGTGGGATATCTAGTGATTATATACCGCAGATGCTTGGACATTTATGCGAGGAGATGGCGGAGTGCAATGCAATATACCCCATCGGAGGCGTTCATCGTGGTACCATATCCTAATATCCACTGATCGTCTTTCTCACGTATTATCAATGAGTTTTGTGGATCTCCTTGGTTCCCTCCTGCTATCATTCCTTCGTCCTTGCCACCGGGATCGGATGGGGTCGCATCGTCGTTGTCGTCTTTCCACACCTGCAAGCTACCCACCCCCCCCTCTCATCTCCGCCCTCTCCATCCTCTCCTTAGTCAAGATATATGATCGCGGTAGTCCAGTCTCCCGCATCACCTTCTGCATCACCTCCCCGTCCTCCTCCCCTTCTTCCTCCACACCCCGTCCCCGTCCCTCTCTCTCACCCCCTTCCCCCTCCCTACCAGCCAAAGCCATCATAGCAACAGCCTTCCCACAAAGCCAAGAATTCGGCATCCCATGCCCCGTATACCCCGCCGAGACGAAAACCCCTTCCTCACCCGGCACGGCACCAACCCACGGCCGCTCATCGCGGGAGAACCCCATGATGCCGGACCATTCGTTCGCGGCAGTGAACTGAACTTTCTCTCTCTCTCCCTCACCCTCACCCTCACCCTCACCCTCACCTCCCTCATCCTCCCGCTTCTCGCCTCCTGCCTTGCCTTCAGGCAAACCAAACGCACCCACGAGCCTCGTCCGCAAATACCTCGCCGTCTGGGGATCGACGACCCCATCGTCCGTCTCGCTAATACTAGGACCGTGTTGTCTTCCACCGCCGAACATCAGATGTCCTCCCCTTTCACTCGGACGCTGGATGAGGTAATCGTCTAAGCCATCTCCGAGGAAACCAAAGGAAGTCTGCAGTCGGGAGGATCCGGTGAGGCTGGGCAGGGGTTGGAGGGCGCTCATTTGGCCTCGACAGGGGAGGATGAGGTTGGTGAAGGAGTCGGGGAGGAGGTGGGAGGTGTAGGCGTTTGTGGCTAGGATCACCTTTTGGGCTGATATGTCGCCGCGAGGGGTGGTGATGGTCCAGCTTCTTGCCGGGCCGTTTTGCGCAGGTGTGAGAGAGAGGGCAGGGGTGAGTGTTTGCAGGTTGAAAGTCCCAGATAAGGTGGTCGAAGTCAAGAGATCCTCTAGAATGCGAGCGACGAATTTATACGGCCACAGTCTCGCCGCTATCTCCGTCACCACCGCCCCGTCTGCCGTCGGAATCCTCAACCTCCTCAATTCAGCCTTCTCAGTAACAATCCTCATGAACCCCCCCAACTCTGGAGCCGTCGTCTCCATCACTTTCAACGACTCCTCCGCTTCACGAAGATGATGTAGACTATAAATCCCTCTTACACCCGGCTGCTCCACGAACTCGCAGTCGATCTCCTTCTCCTTAATCAGATCCTGCAATGTGCGGAAGTTCTTGAGCTCGAAGTGTCCAATGCTTGGGTCGTGCGGGTTTTCGATGAGGAGGGGTTGGCAGTGGCCGCCGTTGCGACCTGTGGCGCCCCAGCAGGCTTCGCGCGCTTCTAGCATGAGGACGTTGGGGCCTCGAGTCCTGTTCCCATTACTGCTTGGGTCATTGTTGTTCGGGTCGTTGGTGGTGAGGAGGTGGTGGGCGATGCTTGCGCCTGTGATGCCGGAGCCTATGACTACTATATCTGCTTTCTCTGGCAGGTTTCGGGTTGAGCGGTGGCCGAGGAGGAGGGGCGAGGGCTCAGTGTGCCAGAAGGAGGTGCTGGATTCTTTGGTTGGGAGGCCGGCTGGGGTGGTCTGATGGGGGAGAGTGGGGTGGTCGCGGGACATTGTTGTGCGTTCGGGGTTGAGAGCGGGGAGTGGCGGGTGTGAGGGGTGGTTAGATGGGCTTGCAATGCAGAGTTTGAAGTAGAGAATACACGTGAGATGGAAAGAGAGAATGATAGTAGAGTAGATCTGTCGTACGCCCCGTGGGTGGAGCAGTAGCAGCTCGAGCTGCCAGATGTGGTAGGAGAGCGACGACTGTACCTGCTGTCTAGCTAGCGATACAAACAACAGTCTACCTCGGCCGGGTATGCATCAGGGATCGATAATAGTGATGATGGAAGACACAGCGGAAGGATGTGGCACAATGTTGTGCTAGAGGACTGTCATGCTCTATCCGATGATGAAGAATCCCAAACCCCGAGCTCCGCACGAAGTATGAGTGACGGTCCACAGAGCACCTAAGGTGTTCATTTCTTTCATGAATATGTTCATGTCGTCCCGCTCTAACACCACAAAAATTTCTGTAGCGTGTTAGAAAGGTCCCTGCTCGTCTACCCACGCACGATCTTAAGCAGAGTTTCATCAGCCATAGCACTGTTGTAAGAAAATGTCTCCACTCTCTTTCTACACGCAGCACAATGGACAAACGATCCCTTGCCACCCCTCAACGACTGCTCGCATCTTACCTACAGTAGGACCGGTGAATGTCCGGACCGTGATGTTCATAGCGACAGGACGGCCTACGGCCAATGCAATATCGTCGAGCTTATGAAAACACCGCCAGAGCCTGGACACGCGTAACGCATTGTGGACAGACGAACACTCAGCTCGGCGCCGGGTGTAGAACCACTCACAGTGTCACTGATGGTCGCGAGAGCACACGTACAGTCAATTCATAGCGTTCGCACTCCCCAAACCCCGACGATCAGAACGAACAGTAGTTATCAGATTCGTGTCCTTCGCTCCCTCGAGAATAGGGATACCAGCACAATCTCGTCTCAGTTATCTGCCGCTGCAGGCATGATAGCCCTTCCCAGCAGCGTCAGATTTCCAAGCGGCTGAGGCGTAGTGGTCGAATAGAGAGAAGGCAGGCCCGATATTTGAACTGCCATGTGTGTATTGCTTGTGATCAAGCAGAAGCCACGCTGAGGAGGGGAATGGGGGAGGAGAAGCACAAGAGCATTCTCCGGTAGCGTTTTGAAGCTTTGGCAGAATGAATGTGATGGAGAGGGTGGCTTCCGTGTGTTGGTATGGTACCTCGACCTTTGGCTCATATCTGGACACCGAGTATGTAGAGCGAGCTGCTCGACATGGACTGTTCGGCTCGAGAGCTGAAGCCAGACCCACCTGCATTGGGATAAAGGTATGTAGTAAGCTTTGGCGAGGGCGGCAAGAAGCGGCGTCGAATTGATGGACACTTCTGTGATTGTCTGCCATTGTCCACAGTGGGTAACCGGCGGTTCAAGTGGTCGATTCCACGAGCCTCGTCTGGGTCCAGAGCGAGTCCGCAACTATTTAAGAGAGATTCTTACACCGGTCACAGTACAGTGTACATAATAGTATAATGTTTGTAGATGTTGTTGGCAATATGCTGAAGCTAGTCGGAAAGTCTCCAATTTATCCGGCGAATGACTAAGCAGAGCTTGACCTCACTCCGCATTGGCTTTGCATGGTGCCTCACACTCACGTGGCCTTTTCCAGTCGTGCATATCGCATTGCTTGCAAACACTCGTGGCAGATATGGCGCAGTATCTGCAGCAAGTGTTTGGCGGACCCAAGTCGGTCGTGTCGTCAGTCACGTCTGATGTAGATGCTGGTACACACGATCCCAGAACCTCAGATACGATGCGGCACAGCACATATACTAATCTTCACATGCAGACTTCGCCGACTACGCGACAGCAGCTTCGCCCGTCCCACCCTCGCATGCTGCTGTACCCGCTGCAGCACAGACGGGTCTCAACGCTGCCAACATAGCGAGCGCAGCACGGCCGTACACGAAATGGTATCGAGTATGGGAACGTGTGACGCTGGCCGACTTTTGGCAGGAATTCTTCATCCTACCTATATTACTGGTGGTTGTCCTCGTCAATCTCTGGGGTAGTCGGGCGAATAGACACAAGGCAAAGCAATGGGCTGCTACTCACTTGCCGATGCTGGAAAGCGAGTTCGCCAGCGTTGGGTTCAGTGGGAGACATACGAGCGTCGGCGACGTGGAAGGCTCGTCGCTTGCCAAGACGCTGGCAGGATCGACAGACGTCCCGGCTGATATGCTGAAGGAGAGGAGTAAAGACGTCTACACCACCTACGCCACAGGACGCCAGAACGTGGCATTCTTGGACGTCAAGATCAGCCTCTACCCTCGCTACAACCCATTCAAATGGTTCTTGGAAGCAGGTCTATCCTTGTTCTTCGACTCGGTACCCATGCCCAAGGAACGCCTGGAAGCTACAGCCTACTGTTTCGATGGCAAGGAGAAGTCGATCATTTCGCAAGGACAGGGTGCAGGTGGTCAGAGCAAAGACAGCAGCTACGATGGTTTCGTGTGGGCGGTCGTGCACAAGGACAAGATGAACCAGCTTCGTACTGATCGTTACGATGTTTCTTTGACCACGACGAAAGATCATCCCAAGCTGCCTATCTGGGCGACGGTCATGAGCGAGAGTGCTGAGGTGACGGAGGCACTGCTTACGCCGGATCTAATCAAGGCTATCACGGATGCTGGAGAGGATCTGGAGTCGTTGATTGTTAGTGATCAGCCGATTGACGCGCCTAAGAAGTATGTCCAGCCCTTCAAGATGAAAATATACGACCTCGACTAATCTCCCACAGACTCAACGACACCATCCCCAAAAAGCGCATCTCCCTCGCCATGCGCCTCAACACCACCCCCGCCAGCACCTCCCTCTTCGCCTACTTCCTCCGCCTCCCGGACCATCTAGTCAGCACCGCGCATTTCCGGCCCGAAGCGCTCCGAAAAGTGCGAGCGACGCGCGAAGAGGAAATGCGCAAGATCCGGAAAGTGGACGAGGATGAGAAGGCGGAGGAGCGGAGGACGCAGGGCGATAAGTTGAAGAGGGAGGAGAGGGATCGGAGGCTGGGGAAGATGAATGCGGATGAGCAGAAGAAGTTTTTGGAGAAGGAGAAGGACAAGGATCAGAGAAGGAATATGAAGAAGAGGAGTGCGAAGGCTTGAGATATGTGTTGGACGGTGTGGCTGTTTTGGGGTGAGATGGGATGCGTTTGGAGCGATTGTGGAAAGGAAAGGTATGTAGGCGAGATGTACAGGTTCGATTGATAGATACTCGGACGGTCATATCATTGGAGATTGCGAACGTCGATTATGGGCTTTCACGACTTGTTGGGTTCCTTCGGGCCACATTGTCAATTGGTGCAACTTCAACCGATTCCTTCGATCCGATGTTCGTGGTCGTGAAGCCTGTCTGTCTTTGACGTGATGCGAAAGCTTAGAGCAACTGGCGTGTTGAGTGCTAGTAGGGAACCCTTGGTCGGTGCAAGCAGTAGCTGCTACTGTAAGCTGTAGTCAAGGGGTAGAAGAAGTGGTTTCAGGGCCAACTTTGAGGGCGAGTTCGTGACGGTTTCGTCTATGTATGTTCTCGTCCCTTCGTGCCCCTTTATTATCGATAGCTTCCTCTTCATATTATAAAATTAGTAAGTTAGTTACTTGTATTACATATAAATAATCTTAAAGGAGGTTCGTTCTTATATAATGATCATAGTAAGCCTTGCTTACTAGACTCGTCGTATAGTAAGTGAAGTAAGCTACGCTTCCTTTTCTTACTCTGCACTTAACCCGAGGTACGCAGAACCCTGTCCTGCTTACGGCACGTAACCCTGGCCTAAGCCTCTCTGTAGGTGATTGTAACACTATCTGCCTCTACAAGCTAACCTATAGATCCTTCTCTGTCGTCGCTGCGCTTTCCGCTCTCTGTACATCGTTTTTTGCTTTCTGCGTTCTAATATCCTTGAAACCAAGACCCCAAGCGAATACAAACGCAACACATGCTACACCAACGCCAACGTACATTACGTTATCGATACTGTCGGTGTAGGCTTGTAGCACAATGGCAAGTCGTTCGCCATCCGGAATCAGCTGACGAAGACCTCTAGCCCCGGCATTAACAATGGCGTCTGGAGCAAATCCAATCTTTGAACTCTGTGCGCTAATCAGGCGGCGTAGACTGTTACTGAATACGGTGTTTGCGATGACAAGGGATACGGCACCGCCCATGCCTTGGCAGAAGATGACAATCGCCATGGCAATCGGGATCTGTGGCGCAGGAACGAGGTTCTGAACAGCGATATATGCCTATCACGATTGAGACGATCAGTGTCCATAGCGTCGCGCTGTAAGCCACCTTGAGTTGAACTCACTGCTATAACAGTACAACCACTACCAACTCCGTAGAGCACCTGATAGCCAATCCACTTGGCAGCTGGTGTCGTCGGGTGTAGAAGTGACAGGAGTCCGTATCCGATAGCTGAGATAGTGCTTCCTAACACTGCCCAGGGTAGATAGTAACCAAGCTTCTCGACTATATGAAGAAAGCGTTGTTAGCTTATCTATCACCATGAACTTCAAGCAACAAATTCATGGTACGTACTCGTCACACCCGAGACGATGGTGAAAAGGACCAGGCCGAGGGTTGTTGGCAGTAGATGTACGCCACTCATCAGAGGCGAGTCGTTCTTGACCGCCTGGAAATAGATTGAAAGGTAGAAGTCAGCGACAAGTATGCTTGCCAGCACAAATGCCATGTTGCCTGCGGCCGACCAGATGACCTTGTCGGTGAGAAGAGAGAACGGCACCATAGCCTCGTCGCCCTGACGCCGCTCCCAGAAAAGAAAACAAACGAACATTGCGACTCCACCGATTATGAGCCCAATGACAACAGGGCTGTTCCATGGATGTTCGTTGCCGCCGAATTGCAAGCCCAACAAGAGCATTATGACTGCAGGGCTTACCAAAGCGAATCCTGGAAGGTCAAGTGACTTGACGGCTGTGCCTAGCACCTCTCGTACCGGCTTCTTCGGTTCTGGCTCTGGGATGCGGAATGATAACAGGAGGACACCAACAAGGGCTCCGGCCGGAAGGTTGATGTAGAAGCCTAGAGAGTCAGCTTTTGTTCCGCTGAGGTCAGCAATGAAGATAGCATACACCATCGCCAGGATACGTATTCGGTCAACGCGCCTCCAAGAATGGGACCAATTGCCAGTCCGATCTGGCCAAAACCTTGAGTGATACCGAGAACTTGGGCTTGGGCATCACCCGGAAGGATAGCCGGTATGATCGTCAAGGCGCCCGTCGAGATACCAGAGGCACCAATGCCTGCGATGGTTCTTCCCACAATGAACATCGCCGACGATTGAGCTGCGCCGCATAGCGCCGAGCCAACCTCGAAAATCAAGAAAAATGTAAGAAAGGTCCACTGCATTACTATGTCAGCATACGCACACCACTTCTCGTAGCACAAATGTCCTAGGAGCTTGCCTTGATAGAGAACACACGGAAGAGCTTGCCTGTTAGCGGCGTGACTACAGAACTGCCGAGCTGATACGCTCCGCCATACCTGAAGGTCGACTGTTAGCAGGCGGTGATGGATGGCCGGTGAATATTGCCAGGCGTACCAGCCAACATCGACAAGTGAGTTGAATTCTGACGTGATCGCTGGAGTCGCCGTCGAGATCACAGCTAGGTCGAGAAACCAGAGAAAGTACGATAGTATGACCGGCGCCAGGACTAAGACGCGTGCAACGCGCGAGAGCTCCGACTGCGCTGTTTGTGGTGCATCATTGCTCAAACCGTCTCTGTCTTTGCTGTATCCATTGTGCGGCGCTCCGGATGGTTGGGCAGCGGCGCTCACTACTTTTTCGTCCTGCATATCCTTCTTGTCACGGCTGCTCGACTCTCCTGACATGGATATTTGATGTCTTGGTTTAACGTGCTTTGCTGATGTGTCCGAGGTCCCCTACGATGCTAGAAAGGAACTTCGCGAGCACCGTGGGAGACTATATATGGAAAAGGATATTGGACAGACAGTTCACCCTTCTCTCGCACTCGATACGTACGCAGTCGGACATTTCGACGGTTCTATGATCCACCAAGGGCCCGATTGCCGTATCTTCATCACGACTACATGCATGAATCGGCGAGAAGTATCCCAGATCGATTTGACGGCCAGTTTGCACCGCGCATTACTGGCGCGCAACGTTCTCCATCGACAGGGACAAGAAGTGGGATGCGTCTTTCCGCGCTATCGGAGTCTGATGTGCAGCCCGTTGCCAAGCGTTTTGTTGTATCCTGCTTCGGGTCTAGTGCTTCGAGTCGTGCATTGCGGATTCATGTTCTCCTCCCGAAGACGCTCTATCGCCACAGAAGAGGCAAAGGAGTGGAAGAGGCACCCATAAGATGGCGGAGCTAGACGACACCGTCATGGTAGTTCTCGGACCAAACTCAATGCCTTTTGTTGTGACGTCCAACAACAGCAGCATCGACTCCGCTACAAGGAAGCTCATTCGCAGTCATGTCATGCGAGGACGAAACCAGGGCAGAACTCGACCTAAACGGAATGTTTTAGTACAGGGCTACGATATGGCCGCTGGTAGCGTGCAGGCACCATCGGTCAACTTTGATGATATCACGCGCATATATATGCCGCCAACGAGGCATATTGGTCCAGACCTCTCGTTCTTGGCGTCTCCAGCAGACCTCGATCCATCCATTCTTTCAAACATTATCAAAGGTGCGGAGCAGAGCTACCCAGCATTGACAGCAGCTGACGGTGATACCGTGTGCAGTCTCGCCTATAGCGCAGAAGGTCATGTATCCGCTCTTGACGGCGGTAGGCAAGCCAGTGGACAATCGACAATGGATCCGATTATGCATGGTAGACGCTGCTGCCCTGCATGTTACTGCGTTCTCCGTAGAAAGCTTCGTCGACATCTTTCTTCATCGACGAAAGCAGCCCAACCCCGCGGCCATGGTCCACTTCCAAAAGGGCCTTACACTACTCAGTGAGAGACTCGCAGGTGGCGATGAGGAGCTGAAAGCCACCGATACAAGCATTGGCGTGGTCCTGAAACTGGCCACTGCTGCACACTTTGTTGGGGATCTCCAAGTGGAGAGGCAGCACATGATCGGAGTACGGAAGATGGTCGAATCTCGAGGCGGATTAGATGCGTTCAGATTTAATCCTCTCTTGTTTGAGATGCTTAGGTACGTACTAGTTCCTTTCAATTCGTGGTCAGCATGACTGATATTCCACAGGTGCGACCTTGTTCTTTCGGTACCCAGTACCTCGATACCAGTCTTCTTCCGCCAACCGCTCGAGCCGATACCCCCCTACCCAGTGAGTCTTTTGCCGAAGTTCAACGGCACAGCACAGACGCAAGACACCCTGGAGGTTGCCAAAATGATCGATGCAAGCCTAGCTGAAGCTTGGTCGATCATGAGGAGATTCAGCTTGCTAGTCAATCTGGGTACCCAAACTCAACGGCTCATCTCGACGAAAGTCATCAACGAGACGATGACATCCGTGGTGTATCGCTTGCTCGACATACGATATCCATCAGGCTCATTAAATGAGGGTGTGCGCCTCATCTTATTGACCTATTGTTTTCATGTCTTTCTCCAGTGGCGGGACGTCAAGTTGCCATGTCCCCACCTACAGAATAGTTTCCAAGAAATGACTCTGGCGTTGCAGCACAGTGGCAAGGTATCCGCTCGCTTTATGCTATGGGTTTTGATGGTAGGAGCTGTTTCGATCTTCGATTCGCAGAACGAAGGATGGTTGAGCTCTATGCTGCGTCACCACGTTCGGAGCCAGCAGATATCTTGGACAGAGGTGCAAGACGTATTGAAGTCCTTTCTGTGGATTCCATTGCTGGATGAAGAGCCAGCAAAGTTGATCTGGGATAGCCTCAACTGAAGTCTAAAGAAGTGAAGAGCAAGACGCGCACGAGCCGGTGAAGCACCTTGCGACATATTGTCTTGATCTCGGGGCCACCCTGCTCAGTCGCCCGGACAGTCCAGGGTATCATGTAGCGCGTGGGCGTCCAGGTTCAGATCGGTCCAGGTAGCGAGTCACAAATCTCGGCCGTGAGGACTGCGAACTTGCCCAAAATCACCGTCACTGCTAGGCGGGACCAGTCTGCTCGATTGCAACATTCAGAACAGAGCGCCGTGATGAATGTGCTCCCGCTCTTCATTGGTGGAAGCCTTGCCGTCACCAATCTCGATCTCGATCAACAAAGAGATGCGCTTGAAAGACAATCAATGTCGTCCCTCGTGTGGCCTCTTGCCCTCAGCTGGAACTTGTACGAGGCGGCACTGGCATACAAGCTTCAAGCAGATGACTTGGTCCGCAAGGGTGATCCCGAAACACTCCTCTGCGCGTACTCGATGTATTCACATCTGGTCCACCTTCTCGACCATGCTGGAGCGAGTGGTATCTTCATGCCTTCGAGCAGCGACGCCCTCAGCCAGTGTTTCGACGCAGATATACACGGTTCCCGCCTAGTGTCTGCGTTCAGGGTCTTGTACATCAGTGAAGCCGTGAGCGAGCTGGATGCTCTGATGGAGGGAATGCACAGATTGCCTCCCGCGATGATTTTCCGGGTGTTGCACTTTAGTGGTGCGCTGACATTGCTCCGAGACTGCATCATGACCGGAATGCAGGTCGAACGCACGTCAATGGACGTGTTTCTGGGAGTACTCGAGGGCCTACCTCACTTGGACTCAAGTATGGAACACGATCGCGCGCTGGTAGTAGGGGCCATTGCTCAAAACGAGGTAGGTGCACCTTGAGCCACGGAAACGAACGCTGGATGAGAACCGTAAGCTGATTACTTGTAGCAAGCTGGAAAGATCAGCATCGACCCTTCCAGCCTCAGCATTTTCGCTTTGCCCATGGAGCCCTTCGACCATCATCGCGAGCTAGATCTACCGACCCGTCCATCCGACTTTGTAGGCTGTCAATACCTCGCGCATTTGCGTAGTCTGATCCCTGGGGAACGTGAGCGCATTGTGAAATCGCAGCAGAAGCATGGTCTATTGGTAACGAACTTGGAGTAGGCCCCTGACGGGATGTACCGGCAATAGGCAAAACTGAGAGGTGGCGGGGCAGGCTCTCGTGTGTAGCACGGCGGAGCTGCTTGCTGTAATATGTGGGTCATGGGTATCTTCAGCCCCGTGCTGGTGTAATCTCGCTCTACCCGCTCAAGGTGCAGCAAATACAAGTCCCACGCCATCATCTCCCGCCGTCACGATCTGCTTCCCACCACCACCTTGTACGAAACCCAGGATCCCACCACCTTCACCACCACCTCTGTGACCTCGCCACTCTTGCACAAGCCCCAACCCAACCGCTGACGTACCACCTCTTACATCCCACCTTCGGATCACACCATCATTACCCACAGAAGTCAATAGGTAATTCTTCTCGTTAGGTGTGCCAAGCGGCGTCTTCACAAACTCCACCTTAATCACCGCCTCCTCCTCATGCGCTTCTTTGATATTTCTCCGTACGGCGAAGTTGTGTGCTGCGTCGAAGATCGCTATCGAGCCGTCCACACTGCCTGCTGCAAGCAGGGTGAGAGGTGGTTGTGAGAAGTCCAGAGTCTCGACGCCATCGCTCTGCGCCTGCAGACTCGCCAAAATCTGTCCTGCCTGTCCAGCTGATGCCGTCGCTGATGCAGGAGCTTGTTTCGCACCTCCCGCCTTGACTTTCGCACCAGCACCCTTCGCACCAGCTATGCTATTTGCCGGAGCTGAAAGTCTTGGTAAGCCAACAACTCTGATCTGCCCCTCAGCACCACCAACAGCCACGATTCCGCCACCAGGTGAAACAGCAGCACTGTACAACCCACCATCAACCTTGAATCTCTCATCCTCCGCCGTGAGTCCCACAACAGCCTGCCCACCGTTCGGATCCGTGACCCCAGCCGCCGCAGCCTCGCCAAGGACGTCCCAGACATAGAGACTGCTGTCTTCGGCAACAGTGGCGAGTAGCTTTCCATCCGGTGTCCAGGCGCCAGCTGTACAGGGTGCTTGATGTAAGAAGAATGTCTGGACGATCGTGAGTGGGGAGCTGGGGTCAGAGGAATTGATGCTATATATCCAGACGCTGCCGTCGGAGGCGCCGAAGGCTATTGTGTTGGGGTAGCTCTTGTGTGGGCATGGGAGAAGCCAGTTGATTTCTTCGACTTCTTTTGCTGAGGCAAGGGGCGCGAGTTGTGTTGATGATGAGCTTGAGCTTGGTGTGCGGTAGATGTTGAGTTTGCCTGCCATGGTGGCTGTGGCTACGAAGTCTCCGAAAGGTAGAGTGAAGGTTATTGCATTGACCGTCTCGTCCTGGTCACCCAGTTCAGCTAGCATTGGCTGACCTCTTCTTTCTCGTGGCTGAGGGTTCGACTCGTAGCTTTGTGGTAGGAGTGGTGCTTCCCGTACATCAACAGGTGTAGCGTTCCAGACATATGCCATATCGTCCCCTCCTCCCGTTGCAACGATCTCGGGATGTAATGGATGTTGTGCGATACAGTATACGCTGTCCTTGTGCCCGTCAAAATGTGCTACGCTGTCGTTTTGTAGTTGTATTTCTTCTATGGGTCCGTCCAAGTCGATGTCCTCGCCTTCGTCGTCACCAGAGTCCATAGCTGCGTCTTCGTCATTTTGCTCGAATGTTTCGTCGATTTCATCGTCGCCAATCAATGCGTCGGCTTGTTCGTCTGTGAGGGAGTTGTGGTCGTGATCGTGCATATCTTGGTCTGCCATGGTCGAGACAGTTATTTAGTGGTTACTGAGAGGTAGATTCTTTTATATGCTTTGATACATGTATGCTTAGAAATTCTAAAGCAATAATTGTCCCGAGTCGCGCATGACGTGCAATTGTCCCGATCGGTATTTGTAGATGACTCAGCCATAATCCACCTCTCCATGGAATCTTCTTCTCCTAATACCCTGGTGATCTACAAGACTAACGCGTCGAACACATGCCCGGAAAGATAGCGCAAAGCCATCTCTGCTATCTGCCATGCTGACTCTGTGTACACGCTGGCTTCGGAGGTGGCCCATGAGATGAAAGGCCTGGGAATAGCGAAGACAGGAAAGCTCAGCGCCCCCACATCCTCGCTTGTGCTGTGTGGCAGTGAACTCCAAGGCGGAGCAGATATGTCTATACCTGTGGCCTCACGACACTGTCTACGTTTCTTGAGTGCTGAAAGATAGTGACTCCATATGCTGTGGATCCAAAATACCTACGCAAATCATCGCCGGACTGGTCTACACAGGTCGATCGCATAGAAAGCGAGTCTTCCTCATCCATCGTGCCGCACGCAACCTATGGTGTCACGGCTTCGGATCTCTATATAGCTGTTAGCTGATAGGAATCAACGATGCGTCTGCTCAATACCACCGATTTCAGCTTCCAGGAATTCTGGACATTCTATACGACACCAGCATACGCTATCCTGAGTCACAGATGGAGCGACGAAGAAGTCAGTTTCAAGATTTGGCGCAAAGGTTTGTGTATTACAGGAATTGGCTACGTGAAAATCAAGAAGTTCTGTACAGTGGCTAAGAGTTTCGGCTTCGATTGGTGCTGGGCTGACACTTGCTGCATCGACAAGAGAAGCAGTGCTGAGCTGTCAGAAGCGGTCAACAGCATGTACGACTGGTACAAGCACAGCTCACTGTGTATCACGTATCTATCAGATGTTCACTACAATTCTGAGGGGCCCCGAACAGATTGGGTTTTCCATGATGCGATAGCCAGTATGAAGCATAGTGAGTGGTTTAGTCGTGGCTGGACTCTGCAAGAGCTAATTGCCCCTCCGCGGATTCTTTTCTTGTCGAGTGAGTGGACTATCTTGGGTCACATAACATCCCATTTCATTCTCGACGACGGCCTCGTCCCTGGTTATCCGCCATTGCAAGCTCACATATCTTCCATCACCGGCATCGATGTCGGTATACTGATCAACTCGAACGTTCTGGAAGCGGCATGTGTCGCAGAGAAGATGTCATGGGCGGCGGACAGACAAACGTCGAGACCAGAAGACATGGCCTACTGTCTTCTAGGCCTATTCCATGTCAACATGCCGCTTCTTTATGGCGAAGGAGCCACCAAAGCGTTCATGAGGCTACAGCTAGAAATCATCCGTAAATCGTCGGACGAATCAATCTTCGCCTGGCGCGAACAGTCCTGGACCTGGCAAGGTCTTCTAAGCAGCTCACCTAAGGTTTTCAAGCATAGCGGACATATTCGTAGGCCAAACTCGATTTTCGTGTCCCTGGGTGACCTCACTAGCGCTCGTGAGGTCACACGCTTACCGTACGCCATGACAAACAGGGGCCTAGAGCTGCGTGCACGTGCCTGGAGATCCTTTGACAAAGGGAGCATTTATTACATTCAATTGGCGTGCGAAGAGGTGGTCGATAATGGTGTCAAGCAGTCCTGTATGCTTGTGCTTCAGGGTGTGCGCTACGAGGACGGAGATCGTGTCCGACACGCTCAGCGTAGAAATACCAATAGTCTCGACTTAGCCATGGATTGGCAAGAACCGAATGACGTAGAGAGCAGGTCTGCGTTGTGCGATCTTGGTATTGTGTGCTTCGAGATACCCCAGGACGGCTTGTAACACATCGTAGTAGATCGATCAATCGTGACGATCAGACCTGGCACTTCACTGCGAGCCTTGACCCTGTCGTAGCAGCCGTACTCCTGTCTCTCGTAATATGAACTTTTGGATCTTGCCACTGGCGGTCTTGGGATAGTCGTCGACCCAGAAGACATATTTGGGGACTATGAAACAGTGTCAGCACCAGAATCTTTGGATATAAATTGCACGTCGAACTTACCTAGATGTCCGCTGAGCTCTGTGCGCACCCACTTTCGCACGGTGTCAGCTTCGAGCTGCACGCCCTTATGCCTCACCACGAACGCCGCGACAACTTCGCCATACTTCTTGTCCGGCAAGCCCACTACACTAGCTTCCCTCACCTCATCATGAGCGAGCAGACAGTTCTCAACCTCAAGAGGGTGGATATTCTCCCCACCACGAATGATCAAGTCCTTGATCCTGCCGGTTATAGAGACATAGCCTTCCTCGTCCATGCTCGCTTCATCTCCTGTAAGCATCCAGACTTTGCTCGGATCGTTCCCGTCGGGTACCATGGCTCCGGTGGTCTTTGCTGGGTCTCCCCAGTACTCTTTCATAAGTAAATATCCAGACACTGCAAGCTCTCCTCTCTGGTTGATGCCGAGGATCTTGCTCTTGTCTGTCACATCTACGACTTTCGCTTCCACGTGTGGCATTAACCGTCCTACAGTATCGATACGTTTCTGTATCGGATCGTCTGTGCGGGTCATGAGTGAGACGGGCGATGTCTCTGTCATGCCATAGCAGATCGTGAGGTCGTGCAAGTTCAGGATCTTATGCAACTTGCGCATCAGTTCTGCTGGTACTGAGCTGCCTGCCGCGATGCCCGTGCGGAGGTCTTGGAAGCCTTCGTACGGTACAGTGCCGTTGGCTAGCAGTTCCAGCTCGGCCAGAAACATGGTCGCGACGCCATATAGTGCAGTGGCCTTGTACTCCTGGACTGCCTTTAAAGATGCCAGTGGGTCGAACGCTTCAGTCGGAAAGACAATCGCTGAGCCATGTGTAGCTGTTGCCATGTAGCCAAGAATGCACCCGAAGCAATGAAACAGCGGAGGCGGACAGCAGACGACATCCTCTGGTGTCAAGAGCATGCGGTCACCTATCTGCATGCCGTTGTTCAGGATCGATCGATGAGATAGACAAGCAGCTTTAGGTGAACTCGTAGTGCCGGAAGTGAACTGAATGTTCACGATGTCGTCTTTGTGGAGTCTTTGGTCCGAAAGACTCTGACCTGTTCCAGCTAAGACGTCCTCGAAAGGCACCGTCGCTCTCAACTCCTTCGCGTCGACTCGCCCAGATGAATTGTCCACAAGCACAATCTGCTGCAACGACGGCACGATGTCCGACTCCAGCTTCCCGCTCCTGACATTTGGAGCAATTTGCTCCAGTAGTTGTACATTACTCCTTGGAGGTTTCCTACTCAGATTCGTCTCCGTCCCAATGACCAAATGGCTCGTCTCGAGGTGATTCGCCGCGCTGATTACCTGCTGGACGTTGAAGCTCGGATTCAGTGGGTTGAGGATGGCGCCGAGCTTGAACAGAGCATATGTTGCTATGCCGAATTCGATGTTGTTGCCCAATGATACAGCGACTCTGTCACCCTTCTTCACGCCTATTCCCTGTAGTCCTCGTGCCAATGCATTGCTTTTGCGGTCCAGTTCCTCGTAGCTCAGTTGTGTCTGTTGATGTCGAGATATGACTCTGTGATCGATCAGTAATCGTCAGTGGCATGGAACAAAGAGGGGACCGTACGCCGGTCGATCGCCATGTTTACGAACGATGCTTGCAAAGTGCTCAGGTATCGTCGTCTCAAGTAGAGCTGGCTACCATTCACAATCAACAAGATACCTCACCATTGACTGTGAAGCCCACAACTTACCTCAGATGGACCTATGTCATATGCCCTGGTCAGCAATCCCCTCCAATAGCCTGCCGGCGCCCGCCATTGGGAGCCAAGCAATCTCCGGCTACCCAAAGCCCGTAGTAGCATCCCTCGTAGACCAGATCATGAGCATCGGCGAGACAGACTGAGAATACTGGGTTGATCGTCTACAATGCGAAGACATGGCGTCCATGCACACTGGAAGCTCACCATCAGCTTAAGCTTCGGAGCTCGTGAGCCGAGGCGTGCAGGCAGGAAGCATAAATTTTGCGGGGTTCAGGGACAGTCTCCACTTCACCGCCGCCGTGGTCTCGGGTCTCGATAAGGTGGGCACGAGCACATGGCAGATTGACGAGGAGCTGGAACAAGACACGAGCACATAAAGCGTCTGTACATCTACAAGCCTCGACTTAGCTCGCTGCTCACTCCTTGTAGATATCCTTGATGATCGAGCCTCATTCAAGCATCGTCCTAGTCCGCCCGATTGGTGCGCAAAACACCGTCCTCACTTCACGACGCCGCGCTCTCCATTGCCATGCTCTCGTCGATGAATGCTGATCCGTATATATGGGTATCGTAGATTATGTGTCAAAGTCATCGTAATGAGTCAAGATCCTCTCCTGTGGATATTCATGGCCTAGAAGTCGGCGAAAGCGCTTTCGTACTTCTGCTGCATTTCCTGCAACGTTTGTTAGCAAATTCCTTGTGCGAATTACGGAGGGTGTGTGCGTACCTTCGTGTATGCATCGCGATGCACAGGCTCAGCATCATACTCGTCAAAATTCCTCGTATCGTCTGCGCTCTTCAAATGCGGCACAATCGGTCCTTGCATCTTCCTGTGGTACAGCTCGTCCCAATTGATGTCCTTGAACCATGGATGCGACTTGACTGTACTTGCACCGCCCTTCACATTACCCAGCCGTTTCGTCACGTCGACTGTACACAACCCACCAATAATGTCTCGTGCATCTCGTGACATGGCCGAGGGGTACCTGACTTTGCCTTCGACGATCTGCTCGTATATCTTCATCGGGTTCTGATCCCAGAATGGCGGTTGTCCAACCAGAAATTCGTAGATGAGGATGCCGAAGGCCCACCAGTCGACTGCAGTGCCATGACCAGTGTTGCGAATGACCTCGGGTGCTAGATACTCGGGGGTGCCACACAGCGTGTACGTCTCTCGCTCCTCGATCTTTTTCGCAAAACCAAAGTCAACGAGCTTGAGGTGACCTTCGGCATCGATCAGTATATTCTCAGGCTTAAGATCACGGTATGCTACGCCCTCCTTCTCGTGCAGGAACTCCAGTATCAGAACGATCTCGGCTGCATAGAATTGTGATGTGGGTTCATTGAAGCGTCTCGCTCGTCGCAAGTAGGAGAAGACTTCTCCCCCAGGACAGTACTCCAGTAGCATGTACAGCGTATCGTTGTCCTGGAAGCTCGCGACCATGGTCGTGATGAAGGGATGTCCAGCCACGGCTGCCAGCGTATTTCTTTCGTTCCTGACATGCTCTACTTGCTTCAGTCGGATCACGTCCGTCTTCCTCAATATCTTCAGCGCAAAGACTTTGTTGTTGTCTCGTTCCTTCCGATTTGCGATCTTCGCCAACCACACTCGCGCAAACGTTCCCGTACCCAACGTCTTAATCAAGTCAAAGTCCTCCTTTCGAAGGTATTTCGAGCTATGTCCGACGGGCTTCTTCTGCGGGTCCTTGGTAATCTCATCAACCTCCAACGGCTCCTTCTGTGCCTCCCAGTCTGCTAAATGCTGCTTCTCCTGTTCGCGCTGCTGACGATTGGCATCGTATCCTTCGTCACCTTGGGATTGCGACATGCGGTGAAGCATCTTGGACAACATGGCGGGCGCCATTGCGAGCAAGAGCTCGAAGCCGAGAGCGTCGGCGACACAGACGATCTCCTTGTCCTCCTTTCCTTACCAGCTTTTCACAGTTATCTCCGTTCACTAGCAAATCATGGTTCAGTCGCGCTTTACAGCGCCGTGGGTTCGGGAGATTGGCGTTCAGTCTAGCGCCAGAGCTTGGGTTGCGTTACTCAGCCAGGTCGCATTATTGAATCAGCCGCAGCGGTTGCATGCATGAATGGCAGAACGAGAACGACGGAGTCCAGTGAGCAGGCAGGTCTCGCAGGTCTTGAATGCTGGGAGAGCAACGTCTATCGGCCAACCATGAGAGCTGTCGCACATTGATCTACAGGAGGGGCAATCGCACAGACATCTTCACGATCAGACCGGACGATTTTTGTGACGTCGGAGGCTCACTCATGTTCATGCCCGAGTCCCGTCTCGCGCCGATACTCCGGTAGCTCTTCTCCTTCCCTCCACTGCAGCGACTACCACCGTGCTTGGCCGGGAGAGTACGCGCACGTGATGCCATGTTTCTTGTTGGGTCGAACAGAACATAAATGGTTCGAACAGTAATTCGGGACAACTACGCCGTCGAACACAAAACCTGACACCCACTCCGTGAACCTTTGACTCCTTCGCATCCGTATTGTCCTGGCCTTCGTTGCTGATCAGGCGCAACGTACAGGGTTACGGCTACTCCCGCATTGTGCATCGAGCGAAAAACATATATCGGCGATTTCGACAGGCTCGAACAACAATTTCGATGGCGACTATCGGCAGCTCGAGAATGCCAGAAACGAACGCGAGAATGGTATCGACACCTGATGTCCGACTAGCTACCCTCATGGATCTGCCACAATTGACACCGACGAGATCAGCTCTCGACGCCAAATATGATACATATCAAAAGTGCGTGCCAGAACCCATCCCTCCAGACATAAAACCGAAAATACTGACACCGTCCAAGTCCCCTCAATTCCCGCTACTGCTCTTCGGAAATGAAGTACATCTTCTCGCCCCGTAACCGCTTCAGCACTTGGCGAGAACTCTGGATCTGGCTTGCGGAATCCGAACGCGAACTCGGCCTGGAGGGGATTACGCCCACCGCAATTGAGCAGATGCGAGATCATGTCCGGATCCAAGACCATGAGTTTGAGCTAGCCGCGGTAGAGGAGAAGCGCAGACGTCATGATGTTATGGCTCATGTGCATACTTACGGGCAGATTGCCCCGGCTGCTGCTGGTATCATCCATTGGGGTGCTACTTCTTGGTGAGTAGTACGGTGATAGTTTGTGGTGGGATGTGAGACGCAATGGCTGATCACTCGTAGCTATGTGACTGACAACGCGGATCAAGTACGCCCACCTTTTACCTCATTCTCAAATATCCCCTGACTAACGTCAAGCAGATCTTTCTCCGAGACGCACTCGACCTCTTACTACCAAAGCTAGCTGCTGTGATCCAACGACTCAGTAACTTTGCCCTGGAATATCGTGACGAGCCGGCACTAGGATACACCCACGGCCAAGCAGCGCAGATGGTCACAGTGGGAAAGCGAGCAACCATCTGGATCGAAGACCTCCTTGACGACCTCCACAACCTCGAGCACGCCCGCGACAGACTCGTCGCCAAATTCCGCGGCGCAAAAGGCACAACAGGAACCCAGGCCTCATTTCTCGCAATCTTCAACGGCGACCACGAAAAAGTGAAGAAACTCGATGAACTCGTCACCCAGAAAGCAGGTTTCACAGCCTCAGTACGAAGCACAACGCAGACTTATTCTCGCAAAATCGACGTCGACGTCGTGCACGCCCTCTCTTCCTTCGGCTGCACAGCCGAGCGGATCGGTGGCGATATCCGACACTTGGCTATGCTCAAGGAGATGGAGGAGCCGTTCGAGCAAGACCAGATCGGCTCGAGCGCTATGGCGTACAAGCGTAATCCCATGCGCTCGGAACGACTTTGCTCGCTCGGCAGGACGCTTGCGAACTTCTCGGCGAATGTGGAGCAGACGTATAAATCGCAATGGCTCGAGCGAAGTCTGGACGATTCGGCTATCAGGCGGATAGTCTTGCCTGAGTCGTTCTTGTGTGCTGATGCTTGTATGATCTTGGTAAGACGCACGTCCAAGTATCCTCTTTAAGCTGTGCTGATGATTGAGCTAGCTCAACAACATCTCGTCTGGTCTCGTGGTCAACCGAGCCATGATCCAGAAGAACTATCACGTCGATCTGCCGTTCATGGCAACAGAGAACTTTATCATGGCTATGGTCAACAAGGGACACTCAAGGCAGGATGCCCACGAGCACATTCGGTGTGTCCCGCAAACTCTCTCCCTATTTGTGGTCATCATACTGACTTCGGCCCAGCGTAATGTCCCAGGAAGCCGCCAAAGTAGTCAAACAAGAAGGCAAGCCAAACGACCTGATCGAGCGCATCAAGAACAACAAGTTCTTCGATCCCATTCTGGACCAGCTAGAGGACCTGATGCGGCCTTCGACATTCATTGGAAGATCGCCCGAGATCGTGAAGGAGGTGGTCGAGTTCGATGTTGCGCCTGCACTGAAGAAGTATGAAAGTGCCATCGGTAACATCAGAGACGCGGACCTGGCAGTGTAGATTTTGGCTCTCTCAGGGGCCGTCTGAATGGATGTGATGGCTTATACTACATGTCTATCATAAGGCAGCAAGAAGGAAGAATATCCAGATCCCAATCTCATCAACCACTCAGCTATTGCGTACCTCTCTCACCACAACTTGTCAGTGCGGCTCCAGTAGAGCAGCGAGCCACCAATGGCAGCACTGTTGACAATCCCAAAGACATGGCCCCAGATAGCTTCCCTGACGCCGTAGTATTGCACAATCAACGCATCACCAACAGTAGCCACAAGCCCACAAGCAACAGCAATACCCAAAGCCCTCCGATCTCTGACATAGCATCCAAGTGTCAAAAGCAAGATCCCATTCTGTAAATTTCGTGCAGCAATGGCGGTGATATATGCTTGCTGCGTCTTCTGTACCTGGTCGTCTCCGCTTGATTTTCCATCACTCGCGGTCGTTGTGGTTGAGCTAGCTGGGAGCATGGGCACGCCGAAGCCTCTGCTGAACTCGAGGGGGTTGGCGAAGCCGCCGAGACCGAAGATCGTGACTTCCATGCAGCCTACGAGGATAGCAAGGCATTCGGCTGGTGGTGGGAGGCCGGCGCGGAAGTTCTGGAAGGATTGGGACGCCATCGTGAGGTTCGAGACGGTAGCCAGTATTTGGTGGGCTGGTCTCGGTATGATTCGTGTCAGCGTATCGAAATCGATAGTGCTGTAAGTACCTGGGTATAGTAGTAGGTAGATGTCGCGATGGTATAGTTGATGTTCAGGAACAGGCTTAGCTCACAAGCTTGGACCTCCGATGTTCATGATACATCGTCCTATTTTCGCGATCCTCTACCCAACACTACATGCTCGTGATGGCCAAGATTCGACCTCCTTCTGTCGAGGTCGCATTGTTCCCTGTTACTGCTAGATATAGCCGTGATACATGGCCTGTAGACAACTCCTGCATCCCGAACTTCACCCAGACTGAAGGAAGGTATGAGATCCAGACTTCAAGCCAGGGCCATTTTTATCATCATGTCACCATCACTTCCTTTTGTTCCAAGACTCTGTACATCATGTGTCACTATCAGCATCACAGCTAGAACGTCGTAATACGCCAACCATGGCATTCAGATCACGATACGACCACGCTCAATTGGAGCAATATTTCGACCGCGTGTGCCTACCAAAATCCAAACGCATCTTCGATGTCTCAAAGCTTGACGACAAGGAGAAGTACGATTTCTTGAGCCTACTACACAAACAGCAACTTGTCAAAGTGCCATGGGTAAGCTTTAATAACAACATCTACATCATAATATCAAGATCTGACCGCTCCCAGGAAAATCTGACACAACACTACTCATGGCATCGAGTAGAAAATGTAAAACCCCAACACCTCTTCACCAAGATCGTCCACAGCCCAGGTCGAGGCGGCTACTGCATGGAAGCCAACTCCTTCTTCGGCATCGTCCTCCTGAGTCTGGGATTCGCGACTTATATGGCCGGAGCTCGAATTTGTCGTGGCAACGGCATGTATGGTGGCTGGACGCATGTCGTAAACCTCGTGAACATAGGAGGCGTCAAGTATGTCACAGACGGTGGTTTTGGGCCTCAAGAAGCACCACGGCCTCTCGCCCTAAATGCAGGTGTGGTAGAGACGCACGTCGGACCTGCGGACATGCGGGTAGTGTATGATCCTATCCCACAATTCGTGGATCAAACGCAGAGGATATGGATATATCAGCATCGACACAATGAAAGTGCTGAATGGGCCAGCATGTACTGTTTCACCGACATGGAGTTCACTCCAGAAGACATCCTGAGCATGAATTTCGCTCCGTGGCTTAATCCACAGAGCTTCTTCACACATAAAGTTGTTGCTGTACGATTTACGACGACCAAGACGAAGGAAGACGAGCCAGGTGCTGATGGCGAGGAGGCTTTGGAGGGTGAGATCGACGGAAGCCTGGTGCTTAATCAGGACGTGCTGAAGTGGCGGCGAAATGGCGAGAAAGTCATGGAGCTGAAGTTCAAGGATGACGGGGAGAGGGTGGCCGCGTTGAAGAAGTACTTTGGCATCACACTATCCCAGGAAGATCTAGAAGCGATCAAAGGCAGTGCGGCTGAAGTCTCGGCTGCTGGTATGGATCATGATTAGATTCAGACCAACCCTTGAACGTCTCAAATACACGCTTTCCCATCTCGATCGAGCATACGCGAAAGTGGCGAAGACCGCTGGAGCCCCTAGACAAGCCTTTCGACTACTCGAATTTGGTGATCGGCAGATGACCGTTGTACTGAAACTTGTATATGACCTGCCGTTCCTCGGCTGTCAACTCCGTCAATCGCATCTCGTCCTGCCAGCAAGAAAGGGTTTTTGGCCGCGGAGGTACGGCGGTGTCGTTCTGAGAGTTGGAGAGTGTCACGGGAAGTACTTTGCTAGTCAGGGACGGAGATGGTAGCCTGATAGTTGATCCTGGCTAACCACGGTATCAGTTCGAGCACCAAGAACATTTGGCTTACCGACTTACCCTGAACAATTCGAGGTAGGACTTAATCGGGTCCGCAGCATGCGACCGATCAAAGTCGCTCGCCTTCATCCATTGGACAATGATGTTGTGCTGTATGTTTCCGTATCGAGCAATGCCAGCTAGCCCTACAGCGCAGACGAGCCAGGTGTATCTATCTCTCGCGGCAGTGTTTAGCTGATAAAAATGGGAGGAAGATGAGCATATGCAGACGTTGTTGAAGGCTTGACGCAGCTCAAACTCTTCGCATCGAGCCGAGCTAATCAGTGCCACTGCATGAGAGTAAAAGAGGTCATGGACAAGTATGTCATATCGCAAAAGTGCGTTATAAGAGTCATTGTCGATGAAGATGGGATGGCGTTGACATGGCCACAAACTGCCACATCGTGCGAAGTCGAGAAGGAATCGGTACTTGCGCGCGGCGAGATCCAGTCTTCCGCACAAGGCCAACTCGTCGACGTCTTGTTTGTGTGCTAGCATAGTATCGAGCCTCTCCCACAGCAGACCACGCAAGCATGCCAGTGTTGGTGCCACAGTAAGCTTGATTTGCTCGAGTTCTGATGCGGATACAGCCTTGAAGCCAATCAACTCAAGATGACGCCCAAGACCGAGTACTGTGGCAATACCCTGAAGCACTGTTGTCTCTTCGGCGAGTGAAAGGTGATGAGTGCCGCCTGTGCGCAGAACTTCGAAGGACACGATTGGCAGGTCGCGTTTGAGACTCCGCTCGAGCTGTAGGGGTGCGCTGCGCGCCGATGTGATGTATGTGATCGGTCCGTTCGCGTAATGGCAGACAAATTTCAGCATGCTTAGGAGTTTTGGCAGATCTTGCAACAACATAAGTACCGTGCCTGTCTCTTCCTCAGGAGGTGCTTCTCCATTGTCCGTGTGGATGGTATAGTAGGGTCCGAACGGCCAGAATATGGTGACTTCAAGCGAGGCCTCGGGATGATGAAGTGGGTTCATTGCGACGATAGGAACGTCCAATGCATGGAGTTGCTTTTCGAAGCTGGGTGAGTTGTACTTCAGCAAAACGAACCGATTGTGCTTCCGGAAGAATTCTTGGCTTTCACGTGCAATGCGCTTGTTCACTCCAAACAGAGCCGCCTCGAATCGGTAGGTGTGAGCGGCGCTCAGCATGTTGCGAAGGCTGATCGGTGTCTCTGCTCCAGTCGAGAAGTGGCGCACGGCGCCGGCCTGCAGTAGATAGCTGTATATCTCATCTCTGAGCTCCGGAGGAAGGGGAAGATTATTGATTATCGGTATTTTGGTGCAGATTGTGTGGTAGCAAACTCTAGGAGGCGTCGTAGTCGTGAATCCTGGGGGTCGTGATGGTGCATCGTTGAGGGTCTCCTTTGACAAGATCCTGGCAAACATGCCCGCCAGGCTCTCGTAGTCGGTCATGGTATCACGCAAGCTGTTACTTGTTGTAGAAGATATGTAAGAGCTAAGTTGCGAAACTCAGTCTAAGATCAGAAGATGAGTGACGTTGAGCATGGCCCAAGCTCTACTTGTCAGCAGACAAGGAAGGAGCACAAAAGCAGTTTGCGCTGTAGGAAGGTGCCACTCAGGTCAGTGGATTGAAGGAATTGCTGATAAACGATAAAGTGGCATGTAGGCATGGACGAATCTCTCCGCAAGCAAGACACTCGATCTGACGAAAGGTCTGACATGCACGACCGCACAGCCATCCCTTCTATCGAGAGCACTTCACCTCAGATGAGGCCGTCGTCGCCCGAGTATCCACTCAGTCCCTTGTGTTCGTCACCGTCTCACGGCGACCCCCTGAGGCTTGGCGTCATGGTCTCTAGTCCTTCTTTCGACGTGTTCTCGCACGCTTTGCGATCCTACGAGAGTATTTCGACTCGAGCCAAGGTATCGCTTTCGTGACAAAGAAGTAGCAGAAGATGCCGCAGATCCATGCTTTGCCCATGAGGTGGCATAACTCGGTATAGATGTCTGGCTGATCCCAATTGACCATCATTGCGTAATTAGAGGCTTGGCCCGTCAGACTCGTGGCATTGAAAGGTATAGGAAAGAGCTTGGCATTGAAAGGTATAGCAAAGAGCTTGCCAGAGTCTCGTTTGTCCTTGGGTGGAGGCGTGACGCCGCCTTTAACGATCTTGTCGCAATAAGCCGAGCGCTCCTCTACAGCGATAAGCGATGCACAAGTTTGAATGGCGCTGTAGCGAAGTGACAAAATGCCGCTCCAGATGGTCCAGATCACCATCAAGACTGCGAGGACAGATCCTATCAGGGCAATGGCGTTCACGAGGTTCATGTTTACTTCGTCAAGGACTTACGCTGCTGTGGCGTAGGCGTAGGTCGTGTTGTTGGAGCGCCTGATGAAGCAAGGACGCTCCATAATGTCGGTCCATTGCTAGTCTGTTCTGTCGACATGGTGGAGTTGGGCGATGGTTGTTGTCTTATTTCTTTCCGTCTACTGTCGAATAGGGCACGACAATGACACTCTCAGGATCAACTTCTCAAGCGTGGGTGTCTCATTATTTGGGATAGCAAAATAAGTGTCGCGCGACGTGTTCAGTACCTATATGCTCACGGCCGAGCATCGTAGCGGAGCGATTCGAGGCTATGTACCTGAAACACGATCTTGGCAGCTATGTGGTCGGTCATGATGTGATGACGATACCCAGGTGTCCCTGCTGGCTCGATTGCAGCAGTCTGATGCTGTAGACCCTAGTGTCTCTCCTAAGTCCACAGCATGTACTTCTTCCCGATCTCGGCATTAGCATAGAGCTACTACATGCATTTCTGCTGCTGCGGTTCCCGTCCACTTCCCAGTCCCTCCTGTGTCGACAATCACAGATTCGTTCTAGGTCTTGCATTTCAATTACCCAGCAGAGCGACGAGCATCGATGTAGTGGCCTGGTTTCTGGATCCAGATGCGCAAACGTCTAGAGCGGACGTGGCGTTTCGACGGCTGCGGCTGAGGCGGTTTTTCGGTAGAGTGGAGATCATGGACATCACCAACATGAGTCGCCAGAAGTTGTTGATTGGTCCAGTATACCTCAGCTGAGCGTGGCGCCAGCGTACGGAGGTCGACACTCCAAGGCGGTCTATACTACCTTCCTCTCCCACTTCTGTCTCATCACATTACAAACTCTGAGCCGGTAGGGATGCCACCGCGGCATGGATCTCACCTTCGACCAGTCACCAATCCAGTCTTGCTTAACGTGAGGCGTGAAGCTGGATTTGTTTACATCCGCTGAAGGACACCTGTCCCGCTCGATTGGTATGAGCAAGTTCTGGGCTAGACATACCGGACATTCCACTTTGAAGTCTTACGCTGAGCCATCCCTTGATCCACGGCGCAAAAATGGTTGACGTCGTCTCAATAGTCGTGGCGTGCATCTCGCTCGTCGGCGCAGTATTGGCAGCAGCTTTCACAGCATACTCCGCCTACCTCTCTGATGAACGGAAACGCCAGCAGGAGCTTACGAAATTCTTTGGCAAATATCGGGATGCTCTACTGCTGGCAACGCAGGACCTGCAGTCACGTTTCTGCAATATCACGGACTATCATGTTATGGATTGGTATCATCGAGGTGGTCGCGAGAAGGAGAGTTTGCTCCTCTATACTTCTTTCGTGGTAGGACAGTTTCTATGTTGGATCTACATCATACGGAAACAGGCTCAATTCTTACAATATGAGACCGACAAAGCGACAAGGAATAAGGACCTTACCAAGGCCATGTCCAAGATCACTTACGAATTTGCCACAGACCAGTACGATTCGGATGGCATGCCCTTTATGCTATGGCGAGGTGACCAGATGTCGATCGGAGAACTAATGCTGGCCGCCGGCACTGGAGAGCCCCATCCGATGGGCTACAACGCATTCCATCAGAAATGGACAGAAGGTGGCAAGGTCCCAGCAGCACCACAACGAAATCCGGAGACCGGAGAAATGGAGACACATGCAGAACTTTGGTCAGGTCAATTTCGAACGTGGTTCCGCCCCATCATCGACGGCGTAGTCATGCTCGGGGAAGCGCATGCGGCAAACAATGACCTCGAGCATCCCCAGGAATGGATCCCACTTCGTAACCAAAGGTTGAGGAGATTGCAGCACCGACTTGTCGATCTCATGGACTTGCTTGATCCTGAAGGTCTGCGCTCGGAGGCAAATTGGATGAAACGCTGTAACCGGGCTGTGGAGTGTGAATGTCAATTCTGTTCGTCAGGGCAATTTCAACAACTTCCGCGGGGGGAGCAGACTGAGCGATCACAGATGCAAGAGAGGCAGGCATCAAGTCAACCAAGGCGATCGTCGGAGTCGTCGAACAGGCGTGTGCGGTCACCAGCACGGATGAGGACGCCTTCACGACATTGACAAATCATGTGGCCGAGCGTCATCGTAAATAATATAAGATTAGTACTTGCACCACATGAGGCATATCCTACAGAGGCTCAATCTCCTTTACAGCCGCACTATTCTCCTTTGCAAACCCAATATCAAGATTGGCATGCTGAGACCGCGCATCCAATTCCGCACGATGCATGATATGCACCTCGTCGGAGGCACTATCCTCTCGCATATCTCCCCAAGGATCTTTGCTGATCCTCTTATGTCCACTCTTGGAATGCTTCTGTTGCGCGGATCCGCCGTTGAGTTCGTAAGCGGAGCCATGCTCTCGACGGGTATGTTTCGTCGTGCCTAGCAGGGTGGACAGGCCTCGAAGGATTGGTGTTTTGAGGACAGGGAGGCAGGCGCAGATTATGCCTATGTTCGTTTCGACTATGGACCAGATGTTTCGCGGTACGAAGTCCCACGTCCTGGAAGTGTCAGCAGAGGCTGGGGACCTATATCTTTGAGAGCGTGCGACATACGTGTCTTTGCCTTTGTCGTTTTTGATGACAGCAATAATGCGCATAATCGAACAGAGTGTCACACTATAAGACGATGTCAGCCCGCCGTCTTGACCTGCATAAAACACTGCTGCGATACTCACAAGCCTCCAAGCAGGAAAACAGCGCAGAGCATAGCTTTCTGGCGCGAATTCAAACGCAACTGGAGGACTTCCGGGATAGGTAGCGCAATGCATATCGCATCTGTCAAGATGTTAATAATAGCATATGCCATCCAGAACATGCTTGTATCAATGCATTTTGCCCCGATCGTCGAATTCCAGGCGCCTCGAGCCGGCACACATTGGAATACCGTCGCTCCGACCGAAGCTACCGTCCAGCAAGTGATCAAGCAGAGGACGATCCAGGCCTGAATTTGGAAGATCCTGGCAATGAAGATGCGCTTGGCGAGCAGAACGACGCTGACTTTGTTCAGACATATGACCATCTTATACTGGATCTGCTCGATGAAGAACCAGAACAGCGCTTTGTGGAGTTGTGGCTTGGTGAGGTCGTGTTTGTGTTGACCGTAGCCGTGGAGGACTGCAAGTTGCATCGATACCGAAAGGATTATTGAGAAGCCCAGGGATGCAAGGATCGCGTAGTCGTCGCTTCCGAGCTGGTGTGTTTTGATCCGAGTAATCCATCTTGCCATCACGAATAGACCAGCGCCTATGACCAAACTCGTAGAGGCGACATAGATCTTCCATCCCTGGTCAGGCACACCATTCGTGGAGAAGCCCTCGCTGTTGCCCATGGTCGCAGTGGTCGGGCGTCGTCAGGCCGAGGTGGAGTGAATAGGTGTTCATGATGGGGCAGTATCGCCGCGATATGTTGGGTTTCCTGCAGGATCTGTCCATTCTTCCGTATACAGGCGCGTGCCTTCTTGGGTACTGTATACTCATCCTCAATCGATGTGTAGAAATGCTTTTTAATCTATCGAGGCAGGGGTTCATCAATCCTACACTTTGGACGCTGCAGGGTCACCGCAGGAGCCACCTTTGACGTCTTTCGTCTGTACGAAGTGGAATAGCTAGATCGGTGTCGCTGCATGATGTGGCGGGAACATACAGTCCTCTTTGATCTATGTTGTTCGCAAGATTCTCGTCTTTGACAGGTGAGGTAGTCGTGTACGCCTTGCTGCTTCTCGAGAATCATGATCGACCCCAATGCTATCGACGGGGCTCTAGCGATTCATTGTCGTCCTCCTTGTATCCCTGTCAGCTTCTCGGCAAAGTCGTCCCGACTGATGTGTGCGAACCTGGAAGGTAAACGACCGGATAAGATATGCAAGTGGCGCTTCACTAGCGCCCAGACTACATCCTTTCCTCCAGCTCGCCTCGTCTCGCTTAAGCACTCGTCAAGCAATATCGGACTCGCATATCGTGCGGCGCCTCGGCCATCGAGCTATGCTTGTTATTTGCAGCATGCTTGGCCCAGACTTGGACACGTGCGACTGAGCTTCTGGATACGATGCCAGCGTGCTTCGGAGACTGCTCTCTAGTTCTGGCCCCACGAGGCACAGCGATGCCATCTTGGACGCAACGGGAAGGCCAATGTATCTTGCAGAATAGAAGTGTTGCCATTGTCCAATTGCGGCTGGTATACAGTCGCAATCTCGGTAGGCACGTCGACCATGAGCCGGACTGTGCCGCTGCCTTGAATCTGTCAAAAGAAAATCGCCAGCCAGATACAGATCTACACTCCATTGGACCTGTAGTCTCGTACTTTCTGATCACGGCCGTTCGATACGCAGGATGGTACATTTCGCTGCTCTGGCTTTGGTGCTTGCGCTTCGGGCGGAAGCAGCTCTCACAGCTCTAACGACCAACGGACACATCACTGGGCATCCTGCACCTGGACTTGAGGCCGTGACCGAGTATTTAGGCATTCCGTACGCCAAACCGCCTACTGGTAACCTTCGATTCGCGCCTCCACAGCCGTTCGTCGGCACAAAGCCTTACGTGGCTGCCAACTATGGTTACGGTTGTCCCGATACGCCTAATCCAGCTGTTGGGTTTCCAGACTTCACGCCCCAGGCACAACAGGTGATCAACTACTTCTCTGCCAACAGTGGAGCTTCTCAAAGCGAGGATTGCTTGACGATGAACATATGGACTGCGGATAACAGCACCGGAGTGGACTGCGCGAACCTACCTGTTATGGTCTTTCTCTATGGAGGTCGCTTCACTTACGGGGCCTCCAACTCGACCTTCTTCAATGGAGCTCGATTAGCCAACGCAGAGAACGTCGTCGTTGTGACTGTGAATTATCGACTGAACGTTTTCGGTTTCCCAAACGCCCCGAATATTACCCAGAACGCTGGTCTGCGAGACCAACGTTTGGCGGTCGAATGGCTAGCAGTTAACGTGGCGGCTTTTGGAGGTGATCGTCGACGTATAACGCTCTTCGGTCAATCGGCTGGCGGTGTCTCCATCGACTATTGGGCCTACGCCTACCGCAAGCTTCCCCTTGTGGCCGGGTTGATCTCTGAGAGTGGCAACGCATTAAGCTTTCCTCTTAACACCGCAAATCAATCGCTCAGCAACTGGTACAACGTAACGAAGACTCTAGGCTGTGGAGCAGATGCCTCCACTTTCGCTTGTATGCTTACGAAGAACTGGACCGACATCAAAGCCGCGGCAGCGAAAGCACCATCTGCATCGTCTGGAAACCCGCTGAGGAGCATTCCTGCTTTTTACCCTTCAGCTGACAACGATACGGTATTTCCGAACTACACGGCTCTGTCTGAGGCTGGTGCATTTGCTAAGCTAGTGAGTGTACTATTCAAAGTGCTGCGGAGATCAATCCCAAGCTGACATAGATAGCCCTACCTGCTTGGTAACAACAATTTCGAGCAAGGTGAGACTCTCGATTAAAAGTTACGCATGATTGGTTCTCTGACATACGCAGGATATTATGCGCTCCCAAGCTTTAAAAAGAACGTCACAGTCACCATCGCACAAGGCGATTCCTTTCTTCTGAACTCCTTCACCTGTCCGAACGAGTTCCAAGCTGCGAACCGCGCCGCGCATGGTGTCTCAGTCTGGCTATACCGCTACTTCGGCGACTGGCCGAATATCAATCTCTACCCTGCCAATAACGACTACCCGGGTCAAGTCGTCTCCCAAGGTAGTGGAGCATACCACGGTACTGAACTGGAGATGGTATTTGGGAACCCAGATCTCGTATCTAATCTACCGAACACTTCGAATGAGAGCAAGATGATCAAGCTTATGCAAGGAGCATGGGCGGCTTTTGCTAGGAACCCTGCAAGTGGGTTAGCAACTTATGGATGGCCGCAGTATAAGCCTGGGACGAATTCGCTTATCCTGTTAGCCAAGAACAACACTCCTACTGCCGAAGCAGTTGATCCCAGCTTGTACTTTGCGGATTGTGCTGGCTATGTGCCTTCTTCGTAGACTTATGGCTGAGTGCAGATAGAGCTGCAACATAATATCGATAGCAAGACCTGAACTACTCCCACTCTATCTGCCTGCACTATGATGTCTTGGAAATGGATTCGGCTATACGAACCAAAATCGGCAAGAGTTGTGGATTCCTGCGCGAGGCTTATCGTATTTCTCTGTTTCAGCGCATCCTCTCGTACGACTCATGCTGTATCTCTAGATGTACATCCGGTATCGCAACCACAGATAAGGAGCATTGGGCTGAGAGTGCTATACAAGGAGAACCATGGACATCAAAACACAGCTCATGGCCATCTTCTCTTCTTACAAGTTAACATCGAACCAGAATGGCGGAACCGAACCGTGATACCTCTATGCAATCGGAGGCGCTTTACGTACCAGGCACAGTGCATCTGGTCGATCTCGATGGCACAATGCAGGCGAAGCATGCCAAAGGTGCACGCAAAGATATCGTACTCGTGCCTGCACCGTCGACCGACCCAGACGATCCGGTATCATCGAACCATTATGGGCGACTTCCTAGAAGCACATGATACTGACAAAGTTATCTAGCTCAACTGGTCGCCTGCGCGGAAGTCCTTGAGTACAGCATGGTGGGCTTGAGTTGGAATCGCATGGCAGTTCAAAGACTTATGTTCCACAGCATGTGTGTCTATACCTTGATGGTCGGTATCGCCTCAGCAGCCATCTACTCGGTCCTTTTGCCGATCTCAGAAGCTACTGGCCTTACGTTGGCCGATCTAAATGCCGGGACTGGATACATGTTCCTCGCCTTTGGCTGGGGTTGTCTGTTCTGGCAACCACTCGCCTTACAGTTCGGGAAGCGGCCGGTCTACCTGATTAGTATCCTTGCTACCTTGGCGATACAGGTTTGGGCGCCACATACCACGAGCAATGGGCAGTGGATAGCCAACAAAGTTCTACAAGGTCTCCTACCATCATCCACGAACCGAGACGCCTACTAACTATGTCAGGCTTCTTTGGCGCTCCGATCGAGAGCCTGTGTGAGATCTCGGTGACTGACATGTAAGTACTGCCCTCGCTACTGTCCTCGGGTCGAGCTAAGGACCGTCTAGATACTTTCAGCACGAACGAGGCACTTACATTGCCCTGTACGCCCTTCTCCTGGCTGGCTCCAATTTTCTGGCACCAATCCTGGCTGGCTTCATTGCCGATTCTTGGGTTGGTCAAGATGGCAACATCGAAGATTTTGGGTTGACTTCGTTCTAGGGGTGGGTCTGGGTTCTATACTGGTGTGCAATCTTCTGTGGTATCGGCTTTGTGTTCCTTTTCTTCTTCATGGAAGAGACCAACTACTCTCGAAGTGCTTTAAACAGGCTCGACAATAGTCCAAAGACGAAAGCGATACTGACAGCACACACGACTACGGACGATGAGAAAGTATCCCGGAGCATGGAAGTAGAGCCTGCGGAGGAGCTACCGACCTCAGGCCGCAAGCATACGACATATCTTGACAAATTAAGACTTATCCGCACTGCAGACTTGCGCAAGCCAAACGGACTGCTGGGTATGGTTACTCGACCCCTTATTTTCCTGACCTTCCCGGTCATTGCCTACGCTGGCTTTAGCTACGGCTCGAATCTTGTAAGCATTATTCCCGCATCTTTCTGGCAATAGAGACCTAACATTCGACCAGGTTTGGTTTAACGTTCTTAACGGAACAGCCTCCTTGATCCTCAGCGGCGAGCCGTACAACTTCCCTGCTTGGGCTGTTGGACTGTCATATGTCTCGCCACTAGTTGGAGTCGCCATTGGCTCAGTAGGTGCTTGTCTGATGACCCTTGCCACCCTGTGTTGACTTATTATCCCAGCTATATACTGGACTGTTCGGTGATTGGTGCGTCCTCAAGCTAGCAAGACGAAACAATGGCGTGCTCGAGGCTGAACATCGATTGTGGTTGTTCTTGCCATCGCTGCTACTCATCCCAGGCGGTCTAATCTTGTGGGGTGTAGGTGCCGCGCAGGCGATCAACTGGTTCGGCTGCGTTTTTGCGATGGGTAAGTATCACGACCTCCTCTCTTGGGCCTCACTGATCTGTGTCCTCAGGTGTTATTGCCGCCACGAACACGATCGGACTCCAGCTCTCGGTCTCATATTGTATCGATAGCTACAGGGATTTGTCCGGCGAAGCTATGGTCACCGTGATATTAGTGCGCAACACTATGAGCTTTGCTGTAGGCTATGGTCTGACTCCGTGGGTCACGAATATGGGTCTGCAGAATGCCTTCATCGTGGCGGCCTTTGCTGGTCTCTTGCAGTGCACCACATTCTTCTTCTTCGTCAAATTCGGAAAAGGACTCAGGATCAAGAGCGTTCCGCGATATGCGTATTACGCGGAGCAGATAGCGAGCAGCGGCCTTGTGCACTGAATAGCCGGGAATCTGAGAAAGACGGCGGTCAAGCTAGCTGGTGGTGATTAAGACTTTGACAAATGGAGGCCTTTTCATAGACTTATAACTTTATACAGGAGATAGATTGCGTACAGAACTACAGAAAAGTAGTCGGGGATACCGCAGACGTTTGATCACGATGTTCTGTACAGCTGACCTCGTGGAACATCATGAACCCCGAGCCTGTGCTATTACGACCGTAACAAATCAATCGCTTGATCCATCTTAGACAGCTTTCTTGCTCTTGGCACGGCCCTTGACTGTTCTACCACATGCCGGTCCTGCTGCTCTGGTAGCCACGCCACAACGACAGGGATAAACCTGACAACGAGCATCTCTCCCAACCACCACCACCACCACCACCACCACCACCACCACCACGACGACAGTCAGACCCTCAGTCAAGTGTATTAGCGTCAGACGAACATGTAGCACAAGCTATTCTTCCACCACTTGCATTGATTCTGTCATCTCACAGTCGTCTACCTTTGAAGACAACCTCGGCATCCTCATCCTCATGCTTCTTCTTCTCGACCCCATTCTTCGAGGCGGCGGTGCCTTGGTCATGCTTGAGCGTTCCACCTGGCTTCTGCTTCGGCTTCGCTTGATTCGTCGCGCCACCGCTTCTGTCATCCTTGCGCATCCGATCAACATTGCTCATCTTCTGGCTGCTCGGAGCGTAATCTACTTGCACATTGGCCCACGAAAATGCTCTGGAGTAGAAGACCACCCGATCAGCGCCGGAAGAATGTGCATCGCTTAGAGCTCCGAGGAATGCTTTGACAGAGTCTCCTTCTTCTGCGACCTTGATGAGGTGCTTTTCGATGATTTGACCCTCTTCATTGTAATGCGCACTATGGCCAGAGCCATCTTCCGGCCTACCCTCCATCCAAGGGAAGATCGACCCTTGAGTCTCGCAGTTTTGTGTGGGCTTCGTGGCCATCGATCTGGCGAGCTCGGCTGGAATCAAAAGCCACTTTCCGCCTATGATAGCCACCATGGAACCAGGTGAGCGGTGTGTGTCTTCGATGCCTTCGGCCACCAGCGTAGTCCTGTGCGGAAAAGGCGTGTTGATGCTAGCTGGGATCTCCTCCCCAAATTCAGGCGCTTCCCATGATGCTTCCTGGCCGAATGCTGCCCACAGCGGGTAGACGAGGGCGATTCCAGCAACGTGCAGTTGCTTGTGGCGCGCACTAATAAGGTGGATCTTACTGTATAGGCTGGCATTTCGCCACTGGTACCGTGTTAGCAAGCTTGCGATGTAGACTTGATGTTGCTAAAGGACCGCATACCTCGTCAACGTCCTCTAGAGACCAGGTCAACGGAATACAGAAAAACGCCGGTCCAGCGCGCCAGGAATCAGATGAACCTTCCATGCCAAGAATATGAGCCCGGGTCACGAGAATCTTCAAAGAAGGGTATGAACTCTTCGCACTCGCATCATTGAGCAACAGCGCTACCTTGATATGCCAGTGCAATGAGTCCTAGGCGTCACGAATGTCGAGTTCGAGGAAGCGGAGGCTTCCTTTTCCCGGCTTGTAGATACGGAAATCCGGCCCAAGACCTCTGATCTGGACAGCGCGTCTAGCTTCGGCCATGTCGGCGGTAATGCCGTCGAGGTGTCTTCAACGAGGTGCCTCAAGACAGGTCAGGTGTTGTGAGGGAGCGTTTCTCAGATGAACTTTGTGTGTCCAGTCAGTATTATCGCAGCGATCATGCAGTTGTTTCTTTGTGGCGCTTGTGGCCCTCTGCCGTGTTCGATGTACTTCTTCGCGCAGATGCGAAACACATAAACATGTTTCTAGTCCCGTGCCACGTGGGGTACAAGCCTGCGGGGGCGACCGTGGCGTGCCTGCCCGAAAAGTAGCGCTTATAGCATGTGCAAGATTGCATTCACCTCTCAACCACCAATCGATTCGAGCGGACTGCAGGTCGATGTGGCTTGATAATCGCGAGGGAGTCCAATGTACGGAAAGCATAATCGAGCCCATAACCATAATGTGCGTCTAGCAAGGCCATCTCGAATCCAGCACGGGAAGTCTCGTAGCCTGAACCCCCGTCCGTTTACCGAAAGAAGCAAGTAGCGGATTGATGAAAGCCCTAATGATATCAGGTCTCTCAGTACAGCAGTGACCTTCGACTCCCTACATCCTAAACACGCCAAACCTTCCCCCACCCCTCCCCTCTTTCCGCACAACCTCCCCCTGCCTCGCAGCTGCCAACCCCATCCCCACAACCCTCCGCGTATGACCCGGAGGAATCACCCCATCATCCCACAACCTGGCCGTCCCAAACAAAACCTCACTCTCCCTCTCAATCCTCTCCTTCAGCGCAGGATCCACATTCCTTCCCACAGCTTTCATAACAGCCTCCAACTGCTCAGCCCCCATAACAGAGGTCTTCGTACTCGGCCAACTCCACAAGAAATTGGGACTATACGCCCGTCCACACATCCCATAATTCCCTGCCCCCGCCGACGAACCTACTAAAACAGTCAATTTAGCCACATCCGTCGTCGCAACAGCCGTGACGAGTTTGGCGCCATTCTTCGCGATCCCGCCGGCTTCGGCTTCGCGCCCGACCATGAAGCCAGAGATGTTTTGGAGGAAGAGGAGGGGGATACGGCGTTGGGTGCAGAGTTGGATGAAGTGGGCTCCCTTCAGACTACTTTCTGAGAATAAGATCCCGTTATTAGCTATTATGCCTACGGGATATCCGTATATTGTTGCGAAGCCCGTGATCAGGGTCGAGCCGTAGAGGGGTTTGAATTCGGAGAACTCGGAGCCGTCGACTAGGCGGGCGATGACTTCGTGCATGGGGATTTGTTGTTTGAGGTTCGTGCCTACGATTCCGTCAAGTTCCTCTGGATCGTAGAGCGGTTCTGTCCAGTCTTGTTTCCGAGTGGGATTGGTGGTGGAAGAGGTGGAGGTCGGGTAGTTGAGGTTCGCTATACATCTTCTCGCGAGGACGAGGGCATGCGCGTCGTCTTCGGCGAGATAGTCCGTTACACCACTGACTTCACTATGCAACTTCCCACCCCCAAGCTCCTCAGCACTGACTTCCTCACCGGTCGCAGCTTTGACCAGTGGTGGGCCGGCGAGGAAGACGGTGCCTTGTTCGCGGACGATAATATTCTCGTCGCTCATGGACGGGACGTAGGCGCCGCCTGCTGTGCAGGGTCCCATTACAACCGAGATCTGCGGGATACCATCTCGGGACATCCTAGCCTGGTTGTAGAAGATCCGACCAAAGTGATCACGGTCCGGGAAGACGTCTGCTTGATTGGGTAGGTTCGCTCCGCCAGAGTCCACGAGGTAGATACAGGGGAGGTGGTTCTGGTGGGCGATTTCTTGCGCTCGGAGGTGCTTTTTGACTGTCAGAGGGTAGTATGTTCCGCCTTTGACACTGTCAGAACGATCAGTATATCTTCTACCATTCCCCAAGCGTGCCAAAGAGGTCATGACTCGACATACGTGCTATCGTTCCCAACAATAACACACTGCACCCCCTCCACCGTCCCAATCCCCGTCACCATCCCCGCAGAGGGAACATCCTCCTCATACACGCCCTCCGCAGCCAACGCACTCAGTTCTAGGAAACTCGTCCCCGAATCTATCAATGCTGTGACACGATCCCGTACCAGCATCTTCCCACGATCGAGATGTTTCTGCCGAGCTTTCTCGTTCCCGCCTCGGCTGACTTTGGCATGGAGATCGCTGAGGTTAGAGGTGGCGGCAGACATGGAGGTGGTATTTTGGCGGTAGCCTTCACTGTTGTGGTCGACATTTGTCGGGAGGATGGACAGTTGCGCGGCTTGTTGCGGGGAGGTGTACGATGCTACTGTCCGGACATGGCGAGGGAGGAGGTTGCGGCGAGATAGATGACGGACTGTACGGAGAGTCGTAGAGACGATCGATGGAGTTGCCATTGTACTTACGTTGTGCTATGAAAGGAAAGATGTTCGTATCTATTGACGCTTTGTCGTCTTGTCTCAAGTTCACCTCGCTACGTTAAGCCGAGACCTGGGTTCGGCTTAAGAATGTTGACCCGCATTGAGGGACGAGACGATCTGGAGTTGTAGATCTATCGACATCGTCCTTCGGTCACCTTTCATAACAACCTTGGAAGGAGTCATGGCCGCCCTAATCCCCCTACGACGATCTGTCCTCCGCTCTTTCGTCCGCCCGGCCCTCATAGTCTCATCCTCCGTCCGCTATGCCTCCACCAAACACCCTAAAAACTTCACTCCACCAACACAAGAAGACCTCGAAGAACTCCGCGAACGAACCATTGAATTCTGCCGCCGCGAAATCAGCTACGATGTCGCTCAGGAAACAGACCACAACAACGAATTCCCCAACCATATGTGGAAGAAATTGGGTGAAGCAGGTCTACTCGGCGTGACAGCAGATGAAGAATACGGTGGTCTATCAATGGGCTACCAAGCTCACTGCGTCATCCTCGAAGAACTCAGCCGAGCGAGCGGGAGCATCGGCCTCTCCTATGCCGCCCACTCGCAATTATGCGTCAACCAGATCATGTTGAATGGGAACCAAGAGCAGAAGGAGAAATACCTCCCCGGGTTAGTATCGGGAGACAGTATCGGGGCCTTAGCCATGTCCGAGCATTCTGCCGGCAGCGATGTGGTAAGTATGCGCATGACAGCCAAGGAAGACAAAGAGAAAGGAGGCTATGTCCTCAACGGCACGAAGATGTGGATAACCAACGGTCCGGACGCGGATGTGGTTGTGGTGTATGCCAAGACCGACCCTGAGGCCGGGAGTAAAGGCATGACAGCCTTCCTCGTAGAGACTCAGAGCGAGGGCTTCTCCGTGGCTCGGAAACTGGACAAGCTGGGGATGAGAGGAAGCAACACGGGCGAAATCGTCTTCGACAACGTCTTCGTCCCAACCTCCAATATCCTCGGCTCCGTCAACAAAGGCGTCAAAGTCTTGATGGAAGGCCTAGATCTCGAACGCCTCGTCCTCTCCGCCGGTCCTCTAGGCCTCATGAAAGCCGCCCTCGACGTCACCTTACCTTACGTCCACGAACGACACCAATTCGGCACTCCCCTCGCCACAAACCAATTAATCCAGGGGAAGCTAGCAGATATGTACACCAAATACCGAGCCAGCTCGGCCTTCACCTACAGCATAGCCTCCCACATCGACAACAACCACGATAGTCCTGATTTAGTGATCAAGACGCAGGATTGTGCGGGCGCGATTCTGTATGCGGCGGAACGGGCGACGGAGTGTGGGATGGATGCTATTCAGTGTTTAGGCGGCATGGGTTATATGAATGAGATGGCCGCGGGGAGGATCATGCGGGATGCTAAGTTGTATGAGATTGGGGCGGGGACGAGCGAGATTAGAAGGGTGGTCATTGGGAGGGCTTTTAATCGGGAGTTCGGGGTGCGGTGAGCCAGGGCATGAGGTGGAATCAGGTGAGGCTTGAGATACGGACGAGTCGACGGTCCAAGGACGCTACCATGGAAAGATGCTGCAGGATTCATTGATATTCGAGATCGCCAGGAGCAATGTTGGTGGGAGGCCGTATCGATCAGGATCTCCATCTATCATCTGCTACAAACACAGCCCGAGCGAGCGTTACTCCCCGCCCTGCGAGCAGGAACTTACTGGTCACACTGCACAGCGCTAGAGCTTGTTAGAACACTCTCATTCTTATGGCCTTCTGGCAGGCTGTGATCCTGTCGGACGCCGGGTGACCTGGTCTATGCTGCTCCTTCTCAAAGTCGATGCACTCAATGGCGGATTTACTCCCGCCCTCACAGAAGGTGGAGTGCGCACCTCTCTAATCGAGTCATCGCCACTGACTCTCGCGCGTTTCCTGCTTGCAATCGCAGCCTTCGTCTCCTCCTTCGCCTCACTGGCAAGATTATCAGGACCAACAAGCGCGACGAGGAGCTCGAAGGCCAGTTCCGGAATGTCGGCAAGCAGCGCTCTGAAGGCATCGCAGGTGGTCCAGGCTGGTATGTACTTGACGACATGCCCTACTATGGCGCCGCGCAGCTCGCGAGCGGCATCAACGCGATCAAGATAGACGTGTCTACTCACCGACTCCAGCGCCCTGTGAAATGCTTCGCCTGGGCGGAGGTGCTGAAGCATGGTGGGGAGATCGACCAGGATCTGGGCGCTCAGCGCGGGGACGAGATACTTGTTAGCGACGATGTGGAGGTCGACGATGCGGACGATGGTCGTGATCGGATTGTCTAGCGTTCGTAGTGCCTCCATGTCGTAGGCTGGGTGACCGTACAGGGTGCCAATGAGGAGGAATAGAGCTTGCGGGTCCGGATCGTCATTGAGTGTGAGAGCGGAGGACTGCGCTTCCTGATGGGATGGTCAGTCTCTGGACGGATCGTTGAGGGTATCACTATCACGACTTACGCTGAAGCTGCCTTCGAAGCATGACTTGAAGTAGTCGCTACCTTGAGCCAGCACGAGCTTGTGGGCTGGCATGTTGTAGTCGCCATATCGGATCGTCACATCGGAGAGTGTTTTCGTGTTGAAGTATGACTTGAATTAGGCCATGGCTATCACATCAGCGGATAATGTGGAGAGTTTGCGTGGTCAGAAGTGGTTGTTGTGCTTTGCGCTGTTGCCGCGCAGTATTTGAAGCGAATATTGTGTACGGAAGCGAGTATGTGTTTGCAAGCGCAAGGTCACTTCACTTACAGTTTGGCACTCCCAGAAACAGCTCGCTTACCACCCTTTCGCCTGCAGAGCCCCTGACTTCACTTCACTTCACGTATGTGACATGTGAAATTTGACAAGCCCATACTTTCGTGAATGATGCGAGAAAGATTGGGCTTACTAGCAAATCGCGACCATACCCTTCTATCGAAATATCCCTTAGACGCCACGCTCATATCATTCCGCATTTTCCAGACTCCGCGCAAAATACTCTAACATCGAACCACCCTGCCGCTAGACAGTCTCCTTCTTAGGTGACGCAGCAGCCTCAGCAGCCCTCTTCTCCGAGATCTCATCCTGACCCGGATTGGCAATCTCGTATTCCAACATCTTGATGAACTTGTAGAATCCTACTGCCGCGATTGCACCTGCTGCTGGTCCGACCCCTAATACATGTGTCAGCTGACACGCATTGCCGGAAGCAAGTACGGAGGTACGTGTGCTTACAGTAGACCCAATGTTCCTTATCCCAGATACCAGTCACGACGCAAGGTCCGAAAGATCGTGCTGGGTTGAGCGAGCCTGATGGGGAAGTCAGCATCGTCGAATCTCGCACGGGTATCATGACAGCTAGGACCTACCACCAGTATAGTAAACCCCAACCAGCTCAGCCACAAACAATGCCATTCCGATCCCGATCGGCGCCATAAAGGTAGCCTTATGCTTCTCCTTCGCCAACATGAAGATGGTGAACACCAACTCTGCCGTCAGGATCGCTTCGATGAAGACTCCCGCCACTAGCGAAGTGTCTGTGGAGAGTGTAGTCCGCACGTTGAAGTTAGTGGGAAAGAGCACTTTGACGATATAGGAGCTGAAGATGGCGCCGCAGAGTTGAGCTGTGAGGAGCAGGAAGGCGCGGACGAAGTCGATGGCGTGGACCATCACCATTGCCAAGGTCACAGCCTGTATCGAACGTCAGCATATGTATCACATTGTGTCGTCGTCGAGAGATAATCGATGTGCTGCGAAGACGTACAGGGTTGAAGAGGCCACCACTTATGCGGAAGAAGATCCAGACATTGACCATTAAGCTGAAACCAAAAGCGATACCGATATACAGCAGCACGATGGGACTAAAGCCGGTGGACTGATTGGTGGTGGTGTTGCTTTCGGTTTGCGCGCCAGCATTGGCGACTTGTGTTCCGGCGAAGGCGAAGAAGAGGAACATAGTAGTTCCGACGAACTCGCCTAGGGTAGCGACGAAGTCTAGAAGTTTATCATTAGTGTTGCAAGCATGTCGCATTGGTGTTGACTTGAGACGTACGTCCTTTGACACTCCCATTCATCCATTTCAAGAACGGCAGCCGCAGATCCATCGGTGGTGAGCCTTCACGACTTTCTCGCTTCCGCCGTCGTCGAGCTACAGTCTCATCATCGCTCTCCTCCTCGTCGCCAGAGTCCTCCCAAAGTATTGAGCGCCTGTTCTTCTGTTTCTGCCTCATGGCAGCAGCAGTAGGAGCTGGTCCACGAGCAGAAGGCGGCGGCTCACGGACCGAAGGAGCACGTCTGTAGGGACGACTTCCATACCCGCGATCGCGGTCGTCGGCGTAGTAGTCATCTTGCTGTGGTCGAGATGAAGCACCGTAGTCGTATGATGCTCTTCCCTGCCATTGCCGTCTGTCCTCACGGTCGTCCCAGCCGTACTCGCTTCCTGGTGGTGGGCCATATCGCATCATCTGCCTCGAAGGGTGCCGGGGAGGTGGTGGTTCACGGTCATCCTGAGGTTCGAACTCGAGGCGTGCTACATATGGTTGATCTTGCGAGACAGAGGCTTGGTGGATCCTGGGCTCTAGTGGTCGTGGTCCGGATCTGAGTAGGCCCGTTGAGCTATCGTGAGATGGACGGAGTCCTTCCTCTGTGTGGCCTTTCTCTGTTGATGGATATGCTGTGTTGGGGTCTAGAGATGACATTGTGTCAATTTCGATGTCGTTGTCCAGTACCAATAAAAGTATGGCTAGAAAATCTATACTCTGGTTGGAAGATCTTTGAGCTCGGAGTGCGACTTTGCCAGTACATGTACTACGACCACCGGCGTTAGGAAAGAAAAGAATGCAGCGCCAGCCTACCTCAACCACCGTGCATACCACCTGCAATCTATCATCGCGAATAGGCACCTGCGCGCGAGCTCTCACACTGACCATCGAACGCGTTTTACCGATCAACGGTTCACGATACCAGTCGCAGACATTACTGGTGTTTGTACCAGGGACGCCATGCTCGCGAAGGTGTCCTGGGACGTGGGACATGCTGCAGGACGTGCGTGGTCAGGGAACAGCCCTACATATACGTTCGGTGTCAGTGGCAGTGTGTGGGCGTTTCGGGGGTCGCGGCGGTGCTATTGGTTGTCAGAGTAGACGCTCGTGCCGAATCTCGTGTTTCATGGGGCACAGATGCATGGCGATGACGGAGTTGTGCATTTATACGACGACGAGGCTGATACGGAGGACGTCGGTGAATCTGATGAGTTGGCAAGATGGCAGGGTGAGGCGGAGTCTATGCAGAGATTGCCAGGACTTGGAAATGATTTCTCCGGTGCCAGCAGCGAGGAAGAAACGCAAGACAAGTTGCTGTCCTCCGGCGCGGACAGTGGCAGCGCTACCAGCTCCGATCCGATGAATTTCGTTCGTATGCTGTGATCTACAACAACAATATAGTGAAGCTGAATCTCGGGATACTGATGATGGCCGTCAAGGAAGGTGGCGTGGTGGCGGATCAAAGCAGAAGCGAGATGGAGGCGTTTCGGCTTCCAACGGGCTGGGAATCACACGAGTCATGGCAACATGTCATCCTTACTTCCATCAGAAACGTTCTCATCACCCTGTCATCAACTACACGACTCGTTCAGACCGGATACGAGGCTCGCATTGACATGGGAGCATGGCGACGATCAAAGCTTCTCGGATACCAGCCATGATTTACGGCACGGCATGGAAGAAGGAAAGAACTCGCGACCTAGTCCGGCAAGCGGTTCTCGCAGGCTTCCGTGGTGTGGACACGGCGGCACAACCGAAGCATTACCGCGAGGATCTGGTTGCGCAAGGCATCGCCGATGCCATGAAGGCCGGAAGCATCAATCGAGAGCAGCTCTATGTTCAGACCAAGTACACCTCCGTGGTGGGTCAAGATCCAAGGAACATGCCCTATAACCCGCAGAGCAGTATCACGGATCAGGTGAAGGAGTCGGTCGAGTCTTCGCTACGCAACTTCTCGATCATATCAACATCGAAGGATGAGACATATCTCGATTGTCTAGTTATGCACTCCCCCTTACCTTCGCAAGCCCAAACTCAAGAAGCGTGGCGTGCGATGGAGAGCTATGTCCCCCACACGATACGAACTTTGGGCATTTCAAACATCTACGACCTACTTGAGCTCAAGAAACTCTATGAACACGCTTCGATCAAACCATCTGTGGTCCAGAATCGCTTTTACAGAGACACAGGCTATGATGCTGGTGTCCGAGCCTTCTGCGAAGCAAACAATATCGTCTACCAGAGCTTCTGGACCTTGACAGCTAACCCTGACTTTCTTCAATCACAGCCCGTACTGGATCTCGCGCAAGCAGCCAAAGTCACTAGTGCCGTGGCACTTTATGGATTTGTTCTGGGACTGGGTCACAACATGAGCATCCTGAATGGGACGACTAATCCTAGGACGATGAAGAACGATCTTGTTGGTGTGCATGCCGTAAGAAAGTACTTGTCATATCAATCCACCACGGCACGCAATTTGCGAGATGACTTCAGTGCTCTGCTCGAGCGGTAAGGAGTGCGTGATGCTGCTCGATTCTAGAGATAATGCGTCGGGGACATCGTTTCCTTACGTTCCATCCACGAATGCTTGTGTCAAGAGCAGTCAGATTCCCAAGCAGGCACACAGCCGTGCATACTCCGTGCTGTGCGTAATGTCCACGTGCTCCTAGGTGTCATTTCATACAGGATGGATGCCCTCGCTTTCCACAGCCCCAATACACCACTATCGAGGAATGACGCCTTCCATGTTCGCGGCGCATACTAGATCTGCACAGCTCTCGCTCTACTGCCGGATCGGAATCAAGATCGCTGACCAGCGAGAAGCACTCCAAGACTGCGGCCGGCTGCCGTCCGATGGTAATCACGGATACTTCGGCCGAATGAGACAAGACACTTTTACAGGCTGTGTTCCATCAAACGTCTCCGTGCGGAAAACAGCTCCAATTGGCAGTTGCCTATAATTTGTCTGCTCATCTCGTCTAGCCGGATCCAGAAACCCGAGATCACACCCTTCGCAGGGGGAGATATCGGGGCTGGAAGATCCACTACACTACTTTCTTCCCACGGGCTATGAAACGAAGGAAACCGGTCAAAACGGCCTGCCACCTTAGTGATGATCCCCAATTGATCGTGGCTAGATTGGTCAAAAGGGCCATGTCTTGCGACATGATTATTCTGGAAGCATTTGTTGCGACGGGATGCGTTGGCCAAGTCTTGCACTACAGTGCTGCTGTATTGCCTGTAAGGTGCCTCGCGCTGATGAATGCTGCGCGAAGCAGACCGAAAGAGGCTAGCGTTGCGCTAGCCCTAACGAAGTATGCACCCAGATCTACTACATTGCAGTGCTGTACTAAGCAAGGCAGCACAAACGGTACGCACCACGGCCAATTAGCTTGCACAGCCCGATGACGAGCAGCATGCGTAGGCTTTGTCATGTTGCTCAGCCAGCGCTGATCGAGGTCGGTGCAGCATCCGTTGTGCCACTCGATTACGATACTGAGCAAGTATATATGCCAAGCGTAGACCCTCTCAAGCCCTACCATTCGACTCCTTATAACATCTCTCTACCAGTTTAAGCATAATCATCATAGCAACCATGCTACCAATATCAAGCTGCCTCGCATCATTTGCACTTGTCACCCTAGCAACTTGCGCACCGCTAAGCGGTGAGCAATCACTCGGTCCAATTCCAGGTCAAACGCCCATATACAACGACTACCGTGGTATCGTCGCGCCTTTTCCTGGCAACATCAGTGGAGCAACCTTGCCTACAGCAGTTGGCTCTCCAGCACCAGAAGACCAGCTTTGGCAGAACCTCCTAGCTGCCGAATGAATCATATTCAGCTTCTATCAGAGGGCTACCGAGCTATTCAATGCGTCATCCTTCACAGCTGCTGGCTACCCGAATAACACTTATGACCGCATTGTCGAGATTCGTGACAACGAGGCCGGACACTTGAACATCTTCTACCGCGAGATCAGTAACACATCCATCAAGCCAGGGCGCTGCGAGTACGAATATGGTTTCGAGAGCCAAGGAGTCGACTTCTTCCTTGCCGAGCAGACCTTCGTCGAGCTGAGCAGCATCTCCTTCTTATCCGGACTCGTCATCCAAGCAGTCGAAGATACCTCCCGCGCTGCCTTACTCGTCGTTGCTGCGGTCGAGACTCGTCACACCGCATGGGCTCTGACCAACGTCTGGAACACCAATCCCTTTGCCGGTCCCGCTGACACGGCCTATCCATGGCCAAACCAGATCCTCGGGCTTACTGTGCAATTCATCCAGAATGGAAGCTGCCCGAAAGAGAACCCGGCATATCCTTACCCGAGCGATCAAAAAGCTGGCTTGTCCTTCAATGGTACCTTCTCCACCGCTCACCCTGGCGACAAGATACAATTTGAGTTTCCACACGGCGAGCCTTGCTTCGAGGAGGACAAAGAGTACTATGCTGTATTCATCCACGAACTCAACAATGTCACCCAAGCATTTGATACCAAGACGGGTGTGTCGGAGGTTTCAGCAGCCTTTGACAGTAATAAAGGCTTGATCTATGCGGTGATTGCAGACAAGTCAGGTGCACCGGACCTCGATAGTATGCTAGCTGGGCCATTAACGCTACTTCAGCAGCCTGCATTACTGACGACCGTTATCGGTGGCACTTGAATATATCACGAAGCGAGACTTGACGACATCAAAATTGAATAATTCGAAACGAGTCGAGGTATTACAGGCACTGTATGTTATGTATGGACTAAGAAAGAAGAGAAAGTACACTCATTACAACACCCATGCAAAGCGATCTCATCTCCTAACCTATCACTCACTCGCTATTCTACGATCAAGTGACGTGCTCCTTCTCCTCTTCTTTAGGGATGCGCACCCAGATCGCGGTGATAACAGCGCCGAGTATTGCAATGCTTAGACAGAACCACCAGACCGCTCGCAGCCCTCGCAGACCGATTTCGCCATCTTCCTGCAGATCTACCCGCGCACCAATAGCATCTGCCACCGAAGTCATGATAGCCGAAGACAAGTTCTGGATCGTGACTAGTAGGCTACCAGCCGATCCTTGATAATTGCGATCAACAGCGGAGGTGATGAAGATCGATGCAGCGGCAAAGGACAGATCTGGTCCAAAAGTTGCCAGAGCTATGCCGGGCATACTCAGAGCCCAGTAGGTCGTGTTTGGTGTTTGAGGTAAGAAGAAAGCTGGTCCGAAGCCGAAGGCTATCATGGACCCGATGTAAAGATAATGGCCAGGGACTATATGAAGTAGTCTACTGACCAAGAATGTCGCGAGCACACCGCAGATGGCATTGGGGAGGAGATAGCAAGCCACAATGATCGGCTGTTTGTTCTGAAGTCGAAGGAAGAACTGCAGAGCATAAAATTGCCAACCTGCATATGCTCCAAAACCAAGAAAGTACGCCGCCATCAGTGGACTGAAACCCGGTGTGCGGAAGAGGCGAAGTGGGACGAGTGGGCGTGGGACCTTCGTCTCGACCCAGATGAATAAGGCTAGGATGCAGAAGCCTACGATAATCAGGGCATACGTATACGGTGCCCACTTCGCCCCTGATCCTTGTGTGAGGCCAAAAAGGATGCAGATGCAGGCTACCATTGCCAGTGCAGCACCTTTGTAGTCAAACAATCTCAGACCCGCGCGCTCCTTTCCCTTATCTACTGCAGGCGCCAAATTGGGAATAGAGAAATATGCCGCGCCACAGAGAAGAGCACTGATGATCGTGTTCGTGCCGTAGATCCATCGAAGGTGAGCAGCGAGCGCACCGCCTTGCAAAGCTCCTAATAAGAACCCACAGGGGGCCATCGCTGCCATGGCGCTGAAGACACGGGTCTTGCGTTGTCCTGGGTTGTAGATCCGTCCAAGGATGGACATACTACCCGATACCAGTACACCTACTGCTAGGCCTTGCATAGCGCGCATGACGAAGAAGAGGATACTTAGGCTTGGCTTCAACGTGAAGCAGCCTATTAGATTCCATATTGCGAGCCAGGCAAATGCTGAGACCACGACTGCCTTCGGCGGTACTAGATCGGTCAAGGTACCCGATATGATAACGCTTAGGCCTAGGGCAACGAGGAAGGAGCCTACTAGCCATGGAAGCTGCGTACTTGGTATGCCGAGCGCGGCTTTGTAAGCTGTTTGCGGGACATTGACATTGCCCTGGAAGAATGCGAAGAGGAGTTGACCGCTACTGCATGTGAGAATGAAGATGATCTCTTTAGTCAGACTGCCGAGCTCCGGTGGTATGCCTTGCTGTACAGGGTTCGTAGGAGAACCACTTTCATCGCCGAGACCATCTCCACCTATAATCGGTCCTTCCGAAGGACGTAAAGATGACTTGCGCTGTATGACGCTCGTAATCGGCCGAAGCTCGTAGGTATCCTCGCGGCGAATATCTTGGCTTGTGTTCGAGCGGGTGCGGGCTAGATTCTCGAGTGCTGTTCCCATGTGACCACGGCTTAGGGTCTTGCCTAATTCGTGGAGCACATCCTCTCGTTCGGCGGTGGGAACTCTCGAAAGGTCTGGAGTGCCATCTGATGGGCTGGAATACGCGATGTCGAAGAAATGGCTTGTTGGTGCCGCATCTTCAATTCCTTCGCCACCGTGGAGGTGAGTGGTCGCTGTGGTCGACATAATATCTGTAGTGACCTTTGCTCGGCTTCGATGTCGCTGGGCTGGCTCGAGTAATCCTATAGCACAATGGCTTCGTTACATGAACTGTTCAACCAGAGTCCAGGTGCTGCTTGCGGTCACTTGACTGATGAAACTTGGATGTCATGAGGGATTCGTGTTTGCAATGATGCTCAGAGGTGAGGCGATGAGATGGAGCAAGAGATGGATTGGATGGTAAGATGGATTCGGACTAGGATATGTATCTTGTGGGCAAACTCTTACCAAGACAGAAATGCAAGTGGTGACCAGATTTGATGTTGTTGAGCCATCGGCACGCCGAATGAGGAAATTGAGGCCGCAAATTTGTCGGCTTCGCCAGAAATTGCACCGCAGTTGAGAAGGTAACAAAAGTCAACCATCTTCTCCTTCCTGACATTGAGGAATATCAACGATACACCTCGTAAGTGACGCTGCCGAAAGAAGGGACAGGCTCTTATCAAAGAGCTTTGGCACGACATTCAAGGCCTGCACATACCAGCTTGGTGTCGTTAACACAATGATGGCCACTAGAAGCGTCCGTCTCTTCATCACAGTAAAACGACCTAGCACGCCTCAGAGACACTATGGACATTAACAGCGACCTATCGAGCTCATACTGATAGCGGTATCGTTCTTCAACATACATATATTCATGGAATCGACTGTCTGCGATGGATATAAGCTTCCGGAGATAGATGACATGACATGGTGAAATGACTTCATTCTTCGATCACCCACCCCCAACGGTCCTATCAGTTGGGAATATAGAGCCACTCCATTTGATCAGACATCATCCCTGCGGTTGCACCGACTATTGCAGACCCATTCAACAGCATGCCTAACTTCAATCTTCATATCATCAAGGGCACCAGAACGCCTCAGGAGATTACCCAGCTTGCAAATGTCGTATATCAATGTTCGCTTGAGCACTTCAATGCGCCACCTAAAGACCGATACCAGGTACGTCGCAGATGCCAGCACCAAAGTTGCAACAGTTGGACTACACTACTTACGTTACCAGGTCATAACCCAACACGAACCATATGAACTTATGCTCGACGATACCGATCTCGGGATAGAACGGACGGACGAATTGCTGTTCATCCAAATCATCCAGCAAGGGCGTAGTCAAGAAGTCAAGCAGAACTTCTACGGCAAGCTCGCTGAGGCCTTGAAGAAGGAATGTAAACTTGAAGGCGGTGATCTCGTCATCACCTGTATCGAGAATACGAAAGCAGATTGGTCCTTTGGTCATGGACGGGCTCAATTCTTGACCGGCGAACTCTAGTACTTGCTTATGTGAGCAGTGTGGAATCAGAGGGAGCGCAAAGACTTACGTATAGATATCGACTCCTCGGATCAGGATTCCACTCTTCATTCTCCACACTCACTCTCCACTCTTCCATCAGAGGTAACATCTGCTCAACATATGACTGCTCGTCGACCATTTCCTTGGGGGGGCAGGCTTCGAGACAAAAGCTTTGTGCTTGATCGTCGAAGCTCCACGTCCACCACACCTTTTCTGCGTTTGGGGGCTTCTTGTCGTAGCGCTCTTGATGATCCACCTTCATCATGAGCCCAATGAGTCTGTTGTAGCTTGTCTTGAAACTACCTTTGACACGAGCATGGTTGCGAACAAATACGACACGTTTGACGCCCTGAAAATTCCGGAGCAGCTTGGTAATGTCCGAGATATAGTCGAAGAGGTAATGCCAGGTACTTGAGCGGTTGAGGACAATGGTCAAGCTGTCTAGGTTGAGTGACGATATACCCCACGGATGCTGACCCCAGTCGATCAACTTGCGGAAGTGTCGAGCATCTGCTGAGAATGTGATGGACCGTATGGCCGCAAGCTGCTTCGGGCAGAGTACTTCAAGGCGTTTAGGGATCTGGTTTGACACGAAGAGACTATTGGCCACAAACGAGGTGTGACTAAAGGCCAGCAAAGTGGCATCCTGGTACATCTGGCGACAAGTGAGCAGCAATGTCATGTGCGAGCTGGGTTTGTAATGCTCGTTGATCTTGATCCCTCCAGGCGTGCCATGATCGGTGAAGGTCGTGATATGCTTATGGTCGTCAAAGACATGCTCTAAAATTTGTTGTCGGATCTCAGCCGGTAGCGGTTGAAAACCGCAGATCCTATTCGGGAGTGCCATGGTGCCTTTACCTTGCTCACCTTTAAGACGACTGCACGTTGTTGATGTCAACGGCGTGGCAGAAGCGGGGCAAACCCATCTCATCTCACAAGACCAAATAGGGTTCATCGCGATCTCGGCTTTATGAGCCCATCACGGTCGCGCCAAGGGAGCAGCCGCGAAGCTTAAGAACAACCTTCAAGTTGAAAGCATACCGTTTCTCTGACGAACAACGCTCTCTCTAAGCAAGCAGCGTACGGAGTAACGGAGTATACATCAAGACACCTACCTGAACTGCCATACTCCTACTCAAATCCCTCTCCCCTCGTCAAGCCTAGACCGCAGCGGACCAAGCCTCGTCTAGCGTTGCTGGAGTGTCTTCTCGGTACAGGTCAGGCCATCAAACTGCTCAGCTCACGACTGCGAGCGAGCCAGGCCAAATCCTGCCGACAATGAAGATTCTAGATCATTCTCACAGGACTTCCTGCGAATGGCCACAAGCGATAGTGGGCGTGTGGCCACGGTAACTGCACGTTATGCTTTCTCCAGAGATCCAGACTTGGTAGTGGCTTGCATCGTGGGCCGCCCAGCCAGTTGTGTGGACAAGACAGTCCTTGGCACTCGGAAACGACCTGTACGACCAAGCACTATATGACAGACACGTCTGGTGCGGATCCTGGTAGGACCGAGTAGAGACGTCCATTCTACTTCTACAGAATCACCATTATTACGACGAGCTCGGTCGCGTCGACGTTGCTTCTCTATCATACTTCTAATCCTCGGCAGTGTCGATGCGAGTGCGGTATGCTTCAGTGCACCGTATAGCAAGTTCTTGCCTCTATCAAACTACCCCATTGCTGAAAGTCTGTGCTCTCAACCCTTTCCTGTATCGCCAGTAAGTCCGTCGTCAAATTGTGCCCTTTCGATATACCACTAATTACTTCCTAGGTTACGCAAACTGTCACTGCATCGACCTCTACTGTCATCACCACGGTTGCCACCACGACGATCCCTGTCACAATCAGCACTGCTTTTTTGACCACTACCACTTCGACACTCACCCATCGATGTCGGTAGCACAGAGTCTGATATGGTAACAGCCACCACTGTGGTCACAACTATCACGAACCTCGTCACCAAGAGAGCTGCTGCTGTGACTACATCCATTACAAAACCTCGACAGGTGGGAGCTCCAAATCGTCTTCGACATCGACGACTAGCAAGAGCTCGACGCCTGCTCCATCGACGTCAACCGGACAAGCAGCTCTTTGGGCATCTGTGCTGAGCCAGGCTCAATCTTTCATAAGCACTATATGCTCCTGCATTGAGACACCAAAGACAGTCACTACTACAACATCACCCAAGACAACGCAAAGCGTCAACGCGACGAACTTCACGAGCGTTATCGCCAGCTCGACGATCGATGTCCTAGCAAGCACCACAACCACGTTGCAGACCACCGTCACAGCCGCGACCATAACGGTCACAGTTTCAGGTAAGCTCAATACTCCTACGAATCCGCACGGACGATACTGACAACAGCTCACCAGCCTCAACAAATGTAGTCTGTCCATCACCATCAGCTATCTGCAGCGGTGCCTGTGTAAACACCAATACAGACAACAATAATTGCGGAAGCTACGGTAACGCCTGTGCCTCGACCGCCGCTTGTTACAATGGACAATGTTCGCCTATCTCCAATTGTGCCACCGCAAATACATTCGTCTACGGCGGCTGTCCGAATGGCAATGACAAATGCTACTGCTTAGCGAACACTCAGGGCGGCAATACGTGCGGTCAGGCTGGCACCATTTGTGGGCCCTCCTGCTCCTCATACGCCGACTGTGGTGGGCTCGCGTGCCTGTCTGGATCTGGGCAACCCTCGGGGAATGGCTGTGGGTATAACAACTGCGAATAGGCGAGCGATGCTAGCTTGTGCGGTCATGGTGCTGTCAATAGATTCCGTGCTCGAGGGTTCGCCGCGATAAGAGAGTTGAGAGAAGTGTCGCTATTGTATATCCGGTGAATGTGACCGGGAGTATTACTTGACGTAGTAGAACATTGGCGGCCGTGGTTTGCATTTATGAGATGATGAGGCTGTGTAAACTGTTCATAAGGTCATAATATCATTCTGACTTCAGACTTGGTTGCACTTGCCATGCTTGTTCTTCCAGATGTATGAAGCTAAAACGCATGTGCGGGGCTTCTTTAATTCGGCCACGAAAGGCGGCCAGTGAAACGAGGAATATACATGGCCACCAATTTTTGTAATGCCTAGCTCTCCGCTGCTTCAAGGGCCTTAGCCTGCCGTGGATCATGGACGTGGCCTGCCACATAGTTCTCCTTGCTTTTGTCGTTACTGCTCACGAACCATACCAGAATCATTCCGGCTCCACCGAAGGCAAAGCTCGTAAAGAAGATCGTCTTGTACGCTTCGGCATTAGCATGGCGATATGCTTCAACTGCTGTGGCGTTGATGGCGGCAGTAAGACCTGGTACACTGGAAGCAGACAAAGCTCCCTGTCCGGCCAGACCACTGAGTAATGCTGGCACCGAGCTGGCTGGCAGACCCGCTTCCTCGACTGCAGGGGTCACGTATCGTGGTATGGTCTGACCCCGGCGATTTGTGAGGACTGTAGAATAGATGGCCACAGCTACCACCGAGACGAAAGATCTGATCGCACCAGCAAGGCCACCAGCTGTGCCAAGCTCTTCTTGGGTCCTGAGGGAGAAGGTTGATGAGACCGCAGCTTGGGCTTCACTAGCACCGATGAAAAATGCGCCTGTGATGATAAGACCTTGTGAGGCTGTCAGTGTTGGACCCGCCAAGGTGTGTAGACGAGCTTTATCCGTCGCACTTACCCATAGTAAGCTGAGCTACTGTTAGTGGCCGTGATATTCTCAGATTGGGTGGGTGTACATACCTTCATGTTCAGTGGATCCGCGGCTGCTGCCATCAGTACAGGAGCGGCTATCCACATCGTGCTGATGATAGACGTTCTTGGGCCAATGACAGTACCCATTATTCCACCAAACATCTGGCCGAACACGAAGCCCTAATGAGAAAGCCAGATCACCGCTCCAAATATCGTGAGCTCTAGCTTACCATTGCGGCCAGGCCTGCCAGTGTACCTTGCCTATCGTACGACAATGTGTACAAAGATGCAACAGCCTGCGGCCACACCAGACTGAAGCCATAGTAACAGCCAGCACCAATGCCTGTCAGCCAGCAGCATGCCTGGTAGCTGACATTCGTGAAGAGGTACAGCGGCAGGAACGGCTCGACGTTCTTGAATGGAAGTAACAGCTCCCACGCTGGGAAGCAGATGAACAGGATAACGCCGCCAGCTACGAGGCAGCCAATGACATGGCCATCAGTCCAGGGGTATCTAGTGCTGTTAGCTGCAACACGCTTGATTGTTCCCACGAGGACGTACAGAGCGCCACCCCAGTTCAAGCCCAAAAGGAAGATCAAGAGACCTCCTGTGTACAAGAGAAGACCGACCCAGTCGAAATGTAACAGGAGATCCTTCGCCAGCTTCTTGCGATGCAACATCTTGAAAGTCGGAGGATGATAGAAGAGATACCAGCAGATTGCGCTCAAAGCATTGACGCCAGTTATGAACCAGAAGCTGCCACGCCACTTGATCAACGTCTTCTGGAAGGTGAAAGCGATCTTTGCGGCCAAAGGATTGGTGGGGATCGTGATCATGTACGCATACGAGTTAGCGAGATACCGCCATCGCATGGGCACGATCTCGGATATAACCCAGAAGAACGATATTTGGAAGGCGGCTGAGATACCGATAAGCACTTCGCTACCTATGAGAGTGTTGATGTTTTGTGCCGTGGCTCCAACGATCGATCCGACGACACCGATTAAGCTACCGATGATGAAGAACCATCGTCGTCCTGTCATGGTCAACGTCAGTTAATAGTTCTAGGTCTGAGCGAGGTAGTATCGTTGGTACCGAAGATATCACTGAGCTTTCCGACCAAAGCGAAGAATACAGCTTCCGACAGGACGTAAACGATACCGACCCACGTAACATTCGGACTCGGCCCAAGGTCGTTATTGATCTCGCCAAGCACAGGTGCAATTAGAGCATATCCTCCAGTGCCACCGCAGAAGCCCAGGCCAATGGCCGCCATGCTGCCAAGAAAGCGAGCAGACAACCGGTAGCTCTTGTCAATAGTGGCGGCTTCGCGACCTCGAGCTTCTGGTGCTCGATCTTCATCGTCGTCCAAGGGCTTCTCATTCTGGATACCGACATCGGGGTGATCTCTTTCGGCCGTCTCGAGATGCTCCGATGTTAGCTTTGTGTCTGTCGACGTCTCCATGATGTGCTTTGTAGCTAGGTCGCTGGAAGTACACTGCAAATAGAGTATATGAAAACCTATAACATAAGCTCAGAAAGTTTGACGGATCGTGCAATGAACATATAAGCACAGTACTTGACCACACCGAGGCCTTAGTGGAGGTGCCTGATCAGACCTCGGATAGCGAAGTTGTAAGCATTTCCCAGGAAGATCATAACAGGCTACCGAATGAATGCAATGCTCTGAAGCAGAATCCCTACGTTGTGAGGAGAAGTTGCGCATCATCCGTGTCGTGCATGGTTGCTCCTGTGCCCTCGGCAGAATTTTCCGAACCAAAGGTACGTACCACTTCAAGATCGACAGCATCCCTTGGCAAGACTGTGGGTGACATGGACAGTGCAAAGAACCTCTGGACAGATATGCGAGGCGAGTAAGTCGATATAGGTATCGAAGATAGCCGTCTATTGGACGCGGCCGACTTGCGCGATCGAATATGGACCTATACATCGAGTAGCTTACCATAGTGCCACCCGTACGCCATAAAGGCGGTATATATGTCTGGGACGAAGCCCTGCTTCGCGAGATCTGTGTATCACAAGCGGCCCAGTCAGCTTTGTGGGAAGATACGTTTGCTCCAGTGTAGACCAAGGGCCCAATGGTAGAGCCTGGCAAGTTTGTCAGTTATGGCGGAATCTGGATGATCAGTTTCGGGAGAGACTTACCTCGCGTCCACAGTCTTGCCCTGCTCCTTCGATAATGCTGCGTTACGCATGAATACAAGGCCACAGTCATCGAGGACAGCTCACATGGGAGGTACATACCTTGTAGAGTCTGATACAACTCATTAAGTGGCACGATTCTTCGCTCAATGAACTCGCCCTCGTCTAGATGCTGCTCTGGAGCCTCATCATCCTCCTTGAGGTTCACCTCGATCGTGACCATCTTGCCGCTCACATTAGCACTTACCCCAACATCACGGCGATGAAACCAGCATGATTTTACATACCTGCATATTCGCAGTCGTCAACCCCGGATCACTAACAATCGTCGGACTGCAATCAAGTACCTGGTGCGTAGCATTGGTCATTCCCGGCTGATTACTCAAAGTCGGCGAGATGTCGCTCACCTTGCCCTCATACCCGGTCTCCTCCTTCAACTCCCTCACAGCAGCTTGCTCAGGCGTCTCGCCTTCGTCGATCAGGCCGGCAGGGAACTCGACACAAATGGCTTCGACGGGTGGCCGGTACTGCAGGATGATGAGAGTGCTTGGTGGTCTGCTTGGGTGGCGAAGAATAGGTGCGATGGCGACGGCGTCAACTCCGGTTTCTTTGCGAGTCTTGCGGGCAGCGGCTTCCCAGACACGTTCTCGGCCAGTCTGGTCGGTCCATTCGATTTTGCGAAGTTCAGTCCATTTGGCCTCGTCCGCACTCAGTGGAGTGACGCGGTTGATCTTGGGTTGCTTGGTGGCCATTCTGCCTATCGGACGCAAGTGGCGTAGTGATGTAAGTTGTGGTAGGCGAGCACGTCGTACGATGAACATTGATGCAGTGATAGAGAAGTCAAACGAGCATCGCCTTCGACATTGAATTTAATGGTGACGTCGTGCCTGCCGCAAATTATAACGGCGCGGAAAAACAGCGTTCCGAAGAGCATTCACGAAAGCATGAGCGAGGATGATTGATCACGATCTTTGAGAGGGTGCATAACTGAGGGTAAAAGTCAGCATGACTTTGGAATAGTGTCATGACATTCGTTCGCCTTGCATGTGCACAAGACGCAGGACAGTTGGCAGTCGCCCTTATGCTCCGCTGCAAGCAGTATAGAGTTCCCTCATGCAACTGCACGCCCTTCGAACTGCCTGCTATCCTTCCTGTAACCTGCATCTTGGACTGTTTCATCGGTCCATCGATCAAGACAAGGTAATATCTGGCCTACTCCCTCACACCACCACCATTGCTAACATTCGTCACGCCCTTCGACTCTTTGTTCGACCCTTCAATAATGTTTCCACTCTCCAATATCTTCTGAACAACATCTGTGCTGGAGCTGAGTCAGTATCCCAGTCGATACCTCGCAAACATGTCCAATCGATCACTTACTCCTTGCTGCTGCCAAACTCCGCCTCAAGCTGACCCTTTGAAGCCCGATCCATCTGGCCTTGGTTGCCGTGTCTGACAGTATGTCAGCTACCAATAACACATGACTTCCTTGGGACTGCCCGACATATTGAGAACTTACTTGTGCGTAACGAAGACATCAAAGCTATCGACCACATCGGTCAAAGCCGTGGTCTTGTCGTGCTTCCACTTCCTCACGGCATCGCCGCTCTCAACAATGACGATGAAGTCCTCAGGGTGGTCGGAGGACTTCGCACCTCCTTGGCCCTTGTAGTGGACTTTGGTGACGCTGCCTTTGCCGTGCATGGTTGCTTGAATATTCGTTCGGGTCTGATTGAAAGTGTCTGACTGAATCGTGGTCTTGTGTCAAAGTTTCGTAACGTTCGGACTTGTGTGAACGTGTATAGTGAAGAGAAGGTGTTTGGGGAAGCTATCAAACGGAATATGTAGGATAGCTGTACCTTGCAGCTCTGGTCGCGTGCCATGGAAGGCACGGTCAGGTGCGTGGGTAGATGGAACGTCATTTGTGATGTCAGACTGGTGCACGGCCGATCGTCTCATATCTTTGAAACACGAAGAGGCGCAAATCGAAGAGGCAACATCTTGAAACGAGTCTGGCATCACCACCGGTCTACATTGCAATGTCATGTCAATGACGAACCATGCGTTTGGATGTGGAAGGCGCCTTTCATCGCTCTTTTAAGGTTAAGGTAGCTTTTGCAACCAATACCATGTAGTAGACGACACGGCCCAGTCAACCTTATGCAAGAGCTCTTTTGTTGATTGATGGTTTGCATAGTACATAAACACTATCTTAGCAGTCAGCAGCCTTAATCATTGGCAGCCTGTATATCAAACGCCTTGGTCTGTGTGGTCCACCTTGTCTATCGCGTGTACCGCCAGTCCGAAGACGGCCGCCAGAACTCCCCGCTTCTTTATTGCCTCTTCCTCTTGTCAACGACCAACTGCTTAGGTGACGGTGTATCCACCATCGACACGCAGATCCGCACCAGTCACGTAGCCCGAAGCATCGCTGCATAGGAATGTCACGGCACCCATCAGGTCCTCTGGACGACCCATCTTACCCTGTGGGATCAGGCTGGTCCACTTGGCTGCGAGCTCCGGATTGTCGTCGAGAATCTTCTTCGTGCTAAAATATCCATTAGCTCAATTTCAAAGGGATGTTCAGCTTCTGAATTGACTTACAGCGCAGTAAGCATGTAACCCGGGCTAATGCAGTTGACACGAATACCCGCATGCGCCCACTCAACCGCCAACGAGCTCGCCAAGTGCCTCACAGCAGCCTTGGCTGCATTGTACGGCGCCTGTGGCTGAGGCACATTGACAATGGCACCACTCATGCTTCCGATCATGACGATGCTACCCGGTGCCTTACGAGCCATCAAGTGCTTCGCCACGCCCGTAGCGAACAAGTATGTGCCGTCCACGTTCACACCCCAGAGCTTCTTGATTCTGTCGTAAGGGTACTCAATAGCGTCGAAGTTCTCTGTGAAGCCGGCGGATGTGACGAGGTTGTCGATCTGGCCGTGCGAGGAAATGATCTCCTCGAGGGCACTGTTCACAGAATCCGGGTTCGATACGTCGGCGTAGTGGGCTGTAACTTTTGGGACTTCTGTCGCGCCTGGGTTCTCCTCGCGGAAGTGCTCCATGAGTAGTTCGGCTTGCTTTTGAGCTTCGTCCTCTGCAATGTCTTTGTCAGTGCCACTCGAGCTTTTCTGTGGTATGTCACTCACTGTTAAGGTCAACGATCGCAACGTCCGCACCACTGACCACCAACGCTTGACTCATGACCAAACCCAGACCTCGAGCACCGCCAGTCACCACACCGACTCTTCCCTCCAAGCTAAAGCTCGCAAGCGTCCTCTTGAAATGGAAACCACCACGCCCTTGAACCGGCTTTGAGCTGGGCAGGTCCTCCTCTTCTGGATATGGCATCCGGATTGTGTTATCCGTTCGCGAGAACTGACCCTCATGCTCAAAGGCGCCGGGCTTGCCCGTTGTGCTGAACTCGTCATGACGACCCTCAGCAGCATCGTCACTAGCTGATTTCTCCCTCAATGGTGTAGCATTGCTAAAGTTGCGGATAGGTAGACGAGAAGCGGCTGTAAAGGTAGGAGGGCGGATAGCTGTTGCAGAAGCTCTCGAGACTTGACGGAGGAGTGTGGACCTCATCATCTTTGGCAGTAGATGTTAGCTTAGGACAGTGAGGTTGTTTAATATTGTCGTTCGTAGATAGTATAGTAAGAACTTTGATCTTAAGCTCGAGTCCAGGATAAAAAGAATAAAGTGATCCTCCTGTGATGCATGTTCGCTAAGCTATGCAGGGGAACGACGATCCTCAAGTTCTAAGTAATGCTTACGTGGTTTGTGATGCTGCCAGAAGGACTGTTCCAGTGTCGCTGAAGGAGTTCGATGGGCTAGCTGTGTGGTAGGCCGCGGAAGAAATTTGTCAAGATACAGGCGTATCCGAGGCAAGAACAGTTAATCCTCTCCTCAACTTCAAAATATCAATACCTTATTCTCAACAAAAAGCTATCTTTATGACGTACCTACGTACCCGTCCGCGTCCGCGTGTGCAGCTACTAGCGAGTCAATCAGCGAAGTCAAATTCGATGCGGAGTGCGGGACGATCAGCTGCCAACCTCGATAGGGACGGAAAAGATGTTTGGAATACACGTGCTTGGAAGACGTCTCGAGAAACTGGCAAGCAACGGAGGAAGCGGTATGGTGGAGTACATGTCGACTGACTAACACTGCGTACACGCCGGCCCTTGAGCAACATATTCGACCGGACTAGCATTGAGACAAACCCGTCCATTCTCATCCGGAAATCCATCAGCACTCTTCACAGTAAAATACTCCGACCCGACAGCCGTCCAAGCATAGAAGACATTTTTGGGATCATACTTCTTCTTGAGCTGTAACAGCTGCGGGTACTTGCTGACCCAAAACGCCCACTGAAAATCCGGCTGCAGACGATCCGCTTCATTCAGGTACGCGCCTGATGTGGGAGTCAGATCATGCCATTGCTTCATCGTGGTATCCGTGAAGTTTTGTCGCTGCTCGGTCAAGACGGCTGCGGACTGCGTGAGGTCTTGGACTATGCCGGTGATGAAGTAGCCGATGCCTGTGCGCCAGGCGGGGTTGACAGCTGTTTGCTGCGAGCCACCACGTTGCCAGGTTGGTGCGATATTGTACCCAATGAGCGCCATGCCGGCTTCGATGTTGCTCCACCATTCGTCAAAGGTCGCGTTGAAGAGTGTCTGGTTGGCGAAAGTTTCGCGTGGGAACATACAGGAGGCTGTGACGACGCCTTTGTTGTTCACGCCTTCGACTGGGAAAGAGGCATTGTAGGCATCGTAGAAGTTGGTATAAGTTTGCCACTTCGGCGTGATTGGGGCACCGAGCGCTTTCATCTTGTCGAGCCACGATTGTAGCACGGCTTGTGCTTGTGATTGGGTCTTGTTAACGGCGAAGTATGGTGCCATGGTCCAAGTCATAGCGCCGCCAAAATTGAAGATGTTGAAGTGAGAGTAAATGCCATTGTCTGCGCCGTTGGGGAAAGTGCTGAAATAAGACTTCAATGCTGCCTTGAACATGTCAGTGCTGACATTGCCGCCCGTTGCGAGGGACCACGAGGCGGCCGTGATAGCTGGCACATCCTTGTGAATCCTGGTGACGACGGAAGTGACGACGCCAAAAGTGCTGCCACCACCACCACGGAGTGCCCAGTACAAATCGGGGTTGTGGTCGCGATTGGTAGTCACGAACTGACCATCAGCAGTAACGAGCTCGAATCCCAAGGCATGATCAGCGCCCATCCCGAGAGTGAGCTGACAGGAGAGTGACCACCACCTTGTATCCACCCGCCCATCGCACTGACACTGGGACACTCACCTCCCATGGCAATATAGCCCATGTCCGAAGCTGCCCTGTATAGCTCATAGCCCTGGATGCCAACGCCCGCCTTCAATGCAGGTCCAGCATAACTGCTGTCCTTGTACGATGGCATGAAAGCAACTTGCTTGAGGTGATGCGTCCAGATGCTAAGAGATCCCGCACCACCAGACTTGCCAAAGAAGTCATGACCAGTATTCTTCACCACAAGTCGAATGCCAGAATTGCGAGCAAAGTTGACCGCAAGCTGGACCTGAGCGACGTTGGTGATGTTCACGACGTACGAAGGATAGCCACCTTGTGTGCAGGAATTCGTCTTGTTGAAGATGGTTGGAGGCTGGCATGTCATGCCCTGGTAGAGCGCACTCAACATCTCGATAGAATCATTGAGGTGGAAGAAGGGATCAGTCCAGCTCCATGCCATGCTGGCACACTTGGCTGAATCAACGGCATTGTTGGTGCCATTACCGTAGCATATGTGAGCCTGCGGTAGAGGCTGCAATAGTTGACCCAGTGTGACGAGCTTCAAAGCCAGCCAGTCGTTAGTGGTAGGCCATGCTGCATCCCCTGGAAAGACCTCTACAACCCGATCTTATGCCTCGTTAAAGCATCAGCCATCGTCTTTCTACTCCGTCTCGGCGAAAGTCGTAAGATCATCCGATGGTCGCTACAGATCTTCTTCTGGTACAACCTCGGCCACATGATCTCAGTGTTCTTCGCGGCATTGACACAATGTCTGCCCGTGCACATGTACTGGGACCACTTCTATACCAATGAGATCGTCAACGGCATCCCAGTCAACCCGAACTACTCCTGTTTCCCAGAAGAGATCTTCTCGCTGACGACAGCTGGTCTGGCTATCTTGTCCGACATCCTCATCCTCATCATACCCGTCGTTATGATGTGGAACCTGCGCCTGGATACAAGGAAGAAGATCGAGGCGGCGTCGTAATGTCGCTCGGCTGGATCGTCTGCGTGGTCAGCATAATCCGGCTGAAAGTCTTCTACGATTACTGGACAGGCGCAAGCGATGACCCGACCTGGGAACTCTCGCAGACAGTCTCAGGTATTGAGGTCAACGTCGCTATATGGACGGGCTGTGGACCAGCTATGAAAGCGATCCTGACACGTTTTTCGCCGAAGTTCTTCGGATCACGAACCGGTTCGCGGCCGAGTCGCAATGTCTACTACTCGCCGAATGGCTACGAACTGAGTGATCGAGGTGGGCAGGAGAAGAGCGGGTTTAACACAAATTACAGTGCGGTGATTCGGGCGCGGGACGATGATGCGAGTAGCCAAGATGCTATTGTACAGGACGAGAATCTCGTGAGGAATAAGACTCGGGAAGTGAGGGTGGACTTTGAGCTTGAGCAGCAGGCAGCGTCGCTTGGTCGTTCACAAGATCGATCCCGTCATGTCAGCCAGTATAACAGATGATCGGTTCTCTTCGCAGTCCATGCACTTTCTTCTTTCCCAGAGCCTCGGAGTGACATGTCGCACGTGATACGTCGTCAAGAATGTCTTCTTTCCTTTCCGCTATGCCATCTTGGCAAACAAATGTAGTCGAGCTTCACGTGAATTATACGTGAATGGCTGAGGAATATCAAAGTCTTTTTAAGCACGTGTTGCTGGCCCCTGGTCAAGACTGGACTGATAGGGTGCATAAGCTCGCGGTCAACGGACACATGTGGATAATAAGCGTAGTGACAAGCAAATATGCCAAGCAGGTCTCGAACGTCAATGGCGGCGCTGAAGACGTGATCACCTCATCGCCGGCCACAGTCGCGTGATGAAGATAGCTTTCCGAACAGTGGCGAGACATCCTTCTCCCCTTCACCGCGCTTTTATTTCATACCAGCATCAATAGCGGAGGACGAGCTCTTATTTGACGGATTATTTCACGAAGTGACATTCCAGGTTACGGCATCGAGGATTTGCAGGGTCCACAAACTCTCCACGATCAAGCCACAAACTCCGCTCTGAGCCGGTGCACCAATCCATCCACGACAGTACGAGTACAGACGCGCGGCTGGCGTTTAGGCACACCACCTTCCCTGCTTCACACTCTCATACAACCTACGAAGACGAGCAGGCGATAACTCACCAGGCAGCAACTCAGAGTATCACAGTGTACTGATCACAATCACACCCACCATGTTCGGTCGCTCAGTCGGCATCGCGGCCACATGCGCACTGAGCGCCAGCGCCTTCATTATCCCGCCGGGTGTAGCACCAGCAGCACACGGCGAGCATGCGCATGATCTCTCATTACAACAAGTCAACCCGAAGAGCCGGACTCTGGTGCAGACATGCCCTTCATGTGCATTTCCATGGGACATCGTGAGCGACCAGGCTGAGGACGAAGTGGAGCCAGAGTTCTGGATACAAGGTGGCTCGAATAGTCTGGTATTCAACTTCGGCATATCGGAGGATGGAAAGTGGCTACAGCTCAGTGGCGCGAACATATATTCACCCTCGTGCTTTGGGCGGAATTGTGGCAGACTACCAGTACCCACCGTGCGACAAATACCGAGCAATACCGACCTATCACACCTGGCGTCCAGCGATCTATCACGGTCGGCCAAGTTGAAGGTCACGGGGTATGGTCTGGAGGAATCAGATCCACAGGCACTATCACCGGATGGAGATATGCTTGTGCCGCTCACGTTCAGATTGGAAGGCTTGGAGAAGGAGCCGATTGAGCTTGGCGAGATTGGCATCAAGTTGTTGAAGACTAGTGATGGAGAGTTGTTGATCATGCAAGTGGAGGTTGACCCACGACCGCGCAACATCTTCGATCACCTTTTGATGCCTCCACCGGCTGGAGAGGAGGAAGAAGACTTCCCTCATCCACCTCCGCCACCTTTCAGCCATCACCCTTACGGTCCACCACCGTTCGATGCAGAGGGCGCAGAACTTCCACCATTTCATCATCCTCCTCACGGTCCACCACCATTCGATAGAGAGGGAGTGGACTTCCCACCTCCACCAACCTCGTTCCACGGTCCACCACACGGCCCACCACATGGCCCTCACGGTCCATTCGGACATAAAGAATGCGACGTGCTACCCGAGCCTCTCTGCAAGCTCAAGAACATCATTGACGCCAAGATCGATGCCGCCCTCGGCCCAGCGCATCGACACCATAGACCAGGCTGCCCTGGTCGTCAAGGCCAGCACGGTCCTCCAACCAAAGGAGGTCCGCAGCGCTTCCACGGTCGTCCTCACCATGTGCGACCACACAATCGCTACCATCGCCATCATCGTTTCTGGCGACATGGATTACTACGTGCCTTCGCCAAAGGTCTGGTCACTGTACTCATCCCAGTCTTCGCTGGTATCACAGTAGGCATGTCAGTCAGCTTACTTGGGCTGGTCGTAGGCCGGATCGTGACCTTCCTGTGGCGCACATTCGTGCGAGGTAACAAGCGAGGCTATGTCAATCTCCCGCAAGACGAAATCCCCGTCGTACAACACGCAGAGGGCAAGATGGTGCTAGCTGAGATGGAAGCACCGCCGCTCTACGACAGCCCGGTTGATGTGTTCGCGCCTCCACGCTACGAGGATGTGAAATCAGATACGAAGTGATTTCAACGCTCTGGTTGGGAGCTTGACTTGGAGGCAAGTGATATTACCACGACTCGGACGCAAAGACACAGTCTTTAACATGATGCCGGCCGGTACTTGGAGTTTTTCGGAAGGCACTCTTAAGGAGTTGACCAGGCAAATGGGATCGTCCTTTTTTCTGTTCGCTAGTCTGTCTAGTTCGCTCATGCTGTATATGTATGTATCTATTCATTCACATGCTCGCAGGCAACAGGTACTATACTTGAGGCCGAGGTAGTCGGGAGTCCTGATTCTTCGTGATGAAGTGTAGACTCTCTGCGATTGTGGATCCGTCATACCGCCGCCATCCGGCTTCGTTATACATTACCTTTCTGCGCGCATTGCTAGAAGGTGAGCCGGCAACTTAGAAGAGATCCGTGTCGTGCCGACTGGTGGCATTTAGACGTAGTTCTCTCACGCAATAATCGTCTCTATGATATCGTCATTCGTGGTATACCGCATTGTAGAGTGAGGAATCATGATGGGGGTAGTGAAGTCGCGTCCAGTAGTTCCAGCCTTGAGTCCTCAATCTCGCCAGACGCGACACTATCCAATCAATGCTGATGTCTTGCCCTACGAATTCAAAACTTCGTTCCCAGTCACGGCACCATTGGCACGTTTGTTGGCTTACCGAGCGCGAAAGAACCTTCTCGCTTCTGATTTTCCCTCAAAGTCGCGGAGAAAAGCCAAGATGATCAGCAAGAACCTCGATCTCCATGCTCGGATCGCAAACAACCACGAACCCATAGATCCACCATCCACGACGCGAAGCACAAACCACCAAAAGCCAACCTGAAACTTGAATCGCTTTCTGTCTTGCATTGCGCTCCGAGCCCTGCAGAAACGATGCTTGGAGGCGTCATGCCGCGATCCGCCAGAGGAGCTAGAGGCTACAAAGAAGGCCTCGGAATCGACTTCCTACACTCTCGAATGTCGTGCATGTCCTTTGTTGGCCATGTATTGGTCGCTTTGCCCCCGGTATCTGGCAAGTCCGCCGCATCCGCTCCCATCGTAGACTGGTTTCCTGCCTTTTAGACTTTGCTCGCCATGTGGTAAGAGGAACGGAGCCAAGTCCTGCTTTTGGGTGCACCGCGTGGCATATACTATTGCCAAAACAGGCACACGCAAACCACTGCAGTTGCCGCGTGGTGGCCCGCTGATATAGCCTTTGCAATCTCGGATGACTTGGAAGGGCGCATATAGGTCTCTATGCCCCTACTACTTGCCCTGGCTTGAGTTGATGCATGTTTGAGACCTTTGCCCCTGATAATATCAAGTATCGACGATTTCAAGCACTCTGCGACGTTCAAATATTCGAGGATCAGACCTACGACTAGTGCCATCTTTGTATCACTCCCTCACGGAAACAGGACTCTGAGACCTCTGGCAACGATAGACTCGACACAGGGCCATCCAGCTCCTACCGCGAACGATAGACCACTGTTTCCTTGCGAACCTGACGGCACACCTGACGACGTCACCACTGGACTGGTGCACTTGCCTTCTTTCTACCATCTACACCCGTCCCCATCTCGGTCTACACTAGGAGTTACCACACCACCACCATCACCAGCTCGGACGATCGTGACCTCTCACATACGCCTCACAGAATCCGACATGGCCGGCACAACATGCAACTGCGGCCACGAGCTGTTTGACAGCAGAGGTTGCTGCCCAGCATGCTACGAACGACAGCAAAGACGCCACCAGCGCCTATCAGGGCGAGTGTCTCCAGCGTCCACGCCACCACCAAGCCAACTGAACAGTCCTCGACAATCCGGTGAACGGAGCAGACTATCATCCATAGCCGAGTCCAACTACATGCCTTCTCCGGCCATCGCTGCTATTACCAGCGCCTTCACAGACGAAGGTCGTGGTCGTCCAGAGGTTAGCCTCTTTCCATCCCACCTGTACCAGGCGCCTAGAAGGCCGTCATCTCGCAAGTCGGAGTCGTCGGAGAGATCGCAGAGGACCCATACGTTTCGACACAGCGAAGACCATGTCGGGCCCATCGTGAGTCAGCTGCAGGGACCTATCACACCTCGCGTTGGGTCTAGCAGCCCTATCGAGCAAGCATACTCTCCTCTTGGTGCCGGCTTTGCAAGGATGAACCAGAGGGGTACCACTCGGGAACAGCGGGAAATGGTGAACGAGAAGAGGTTGAGCCAGCGGGGGAGTTTGGATCTAGCTGTGAGGATGTTTGATGGACCAGCTTGAGAAGAGCGTTGGTTGTGCTGTTTTTGTTCTTGAGCGTTCGAGCGAACGCTGACGACTTAAATGAATCTGGACGTGGTCGACCTAAGCGCCGGTCGCGGTCGAACCATGTTGTCCTCACGAGATGATATGATAGATGAGTGCTCTGTAGTCTCCAAAATTTGCACTGCGCAGCTCGAGATTGTGCCTTCGTTGCCTCGCAGGGTCGCAGTGCAGGCCGGTTTCTGGATAGTGTTCATTTCTGCTTCTTTTCGTCCCTGCCACGACTCGTGTATAGCTGCTCACTAAAGCAAGGTTAGCACGACAGCACAAGCTTCAACATCCTGACCATCGACTCACGCTCTCTCGCTTTTGCCATCCATCTTCTTCTTCTCTATCCTCTCCAGGGAGTCTTCTATCAGGCCTATATGTCCTCGTAGTGTACCTTCCAGCTCATCCATTCGCGCTTCATGCTCTTCTAGATTATAGTCATGATGCGATTTGAAGTACATTGTCATCCCACCCAAAGCGGCGAGATTGACGAGCTGCAAGATCGCGGTTGGAGAACGCCAAGAAGCCATTGAGCTGCGAAGTAGTTGATGCAAATGGTCGATATGGGATCTGCCAACCAACGTGCTGCACAACGATCGCACTTGATCAATACGAGTAGATCTTGGTTCTTGAACCATCAATAACGGAGCTCTCAAAGTCAAAATGGTGTCGATGACGAGACACGATCAGCCACAAAACAAGCACTTCAGCCTGCTCCACGATCTGGTTGGCTTTGCGCCAACTTTCTCGCGTCCAAACGACTTCATACTCAAAGCATATTTTCACGCCACAGGTAAGGAAGAGCTCAAATCCACAGCATCTGCATGGAATCTGGTAGACACAGCGTCCGGACCTCGCTTCGACATGTGATCTTCGTGGTGCCAAGAGAGGCGTTTAGTCCGTGATTCTCGCCATCGTCATGAGGTGGATCGGCTGCCCCTCTGTGGGCAGATATTATGACGCGGTATTCGTTGTGGACAGAGAGCACATGAAAGGTATAAAGAAGGGTGAAAGGTCTTGTGGCTGTGCTCGTGTATCCATACCGTACACTCCTCATCAAATAATACTGCCCATACTTCACTCCAAGATAGCTCCATCGATCTACGTATCTCACCATGGACTCTACCATTTCGGCACCATCAGTTGGCAGCCTCGTGAACAATGTTCTGTACGAAAAATTCTTGGGCCAATCACTCTGTAGATGCTGATTCGGATTCTTTAGTGGCTTGACCGGCAAGCGTTCAGATGATGCGTCGCAGGACAACACATCTTCTACCGCTGCAACATCCACCACTGGAAGCACATCCACGACCGGCACGACATCCACATCTAGCGCCCCAAGCACATCAACAAGCAGCTCAACTGGTGTGCAGCCTAAAGAAGTAGCGGACAAGTCGACGCTTGATTCGGGCAATGCAAAGACCGTCCACGCTGCGGATGAGGAAACGAGTGTAAGTGAGGAAGTCGCTCCGGCCGTCGAGCACGAGACCGTCAAGAAGCAGCACGAGACTCAAGAGCAGGTCGTTCTGGATAAGGAGAAGCACCAGGACCACTACCACACCACCATCCAGCCTCTCAAGGACACCGAGGTCAAGGATACCAAGGAGAACAGTGTCGAGGCCGAGAGACAGTACCGTGAGGTTAACCACCAGAACAACGATGTCAAGGCCAAGGTGGCTCAACGCGAAGGTGCCTTCGAGGACTCCACAGATGTGCAGAAATCGGAGGTGAAGTCGCAAGCGCCAACGATTGAGAACGATCATGTCCACCATCATTTGCATGAGACCATCCAGCCAGTGATCGAGAAGGGTAAGCTAGCATGCCGTCAGGACAAGCGGTGTAAGTGAAACGCTGATTGATATTATCCAGAAACGATCGAGAAGTCCGTCACGCACAAGACCATCCCGATCACCGAGCGCCACCAGGAGGTTGACGTCGACCGCGGCACTACAGTCAACAAAGCCATCTCGAAGGAGGAGTTCGCACGGAAATTGGAGGGTGAGAACGCAGGGACGGTGAAGACTGATGTCGCTGGTGGACCTGAGGTTGTCAGCCACCCGAATGTGTCCAGGTAGAGGTCGGCCAGTTCTTGGCAGCTTCCATAGGCTACAGAGAAGCAGCTTTCGCAGTGAGTCAACTACGGGTCTCGTCTGCCGTCGTGTGTTACTAGCAGATCATTGTGCCAGAATCTGGCCATTCCAGGATCCGGACGCTATTTCAGTTCAGTGCTGGAACCTGTGATACTGAGCGTAGTCGTCTCAGATCTCGAAACACGACGCCAGTCAGATCTCATCATTCGGCTGAGCGAGCTATGCACGACGTTATGCCCGTGGCGATTTCAGTGCGTTCGGGGAGAACAGAGCCTTGCTAGAGCAGTAAGCATGATTGACAAGACGCCAAGCTCAGCATCTTTGTCCGCTTGTGAGACGTCTTTCAGTGCCGTCCGAGACATCTCTCCAACTACACGTATGGCTCAGCAGACAGTCATGTATGCCCGTATGTGATTACATCTGAGGGCTGTTGATATTCCAGATGCGATCAGTGGTGGCCTGACCATTGTGCGGCGGTACTAGCACCAGTAACTGTGACGACAGTGGTCCTGTGTGATTATGGAGTCCATCCAGCGCTGGGCTCCCTCCCAGCTTGGCGCTACAGCATGAATGGTCGAGCTTGTATACCAGGGAGGAGGAATGGGCTGATGGCTTGATACTGCACTGACCACTCGCGTATTCTTTTCAGCTAGTGCCGACGACAATGTAGGTCATCAAACACCAAACGCAGCTATCTATTGCCGTATGCCAGAGAACATGTCGTGATCACTCTCGCAAAACCGTCTGTAACGCGAATCCTCCAGTCACGGCCTCGCCGCTACATCGCTTCGCTTCGGCTCAGCGGTACCTATGGCGCAATATCACACAAAAGCTTACTCCAGTTAAGGCTCAGAGGGCACGATCCAGTACTCTGGAAATAGTAGCCCTGCCGAAAGTAGATTTGATCATGTCTCGGATCTGCTTACGTTCTCGCAAAAGATGCGCGTCTGTCTTTGGAGACTGAAGATCCTCATCACGCTGTCACACTCCCAAACACATTTCGATTGTGATGGTCATGATCGGGGATGTTTCTTGTCGAGATCTTCCGTCGCCTGAGTCGTTTGTACTTTGATCGTGCGACGCTGTTCATGCAAGGACGCGTGTCTAACTAAGGAGCGGGGAGCGCATGAACGTATACGACAAATCCCTGGGGCAGCCTGAACGATCATGGAAAGAGGCCTCCCGTTATCATCGTGAACACGGAGAAGGATGAACAGATACGCTCCGTACATTTTCCTGACAACTCCTGATTAACCAAGTCTTGGGCATAACGGCTTGACTTGGATCGAAAGTGACGTGCAACGGCGATGGAGGTTTGACGAGTTCCGGCACTAGTGCTGCTTTACGAAGATATCCACTAATGTATGCCGACTGTGCTTGCGCCCCTGTTCTTACCACATCGCAGAAGGCGGTGCGACGACGAGCTGAGATCCGATATAAACACGCTGATGTGGGAGCGAGGAGTTTGTGGCGGTTGTCGAGACCCTAAAGGAAGATAACCCTTTTAGAATGCTCAGTATTGATAAGGAGCTGCCTATGATAGCGGTGATGGCATGTCATATATGAGAATGCATGGATGATTGCTTGCGCCTTGATTCGCGTTCATGCTCGCGACGCTACATCATAGTGCAAGGATTGTTGCTGATATTGCTGCACGACAACGATATTTCCCGGCCACAGAGTCTCCGCAATGGTCATCGCAAAACCTCTGACAGCTACAGGCCTCGTCCTCCCTTCTGTAACATTTTCTGAATCATATGTCCATACACCCCTCATACAATCGTCCTTACCATCCTCAACAAACCTTGATTAGCATGAATACAATTTCCACACCATAGCGGACCTCCCCACCAAGACCCGCAGGTGTCAGCACGTTTTTGGCTGTGCCAGGCTGAGGAGAGTTACGAAAAGCATACGCGCTGCAGCTTATCCGTTGCAGGGGGCAGTATTTTTGCGCCTCCATTTCCACAAAAGGGTTGCATTTCACGGGACAGAGCCCAGAGGTACGAATATACTCCACCCGACGACCGGCCCATGCTGTACATCTGTCCGACTTCACATGCCTGGCTTTGTTCCTGGTCTTCTTGCTCCGCACTCACTTGCGTTTGCGATTTATTGCTGCTGCTGGGTTCAGGACGCGACACTTGATAAGTTCTAACACATCCCTAGCGTCACCGTCACCGTGCAGAACCCTGAAACCGAAGATCCGCCCGTTGCGCTGAGGAAGCTGGCTACAATTCTGAGGCCGGACCTTTACAACGCAGCAAATACACTCGCTGTACCGTCGCTCTTTACTGCGTCTACTGCTGGCCCAGGTCTTCGCGGACCATGCTCACCTTCCGGAGAGCGCTGGTTGTGGCCGCGGTCATTCTGACTTGCTTCCTCGTCCTGCGGAATACACATTCATCCTCGGACACGCCTGTAGTACAAAACTCACCGAAGCCCACCGGATCATACTCAGATAACAAGAAGTTACAAGATACACCGCCAGATGTCACGCAATCATCAATAGTGAAGGAGACAGCCAAGCCGGCAACGACTGGTGTGGCGTGGAATGGCGATAGTGGCGGGAGGGTGGCCTTGAGCAAGAAGCCCTTGACACAATTACCGTTGGAGGACCTGAAGGCTATGCCGATAAGAAAGCAGTTGGCATATGCATTCCCATACGATGTGGATGGCAAGTTCCCGGCATACATCTGGCAGACATGGAAATACACCCCTGCGTCAGGAGAGTTCCAAGAAGACTTCCGGCCAGCAGAGGCATCATGGACGGAACTACACCCGAGCTTTGTGCACGAGGTCATTACGGATGATATTGCGGGCCATCTCATCAAGCATTTCTACGCTAGCATACCGGAGGTCGTGGAGGCTTACAATGCCTTACCAATACCTGTGCTCAAGGCAGATTTCTTCAGATATCTGATTCTTTTGGCAAGAGGAGGCATATACACCGACATCGACACGACTGCATTGAAGTCTGCCGTCGAGTGGGTGCCTTCTGAGGTACCACGGAGCACATACGGCCTAGTCATTGGCATTGAGGCTGACCCTGACCGACCTGATTGGCACGACTGGTACTCTCGCCGAATACAGTTTTGCCAGTGGACGATACAGAGCAAGCCGGGACATCCGGTACTTGTCGACGTGGTCGCCAGCATCACAGAAGAGACGCTAAGAAGAAAAGATGCTGGTGAGCTGGACAAACTAAACACCAAGGGCGTGGTAGAGTTCACTGGACCCGCTATCTGGACCGATGCGATTTTCAGATTCTTCAACAATGCCGAGTTCTTCGACATGAGCACGAGTAAGGGCAATATCACATGGCAGCAGTTTACTGGCATCAAGCAGGCCAAGAAGGTTGGAGATGTGGTGGTTCTGCCTATTACTAGCTTCTCGCCCGGTGTGGGACAAATGGGTGCTGGTGAGGAGGATGACCCGATGGCATTTGTTAAGCACGCTTTCGAAGGTACGATCTAGCATCTTTCATTGCGCACGCGACCGAGAAATACTGACGATCTGTCCAGGTTCATGGAAGCCTGAATCCGAGCGTCACGTAGGCTCATGAACGCGCGTCTCTTCCGTGGTCACATCGACGAGACGGAAGATGACTGGAAAATAATTCGCAGCGAACGCGAACCCGGTCATGCGACATTTCGCTTACCTACCACACAAGCAGCGCCGAGGACGGTCTGCTATGCATCAGCCCGGGCAATGACCGAGCACACAAACAGCCATAGACGGACCCACCAGTCCCATCGCACGCACGTTGCTGCCTGCACATAGACATTTCCTTTACTTCTCGACACAAACAAAAGTTTGATTGATATGATAGACCTTGAACGGGAAATGGAGGACTGAGCATCATCAGAGCATATGCTGGATATACATCGCTATTCAAGTGCTGAATAGCTGCTACATGCGGTTTTATATTAATCTTGCTAGATTCTGGCCGCGATTTGCTTGTACTTGGAGCGAGCGAGCTTTCGCATCTGTTGGTGTATTGTATGAGGGACGGGGGGTATGAGACGTAGACGGGAGGAAAAGTGTACTTAGATATGGTACTTGTAGGCTATAGGCTATGAAAAGGTTGACAGCGAATCTGCCTCTGGCTGCTTAAACCAGCCGTTCAATCGTAACGTGGCAAATTACTTGGGTTACGAGCTCTTGGAGAATGGCATAGCGAATAATTGTTGGTGGTATTAAAATATCTCGCTCTCGCTTCCAAAGTGTGGCGCGGTTGCTGTGGCGTAACTCGTGGCCAATCCGGCCAAGCTTTGCGACGACAGGCAGCAAGATTACCGCTCTTCGCAACTCGCATCTGACGCAGCCAGGCTCCAGAATTGTTCAGTATCGCCTGCCTCTGCGACTATCTAGGCATACGGCACGACTGACACGCTACACTACCCTCTATACCGTGAAACGAGTATGATCTGGACGTTCTGTTGACCGTCTCTCTGTAAAACTTAACGGACTCGACACACACACCAAGCGGGGCATGCCTGACGAACAAAGACGCCATGGAAATGTACAGGCCCGCACACGCCCATGCGCGCAGGAGCCATCTAACGAAATTATACGACGACACGAAGAAAAGTGCCTTGACGAGCATCAATGTCTACAACAGGACTATCGAGCTCTTCCCGGACCTCCAGCGCAAATTCCGGATCCAGAAGGACCGGCTGATGACATGGGGTCTGACCTGGAGCGATGACGAGAGAGAGGGCGATGTGAACATTGACGATGCTGTCGCCAGGGCAGGGCTCACCGAGACTGTTGACAGTGTCCTACGTAACATCAAGGAAGTCACCGAGGAGGCAGAGAGGCTTGCTAATGCGCCTCGTGGACTTGGTCTCGGTGGCGAGAAAGCGCCTGTGCCAAGTAACGAGCCCTTCGATCGAACACGATATGAGGACTTGATTCGGGATCTGACCACTTCCATCGACATCCTCTACGAGCTTTCACGATCACGAAAAGCTCTTGCTCGCGGCGAGCACCCGGTGTTTGAGCCAAGTGCGGCACGTCAGGATATCCGCGAGAAGGCACCGTCAATACATAAAAGTCTTGCACGAAAGCCGAGCTTCGCATCGTCTGAGCTTACTTTAGTCAACCCGCCGCCATTTCACCGACCTTCGCTATCACCATATGCTGGTCTACCACCAAGTATCGAGATTTCTGCTCTTCGTTTGCCCGAAGAAGGACCTCCTCCATATGATAGCTTGGGAGTGCCTGTGACGACTAGACAGAGCGCACGCCTCATTCGCCGTAGGGCGTCGGCTAGTGTGCAGGACCGACTCGGCAGTGGCGCGGAAGAGGTAGCTGTCCTGGTGGAGTATGCCGAATTCGACTCTGTCTACCGCGACACCCATGTACCACCACCGCTGCAACGACTTGAGGCTCTTGCTGGTTACCTGCAACCCATGCGAGCAGACTCTCAGACAAATTTGAGTCTGCTGGGCTACTTCGAGGACCCCCGACAGCCACGTATTGGCCTCGTCTACGATGTACCCTATGCGATTCAGAACAGACTCCAAGCCACCATCGAGCACGCTGAGCAGAGCTGGACACCCACAAGTTTGCGTAAGCTTGTACAAAAGTCGACCAAAGCACAAGCACCAGCTGGCGAACAAGCTGTGCCGGCACTGGAGGATCGCTTTCGGCTGGCATTGCGACTTACCGAGCAGCTTCATGAGCTACACAGCTGCGCAATCGCTCATGGTAATATCAACAGCAGCAGCATCCTGTTCACTGTAGCTTCGCAAGAACGACCCGCCCGACAATTGAGGTCACCGCTATGGGCGTCGTTCGACCTGTTCTCCAAATGTAACCTTGAGGGTAGTGGGCAAGCTAGTAATCTCAACGTCTATAGGCACCCGGATGATGTTCCACACCAGACCGGCAGAAGTCTTGGTGACGACTTCAAGTACGACTTCTACAGTCTGGCACTTGTATTGCTCGAAGTAGGCCTCTGGACGTCCGTCGGTGAAGTCTACAAGCCGAGATACACCTTGGCAGACTTCAAGCTTAGGCTAGAAAAGATCTGGATTCCGAAGTTGGCGCAGAAGTGTGGAACAGTGTACATGCGTGCAGTAGAGGCATGCTTCCGTATGGCTGATAGCACCGAAGCGTCTGGGCTCACAGTGGATGGCAACTACGAGCCGATACTGGCACGACTACGAAAATGCTGCTTGTTAGATGACATCGAAGGACCAACAGAGCCGCCATCGCGTACTGCCTCCATCACCACGACTGCCTCGTCCTCATACAGCAACAAGATCTCACGCAAGCCTGTCGCGGGATCTTTCATCGCCAGTCCGATCTCGCGCCAGCAGTCAGAACCTCAAGAGCTGCTGCACACGCAGTCCTATAGCAGCTCACCCGTAACAGCACCCCATCGTCTTGCATCGCTGCCAAACCTGTCAGCTGCAACCGCACCGGCTCAGTACGGAAGACTTGGAGCACCAACGACGCCGCAGCTCAGGCGTCAACCCTCCACACGAAGCAATGCGTCTGCTCGTTCAGGTATGTCGCAGATGCGACAGCAGATCACCGACCAATTTACGAGCACTCCTTCGTTCAAGGAGTACAAGAGAAGAGTGACGTTCATACAACAGAGATGGAGAGAGCGCATGGTCCTATGCCAAGAGCAACATGCAGCAAGACGTGCGAGGTCGAATAATCCGTACTCGCTGAATGCTACGATCAGAGATGTGGTCGAGCCAGAGCTCACGAGAGCCGTCAGGCCAATGAGACGCACGTTCAGCAACTTGAGTGTGCCGAAGGAGGTCGTGCAATACTGGGAGCAAGACGCCGCACCACGCTTAGCAAAGCTCTGCGACAAGGCATTGAAAGGCTCCAAGGAGTCTGCAAGCATCTGCGTTGCCATGTATGGAGAGACGCTGGAGACCGCCAAGCCAACCTTTTTAATCACATGCAAGTCGACTGCGAAGATGAAGCAAACTTTGCAGAAGTACTTCAAGCACGACTCCAATCTCTGCTGTGTGAGGGTCAAGAAGACAGGACCTGGTGACGAGATCACTTATAGCCGACGAGCAAGAGTGCATGGGGACTCTGCTGCACGCCGGTCGATGGCTTTGGCTGGTCAGCATGACAAGGCGATGAACCCCGATTACCAAGAGCGACCACTGTGTGGTGCTTCGATTGGTGCATATCGTGATGATGAACACCTACCACCTGTCTCCTTTGGTGGCGTGATACTGCTTGACGATACAGCTTACGGCATGAGCGTGCATCATATGCTCGAGCATCCGGACAACGCTGAAGAGGAAGATGACGAGGATGCTGAGGCTGGTGCCGATGATGAATCAGACACTTCTAGCCTGGGCAGCTGTTCAGACGCAATCTCGATATCATCAAACTCCGATGACGACGACACAGTGCGACCTGCATCCACTATCTCCGACGCAGGTACAACGATTCAAGTTCATTCAGGCGATCTTCCTGGTATACATCCCGAGACTGACTACGAGGACATTGACGTCACGCAACCTGCTCTTGATGATGCTATCGACTGCGACTTGCATGCTGATGCTTCCGATGAAGAATTAGATGAAGACGATGGCATTGACGAAGATCACCTCGATTCATACAAACTTGGTCAAGTCTTTGCGTCTTCCGGCTTGAAACGAAGTGCGACCTCGACTCAGGATGGCTTCAAGAGCATAAGTCAATCTTTACCTCAAGAGATCGACTGGGCACTCTTCGAACTCGTGCCACCAAGAGTTCATCCCTTCAACATCATCAAAGGGGGCTCCAAGTACGATGGCTCCAGCAACTCACGAGGCGATTCCTACCCTGTCGATATCCGAGAGAGCTCACAGCTCGCTTGTGCTAAGGTGCACTGTCTTGGTCGCACAAGCGGTCTTGCGTCCGGGGTCATCTCAAGTACCATGGAGCTCGTGAAGATCCACGGTCGCTCCACTTTCTCCGCGAGCTGGACCGTAGACGGTGGATTCGGTGCCGGAGGCGACTCAGGAGCGTGGGTGATCAGTAACGATGATGGCAGAGTCTGTGGACACGTCCTCGCGTCCAAGACCGGCAGGACATACATCTGTCCCATGGAACTCTTGCTCGAAGACATCAGACGCACATTGAAAGTCGAATCTGTAAGCTTGCCGAACATGGCTGCTGCAGAAGTCGGAAGAGCGAGCACAAGACGAGCCGACAAAGTCATGGCAGCAGCCATTGAGAATATGAGAATCGCGGAGAGTGATCTGGGCGGTGTACCCTTGCCGGCAAGCCCTCCGGTAAGGAGATCGATGGGCAGACCGAGTAGTGGACATCATATGGCTGAGCCTATGGGTATTATGGGTTGAAGCGTGATCTGCATCGCACGATTGAATGAGATTGTTATTTCTAGCCATATACCCAATGTAGTACTTCCACCTACCTACAGCGCTCTCAGTATCTGACAATGCTACGTAAAGCCAGGTCGTAATTGAAAAATCTTTGTTGCTGAGTGTAGAAACTGTTATCATATCTATCTCGTCTAAATAGCAGCGACCAATCCGATTTCTTTAGCCCCGCTCATCTCCATCGGAGGCTTAGTGTCGCCACGATACGACATCTGCCTCTCAGCATCACTGTCCACGGAGATACCGTTCAGAACCGGCGAGGTGCCATGTACGACCTCCGGGATCAGAGTACGCTTGTCCGGCGAGACCACGTTCAACACCCAGTACATCGCGATAGATAAACAGAAGCCGTAGATCCAATTGAAGTCGAACAAGTGCTTGAGGCCTTGGTCGATGTGCACGCTGGCAGGCGTGACTTTGTTGGCCATGCCTGGCAGCAGTGGGACGATGACGACGACAGTGGTGATCAACGCTCGCCAATTCACTCCATACTGAGACTGAAGATCAGTGACAATGCTGCCAACACCTGGATTGATTCGTGACCGTACCTTGTAACGATATATGCCGCGAGGATCATACAACGCCGGCACATCATATTTACGGCCCTTGACCAGCCAGTAGTCGCAGAAGAGTATGCCTGAGCAGTGTCAGAGTCTGTTTGTGACCGTGAGCCCGATTGTCTAGCCACTCACCGGCCATAGGCGCCATGAAAATTGCATAGGCACTGAGGAAGCTCAAGAGCGATTTGGCAGATTTGATGATGATCCATGGACACCTAGGCAAGTCAGCACAGATTCTTGCTCACAGGAGACAGTTCAAATGCTTACATCGCCCAGCCACCAACAAACGCAGCAAAGATGACACCACGGCGGATGTTGAACCACCTTGGGAAAAGTGTGGTGATGTCTGGAGCGTCGTCAGTATAGTCTCGCTATAGCATACAGCTCGCAGCGCATGCGTACCATTCGCAAAACTGATCGAGTTTGCGCTTATGTTCACGGACAATTGAGCCAGGAGCCAGACGCAACCAGAGAGAAAAGCGGCGGCGCGACCACCCGGAGTGGTCAGCCACATAGCCATGATGTCCAGTGGCGACCACAAGACCTTGCCATATATCTCCTTCGCTGCGGCAGCGGCCACAACGCCAAAAACTGCAGAAAGCGTGAACACGTCAGTCGGGTCCGTTTCAAAAGTAGGCTGCCATATGGTGGAACAACTTGACAGGGTGTGTAGGGTCTTACCTCCTACAATACATTTGAACAGTGGGATCATGGGGAGTTGCCAGATCTGGCTGCCCGGTTTCTTGGCAAAGCGTGAGAAGTCGGGAATGTTGACCTCAGTGTAAATCAGTATTGGGCCGCTTTCAACAATGATTTCACAACTCACAGCTAAGGTACTGAAACCGCCTGTGACACTTGTCATACTGCTGAGCCAAAGCCATGCTCGCTCGGAACCGTGGACTGTAGGCGGTGCTTGGAAGAATGCGGTGGAATTGCCACCAGCTTTGACAGAGATCCAAATGACCATAGCCAGTGCAGTGGGCAATACCAGCATGGTCTTGAACCAGAACATATATTGAAGTTTGTGCGTCGGAATTAGCATGAACGGAAACTGGATCAGCCAGTAAAGGAAGTACGAGACCATGCCTTGTGTTGTGATGCCAGCGGACAACGGTAGATGGTTGGCCAGATGTGCGTAGCTTGGCCAGATGGAGCGAATGACGATCGTCACACATTGTCCACCGTAGGCTGATTGCACACCGAACCAGAATAATGCAAGGATGCCACGAGAGACTACGCAGAAGTAGCTGAGCCAGTACCCATAAGAAGCTCGAGCAGCTATGGGGAAGGTGATGTGGAGATCGGCACCGATTGCTCTGTGTATGTTGGTCAGTTGTAGCTTGGACCCTATTACACAGTCAAACACGCACCCATTCAAGACCGTCGGTATAGCATTGCATAGTGCAGCCACCAAAGTGATTAGGATCGCATCTGTCGCGGAAAGTCCGGTAGTCATGACAGAGCTGGCTGCTGACCAGCCAGCAATGGTGACCAGATCACTGAACCAGTACCACGTGAACGACCAACCAGTCCAAGTACGTTTCTCAGGCGGGACTGGGTCTTGATCTAGATTTGGTGTCAGCTCGCTGCCCGTCCTCAAGGATTTCGGGTATGACAGCCTACCAATGTTGCTCCAAACATAATCAGGGGCGACCGAGGACGACTGCTTTGGCAGAGCCCAGCTAGAGGCATCGCGTACTCGAGTGTTCGCCTTCTGCCATGCTGCAGCGGACGCTGCGCGCACGTTCGGAATATGCATTGTAGGAATGGTCAAGGTGAGGAGGATCTGTGCTTAGACCGCAGACACTGCTGGAAGCATACAGACATGCACGGAGATTCTATACCTTCTAAGGTCTTAAGCGGGCTCGCATGCCAATGCCACGAGGTTGTGGCGTTGTGGAGCAACCCGAAAGTGTTGATAGCAAACCTTTAGGGAGAGATTGGCGCTGATTGCAAGATAGTGTAAGAGCGACAAGTCTTACAGAACATTGGTCCGACAATATGATCATTGCTACGGTCGGGTTGACAGCAAAGTGGACACATGTGGGAGTGGTGTCGATTACACATGACTCGTGTCGAATGATTGCGTCCCGGCCGAGAGATAAGACACAGAAATGTTATCGGAGGGCGCACGTCCACGGGTACAGTGACTCGCGATGAGGCGACAGCCCCTCAGCAGTGATATCTTGGTGCTTCCGGCCGTCACTCAAGCTCCCAGACTGCGGCCGAAGCTCTTGTAATCGTCCTCGCGCAGACATGAGTATCTCGCGTCGGCGTGTCACGCTCTGCTGCACGGAGTGCAAGCGCCGCAAGCTCAAATGTTCGAAGTCGCTTCCGTGCGAGAGATGTGTTGAGCAGTTCGTATCGCATGCCCACGACCGATGAGCGCTGCTGACACTTGGTAGAGGATTGGAAACCCAGTGTCGGCGGTTTACTGATGGATCAAGTCAGCGGGTAGAGCCGCCGCCACCGACGCCAAGCCCTACCGAGATTATGGGAGAAGACAAGAGGCGCGCAGGACCACAAACAACGGCCGAAGCCTGGTCAGGCTGGGAATCAGACGCTCATGTGTCCTCGCGTATTGCCCGCGTTGATAAGGCCTCGGCACAGCAATCTACACTGGTAGCGCGGCAAAGCTATGACACGACTACGACTAAAAGCGGTCATGGCGCGAGCGAGAGAGAAGTAGTTGACGCCGCCACGATTCTCGAGTTCCTAGCATGGGGCAGATGCAAGCAAGTCGACTACTTGTCTGCACTCCCCACCTGCTCAGAGGATGTAGCGGCCACCAACATCCGATCATCTGGGACTTCCGAAGCCATGTCAGCATGGCCAAGCCCAGATAGCTACGCAACGTCCAGCAGTCCTCTACTGCATCTTCAGATTCTGCTCCCAGATCGCGAGAAGACGTTCGATTTGGTGAAATATCATGTTGACTGTCTACTATGGTGCCACTGCTCGTTCCACGGCTCAACCTTTCTGCATCAGCTCGAACGCTTCTATAGCGATCACGATGGCCAAGTCGAGGAAGCTGAGATACAGTGGGTTGCTTTACTCTTCGCAGTACTAGCTGCTAGTATCTCTTGTGGCAACCGTAGCGTCGTGGCTGCTTGGGGCTTTAGATCGGCTGAGCAGTCCACGCTATCTCAAAAATGGTTTGAGGCTGCGAGAACCTGTCTCAACGCTGGGCACTACATGACTAACCTCTCCATGGTCTCATGTCAGACGATAGCGACGTTGACTATGTCTGCGCATCTCCTTGGCCACTCGGACGAGCAGGCCATATTGCTTGCTTGCGCAACACGAATCGCCCAAAGTCTCGGCCTACACCGTCTGGACAGTACTCGTGAACGCTCTATTGAAGTGGAGACCGGCCGCCGACTCTGGTGTCAGCTTTGTACCCAAGACTGGTTCGCCATTGCCTTCACGGAGTGTTATTTGATCTCACCACTGCACACGAAGTCAGCAGCGCCATCGCATTGTGATGACGATACGATGCAGCCTGTTGAACCTCACGAGCCCACGATCTCAAGTTACTGTCGGTTCTTGAACTCGATCGCAGAGCTCATGCCGCCTTTGCAGGACGATATCGAAGCGTCTAACACTCTCTTCACCAAGTACGAGAAGGTTCTTGCGGTGGACAAGAGTATGCGCCAGTTAGCGATGCAGACCAGACCTTCGTACTTCGGCAATATACGACCCGACAATGATTGGCCAAGGTACATAACTTGGGCCAGAAGAGCTGCAGCCATCAGTAGTAGCCACAAGATCATTATGATCCACAGGAAGTTTCTCTCTATGAGCTACACCAGTTTGGCATTCGCTTTCACTCGCCGAACATGCATCGCGGCATCGAAAACGATCTTGAAAGAATTCCGGCAAGCTCTGTTGGAAGATGGTCCTGTTCTGTGGATCTATCACGCTTTCGCTGTAGCGGCCGCCATCACTCTAAGTCTGGACATTCTGCACTCGGACTCCCGCGACGCATCATCGGCGGAGCACGAAGAACTCATCATCGAAGCAATTACAAATCTGCGCAATGTCACCAACAGCAAGATTGCGAATCGTGGAGCGGTCTTGCTCGAAAGTCTTGTAAAAACTGTCCAGGCTACTAAAGCTGCCAGGAAACCAGCTTCGAACGAGAAACGGCCGTACTTGCATACCGAGTATGACTCGCCAGTCTCTAAGCGTCACAAGACCGGAGATATAGGTAAGGTGCTGCAGGACCTACAAGACAGCTCTCGAACCACGTGGACCGGGTCGCGATGGCCAGACCCACCAAATAATACCAGCATGCCTCCACTCGATGAGGTGAGTTCCTCGTCTACGATTGCGACATTCACTACTGCCTCACAAACCTGTCCGCAGTCGGTCGTCAATCCGAACAGATCGTATGATGCTGGGACCTTCGCAGAGGTCGAAGGTATTTTTGCGAGTTTGAACGCCAGCTTTGCTGGTACAAAGGGTGACGCATTTGGGACTCTTCTGAACATGTCACACAACTACAGCTATGCGTAGTCGGACCTATACGAGGAATGCGTATTTGTGGTCAGCTATAGACTTCTCGCATGCCCTGAATGGTACACCTGCGGCACACTCCGTAGCAGCGCATGATTAAGCATCAATGGCCCAGAAGAGCTCGCCGAGAGCATTACGGGTCCCATCTACGTCGCTGATAATTGGCTGGTGACCACCCTTGACGACGAAGATTTTTGACCGGCCTCCGAGCAATGGCGCGAGCTCCGTGGCTCGAGCAGGAGGACTGATGGTGTCACCTTCGCCACTGACAAAGACAGCTGGACACATTATCTCCGAGTAATTTGGATCTTTGTGTCTCGGGTTGACCATCGCCTCGCAGACCTGTGCGTAACCTTCTGGATCGCTAGTTGCAACGGCTCGACGTACTTCTTCTCGGTCAGCGTCGGGAGTGTCTGATCCTGGTGGAAAGTTGGTTTGCATGGCAAGTCGAGCAGCGGCATCTATTCCCTGTGTGCGCACTGTACCCGCTAGTGCGTACATGCGATCTTTGACTGCAGGGATGTGCGAGGCTGATCGGCCCACACCAATGAGGCCGAGGCCAGCGACATTGTCGGGTCGACTGGCAGCATAGTGGAGTGCGACAATGGAGCCGAGACTATGTCCAACGATGACGACGGCTTCGGGTTTGTTGGTTGGGCTTGTGTCGCTGCCAGTACTTTGTAGAGATGTGATGAGATCGTCCAAGTCGGAGACATATCCGGCGACCGATAATGGGATACTCGAGTCCTGGAGCTGCGAATTACCAAAACCAAGGAAGTCAACTGCGACGATTTTGTAGCTCGAAAGCGGGAGATGTGGTATCAATGGAACGAATGTGTCGTTCGAGCCGCCGAGCCCATGCAACAGGACAAGCAAGCGCCCTTTTTGTGAGCCACTGAGCTTGTATTGGATCTCGTAGCCCTTCTTGCTTTGATAGTGGCAGGATGTGGCCATCATGTCTAAGAGGTAGCAAAAGAATATGTCTATCCCAACGTCTATCGGGACTTAGTTTTGGAGCGACATATTGTTCGTAGCCCGGCTGTACGACGATACGAGCCTACCATGCCATCGACTGTATCGCCCGAGCGACACAGATGACGGGTAATCTTCAGATTGGATGCAACAGGTTGCCAAGACAACTCGGCCGAACGCGATAAGCACAAATCGTTCACTGTGACTGTCCCGCAGGACGGTCTTGTCAACTGAAGCCTGCAGACACTTGTTGAAGTCGACAGCTTATTAAAAAAGTACGCAGTACTTCTGACTAGGCAGAGTTCCGAAGGCTCAGAGACATTCCAACGCAATCATGGTTTTCACGTCAGCTACCACCTCTATGACCATCAGGCCGGACCTGGTTATACCACTCAAGGCAGCATCTGTAACTGGTACTCTACGACACAGCGATGTGAGCAATGGCAAGGTCATCCCAATCGTCCACAAAGGCGAAAGTAAAGTCGACTTTGGTGCTGAAGTGTACGGAATTGACCTGAACGACTTCTCGGATGCAGACTTTGCTTTGATACATGATGCTCTCCATAAGCACAAGCTGCTGGTCTTCAAGGAGCAACCGGGAATGCTCAAACCTCAGCAACAATACAGATTGACTTCGAGGTGTGTCTAGCCGACGCATAATCATATGCAGTTGCTGACATTCCCAGCTTCGATCCTGACGAGACAATCGGTGGCTTCGCACATGGTACGGATCCATATCTCACCTCGCACAATGGGGTTGACATATATGGCTTGCCAAATCGTCCAGCAATACCAATTCAGCCTCAAGTACATATTCTCGGCCGTGGTGAGGTTCCTACTGATCACTACTCTCTGCCACCTAAGTTCAAGATCAAGGGCATCGACCATGTTGACTTTCATCTGCCTCCGCACATATCGACCGAGGACCGTGAGAATGGGGCCAGCAGATTCTACCAGTGGCACTTTGACGGATCTTTGTACAACATCCCGCCACCGAGGGTAGGCTGCTTACTAGCTGTACGTACTCCGAAGGGGCCAGATGTCACGGTACGGTGGGATGATGGCTCAGGTTCAGAGCTCAAAATCGCACCTGGTGCCACAGCAGTAGTTGCAGGCTCTCGAGCTCTCGAGCTCCTGGACGATGAGCTAAAGAACATTGTGCTATACTCACGCATTGAGTATGCGCCTCATGCTTTCAAGTGGATGTCGACCGCACACTCAACAAGACTGGGTCATCTCATTGAGACGGAGGGTTTGGAGGTCCCACTGGATCGACTACCGGCCTGGGAGCAGAGTAAACTATGCATTTACCCAATGGTTTGGTCGAATCCAGTGACAGGAGAGCAGTCATTGCAAGTACACGGCCAAGGTGCATACAGGCTATACCTCAAAACTGCACCTGATGCCGAGGAAACGATTGTCGACGATCTTCACGAGGTGCGAGCTTTCATGCATCGGCAAGTGTACCTTGGAAATGTAGCACTTTTCTCAACTTGCTAACTGACATTGCAGTGTCATGCGACCAGTACTTTCACCCGAGAACATTTATGCCCACCCTCACCAGGAGCAAGATGTCATCTTGTGGTACAACAGAGCGTTATGGCATAGCATTGTAAGATTTTCCTTCGCGCTTGATATCAATTCATCTAACATTAACCAGACTGAATTTCCCGAAAGCTATGGGCCACGCATCATGCACCAATGCAATGTTGCTGCATCTGATCATCCTTCCGGCTAGGTGACTACTGTTGGACGGTGACAAAGCAAGTAGCATGTCTACAGCAACGTGCACTTCGACTCCTAGATTTCAGTGCTCTTCATGTCAGATCCTCGTTGTTCATGCCGTATACTATTTTTCTTGCTCTCTCTTACTGTCTATCAGCTCTCTGAGCCACAACGCGTATGTGAGAGCACACGGCTGAGCATCGGTGGCAGTCCTCTAAGCAGGGTGTGACACAAGCATCGGTGATACAGGCATCATATTGCGCGATGCTTGACATCAGCTATCGCATCATCTTTGGGCTGGTTGTTTGGCATAGACTAGACTTTGAGGACGCTGGAATGGTAGCACTATGCTCTTCACGAAGCTTTATGTGGGCTGCACAGCTTGTATGATAATAACGACAACATGTTTCTCACCATCGTCAAGCTGTGGCAGCGACGACTCGACTTGATAAGTTGGGCGTTGCTTTACTCTGGTCGTGGCTCTCTGTTGCAGCTTTCGAAGCGGCATAGTACATCTTCATCGCATTTGCTGTGAACTCACCACCAGTAACGAGAGGGTACTTCTTCTTCGGGCCTGTGTTGGGTGTTAGAAGTGTCTTTCTTGGACGTTATTGTCTGTTCGCTTCACTTACCCTGAATCAATGCATCCTTGCGAGGCTGGTTGAAGAAGCTGGCGAACGCATGGTTAGTACTATTGTACCAAAGTTGTCTGCGTTTAGGGCAGCCGTACGCAATTGAGTACCGTTCGCCGAAGTTATCTCCTTTCTCACATGGAGCTTTGACCCTGTGAAAGGTTGACTTGAAGCGGTCGTCAGACCATGACATCAGGAGGTCGCCTATGGAGTGACATAATTAGCATACGATCTATCACTTCTAGGCCCAGGAGTCCATACCAATGTTGCACACGATGTCGGTGCTCGCAGTGAAGTCGACCTTTGTCCAGGCATCGCCGTGGCCAAAGTCGGTCACCACTTCTCTTCCAGGACAGATCTCCAGACCGCTTTGACCTGGACGCTGGAATAGCAGAGTTAGGAAGCCCTGTGGCTGATCAGCCATATGCGCACAATCGTTCGAGAAGGCAACGCCCACCCAGTCAGCGTGTGCACCAGCTCGGTGATACACTTGTCCATCATCAGTCTCCGGAGTGGCAAAGTAATGGAGTAGTCGAAGGGTAGATTGTGAGTTAGGCTTCGAGCTATCGTGCCAGTGCACGAAGAAATTGTCTTGAAATTTGAGTGCGCGAGCGAGGCATACCATCAGCTTCTCGCTAACAGTCTGGACTTGGTACATGAAAGCTAAAGATCGAGATCTGAAACCATATATGTCTTTGTCGTCGATCCAGAGGTCTCTCATGTTCTCGCCGAACTGAAGTTGGTAACTCTCCTTTTGGTCTGCGGCACCAGTACTTGGCCTCACTTGGCTCTTAAACTCGTAGCCAACGTTCTGAGCATTCCATGGAACTGATGTCTTGACCTCCGACGGTAGAGCGAAGAATGATTCCGAGTCGGCAAACATCTGGTCAACATCTGTTGCAGCAATACCATGGTCGACAATGGAGAAGAAGCCCACTTTTTCGGCAGCGTCAGCTATGTCGCTTGCGATGGCATCGATTCTGTTGTCGAAGTCCGCCAGGCTGATTTTGGGGACTGTCCGGTCAACATAGGACTCTTTTGAGGCTGCCATGGTGTTGATTGTATTGGTGAGGTGTCAAATGCTCTATCAGGAATGGAAGAGCTAAATTGACCTTGTTGTGCGTGATTTCGAGTTGCCTGGCGTGTAATGTATATCGCATGTAGCGAGGCCTCAGCATACCGGCGTATAATCACCGATCGTATGGTGACTGGCGAGTAGGTGAAGTTGTGTTCGCTGGTCGCCGGTTGGCCAGATCAATAGCTTATCTCTCGGCCGACAAGTCGTGATGCCAAGATAATCCGATGCGACAACAGTTCACTGCTACTCTATCGACGACAGCTCTGGCATGTTGTCAAGATAGTCGGCATGAACCACGCTGGTTGAATATATCAACATGGAAAGCATGACAACAATGGACAGTCTATCATTGGTAGTCTCTTCGACTTGTAATTCTGTACGCGATAATAAACGCAGCCATTATGTCTCCTTCAGCGCTCACACCTCACCCGGGCTTCGACGTGCAGGAGTTCACCAAGGACACCAAGGAGCAATTCAATGTGGGTGTCGTGCCCTATGATGACGTCCAAAGTCCATATCTGATAAGATGGATTAGTTTGGAGCAGCAATCACTGGCCTTAACATCAACACCATTTCCGGTACGTGTCACTCAGAGAAGTGATGAGATGTGTTCGAGCTTGACGAGTCATCGCAGATGCGGACGTGCAGCATCTCAAAGATGCGATTTGGACTCACAAGGTCGTCATCGTCAAGGGTCAGAAAGACCTTGCGCCTAAGAAGCAGTGGGAACTTGTAAAGAAATTCGACCCAGAGGCTCCGCACGTCCATAGTCATGGCGATATCAAGACCTTCCAGGCAAAGGGCGGTATGCTCTCAAAGAAGCGTGAAGTAGTGGGCATTCCAGGCGCCGAGAACGTTCGCCTGATCGGTAAAGGATACCAAGGAGCGGATTCCTATGGCATCAAGGACATGACTGTCACTGGCCTCTCGCACGACTTTCACGCTAAGGATCTGCCGGATGACGAGTTTCAGGCTGGCCACACTCGCTTCCAGAGATGGCATATTGATGCTCCGTTATACGATCGAGAACCTGCATGGTTCACCACACTCCGCTGTGTGAAGAAACCTAGCGGGGACGATGTCACTGTTGCTTGGGACGACGGTACAGCGTATAGCATGCAATGTCCTCCCGGCCTGACAGCTTTCTTCAGTACAAGCCAGCTGTATAGCATGCTCACCCCAGAAGAGCAGCAGATTGCTGACCACAGTTGGTGAGTTTCCGGCTTGGTTGTCAAACGTTAGAGCTCGCTGGTGTACTAATCTGAGCGCAGGGCTGAGTACTGGCCGCATCCATACATGGCCATCGAGCACTGCAAAGGTAATGCGAATGGTTTGGGGCTTGTCAACCAAGGCAAAGAGCACACACTCGAGGAGCTCGGCGAGTACAATGAGAGCAAGATCAAGAGAGTAAGTTTGACCCACCTAAGTGCCAACCAGGAGTTATGCTTACACAGCATTTTAGTACCCTCTAGTTTGGGTCAATCCAGTCACTGGCGAAAAGGCCTTCCAGGTACACGGAATAACAGTCCGCAAGCTCTTCCTTCGATCCAGTCAAGACCAAGTACCGCGAGTCCTGGAGGATCTCGCAGAGATTCGAAAATTCATTTCAGACATTCAGCTGCGTGTCCTCAAACCACAATACATCTGCATGCCACGAGTAGAGGAGGGCGATATAGTGATGTGGGACAATTATGGAGTCTTCCACACGGCCATAGACTATCCACTTGAGGGCCATGGCCCAAGGACGATGCATCAGGCGAATATTGGTGCGAGTAGAGGGCCTGTTGGCCCACATCCCATTCCTGTAGCTTAGATTTCAAGGTACGGAAACTTAAACGATTTACCTCATGTCTTTCTGATCGTTCGAGCAGTGTCTATGTCGATGAATCTGCAGAGTTCGTAGGACGTCCACCCTCTCTATGTCGCCCGAATGGATCCACGCTGCTCGGATCGACGATGATGAACTCATCAACCAGAGCCAGAGCCTAATCCAGTATGACAGTCCACTGGCAGCCGCCTGCATATCAAGAGCTCGCCGTAGCTGGTCAAATGTTGGGGAGCCAAGACCGGTCACTGCATCCCATCCGGTTGTTACTGGGTAACCAGGAGTGGCCGGAAGTCTGCACTCGCTCAGCCAGTTACAGCTACCATTATTGAAGCCACCACCAGTAATGTCGTGAAGACCATTTTTATTTAGACCATACAGCCAAGGGTTCGGGAAGCCTAATGGTGGACGACCCTGGCTTGCCTCGTAGTCGTTCAATAACGTAACGATGGCAGCGCATAATGGAGTAGAAGCGCTTGTGCCGCCGACGCCAAATGTAAGACCTAAGTAGACTACCGGAAAGTTGGTGCTGAACGCGCTGATGTCCGGCATCCCTCTCCCCGAAGCCTTGAAACCTGAGTACTGCGAGTAGGTGGAAGGTACTGAGTTCTTGGCATACGCCGATACAGCTTCATCTTGGTACGCGGGTCTGGGAAACAGATTCGAGAAGCCGCCACCAGAAGCCGTGGATGAGAACTTGTTGATGAGATCGGAGATTGTCTGTTGCGTCGCTGCCGTCTCTGCGGCCATGTTGGTCGTGCCATCCACGCTCGTCACCCATGGACAACTAGCGGGAAACTCGGGCTCAAACACTATAGAGTGCTTTCCAGTTGGCTGGTCGCCTTGTGGACCATTGTCGCCCGAGCTGAAAAGTAGAGAGACACCTCGACTGCCAATATCGCGCATCATGTTGCAAACACTCCGTGCATATGCAGGATCGACCATATCATTGGGCGTGGTTTCGGAGAATGAGACCACACTTGGCACGGTCTCGTTGGTTAACAGGTCTTGGAGAAAGCTGACGTAAGGATCGTAGACTTGTCCTGGAGTTGGGCCAAAGACGCCACCCAGATTGTACAGGACTCCCTGAGCGGGCCAAGCAAGACCAAAAGCTGTCTGAGTGTCAAGATGAGTCTCGAAAGCTCCCGTGATGCCGGGACTGCCATCCTTTGGGTCGCCTGTGCCGACCACTCTGATTTGAGGATTGGCAGCGGCGGCAGGTGGATTGTACGTCCGTAGAAACTTGTCCATGTCAGCTTTCCGGTATGATGCTGCCTCGGTTGCATAGATGGCAAAAGTCGTCCGATTCGGCTGAGCGGTATATGTGATGTTATAGACCTGACGGATACAATTCGGGCTGGTGTAGTCCGAGGAGCCACAGTTTACCCGCTGCTGTAGATTGCTGACTTTGAGCGCTTCTGGTGATTTGAACGGGAAATTGCGTACGAATGGAAAGGCAGTGATAGGCGTCACAAATTCAATGTGCTTATTAAGTGGCTCAGGGAGAGTGTAGGACGTCGTCCATACCGTACTTCGCTCTCCATTGGTATAGATATGATAAGTGGCGTTGAGCAGCGATTCTGCTTCGCCGATGGTTGTCGAAACTTGGAAAGTGTTGCTCCGTATCACCTTGGCATCCAGACCAGCAGATTGAAGCCATACCGACACGTCGTCCAGTTGTGCAACGTCTGGTCGAAGGAGCGTCTGTATTTCGCGAGCACCCTGATGTTGGCGATACCGGGCATGGCTCGGATCAGATACTTGCGAGGCAATGTCGTCTAAATATCATGTCTCTTGGTGGCCCGCAGAATGATGTGGAGGCGTGTAGGTGTCAATGAATCCGCACGATGCTGTCGCTGCCATGGCGAGCTTGATGCAGCGCAGATACTGCTGAGGTTAAGTACAAATAGTAGAACAAGCCAGAGCATGTTAGCCGTGATCAGAGGCGAATGTTTAGGATATGTTCAGAGATCCTCTCCGCCTCGCAATATCTCAGAGAGATGACCAGATCTGCCATCGTTCTTGCTGGAGGCCTCAAATATGTTGGCCGTGCCTGGTAGTAACACGAAAACCACGCCTCTTCATCACGATCAGTGGTCTGCTCGTGAGCCAGCGAGCGGAAGGGTTGCTCCGCAGCGTTTCGATTGGCCTTCAAGATGGCGAATTGCCTCCACAACTCCCATCTCGAATAGTTGAGCAGCAACTCCATGTCGCGTCTATGGCAGCAGCCATATTGCATCCGAATCAAGAGACTTCGGGGAAACCTAAGCATTCTTTAGACAGGATAGACTATATACGCAAATACAGAAGTCCAAGGCAGGCATCTCCACTGCTCCTTAATAACGGCTCTAGCAGCATGCTCCCCGACTTTCGCTTCGGGATGCTGCTTTGACCGGCCCGGCAATAATAGAGTCCAAGACCTCACATCAAACGTCGACGGCGTCAAAAACAGAGGTGATGTTGTTCCCGCTTCATGATGGACAAACAGCTCTACGGTCTAGTCTCGATGACAAGTGCGGGGTCACGACCAAACAACGGACATGTATATAAAGAGTACGGTACAATAGAGAAAAACCAATATCCACGGAGCTATCCAGTATCACCACCGCAAAAATGTCATCAGAACTAGCAGAGACCTACGACCACACCGGCGCACCGGTAAAACACGGCCGCATCCGCGTCAATGGAATCCGCATGCATTATATCACTGCAGGCAGCGGTCCCCCTCTGCTGCTGCTCCACGGAACCCCAAAGAACAGTTTCTACTGGTACAAAGTCTTCCCACTCCTAACACAGCACTTCACCGTGGTGGCACCCGATCTGAGAGGATTTGGCTATACAGACAAGCCCCCGGCGACAGATGGCTATGACAGTAAAACACAGGTCGATGATCTCGAGTCCCTGATGACACAGCTGGGCCATGAGAAGTTCTATCTGCATGGGGAAGATCGGGGTGCGGATTATGCTTATGCTGTGGCGGGTTACTTGAGGGAGCGGGTGATCAGGTTGAGTTTTTGTGAGATGTTGCTTTCTGGCTTGGGACTGGAAGAGAGTTCTTTCTGGACGCCGGAGAATGTCACAGCGCAGTATCGGCAGGAGGGTGTTTGGTGTTGGGTAAGTAGAACTCCTAACCAATCATCAACCAGACGACGATGCCAGTGGCGATAGCGAGCTGACATCTCTGATAGCATCTCGGTTTCTTCTACATCCCTCACATCCCCGAGATGCTAATTCAAGGCCACGAACGCGAATTCTGGGAAATGTTCATGAAACAAGAATGCTACAATCCGTCCAGCATCTCACCTCTAGCTCTAAACCACTGGATCGACTGCGTAAAGCAGCCCGGCTGCCTGCGGGGGATCCTGGAAACTTATCGCTCTGGTTTCGTGAACGGAGAGCAGAATCGCGAGTTGGCGAAGAAGAAGTTGACGATTCCAGTGATGACGATCGGGGCTCCCGAGTTCTTTGGTCCTAAGGTGAAGGAATGTGCAGAGTTGTTTGCGGAGAAGGTTGAGCGGAACGAGTTGTTTGAGGAGTGTGGACATTCGCTTGCGCTTGAGCAGCCGGAACGGTTGGTGATGTGTCTAAAGGAATTCTTTCTGGGGTCAAAGGCGTAAAGCTGCGAAGAGTGACTACGCATGTCGACATCTGTAACAGTAACTCTAGGTCGTCCCTTTTTGATAGTATACCAGTAGTGGACCGTTCTTGACCTGTTCGAGATAGGGGGAAAGCCGTATCATATCTGATGGTGGTGCCGTAGAAGATGTGGGTATATGTGTGTGAGTAGTGGTGTTCAAGCATCTAGTACATCTCAGACGACCCATATATACACGTTGAAGAAGCCAGCCTTCTGCATGAGCTTCAATCGCCACTCGTCTTCAGTTCTATGCGCTCAATACCATGTCTTCTTGCCGAGAACCATGCGGCACATCATGTACATGCATGCTAAGCTCATGGTTAGTGAATCTCGTCCAGGCTCAATATGCGAGACATAGAATACGCACCGCTTGTTGTGCTGAAGAGAAGGGCATAGTATGGGTAGAGCATGATCTTGGCGCGTGGGCCCTATGTATGCCACCGTTAGCATGTTGTCGCTCCTTGCCTATGTTCTCCGCCGCCCAGCTGTCGAATGCAACTGCGCTCCACCTGCTCCTGCCAGTCCGTCTCTGCATACCTTCTGCCATTGTCGAAGACCGTCTGCGTGGTTCTGGTGGACTCGCTGCCAGTGTGGGACATTATTGGCGCGGTTGAGGCCGGGGAATGTGATGCTACATATGATGTTAGACCGGTCACCCTGAATCGCTGTTGTAATTCCTGACACACCGTCGAGCAAGTGTGGCACGCATGATTGCGGGATTGAGAAGTCGTCGGAGTGGGGAGAGGTGCAATAGTCGATACCGCCCAAGGGAGGATGTCTCGAGGTCAATGTCGAAGCTGGAGCTGTTCGCTGCGGCAAAGTCCGGAGAAGAGGCTTGGCATTAATGCTGTATTGTGAGAGTGCGCATCCACCTTTCTTCCATTACCGTTATTCTACACTGTACATACTACAGAGCGCATGCAATGGCGCCAGATAGAGGAGTCTGGCTGATCGGCGCACTGCAATGCGCGCACTCCTCCACCGATGGCTAATGAGACCAAATACCTCGCGCCCGCCTCGACACCTATTCGCAGCCAATGGCGCCAGGATTGGGCACTACCCAATTCGCCGCCATGTCGCCCCCGTTGCGCGATATGAGCACAGCCGCGATGACACTTCAGCGGTTGAGAACGATGAGGCCAAGGGACCACCCATTCGCCGAGTAATGAGCAACACGAGTCAAGATGTCGACGATCTGCTTGGGACGAGTGTCCGAGAATACAACATGCGTGCTTCCACAGCTTCTGGTGTTCTTTCGGTCGACCAAGGTGCCGATATCAAGGGATCGTTCGCCGAGCTGACACATCAGGCTGATGTGGACAACGACAGCAAAGTGGGCAAGCTACTGGTAGATCGACCCGAGCATCGCCACAACTACAAGCTTTGGGTAGAGCTGATGCTTTTCAAACGTCGAATCGCTGGAAACCAGGGGGTGGTCGAAGTATGGAACGGCATGAGGCGGCGAAGGGTCGACCTGCCAACCGAGGGGGAGGAAGCACAATTGATTTGGGAGGAGTGCATCCGCGTGACTTGCGCAGATGATCTCACTCAGCATCAGAATTCATGCAAAGTGCGGAAAGAGATCATAAACCATGCAGTGGGCTTAAAGGAGAGGACTGGCAAGAGCTACGGGCCACTATACCGATCGTTGGTCGGCAAGCTGCTGACCACTCCAGACGCCCTCGCCGGCGACGCGCATGAGCAGCTGTCACAACATGGTCTTGGGTTCCGCCCGGGTGAGATAAAGCATCTGGTGACGAACGTCCTGGAGAATCCATTTCCGTACATAGCACTCCTTGCCTTCAAGCGCATCTACATCAGTAGCAATGAACGCGACCTCTACGACTCTGCCATGCCCCTGGTCTTGGAAGTGCGCGGTGCGGAGCATGCGCTGTTGTGGCATCGCATGTTCCTTGCGGCTGGCGATGTACCTTCAGATGCTATCCTCGCGATGCCCCAAATTCGACAGCTTTTTGAGCTGGATAAGGATGCAGCATTACCTGCTCGCCTGAGGCATAGGAAGTATCGCCAAGCGGCGCATCACGCTATTGAAGAGCGTGCGAAACTACGCGAGCATATTCCGCTCACTCGAGAGGCGATGTCCGGCCTCGTCGGTGACGTGCATGGGATCAAACCCAAAGAGATCAGCGATTCGTTCGTCGCAAAGATGTTTGCCACGAGTGCGTTTTCGCTCAACCTTGTTGTGAGAGGTCTCAGCTTCTTCTCAATTCAAGAGCTTGGCCCGCTTGCGGTACGTGAGGTGGCAGTCCGAGCCGGCTCTGCGATCTCGTTTCGCAACGTCTTGGCGGACCTCAAGTCCCTGAACGTCACATTAGCTGATACCGCATACTGCCGCCTTGTGACCAAGATCGCGGGAGATGGTCAAACGGAACTCTTCAAGGCGCTTCTGGCCAGCGATCAGCATCCTGAATCTTACGACGACACCACGACGCAGGAAGCTTTGCTCAGTGAGTACCTAGAGCAGGAGCTTTGGGCCAATGTCAATGTGACTATGACGAGCCTCTCACTCTCTGGCGTCCCTCTCGAGCGCCGTGCGATCAACGTGCTAGTACAGTACTACCTACGAAACCGCATATGGTCTCTAGTAAGCAGCACGATCCAGAAGATGCAGTCCGAGCAGATCGCGCCGACGGCACGGACTCTAATCTACCTCTTTCGCTATATGCTACCCGAACGACATCCCGGTAACGCACCGAAGAGGCAACACCCTGACGGCAAGCCGCCCTTCGATAGCCTAGAGTTCGTGACTACTGTGTGCATGTACTCGCAAGACGCACGAGCCAACGTGCCACGCTACTACTGGGTGGAGCTGCTCAAACGGTATGGTCTGACGTATCGCTGGGAAGGGCTGGAGAAGTTGTGCTTGTGGCTTAGTAGTCATGGGTCTATGCAGAGTCAGCGACTGAATGTTCGATTTGGGGGTAGGAGAGTCGTCTTGAAACGACCTCAATTGCTAATCAACGAGGTCTTCACGCGGCAGATGCAGCAAGCAATCTTCGTGTGGGGTTTCAATTCTGCTGCTTTGCGGCACCAGCTTAGCATGTCACCTCCGCGGGCAACGGGAGCACAGGTCGCGACTTGGACTGAAAAAGTAGTGCACCACCCATGGACTCAAGGACTCCGCTTGCTACAACAAATGAAGCATTGTCAAATCTTAATCAACGACCACAATCTTCAGCGAGCGCTCGTAAACCGAATGTGGATCCTCTTCGGCCCCGGCAATTCCTCCCAACGCTTCAACGAGTTCGCAAGACGGGAGAACATTTTACAGCTATCCGACTACATACGCCAGGCGCGCGAAGCCTACGACATCGATCTCGCTCCACAAGTGCGTCCCGAGGACTTGACGGATACTTCACGGCATCAAGCCCGACTTAAGCTGGCTTTCTTCGGTCCTCATCGGCAGGGTTCGGCAGATACTCGTGCTCGTCGCCAGAACTGGACGGATGTTACAGCGTGGACGAGAGACCTAATTGACGGGAAGGCGATGCAGACTCGCGCGTGGAACGTGCCTCAGAGGAGGAGACAGTGGTATCATAGCAATTATCGCGTTGTGAGACCCAGCTCTGTCGAGACCGAACTTCATGGACCCCTCACCCTTCCACCCCATCATCAGCAGGAGGTGGGTCAACAGCATCAACTGCCCTTTGCTCCGCCATCGAATTCGCATCCGCTACCCAGTCGTCAAGGTACTCCGGAACGGCCTTGACTTGGTTATAGTCCGACTCTACGGGCGCGCCGAGAACCGTGTACGTAGGAACTACACCCGTCCACGTCCTGCCCACTAGTTCGCGATCCTGGGAGTCTGCGCGATCGTCTGATGGGCCACCCGTGCGGACTTTGGCTGACGCAGTCTCGATGGTCATTTTGAGGATCGCAGTACTGGTCAGCTCGGCCTTGGTGGGAGCAGAACGGCTGTTTTCCCATCTTTCTGGTACGGAGTTGTTGGTGATGAGTTCAAGCGCGAACAGGATCTCCTCGGGGCTCGTCACCAAGGATCCATGGCCGAAGCAGACAGCGGAGCGGTAGTTACAGCTGTTGTGAAATGGAGCCAGGGCGAGGACGTAGCCGTCGATATGCGTAGCCGCAACACACATTGGGAGCTCCTGGGTACCGCCTTCGGTCAACTTGAACAGGCGGGCAACGCTGGAGCCGTGGAGGTAGAGAGATGCGATGTCGTCTGTGGAATATCGGGCAATGGCTCCTAGCATGGGAAGGATTGTCGGAAATTGTGGCTCGTTGTGTATGGCGGGGGCATTGAAGGAGACGTGTAAAATTGAGCAGGTATTGACGATGTTGTGGACTAGGCCGGTGTCGTAGTGGGCTGTAAGGTGTGGTATTAGCTATCGTGTAGAATATACTGTGCATACGATATGAGAGATGTACTCACTCCTCTTTGCTAATCTCACGCCTTTACTTCGCTCATCAGGCTTGTATGCTGCCGAGGGTGCCATCTTGAGTTTCTATCCCAGTGGCGCTCGTGTGTGGTTAAGCTGTGGCTGCGAGTCGATACAAACCTTGGGCATTGGTTTTCGATACGACGAAGTTATATTGAGAGTGGTCTTGGCTACACCAGACTCATATATGACTCTTGATCACTTGAGTTGCGCCCTGTACAAGATAATGCATGAAAATAACATGTGGAGCTCTTTTTCAATGGCGTAGCACGTCGCGTGTACCTTCCATATATGGATGTGTCTCGGGAACAGAGGTAGCTGTACTAGTTATTGCTATCACAAGCCTCAGTACACACTGGCTCGAATATGATAGTCGTAGGAATAGTAGATGTCTGAACATTTGGGCTCGAAGATCAGTGGGTCACGTGATAACGTGCATCCCGCGCGATGGTCCGTGCTATGAACATCACCTTCGAGCGCGTGTATATTATCCTAAGACGTATTTTTTATCTCACAGTTCGCGACAACCCATGATCACACGACTGATTGATTGTTGCGGCCAGTGAGATCCATCTAGTGGTCAAAACTCTGGTCCCAGTGATGGCGGAAAGCGCTAGAGCTCTACCGTCTCCAGTAGATAGTGCTAGTCCATGAGCTAACAATGTTACACCAGGACGAGCAGAGTTCGCAGATGCGTCCGCCAAGTTGGACAGGATTATAGCGGCACACGCGAGGCCGGCCTCTGGAGCAGAAGCATGTTCAGGCGAAGTAGTCCAAGAAGTCCGACACGTAACAGAGATCATCAAGCAGCTCTCGGCAGCTGTCAAGCCTTTGGCCGGCGAACATAATGGGCAGCAGTCAGCAGCTGGACCGCCAGCAGCACGACTTCCTCGGCAGACCACTAGGCCGAGCCCGGATCACCGACCACTACATGCACTGTGGCGACAGTTTCTGCAAGACAAGCGGGTTGAGAAGTGTCTGAAGAGTATCTCCGAGACTGATTGCCCACTCGCGAACCTAGAAAGGTGTGTAAGAGTCATACCACATCACTCCGGACGGCTGACTTTGCGCAGTTTGGAGGAAGCTCTGAAGACCGTGATGCAGGAGCCAAACAATGTCATTCAGCTTGGTAACATGCTGTTGAATGAGGTCAAAGGCGACAAGATAACACAAAACGATGCCACGACGTTCTTCAGGCGAGTGGCCAGCTTCGATGCCGATTGGCTTGACATCAAAGACGATGACCTTATGATCTGCTGGGAATCGATCCATCGAAGCGAAGAACGGCCATGGCTGAAGAACTTGAATGCGACTGCGACCCGCAAGTTCGATGATGTGATGTGAAGAAGCTGGTCAAAGACCTACGTGTTGTTTTTTGTTCTCTGCATGCCGATGAACTGCTCGAAACTTTCTTTGATAAGTTCGTCCGCCTAAGTCGCTCTTCCCACGTTGCGATATTCGAAATCATACTGATGCCCTGCCTGTCGGACATCGTACGGAGCATGCCAGCCCTCCACGTTGCGGAAAATGACCCTCAGTACGGTATCATGGCCTCGAAAATCCTGCAAGAGCTCCTCGGCCGATGGGCGCAGTACGAGCCATTACCGCCCACACGTCTACTGCGAGAATGCGGCTGCGGGTGCGTAAACTGTGAGGAGCTCGACGAATTCCTGATGGACAATGGCAAGCGGGTACTGTCGTATCGAGAGAAGTCTGCGATAAGAGACCATATCTATTGCAGACTGCATAGTCAGGACGATTTGGTAGAAAGAACCATCCTACGGAATGGGTCTCCGCATACATTGACCATTTCGAAGATCAATGGCGAGTTCGAACAATATAAGTGGAATTACAGGCGAAAGCAAGCAAAGAAGTGGATTAAGGACCTGGGCAATAAGGAATGTCTCCGAGACTTGTTAGATCTCATGTACGACGAAATTATGGACTTTACCGCATTTCGGGTCAAGACCAGGACGACACAGCCACGGTCGGACGATACTATCATGCTGGCTCGCATCAAGGATTGGCTGAAGACGCACTACGAGCCCAGCATTGATCATGTGACCAGCAGATCTAACATCAAGCAGGCATTCAGGAACACCCTCAGGGTTTTCGATGATGTGTTCAAGGCACCGAGCTCGAGTGTGTTCTTTGGGTTGCTGGACAGGGTCTTCCCATCCGCACAGGTACATCATGGCAAGTACAAGCAACACTACTCTGTGGTGGTTGGCATCAAACCGAGACAGAAGCCTTTGGAGGTTCGCCCTAGCTATCCCTGGAAAACCCCTGAGACGAGAGACTTACCGGATGCTCGCGTCACTGTGGCGAGTCCTGCGACCCGGCCGCAGCCCTCGCGGGAAGAAGCTGGCGAGCGAAGTCTACAGGCTTCTGCACAGCTCAATGCTCCTTCCACCAACATCGTACGGAATCCCGCTGCTGCAATCCGACCAGATGCATCGTCGAAGGATACAGCACGTGATCTAACGTCACTATCAAACTCAGCATTACAGCACCTCAACGAATCAGAACGCACGGCCCGATGGCTCCGACAGCACTTCGTCCGACACCAGGCCTGTCTCGAGCTGAAAGCAGATATTTGGGCCGATTACACACATTCCTTCCCACCTTCGCCCGACTATGCACCTCCCGTGACGGAGCTGAGCTTCCAATCGATCCTGGTGACGACTTTCTGGCGGAAAGGCGAGGGATATCCGCGGCATGATGAGCGCGCTGTGTATGGTATCAGATCAAAGGCGGGGAGGGAGAGTCAGCAGGTGGCTAGGACGCCGTTGCGGACTATTGTGAACCCTCCTGCGTTAGGGCAGCCTGAAAGAGCGACAGAAGGGAAGAGGAAAGCTGGAGTTGAGCCATTGACACCGAGGTCGAAGCGGAGACGTGCTACTGCTGTTGTTGATCTTTCTGCTTCACCGTGAGCGTCGGATGTGCTGAAACTTCCTCATGGAATAGACAAATGGATGGTCTCGGTTTTCTGCGTATTCCCTCACAACATTTCGATCTGTATGATCGCCTTTCTTGTTTATAGTGTAGTATAGTAAATCAAGAAATCATGGTAGATATCGGCACGGTGCCAGCCCACAGGTTGACCTGGATAGACTGTCCCGGGGAGTCTTCCGCCATGTGGTGTCCTGGGGTCATTAGGGTCTCGTTCGCACGACCTACGATATTGGCGTCAGGCACGCCCAAACAACCTGCCGTCAGAGTCTCGATCGATCTCTCGCTAGATCTTGTACGTTTTGTGCCTTCCTAATTCTTGCTTTTTGGAACACGTTTCAGACTTGTGGCAACACAAGCCCTATCACGTGTCCTTCGGCGGGGCAATTTCAAAACAGCCGAGAAGTGGCTTTGGTCCCACGAATCACAGGTCTTTGACCTCGCGGGCCCGACGTCAGAGCAAGGAGAGTGGGCGGGCAGCATGCGAAGGGATGGCTAGCTGGGGCACAGCAGCTGAATGGAAGATGCACGATGGCGCAGCCTGCATCATTCCACTCCCTCACATATGCACCTCCGAAGGGAAGGGTAGGTCGTTGACAAAGTCAATTTCTGGTATCTTGACTCGAGACCAGATATTGAACGCGTGGAGGAGGATTAGCAATATTGCCATTGTTCCATTTCAGCCCAACATACTGTGACGTAAGGCTGCCTCTGTCTTTGGGCATCCACACCAAGTGATCAGCGGGAACGGACCAGGATTACCTCGAACTTTCAGTCACCGGTCGAGTCGCCCAGCTGTGATAAGGCCGCCCGAGCAACGAAAGACTGAGACGACTTCTACAGCCCGAAACAGGCGCGACAGAAAGCAACGGGTATACCGCGCTCAGCACCGATCATCTTCACGACTCCACTACTGCGAAAGTGTGCCCAAGCGTGCGAGCATGAGCAGGCATCACCCGGTATCGTCAGGCATCGACTAGGTAAGCCAAAGCCCACCTCGAGTCTTTTGACACTTCTGCCCGTAAGCGAGGCGAAGAAGTCCGGTCGGCGAAAAACTAGAGGCAAAAGTAGGAGCTGCGTGTATAGATTCGTCAGGCCTAGGATACCGTACAGGCTGCGATGAGCTGCAGTTGAGAAAATTGCTTGCGCCCGCTTCGCTGTGGGTGGGCGAACAGGTTACACAGCAGCTGCTCACACGGCCAGCCAGTCTGAAGCAAAGTGACTAACACGACGCAATGCAGACCACAACCGCCCATTACCAGCGGCCGCGCGCCCATACGCTGTTCGCGGCGAAACCAGCCACATTGACGATACAACCCAAACTCGCCAATATGTCCTATCACCGCCAACTCTCGCCTGGTTCGCGCCGTCTCCAGAACCCCGGGCGAGCCTCTGACAGCTTCACCACCGATCCATTCTACACACAGAACAGACACAATTCGTATACGTCGCCGAGATCGAGCGGCGTCATCCCACTTTCCAGCGAGACCTATGTCACTGAGCAGCCGAGAAGCGCGAGAGAGCCACCTCGAGGAGGAGTGTATGGTGGAGATTATGGAGCTGGTAGACCCCGACGCTCTTCGCTCGTGGATACTCAACGAGGATCCGCGCCTGCTGTTACGCAGTTGCCTAGCAGGAGCAAACCGACTGTTGTGCATGATGCTGCACGGCCAAGCAGCCCGCTGAAGGGCGGTCGCGACCGTGACTATTACGTCACTCCTGGTGTGTCCAAGGAGCCAAGGAAGATAGAACATAAGAAGATCTACTCTGTGAACACGGACGGCAACGCGAATCTGGTGGCGCATATCGATGCACCTGCCGCGGAAAGACACCATAGGCGGAGGGAAAGTGGCACTGAGCGTACTGGTGGCTATCTGACCACGACGACCGACCGCGAGCGAGGACGAAAGGACTATCACGCGACTGGTCGCAGCAGAGCAGGTGACGGCAATATCGAAGACCGTGACGCTTTCTCTTATACCGATCCTGCCGGCATGTACGCCAATACTGAGCCCAGGTGGCGTGACAATTCAATCCGACCGAGAAGGAACAGCATGGATCGAGGTTCGAGTCGCGATAACAGACCGGCGAATGTGATGGTTGACCCTGTTTACAACGACCCTCGCTCCTCTGGGCGAGAGCTACCTGGACCGCCACCGAGTATGCGAGGCTGGGAGTCGGTCAATAAGATGGGCCGCTCGAACACAGTCCGCGATACCAACAGCCGTGGCATTGCACAGTCGCCTTCTCGAGGACGGTTCCCTGATGCTTATGCCGAAACTCGTGATCCGTATAACGCACCACCTCCAAGACCTAGCTCAAGGGACGGCAGGTCTACGGCTGCCAATGTTGATCGACCTAGCGACCGTGGAGGATATGAGTATGAACGCGAGCGTGAGACACGACACGAACGTAGGAACAGCGTCACTAGGCGGCCAGACACGAGTACAACCAGGAGAGGCTTCGGCATAAGAGCCGACAGTCGTGACCGCTATGCCCGAGATGATCGTGGCAGCGACGAGAGCATCAAGGAACGTGATCGTCAGCCATACCGCGATTCTGGATATGCTGAACCTCATCGACGAGACACTGCTCCCGAGATACCTTACCATGAGGAACGCCGACTGGAGCAGGAGAAGAAGGATCGGGAACTAGCTCGCCAGCAGCAGGAGGATCGTGAGAGGCAGTATGAGCGTGAGAAGCGACGAGATGATGATCGTGGCCATGATCGCGACTATGACCGCGAACGAAAGGATCGTGATCGTGAGTACGAGCGTGAAACCGACCGCGAGCGGGAGAGACAACGCATGATGGAGCGTGCGCCTGAGCGCGAGCCAGAGCGTGAGAGGGAGAGACATCATCATCGTCGTGAGTCCGTGGACAGGAGCGGTCGTGATCGTGACCATCGTAAGGAGAATGGCGAGGCCTCGTCAACGGGACTGTCACAAGCTGCTACAGGCGGCTTGGCGGGCGCTGCTGCTGCGTTTGGTCTTGGTAAGATGCTTAAGAAAGACAAGGATGAGGATCGTGACAAGGATCGTGATCGAGAGCGTGATGAGAAGCGGGAGCGGGATCGTGCTGAGAGGGAGCGTGAGAAGGAGCGTGAGAAGGAAGCAGAACGCAAACGCTACGAGGAGCCACCTCGCCGCGAAGACCGCGAGCGACGGAATCGTGGTGCTGATGCTGTTTCCCGCAGCGAAGATAGTGCACCCTTCGACCGTGAGCCTAGGGACGATCGACCGCGTGAAGCTGATCGCGGTCTTGGCTTTGCCTTCGAGCGACAACCCGAGCCACCAAAAAGTGCAGCCGCGCCACCAGTCGAAAGGCCACGAGAGCGCGAACCCCGCGTGCCTGAACCAGTGCGAGAACGAGACCTCGAGCGAGATCATGAAGACAGGCACTCTGATCCACCACAAGCTGCACTTGACCCAGAAGAGGACTATCGACGCCGAATGGAGCAAGTGCAGCGTGAAATGGGGCGAGTACCGGTTGACGAACGAGGCGGCTCCGACTCTGACCCCGATCGTGAGCGGAGGCGACGAGAACGTGAACAGAGACAACGTGAGAAAGAGGAGCGCGACTTACGGGAGCCTAAGCTGGACGCTGGTATTGGTCTCACAGCCATGAACGACCAGCCGCCACCTCCCGCACTTCGACGAAGCTTCGAGGACACTGCTTCCGAAGCCACGGCAGCTTCTTCCCAACAGCATGGCTTGCGTCGCAAGCCGAGCATTCTCGACGACTCGATGAGTGCCGAGCCGGCCCAGATCATCGATAACAGCTTGAGCGACCGCAGAGAAAATCGTGTCCGGATCGTTGATCCACCGACCGAAGAAGAATCCAGACGACCAAAAGGTATCCTCAAGCAGCCAACGCAGAAATTCCCAGAATATCCCGCACAGGCACGTGAGGGCGCGCTGCCGCTGAAAGAAGTGAGTACTACCCCCCCTTCCCATCCCATCACACTCCCCTTCAAAACCCGGTCATCAGACTCGAAAACTATTCCGCAATGCTGACCCTTCCGTGTGAAAAACAGACAAGTGTCAAGGGCATCCCACCCGGTGCTCGCTGGACGAAAATCGATCGCCGACTCGTGAACCCGGAGGCGCTGGAGGAGGCTAAGGAGCGGTTCGAGGAGAGGTTGGATTGCGTGATTGTGTTGCGGGTGCTTACGAAGGAGGAGATTCAGAAGTTGGCGGATCGGACGCGGGAGTTGAGAGGTAGGTTGCACACTTTTCTTATGGGTCATGGTTTTGAAGTTGTGGGCGATGCTGGGCATGAGCAGAGGTTGTCGCCTGAGCACTCGCTGGGGCACGATCACGCGCGTCAGGCACATTCGTCTGCGGAGTAGTACTCTCAAGACAATGTCGCCGGCCGCGCCACTGCAGCTGCGGCTTTCGGACGACGATGGCATCAGCGTCCGCGCCCCTCACACCAGAACTGCACATCGACTCTGGGCTTTCCCCGGCACTAGATCTCTGACCTCTTTTCTTTCCTACGTCTACTTCGAACAAGCGCAGAATCACTGACACATCATCCTCCCATAACAGATGAACGGTATGAAGAAGATCGCGCCGAGCGCAAATCCTCCTCCGGCAAGAAACACAAGGATAATAAAGAAAAGGATAAGTCCCGCCGAGGAGAAAAGGACGAGTTCTCCGATGATGGACTAGAGGACTGGGAGAGGGCGGAGCCGAGGGCGCCTAGGATGCTAGAAGCTGGGCCGGGGCCGGGGAGTTCTGTCGGCGGCGCGAGTGCGATTGGTGGGGGAGCTAGTGCGACGGGGAGTGGGGAGGCGGATTTTATTCGGGAGAATCAGAGAAGGAGGGAGAGGGATAGAGATGGGGAGGCGGTGTCGGGGGGTTATAATATGAGTGGAGGGTTGGGGAGGCGGGAGGAAGGGGGGTATTAGAACTAGTGGGCAGGTGGGGTTTGTAGTTGCAGTGGGCATGTGCACGTGCGTTTCATAGCGACTGAGTCAGCGAAGGGGCTGCCACGGCAGCTACTCGTCTTGCACTCAGGAGAGAGAAAGATGGTTTTCATGTCATATTCACTCCGTCTATGCCTCTACAGAGACCGTTCACATCTTCTGCCCGCTTCTTCTCCTTGACCTTACGCACCCAATCGATCCCCTCGCTCCCATCGAATCCCACGCCCTCGCACCTTCCACTTCCATCGAATTCAGCCCCGAGCATCTCGTTGACAACCCACTCAGCTGTCTGGGTATGTAGACTCGGCTCTCTCAACCCCCCATCACCTTCACCTTCACCCTCACCAGTCCCAGCTGGAAGAACAGCCTTATATCCCGGGTGGACTCTCGACCTCCCATTCGCAAGCGCCTGGAAGATAACCAACTGATCCCGCAGATGCTCGTCTACGTACGCACCACTCCTCCATTGCTGATGAAGTTCTGTCAGGACACGCTGGGCCATGTTCTCCGCTACTTCGTCGTGCGGGCGTGTTTTGGAATTGACGGGGATTCTCTTGTCGTAGAGCCAGTCGCTGGCTAGGATGGAGTCTGTTGGTGATGTGGGGGGGGAGGTGGGATCTAATGAAGCAGTTGTGGTCGTTAGGGTTGGAACGGTGAGGACGGCTATTAGGTATAATCTCTTTTCGTGGCCACTATCTGTACACCGGATCGCGATGGGGAGGGGTTCGTCGTCGTCATTAATGGCGGAGTCTGATTTCGTAACGAATAACTCGCGGGCTCGGGGTACGAAGACTTGCTTCAGGTGAGCATGGCAGGATATGGGTGCGACGAAAGTGGCCGTCATCTGCCTAGGCCTGCGTAGTGGTCCCTGAGTCTTGAAAGGTAGATCCGGAGGCGCCAGGGTGAAAGCTTCCAACACCACATTCTTTCTAGTGGGTATCTCGATCGTGAGACTCCCAACACTACTCCCACCCTGACTCCACCCCCTCTTATGCAACACAGTCTTCATCTCCGGAAGTCCAATCGCCTTTAGCATCGGCAGTAGAACTTGCGAAAGATACTCATATGATGGCGAACCCGAGACATTCGTGCCGCCGGAGAGTGTCAGATGGACTGGTAGTCTTGCGTCTCCAGGAAGTTTCGTGAACAGGATAAAAGGTAGGATGGCCTGTAAAGCCAACCCCGTACTCCCCGCCGTTCCGATCTCGAGACGTGCCTCCCATACTTTCTCCCCATCCCCATCAGGCAGAGTCTTCTTCGTAAACACCGCCGGCACCCCATCACCACCCACTACTCCCTTCCCTCTACCCCTACCCTGTCCCGGCTCGAATAGGAGGTCAGTACTCCCCTTCTCCCCTCCCTCAACATGAGCATCACAGGCTTCAGCGAGCCATTTCACGGAAGCGAGATGTTGGGCTTTGAGGCCGCCGCCTCCGGACCGGTTGCCACGGATATGGTGGATTTTGAGCGGGGTGGAGGTCAGGGCTGAGAGGCAGATGGCTGTGCGGAGGAGTTGGCCGCCGCCTTCTAGGGTGCGGCCGTCTAAGGTGAGGTGTCTTAATCTTGGCATGATTGAGGGGGTCCGGTGGTTGTTGGGGAGTGGTAGTTTGTTTTGGGGACTGATTGGAGGGGGGCTTGCGAGATCTTAGGAAGAACGACCAATGTTTCGACTCCGGGGGTTGGTGAGTCATCTGCTGTGCCCTCGCCAGTAGCGGTGTCTGTATCCACTTGTGGGCTGATGGCAGCTATTTTCAGCCTGCGCAGTTTCGAACGTCATGTCCTGTTTCCAAGAGGCAAAGGGAGGGTGAGACAGCAGTCGATGAGCTCGATAGTGCTACTTGTTGTCTACAGCGCATGTCGACCTTAGGAAAGCTCCATGTCGTCTCATCAGGCAGTCATCGTGTCAGTCTGTCGTCAAGCTACTCGGTTGACTCCACCGACCCGTTGACCCTACTGACGGTACAATCTGGGTGGGACAAGGATGAGGTACTGGATAGAGTAGAGTGTTTGCGGGAGGGAGGGAGGGAGAGGGAGGGTGCTCAGAGATATGGCCGATCTATTATACTTTAGACTTTTTCGACTCGTTAATCGTTTCGTCCCTGTAGTATATGCCGGGTTACATCATCCATCCATACCATTGTAAGACGGAAGCATGTCGTCGTACGCTGCTGCCCGATGCACATACCATCCACGCCACGCAACGCACCTGCCATGCAAGTTTCACAATCATCCATTTGATTTGGACATTATTATTGCGTCACGCTGCATGGCACGAGGCAATGCAATGCAATGCGGGATGTCCCACCAAACAGCGCATTGCTGGCTGCATCCACACTTGACCTTTGCCCGTCCAGCCTTCCCTCAGTGAATTCTGGTCATGTCATATCTATTTACCCACGGCTAGCTGGCACATGCCGAAATGTTGTGAAACGGCCTTGATTCTGCTTTCCGAGTGTGATTGATGTTGTGTGACTTGACTTCTTTGTCCACTTTGCATTGCATTGCGTTGCTGAGCGATTGAGCGTGGGAGATAGCAGGCCGTTGTTTCAGCAGTGAGGCTGGGTGGAGCAAGTCTCACCTGACCTGATCTTGGATTGGGGGAAAGATAGAACATTCACACACCACCTGGACTGATTGCCCATCTTTCAACCCCAAATAAAGTGGACAGTGGACCCTCAACCATGTCCAGGCGCGATTACCCAACAGCTGATCGCTATGAAGAGCGTGAGAGTGACTTCTACAGGAGGCCAGCACGGGAGCGAAACTATGACGAGCTGGACATAGACATCACTCGCGAACGCTACCCCGAGTCCAGAGCACCAGGTCGACGAGCCGAGGCTGCAGTCAAGGAACGAGAGTCGGTGGTCAGTGATCGTCGGACTGAGCGAGGTCCTCGGCAGCCTGATTTCTTACGGGAAGACTATGGAAAGTCACAGGCTGGACCTTTGGTGATTAGGCGGGAAGAGGTGAGGGAGGAGGATACATTCAGCCGAGCACCCACAAGGCGAAGAAGTCAGGAGACAGTGAGGTCACGTGCTCCACCTGAGAGGGTGGAGAAGGAGGAGATCATCATTCGAGAGCAGCGTGACAGAGCTCCACCATATCCACGAGGTGAGCGGGACTTCACCGAGCGGGAGGATATCGTCATTCGTGAGCGTGATAGGGAGAGAGCGAGATCACGGCCACCGGCACGTGAGAGGTCGGACGAGGAGATTGACATCAAGATCAAGCGGCGAGAGGAGTCTAGAGGCCCACCAGCGAGGAGTGAGGCGCCGTCGAGGAGTGAGCTGCGAGAGCGGGATGTGGAGGAAGTCCGCTTCAGACGAGGTGGTGGCGATAGGCCTGGTCCGCCACCCCAGCGCGAGGAGTTTCAAGAAGAAATCAGGATCAACGAGACACGATCGCCACCTCCTCGTAATGCTGTGCGTGGGAGAGAGTACGAGCGGGATGAGCTCGACATCGATATCAACATCCGAGAAGAACGCAGTGCGCCACCGCCACGACGCCAGGAAGAGCGCGGCCACCTTGTAGCGCGGGATCGTGAGGAGTGGATTGTTCGACGGCGCCGCGAACCCTCGCCACCACCACCTCCACGAGATTACGAAAAGGAAGAGATCATCATTCGCCGGAAAGAGAGATCCCCATCTCCGGAACCCCCACCCCGCGAACCAACCCCCGAACCCGCTCCGCCGCCGCCCCCAGAGCCGATCTATCGTCCTCCCATCATCCAAGAAGTCATCACGCACCACCGCCACATCGACCACGGCGTAGAGCGAGCCCGATCGCCAACCCCACCCCCAGCTCCCGCGCCACCAAGCCCACCCCGAGAAGAGAATCTCGAGATCGAAATCAAACGATCTGGAACACGAAACGGGAAGGCGTTTGAAGAAGATATCATCTTCGAACGCGACATTACCGAAGGGGGGCCAAGAGGAGGCCGCGAGCGAGAAAGGAGTCGAGATGTTTCCCGCCGCCGATCCCTTAGCATGGGTACGCGGCACGGATACGAGCAGGACGACCTTCGCGTGACGAGACGAGGTGGTGCTGGGGCGGGGTACGAGGACGATGTGGCTGCTGAAGCGGAATACTATAATCGAAAAGTGCGCGATCGTGGGTGGCCGGGTGAAGCATACAACGGCGCTACGAAGGACTGGGGACTCGTGGACGTCCCACCGGGAACGGAGCGCGTGCGCATGGATGGCGTAGGCGGTGGCGCGCAGGAAATAACCTGGGACCGGTACAAAGGGGAACGGCGGGGCAAATTCCTCACCGGTGATCGCGCGTACGAAACCGAATGGGAGCGGGAACGCGAACGTGAGAGGAACGGCGGGGGGTACGAGCAAGCTCGTCTTCCTGCCCCTGCTGCGCCTGCACCGAGACCGGTGAAGGAGGAGAAAGAGGAGATTAAGATCACGCGGGAGCGGATCGTGGAGGAGACTAGGAAGGGGCGGACGCGGGATAAGATGTGGACGGAGATTACGAAGGATTTGGTGATTAAGGAGGCGGTGGAGGAGATGGGGTGGGAGTTTGATGAGACGGAGGAGTTTTTTTATGTCATGGAGTATTTGCGTTATGTACGTCCCTCCTTTCCCCCGCCCCCGCCCTTTCCGTACACCCCCCACACCCTATCCCTACTCCGATCCCTAATCCCCCATATCCTCCTTCGACGAACGTACTCGATGCTAATGTCTGATTGTGTAAACAGGAAGACGTCCTCCGCCTCGTCGAAGTGACAGAGGATATCCGCCGCGAACGTCGGGATCGAATTCGAGAGATTCAATGGGAGAGGGAGGAGATGGAACGGGTGAGGCAGCAGCCTAAGATGATTATGCCGCCGCCTATGCCGGGGATTCCTCCTCCTCCGCCTATGAGTATGAGGGGGGCGGGTGGGCGGTATGATGAGAAGGTTTATGAGCGGGATTATGTTTATGAGAGGGATGGGAGGCGGTATCGGTAGGTGGGTAGGTTTGATAGATGGATGGGTTTGGGAGTTGAGGCTGAGGTTGGGGGTGGGCGTTGGGACGGTGGAGTTTGGGGGTGGCGGGGAGGTGGAGGTGGAGTTCTGCAGCCGTCAGGTTCGTGCAAGGCGGGATGCGCCAAGTGGATGGGGTTATGTGTTGGTCGGGTTTAGCAGCTAGGCATGGAGATGGACCCAGGTGTGGTGGTGGTGATGACGAAGGTACGATTGTTATGACTATACATCCCTGCCCCTATGAATATTTGCATTCGCATTAGCCGGAATGAAGTTGCTTGCACACGCTTTCCCTCTCTCTCTCTTTCTCTCTCTCGTGTCCCAGTTCCTGTGTAGACGGTTCTGCCGAGTGTCTTTTCGTCCTGCAAGTCCGTTTCTACTACATGTCGTGGGAGTGCACTATACAATCTCTTCTTTTTCCGACGCAGCCGAGCAAAATCTACAGACATCTACCACCGCAAGGTCGACAGCCGCTGTTTCCAATTCCCCCAGAGCACCGAGATTTGCAAGAGAGACATCAATAAGCGGCCAAAAAGCTATCTCTACCCAGAAAGGCAGGAGGGCTGCGACATCATCACTACTTCTCCACCTCCTCCTCCTCCTCCTCCCTCTTCAACCCCTCCAAAAACCCCTTCACCTCCTCAATCACCCGCTCAGCCCGCTCCTGCTGAACCCAATGTCCCGCCCCCTCCACGATCCTCGCTCCCCTAAAACACCCTTTCATCACCAAACTCTCATCCTCATACCCCTCAAAAGCCCCCGGCTGCTGGAAATTCCCCCAGTCTTGCTTCCCACTAATAAACACACAGGGGACTTCTATCCGCCGGCCAGCATAGAGGAACATGTCCTTCGCTGATTGCGGGGTAGAGGAAGTTTGGGCCCGGTACCAGTTCAGTGCGCCCTGGAATCCCGTGCGGGTCCATTCGCGGACGTAGATCCTGAGGTCAGCAGCGGGAAGCCAGGCCTCGGTTTTCGTGGCGTCTTCGCCCACCATATTTGCCGCGACGGTCTCGGGCATACTGTGTTCTTTTTTCATAATGTAATATTCCGGCATCTCGGCCAGATCTTGCGCGGTCCAGGATTTCAAGGGGTGGGTGTTGTTATTACCCTTCCAATCGGCGGATTTGAGGTGGAAGTACCCCCGTAGATAGGCCTCGAGGCCTTGGGACGGATTATCCCAGTCTGAGGCGGCGGGGGGGGAGGAGTTGTACCATTTGTAGTGTTTCCTCGGAGGATCTAATTTGGCCAGTTCGCCCTGGATATCGAGTTTCTTCTTTGGTTGTTCGGCTCCAAAAGGTGGCGCGGGGGGCGCGTGGTGAGGATGGCTCATTTGAATTGTCGATTTGAAAATATCCGGTCGTATGAGCGCGGCCATGGCGCTGCTGACGGCCCCGAAATCGTGCCCGATGATGCAGTATACGGATTTGTAACCTAGAGCGTAAACGAGGCAGACGAGGTCCCGGACGAGATTGGTCATGGTGTACTGAGTCAAATCCACATCCTCATAGCTGCTGTTCTCCCAGCCGGTGGTGCGACCGTAGCCGCGTTGGTCCATGACGATGCAGTAGTAGCCTTGGGCTGCGATGGCGGGCATGATTTTGCGCCAGGAGAAGGCGAGTTCCGGGTAGCCGTGGCAGAAGAGGATGAGGGGTGCGCCGGGGTGGCCGGCTTTGATGATGTGGTATTTCAGGCCGCAGGAGGGGGTGCAGTCGATGTAGTCGTCTTCGAGGCCCGGGGGGAGGGGAAGGGGGGTGAATTCGTTGTTGCTCAGGTGGGTCATTTTGGGGTGGTGATGAAGATGGAATTTAAAGAAATACTATGATACTCATACCTGGCCGAGTACATCTAGCTCGACATGACCTTGATAGCTTATAACTCCCTCCGTCCCGATGTCGCTGGGAATAAGGAAGACTTGACTGGTTATAGCTGTATCGCTTCCCGTCACTCTGGGACATCCAACGGAAGCCCATGATATGGTGCTTTCAGCGTGGCTCACACACCCTGGATATGTATTGGAGAGTTCCTTTGTTTTAGAGATGGCTGCCGCCACGATCCGTCCACGTTGGCCAAGATGTTTCGGCTACCGGCTGCTGCCGCACTACCGACGCCTGGTTGCAGATCATGACAGATGAATGGTGGGATCCCGAGCAGGCAATATCGAAGGTGGGTGTGGAGGCGATGATGACAGACTTGCGTTATCTTCTTCATCTTCATCTTCTTCATCAATACTGGCTACCGTACCATCTACCACAATTGGGGATTAGGTGTGGCGCGAATGGCGAGAGGTCGACATGTCACATGTCACAGCTCGCGCCTCATACCGAGCCAAACCTTATCCCGCTCTCCTGTGCAATGATGCATTGATGGCAGAGCGCACTCACTGCACGAGCCACAGTAGAAGCAGTACTGACTTACTGACTTTCCTCCGAGGAGAGGCTATCCCGTCCTATCCTGTCCTATCCTATCCAGCCAAGTAGAGTATCTTCCCTTCCCGTACTCATCCAACGTGGTGTCTTATTGATCATTATTTACTTCATTTCATTATTTACCAACTCGTTATTGTGACTGATATTTCATTACTTGGCTAAGTCGCGTACAACGACAGCGGGAGGATGCTTGCAAGTGGCGCACAGATCTGCAGTGCAGTACGGCAAGGGTGAGGCCATTGCGCGTGGAATATCACCATTCTTTCTCCCATCATGCCTCTCTTTTCGCGACGACGAGCTGCCTCACAGCCGGTAAGCATCCCCTCCTCCACCTTTCCCACGTCCACTAGCTATCTGCCCACCCGCTTGATATTCAACATGTACACCATGTACCTCGCTTGCGGTAAAAGTCCCGCTAGTTCTGACCCCCCATGATGCAGCCGGTCGATCGCTCCACCCACACAGCAGCCCAAGCAGCAGCAGCAGGAGCCCTCTTCAACACCCAACAACATAATCGAACACCATCATTATCCTCCGCCGCAGCAGCCGCGGCCCTACGCTCCCTCACGACCACGCCGGAGCCAGTCGGCAGCATCCAGACCAAGCGCATGCAAAGGCGCGGAAGCCAAGCCTCAGTCACAAGCGGCAGTGCCAACCTAGGCGGTGCCACGAAACCAACACGTGGAGGCAGTACGACAAGGGGTGCATTGCAGCGGAATCACAGCAGCGGGTCTATGACCGAGCGCACCTTCCGCTCTCCATCACCAGGCAGCATAAACGGAGGAGGAGGTGTGAACGGCGCTGTTATTCCCACTCCGGACGCCCCGCCTGTCCCTGCGCTTCCGCGAACCATCCCGAACGGGTCGGTCAGGAGATCGGCGAGTGTTGAGCCGCCGCAGCGTGTGCTGTCGCCTACACCGAGGGGTGGGAGAGGCGCGAGTGTGGATCGGGCAGGTCTGACTACGCCGAGGTCATCACTACGGAATAAGAGATTATCTGGGGTAGGTGAATGGGGTGAGGAGGAAGGAGACAGTAGTCCGAACTCGGTCAATTTCTCACGGCCGCGGTCCACGCAGCCGGGTAGTCCTGGACAGCAAGAGTCTGATGAGATGAAGAGGTATACGCATGGTACAGGGTCGTGGTTTGCCCAGCCTACATCCACTGCTGGAGCTGCGAGACCATTGAATGGCGTGCCGAAGAGGGTACAGTCACCCACTCCATCGAATCAGGGCGGGCCTAATGAGGTGTCATACGATACTGCGGATTCAATCATGGTCTACGACCCGAATACGCGGACTTTTGTCTCAACACCACGGCCGAAGCCTAAGCAGCCTGCGCAGCCTACGGTCGGTAGGAATGCAGCACCTGGCTCCAAGTCATCGTTACCGCCTGGGACATGGGATCCTGACACCCGCTCCATCGTGCCCTGGCGTCCTGAGTCAGCGCGAACGACGTCCAGCGATGGCGAAGCCAAAAGGAAACAACGGCCTGCAGTAGCACCCATCGAGACTGCCTTGCAGCCTCCACCACGAAACCCGGCGCGTCTGTCACCAACGAGCTCCAGTCCAGCCAGTCCTCCTACTTCGCCTAGAGCAATGGGCTATTTGCAAAAGCAGCCATCCATTGTCCGCGAAGATCCAGAAGCCGAGGAGCAAGCAGCCTTGACCAATCCACCAGCCAAACAACGCCCATTCTCCAGTTCAATTGGACCTGCTAAAGCATATGTGACGAAGACACCACAACATCAGCGAGCTTCAAGTCTAGACGTACCACGGCAGGGCGGTGCCGGAGCGGGTCGCGGGCGCAATGGATCCATGAGTCCAAGCCGATCAGCGCATTTCTCCGCCACCCCCGTGACGAGTGGCACGATCCACAACCCACCACCACGATCGAGCTCACCTGTGAAATCCGCTATGAAGCACTCCCCTGCATCGAGCATACGGACCGCAAGTCCCATGGCCAATTTCTCGCCTGCTGGGTTCAAGGCTCCGCCAAGCGATGTCTCTGATATCACGTCCGAGGCATCAGAGGACGGAATGGGCCTGCGGAAAGCAAAGAAAAAGGTGCGAGTCAGCTTTGACGAGGAAACTCACGCGATCGATGCTGCTGGAGCTGTTGCATCGCCTAAGGCTATCACTTCCCATGAAAGTATTGACAGTCGAGGACTTTCGCCCAGCGAGGATCAGGATAGCGAGCTCATGAAGCCTCGGCCAGCTCTACCATCTTTCGGCAGCGTGCGAAGGAACAGAGCCATGAGCCCGGAAATGCCTGAGAAGGTCACTGAAGTACCGCCTGAGCGCGAAGGTATCAGCAGCGATCATGCTATTGGTGGTATCATCAGCTCGGCGCAGAAGATCACGGGTAATATGGCTGATCCTTTGCCACCGGATGTGACCAGCAAGGATCCTTCTGGCGCGATTAGTGACGAGAGCGAGGACGACTCGGCTTTCCGTCCGGACTCGACGAGTACGCCTTCGAGACTATTACCTGCTGGTACGCAACCTGTACAGGCGCGACGAGTATCCGTGGACGAGCTAGAGCCGAAAGCTAGGGATTTCGCTCCTCAGCTCGCCGCGCCACAGCAGGCAGATGAGGTTGTCCCGTCTATCAAATTGCAGCCGCCTACTCCTGGCGATGAAGCTGGCAAGCAGCTGGGTGTCGAAGCAGAGCAATCTGTAGATCGCGTCATGGGCGAGCAGAAGTCGGCCGCTCCTGAGCCGGAGATTCAACCGAGGAGAAGTCTGGAGAGATTCGTTGTGCCTGGTGGTTGGGCGGAGGAGCACAGCGATAGTAAGACTGTTGCTGCTGCTGGGTCTGGCCCTGCTACGGTGACGGCTGCGCAGCCGAAGGTTCAGATCAGTGAGCCCGTCGCCAGTAGGCCGCTCGATCCTTCACCGATACTGGATCCTGTGGATGAGGAAAGCGATGATAGTGCCGCTTTCTCCGACGCGGAAGAGGATCTCTCTTATCTGGACGATGGTGGGTTCGCTAGTTTGGACGCTATAGTGGCATCACCTGTGTCGCCTACGCGAGCGGAATTTGAGAAGAAGAAGAATGCAGAGTTGCCGGAAATTCCGACGACTACGCGAAATGCAGAGCCGTCTCAGTCTGCTGAGGAGGGCGGAGATGGTTGGAGTGCGGCTACGGCTTACTGGAGCAAGCTTAGTAGACAGCAGAGAGATCAGATCGAGCGGGAGCATTTTAGTGACGATGATGAGCCGCGGGCTGCGCCTGTGGGGGCGAAGACGAAGAAGAAGACTGCGCTTAAGGCTACTCCGGCGCCAGCACCAGTACCGAGTGGACATACCAGGGAGGAATCTGGTGGTCAGTCGCAATCCTTTTCAAAGACCATGCGTGGTAGCGCTAGTCCGACGCCATCTGGTGGCGAAGGCGAGGTACATATGCGGAGGTCAATGCGGGGGAATACTGCTGGGGGTGGGACTATGCAGACGACCATGCGCGGTAACAATGCTGGCACAGGCACCATGCAGACGACAATGCGCTCGGGACCACCTCAACAACGACCACAATCCGCATACGTGCCCGCTCAAAAGCAAGATCCTCCCGCGCGACCGATGTCCGCTAGTGGGCCACAAGCCTCTTCACGCCTAGGTGCCAATGGCTTGCCTCTTTCCGCCGCACAACAGCAGTCGAAGCCGAATAGAGTCAGAGTTGACAGCGATGGGAGTGTTCGGGGTCCGGCGAGCCAGGAGTCCTCGTTCCCGAGGATGCAGGGTAGACAGGCGCCGAAATCATCAACATCACAGGCTACGCCAGGTGCTTATACTGCTAAGCTACAACAAAAGGTAACGAATGATTCGGACTCGGAGAGTAGTTTCAAGAAGAAGAAACGGGTGTCACAGACCGCGGGTGACTCGAGTGGTCGCTATAGTATGAAGCGTAGTATGCGTGCCGGGTCTGTGGGCGCGGCATCCATGGACTCGAGACCCACTAGTCCGACACCAGCTCCTGCCAGCAAGAGAGGTGGCGGGGCATTTAGTATCCGCTCCCTGTCACCTAACGGCGGAGGCGTGTTTGGAAAGGGAAAAGGCGAGAAGTTGAGGTCTAGCCTCCGGAGTGGAAGCGTGGATGCTTCTGCTTCCAGTTCGGGGGGCAGGATGTCGACGCTCAGGGGTAGTGGGCCCGCTCCTACCATGAGGAACAGTGCTCCGGCGCCTACGATGCGCTCTAAACCCGCTCCGACGATGCGCTCTGCTCCTAAAACGTCGGTGCCTGCGCCCGCGGCATCGAAGTCGAGGTTTCGGTCCCGTTTCGTGGACTCGGATGACGAGGATGAGCCGAGTGGTGGTGGTAGGGGCATGTTTCGATCTAGGTTTGCGGACTCGGATGATGATGATGATCGCGGGCCGGCTTCTCCTGCTCTGAGGCCTGTGAGGGGAATTCCAAGGAGGGCGGGGCAGGATGATGGCGACTCGACCGATTTGGAGGATGAGGATGATTTTGATGGGAAGGGGAAGGTGGGAAGAGGGAGGGGGAGTAAGGGGGGATTTGTGACGAGTCAGGCGGATGTGGAGAAGGCTATGGAGGCTGCGAGGAGGAAGTTGGGGATTGCTGAGCCCGGGAAGCAAGAGCAGCAGCAGCAGCAGGTACAGCGTCCTGCTGCTGCTACGGTCAATGAGGGTGGTGCGTTGGGTGCAGGGAGTATGAGGAAGACTGAATCTGCTGCAGCCAACGACAAGGCCGAAGCATCGCGGAAGGTTACCCGACCGCCTCTTGAGCCTGCTACGCCGGAGAAGAAGAAACGCAGTTTCATGGGCAGTATTCTGCGCCGGAACCGGAGCTCGCAGGCTAGTATCCCGCAAGTGCTACCGGGGAGTCCTGTGCCGCCTTCACCTGCTGTGCCAGCGCAGTATAAGGCTTCGCCTCTAGCATCAACTTCACCACCACAGCAGCAGCAGCAGCAGAGCCCTAACGCAGTAGCAGAGACCTCCGCACCAGGTACCCCTTCCTCCGTCCGCGGCGGGAAACTCGTCCGACGCAGTTCCGGCCAGCCAGTGATGACTCGTGGTGAGAGTTACATGAGTAACATAACCACCGCCACCGCTCCAGTCATGCCTTCGACTTTACACCATAAAGACAGCGATAACTGGCCCCTCGCTCCTCCCATCCCACCTATCCCTACCGATCTCAACAACCGGGACACCACGCGCCCTTCGACGTCAGACGGCGTGACGGGCGGCAAATCCCCTAATCCAGATGCGGTACGCCTGGCCAGGACAATGCGGCCGGATGCCGGGCAGCGACGTCTTTCTTCTGCTACGGCTGCTACGGGGGTTGGGTCCGTGGGTCGGAGCGTGGGGTTTGCGGCGGGGAGTAAGGAGGATGATGGCGGGGCTGGTGGTGGGGAGGGGAGTTATTTGAGGGACGGGTTGGATGGGACGTATAGTAAGCGGACGGGGAAGAAGAAGAAGTTTGGGATGTTGAGGAAGGCTTTTGGGTTGTATGATTAGGATGTCAGGGGTGGTGGTGGTGGTGGTAATGTGTAATCTTCGTTTTTCTTTGTCGATCATTGAGTTTGTTGTGTGTGTGAGGACTTGCGCGAAAGACTGGTTTGGATGGATAAGATGGACGGACAGACGGATGATACCCATTTGGATCGCGAGCCTTCAGGGAGCGAGGCTGGAAATAAGTATATACCTTCTTACTGCGTCTCCGCGACAAAATAGAGCCTCTCATATCCTTCGCTATCAGAACATATCTATCTTATTCCCTTCAGACCTTCTCCACAAACTCAACTGCTTCCTTCTCTGCTGCGGCCGGTGCCTCGACAGCCTTGACACGGCTCACGCCTATCTCGGCCAGACTGACTCCCTGCGCTCTCATATGCTCGAACTCGACGGTCAAGGCTGCTTCCTCGTTGCGCTCTTCCTGCGTCATTTCTGGTCCGAGGAAGACGAAGAGGAAGATGTAGGCCCAGACTGCTCCGGCGAAGATGGCGATGACGCGGCCTAGGTTGGTAGATACTGTTAGTATTGAGAAGTGTGGGGATTGAGTGGGTGAGGACAAACCGTAATCGTAGCGTTTGACACCGGTTTTGGTGGGTGCGAGAGGGAATCGCTCGCCAATCGTGGCTTCGATTGTTGAAGCTGCTGAGGAGGCGAGGTTGCCTAGCTGGTAGCTCAGGCCGTAGATGAACGAGCGTAGTTCTGGTGGGCTGAGTTCGACGAGATATACCTGGAACGTTGTAAGCTTGACCTGGATCTAGGTATACTAAAGCTTTCGTGGACATACTGGGATTGGGCCCCAGGTGCCACCAACAAAGAACTGCTCGAAGAACACGGTGGCGATGAGGTAGTCGCTGCGAACGAAGACGTAGGAGGGTATGAGTGCGCCGCCGAAGATGCAGCCAATCATCATGGTGAGACGGCGACCTGTGAAGGTGCTGACGTAGCCGAGTGTGGTGGAGCCGATCAGTGCACCGATTTGGCCGACGACGGTGACTGCACAATATGTTAGCATGGCTACGACTCGAGGGTCGTCGACGGTCCATGACCTACCGACTGTCGTCTGCGTCGCATTCATCCCGACCTGGTTTTTAAGGAACGTCGGGTAAAGATCCTGAGTACCATGTGAGATACTGTTGAAGCCCGCCATCAGAACGACCATGTACCTACTCAGGGTGTCAGTCGCGGTTTCCTTACTATGTTTTCTAGACAATCTCAAGCTTACACAAACAAGAACCAGTTCTTCTTCATGGCATAATTGGCAGCCTTGAGGAAGGCACGCAGCTCACTTGTCTTTTGGTGCTCGACGCCTGACTTTTGTGCTTCTCTTGCATCGCGCTCGGCTTTCGCGACTTGGAAGCTGTTCGTTTCGGGCGAGAGGAGACGCCAGATGATGATGAAGACTGGTGGACCTGGAGACGGTTAGCATACCACGAGATGTTTGAAGTAGTAGCATACCTGCTCCGAACCAGAAGAGGCTCCTGTGACGATGCATTCATGTCAGTCGTCTGTGCAAGAGACGATAATCGGAACAAGCTCACCTCCAACCATGAGGCGTCGTCGGTACCAGGGCACGATAGAAGACCGCAGCAAGCAGGTAGCCCACAGCGTAGCCCTGCTGAAACAGACCTGACAGGATGCCACGAGCATCATACGGCAAGTCTTCCAACGCGGTGGCTGCAGCCGGACCCAATAAACCCTACAGGGATGATTAGCCATGGAGCTGCGAGACTGGCCTGCTTTCACTTACACCCATAGCAATCCCGTATAGGCTACGGACGGCTAAGAACTGGCCTAGCGACTGGCAGAATCCTGACGCCAGCTCAAGGACGATGAAGGCGCACAGATTGGCAATCATGATCCACTTGCGTCCGTAGCGGTCGCCGAATGAGCCACTGATCAGAGCGCCGAGCCATCTCAGCATAAGTGTGACCGTGATGCCCTGAAGAAGTCAGCCTGGTCTCCTTCATCGATGTAGCCACGGCACTAACCCACGAGACAGCCGAGGCCTCCTTGTCGAACTCTTTCGCGATTTCAGTCACACAGAGGCTGACGGTGAAGAAGTCGAAGGCTACATGATTGCAACCAGCATATCAGCCCGCGTTCTACTATACGATCGGCTGTACAATGTACTCACCATCCCAAGCCCAAGCCGCGAAACCAATCAAGAACATGTTCCACTAGGCATTGTTAGCAATGAATCGAGCCTCCGTTATCGTGGCTACCTACTTGATGGCCGTCAAGCTGGCGAAGCACAGCATATGGATTCTTCAGCTTCGTCTTCGGCGGCTTCAGGGAAGTGAAACGAGCCGGGAAATAGTGGCGTATCTGTCTGGCCGAGTAGAACCATCCTGCTTCCATGTGGTTCCTCATGATGGCAATCGATCGTCGAGTCGTCAAACAGTGGTCAATTAGGCTCGTCTAGTCGGTCCTAGGTCGGATGTGATGTTCCTGATCAACTGCGGTCGGATCAAATCGTTTGATGGAAGTAGCTGGGGAGGAGCTATCCAAACCAGATACTGACGGCATGGCCATCTATATGCCACAGATAGCAGCTGAAGGTCGAGCGCCGGTACATGTGTACCACACCGTCCACCCCGGTCGCGAGCATCCAGTACGACGGAGTCTCGTGTCCATGGAGCTTGCACACCCCTGCTTCTTACAAGGAGAGGTTGCGTCGTAGATTGGCTGTCGCGTTTCGCCCGCGGATAAAGGAGGGGCAGGCGTGAGTGACAAGGAGTGTTCCCGCATAGACAAGAGTACTTGGTACAATAGCTCATGATACAAGCCTTTTCCCCGCAGCATTGACTGAAGCCTCGCATCGCCTTCTGCTCGAGAGGAAGGTAGTCTGCCAGAGCCTCCGGATATCACGGTCTGGGCATCGCAATCGTTGGCGCGTGCATTCTGCGCTGTCCCGCCTAAATTGTACAGGCACGAAGTCGACGTCGTCAAGGCCGTCTTTGCATTGACCATCCATAGGAGAGGTCACTGCTCGTGCGGGGAAAGGCGGACAGTCGTGGGAAGCAACAGGGATGGTTCAGATATCAGCACAACAGCAAGCCGGCGTCACAACAGACACTGCTTAGGAGCTTAGAATTGAGCCCGAGTATCGAGCATAATGAGAATGTATAACAAGGCGGCAAGGAAAGCCGACGAGCGATATGATCTCCACTCCAGAACATCTTTAACCTCTAAACAGACAGTTGGTTGGTTGTGATGTCATAATGTATTACATCTATGCTCACTGTGCAGGAGAAGAGATCTATACATATACAAAGATCATAGCAAGCAAGATTTGCTTGAACACATCCATGCATGCGCCATGCCATACACAGAAATCGCCGCCTGCTTCGTAATGACGGGGCACACCTCAAGTAACGCCCTGGACTCCATGCAACCACCATAAAATAAAAACCTACCGCCCCCCATCCTTAACCCTCTCAACAACAACCTCCACACTCGTCTCATTTTCCCCCCTAACCTTCGCCCCTTCCCCCACAGCCTCCGCCTCACCCTCACCATCCCCATCATGCTCCTCCAACCTCTGCCTCATCGCAGCCTCCTCATCTCCCTCCCCACCATCCTTTCCACTCCCCTTCCCAGCCTGCGTCTCCTTCCCCCCACTCATCTGCCACTCCATCAACTTCGCAAACGCCCCTTCCTTATCCTCCGACAACACCTTATAAGCCCCCACCTGCGCGACCCTCCCATCCGATCCAATACAGATAATAGTATCACTGCGCTGGATCGTAGAAAGACGATGCGCGATAGAGATTGTGGTGTTGCTTCCCTCGAGCATCCGATGCAGAGCCTGATTGACCAGGGTCTCGGACTCGGCGTCCAGGGCTGAGGTCGCTTCGTCCAGGATGAGGATATCCGGGTTCTTGAGCAGGGCGCGGGCGATGGCGATTCTGTCAAAACAATGTCAGTGCCATTACCATTACCATTACCATGAGTCCCACCACCACCTCTACAAGTCATCATGGATGTGTAACATGAGACGGCTTACCTCTGTTTCTGCCCCCCACTCAACTGCGTCCCTCTCGCGCCCGCGAACGTCTCCAATCCCTCCGGAAAGTCCGAAATAAACCCACAATTCGCCTGTCTCGCCGCCGCCACAATCTCCGCCCTTGTGGCTAGAGGTCGTCCATAAGCAATATTCTCCGCGATCGTGCCACTAAACAACACGGGCTCCTGTCCGACATATCCTATCTTCCGCCTCAATTGCTTAGCGTTCATCGTCGAGATATCCGTGCCTCCGATCTTAATCGTTCCTGCCTCAGGCGTATAGAAGCGGAGCAGAAGAGAAGCTACTGTCGACTTCCCTGCTCCTGATGGAGCGACAATAGCGACATTACTCCCCTGCGGAATGGTAAAAGTAAGATCATTGAAAATCCTCACAGCTGGCCGGGTCGGATAAGCGAACGCCACATCCTTGAACTCGATACTGCCTTGTGCACTCTTCACCGCATGACCAATCGTAGGCGAAATCTCACTCTTACGATCCTGCAGCTCGAACAACCTCGATGCCGCACCCACCCCTTTCATCAGCTCGCTGTAGAAGCCACTCAGGCCGAAAAGCGAGGACCCGGCGTAACCGGCGTACATGAGGAAAGAGGTCAAGTCCCCGATCGTGATGATGCCGTCGCGGACCATACCGCCTCCTACGTACAGGAGGGCGAGGAACGTCATATTCCCCGCGAATCCAGAGGAGGCGAAGAAGGTGGCGCTGATATATGCTTCCTTCTTTCCCAAGGCGAAGATCTTTCGAACTTGGTTGTTGTATCGATGCACTTCCTGCTGCTCCCCTGCAAAAGCCTGCGAGGTCCGGACATTGCCTAGCCGTTCCTCAGCAATTTTAGTCAGCGTCCCGAGATTCTTCTGGATCTTGCGGGATAAATTTCGGATCGCGCGGCCGTAGAAGAAGGCGCCGATGGCGACGGGCGGGAAGATGAGTGCGATGACGCCGGTGAGCTTAACGGACATGTAGGCCATTAGAGTCAAGCCCGCTGTAGCGGAGACGAGACTTCGAAGGCCATCGGAGACGTTCTGCGTAATGCTTTTGCCGACGATGATGGTATCGCTTCCTAATCTCGAGATCAGGTCACCGACTCGGTTGGCATCGAAGAATTCGGCGTTTTGGATGAAGGTGCGTTTGAAGAGCTGACTGCGCAATTTCGTTACCACTCTCTCGCCGACAATTCGGAGTAGCACGATCCGGCCATAATTCGCACAAGCGCCTGTCGCCAACAGCGTACCCAGCGCCAGGAAAAACTGCTCCTGGCTCAGACCGAACAATTTCCCGTCCTCACTACTCGCCGCATCTAGGATCTTGCCGATGCTGAATGGCACGCTCATGGCGATGGAGCTCCCGAATAGCAGCAAGACTACCGCTGCTCCGAGTGTCGCTCTCTCGGGCCAGGCGATCATGAGCAGACGGCGGACTTCCGCCCAGCCGCCAGACTTGTTGGCGTCGCCTTCTTTGGTTAGCTTGGCGCTGAGGTTGACTTGCGAGGCTTTGTTGGCCCGTTCCGTGCGTTTGAAGCCGGAGAGTTCGTCGTCCTCGTCGTGCTCGGCTGGATCGGTAGTGGAGGTGCGGACTTCATCCCGGTAGCTCTTGGATTGCTGGGTGGTGGTGACTACTGAAGCATTTTGGGTTTGTTTCGAGGTGGTTTGGAGTGCTCGTCTTGCTCGCTGGGAGATTGATGAGGGCCGTAGTGTAGGCCGTGGTGGAGGTGTCGTCGCAAGACGTCGCGTAGATATTCGTGAGGTTGGAGTATTGCTAGCCACCCACCTCGCTCGCCCAGCTACCTCAGGCTGTATACACTGTCGTATTCTTGTGGTGAAAAGAGCTCCATTGCCCATACTATCCCATGCCCGATGCGCCAATAAGCGTGAGCCCGGAAGAGCCGCCATGCTTCCTCGCTACCTGCTTCCACCAACACAAACGCCTTCCAAGACCGTCTCTCCCCACTCTAATGTCTTCTCTAGCTACCAATCGTAGCAATTCAATCCTCCGTCGACCGCATTCATCATGCCATCCAGGCGCTGCCCCCTCCTTAGTATTTCAGCCTGCTCCGATGCGGCACGAGTTGCGATGCCAAGATGCTATGGCTCCAAGGCTTGCAATCCAGATGAATCAAGCTGTGCGAGTTCCAATAGCGTTGATGTGTACATGTACAGTACTGTATCGCAAGATGGATTCAGACATATTTCAGCCGGGGGAGCTTCACTGACCTCACCACATCGGCCCGTGCCTCATGCATAAACGCGGGAGAGCTTGGAAAGCTTGTGCGCGCGCTGTCACGTGACTCGGGAAGATATGTACGAAGCATGATGTGGAGCACGCATGAGGCGCAGGGCCGAGATCGCAAGAGAGTCATGGGCAGCGGTATACTTCACTCATCCAATATAATCATACAAAGCTAGCAGTCTACACACCTACAAGCCTTCTGATCAAGTCAACCTGACCTGGCCCGTAGATACTGGCGCCCCCCGAACTCCCGACCGCCGTTCGACACCTCCTGCGCAAAGGGGGAATGTATCAGACCATCCTGCGATTTAGAAGCCGATCACTCGGACTTCAACATTGGACACTTCCACTGCTACCTAACATAACCCCTAATACCCCGTAGCCCCCGGCGCCTTCTCATCCTTCCTCAAACTAACCAACAGCTCCCTCATCCTCGCCTTCCCCGTCCCCGCCGCTCCACCCCCACTCCCCTTCCCACTCAAATCCACCAACTTGGCAATCCTCTCCCAACTCGTGCCTCCGGACGTAGTATCCTCCCTACTCTTCAAGAACTCCTCGGCCTCCTTCCGCGTAGCAGCGACAGTTTTATCCTTACGATTGTTGTAGTTCTCGTAGAATTCATCGATGGCTTCTTGGGCGGCTTTGACCGTTTCGGCTTTTTTGGAGGAGGAGATTTCGTCGCGGCGTTGGATGGCGAGGTCGCGGCGGGAGCGCCAGTCGCGAATGACTTGTGGTTCTTCGTCGTCGTGGCCTGAGGATGAGGAGAACTGTCCGTTGTTTTCGCCTGCACGGTAGGGGAGTGTGGAGCCTGTGACAGTGCCGCCGGGTGCAACGCCCTCGTTTTGTGTGTCTACTGCGGGAAAGGAGGATTCGAAGTCGCCCATCATGTCGTTCTCGATTGCTGAGCCGCCGTTCGGTGCTGAGGGTGCGCTGTCCATTCCGCCGCCTAGGAGATCGTTGTCGTCATCATCGTCTGCGTCGGCTACTGTGGCGGTGTTGTCGCTTGGGGTGGAGAATTGATGGGCGTCTTCTCCCAGGGCTGCGCGTTCGCGGGCCAGGAAGTTGGAGGGTTCATCGTCGGAGGTGGTGGGGTGGGATTGGGGTTCTGTTTGGCCTGGGATGGTGTTAGTGACCCCTCTTCTTCTTGGAGAGGTTGATGGTGCCGTCTCACCAGCATCGAAGTCGTCTAGAGATGGGAAGCGGTCGGCCATGTTCAATGTCTCCCTCCTGGCTTGTCAAAATGCGTGGATAGTCGAGGAGGTTGTGCTGTATCTTTCCAACGGTCGGTGGAAGCTCTGATTGATGAGGTAGTAGTTATGAGATATACGTTGTTTGCGCCTGACATGTGCCTACTCAATGGCGATGCCACTTAGTCGTGGAAGGGCGGGAAGACCCGAAGGAAGCTCGTCCATCTAGCGCGAACCTTTCCAAAGCCCGCGACACAGCTCCCAACACTACTTCTGCCCTCACGACAAACCGCCCACATCCACAAACACCTCTCTAGATGTACTACAACACATTCCACGAGTAAAGAGAGTCACCGCCATCATGGCCTACACAACCGACGCCGTCCGCGCCAAACTCTCCACCCTCTCGGAAACGCAAGAAAGCATAGTCAGCACAGCGCAATGGCTCCTCTTCCACCGCCGCCAAGCCGACCGCACCGCGCAAGCCTGGCTCACCGTCCTGCAATCGCACAAAGAAGCCGCCAAACGCCTCAACCTCATCTACCTCGCCAACGAAGTCGTGCAGCAGTCGCGCGCGCGTGGGAAGCAGGATTTCCTGCTCGCGTTCGAGCCCATTGTGGCCGAGGGCACGGCGTCGGCGTATAAGGGGGCGAATGAGGGGACTCAGGGGAAGATCAGACGGGTGGTGGAGGTTTGGAGGCAGAGGAGTGTTTTTGAGGGGTCGATTTTGGATGCGGTGGAGGCGAGGTTGGGGGAGGTGGATAAAGGGAGGAGTGCGAAGAGTGGTGGGAAGTTGGGTGGGTCGTTGTTCGGGGGCGGGGCAGGGAGTCTGCCGGCGGAGCTGGAGGGATTGGGAAAAAGTCAGGCTGTGCTGACCAAGGCGGATGTGGCCAAGGGGCCTGCAGTGGATAGTGCGGAGAAGGAGTATGCGAAGATGACGGATCCGAATGCTACACTACCTACGCCACCGGTCCACGCTGCAAGGCTTAGTGCGCTGATGCGGAATTTGGCTAGTGCGCAGGGGGCGGTCGAGGCGAGTATCAGTGCGAGGAAGGAGTTGTTGCTGGGGCTGGAGAAGTTGATGGCGAGTGCTCGGGCGAAGTTGGCGGAGGATGAGCAGACGGCGACGATTTTGATGGCGAGGAAGGAGGGGATCGAGGTGCAGAAGAAGGAAGTGGAGGATGGGATTATGAGGGGTCTTTCTAATCCTTCTACGCCTGCTGTCACGACTCCAGTCTCTGGCCACTCGCATACCGCTGCAGGAGCGAATGGTGATGCCTCCGCACCCGAAGCAGAAGGCTTCACGCCTCCGCCCGATGTTGAGGCCTTTACGCCAGATATGCCGGGTCAAGTGGGCAAACTGGAGGAAGACCTCGCACCTTTGATCGCAACAGACGATGATCCTATGGCGATAGATCTCAAACCCGAGTCAACAGACGTCAAGTACGAGTCCCTCGATCAGACCTCACTCGAGCCAACACCCTCCTCCCTGGATACGATGAAAGTCGAGGACACCACCCCAGTTTCTACGACCCCCTTGCAAATGAATGGAGGAGACCCACGCATCCGTCAAGCTTCATCTGAGATCCCGACAGCAGCGACGAATGGTAGCGCGGGAGATCCAAGGCTCAAGCGTAGGAAGATGAGCCATCCCAAGCCTGCGGAGAGCGATGTGGGGACTGATATCTTTGCTTCGGGAGGGATGGGCGAGGTGGGGGTGGATGAGGCGGGGATTGAGGCTTTGCTTGCGCAGTGATTGAGTCGCAAAGTCTTGAGAAGAGATCTGGGGAGATTGTTGGGAAGAGATCTATGATGTATGTCGACTCGCCACGCAAGGCTCGGTGGCGAGCCTGAAGGCAGTGGAAGCATTTAAGATGCCCCCTTAGCGGGCTCCTTGTAAGAGAAACTCGCTTGTCCTCACAAAGTCATCTTCTTCCTCCCGCGACCGTGTCTTCCCTCCGTTGATGGTGAGCGGTCCTGCCGAGGGAAGCTTACTCGCGAATGGTTATTCTTCCCACGTTGGTCGCAGCAATCGATGTTCTTCCAACAACTCTTCCTATATTCACGCTTCTATCATCGCTCGGCCCGTGAAGGGAGAGGGACCAGCGTGTGGGGTTCTTTATACTTCATTGCCAACGTCACTACACCATCCGAGATGGAGATCGGAGTCTGTACTTCTTGCCCTGACGATTCGATACAACGTGAGGAACACTTCGAGCGACTCAGCGCAGGCAGGCGCACAATGTCCAGCCTCGATGCCAGCTCTACCACGGAGACGCTCGACGGCAAACACGTCTTCGACTTCTTTGCCGTCAGCCGCGAGCTGCGCAATATGGATTACAGCGAGCTCATGCACGACGTCTACCTCGCGCCCACCGAGGCACACGATGAGCTCAAGCAGATCGTCTACCTCAAGAATGCAGCATTGCCTCCTCTGCTTTCGATCTGCCGACAATTCGGAACGGAGTATGAAGAAGAGGTTCTGCGTAGCACAGTATGCCAACTCGTCACTCTCGCTCCAAGCGACGGCAGCTCGTTAGCACCGCTAGCTCATCCTCTCTTGTCGGGCTCTCACTAGCAGGAAGAATGCCTTCGCAAGAATTACTACTCTCGCACTCAACCTTGTCGGTTTTACGAAAGACCATACGCCAATTTGTTCAAGAATGTAGCCTGCCCGAGCTGATACGCGCTGGTACAGAACTTCTGAATGGTATGCAGACTGCTGTACACTCACTGCTCGAATTCCTGCTTAGCATCCACAGACTCGACGTGTACTACTGCTTCCAGCTGCATTCATCTAACGAGGACGTTGCTACTGGCCTCGGAGATCTGCCAGCACAAAGTCGACGGTGGTTTGACGAGGACTTCGAGCGCAGGGCACAACGAGCAACATCTCCAGACGAAGTCGCACGCCAAAGAAAGGTCAATTTCTGGCTGACCTTGTCCGGGAAATTGTGCAGCGTATCCTCAGTGGAGGACCTGAACATATAGAAGATGATGATATTTTTGAGGCGGTGGAAGACGATCCGTCGAACCGTGTCATAAACGCGACTGCCCCAAGTGACGGGCCGTATGTCTGGCACGGGCTTGAAATGATGGCTATGCCGAGCGATAGTTTTGACTTTGATAGCTTGTATTCAAAGTACCTCCGTCTGCCCAGGGAGGAGTGGGGTGAGCAGTGAATCGATCCAGGATGGCGCATCGAGCGCGTGCATCATGAAGCATGGTCGTAAGGCATACGTAGGTGTATGATGGACCGGGCGGAGGCATAATGTCAAGGTGTGCTGCCGGCGCTCAAGAATCAAGCATGCGGCGAATACCTTATTATGGAGGATAAATCTAGCTACAAGTCAATTCTGTACTTGAAGTGCCATCCACTTCACAACGCACATGGGTAGCTTTACCGATGCGAGCGTGCTCTTACACTTCTGATCGAAGTCGCACCTCAATCCATAGTCAGTGGGCGGGTTCCTTTCGAGTATCAGAACGAAGACTAGAGGATAAAGACAGCGACAGCGAAACCTATGATGGCAGGATCTAGATCTGAGTGTGTCGTCAACAGACGTAGTAAAGCATGCATTTTTGCCCTTACTATCGTCGTCTACGTCGCTGTCTTTGTGGTCTGTCATTTGCTGTCGGTCGTCCTCGTCACTGTCGTTCATCGTCGTTATCGTCGGTCGTCGTCGTTCTTGGCGTCCACCGAGCGTCAAAAGTCGTATCTCGTATTTCGTTTCTGTTCTACATGATCAACTCCATTGCTCAGATAAGAGACCACCCAACACCTCCAAATCGACATCAAGTTTACACAAGTGTCTCGAAGAAAGCTGCGTCTTCCTTGTTGAAGTATGATGCTAGTAGCAACATGGTGCCGCGAGTATAGACGCTTTGGGACGACCTGGTACCGCCAGAAAACCACTAGTAGGACAATACTAGCCAATACCACCTATTGCTCGGTGAAGCTAGATATCACTGTCTAATACTATTTAATGCTGTGCAATGCAAAGATTGCCATTAAACTTTAAGTCGACCTTGTAGTGAAGTGCTGCTCAGCCATAGAACGATGACCCATGCTTCCAGGCATCTTACGTCCATGCAAGAAGCGCGAGGTAGACTGAAATATAGAAAGCGAGCATATACATGTGTAAAGAGAGCGTCTGTGCCCAACCAAATCCGTACAAATTGGCCACTCTCGTACTTGGGTGAACGTCCAGCAAGGTGTCACAGCAGCGAGGAAGGCGGTCGCAATGCTGCGCGAGGCAAGAAAGCTCTTTTTGCCTATAGCCGGTACAATCTTCGCATCTCCAGGCTCGACTTTCTAGGCGCATGTTTGCCCCGTGCATACCCTTGTCAATATTGAATGAGAGACTATGGCATAGTTTCAACGAGGTTTCATGGAGGCATTTGCACGGGTTGCAATGTGGTACGACTAAGTACAATCTACGATGATGGGGCTGGAGCAAATGACATGACTACCGTGTAATGCTCGAATGTATTAGAAACTCTATGCGCGAGCCTCAAACCGGCTGATGGTCGCGATGGTAGCATATTGTCTTCGAAACTTATGGTGAATTGACATAATTTGGACGAAGTACGCCACTACGGCGTACGGCACGAGAGCTGGTCCAGGGCGGTTGTCACGCCTGTTCGAAAGGACGTCTTTCTGATTAAGTCTCGGACAGGTACAGCATTATTTATCGCAGGCACGTCGTGGTGAAAAATGACGATCGCCATTGGACCAGAGATGAGGGTGGCTGACAGACCATGGGGAGTGAATACCAGCGCCTCTGATGCTGGCGGCACCACAGATGTCATGCTCGTAAGTGCCGGCATGTGTACAGCACGTACAGTTTCATCGTCACGATCGCAATGCACCTTATCGATTTGCCTAAGTCGCTCCGTTAGGCCCAATCGTTAGAGATGGGCAGCGTGCCTGACGATCACTGCCGCGTGGCTGCCATGTGTGAACGCGAACAGGGTACAGATTTAACCTGCTTCCAGAATGACGACGAGGCCTTCCGAAACGCGCCTCACCTTGCTGTTGATTGCCATATGAATCAACCGTTGTCGTCATTGTATGGATTAGATAAGCTCCCGGCGGCGTGGTTCAGATATCGTCAGTGGATGCTTATCCGACATGCTGGCTCGGAGAGTCTAACCTAGAAAAAATCTAATGCTTCCGTGCCTTCTTCTTCCGACCAGCTTATTGACGGAATGCGATAGTGGTGTTAGCACCTCAACGAACCACGTTCATATTTGAAGTCTGATATTCCAGCTCGCTGAGTGGTGGGGTGCAAAGAGCTTGTTGCAGTAGGCAGAGTGCTACAGTAGATAGAATTGATGGCTTGCAGCAGCTTGCAGGTGTTAGAGCTGCCTTTCTGAGCTTCCGACGAATCGAGCAGAAGAGAGGAAAGATTAAATGTCCTTCCACCCAATGATAACCTCAAAGGCCGATACAGTACAACGACTGGCTCGCGCTTCCGTTGCGCCTGGCACGCGAGTGAGACCGGGATCTATAGTACACTGCGCACACCAACCCAAACTCGTATTCCACCAGGCCTGCAACGAGTAGGAAACACATCCCACACGATCCCAGTCCAACCCATGCAGGCACAGCAAAGCACGATGATGTCAGACGCAACAAGGATCTGTCTCGAAGCCGTCTGGAAATGACTCTAAGGCGAATCTCTTGCAACTTTTGTCGTCTTGGCAGAAAAGAAAACAGACTTCCAACGGATTTTACAATAGCGGCGGCCCGCGCGATGGCTCTTGGGAACGACCTAGGCTGGAACTAACGTCTGTTCCTGTCAATCCATCTGCACTTAGGTAAGAAGAACATTGTCCTGCTACATCATCGTTGTCGTCTGCTTTCCGTCGCTGTGCACATTCAACTTGTACATCCACCACACCTTTTCGTATCTCGCTCGCGCCACTGGCTGCGATCTTTGCGACCTATCGTACTGCAAGCCGCCGCATTGGCGTATCACGAACCGTACTCTACCCAACACATTCATCACCTTGCATACGAGTATTTCTGGTTGGTGACACGGGCTGTGGTGTGACTGGTCTGGACTGGATCGAGAGGGCAACACATGCAGTTTCGTACGAGCAGCGAAGCTAGCTTGAGAAAGGACATACGGCTCTGGAGCCCTCTCTCATATATTTGGATCTGCTGGTCATATTCCAACTCAAATTGAAATAAAGATATCACTCGCAAAGGCGGTAAGGAAGTTCCTCCAATAAATGCGCGCAGGAAGTGCGCCGGCACGCGCTGATGGGAAATGTCTCGTGCATATCAAAGGCAAGCTCTGACATGAGTCCAAAGCCATGTTGAGCCATCTTCTAATACTGAATTCAGGGAATATCACATAGCTGTGATCGGATCGGGAGGAGTCGGAAAGAGCTGTTTGACAGGTACGACCTCACCATCAAAGTTTCTATACCTTCCGGAGGTCCAAACATGCTAACACTATCTACCCAGCCCAATTCGTTCAAGGCGTCTTCATAGAAAGTTATGACCCAACAATCGAGGACTCCTACCGCAAACAAATTGACGTCGATGGCCGCCAAGTCATGCTCGAGATCATGGATACAGCTGGAACCGAACAATTCACTTCCATGAGAGAGTTCTACATGCGGGACGCCCATGGTTTCCTCCTCGTCTTCAGCATAACGTCCATGTCCTCTCTACACGAACTGGCCGAGCTAAGAGAACAGATCGTTCAGATCAAGGGTGGAGATCCACAGGTGCCGATTGTGTTGGTCGGGAACAAGAGTGATCTAGAAGAAGACCGGGTTGTGAGCAGGAGTAAAGCTTTCCAGGTCTCGCAGGCGTGGGGAAATGTGCCATACTACGAGACTTCTGCCCGACGGCGACAGAACGTCGGCGAGGTGTTTGTGGACGTCTGTCGGCAGATCATCAGGAAAGATATGAATGCTCGACAGCGACGGCAAGGTGGTGGTGGCTCTGGAGGGGGGCCATCGGGTATGGAGAGGTATGGCGGTGGTGATAGAAGTTCGAGAAGGAAGAAGAAGAGGCGGGATTACGATGACTACAATCACAGGGAAAGACGGAGTCGGTGTACGATATTGTGATACCAACGACAGCTAGTTTGGACAAAACGGGATCTGTTTTGGGCTACACCATGGATCAGTGGATATACGTACGTTATAAGTGGTACGCGGAAATGGCTGATTTCTACAAAATCGAAGCATGGCCTTGGGGCGAAATCGCGCATCCTACTCACACCAAGGAACATGCATCTGGTGAGAGGAGATGATGCGGCACCTCTGAGGGAGCTGGACCCGATCAGGATGTTGTACTGGGAGTATCGATAGCGTGCTCGATACTCACAGAGTACAAAATGAGGGGAGATAGGTGGTGTGCTCGAGACATCGCTGCCAAGCCGTGGAGCCGACTTCACGCCACCACAATCTCATTTCGTCTCTAAGCAGCATAGACTCTCTCTGCAACATCTTACACGATCTCAAGATCATCATCCACCGCCTCTCTGATCTCCCGCTCCCTATTCCTGGCCACCTCACACGAATCACAAGGACAAATCCAATAAGCATGGTGTCGCTCGCCCATCCCAATTCTGACCAGGCCCTCTGCGCGCGGGACTTGGACACCGTTGTCCTCCGCCTCAGTCACTTCCTTCTCCTCAACATCCTCCTGTCCCAGCCCACCAGCACGCCCTTCACACCACTCAGCTCGCAAACGAGAGCAATTCTCACATCCAGCGTTGAGCTGGTACTCCGCCATCTGCCGTCTACGCTCCAGCACATTGACCTTATACCTCCTAATGCCTCGCAGACAATCAACCGGAGCTAAAAGCCCTCTTAACCAGGAGCTCGCGCTCTTAACCCTTTTCCGTAGGATGTTGACTTCCACCGTCCTAGCCCGAAGCATACGGGCACAGCATTTCTCGCTGCAGCAGAAGTCCGCTGTGATTATACGTCCACCGTACCTGGGCCTCTTGAACTCTTTGCAAGGTCGACGCTTGCCACGGTACGCATCCTTCTTGCCGACTAAATAGCTGTTGGAGCAATACCGGAAGACGGCCTCGCGTCTGTCTTGGGGTCGATCGCAGCATGGGAAGTAGAGGCGTTCGAGACGGTACGAGGACAAAGAAGACCTCGTCTTCATTTGCCCATGCTGTTGGACAACCATTGTCCTATGTGCGTGGACTGCAAACCCGCCGCGCTCATTCTCAAGCTTGACGGACAAAGCCAACCCCTTCCAGACACCAAAGTACCACTAGCGATTGGCATTGCCGCCGTTGTCATTGGGTCCACCACCACCCCAGGCCAGCGCGGCGTTCAGAGCTGCACCGACCATCTGACCAGGACCGCCACCGCCAAAAAACACTGGTGGCAGCATAGGCAGCGGCATAGCTGCTTGCATATTGTGCGGATCGATGGCGCCTTGACGAGCATAAGCGCAGCCCCGACCATGGCCGGTCTTGCGAATTTCGACGTAGTCGAGCTCGCAGCGCCAGCAGAAATTCGTATAGCATTGCGTACCTAGGTATCGAATGTCAGCCTTGGAGCACGGAGCACAGAACATTAACGGCAGGATTTAAGGACACTCACAAGTAACCATATCGCACCCGCCATTCTTCTCGATATTCTTCTTGCACTTGGGACAATGCTTACACTTCTTGCCGATGAGAGTCTCAGAAGCCTTCTCCTCAGTCTCCGTCTGACGCTTCCTGCGGCCTTGGTACTGGGCACACGTCTCACTTTCATGATAGGGGCGGTCGCAGGACACACATGCGGAGGCGTTGCAAGTGTTGCACATGCAGATGGTGTCCGAGTCGATCTCAGGAAGGGGCTTCTTGGGAGACTTGATGTGCGTGGTCCCATCTTTGGGGTGTGGAGTCTTCTGACTGCGCAGCTTGCGCTTGCCTGATTTCACATTGATGAAGCGCTCCTCATCCATGGCCTCGAGATCGATGGTGTTGGCTTCCTTGTTGGCTTTCCTGACTTTTTCCCAGGCCTCGGGACTTACAATAGCCATATCGTCCTCACCTTCCTCCTCGGTCTTCGTGCCGGTGACTTTCGGCTTAGCCAGTTCGGGATTCCTCCGCAACGGCTCATGCACTTGACCAGCACGACATTTGGGGTTCATGCACCAGCGCCACCCAGGCACTTTCTCTGCAATGCACGCCTCTCCATCTCAACGAAGCGCTGATACACCTTCGGCGCAGCAGCGCGTTGCACGTCCTCGTTGATCATGGTGGAGGGACATTGCGGGCAGCTGAGCTTATCATAAGTCGTCATTTCGAGCTGAACATTGACCCATTGTTTCACGCACGCTTTGCATGTGTTGATGAGATGGTCGCAGGACTCGGCGATGGCGTACTTGGGAAACGAGGATGCTGCGAGATTGCGGCCACACGTTGTGCAGTCGTATTTCAGTGGTTTCGGCTTCGGCTTTGGTGTCGCCTTGGTCCTGGTGATGCGACGCTTATTGTCCGTGACAGGCCGGTGGGTGGCGGTTGCTGGGGATGGCGCTCTCTTGTCAAGACGCGCACTGCAACGTGTGGTAGCTGCAGACACAGCGCCAGCACGAGTGACGGGCTTGCGAGGAGCCATGGCTGATGTAATAGGTGATCCAGGAACAGGCGGCAGGGCGATGCGAAGTTGTCGATTTCGACTGCCAATGCAGTCGCTATGGAGTACTGTGTAGATGAGCACACGGTTCCGAACTCAGGTCCAAGATGTGATAAGCAACCAGGTACCTCGAGCCGCGTTTGTTCTTGTGTTGCCTAGATATGATAGGTGACGGCGGCAATTCCCGCGTTTTACACATGAATCTGCGTTCATTCAACATGAAGGCAGGTGAAGCAGGAGTGTTACAAGGAGGACTGAGTGAAGAATACTGTCCTTAATCGCCTGCGTGCTTCGATAGTCTGAGAATGCAGCGTCCCATGAGGCGACCAGTGACGAGCTGTGGATTTTGGATGGCTTGAAAGCGTCCTCATCCTGAAGTTGGTGACAGGAGTCGCGAAGTTCTTGCGTGCATCTGTCATGCTGAAGGAGAGTGTCTTCCGCAGTATAATGTCATAGATCGCTTGTATAGTCGTCTTCGGGGACTCATGATTCGGAGATTGAGCTGCAGGATGTCGAGGAACTCAAGGGGGTGCTCAGTGCTTCACTTGCAGACACTAGAATGGACGCTCCTGCCTATTCTATGACTGTGCCTGCCGTGCCAGAAGAAAGCTTACCTGTGCTCACACACCAACGCTCGTGCTTCATGTTTGTGTTCGTACATCTCCTGGAGAGAGTTACACCTCGTTAACCTTACTTCACATCTTCTTCACCTTCGATGCTGCTCGTCGTCAAAGGCGATACATCTGCTTCCTGACGACAGAGGATCTGTAATCATTTGCTGGTCTCGTGTCTGGCCCACGGCGAGGAAATACGATTCAGCACTCTGGTAGCAGGACTCATGCTCCCTCCCGTGATCTTGGACAGCCAGGCTCAGGTGAAATGATAGGACATTCGTGCTTCACGCCAGCAATGGAACAGATCGAGGAAGTGAAGCAGTGCCACAATCTACAAAACCGTCAGTCGGCACGCGGAAGAGCGTTGATCGTGGACAAAGCTTCTTCTCAACGGCCGATCAGGAACGCGCGGCGAAGAACTCTGGTTGTGAGAATGCGGGTTCCTGCATCACTCCTTCTCATTGGACAAGTATTCTTTTCTTTGGACAACTCACGCACAATCAGTACTGGAAGTCGTAGCGTTTTTTGTTCACGGCAGCATATCGGACCAATTCGTCGATGTAGCGTAACGACGAAAAACACTCTCTTTATCTCAAGCCTTGCGCTTGACCCTGCTGCGGCTTAACGGTCGCCATCCACATCCGCATGACGCACGCCTTCTCGCGTTTTTCTCCTCCGCGCTTGTGATCAGCGCAGCCAAAATAGGATCATTATACCGCACCACCAATCACCGTCTGGTCTGCTTTACGGCTATAGGCGAAGTACACCTCCATGCGGCCCATGCGAAGACCCTCGTCGGGCCAAGACAGTATTAGGTAGTCAGTACGTATTTGCTTGAGCTGCTTGTGGAGGGTATACTTGACCAAGTACTTCTCCTGCTTGCGCTTCTCATTTTTACCATCTTCCATCTCGTTATCCATCCCTCTCTTTTGCGACAACATTCGAGAAAATCATCCTCTCTCACAGTCGTTATATTTTTGTAATATCTTCTACAATATGCGTTTCTCTACCATCGCTACTTTGGCTGCGGCCGCTCTGCCTTACGCCAGTGCCTACTGGAAGGGCTTTAACGTGGGAGCCAACAATGAGGATGGCAGCTGCAAGAGCCAACAAGATTGGGAGAACGCCTTCAACAAGCTGAAGAGCCTGCCACAGTACATCACATCGGTCCGTGTCTATGCCAGCTCGGACTGTGGGACTCTTGCCAACGCCGTGCCTGCGGCGCTCAACACGGGCACACAACTACTCGTGGGCGTCTGGACAGAAGATAGTGCACACTACGACGCCGAGAAGAACGCTTTGGCGGCTGCCATCCAGCAGTACGGGCACGACTGGATCGTAGCGATCTCTGTTGGCTCGGAGGATTTGTACAGAGGTGACACCGACGCCAACACCCTGGCCAACCAGATCTACGATGTGCGAGGTATGGTTCGCCAATGGGGTGTGAACCAGGACGTCGGACACGTCGATACCTGGACCGCGTGGGTCGACGACAACAACAAGGCTGTCATTGAGGCCTCCGACTTCATTGGTCTTGATGCTTACCGTGAGTCTATGCCTAAACCAACAATTACGTAATCTGCACATCGATGCTAACCCTTTGGTCTAGCGTACTTCCAGAACTCGAAGATCAGCGATGCCAGTGCCGTCTTCTGGTCCGCCGTCGACGCTACTCGCAACCAGGTCAACGCTGTCAGCCCTGGCAAGTGGGTTTGGGTTACTGAAACTGGATGTTCGTGAAATGAAACGATTGCACGTATGGTGAAGTACTTCCACTAACATCTTTTTAGGGCCCGTCTCTGGCCCCAACTACGGCGACGCCGTACCTTCTGTCCAGAACGCTCAGACATACTGGCGCAGCATTGCTTGCGCCGCGTTCGACTCCATCCACATCTTCTGGTACGCTTTCCAGGACTATAATTCATCGCCTTCCTTTGGTGTATTTGGCAGTGACGGAAATGCTATCTACGACATTATTCAATGCTAGATTTATGAACCCGGGCCCGATTGGCACTAAAGTCTAGTTGAAGCATAGCGATGGTGTTTTGGCGAAACTAGAGTCTTGGATTCTGATCACTCGCTACGATAGACTGTTGTATACATACTTTAGTGCTCCGACAGACATTTACCAAAGACGTTCACCATGTTTTGGTCTTCAGACCATAAGTGCTGGTGTCTGCGATGGAATAGCCAAATGTCACAACCAGGCAAGATACGCTGCCTGAAGCATTGAAGTCGGCAATGGTCGACTACCACAATCTTGTCCATTAATCGACGCCTTTTATCTCCATAACCATTCGCAACGTCTAGTGCACCGTAGCAAATGAATCAGTTTTGTGTTTCTGTCGCATCTAAGATTAGGACAACCACTCCACCGAAGTCCATTCCAGACATGAGCCAGCTCGACTACTTCACCACGAAGCTTCCAGCAGAGACACGCGTACTGATATACGAATTCCTGTTCAGCGACTCACGCTATGCCCGACGCCAAAGCGGTGATCGAACACCAATAGCAGCAATCATCTCAACATGTACTCTCATCAGTACTGAAGCTTTGGACGCTTTCTACAACCTCAAGACTGTCCGTCTGATGGTGTACCAATTGCGGAAAGCACTCTCGTCCAAGACTTTCTGCAGACACGTTCGCGAAGTGCAGATATATGGTTCTTATGACCCAGACGAGTCAAGGTCGTTGCATCGTGTGATACGCCAAGCATTGCGCCTACCCAAGCTTCGGTCTCTCATCATCGCGCTCGATATCTTGGCAGATCCTGACGACTTCGATACGGCTATACTCCCGCCGCCGAACGAGGGTTCGATGTTCATCGATGACTTTGCCGCGGAGATGGACTTTGGCAAGCTGACATGCTTTGGAGTTGGACGCTGTAAGTTGCCTCCTCCGCTGAACAAGGTAGAGACTGTCTATACGAAACTGGTCGAGCTGTGGCCGCATGTAGCTACTACCCTGAAGCCTTCAGTCGCTCTAATGCAAGCAGAAGGTCTCATTCGATCGTGGGAGCTAGGAGCTCACCCTGATGGTATAGATCATCCCACTACTGTGTGGTCCTGGGTCTCGCACACATCGTTCCCGGTGTGGCTCGCTCTACTACAAGCCACTATCGACCTTCCACACAACGACGACTGGTGGCAACGTGGCCTTGATGCCTACCTGAATTGCGTAATATTCGCGCCTGATCCTCGCCGTACACCTCCCGTACCTCTTCACGGACTGTCGCTTGAGACGGTAGATGAAAAAGAGTTGAGCTACTGGTCCAATATCTTTGCTTTCAAGCTTACTCGGTCCGTCGTTACGGTCGGACGTCCACAGGAGGATAGACAGGATGTGCGTCAGATATATTGGCCAGAAATCGATGGCCGTGATCCGATCGGTCTGGTCAAGAGCCGAGAGGTTCGGTCTTCGGATGCGGCATTGGAAGGCTGATGTTCAGAGCTGACTCAAATTCTTTCGAAATCGTGGGACAGTCTTGCAGGCCACCTTGGATACTGTTAGAGAATAAGTCCCTTCAGTCTAGTACTAGTACAGATGGTCAAGTACCATCGATGGCGATGAAATCGTGAGTCGTCCCACAATTTGTCGAATCGCCACAGTATCTCCTCCAGAAGAGCTTGGTGTCACGTCCTCGTGGCGCCATGATCGCAGGATCTCGCTCGGACAGTAGCACCGAATCGTCATGTATGTGGCAATGCATCAACTGTAGCACCGGAGTTGTCATAATGGAAGCAGTGACCGCGGACGCCAGCGGACAGCTTTAACAAAGCCAAAAATGAACTACTGTATAAGGTCATGAGCTAAACCTTACAGAATGATGAAGGCAGGCGTTCCACTACTATCGCGCGCGGTGAATGATCAATTGCCCGGTCACTGTTACACTACGGTATGTGCTAGGCAATGCCACGCCTAGCTATCGATTTCAATTGTCCGATTATGCTCAATATCCGCAGCCCTTGACGACCACCCTGCTTCCACACTCTCACGCGAATGAGCTTTTGGCTAACAAACTGGTGTACCCATCCTATACAGCTTTGCCTTTTGAACCGCCTCATCGTCACTTGGCAAACTGCTATTCCACGGCTGCATCGGCGGATGACACTTTTTTGCGTCTACTCACCATCCTCAAAGTCGACTCAAGAAATGCAAATCGCAGAAGATCTACAGTCATCACCACCCAATGTTGTGCGCCGCCCTGGCCATAGTGACATCCAGGGAAGTGTAGTCATGCTAGTATGAATAAGTATAATAACATCACGTCTGCTGTCACATTAGCTTCCAGATTGCACATCCTTCAGATTACCACATTCGCTTCATCCGTCTAAAAACGAGATACTCCCAAGCAGACCTCTCGAAGTTAGCAGACTACACAACCACCAAAATGCAATTCACACTCCTCCTCGCCACCATCTTCGCCTCGCTCGCTGTAGCAGCACCTGTAGGCAGCAGGACAGGATCCGCCCTGGTACCTCGTCAGTCGAGCGCTTCTGGCAGCGGCAGCAACAACGCTGGCTCGACCTCAACCAGCACAACGAATGGTGGCCTTCTCGGTGGTCTCTTAGTCGGTGGTAAGCACAAGTATCGCTTTCGCGGGGACCGTCAAGATAGTTGACCACATACCGCAGGTGCCGCCGCCGCATCCGAAGATGGCCAAAGTACAAGCTCCTCAAGCACATCGGAGTGTGGTATGTCTCCCACCTATTGCATCGTTATCGACGACCACTTAGGCTAATGAATCGCTGCGCAGATCTGATCACCTGCACCAGTGGAAGCAGTGCTGCTGGTCCATCTGGAAGCTCGTCCTCGTCGAGCAGCTCAGGCCTGGGAAGCAAGTCTGCATGAGCATGACTTCCCCCCCGCTAGTATGAACTTGTTTTGGGCTGAATTAATTGCTGCATATTTACAAAGCGTCGCAGAAACAGCTGTGCATTCCATGAAATCAATACACGAATCTCCTACAACTTGGCACCTTGCTTCCGCATCTTCTCTCGTTCCTGATCTCGTATCAGCCGTCGTAGGATCTTACCACTAGCACTCTTGGGCACCTCGTCAATAAACTCGATACCGCCTCGTAATCGCTTGTAGTCTGTCTTGTGGTCTTCAACATGCTTGGCAATCTGTCTCTTGAGCAACGCATCGCTCTCCTCGATCGAGCCGGGCGCTTTGACGACGAATGCTTTAGGAACCTCGCCTTCTCGATCTGATGGTACGCCGATGACGACACAGTCGTTGACAGCCGGGTGGGTGAGGAGATGTGCTTCGAGTTCGGCTGGTGCTACTTGGTTGCCTTTGACCTTGATCAATCTGTAAAATGTGTCAGCAAGCAAAATAACTCACAGGAACATGCAGTAGTATACGCACTCCTTGATCCTATCAGTGATGAAGATATGCTCAAAGCCATTCGAGCTCTTCGCAATCATAGCCTCGTCGCCTGTACGCATATACCGGCCATCCTTCTCATCAATGAATGTCTCCTTGGTAGCTTTATCGTTGTGCAGGTAGCCGAGCACCACCGAAGGAGAAGCCACCCAGAGCTCACCAGGCTGATTGTAGCCTGTGATCTCGTTACCTTCAACAGTCACTAGCCGCACCTTCATGCCTGACAATAGCGAGCCAGAGCTACCGAACCAAATATCATCCGGTACAGTTGAGCAGACGACGGTGCTTGTCTCGGTCAAGCCATACCCTTGTCGCACAGCCCACTTGGGGAAGATCTTGAGTAAATCGTCTGCCGTCTCCTTGCCTAGTGGAGCTGCGCCAGTGAAACATGCTATCACGGACGACAGATCGTAGTTCTTGAGTATCTCCTTCGACTTGGTCAGGTGAATTATCATTGGTGGTACCAAGTACAACATGTTGATCTTGTAATCCTGGATCGTTTGCAGAAGTAATTTGAAGTCATACTTTGGAAGCACGATCACTCCATCGCCACGATACGCAGCTGCATGCGAACCGACAACCAAACCGTAAATGTGCGACATTGGTAGCAGGCCCAGAACTGTCTCGGTGTATGACTGGAGATTGTTCTTCTTCATGATCGCATCACGAGTGGGCACCTCATGCGTCTTGATCTGTAACGTATTGGCGATGACATTGCTGTGGCTGATCATGACGCCTTTGGGCAGACCGCTAGTACCGCTGCTGTAACAGAGGTACGCCGTCCTCTTCGCGCCGTCGCCTTTGCTCCATGTCTTATCGGTGCTTTGTGTAGGTGCCAGTTTCGCGCCTTCGGCGATAAAAGCTTCGAGGTCTTTGTGCGCAGAGACATCTATGCCTTGCTGCATAGCAGGGGCCATGGGCAGGATGAAAACCTTCTCCTTCGGTATGCCAAGCTTCTGCGCAGCCTTCAATGTAGTCGCGAGCAATGCTGCACAGGTGAAGATGGTCTTCGCGCCCGAATCCTTCATCTGATACGCCAGCTCATCTGCGTTGTATGCCGCGCTCGCACAACTCGCAATGCCACCCAATCGATGCACCGCCCAAGTCAATGGAACATAGTCGATGGTGTTCAAGCTGAAGATGCCGACAATCTTGTCATACTCCGAGCCCTGATCTGGTCGCCAGCCGAACTCTTTGGCCAAAGCTCTTGATAAGTGGTCGACTCGCTCCTTGACCTGGAAAGCATTGTATGTTCGTCCCGTCAAACCGTCTGTGAAAGGGTCTTGACTGTAGCCCAATGGGTGCCGTCCGTAGTTCTCATCCCACATGAACGTCTCTATCGAGACAGATGTGGGCACCTCGGGCAGTGGTAAGGTCCATGATGGTGGTTCGAAGGGCATCGTGGATGGCTGGTGAGGTTCGAGGGTCGAGTCGGTGGTCGTCGGGAACAGATGATCGGCACGCGAGTTTGCTTCTGTATGCGTCCCCAGCTCTCTGCTAATCGTAGTAAGCTAGTGAGCTGATCTGATCTGATGTAAGACCTTGCAGCAAATACGGGTACAGGAAGAACAATGTTGCCGGGGATGAAGGACGAACAACTCGAGCTCGTAGACCAGCCTCGGCCTCGCCTTTCCTACCCATAAGCCGCGCCTCCATACAACTAGCTCGCCAGCCGCGTCTTGCAAGAAGATGGTGCCTTTTGACCGAGGTTCACTCCCCGCGTAGTGGCTTGAAGTCAAAAAGAGTCGCGTGGGAACGCAATCGTGGAAAGTTTGAGCCGCGTGGTGGTGTACATTTTCTCGTGCAACGTGGAATCCTCTCTAGGAGACCTTTGTCGCAAAATGTGGGCGAGGACCACGCGAGCGGTGATCTAGTGGGAGTAGATGTGAAATTGTCCTGCACTAATTGTCGCTAGCCATAGAGCCGTATCACCATACGACATCAGCAGATCTCGTTCCGGCCTATTAACGAGATCAGACGAAATGCTCGCAAGGTGCATTCGCTACCTGCACTGACCAAGGAAATACTTGGTCCGTCGTATCCACCGACAGAAGCTCATCTGCTCTCCTCTTTGCTACTGCTTGGGCCCATAGCACTTGCACCACCCACGCTCATCGTACTTGCCCAGACAGTTCCAACAGAAACCAATACTGCACCTCGTACCTGTGAAAAGAGATCAGCTTGCCACCCCGATGAAGGTACCCTAGGATTGAAGAAGACTTACAGAACATAGCCGAACATCCACCATCCTTCTCGATAGCCTTCTTACAACCCGGACACGGCTTCGTCAACCGCTTGATCTTCTGCAGGGACAGATCTTCCTCATCGATTCGATCCTTGACGCGAGCTTGATACGCCTCACAGCTCTCGCCTTCATGCCATGGACGATCGCAAGTCACGCAGGCTTTCGCACCGCATTCCTTGCATTCGAAGATGTCGTCTGCGATAGGCTTCTCAGCTGGTCGATCGGCTGGCTTCTGCTTGCCGCGACCTTTCCTCTTCGGTTGTTCGGGCTCCTCAGGCTTGTTCGGTGACGAGGTCTTGCTCTCGTGCACGTGGCCTGCTCGACAGTCGGGAGCCATGCACCATCTCCAACCTGGCGTGTTGTCGATGATATGCTTGCGTTCGGCCTCTTCGAATCTAGATTCCGTGATCAGCTTGCGTGGCATGTGGTAAACGACCTTGGCACTTACTCCTTATACACCTTCTTAGTCGTGACTTCCTCCAAATCATCGTCCTTCATGATCGCCACACATTGCGGGCATCTGATCCCGAACACTTTGCCTCCTTCGTCGCCTGTGGCGTAGTTCGAGCTGTCAACTTGCGTCTGAACCCATTTCTTCAAGCAAGTCTTGCAGGTGTTGATAAGATGATCGCAGTCTGTGCTTGGATTGTAATCCGGGAACTGCTTACTCGTGCGTTCGGCATCGCAGCTGAAGCAGAGGTATTTAGTAACGGCTTCGATCTTGCGTCGCTTTGCAGCTGGAGCCATGGCGCGGTTTGGTTGAATCGGGTTATTATCGTTGGTATCCTGATGTGTGGGTTTAAGGTTTGAAGCTGCGATGTGCCTTCCCGATGTGCAGATAAGTTTATGCCGCTCAGGCCACGTGATATTTTCGCGGAGGCAGCTCGTGAAGGCGTATATGCCTGTCGCATGTGCCTGATAGATCGCATTCGCTGGGGCACCGACTTGCTATTACCATGCACGTCGAGAAGAAGTGTGCAAGGCTTACGCTGTTGCAAGAGAATCCAGCAAGATAAAGGCAAGAACAACAGATTAACGTTCAGCCCACTCTTGAATTAGGCAGCCACGGTTGCCTTGCACGTGCTCACGATCAGGACGACGTAAATGTCACAGTACAAATCTATATGATATACACCGAACCAAGCTCGACATCCTCTCTCAAATGTGGAGGGTACTCCGTGGTGATCTTCTCCGAACTCCAGTCTACATGCGACCTAATGAATATCGTCTGGTCCGGGAAAATCTGATTTACAATAATAGGCCAGTGAGTGCAACCCGGACCCGAACAGTTGAGATGAATGATGTAGAAACTGGGCATACGATGCCCTGATCGATCGAACACTATCCGCTGTGCGCTGCCCTGGTACAACAGCCCTTTGTTCGTCATCGCATGATGAGGCCGATGAATGTAATTGGCATCGAGAAGTGGTATCCTCGTCACACTCCCTGCTTCTAAAAAAGCTGCTGGCGACTTGGCGAGGATGGTCGTTTTCTTGATTGCGGGTCCTGATACTGCTGTTCTGTGGTGCGCGCTCCAGGCAAGTATGGATTCGTCGTTGGAGGTCGCAATGATCTGTAGCTGAAGTCTTTGAAAGGCCTTCCCAGCGCCTTCGCCGTACAATAATGGCATGTTGACGTTGAGTAGGCCTAGTAAACAATATGCAATGTCTTCTGGACGAGTCGTCTCTCTCTTCGCGGCCCAGCTGATCCTTTGAGCTACCGAGTGGCTCGATAAAGTATCATTGTCAACCAGCGTCTGCTTGGGGATGCCTGTGATGTTGTGAATCATATCTGCCAGCGCCAGCCGATCGCCAATGATCTCCCAGTGCCGACTGATAAAAGTCACGTAAGGTGGCGAAAGTAGCTCCTGCAACGTCCAGCCACGGCTGAACCATTGACTCTGGCGCATGTACTCCAAGATCCGCTCGCGGTCATGCCCAAGGGAGGGCACATCGCTGAGTAGGGCGAAGCATTCTCTTGACTGCTTGTACCATGCGAACATGGAGTTGACGGCTTCGGAGACTTCGGCACTGCTACGCTTGTCGATGCAGCAGGTATCGATCCAGACCCATTCGCGCCCTCGGGCTTTGGCGAATGAGCAGAACTCCAATACCTTCTTGTAGCCAGGGTTTTGAGGATGCTGATGCTTGCGGAAGTCCTTGAAAGAGATCTCGTCTTCACCCCATCGGTGGCTCAGGATTACATAGTGTGGAATGCGATCGCCAAGGAAGTCTTCGAATTTCAGCGTCTTGACATTGAGCAGCCGCATTGTTATGGCATTGACATTTGCGTGGTTTCCCTCAACATGCTTCTCGGGGTCGGACTGGAAGGCTCAAGGTCCATCATGGCATCTCCAGTCCATGAGGTGGCGAAGGAAGATATGTAGATGTATCGTCTCTCTAGCAACATCCCAGAACGAGGTGATAGATGGAGCAAAGAGATGAAATGTGATCTGGATAGTGGATATGTTGCGAACGCTCGGACTACACAAATATGTTGCCAATCACACGCCTCGTTGTTACTGCTTCTCCCTGTCACCATCCCACAATTTGTCCCTCTCTCTCTTCTTCGAACTCGTGCTCGGAATACTACGAAGGCTAGGCAGGGCTGGTACACGGGCGTTTGCATTTTGTGCTGGAAGCATAACGACCAACGACCAACGACTTTACGATCTAACGAAATTACGACCAAGACAATAGCTCTCTCGCTCTCCTCTTGCACTGCTAAGTAGCACATCGCAAGAGCCACCGTTCTCACTATGGACTTTGCTTTTCAGCGTCAAGATGAGACGGCTATCTCTGGTATGCGTACATCTCCAAGTCAGAACACCCCATTATTGACACTTTCACAGAAACCACGAAGATCGTCCCTCTAACATGCCACGGCCACTCTCGTCCGATCACGCACCTGTCGTTCTCTTCGCTACTCGCCAACAATCCATCATCCGGCGCCTCACAATTCTACATCATCACAGCCTGCAAGGACAACAATCCCATGCTCAGGGATGGTCTAACTGGAGATTGGATAGGGACATTTATTGGGCATAAGGGAGCAGTATGGAGTGCTCGCCTCAGCGATGACGCTACGTTAGCAGCTACGGGAAGTGCAGACTTCAGTGCAAAGGTGTGGGATACTTTCACAGGAGAGACGTTGGCGACATTACAGCATAATCATATTGTTCGAGCAGTGGCATTTCCGCCAGGAATCAGGACAGGAGTAGTGGCTACAGGCGGTATGGAGAAGAAGCTGAGGGTGTGGGATCTGGGTGCTGCGGTGGTGGGGACACCTGGTGGGACGGTCAATGGAGTGAACGGTACCGGCAACACAATGACGCCGTCGTATGAGATTGGTGAGGGCGAGCATCAAGGTGCAATCAAAAGTATTGTCTGGACACGGGATCCGAACATCCTCGTTACGGCAGCAGACGACAAGAAGATAAGATGGTGGGATCTTCGCAATCGTGCCTGCATAGCCACGTACGACATTGATGCCCTGCCCACATCTTGCGAACTCAACAGCGGTCTGGACGATACGCCGCACGGCACCCTGTCAGTAGCGGCAGGCAAGAACATCTACTTCTTCTCCGGATCGCAACCAGGACAGCTGTTAAAACATATCAAGACCGACCGCGAGGTGGCGAGTGTGGCGCTCAATGGTGCACAGAGACGGTTTGTGACCGGAAGTCCGTCAGATACGTGGGTACATGTCTGGGACTATGATCTTGAGAGAGAGCTCGAGACGGGCAGGGGTCATCATGGGCCGGTGTGGACGACTGGCTTCAGTCCGGATGGGATGCTGTATGCTACCGGCAGTGAGGATGGTACGGTGAAGATGTGGAAGTTCGCTGGTGGTGCTTATGGGTTATGGCGGTGATAAACGCGACTATCACCAGTTCTCTAGCAGGAGAAGGGACGTGCGATGAGGACAATCATCGTATGATGACGAGAGAAAGACTGACAACTTCGCACGGATGCTCAGGGTCACGAATTCGGAGCTGGACAGATCTAAGGACAGCTAGTAATGGATCTTGCAGTCTTCACGCCGGCGCACTCACTCCGTGTCTGCGAGCATCTCGCCGCTTCCGCTTCCTCTGGACCTTCACAGACTTCCTCTCGTCTTTCGTTTGTTGCTGCAACAATGCGCTGCGATGCCTCAAATTGGAAGCACGCATAACACCCCATATTCGCTGGACAATTCGGCCCTTCCCCATCGCAAGGGCCTTCACGATCACCGCCAGATTGGCCTGCTGTATCTCGATCCAGACCTTCCCGTCGACTTCCATACTACCCCACGACCATTGCGGCAATCGTCGCGTGCTGAACTCCGTGCATAGCACTACCCAGGCCCACGTCCGGACATAGCTGAGGGATCCTTCATTCATAGTAGCCACGAGGTCCGAATTGCCCACATGCGGCGCAGTGAGACTTCGTTGCAAATGGCCTGGCATTTCGCGCGGCCAGGTTGCGAGGGACTTCTAGTCTTCTTCGGCATTGTGGGCGTGTTGGAGAAGTGCCAGACGCCATTGGTGCCATGTCCAGAATGGTGCGACCAGGATCTCAGGGAGACGAGTCTTGCGGGGGCGAACGCCGACGGCAATGTCGAGCTCGTACGGGGCTTTGATTGCTGGTATGGGCAGCAGGACTCGAAGTGCGCTTAGCGCGAGATGCTCGGAACGGCGGGTGAACAGTATATTGTCTTGACTCTTGTAGTCATCGCGAACCCACCAAAAAGAAGGTGCGGAAGGCCGTGTCAAGCGTCGCAGGCGACCGATCGCCTTGTCTTCATGGCGGCGAGCACGCTTGTCTATGGACCTTTAGCCACCATAATGCCAGCTCATTGCATGGCACAACAAACCTTCATGTCGTCTCCTCGATCGACTAGTCTTGATTGAGGTTCTGTTGCTACTGCCCATGGTCAATGCGGTGAACCACTGTAAGTGTTCATGAGGATCGTGAGCATATGGTATAGGTGACCTTGGCCGCCGCTGACGAGGAAACGGTATCGTACGCAATTAACATCAGTCGTCATGTGATGCCACGTCTATCATATCAGTGAAGAGGGATCGTGTCAAGTACCATCTCGACGAAACATCATGATTCTCACCGCTCAGATGGTGCTTGCTTAGGTTACAGACCGGAGGCGAAAGGGGAGAGCACCAGGCGTGAAAAGGAAAGTGAGGTATTCCTTCATTGAAGGTGCTTTCTTGTTCATCGCCACCAATGTCAAAAGAACGCCGGCTATCTTGACACACCTAGCCGTTGCAGTGAAACTATCAATATCCGTACAGCTCACATTGAGCACGCACACTCGATGTACTGTCGCTTGCGCGAATCCTCCATAAGCGCTGAACCATTGCCAGCCCCAAACCATGATCATTGCTATTGCCTTGCCATCACCTTAACAACACCCTTGCATACCTATGCTCATGCCATGCGCATGTGTCCCTTCGCCAGTAGCTTCACAGGCACTTCTACAAGCCGTGTCGCCGTGCAGTATGCTTTGCTAGTGATTCCTGCGAAAATAGTGATGATTCAAACAAGAGCGCCAAATCCACAAAAGAGAGCCATGCCTTACAACATGAACGCGTAACATCGCAGCTCTGTCCGCACTGGTAATTAGACTCCACGTCGCCTTGTAGTGTTCGTGCTGGCATTATGTGTGCTGGGGATGTGTTGATGCCATTGCTCCATTCGCCTGATCGCCATGTATTGTGCCAATTTGTTATAAGCGCCTCCCAGCGCCGGTGATGTAACGATTCTCCGATGTTTAACGAAGCCTCACGATGTATGCCGCTTGATAGTTTCGCTCAACCCAAACCTTGTCTCCATTGCGCCATTGCCGCCCGAACCAGTAAGGTATTTTGCAAAATGGGGAATCTTGTTGCATGAAGAAAGCCAAAGAAGAAAAGTCGGATTGCCGCCTCAAGATATGAATAGCCAGAAACGCCAATGGAAAGTCTATTATGTTGTATAATGGTGCCAAGTTGATATGGCGGTAGGAATGTGTTTCACGTGCTCATTACTGCCACCACTAGCGGCCTTGGGTCTGCATGTAATGATTGCTATACCCGTTCATGCCTCCAAGCCCGTTGCGACCATCGCCTGCCCCAAATGTGGCGGCACCCATATGAGGTGGGATACCACCAGACATAGTCCGGCCGTGCAGTTGATCTGCAAACTCACGTGCTTGTAGGCCCCACGGATCCGAGAAATGGCCATCCATAGCTCCGACTGGTCGTTGCGCTGGCGGCGCATTGTAGCCGTAGGTTGCAAACCCTCCGACAGAACCCAGGCCAGGCGGTGGTCCAGAGACGCCACTGAATGTCTGTCCGCCATTGCCCATTGCGCCCAGTCCTGGAGGCATATTTGGGTTGCGAGCTTCATACCCACCATTTCCAGAGTGCCCACGCTGTCCGAGTGGATTCTTGGAATAGCTGAGGCGGATTCCGCCTCTCACGCTGTTGCGCAAAAGTGTGCCGTAGAACCTTTGGAGAGCACGAGTGGCGAACGTGATGTCCTCGAACTCTACAAAAGCCATCGGACTGTTCTGCGGCTTCTCACGACACAACAGACGTTTCCAGCCAGGCGCGTGGCTGAATATCTGCTTGAGCTCCTCCTCAACGGGACCGTGTGGGAGGTTGCCAACATACAGAGTATTGCAGGGTGGGTTTTGATCAGCAGGATTATTCGGCGGAAGTTGTTTGTTTTGATTATCGTATGCGCCATTGTACTGGTTGGCGTAGCCATTGGGTCCGCCGGGCGACATAGGTGGCTGCATATAGCCGTTACTTGGCGAAGTGAGGCCGTTGCTAGTGGGAGAGATCAAGCCACCGTTGCTGTGGTCATTCGTGTTGAGTCTGCTCATCTGAGACACCAGCGTGTGCTCGTTATTGGGCGACCGAAGATTGGATGACGACTCATTGTTGGCTGCGAATGCGACTGGATTGCTGATCAGCCTGCCGGTCTCCTCATCTCCCTCGTTGTCATCGTTGATGGTCGACTTTCCGGTCCTTCGGTGATCGTAGAAGCCGTTCATATGTGGCGATTGTGACGAGAAGAGATTCTGCATATGTACGCTTGCTTCAGGCACTGGAAATTCGCTGCTGTTGTGCGAACTGCTAGGCGTGGGTAGGGGCGGCGAAGTCTTATCACTGGTCGGGTACAAGCTATTATATCGTTTCCGCTCAGGAGGTGGGCCACCCAGCGAGCCATTTGACGATGCGGAGCTATTCTGCGTGCGGACTGTCCCATCGATCGTAGAACGACGCTCGAACGGATTGGCATAGCTCCTGCTTCGAACCTGCACCAGAATTGGAGCAGTCTTTACACTATTCATCTTGCCGTGCAGCATCCGTTTCGCCTCCTCCGCCGTGGTTTCGGTACTGAAGTGAGCCACACAAGCGACAAACCCCGCATCCTCGGGATAGGTAGAGTCAGCCCACTCGGCGCCGAGATACTGGTCTCCTGCGAACACAAGCATATTATCCAGGCTGTCGCGAGTTATGCCAGGCGGGAGATGTCGGATGAGCACAGTCGTAGGGCCCCCGTCTGCTCGCAGGACAGAAGGATCTGATATGCTTGTTGACAGAGATGGTGCGACTACAGTGCCGGCGCGAGTCTGACGATACGAGCCGTTGGATACCGGGCTGTATGGACCCGTTCTTGTCGTGCTATTCGGCGGCGAGATCCCAGAAGACTGCCGCGAACTGCTGTAAGACATACGAGGCTGTGCGGAACCAGTGAAGTGTCCGTTCGTGGCTCTACTTGGATCAACCATACTGGCTAGAGAGGTATGCCGAGCGCTCGGACCTTCCATCGTGTCAAGAGTCGCCAGAAGGGAAGTACGAATAGCCTATGCGCCCGCTGTTGCGACACGAGAAGAATGTTGTCACTCGGAACGTCTCCAGTCGCGCCGTAACAATGACTTTGAATAGCTTGTTGGTGGTGAAAATGAGTGCGCCGTGGATAGGTCCTTGTCGCGCAAAGATGCGACCAGCGACAACGCGCGCGAGTCGCGAGAACTTGCGCCGAATGTCGCGACACGAATGCGAAGTGCCTTCTAGTCGTACAGATCGTGAGTGAAAGATGAGAATATGCGGCGCGTAGTTTTGCGGCTGGTATAAATGCGTGCAGAGTGTGAAGAAGCAGGCGCGCAGTGCTCTGCCAGATGGCAGATGTTGGTGGATGGATATTCGAGGTCGCAGAATCCCGGCCTCGCTGCAAGAGCCACCTGCACCCTCGGAAAGTTGGTCAAGGCTTTTACAGTAATTGTGTGGGGAGAGACAGTTGAAGACAACCTGGCCTACGATGCTTTTGGCCGAGTCACCAGTGGTCATGAACTCTGAGCAGGAAAGTGTGGACGCATCAGCAAATCGAGTCGTGCACACGAGCTGACAGGCCCATGTAAGCCTTACGACGGGCTCGATGCGGTTGACCTGCAGCGAGTTGCATATCCCGCCGGACGCTGCTGGTGGGATGCTGCTAGCTGCGGGGCATCCTTCTTACCTATCGGATGCCATGGCTTGATAGAAATGCTGTGGGAGTCGAAACTCTGTGATATGAAGCTCCAGGATTGGTAGACAATATCTGGTTGGCGTCGGTCTCGTGACAACATCAAAGTTCCCTCTGTTCAGCACATCGTTATTATCGTTCTGCTGTATCGAGCATACACAGCATACAGTACCATGCGAGACCCGACCGTGAGACTACAGATACCGGCTTCCGCAACATGTCGCGGCAGTTGGACCGGATCCGAGGACAAGGAACCCTAGCCCAAGCGGGCTTGCTGTTTCCAAGACACCAGCTTCAACTTCCCTGTCACTCGCTGGTTGCTTTCTTCTGTGCATCCCGTATCACACCATGATCTAACAACAGACCGTTGTGCCAGTCAGCCAATCAGGACTGCCGAAGAGTGTGCATTCTGAGATCCGCTTTCTACCACTTATACTTGTCAGCCAGAGCGAACTCCACCACTCCGCCACCACGAGAGCCCCCTTCCCGGCATCTGATAGCGGCGTTGTGCATGACACGCGATCACGCCGTCAACCTGTGTGGCCAAATAGTCTTGGGTGCATCGTACCCGGCCTCCGGGGTCGCACAATGAGTACATGTAGACGGGGCCAAGCACGAAGGGTGCGCCAATCCTCGGTTTTCACGCTCACATCTGCCGTGGCCAGCACGCGGCACTCGTGGTCACACAAGATGAAAACATCCTTACCGGATCGTACGACCCCGCGTTCTCCGGGAGAAGCAGCACCGCAGACAGGCTGGTGTATCGCCGTCTCTTGTCAGTCAGACGGCGGCCCCGGCGTGACCACTCCGATGGAAGCTCGCTAGTGCTCAATCTATAGCTTGTGAAGGAAGGAGGTATCATGTGCTATTGGCAATAGGATATCCTTGTCGTGGTGTCAAGATTCGTCGTGCGTGACGTTCGATTTTGATCATAATTGTGACTGTCGGGATTCTTGTGAATCGTGACTGCTACATTCAGCGAGCCCCCACCAAAAGAGTGGACCTTCTGCTGACTCGATCAGAGCTGGACCCCATATGCGTCTTGGGGCTGTCTGCGCATCTCAGGATGACACAGCTTGCGAGCTCCAGTTAACTAGTCTGCTTGAAGCACTGCGACTCGATAGCCACACCCACATGGCCGATTGAGACTTGTCTTCGTCGTGCCGCTACAAAGGACCATTGCCAGGTGACTAGCAATGACAATGGAAGGCCCATTGATGTCCCCAGCCTAGAGAGTCAGCAACCTTTGCGACCGGTATAACAATACTTGATGGATTTCTGGTAACTCGATCAGCTCGGAGTATATGACACCACGGTATGATTTTGAGAAGTCATTTCACTCATGCTGCTACACGAACTCGGGATCGAAAAATGCCGTAGAAGCATAAATTACCAAAACGTCACATTTGTAACTCGTATCAATCGTTCTGGTAGGCAAGAAGTAGAAGCGTTCGCAGCCAGCGTGATCACTTCTTCGCGGCAGCTTTCTCAAGCTTCACGTCGAATACATCTTGTCCAACTCCAATCGCCATCATACGTAGGACAGGCTCGCAATTATCCTCAGTCAACAGCGTTTCCTTGGGAAACAGTTGTTTGTCCTTTCCACCCCATCGAACCTTGACCTCACTAATGTGATCTACGCTATCCTTGTTCCTGTACTTGCTCAAGATCTCCTGACAGTTTGGAGACAAAGCAGCCAGCTTTTCCATTGATTGTTTGAGCTCGTCAAGGTCGTGGCCGGGGTTCACGAGAATGACTAGCTCATTGTCAGCCAGGACGAGCTGTACGAACGGATGGATGGCATTATCGCAGGCTTACTCTCATGCCGGTTCGAGCCCTCGATCATGAACAGGGCCGGGAACTCATGCTGGCCTGCCATCTCCGTTTTCTTGGAGGATGAACGTCGTGGTAAGGAAGTCATGAAGACCAATCGGTAGATGACCTTTTGACTGCCAAAGTCGTTGGCGCTAGTGTGACGCAGGTTTGTTGATCGTACAATAGAGTTCAACGGCCCCACTGCTATGCCGTTGTTTGTTGTGCTACGGTATGATGGTCCTTGCCTTCTGCTCCGTTCGATGCTTCTCTCAATCACAACACGTCGCATGGTAAGCCGGAAGCAACTTGGTCGACATGCTGGATCCACAGCTCGTTGCACAACCTGATCCGAGTGCCAAGGATGACGTCTGCGGCTCAACGAGACCGCGACAACATCAACGGCGATAACGACAAAAGATGTCGTTGAGATACTGAATCTAAGTAGAAAATAACGACATTTTTGGATCATTTCTCCCTGCAGACGAGAGGGTCGTCGGGCGAATGACATGACGGCTTGTGGTATTCAGCTTCTGATGCGGTGGTTGGTATAAGACAGATCTAGATGACGGAGGTTCTGTGTCCATTGACGACAAGTCATGTTATGCCACTAATTTTGCGAGCAGCCCATAGGCCATGACACAACAAACGTGCTCTTAAGCCCAAGTGATCTTGATCAAAGGCGTCCTGTACCCAACATTCGCGCCATCGACCTTGGTGTAAGTGACGTAAATGTAGTTGCCCTGGCCGTCATTATTTGTCAACTCGGGATGAGCTTGTTGACTGTACGCTCCACACTCGTTCGAGCCGTTCTCGCCCGCATAGAACAGGGCAGGTGTTGACCATGGACCTTCCGGAGCCGGAGCAGTAGTTACATAGAAATTTGCATTGCAGCCGATAGCGCCAATGCCAATCCAGACGTAGGCGCCAAAATACTGGCTGTAGTAAAACGTGCCTTGACCGCCCGTGCCAGCATTAGGGACGACGGCTTCGCTCGCGCCATCAATTGGAGGGGTGTTTGTCCAGCCTGTGGATGTGTAATACCGATACTGCGAGACGTCTTCCACAGCAGCTGTCGGAACTCTGGCCAGGGCAATAGCGTTGTTACTCATCTGAGCATAGAGATAACTGTGTCCACTGTCCTGAACCCAGCCATATGTGCCATAGGGAATGCTGTCCTACGGCCAGAAGTACTCATTCACAAGTGTGACCGGTGGTAGTTGAGACGAGGCCAAGCCCATGGCGTAGTCGGAGCGATAGAGACTCGTCGCAGGCGTTGGGTCAAGATTGCTGAGATCACTGGCAATGTGAGATCTTGTAATCCAGGAGTAGAGTGCTGCGCTGGAGCTGGAGCCTGAGCCAGCAATCATTGGTCTTGAGTTCTGCCAGATCGCATACCTGGTGCCATCGGCGCAACCACCGGCTGGGGATGGTCCACATTCATCAGCCTGCACAGGGAAGTAAGCAACAGAGTCGCTGTTGTCTCCATACATATTGAGTACGCCATCGCTGTCGATCGCCGGTAAGGCAGAAGAGTTGAAGTCCGTCCAGGAAGCCGATGACGAGAGGAAGGCAGAAGAGCTCTGGCTATCACGGCAGGTCCATAATTCGCGGCCGAAAACACCAATAGACGTGCAGCTGTCGCGATTCCATGTTGGGTCGGAGACTGTGCCTATGACTTCAGCGGAAGCTAGTGTTGGAGTAGTCGAACGTTGACTTAAGGCCGATGGAAAGGCATGACATGAGATGTAGAAGCTTGCTAGAGTGATCGAAGTAGAGAGCGACATTGTATGTGGTATGTTGACCAGTATAATCAGACGGCGAGTAAAAGGCTCGTAGGGGGAGGATCATCTACATTTGTAGATCGTCCACAGGCCATGGCTGAAGGAGCTGTTTTACATGCGATCCTGGAACCACTTACAGCAGCCGATGAGGTCTAAGCATTGTGCATTTGTGATATCCTGGACTGCGCTCAGGAGTGATGGACCTTGGACCCCGTGGGTTTCCGACTCGGTCAACATCGCTCATCTCGCGTCGGTCGGTGGATCAGGCGTCCAACACGTGAAGCATAGCTGTGCTTCTGTGAAAGAATTTCGCATCATGATGGAAGGGTCGGGAGATGAGCTGCGGCACCCAAGGATGATAAACTAAGACGGCCTAGCCCGCAGACACGATGCACAGACTGCTGCGGCCAGATCCACGCGACTTTCTCACGACTCATCGAAGGTCTAGCTAGGGTTGGCCTAGAAGACTGATCAATTCTGTTCCATCCAGAACGAGCTACGAATTCGCTTTGACGGCGGCCGGTTTCCAAGGAGAAGGGGTCCTCATAGTTGAGATGCCTGAAAAGTGCTGGTGGCATGACTCGAGGAGGTATCAACCAGGATCCTCGCTGCAAAGCTGCTCCCTGATGACAGCCAACGGCCATTGCTGATCAGAAGCGCAGCGGACGCCGCCCAAGCTTCGTACATATCGTCTACGGTGAGAGAAATGAGAAGGGTGTTCTGTGACGGTATTGTACTTCTTCTAGCCACAGTATCTCGCGATCCGCAAGTTGCAATTTTCCCACTGGTTGGGGGCGAAATTATCATGGCTATAATCGTCTGCCGCAGGGGCTGAGCGGAATCCTTCACGCAGAGCTCAGGTAGGATGCGACTTCGAATGCGCTTTGGTTGAGGTGTATATTTGATCCGGTGGCACAAGGCCTACTGCTTAGTGTTGGCCCTGATTAACGAGCGATGGAGATGATGTAGTTCAGACGCCTCTTCCAAGAACACGAACGTACGGTGCTCCTCCGTGATATACCATACTCGTAGGGCAAGCCTGCACTTCCTTACCTCGCTCCGTCGAAAGGCGTCTACTGCGGATCAGCGTAGAGTCTTTCCAGCCGTTGACCAGAGTATCATCGAAAACTACCTCACAGTGCAGCAGGCTGCTCGGATCCGGTCAATATCACACCACGCGCCAGGATGTTGAGCACTATACCAGCAGGGTGCTACCTACTCACTCTCCTCGCCATGGTGACAATTGCTGCCACCGACAGTGGCTGTTACTCTCGTGCCATCGGCATCATACAAGCTGGCAACTGGATAAAATGCTCAAACACAGCTCTCACACTCAACGGTGCCTCAGCATGTTGCTTGGCAGGCTCGCTTTGTGGTGAAGATTCACTTTGTCACACACCAGAATCGCTGAGTACCGGCGGCGACAACTGGTACCCAGCAGGCTGCACAGATCCAACATATACCGATCCTGTCTGCCGGCTATCATGCAGTAAGTGAGCTTAATTATTGTTAGGCAACGGATGGTAGATTGACTCAGACTACAGCTACCGGTTATCCAACCTTTGCCACATACAACACATCAGCTAGTCTTTGGGCTTGCTGTGGCGCGGGTGGCTGTAATGGTACATTGACCGGCGAGACATTTTCTGCTATTGCTCCAGCCCAATGGTCAGCTGTACCAACCACGGCAACAAATTCATGGAATGTCGCAGCGACAGTCAGCATACCCACATCGACATCCTCGGCTACATCAGCAATGACATCTGCGGCATCAACGACAGCGAGCACAACTTCGACACCAACCACTTCAGCATCTCAATCCAGCGGCCTCAGCACCGGCGCCAAGGCTGGCGTTGGCATTGGTATTGCTGTTCCCGTTGTAGCTCTACTCGCCGGCCTTACTTTCTTCCTACTACGAAGAAGACAGCAGAAGGGTGCGATTGAACTACGAAACGACTACAGTCTGCCGCCCTACAACGAGGCCATGCAACACACAGCCGTCTACAAGTACGGTGGGCGTGTGCAATCCTCGGAGCTGAATGGAAGTATGCCAGAGTCAAGACAGGAGCTAGATGCGGCTTCAATGCCGCATGAGTTGCCCACCGAGCACGCACGAGAGCAGAAAGCATAAGGATGAATCTCGAAGTAGACGGGGCGAGTATGATGCGTCGTGCAGCAGCAGCGGCCTTTATACTACATTGACTCCACTGTACGTTTCAGCCGCCAACTTACAGGGGCTGAAACTTCGCTTTATACTAGAGACGTGCCTTTCACTTGCCACGATAGAAGAACCTACCGTTAACATTGGAACACTATGACCCTCTCTGGCTGTCCAATGGCAGTACGCTGCACTCCTGACCTCATCGACTTGTCTACTCCCGAGCCGCATCGCACATGAAGATGTATTGAGCAAGGCGATACCAAGACATGCAAGCTGCTCGTGGCTTCTTCAGCCGAAGGTACATGGAGGGCTTCGGTAGCAATCCGCCCGTATCGGATGATCGAGGATAGTGGTCTTCTCCGGACGCCTGGCCTGATCACAGCTCATCTACCACATCATCCGTCTTCCACAAGCTATCGTGATCATGCTCTCCCAGGCGTCTCGTGTACAATCTCTCCCTTTCAACGCCAACCTTCTTCTTACATATAGTGTACAGGAACGCACAATATCTGTCTAACTCTCGGCCATGGTGCCTGGTCAATGATGTTCGTTATTCGTGGTGATGATGTACAGAGCGCAGTGTCAAAGGCGCTCAGGATGTGTTAGGATGCAAAGCGGTCGCGCTAAATCGAGTCATTCTTGTCGAAGGCGTTTGTGCTCGTTGGTCCATCAGCGTCGCGGAGCTGTCCGCTCTGCTCTGCATACGCAAGTCGTCCGTATGGCCAGACTCGCGACTTTGGGTCGAATTCAGGTGCGAACGTCGCCTCAATCGTCCGTGGCATCGGCTTGATGGACGCGGGCAGGCTTCTCAAGCCACCTCCTCTTTCCAGGTCGAGTCTCGAAGTGCGGAGCTATGGACGATACGTCCTGGCCATCAGCAACCATGGTACTGCGCGTCTTGTTCCTGTAAGCGTCCACTATAGCTAGTCAGCATTGAAACTTTTCTGTCCTGTCCATGTCGAAATCACCCACAAGATCGCTGTAAGAACAAGGTCCGACCATTGAACGTCCTTGCTTGAGCCCAAGACATACGGTACCCGAGCTCGTTCAGAGCAACCTCCTTCACTCTCTTCGACTTCGTCATCCTCGGCACCGGCAGCTTGGCCTCACTCCCGTCCATCAGATTCACAGGCACCATGGATTTCCCTATCGTTGGAGCAGTCCCTGACACACCCTCTTCCAAATCATCTTCGTCATCCCATCTTCTGCTCTGATGTGGTGTTCCTGGCGGTGAGCGCATCTGTCGTGGAAAGTACGACCGAGGGTACACGGAGTTGATTCGTAAATGCTGATCCGGCATGTCATCCATCTTGACCTGGTCAAGCATGACACGTACTCTGACTCGAGTATCGCGCTGCGGATCCTCGACAAGAATGAATTTGCGTCGTTTCGATTCCGGCACGTCGCCAAACAATGCACGCTTCGAGTCCTCGGCCTCATCTTTCATGGAGGATGCGCTCGCTGCAGTCGTGAGAGAACCAGCATGGCGGTGCATCGGGTCCATTGCATCGTGTAACGATGGCATCGACGAAGCACCTGGACCTGGCGGCGCAGGGTACTCAGGGTAGAAGCTTTGAGCGTAGCGGGCCGAAGTAGGCGACTGTAGATCCGCTGATTCATTCGGTGGCGGAGCCTGATGATGGTGTGCCACCGAACTATTACCGTTGTATTCATTTCCGCCTATAGTGATGATCGTGGATTAGCGTCGATCCCGAGGTAAGAAATTAGCATGGGTGTTTGCGAAGCGAGGGCGAAGCGAGCAAAGCAGGGGAAAGCACATGTACAAGGGATGTATGCTAAGATACGAAACGCATTGCTGGGTATGGGCCAATTGATGCTCCATTGATGTCTGTACATGATGATACAGGGCCCTGTTTGTATTGCCGGGCAAGCTCTTCATTCGTCTTCTTCTTCGTGTGTGCTCGTAGGGTATCAATACAAAAGGGCATCTACATGTGATATATCCCGCCAACGCCCTCACTACCAGGATGATGGTACTCGTGCTGGTGGTGGTGAGGGTGCATTGTCGGGACGACAGGGCCAAGATTGGGCATTCGAGGAGCCATACCTTGTGGTGGTAGCCCTGCGTTTGCAGGACCCTGTGGAGTCGGTGGTAATGTAGCTGCGCTTGACGGCGCACTGGTCGTCTTTCTGTTGTGTATCTTCGCCATTCGTCGTACTCTCCGACTTCGTAGTCGTTGATCTTGATTGCTGTTTCGCCAGCTATCGACTGCTCTCTGGATCAGACCTCGTTTCTCCCTCAGCACAGGATTGAGCTGCGCGAGCGCCCATCCCACTGCATTGCATTCGCTTTCATAGTGTAAGCGGTTCCCTTTGTACTGGTCCTTGCCGCAACATGCGCGTGGATATACGCAGTTGCTCGACTTGAAATCCTGAGGTAACTCATCGACACTGACGGATTCAACGTCGCACCGGATAGTGTACTCCATCTTGACGCGATCTCGTGAGTATTCGAAGGCTATCCATTGCACACCATTGTTGTCTTGGCGTACGACAAGAGGTGTTGTGGCCGGTATTGGACCAGGTGCTGGCAAAAGTTAGCAAAGAGTGCTCAGACCCGATCGCAAGTCTACCTACCTGGACCTGCCGGTGTCTGAGGTGTTCCTTGCGGTGCGTTCACGACGGACTCCGGCCGTTGTAGCTGAGATGGCTGTGGCTTGGAATCGATCATGGAAGTCGGCTGTACGTTAGTGGGCTGATGTTGAGGCGGCTGGGGCACCGAGTGTTGATGCTGTTGATGTGAGATCAACATGCCCGGCGCTGATGTGATGGAGGGGTGGTGGCCGGTCGGCTGGTGTTGCGCATAAGGGGACTGTTGCTGTGCCATTGGATAAGGTTGATAGTACATCTGCTGCGCCATGGGCGCCATTTGGTATAATGGACGGCCATGAGCATCAGTCTGTGGTGAGTGCATTGACGACGGAGAGTTCGATTGCGGTGTTTGATAAATCGACATAGGCGGGTAAGGCTGGCGGCTCATAGCCGCTTGCGCCGCCATTGTGTCGTTAGGCTCTGAGACACCGATCAGTTCCGGCACAACGTCTGGTGGGGTGCAAGACAACATGTCAGGCCCATGGCCGACACATGTTCGACGTACCTGAAGATGCGTAGCTCCCAGTCGCACTGTTCGTGCTGTACGGACTGGGATGCGCGCCGAAGAAGGTTGTCTCGCCGGGCTGCTGTGTAGCGACACCCGTTACAGAGCCAACGTAGGGCGACTGATGCTGCTGTGGTAGACTGTGAGCAGACGAATGCGGAGAAATGTAAGGTCCCTGTCCAGCCTGGAGATTCTGGGCTGGGTGCGGAGACTGAGGGCGGTGTTGTTGGATCAACCCTGCGGAACGTGGATGCTGTATTTGCTGGGGTGGCGGGAGACCTTGGGCGATGTGAGACTGTTGATTCTGCGGGTTCCAGTCGTTAGTAATGCGTCTTCGACGTTACTCGAAGTGACACGCGACGTGGGATGTTTGTTGTTCGTCCTCGCATCCTCTGGTTCGGGCTGAGCGGGAGCAGACGAAAGGCACCATAGGCTCAACACGGCAAGCCCAAAGGTAACAGGGGGCAGGGAAGATGAAGCAAAACGGTGAGGCAGAGCTGTCATATGCATATGCGGCGTGGAGGGGTACGGGCGGGGAGTCCTGCTCCACAGCAGAGCCATCAAAGCTTGAGTTGACTGGTGCTGGGCCGGTAGAGGAGGTTTGTGAAACATGTGCGGAAGCGGAAAGTTTAATGAAAGGGCATGCGGGAAAGGCGTATCGTGGTGCAAACGACCAACAAGGACGGTGAGCCGTACCAGAGAGCGATGTGCGTCGAACATGTCTGCTGCGGAGCGTTATGCAAGATGCAACGTGAACATGGATGATGGCGGCAGTGAGGTCGGTTTGCAGGGTCGGTAGTGGGGTTCTGGCTTCCTCAGGCCAGCGAGTCGGAGCAGGTAATGCAGCGAGCCGATAGACAGGTCGGGCGGTTGGCGAGGCGTGCAGGGCAGTCGACGGTCACAATACGTGTGTGTGTTGGTAACGAAGGTGCAACCAGGTAGGTGTGCAAGGCAAGTGCCAGACGCGACACCAGGATTGTGATGGTGATGATGAGGCAAGCCAGGCTCCCAGCAGGTACTGTAAACAAGCGTTTGGCGTTGGACGGTCGATGGCGCGCAGAGAGGTGACAGGGTTTCGCAGCAGGTGAGCAAACGAGCGACGAGGGTGCAGCTGGGCGAAAGGCTAAGTAAGAAAAAGGGCTTACCCAACTCGCGCCAACACCTGCCACTCCTTCCTTCCGCCGCGCAAATGAGTCTGCCGAGTGGTCCGCCAGCGTTGCGTGTCGACAGATTACAGCTAGAGGCGGCCAGCAGCCCGAGCGAGAATGCTAGCAAGAGTCGCGAGCGACGCGATCTGATCCAGGATTACTGCTTGGAGGCTCGCTTCCATTGAAGGTGGAGGAACGAGGAAGCTAGTGCAGCAAGTCGAAACAACGCCTCAATCACGCTAAATCGCGTGGCATTCGACGGAAGGCTTGCACCGGAAAACACTCCTCTTCAGAACATCGTCTTACCAACCACAACGGCGTCTTATGAACTTCACTCCATCTGCTGCTGGTCTTGTCGGCGACTCTGCTATATATCAATTGCCCAGTTCTACGACGCCGTATGCCTTCGTATACTGCATTCCGCGACCCACCTAGTTCGCTGACGAATGCACTGCTTCAGGCAGATTGCGTCACCAGCTAGTGCATGCACGGCAAATACAGTCCGATGGACGCTCGACTCGCTTTGATGAGGGGATCAAAGTTGTGATTCTCATGTATGCCCGATGCACTGACGTTCATCTGGCCATGAAATATGGTTTGTAGCACATCTCATCTAGCAAGACCGAAGCTTTGTAGCCGGCTCCGCTACATGAGGCAAACACTGCTTGACCAGACCACTCACCAACCTGTCTGGCCTCCTCGTTTCTCGAGTTGAACCTTACATATGTCGTCGCTGCACGACACCGACAGAGTTGCCTCCCTTGGCGTGTCAACTTCACAACGGTCTGTGGGAGCAGTTGGAGCCGTCAAAGTGACCCGCAGTAGCGTCGAAGGATAAGGTCTCGAGGAAACGGTCACTAGTCTCCCGGACGCCTCTCCTTCTGTGGCATCGATCAGCTTGGTCGTCCCCTGTCAATCTCCACATGTTCCGTGACTGCACGTTGTGAAACTGCATCCTCGTATTCAATCCGAGACGATGCTGCCTTTGCAGAATAATAATCACGCAGTTGATTCGAGCAATCTGGGCCTTGATAGATGCGTGATGTAGATGCATCATGCGCTCATCACCAACTTATGCTGTGCGCTATATAGACAAGGATACTCCATGCTGCCATGCAGCACAGTTCTCTAGTCTGCCTCGCTTACAGCGGGACTGCGGTGGAGTAGCAGCCACGGCAGTTGATAGGTTGGCAGTGAAACACATCTTGCCTCGGACGTTGCCATTTGCGGTCGTGGTCGTGTTCGCCTTATCTTTACTTGCTCATATTCAAGTGACAAGAGATGCAGCTTGGAGATGGCTGAAGTACACCGACATACTGCGAGCATCACATGGAGGGGAAGTCCGGACGACAATAGCTTCCGTCCGGCGACTTCACCGCAACAGATGCTATGCTGTGCATAAAACAGTACCACAGCTCACATCATGCGCTGTTGAGAAATCATGGCAAGTGCCGGAGTCTTGTTCAAGTGCTTTGCCGCAACAACCGTTCTGGCCTCAATGTTTGCCCAAGGTTCTCAGGCAGGTTCGTGGGCACTTCGACTTTGCAACGGAAAGTTACGCTGCCTCGCGAATCGCGGTGGCGGTGTTTGCGCTTCAGACCACCAATTCTTATTATTATTCATCGTCGGCACCTACTCTGCCATGGACGGCATCGGCACTGTAAAGATCCTTGGACAGATGTACGTCCCACCACGGATTCGGGCCTTCGTGACCAGGTTCGAGAGGGACATCCCAGAAAACCTCCGATGCCAAGACCCTCGAATAGATTGGATCTTGTTCTGCTTACTTCTCATTACATCTCCGTGCAACAAATTGTGCTTGAACAATGATAACGGGTTGACAGATGTGTACAAGCACAATGACTATGCAGGGCGCGTCACGCGAATATGACCGATGAATCTCCTTGCAACCGTTGTTGGCATGTCCGTCGCTTTCCAAGAATTGTTTCGGGCATCGGAGTAAAACGCCCGCACCTCGCAATCAACTGTTAGAAACCTTGAAGTAGCCGCCAGATGCCGCAATTCGCTGTTCAGTAGTCCAGCCGGATCAGGTCACTGCCTTCGGACTTCTTTCCTCCACCCTCGGTGTTTTCGATCTGCACCGCACAGGAGGTGACAGCACAACCTCTGAGACTACCACATTCGTGCAAGCGCAAGCGTAGGAGCATTCTCTGATCGGAAAGCTTCGCAAGCAAAGCCTGGAGTTCGCCATGAAGTCTTGAAGACAACTCAAACACCATCCCAAAGCGTATTAGAATTGTACTGAGTCACGCCACATGTGTGCTGTACACTTTGACCGGACTGGCAGACGTATGATACTGTGCAAAATGCGCGATCAAGCATACGACTCTCGTCAAGCTGATGGCTGCCGTCGATGCCCGCTTTTGGCATCGTCAACTCACCAAGATTCGACTAGACTTCGTCGACGGTAAAACTAAACAAGCGATCACACAACGGTCAATGGTTCTGACAGCAACGACGTGCCGCGGTGAAACGGTGGTCTTGAAGCATCATCTCTCCGCAGGCGCCACAAAGTCTTGCCAGAGTGCAAAATGCCCGCTTATGTTTTCCGGAACCACACCCGTTCGCTCTGTGACCCTACGACTCTCATTATTGCGTCTAGGCTGTCGTGGTCGTATGCCATTATTCGTCTTTCGACCAAGTGCAGATGTTCACATCAAGCATTGGTGAGCAGAGCATGATTCATTTACGGTGTCAAACTGCCATTGATCATCGACCCACTTGACAACGAGTGGCGAGCAGAGTATGCTGCAACACTGAGGTATCTGCTGGACTGCTGCAATTCACACCTCCATACTCAGACCAGGGATCCGATATATACTGAATGAGTCCATCGGCCTTTGGCTTTCCGTCTAGACGCGAGCCCTACCAGCTTTGTATCGGCCAGCGAACTGTTCAGCCTCTGTTGAAGCACAAGACACTCCGCACTTAGCAATATACGATTGGAAGATCGCCGAAAGGTATCGTCGTAAATATCTTTCTGTTCACTACAGGCAGCAACTAAAATATCCGTCGTCGTACCTTGCAGTGCTTGGTCTGCGTGGGAAGAGCAAGCAATGTTGATTACATCCGTCAAGGAGGAATGTCGTATCTCATGGTTAAATCTTCACAATGCGAGACCGTTCAGCGCGAGGGTGCAGCTGTTGTCAGGATGGCGACTCTTGTTCAATGGTAGCCCTATCAGCATGTCATCTCTCCACCCAACGACTCGAGCCCCGTCGCCCCCCTTCCCAACACGTTGCCGAGTATGATGTCCGGGTAAATTATGCTTGGGAGAGGCCAGAGCAAATCCAGCCATATCAAATTGTAGCACGAACGAAGCCTGACGTGCGCCCTGGGTCCCAATCGTCGCTGTACGCTCTCGCTCTGCCACTGTGAACAGTCTTCGAGAAGGCATAGCCGGAAAAGACGTCTACTCGATACTGTGCTCCCGGATATGGACTGCCACTGGCCCACGTCAGCGACTTGTATGTCCAGATTACAGTGCAGCCAGTCCTACGGTAAAGCTTACTCCTCATTAGCAGACCACTTGATGTTGCCTTCGAAGTGCCAGTCACGATCACTACTGATATAGCTGTGATGCCAATCCGCCTTATTCTTTGCTGACAGAGCTTGATCAAACAGCTTGCCCACGCGAATGCCATCAGCATCAACCAGAGCAGGCTTTGGACTCTTCTGCCATCGTCGAACAAGATGCAGATCTGTACAAGGAGGTTGTGACAGAAACATCTTTCGCCACGACGCTTCTGGATACATGACTGCTGGGTTGCATTTCGGTGGTGCGTCGGCCGGCAAGGATATACAGACGTCCCAACTCCAGTGCTCTGAACCTCGTCGTCCTATCGCCATTTCGCTGTTGGTTGGAGCGTCGTTCACTATCACTAGTGATACGGTAGGATAGTGTGCTGGAAAGGCTCGCAGGAGCAATCGATTGTTCTCAGGTTTCTGCAACGATCGGTGACTGAAGCTGGGTCCATCGAAAGCGCGGCCCTTCAATTTACGATCGGGAGCAAGGAAGAGGGCCTGTTGAAGACGTATACTGCTCTGTATGACCTGTCGAAAGCTTTGTGAAATGCGTTGCGAAAGGAGCAGATCTCTTTGTGGCAGATGTAACAACACTAATTCAAGCAGCTCTGGTATGCGAAGCATGTGCTCTGCCGCCGTCTCCATCGTCGAGTGATCGCTGCTGTGGGATGTATGCCAGTGCCGCTGTGATCTTTCGTTCGTCGAATATACGGCACAGCATGAAGCGGTTTCGGCGATCCTTGTGGAATTGTACAGATTGAATCTCGTTGACATGAGGAATACGTTAAAAAGGGATGCAGAGCTGCCATCACTCACATGACCCGAGGTCCAGCATACACTGCCGATAACCTCGATTGTGGTATGCTTTTGGGAAGAGGCGCGCATGACCATGGCTCCCACTGTTTGGCCTGGCATGACGTTGCGTGGGGTTAATCTCACGTGGCATCTCTCCCTTATCTCCCCGCCCTATCACCCCTCACTTCACTTCTCCCATCGAGAAGTGGCCTACAGGTCGATGACTACGGCACGGCAGTGCCGGGCCCTTCTGAAAAGAGCAACCTAGACGCTCGTGTTTCTGACATCAAGGCGATATGCCTGCCACGACACGAGTGGACCCGCAATGGCTGAAATAATTCTCTTAATGTGGACATTAATGTACATTAGAATCTACAGCATAAACATGATGAGGACGCCGAGGAGCGATCCAAGTCCGTGCCGGCTGGAAAGCGAGGTCTGCACTCCTTCTGATGATTGAATTGCAGATGTCTTAGCACTACCACTGGCAGAAGTCGCTCCACTGGTGACCTTCGGGATTGATATGCTTCCAGTTGATGATCCTAACGACGAGCTTGGCGAAGCTACCGTCTGACTCGATTGAGCAGTAACAATCGTCGTCGACCAGGCTGCCAGTGTCCCGTCCTCAACAATCCCGCTGGATTGTGCACTGTAGGTGTGCCCACTGAGTGTGAGAGCGGATCCGCCAACAGATAGGGTGGTGCCGTCGATCGCCATAGCATCAGGAGATGTAGAGACTTGGTACGCTGTGATTGTCTGGCCAGCGGCTGTAAGAATAGCCTGTACGACCTTCCCCACATGCGACCCACCGCTGACATGTGTTGTTCTCTGACTTGGATCTGCTGCTACCACTGTCGAAAATGGCACGACTCTGCCGTCTGCACTGAGGCCATTAGTACCAGCGCTAACCACGGCGCCACTCACTGTCTTCGCTTCGCCGCCGACAGTCAAGGTCGTTCCGCCCACGGCTACCACATTGGAAGTGTCTGCTAGTCGATAAGCCGTGACAGTCTGCGAGCCCAGTGTAACCACAGCCTCGATTTGAGTCGTTGGAGACGCTGCCTCGAAGACAGCCGTGTTCGTACTGCCACTCTGAGCTACGACCAGGCCAGTACTTGCAGCAGAAATTGTTGCGCCGCTGATGGCGATGGCAGATCCCCCAATGGAAAGAGTCTGTCCTGCCACAACAGCTGCGGAGCCAGATAGGAGTACGCTAGCAGTGTATGCCACGCCCCCTGCAGTCACGACCGCTTGCGAAGAGACTGTACGCGCTGGAGCTGTAATCACTGGCACTGTCTGTAAGCCAACTACGAGACCACTTGAGCTAACACTGATGGTCTGCCCAAGGACGACAGTAGAAGCGCCTTCTGTCAATGTAACGCTCGTTCCCGAGGTCTGGACGATCGCGGCTGAAGAGCTGGCGCCTGGTAGAACGGTGTATGCTTGGCCGCCCGCGGTGACAGTGGCTTGGGGTGCAGCGACAGTGGCAGAGTCCGCAGCATCCGCAACCGCACTGATGGTAGTGCTTGTGCGTTGTTCTTGTACCGGATCTGTGCCATCGACGGCAGGATTGCCGCTATTTCGACTCGCAGTGTTCGCACTTGACTGGGCCGTAGGATCCTGCTGACTAGATATTGCTGATGTCGTCTGTTTTGCAGGACCAGATGGATCACTGGAGCTCTGTTGGGCTTGGGTGAGAACACCAAGCGCATTCGATGGCGAGGTTTGGCTCGTGGCTTGCACTGTATCACCAGAACTCACCCCTGAGACTTTTCCGGTGGTTGTCATAGCGACGTATGCTGAGCTTGACCGTGCAGACTTCACAGCCCCGACTGACGACTGCGCTTGTGTCGGTGCGGTACTACTGCTGCTGGAGCCGGAGTACGCAGCAGGTGCGACCGCCGTCGCAGAATTTTGTAGCGGGCTACTGGCGCTACTTTGAGCTGCCGCCGAGGTGCTGGTAGAGACAGAGATTGGAAGTGCCGTTGCGGAGGCAGTTGGCGAGGTAGGAGTCGAGCTGGGAGATGCTGCAGTGCTCGTTGTGCCTTGGCCAGCTGGAGTCGTGGGTGTGGCTTCCACGTCGGTCGGCTGTAAGGCCTTGGGTGGGTCGTATACGCCCTGATATGATCAGTGCCAGGCTAAATCAGAAACGCGTTCACTTTTGCACTGACCTGCCAGAACACATCGCAATTCTTCCAAGCCGGATCAAGACTCAACACGTGCTGTGGTACGGACAGGACGGGCTTGTAGTCTGTGTAGATCGTACTGCAGAAGGAGTCGAAGCAGCTTGGCTGATCGAGGTAGACAGAGAGCGGCACGGGCGTCATCGCAAGGTTCGTATAGTTCATGAATGCCGGTATCCAAGTCCCGTGGAAATGAGGAGCGTCCGGAACCATCTGCGGCCCAAGTGACCCATGTATCGAGCTCACTTGGTCCGGGAGCATGGCGATGATGCTTCCACTGTGGTTCCTACCTACTGGCTGGCTGCACTCATCGAAGGCCCACGCAGAGTCGAAGGAGACGTACACGCTAGGTGAGGTCATCGTTATACCTTTGAATACTGTTGTTCGAGTAACATTTGGCGCGTGCGTGATGGGTATAATCTGCGTGCTCGTCGATACGTTCAGGCCGGAGCCAATTGTGTGAAGAGATGTTGTCGCGACTGGCCAGTACAGCAAGTCTACAGTGCCACCAGTGATGGTACAGTAATTCGGATTGCAACCTGATATGCATGCTGTCATTGCGTTGCCGGGGCTAGAGCATCCTGGTTGTGTCGCCGTTAACAACGTGTTGCTATAGCTGTAGATGTACGAAGTATACGTAAACGGCGAATACGTAGTGGACAAACTCTGCGATCCTGATGCCAGGCCTACCACAGTGGAGGCAACCTCGACAAAGGAGGTACTGTCACGAATGAGAGTCTGGGTGAGGGTTGTGGTGGCATTCTTGGTGATCTGGGCGATGGTCGACACCTGGGGATCGAGGTATAGGGACGTGGATGTGAGAGTGGCGATCGCTGTCGCATTCTGGGTGAAGATGGCCCAGTCGGACTCGCAGCTGGAGAAATATTGGCCACACGTCGATAGGCAGCCTGGATCAGAGTACGCGCAGCTTGTGGCGTAGGTGTAGTTGTGCCAGGTTGTGTATGGGCTCGGAAGTGTCCCGTTGCCAGACATGCTTGTCGTCAAGCTGGAGATGGCTGTAGATGTGGCTGACGCTGTCGAATTGGTGAATTCATTGCTGTAACTCAAGCTCGTGCTGCTTGACACTGTTGATGACGTGGTAGAAGACGCGGCCACACCAAGACCACTGAGGATATAGCTACCTACACCTCCACTTGTAGAAGAGGCCTTGTCACTTGTGATATCGCTGGTGGAAGCTGAGGAGACACCACTGGCTGTAGACATGCTGTTCCTTGTGCTGGAACTGCCGTTCGATGTGGTGTTGCGGATCGCTATTCGCCGTCAGAGTTCCCGTTCGCGCAGGGCAGTACTCGACCAACTTACCAGAGGCCACAGATATGCATGAGGAAATCGCGCCGCAAGTTGTAATGACTGTAGGAGAATGCATCGCAGCGGCCTTGTCAAGGCCAGGTGTCAGTTGCTACAAGGTCCAACGAAGAGAGGGAAATGAATGGCAAGAAGGCATTCCACGACTCAGCCACGAGCAGTATGTTGCATGCAATCAGAGATGCAGTAGATCGAAATGTCAGCCCTACTGTCAGCAGGGGTATCGTTCACTGGGAGCAGACCGTGCGAGAACCCGCACACTGCCTAGGATTGATTGCATCGCTTCTTGCAACCAAAGGTCACCTAGATAGCCTACGAATATAGCCCCTCGAGCATTCTCAGCAATGAACGAGAATGCCTCGTCAGATCGCGATCGCTGCGTATCTCTCTGTTGGAGCATTTGCTTCATCGATCCGGACTTGGGTGTCACTGTAAAGCCGTCGCGAGATGCGCCAGGCAAGAGCAATGATTTACGAGATGGTGATGCATATCTTGGTTGCTAAGCTGACTTCCAAGACGGGATATGGTCGTGTAGGTGACTCGAGTGGTGGGAAGAAACCTTAGCGGCCAGGGGAAACAGCCTGTAACAGGCCTTCAATATATTCTGCATTAGTAGCCAAGACTAATTTCCGGTTCGTGCTGACATGTGCTTCGCCGATAGTCTGGACGCTGAGGGCGTTGGGGCCGGATCTCGATATTATGCCTGCTTATGGAGTCCCACGAAACAATATCGCCATCGACGCGGTTTCGATGAAATCTATAGAGGTGGATCTGCGGGCCGAAATCTAGACATCCTCGGCGTTTTCTCCGCCCAGATAACATTTCGTACCTGAAGGTGCTGTAACACACGTCTCGATAAACATCAACATGCCCTCCTTACCTTCACCACCATTCATAGAGGTGCCAGGCATCGCGAACTTCCGCGGTGTAGGCGGTAGCCATGTCGGACCCGGACTTTTATACAGGTCCGCTGATCCTTCGAAGGCCACGAAAGCTGGTCTGGAGAAGATGAGACAAAATTTAGGTAGGTGAGGATGAGATATCTCTATGCTTGACTTGTCTCTCGGCACGTGCGTAGTGTTACTGAGCTTGCTTGGCAGGCATCAGAATGATTTTTGACTTGAGGTCTGCTCCTGAGATCAAACGAGATGGAAAGGAATGGGCTAGTGTCCCTGTAGACGATCCGGATGTGTTCAAGGCACATGGCATTGAGCGACAGTGGGTGCCAGTCTTTGCTGAGGAAGACTATGGCCCCGAGCAAGTCGCTCTGCGATACCGAGAATACACGAAGTCCGGCTCAGAGGGTTTCGTCAAAGCATACCACGACATACTACTCGCAGCACCGAAGTCGTACGGAACAATCTTCCGCTACCTTGCCAAGGACAAACCGGCGCCATGTTTAATCCACTGCACAGCCGGTAAGGACAGGACGGGAGTCCTGATCGCACTACTGCTGTTGCAAATCGGTGCACCGGCAGACGAGATAGCAGACGAGTACGCCCTCACAGACCTTGGCCTCGCAGAAAGGAAGCCAGAATTTATCGAGCGTCTTCTGTTGAACCCAGCAATAGCTGGTAATCGCGAAGGCGCCACGAACATGGTCTCGAGTAAGAGGGAGAATATGCTGGCCAGCATAGAGATGATACGCAAGGAGTTTGGGAGCCCCGAGAAGTACATGAAAGAGTATTGTAGATTGAGCGATGAGGAGATACAGAAGATCAGGAAGAATGTGCATGAAGGCGCTCTTGAGCATATGGGGAGATCGTAGCTCGCTAAGGTAAAGATGACTCGAGAATGCGGACCACATCCGATTGCCAGCGTGGTAAAACACGTATGGACAACCAAAGCACTCGCACTGCAACCATGTACCACTAGGCAGCACTTCGTACTGCATCCGTGAGCCTTGGTCGAGCTTCTCGGACCATTTGAGCGCTGACATGAGCCAACCAGCATCAATGCCGGTATTGGGTTTATGCATGTGCAGTAGGCTTGTGAAGTGGAAAATCTGTCAGGCAGGATTCGTATAGTGGCATTGTCTACTGCCAAGGCATCTGTTGTGCTGATCTGACCCAGACTAACACAGGAATGGTCGTCGCTGCCTTTGGCTCGCCCTTTCGTAGCCCGCTGGTGCAGCCTTGGGCAGGATTGAGATGCATTGAATGCGCCACATTCGGCTCAGCTGAGTGTTGTCCAAGCCAAATCTGGACTGAAGGTGCGCAATGAGTGGCAAAGTCGGTCGCGAGCCTACTATACCGTCCATGATTGAGATGATCAATGACGTGCACGAAATCAGCAATGTATGGCATATGTGCATGTGTTCTGGTTGTTGAAGTCGTACAGGATGCACGTCACCGTCGTCAAGCGACAGGGGTGTCCGAAGCCGTTGCCATGCGATGGCGCAGCACAAACTTTGGCTTATACCCAGCCTTTTGATGGTGAAGTAAGCCGTACCACTGGTACCTTCACAATACGACGCTGCAAATAGAATCTCCAGACCGCAAAAGACAGCCTCATTCAACAATCACATTGTCGGCGCCGTTGCTACCGAGTGTATCTGTAAGTTCACACCCACCATCTTCTGGCTTGACTTGTTCGACATTGCCAAGTCTGAGCGTGCTTGAGACAGCGTGGAAAGACGTTTGCGGCTTCTAGACAAGGCAGAGCGGACGGTGCTTGGCTACTTCTTGTTATAGGCGAATCATTGATCTACCAGAGAACGACTGCTTGGCTGCTGTCCACAAGGCTTTGCCGAGAAGTGCTTCGCAACACACGATATGTCGTACGACCGTCCGAGCAATGAGTACGACTACCCACGACCGCCATACGCCAATCATACCGCGCCACATGGAACAGTCTCGCCCGTGAGTGGTCGTGGCTCCATTCGATCGTTCCAGCAGAATAACGCGTGGCGACCTTCAGGACCACCTTCGATCCAAGAGTCAGCACCACCTTCGCCAGCCAAAAGGATAGCACAACCACATCATTACCAGGCAGCACCGCGAAACGATTACCACAATGATCCGACCTCTCCAGCACCGTTCAGCAGACATACGAATTCGGTCTCTAGCAGAAGCAGCTACGCAAGCTACGGTGTTCCTGCGACAGCTCAGGTTGGTGTTCGTGTGAACGGACGACGACTCTCACCGCCGATGGAGGCGTACTCGAACGCTGGAGCACTCCGCGACATTGACAATCTGTATGGTGGCCGGACTATGATCACACCTTCTCCTGAACCCCAGGAGACGCCTGCGGATCGTCCTTTTGGCAAGCCACCGGTTCAGTACGCAGAACCTAAGGTGCTTCTAGGGCCTGATCACAGGGCAGCAACTTCACAGAACTCGGTCGCGCCTCTCTTACCTGCCGCTCAGGCTGCTCAGCCGGAATATGAGGATGATGGCAGGCCGCACATGCAGCATAGAAGAAGTATGCCACTTTTCGAGGCTGCGGGCATGCGGGATTCCTATGAACAGAACTATGTGAATCAGCAGGGCGATGGGTATGACGACCGTGATGATCACATGCCTCGTGGCGCAAGTCATGACTTTGACAACTTCCATGAGCAACTCACACCACAACAGCGACAAATGGAGTTGATGTCTGATATGCCTCGTCGTGTTCCAGTGGCCTCTCGTGTGCCCGATAGTGCAAGAGGTGCTGGAGGCTATGCACCTGCTCCGGCGAGCAGAGCACGCGGCATAGACTCCGATCACGGTGACCTGCGAGGTGACGAAGATCGAGCACGAAAACGTCGAAAGTGGACGGTGCTCATCATCATTGGCTGCATAGTTGCTGCGGCAGCCGCTGGAGCTATAGTAGGCGGTGTTCTCGGTGTGAGAAAGTCGAACAAGACCCATGGCACTGCAGGCACTGGGTCAGGCTCCGGTAACAGCAAAGGACTATACGACATCAACTCGTCTCAGGTTCAGACATTACTCAACAACAAGAATCTGCATCGCGTGTTCCCAGGCATGGACTACACGCCGCTGAACGCACAGTACCCGGCTTGTCTCACGAACCCACCTGACCAGAACAATGTCACGCTTGATGTGGCCATGCTAGCCCAGCTCACCCCAGCTATAAGATTGTACGGCACAGACTGCAACCAGACAGAAATGGTCCTCACAGCCCTCAACCAGCTGAATTACAACAGTAGTATACAGATCTGGCTCGGAGTCTGGCTAGGCAACAACGCTACTACAAACACCAGGCAAGTGGACCAGATGTACGACATTCTGTCCACCTACCCATCCTCCCACTTCGCCGGCGTAATCGTTGGCAACGAAGTCCTTTTTCGCAAGGACCTGACCGAAGCAGAGCTCGGCCAGCAATTGCAGGATGTGCGAAATAACCTCACAGCGAAGAACATCCATCTCCCAATATCGACTTCCGACCTAGGAGACGACTGGACGGCCTCCTTATCGGCGGACACAGATATCATCATGTCCAACATCCACCCTTTCTTCGCGGGAGTCACACCAGACGAGGCACCAGCCTGGGCGGATAACTTCTGGCAGACACACGACGTGGTCCTCGCTGACGCCTCTGCCTCGGGCAAGGGCTGGCCAAGCAACATCATCTCTGAGATCGGATGGCCGAGTGAGGGCGGCAATGACTGTGGAACTACGAATGCTTGTGCTAATGCTACTGCCGGGGCGGTAGCGAGCGTGGAGAACATGAATACTTTTATGGACGGGTGGGTTTGTCAGGCGCTGGCTAATGGGACGACGTACTTTTGGTAAGTTTTGTGGCCGGACTCTCTTCTGGCTTAGATATTGTATACTAATATTTCTGGTGCAGGTTCGAAGCTTTCGATGAGCCTTGGAAGGTCCAGTTCGATACTGACACAGACAAGTGGGAGCCGAGATGGGGTCTCATCGACTCCAACCGTAACGTCAAATCGGGTCTGAAGATCCCTGATTGTGGTGGAAAGACACTCTCGACAGCGTATTGAGCGTCTGGCACATGGTCATGAGCGAATGAAGAGGCATAGGATTCAGTATGGCACGCTGCATCATGGATAATGGTGGATGCTTGTGATGGGGATACCCAAGAGATGCATGAGTACGATAATGAGTATGAAAGTAATGTAGCATGCGTTGTATATAGATAATCAAAATTTGGTCGTGATAATTGCTACCCTTTTCCAGATGCACACCCAGCCAAAGTCCATATGTCTCAAGGCTTCTCATGTGGTATGATCATACCGTTGCGCAGGAGCGTTATAGTAATAAAGTACGGCACGCGCTAATGGGGTATCACAACGTCTCAACCATATATGCGAACACATGTACTCCTACCCCGTCCCATCCCATCCACGAATGACCACCACCATACATAGCTGCGCCAGCCACCAAATTTAGATTTCGTCCGGATCCTTCAGACCGACCTCACTTATGCCACACCCCCTCCCCATCCTGCACTCCAATCTCATACCCCAACAACACCTCCGTCCCAAACCCCTCCCACCCCCGATTCCCGGCCGCAGACAACATAAACCGACACCCAGAATCCACGAAAATCTCACTGATCGTCCCACCCCTATGTCCAGGCACAATCGTGAAAGGAACCGCGGACCTCGCCCGCCCCTCAATCTCATCGTGTTTGAGGTCGTAGATCCGCAGGATATCTTGGCTGGCGCAGACGAGGTGGCGGGAATTGGGCATGGCGCGGACGCTGTAGACGGGTCCCGAACCGGCTTGGAAGCGGAATTGTCGGGTCGGGGCGCTGGAGGTGGAGGAGAGTTTGTGCATGGAGTATTCGTCTACGCTGTTGTTACGTCTTCCGGCGAAGAAGGTGTTGCCGTCGGGGGACCAAGTTGCCCCTGTGCACCAGGGTGGTGTGGAGTCGAAAGGGCGGAGGACGGCGATGGGGTTTGGGAGGCGGCGGTCCCAGAGGCGGATGGTGCCGTCTATGCTTGTTGAGAGGAAGGTGCTTTCGGACTGGGCTGGGAGGTCCGCTGCGGCTGTGGAGGAGGTTGTCGTGCTTGTTGGATGATGGAGGCTGCTTTCGTTTGTTGGTGGGGCTGTGAGGGGTTCGTCTGTGTGTGGCAGGCCGTTTGTGAGGGGAGCGGTGGTTGTGTCTGCTGAGTCGGCAGCGAAGAGGGCGTCCGTGTCTATCTCGTCTGCTTGTGTGCCATTGGATAGATTGTTCGTACTGTCCACATCGATGGTAAAGTCCGCATCAGTGCCAGGTACTGTTGAGTCGAGTGGCTGCACGGGTCCTCCATCGCCCATACCAGCCATCTCCGTGTCCACTTCTCCCGGCGCATCCTGATCAGTATCCTGTAGACCATTCGCGAGTGCTCGACTGAGGTCATCATCCTCGCCGAAAGCGTTGCCTGCGCTGCCACCGTTTGTATTGTCTTCGCCGAACAATGAGCCATGGTCGTTCTCACCGAAGAGACTACCATCCGGTGAGCCCGCGGCATCTTCATCGCCACCGCCAATGTCAAAGCCGTTGCCGAAGATACCATTAGGCAGTGGCTTCTCGCTGTTGTTGGAAGAGAATGTCCCGTTCGTCGATCTTATCATGCTGTCTGGTACTTCAGGTATCGATGTATCGCTCATTGGCCTCATCTCGATAGAGCTGATCTGACTATCCGAGCCTTTGAATGAGCGCTTCAACTTACCTGTCTGCATATCCCAGTCGTGAATGTTCTTGTCCCAGCTCCCGGATAACAGTTGCGTTTCGTCCTGGCTCAGTCGAAGTACCGAGACAGCACTGGTGTGTTCTTTGAGAGTGGAAATGCGAGTACCAGCCTGATGTCTGCAAGTCTGCAGGTTTATGCCGCCATTCTCGGTACCCGACAACAGCCACAATGCCTGGTGCTGAGCGGCAAGTGAGTACACCGGACTCGTCCATTTCTCTTCGCCACCCTCACCCCTCGTCGGCGTGCGTAGAGTCGCATCCTCGTTCTCCCAGTACGTCAATAGCGAGCCAGCCTTCATCACACTATCCACAAATGGATGCTTCTGCGCAACAGTGAGCGGCACCTTGCCATTGGCCGTGTCGATCCAATTGTACATGCGCACATAGCCGTCGGTACCGCCAGAGAAGACCCACTTCATATCGGGAGTGGCGGCCACAGCGTTTATGGAAGTGGATTGTGGTGCTGCCATAGTCGGGACGATGTCGTAGGCTTGCGCTGTGAGAGACTCAGGTCGCGGCGAAGGATGCCATGATGCTACTATGCCTGCCCCGGGTGATCTCGCGGCCGAGTTCCGAGGCGAAGGTGATGTGCGAGTGAGCGAGGGTTGTGTCGGTCCTGGTAACCGGCGGGCTGGTAATGACTGAGAGGGTCGTTGTGAAGGTGAGTCGGGTTGGTCTTCGTCCTCATCATCGTCGCCATTGTCGTCCTCGTCTCCTTCTTGGTCATCCTCGTCATCCTCATCACCTTGCGCATCGTCATCTTGGTCGCCGTCCTGATCTCCATCGGCATCGGCATCCTCCATCTCCTCGTCCTCATTCTCGAACTCATCCTCGGCTGTAGGGTCGGCATCGTCGAAGTCTGCCATGACCTATCTAGCTGGATATGCTGTCACGGTCTGTCCGAGCTCTGGCGTGCTCCTGGAGTGAGCTGGACGAATACGGTGGTAGTCAGTGAGCCGCAACACCGCCTCAGCCAGGTCGTAACGAATCTCTTCCAATGCGTCTCTTACTACTCCTCCGCGCTGGCATTTGTGGAATTATTGCCAGTCATAGGATGAATTTACCACGTGGTAAATCTTTACATCTAACCCTGGTGACTGCAGCACTCAATTAGCCAGAACATTCTCCTGGAAGAAGCTCGAATGATTTCCAAATCCCAGTTGCTCGCAGCTGCCCTGCAGCACGGTCCAGCGGTCCGAACCTTACTCGAATAGGATTATGGAGACGCGACTGCCGTTCTGCTCTACTGCTTCACCTTCGCGACACAGCATGGCTGCGCTCACGGCCGATGTATGTCCCGGCTGCACGCAATGGCGTTGCAGTACCGCGCGTTTGTACAGATGGCGCAGCAGTGCGTAAACCAGACTAGTACGGCCGAGAATTGGTGCATTCTTGGCAAACACCTGATGCAAACGCATGTCAAGCACTCTCACCATAGACGACTAGACTACAGGTAGCTGCTGCGCTCAAGGACAGCGAGGGGCCAATGCATCTTTTGCTGCACACCTTGGCGTCACTGATCTCTCAGTTACCGTTCGGATGCTCACACGGAAGTACTTGCGGACCTCAAGCTCACCAAGTTGCATTCACCAGATCGCTCTTTTGCATCCTCCTGCTTCTCTTAGACCAGATAAGCAGACGAGGAGGGTCAGATTGCTGCTATTACCCGGTTTGCTGGAGCGTTTTCGGTTTCCCGCCGAAAGTGCATGCGCAATCGAACATGACGGCTGCCAACCCACCTCATGCACCTTCCCGCCTGGCGGAGAACTGCGCTCTTTCCTTTCTCGTCAGAAGTAAGTCGCCGCTGTTTGCAAACCCCACATCACACCTTTGACTTGACCTTCCACCTTCAACCACCAAGATCTGCACTAAGACAAACACACAACACACATGCACTTTCGCACACTGACATAAATAGCCTTGTCAGTGACACGTACAGCGAGGTCCAAACATGAACGAAGGGCTGACGGAGCGTTTCGGGCGCTCTCGACGCGTCTTCAGGCCAGAGCCCGGTCGCGACGTAGCAGAGGTCTGTATTCAACCACCGCAACTCAATCTCAAGGTGCGAGAGTACTTTGAAGATGCCAAGAGGGCGGTCGAGGGTGGCAGCTGGCTACTTCGTCCGGAGATCCCCTCGGCAGCCGAGATCCTGGACATTGACGAGACCGGTTCGGACTCATCATCAACCTGTGTCGAAATCGTGCCAAATAAGCCAAAGGGAGCTTGGGAGTCTAAGGGTACGTCCAATGTCACTGCGCTCACATTCGACCCCAATGCATCCGAAGCTGATGGCCACTCTATAGAGGCCTATCTAGGCGCACAGTACGAATTGCTACGAGAAGATGCAGTCCGGATGCTGCGGGAAGCGGTCTCATTGGTACGAGTAACGCCCGACGCCAAAGAAGACGCGTTCAACGGCAAAATCGGCCTGTACGAGAAGGTGAACACCCCGACGATCACGCACGGACTTCGATATACTGACATCCGCCGCAGGTCCACGTCTGCGGTATGATCTGTTCGGGTCGCGGGGTCGCAATTCGCGTCACATTCAGCCTCAGTCGCGTCGGCAAGCAGATTCGATGGGAGCAGAGCAAGCGTCTCATTACTGGTGGTCTTGTGGTCTTGACACCAGCCAAGGACATGTTCCAAAGCAAAGCCATCGTTGCTACTGTTGCCGCTCGCCCTATATCTGGTGCGCTGGATCGAAATCCGCCAGAGATCGATCTCTTCATTCGAGCGGATGAGCTGGAGCTTGACCCTACTGTAGAATGGGTGATGGTAGAGGAGAGGCAGGGCTTCTACGAGGCTCATAGACATACTCTAATGGGACTGCAGAAGATGACGAGGGAGCGGTAAGCACTCTGTCCCAAACAACTTACCAGCGGCACCAGCTGTTGTATCGCTCGCCAGCAGTGCTAACCTCTGCGATCAGCTTCCCACTGGCCGAGCATATCGTCGAAGTCAACCCCACAGTCTTATCTCCGCAGCACGTCGTCGACAACCCACTGGCTGACCTCACGTCTGTTCTACGCAACAACCGACACGAGACATACGAGAAGATTCACATGCTTAAGCACTGGCCTGCTCAACCCTCAAGTGATATGGATGCGTCTCAGCTGGCAGCGCTTCGCCGTATGCTTACGAAGAAGCTGGCGATCATTCAAGGTCCTCCGGGATGTGGCAAGACTTATGTCTCTGTTCAAGCTATCAGGGTCATGCTCGCAAATCACAAGCCTAAAGACCCACCAATCATCCTGGCCTGTCAGACCAACCATGCCATTGATCAGCTCTTACGTCACGTCGCGGAGTTCGAGAAAGACTTTGTCCGTCTGGGGGGAATGTCCAAGGAGAAGGAAGTCATCAAACCTCGCACTCTGTACGAAGTTCGCCAGTCAGAGTCTCGTGACAATGTCGCCGGATGCTTTAAGCAAAACGCCAGAAGGAAGATGAAAGATCTGGAGAAGGAATTTATCTTACTGCTGTCACCCCTGGAGCCTACCAAAATACCGCTGGACTTTCGCATGCTCGAAAAATTTGGTCTTCTCACTCCCAAACAGGCCGATACGCTCGAGTCTGGAGCCTCAGAGTGGGTGCAGGACAAGAAGACTAATGTGACTGACGCGCGCACCTCACCGTTCACAGTGTGGCTAACCAAAACGCTTATTGCTGTGCCACCGAAGCAGAAGCCGGAGCTGTACGAGTTCCCACTCGAGGAGGCGGATCTTGGCTTCGAGCAGCTCAAAGAGCTAGAAGCTGAGAACATGGCCAAGGATGACGAGGATTTCGACACTCTCAGAGGCTTACGACTGCCACTTGCCGACAACTTCACGTGCCGCAAGGTTACGGGCGTCACAGCAGCCAAAGTGAAGGATTTACTGAAGCAGCAAGACATGTGGAAGATACCGGAGGCCATGCGCGGCGAGGTATATCGCTACCTCCAAGGTGAGCTTAAGAACCAGCTCCTTACCGGCTTCCGTGAGAAAGCCAAGTTCTTCAACGAGCAGGCTGGAAAGCGACGCATCGGCCAATTCGAGGAGGACGAGATCATACTGAAGGAGCAGAAGGTTATTGGCATGACAACGACCGGTTTCAGCAAATATCGCGCTCTCTTGTCTGCGCTGCAGCCGAAGATCGTGCTTATCGAAGAGGCTGCCGAGACGCTTGAGGCCCCAGTCACGGTCACTTGTCTGGCTTCGGTGCAACAACTCATCCTGGTGGGAGACCACAAGCAATTACGTCCTCACTGCCACGTCAAAGCGCTTGAGGCCCCAGAGTACAGCTTCAACATATCTCTCTTCGAGCGTATGATCGAGAACGGTATTGATTTCGATATGCTCGCCAAACAGCGTCGCATGATCCCCGAGATCCGTCGCATACTCTACCCTATCTACGGCGACAAGATCAAAGATCACCCATCGGTACTCGATTCAGCCAAGCGACCTAACGTACCAGGCATGGGTGGAATCAACTCGTGCTTCTTCAGTCATGATTGGCCAGAGCAGCGCGATGATCAGATGTCAGCACTCAACAAATCTGAAGCCGAGATGGTCGTTGGCATGGCGGAGTACCTGGTCTGTAACGGTGTGGCCGGCCGAGAGATCACCATTCTGACCTTCTACAACGGCCAGCGCAGGTATCTGCTTCGACTTCTCGGGGCATCGCCTGTCCTGGTTGGCAACAAGCCTGTCGTGGTCACGGTCGATTCGTACCAAGGCGAGGAGAACAGGATCGTGCTTCTGTCGCTAGTGCGCAGCAATGAACACGGCCAGGTCGGCTTTCTGGATGTGGATAATCGTGTCTGCGTTGCTCTGTCCCGCGCTCAATGCGGCTTCTACATCTTCGGTAATGGAGCGCTCTTATATGATCGCAAGACCAAGAAAGGGCAGAAGAACACGTGGCGTGCTATCCTTGACATCTTGGCTGGCACCAAACAGATCAAAGATCGTCCTACATTTCAGCCAACCCGGCTCTTTAATCATCTGCCAATCACATGCAGCAACCACGGCACGCAGACACAGGTCGCGGATCCTTCGGATTGGCAGACTGTCAATGGTGGCTGCACGCGCGAATGTGACGGTCATCTACCTTGTGGACATCCTTGTCTGCTCAAGTGTCATCCCTACGGTCACGACGAGGTGCCATGTCAACAACAGTGCGGCAAGATGCTCCCATGCGGTCATGCCTGTGAGAAGAACTGCGGTGATGTGTGCTCATGCGCACAGTGCAAACCAAAGCGTCCAGTCGATACCACAAACTTCCCTCGCAAGCACCACGTGGAGTACGATGGCCAGGAGCGGCTGTCACGGACATCAAGCACTGAGTCATGGAAGTTGTTTGCTAAGGAGGAGAACGTTCGGTACAACATTGCTGCTTCTGCTCCACCATCCAACAACACGAGCCCGCAGAAGCCTTTGCGACTGGAGCCTGTCGATGAGAAGCTGCTTGATCTCGATGAGGAAGTCACGCCAAGGTTGAGCAAATTGTTGATGAGCCAGATGGATGGTACTTCGGAAGGCAGTGGCAGGACGATCACGCAGAATCTGTATGAGCGTGGGGGTGGCGCGCATAGTGATGATAGAAAGGGCAAGATGAAGCATGAGGAGTGTGGCGGCGGGAATTTGATTGTGGTGGATGAGGAGACCAAGAGTCATGCCAAGGACTGGAGTAAGGAGCATAGCCTGCTTGATTGAATGAGTGATGGCTTGGGGGTGCAAGACTGGGATGGCGACGGTTGAGATGCAGAGACTGCGATAACACAAGGTCGCACTCTTGCAGTCTGCGAACATTGGGGTAGTCAAAGTGGGCTGCGATTATTGCTGGTGGCTTCTGATTTGAGGTATGTCACATCGCTAGCTATCGCTAGACAAGGATCGCGACTTTATGATTACTTCAGCGAAAGACGTATTGATCGCCCAACACGATTGCCGTTGCAAAGTCTCGAAATGATCGACGACGGCCACTTCACTCCCACAAATCTTGACCAGGGTTCCAGATCCTGCACTCGAGTCGCACAAGACTCTTGATCACATGCTTACCCGAGGCAAGACCTCCATCGACAGCGTGAGTGCATGCGAGGAGTTGGCTCGGCTGGCTCTGATTGGTGGCCTTGCAACATTACTAGCGTCATATGAGTGGCTTGCCGCTAGTACCAGTGCTACCTGTTTGCCGTTTCAGGGCATAATACCTTCGAATTTCCAGCTCGTTCACCATCTATAAACCTCACATATCAGCCGTCACCGCCATTGGTGCATGATCACATATTCCGCAGCCATGGACGGGTTACGGAAAGGCGTCGCAGAGTGAGGGAGGTCATCCCATGCCTTGTCAACAGTCGTTCGTGAGAAGCTGACAGAGCGGCAGGCTATATGAGGACGGAGATTTCACCGACTTCACGATCCGTTGCGGCCAACACACATTCTCAGTCCATAAGATGGTGATCTGTGCGCAGTCAAGGTACTTTCGCCCGGCTTGCAGTGAGCAATTCGCGGTAGATTTACTTCTCCTCATGCATGCTTGTGGGCTATTTCTGATATGGTGTAGGAGGGTAGCAAAAAAAGCATAGATTTGAAAGCGAGCGGAAGCGACCACGACGACGACGGGTGTGATGATGCGGAGGCGATCAATTTGATGGTTCATTTCTTCTACTATGCCGACTATGAAGCCCCTGCATTGTCAGACTTGCCCACCACTCAAAAAGTTACAAAGCCAGCCGTAAAGACTTCCTACAAGACTGGCTTCTTCCCAGCTGATGCACGAAAGGTCGGCAAGAAAAGTAAATCCATGCCATCGCAGTCAGATGAAGAGGATGACGAGAGTGTGGTTCCATCTGATGGCAATGTGGTGATGCATGCCAAGGTCTTCGCCGCTGCCACCAAGTACCAGGTCTTCTCGCTGCAGGCTTTGGCATCCTCGAAATTCAAAGCCGCGGTCAAGCTGAGTTGGAGTCATCACGGTTTCGTGGAAACCGCTCGGATTGCTTATACCACAACGCCAGAAGACGTTCGTGCTTTGCGCGATATTGCGGCACTGACTCTGCACAGCCATGACAGTCTACTAGACAGTGCGAGGATTCAAGGGCAGATGCTTGAGGTTCAGTCGTTGCCTTTCAAACTGCTGCGCATGGCTCGTTGTAAAACGGCAGTGGTCGTCCCAGTGGATGCGGAGGGTCTGAAGTGCGAGGCCTGCGGACAGGCTCCATTCTTTGTCCAGTGTCCGGATTGCGGAGGAGAATTTTTCGGCTGCTGCAGTGATTCCTGCCAGTGCATCAACTACTGAAGGCTGTGCATTCCACAGTATCGAAAGAGATATCGTGGAAGAACGGTATGGTCGTGAACGACGGCTTAAGGTGAATCAGACGTGATCGAGGCGTGTACTCTGTGGTGATTGATGGGAGGGTTGCCGATGCTACTTAAGGAAGACAAGTACAGCTTCGCTACCCCTGACCGTGACTGTCCCATCAGCCGCGAGCATCTCTTGCTGTACTTTACCGCTAGGGACACCTCCTTCAAATGTCTGTCCTGCCCACTTGACATCCGTAGCATTCTTCGAATTGACATACGGCGCTGTTAGACGCTTGACATAGGTTTGTGAAGAAGAACCCCAACCGTGATGAGATTGTCCCGCACCTGGTATGTTGATCTTGACGGCAAAATCGCTGGTCGAGTTGGCGTAGTATGGCTGCATATTGATGATGGCTATCTTGCTGACCGTAGCATTGTCGTAGAAAGCATACGCGGCGAAGCGATCTGCGTCAACACCTGCTGGTGCGGCGAGAGAAGTCACCCGACTTCCATTCGTCGCAAACGCCTCTGCCAGAAAAAGCTGGCCTGCGAAGCTGGGCAAAACTCTAGCCGGTCCACGAAGCGAGGTGTTGGTCGGGTAAAACATGTCGTACGTGGAGTAGCCAGGTGATCCATCACTGGCTGCTGAATTAACCTGGTCGCTGCTCTGGAATACGAGCGCAGCACCTTGGTGCAGGTTGCAGGAGCTTGCGTTTCTGGTGGCGTATATCAGCTCGCTATCAATCACCCACAGAGCTTGGGCAAAGGTATCGGTCACGTTTGGGTTGCCGGAGCACGATATCGAATTGAATTCGCCGATGACCCACTTGCTTCCAGAGTCAAGAGCTGCTTTGGCGGAAGGGTAGATCTCATTGTCTGCGTATACTGCCAAGCCAGTATGGTTGAGAATATTGCTTGTCGTGGCCAACGCAGCCCGAGCAGGATCACAAGTCGAGAACGGATAGGAATGGATGGAGTACTCCGCAACTTGGTGAGCAGAGTCTATGCCGGCTGGGATGATGTCCGCCGGACGTACATTGAGACCAGACTCGTCCGTGGTAGCCGAAGATGCCCACCACCGCTCACCTGGGAAAGCAGCTTCACCGGCTTTCGCCACCTCCTGATTGACGGCTGTGTCGATGGTAGCAGTCCAGCTCTTCCATTGCTGGACATAAGCCGCAGTGCTATCGTTCCATCGAGCTTTCGGGTAGTTCGTTGGCTCGTTCCCTAGCTCAAAATACTCCACCAGGTCATTCTGATACATGACTGATGCCAGAGCCATGTCTCGTGCAATGTCCAGACTGCTATTGCCAAAGTTGAGGGTAGACACGAATTTCGTGCCATTTGGAAAGTTCGACCAGCTTTCGTAGTAGGCTGGACCGACAGTCGTCCTGTAGACTCCGCCAGCTTTGCTTGTCTCTCGGACAGATTCGCCGGCCTTTGGATCAAAGATCATGCTATCCATTGTAATACCACCGGGCCTGATGATAGGACGTCCGCCATGCTGATGAATGAGGTCCAAGAGCCGGAAAGCCAACGGATTGGGGCTCGTGCTGTTGCCGAAGAACTCTACCCAATATGCTGGCTCGAAGGAGAAGGAGGAGAAGGACGGGCTGTGAGCAATAGAGGCACCAGAGTCATCCTTTGGTACTATGAGCTGTACAGCACTGCTATGATGAGGTTCAGTTGGGTGAGAGATGACTCCCGGGCTCGAAGTTATGGCATATGCTACGGGTAGGAGGAACGCGCGAGTCTTCATTCTGGCAGATGCTGGCGAAATGGAAGTACAAGGCGAAGTGGACACCGAGATCGGGCGAACTATATATCATTTCTCTTGAGTTTACAAGTCGGCTACAGCTCGACCGACTCGCATAGCATAGGATGTGATCATCGCATGTTCGCGTCAGGCCAAAGAGCAGGACGGAAGAATTGTGGGTGAAGTAGATTCAGTTGCGGAGATGTGGAGCCGCGAACTTTGGAGTGAGAGATTGATTCCTCTTATGTTACGGAATACGACGGTTCTAAGCTTCGAAGTAAGACAAGGTCGGATAGTAGTAAGTTCCATCTACATACATACTTTGGTATGCACTCATTGCTCATACATAACAGTGTGGGTATCATGACTCCGTGCCCAATGCTCAAACGCTCAAACGCCGATGATTGCTTGTGTGCGTGACGACTGCCTAATCCAATGCTAATGCGCCTACGTCCTGGCAAACTGCGCATAGTTCCAACCGTAAATTCAATCCCGTTTCTTCCACGTATCTGGGCTGCTGAGGAGAGCATGTGTAGCCATTGGAAATGCTAGCTTGCTTTTGAAGCTGACCTGATGGAAGAATGCAAGCAGTCTCGGCCGGGTATCGACCTCAAGGGATGTCCAGTACAACACCACCAACTCATCGTGTCACAGCGATTGTTGAGGATCAGTGCCGCCAATGCCTACATTGACACTGGGATACCACGCTCCAGCTTGAAGAGATCAAGTGCCAGACTCGGTAGCTCCTGAATGATTGCCAGAACGTCAGGAGTGCGTGCAAGCTGTGGATGACAACTGAACGCTTCGCAGATTATGCCCCGAAGACCACGATCGCCGTCAATCGTAGAGCAGTAGACTTCTTCGATTGCTTCTGGAAAATCTGCCGAGTCGTAATGACAAGCCATTGCCATCTCGAATTTGGAGCGAGATATCTGCTTCAGAGAAGGAATGTCGTACTTCTCTGCAAGTGCATAGACCCGAGCATGTAGCAAAAGATGAGATTCGTCCTCTGGTAAGTTCTCATCACCTTCTACAGACTCATAGTCGGTATCGTCGTCAGCAACAAGGGGTGGCGTTCTTGAGCGTCCTCGTTGTGCTTTCTCGGTGAGGTCAAATGGTACCTTTTCGTCCATCGATGAAACGGGCGATACTGGGCTTTCTGGCGTGTAGCAGCCTGCTGCTGCGAGAAGTGGATCGCAGACCAGTGACATGTCGATGCGCTTTAGCAATTTCTTCCGCGCATCCGAGGAGGCTCGATGTCGGAATATAGTCGCTCTCGGTTGTTCTGGATGGTTCAAATAGTCCAAGTGGTAGAAGACTATGCGTTTCGTCAAACGTCAGATCGTTCTGGTTCGAGACACGCACATGTTGACCTACAATGTATCATTTGATTGACAGCCTCTTCATCGTCGTCTGAAAGGTCAATCATACGGCTGTCTGCTTCCAGGAATGAACTGCCACAAGCGCCGTCAAAGAAACCGCTGCGCGAGCATATGATTGCTCTGTGAACAGCCCATTGCCGGTAATTGCACACGACCGTCAAATCTGAATATTTCCCGCCAACGTGCAGCCTGCGTCGAGCATTAGTACCACCCATTGTTGCGACGGCAGAGAGTTTGAAATCGGCGAAGGGAGACTTACGCGGACAGAGCATTTAAGAGATCGATTTGTGGACAGTCAACAAGCGAGGTCGCAGAATCCGAGGAGGCCATTGCGCCGTTTGGAGTCAATCTTCCGGACCGCGCAGGCGAGTAACAATATGGGGAATGACCCTGCAGTTACTAGAGCCGAAGAGTCGGTTGGATTCAGCCGGTGGAGATCGGTTCGGAAAGCAAAAGGTGGTCGTCGTGACGCCGGAGTTACAAAGGATACAGTACTGTCATGAAGGCCTTTAAGAGATCTCGAAAAGATGCGCGCCTGTGGCATCTGCATTGAGGATATACATGTCAGCAACAAAGAATTCTGACAGGGTGGTGTGAGCGAGACGACACCCTGTCAGGTACTGGCCTTTCACAGCAAGCGATTTACACGCAACGCCGTGGACGCACTTACGCGTTGCGCCGACTGCTGAACACTGGTAAGTTGCCGCTAGTCGACCACAAGACTTATTGTAGAGAGGCGCAGATGCCAGACAGGCGTCAGATGCTACACACCCATGCAAGCAGTTGCAGACGGCAGATGGCCGAATGCCACTTTCCCCACGTACAACTCCGCCGCTACGGCGCTGTGTCACACCTTTGGGAAAACTTTGCAGAAACTGAAGCTCGCACGTGGCCGAAAAGTTGTGCAAGTGCCAGATCAACCAGTCGGAGTGTCTCAGGCATATGCCCGTGGGTTCTCAAGTCCTGAAAGGGATTGGTGAAGTACAGTGTACTCGAGATCCGGAAGCATATTGCATCCGGCAGAGAGAAAAGAGAATAAGGCGGCTCCTCTGCCTTGAAGCGCCAGAGAAAACTTCAGCGATTGGCGAGCCGGCGAGGAGTATGCTCAAACAATCTGCTTGCATCTAAAACAAAGGAGAAAGCAGCGGCCCGACCTTCACAAGACTCCCGCTATCAGTGTTCTAGATCCAACGCTGATAGAGCGACGGGAAGCAATACACTTCTTCAGAAGCACGGCCTGTCCAGGTGAACGATCATTCCGGACCATTGCCTTTGGTGGCCCTACACAACTGATTGAGGAACTGCATGTCTCGCCTGACCCAGCGCAAGCTCCTTCTCGTAGCTCCAGCAGACCTCAAGACAAAATGGAGACGAGCCTGCTTGCAGATTCCCGCTTCAAGCGCCACATCCCGGCTGAGGCATGGTGATTATCTTTCTGATAGGCCGGTTGATAACACCAAAGGAGCTGAGCCCGACAGCTCGGATCAGCCTGACTGTACGATCACGACACGCTGTTGATTTTATTCTCGACCTCAACCAGCCGCAAAGTGACTGCACCCTCCAAGCGGATGTCGTATCCAAGACCCGCCCCTGAAACTCCATCTACATGGTCACAGAGCCATGTTGTGTGCGCGTGCTGTCGTGGCGACCCGTCAACCTGTACATTCGTTTTCGACATGCACAGGGCTGCAGGGTCTGGACATTGACGGTTACACAACAGGACGCACGTCTCCCATTCCCAACCCAAGACCCTGAGCAGTCTGTGGCGTGCTGAGTGTGAATTATCAGTCGTCAAGGTATGGGAGAAGCATGTTAACATGATGTTTAGAGTCTCAAGAGAGCTGTCAGCTCTCGTTGTCATACTACTAATGAGTGTTCACTACTGATGCATTGAAGCCATGGTCGTGACAGAGCCCTCATAAGCAATCCCTACACAGAGCGTACTGCGGGAGTGGAAAGTGCATGATGCGATGGACGTGGTTGATGCTCCCTCACGCATGGCGTGACCACGTTGCAGAGTGCATCCCGTAGACATGTTACGAGCGCAGACCTGCGAGTGGCCCACGGGATGAAAATCAGCTTCACTGCGCGGATGTCTTCCCAGCACGCTATACAACAGCTGCCAGTCTTGGCACTGCATTCGTTACAGTACTTCCATGCACATCCATGCATGTCAGCATCTCGAGGCGAAGCCATATCACACTCTGTTGTGCTCGCTTGGGAACTGATCCGAAGGCTGTCTAGAACGTTGATCCGCAAGTTTCGAGGCAAGCCCTCGCATGTGGGCTACCTTTCTTATTCCTGAGGCAAGGCGAAGAAGATATTGGCCAAATGGCTGAAGCATGAATAAGGTGAGGGGCCCGTCCTAGTCTTGTAGTGGTAGCAATGGAAAAGTTGCCGCGATAGACAATGTGAAGCAGTCATCGTCTTGTGGCTTCCATGACAGGATTGATTCTACGTGGTTGTCCCTAGCACGATGAAAGCTCGGTTGATGCCTTGTGCTGCAATGGTCTTCGCTGACGTTGTGAATATGATCAAAATCAGTTTGAGGGCAAAAATTGCTACATCTAAACAGTGCCACGAGTCATTCAACAGAAGCCACGAGAGCAAGCAGCTGGATGACGTAAGCCAAACGAACGACAACATCTCTCGAAAGCTCAATTGAGACACACTCAACACATCCCACTCGATCAACGAAATCACATACTCGGTAGGTCCTGATTTGAGTCAATACCGACCCTGGTTCTGCTGCAGCTGTGCAGCCACGATGGTGTCTACCTCAGGAGATTTCCAGCTGTCCGTAACACTTCGTGGCCACGACGAGGATGTAAGTATCTCATGCTCCTCAGACCCTAATACAACCACGGATTGTAGCACACCTTTCGCACATAGCATTCACTTACTGGCTACTTAGCGAGACCAGACCTCGTTTGGCGCCACTTTCTATAGCTGAGGCTGGAACTAATTTTTCTTGAAGGTGCGGGCACTGGTCTTTCCTACACGCAAATTACTACTCTCGGCGTCTCGCGACAGCACAGTAAGGCAATGGAGTCTCACTGCACCAAACCCACCGACATACGACGACACTATTGCACTTCAAGGCCAGCATTGGTTCAACGGTCTTGCCTATTCGCCACCCTCAAAAGCATTTCCGGAAGGCGCTGTAGCAGCCGGAGGCCGAGAAACATTCGTATTTGTCAAGCATATTGGCAGTCCGCCTGATGCTGATCCACATCGCCTTCTCATTGGCCATGCTGGTAATGTTACCTGCGTAGCGTTTACCCAGGATGGAAGCAAGGTGATAAGTGGCGGCTGGGACAGTCAAGTCTTCGTGTGGGATATTGAGGCTGGTAATGTTGTCGCTGAGCTTAAAGGTCATGGTGCGCCAGTGTGGGGAGTGATGGTGTACGACGAGAAGTTCATCTTGACTGCCTGCGCGGATAAGATGATACGATTATTCGACGTCAACGGCAAAAGTCTCGCCACGATCAAGGGCCACACAGACGTTGTGCGGTGTTTCTGCAAAGTACCCACGGGGCACTGGTCCGGAGCAGCATTTGCATCAGCAGGCAACGATGAAATCATTCGGTTATGGACTCTGGACGGCACTGCCATGGGCGAGCTGCACGGCCACGAGGCTTACATTTACAGTCTTGCGATTCTGCCGAACGGCGACATCGTGAGCTCTTCAGAAGACCGGACTGTGCGCATATGGCGGGCTGGCAAATGCATCCAGACCATAACACATCCTGCCATCAGCCTGTGGGCAGTGGCCGCATGCTCTGAGACTGGAGATATCGTGACTGGTGCAAGCGACAAGATCATTCGTATCTTTTCGCGCGATCAAGAACGACAAGCTGATGCTGAGACGATTCGCAACTTCACCGAGAGCAATCGCATGTACGCAATACCTGCTGAGACTGCTAGTCAAGGCCAACCTTTTCAGAAAGAGAACCTTCCTGGTCCCGAGGCATTGCACTCGCAAACAGGTGAGAGGGACGGGCAGCAACTGCTCATCCGCGAGAATGACGGCAGTGTGACTGCCCATCTCTGGTCGAGCTCGACGAGTCAGTGGAACTTGATCGGCACAGTGGTCTCAGGTGAGGGTAGTGGCGGCGAGAAGAAGAGCCACGAAGGCAAGGAGTATGACTATGTGTTTGATATCGATATCGAGGATGGCAAGCCTCCACTCAAGCTACCATACAACTCGACAGAGAGTCCATGGGATGCCGCAAAGAGGTTCTTGGAGAGGAACGAGTTGCCGATGTCATACTACGAACAGGTCGCGAACTGGATCTCGGATAATACCAAAGGTGCTCGCATCGGGCAATCAAATCAGCCTCCGCCACCTCAGCAGGATCCGTGGGGTACGGAGAGGAGATATCGCCCTGGTGATGCTGGAGATGGCTCTACTTCGGGTCAAAAGAAGTTGCCGCAACGAAGCTTCGTTACCATCCTCGAAGGCAACGCTCAAAATGCAATCAGCAAAGTTACAGAGCTGGCCAAGAGCCAGCAAGACAGTACATCGTCCATCAGCGAGCAAGATCTGTCGGAGCTGCAGAAGCTCGCGGACCAGCTGAGCAAAAGCCCATCCGACCCTCATCCTACACAAAGTCAGATCAACACACTCTTCGTACCGGTTGCACGTTGGCCTGTCAAGGATCGTGTTACAGCCATCGCCCTCCTTGCAAGACTAGCAGTCTCACCTTCCTTCGTCACTGCTACTTGCTCGGGGGAGAACTCGATTGTCCAGAATCTGGTCTCAGCTGGTCTGTTGCAGCCAAATCAGCCTACTGCGAACAACGCCGTACATGCCATCAGACTTCTCGTCAACCTGTTCGCCTCAGATAACGGTCGTCTCATCGTGGACGGCGAGTTCGACTTCATCCTCAAGCTCGTCAAGCCATTCGCCGAAAACCCGGAATCACCTGCTCAGTACAAAGCTCTTGCATCACTGTACCTCAATTTTTCCGTCCTGCTTACCTCAGGTGCACCTTCCACAGAAGCCGCTCGTCGTGAGGCAAGAGCAAAGGTCTTACTCATCGATATTGCGACTCTGCTTGAGAGCGAGAGTCCGCATGCCACAGATGGCGATGCCTTGTTCAGGGTCTTGTGCGCTCTCGGTACGCTGCTTACGCTGGGTGATGGTTTCAGGGCTGAGATGAAGGGTGGTGTTGCTGGGACGCTGCATCTTTCTGCTTCAAAGCCGGGCGCGCAGCAAGGAACTGTGAAGGAGGTCATGCAGGAGATCAGGGACGAGATACGTAGAAGGCCGTCTGGTAGCTGTATGCTAGTCATGGCTGCTGCCGACGTGAACTGAATACTGCATTTCGCCGTATTGAGCTTGCGGAATGACAGACGAGGATCGTAGTAGAGCATATAGGCACCACGACCAGATCTCTATGGTAGTGTCAACAGTAGATCAGTACATCCAGCATACGATTCAATATCCAAGACAAGAATTCTGCATCATGTCTCCTCAGCCCTAATACGCCATCTCCTCCCTCTACCCCGCGCGCCAGGCCAAATATCTCCCGGCAAGTCGTCCCCAACCTCGAGCAGAAATTCCTCCCTCGCAAGCCTATCAGCCTCGTACAACTTGTCCAGCTCCCGCTGCGCTCTATTCGCCACCTTCTCCATCTGTGCCTCTGCGACTTTCCTTCTCTCAACTTCACGAAGAAGAGCAGCATACCCTTCCATGAAATTCTCAAACGAGGCGTTCAGGGCTGCTATGTCCTCTGTTTGGGAGTTTATGGCGAGACGGATGGAGGTCCAATTTAGGTGGAACGTGCGAGACGCGAGGGTGTAAGTTGGCAAGGATTTCTTAATGCTGTGAAATTGGTCGAGGACGTTTCGTAGTGCTTTGTGTGCTGTGCGCGCAGCTGTGGCTCGTTGGGTGAGCTGTTCGTACAGCATCTCCATACCTTCTGCGTGATCCTTGAGCTCGGAGCTCACGTCCTCGACTTGGCCGGCGTCGTCTTCTAGGACCTTGAGCATTTCGATGCGCTCGCGCTCGTCCATGTCCTCGGCCGCTTTTTGGCGGTATAGACTTTCTTCTTCATCGGGTGGGCTTCGAAGTTCTGCTTGCTGAATAGCTAGACGTGCTGCTTCGCCACCACCTTCGGTGTGCTTGAGCGCAGTGACGCAGAGATCATAGTGGCTGACGAGACTTTGTAGCAGTGTCGCCATCTCGGATGCATGATCCTCCATTCCACGAAATAGCTGGGTAACGCTGGGTGGTGTCACAGAGTCATATATTGTGCGCTTTGTGGTAGGGTCGCCGCTACTGCTGGTAGCAGTACCTTCCTGGAGAGTCTCCGAGATGTTATGTAAGGATTTGTCGAGGGCAGTAAGGCTTTGACCCAGCGTCGCTCGTGCTTCATGGTAAGAGTCTATGAGGCCACGCAAGGACTCCAACACGCTGGTGTGGCGAATCTCGTCTATGAAGTCGTACAAAGTCTTCGAAGATGGATGGCCTGGGCTCTGATCCTCATTCGAATCATCCTCGGGAGCAATGCTAAGGTCGCTACTTGCTTTCGCATTGTCGTCCAGACGTCGCTGAAGCGTAGCATCCACAACTGTCTTCCTTAATTTAGCCAACGTCTTCTCAAGTCGATCATGTGCCTCGTCCAGCGTCGCAAGGGTAGTGCCAAATTCCTCCTCTGCGGCATCTCCAGCCTCGGCCACGCCCTCACGGATGCCATGCAGGGTTTCGATCTGCTCGTCGACGCCATGTCGAGCGTACGAGTTCTTGGCATTCAGAGCAGCGATTTCTTCTATCAGGCTTCGCGAGTTCGTCACTAGCTCGTTTGCCCGCCAGACATGGAATGTTGAAGTTAATGAGCGCTTCGCAAGGACGAAGTGGGCAACCAGACGATCTATGCTTGGTGGACCATGAAAGCTAGCTTCTGGGCTTGCTGGTGGTGACGGCGATAGCTCAGCCGAGGACGAGTCCGTGGAGCTCATACTTGCCGCTACATCTATACTCCTCTATCTGGCTGCGTGTGCATCTGGAGCTACAGGAAGTCTGACGGTGCCATGTTCGAAGTTAATGCCTCGGAACAGTCAGGTTGGTTTGCCTTACTAATATTGAAAGGCTCATCCCCCACGCGACGGCCCGCTCGGCGCCCCAACCCTGCTTTGTCGGCTAGAATGGAGTGTTAAGGCGTGATCCAGTTGCTTCGAAGCACGCAATCCACCGTACAGGGAATCGACTGTATTTCGCTGTCCGACACTGGACACCCACATACGCCACTGCTGTTGATCGCCCCGCACGATTGCTGGCTCCATGACATCTCTCCAGCCCTCTCGACCAAGCCTAGATCTCACCTTCAAGCCAGACGATTGGTCACACGATAGCCACTCAGGACCGGCGCACCTCGAGAAGGCCATTGCGCATGTAACACAGGGCAGAGTCTTGCCAAGATGGCATCAGAATCGCGTGATAACCGTGCGACGGGGATGAGCTTCGTTAATATGGCCGATCGCCACATTCCTTCACGACTTGTTGGTCAGCAACCTACACCTGGCCTTGAAGAGGGATATGAACGTGATGAGAGAACAATAACCGAGCACGCAGATGGTGATCTGTGCCGCCACGACCATGAGCATGAGGGTCTAAGGAATCGATACCGCAAGGACGTTGGGGAGGGAGAACACAACATCTCCATTCCAGCCAGTTCGAAGCACGCAGAACAGACTGTTGCGCCTTTTCTGGCAGAACACATCCCGATGCAGTACAATCCTCACGGCAACTTGAACGGTTCTATACCGCCTCAGCAACCAGACGAGCCTCAAGAGGCCAACACGAAATTCTGCTACCGTCATCGACCAGACTTGAAGTGCAGACGGCAAGCCAACGAGCCTTCCATGGACCAACTACAGAACGAGCTCGCCAGTTTGTCTCAGTCCGACCAGCAAGCCATTTCCCACGTCTGGTCGCTGTTCTCTGCAGCACCCGCCAAACACCGCAATATGATGCTGCAGGGCATTCTTACCCAATGCTGCTTTCCACAGCTCTCCTTCATCTCGGCCAACGTTAGGGACCTGATTAAAATCGACTTCTTGGGCGCACTACCGGACGAGCTTGGCTTCAAGATCCTCTGCTTCCTGGATACGACATCACTTTGCAAAGCAGCACAAGTGAGTCAGAAGTGGAGGACATTGGCCGACGATGATGTAGTATGGCATAAGATGTGCGAGCAGCACATCGACAGGAAGTGCACGAAGTGTGGCTGGGGTTTGCCACTGCTGGAAAGGAAGAGATTGAGGATTGAGAAGAGACAAATACAGCTACGCGCAACAGGGAGAGGCTTGAATCAATGGTCACCCGCAATAACACCAATACCAGAAGATTTGTTAAAACAGCAGGAGTTGACGCATCACCCGCTTGCCTTGAGCGAGCCTTCCTCGAGTACGGGTTCGAAGCGGACTGCCGTGGACTCAGGTCTAGCTTCGCCAGAATCTGTGAAGCGACAATGCACACTTACGGCCCAACCTGAAGTAATAGCAGCGCCGGAGAACGATTCATATTTCACACAAAAGCGCCGGCCATGGAAGGACGTCTACAAAGATCGTTTCAAGGTCGGTACAGCCTGGAAGTACGGCCGCTGCAGCACGAAAGTCTTCAAGGGCCATACCAATGGTGTCATGTGCGTACAATTCGACGACAATGTCATCATGAGCGGGTCGTATGACAGTACAGTCAAAATCTGGGACGTCAACACCGGCGAGGAGCTCAGAACTCTGCGCGGTCACACTAGTGGAATCAGGTGTCTGCAATTTGACGACAAGAAGGTCATGACCGGAAGCTTGGATTGCACGATCAAGTTATGGAACTGGCGTACCGGAGAGTGCCTGCGGACGTTTCAGGCACACACTGCTGGCATCATCACCTTGCACTTTAGCGGACGATACGTCGCGTCAGGCTCGATGGACAGGACGATCCGTGTCTGGGATGCAGAAGCAAAGCAGACATTCCTGTTGCGAGGTCACACCGACTGGGTCAATTCGGTTCGCGTAGATGAGCCATCACGAACGCTCTTCTCGGCCTCGGATGATCTGACAGTACGGCTATGGGATCTGGACACGCGAGAGTGCATCAAAGTCTTCGAAGGCCATGTCGGTCAAGTGCAGCAGGTCTTACCCATGCCTGCCGAGTTTGAGCTTGACGAAGACATCTTCGGACCCAGCGACAAGGACGACGATGCCAGTAGTGTCAGCTCAGCCACACAAGCCGCGCAGCTCTTGCAAGAACACGGACGTGCTTCGCCAGCGCCTTCAGAGAACTTCTGGCCGGATTGTAGTGATCGCCCAGCACCACCCAGGTACATGCTTACAGGCGCCCTGGACTCAACCATCCGTTTGTGGGACGTGCACTTCTCGCCCACCGCACAGCAGCCAACACCACACTACGCTCGGCCACAGGCGCAGCCGAGCCATCTCTCACCTTTTATCATGCTACCCACCGACCCTCTCACCAACTCGCATACCCCACGTGCTCAAGCCTGCGTACGAACGTTCTTCGGGCATGTCGAAGGTATTTGGGCGTTGGCAGCGGATCATCTGAGATTGGTGAGTGGAAGTGAGGACCGCATGGTCAAGGTGTGGGATCCGAGGACCGGGAAGTGCGAGAGGACGTTTACCGGACATGCAGGCCCAGTGACTTGTGCGTGGTTGAGTGATTCGAGGGTTGCTAGTGGGAGCGAGGATTGTGAGGTCAGAATGTTATGTTTTGGGGATTGACAAGAGAATTGGGATGACGAGTGAAATGCTTTTTGGATTTAGCGATGGCGCTGGGGCAAAGTATATCATTTCGAGGCAAGACTTTAGCAATGAGATTTAGCAAGGCGTTGGTGAGAGTAGTTGAGACGTCTTGTTGCTTATGCAGGAATGTGTACGGACTTTGTCCACTTGGTAGGCCTTTGTGCCATGTACGGTCAGCACCGCAAACCTACCATGCGACGCGGGACACCTGTGCCGAGTCCAGCATCTGGTCAAAGTAACCAACAGAAAGTGACATTAAGTCAGAGCTACACACATCGTCAGGGCCTGCGTCCAGGAGGTCTTTGAGTAAAACATTCTCTCGCGACGAGGAAAGGTTGCAACGAGGTCCATATCCTTGGCGCGGAGATACATCTTTCTTAGTATGCCAAGGGATATCTTGTGAAGCCTCGTCACAGCACCGTATAACACAAATAACAAAGACTGTTGAGCAACGACAAGCACAAAATCATCAACATGACGTCCCAAGAAGTTGAGAAACCCAGCTTCGCAAACCGCGCCGGCCCTAACCTAAATCTCCCGGCTCGACTTCAAACGGCAAGAGCATGAAGATCTTCCTCCTTTAACACTACTTCTTTATAGAAAGAAGTGGATGCCATCGACAGGAACGAAAGCAAACAGCGGGTCTGCTTCGCCCAAGACGCCCGGATGAAATGCGAAGATCAGCGCTGCGTGGCATTAACCTGGAGGCTCGTCAATTTCGAGTCCCGCTACAGCACTGCATGCCGATGTGCAAAAACCCAATGAGAGTTGGTGTGGTTTTGCTGACTACCGATTGTATCTCACCATGCGGCACTCCACGCCAATGTCTAAAAGCCAATGAGAGTTGATATGATTATGCTGAGTCCACTTCCATCTCACCATGCGGCTCAGTCCGAGGACCTCTTACCCACTGTACTCCGTTATAATGTTACAGCAGTAACGTTCGTCGATCGGCATTTCTTACTCTGGACTTTCTACGACAACTGTGACGAGTCTTCTCCATATGTGGAGTCTGCACGACCGAGGGCGTGCAATTCTGTTGAACGGATCTACGATCCTACTTGTCGTTCCTGCATTCACGGGTTTAACCATCATCTGTTCTGGGACATGCCGTCGGCCGAGATATGGCATATGCACTGGCGGCTGAACGCCGTTTTGATATTGTGACGATCGCTCTTGAGCCTCTTCCCCACGCCGGTAGACAGCAACATGATGGACCTATCAGTGAAATCTCCTCGGTACGTGGCTCTGTACGCTGCTGGAGAACAAGAGGAAACCCGGTGAACAACGTTCTCCTCCATCACCGAGGTATGACGATCTCCTAGGATGCCGTCAACACGCCGTCAACACTCTCCTGCCCAGTGACGCTCTCCAGGTATAAGATGGTCGACACTGCCACCTGTCGCCCTCAATCGTGACATCCCACTTTCATCCCTCCCTATCCCTCTCCACCATGAGGACAGCCTACGCCCTGGTCGGCCTCCCGGCCTTCACCCTCGCCTTCCCAGGCATGATGGGCATCAACAACCGTGACGATGCCCTTACTAAACTCAAGCAGAAGCGCGAGCAGGAACTCGCCGCTGCAGAGGAAAAGCGTCAGCTCCTCAGCGGCGTTACTGGCGCCCTTGGTGGTGCCCTTGCTGCCACCCTTAACACTTTGATCGGCAACGTGGAAGCCGTGACGGAGAATTTGGATCCCGATAACAAGCGCCCGGAGCCTGGTTATGAGTTCATTGCTCCTGGTCCTGGTGACTCGCGTGGTCCTTGCCCAGGTTTGAATCTGTTGGCCAACTATGGGTACTTGCCTCGTGATGGGCATGTGAACTACGGTCAGGTTGCTGAGGCCACTGCGTAAGCCACCTCAATTAATCACAAATCCCAGCGCCCATTTACTAATGAATCTTCGTAGCCGCGGCTTCAACATGGGCGTCGACCTCTCAACCGTCCTAGCCGTCTTCACCATTCTAACCGACGGCGACCCAATCACTCAATCCTGGTACCTTGGAACCGGCCCCGACGGTGTCGGCGGCCTCAACCGCCACGACACATCCGAGTGCGATATCTCGCCCAACAGAGAAGACTACTATCTCGGATGCGGCGATAACCACCATCTCTCCTCCCGCCTCTTCAAGCAGAACATCAAATATGTCCTCGACGACCCCAACCACGAGTTCAGTCTCGACGCCATGGGCAACCACTATGCCGAGAGCGCCAGCTTCTCGCTCAAGAACAACCCGTACCTCTACTACTTCCCCTTCCCATCCATCGTCAGCACGGCGGCGTTTGCGTTCTACCCACAGTTCTTCTCCAACGGCACATACGGTGCTGGTGGCGTGGCGAACTATGAATCGATCTCCTCGATCATTGGTGCTCAGTACAACCAGGACTCGGGCGAGTTCGAGTATGTTCCTGAGAGGTGGCCCGACAACTGGTACCGTCGCGCGACGGAGTATGATGCCGTCCAAGCTCTTGCCGAAGGCTTTGGTGTCATCTACCCAAAGGTAAGTCGTAATCTCTACCATCTTACCACGTCTAGCACTCACTGACACTCCCTTAGAATCCAGTACCTATGCCGATAGCTCAGTTGGGCAATCCAGCGACTCTCACCCCTCAGACCATCCTCTGCGACATTTACGAAGGCTTGAACAGCATCACGCCCCTTGCTTTGGGAGGCGACGAAGAGGCAGCCGCCAACGCCATCTCCTCCCTGCTCGGGCTCCTTACCAATGTCGGTCTGGACGGTACAACACTCGGCTGCCCTGCCAACGCTCTGTCGCCCAATGCGGGATCTATTCTCTATCCTAACGCTAGCCAGCCAGGTGGTCCATTGAATTTGCCGCCAACAGCGGCAGATGCGCGGACGGGGAACAATGTTTATGATCAGGTGTACTTCATGCAGGCACCTACCAGCCCGCAGTGCAACTAGATGTTGTTTGATGTGTGAGCCTGGAGGATGTCAGCGGAGGCCGGTCTTCGGGAGAAACGGTCCCGTGGGAGAAAATTGTAGCATCAGAATAAGTTATAGAACAATCTTCATACACATTTCGCCTGCAACAATGATCTTCAAAGTGCTTCATTGGGTTGTTCGCAGCGTATATGGTTCAAGACATAGCCCTTGTCCGCTGTGGCCTTGAAGAAGCCGATATGAGCGAGCGTCCACGGCTTGGAGACAAGGGCGTGGATACTAATGTAAATCACGGGTAAAGGTCAACTAGTCTTCAACAACAGTACTCGGTGTACCTTATCGTCTCGATGATGTGCTGACAACGCAGTGTAAATGTACGCGAGTTTGTAGCTTGCGGTCGAGAACGCACCGCTGCTACTACGATATAAGCGCTCGGGTAGAATTTGGTGGCGTTCGGTAGGCAATTACCCTGTCTTTTATCGTGGACGAGATCCAGGTACTGGAGCATCGTAATAGATACGAGCAGACCCATGGCAGTTACAAGATGGATATCATTTACTATTCTGTATGGGCATAATCTTGAGCAGATCGTTGCCCCCGAATAATAAAAATGAAGCATAGTTGGGCTATCGGAGACAATGCCGGGTCTTCTTGCTACAGATAGAGTTGTATTGCAATCAATTGGCAGGGGGGCATTGATGAGATGCGGGCTGTGCGTCAGCCTTCTTACCACCGACCATCTCACATACACACAGCGCGCTTTCTCCTTCTTCGCACTGCTGTTTCAACACAAACTCTACATCTTCAGCTGGTCTTGAAACACTTGCCTCCTGCAGCACATCAGCGGCCAGCAGCAGACTCCTCGAACGTGTGGCCTGGTGTCACTCGCGTCTCTCATACCGCACCAACGACCCACCACGCCATTAACGACCCACGTGCTTCGCGACAGAATAGCATTCTACCCATAGTCCCGGCTACCATCAGTATTGCTTAGGCGCACACCCGACTGGTTCCCACCACCAGCAGACGCCCGATCACGCCCGCCCCGACCCTTCGTCACTCGTTTGCGCACCCTCACGACTTTCCACGAAGAGAAGCCATTACCATATCACTAATAACCACCCTGCCACCACATGCCCAGTTTCGGCAGCAGTCCCACCTCTTTGAAGAAGATGGACCATAACAACAACGGATTCGGCCGAGGGAAGGGCAATCGCTTCAATATTGGACATATTGTCGGAGATCCCTTTTCGCTGGCTACAATTGGCATAGCGATAGTGAGCACCAACCCATACACAGAGCAAACAGCGCGCGGATAGATACTGACATATGGCAGGCAGGATGGTTGATAGCCTTCGTCAGCTCGATCATAGCCGACATCAGCCAGGACTACCCCAATTACTCGTGGTGGGCGCTGGCATACACTTTCTGCGTCATCGGCGGCATAATCACTGCCGTAGGATTTGATGCGGTCTACACTTATCACGTGGCTATTGTTGGGTTTTTAGCTGCTGCTATGGTGTTCACAACATCTGCTGTCAACTCGCTGATCTACTACTCGAGCGGGTCGAAAGAGGCAGCTGCGGCAGGCTTCATTCTGCTGTCGATGGTTTCGGTAGGACGAATTACAATTTCTGTGCACGCGCGTGTACTAATATATACTGCAACAGATCGTCTGGATCTTCTACTTCGGCTCCCAACCAACAGCCACCCACCGCCAGACCATCGACTCCTTCGCCCTCCACAAAGACCGCGCCCCGAGCACCCGCAACAGCCGCCACATGACCCAATCTTACGCGCGACCCGAGACCACTCACTCCCAACAACCACCCCAAATGTACAACGCCAACCAACTCGCCGGCTTCGAGACAAGCAGCCCAGTAACAGGCTACCCAGGCGGCGCAATGGGCGCGCAAAGCAAGCGCGAAAGCAGCAACACCGCCTTCCCGCAACCCATGAACACCAACCACCCTCACCCTCAAGCACCCATGCACCAAAATCAATCCCTTGCGCCCACGGCACCCACCACCTCCGCCTCCGCCACCGCGCCTTCACAAGGCGAAAGCGCCATGTCCGCCGGCCCGACAGAATACCCATACCGCGCGAAAGCGATCTACTCGTACGAAGCTAACCCCGACGACGCGAACGAGATCTCCTTCAGCAAGCATGAGATCCTCGAGGTTAGTGATGTGAGTGGACGGTGGTGGCAGGCGAAGAAGGAGAGTGGGGAGACGGGGATAGCGCCTTCGAATTACCTGATTCTGTTGTAAAGAGAGCCTTGCGATCCGTGATGGAGAGGAGATGAGAAGATTTGTACCAATTGAGCAGAATCTGGCCGGTTGGATATGAAAGGGGCAAAGAAAGAAGGAGTATGTTCATGTCAGTCTTGTCTATTGGCGATGGCGTTTTTGCGTGTTTGGGCACTCAAATGGAAGGATGAGGTTGGGAACTGGATCAACCACGTGGGATTTGCTTGTCAGAATGGACCCTCTTTCGAGGCATTGGCAACGGCGCGATGATACCAAGATTGCTTTTCTCCTCCCCACCTTCTGCGCTTCGTTCTTTTGCGAATTGTAGGGGAAGCAGCCCTTTTGGAATTATTGGTATCGTTGTTGGAAGAGTAGTCTTTTGTGTGTGCTGCTGTCACAGGTGTTGTAAGTTCTTTTCCATAGCATGTACGCTGGGCGAGCATGAGGTGGCAACTGTTTGGTTGAATATCTGGTGGATTGCTTTACATCCAGTGCTTGTCGTTTCGAGGACTACCATATCGTATTTGAGGAACAGGGCAATCCGGTTTGCTACGGACGGTTTGCTGCGTGCAGGTGATCAGGTGTGAATCTGTGAGAAAAGCGCGATTCTCTATTGCTTACTTCTACTTTCCTGCTAGATTCTCCTCTTCCTATCCCCTTTGTGGTTTTGTCGACTCGACCCTCCTTCTCAGTAGTCTGGACAGAGTATCGAAGAGCGATTTGAAAAAGCTGGCGGTACAAGCGCGGCTTTCATAGCAGATTATATAGATTATGTACCAGTCCATAATCCCTGAAATCTACTTTCGATACTGTCGAAAAGTTCACCATCGCGTTCTTGGTCTAATGGTTAGGATTGCTGCCTTCCAAGCAGCAGGTTCGGGTTGTAAGTGTTGATTGAGAGAATTCTTGTTGCCGCTACACACCATCTAATGCGTGTAACAGCAATTCCCGGAGGACGCAGAATATTGCCTTCAATTCTTGCCTGATCTGTTGGTACTCTTCTTTTTTTTGCTTCCATGGCACATCGAGGAGAACCTTGTGGTGTGAAAACGAAGATCATGTACACACCACTCCCTCGAGTAGTAAAAGATGTGGCTTCTCTTCAAACGGTACATATCATATTCACAGTTCACAAGCAACGGTACCTTTGTTCAGGGTTTGAAGGTGACACAAGCAAGGCACATGAGCGAGCTTTTTGGCGAGACGCCCTTGAGAGGGAAGGCATAGTCTGATTTGTTGCGATCTTGACACTGACGACGACGTGGCCAAAATGACGATAATATGAGAAGTGAGGTAATAGTATGGTGAGCAATGCTTTGCAAAACTATCTACACAGTCATAACCATCGTAACGAGATATCCTCACTCTACACCCTAAGCTCCGACAGCAGCCTCCTTGTGCGTACCAGCACGCGGAGCACCATTGTTGTTACCACTGCTGACACCAGGCGCAGTCATGCCATTGGCATTGCGGTTGGCCTTGTCCTTGGCCATACCGTTATGTGTACCATTGAACCTCATGTTCGTGATACCATCATAACCCTTGGTGCCCGTGGCCTTCTCAAGGCGAGTGGCAATGTCATCACTGACCTCACGGAAGATGGCGATCTGGCGCTTGATAATCTCCTCCTCGGTGCAGTTGCTCATGTGTCCAGACACATTCTCAATGAAGCGGCTTCGCGCATCCTCATCCCATACTTTCTCCCACAAGGCGCGTGGAGCCTTAAAGTCTTCTGGTCGGATCTCAGAGAGGAAGGTAACAGCTTCGCCAATGAAGTGGCCGTGCACCTTGTCAAGGTTGACCGAGCGCTCACGGAACTCGATAGGCTGGATCGAGCTGAGGTAGGCGGGGCGAGAGCCCTGGTTGTAAAAAGCCATGTTGCCGTCACGCTGGAAGTTGGCGAGGCGGTATGGTGTCTGGCTCGCGTTGACTGGAAGCTGTTGGTAGTTGACACCGATGCGGTGGCGGTGGGTATCTGGGTAGGAGAAGAGGCGGGATTGGAGGACAGGGTCGGCAGAGGGCTCGATACCCGGTGGGTTGTGGGATGGATTGAAGGCGATCTGCTCGATCTCGGCGAAGTAGTTCTTGACGTTTTCGTTCAAGAAGAACTCTCCGACCTTGCGGAGTGGGAAACGCTTCTGAGGCCAAACGTGGGTCAAGTCGAACACGTTGATCTTCTCACTCTCCCATAGGTCCTCGGCCTCTTTGGCGGTCATTGTCTGCCAGCAAACGTCCCAACCTGGGTAGTCACCCTTCTCGATGGCGTTGTACAGATCCTTCTGAGCGTAATCAGGCGAGTAGTTGGCAGAGTCGGCCTGGGTAATGAAGCCAGTGCCCTGCTTGCTCTTCATGTGCATCTGGCCATACACCCAATCGCCGTTCTTGTTGCAAAGCTTGAGTGTGTGTCCGTAGTAGCCGTGCATCTTCCTCCAGCCGTCTGGAATACCACGGTCACCCATGAGGATCATGACCTGGTGGACGGACTCTGGGTTCTGCGAAAGATAGTCCCAGAACATTGTGCTGTCGTCGGCATGGGTCAAATGTGTCGACGGGTCACGCTTCTGGGTGTGGATAAAGTGTGGGAACTTGGCGGCGTCGCGGAGGAAGAAGACGGGAGTGTTGTTGGCGACGACGTCCCTGGACGATGTTAGTGTCAGAAAAGGTTGTATGCATTGCCATTATTCTTACCAGTTGCCCTCATCAGTCCTGAACTTCACCGAGAAGCCACGTGGGTCACGAGCACAGTCGTGGGAGCCAGACTCGCCACCGACAGTGGAGAATCGAACAGTGATCGGGCACTTCTTACCAGACTGGAAGATATCTGCCATGCAGATATCATCCAACGGGTCGGTGGTCTGGTAGTAGCCGTGAGCGCCACCGCCCTTGGCATGGACGACACGCTCGGGTATCCGCTCACGATCGAAATGTGAGATCAAATCGATGAGGTGGAAGTCCTGGAGAAGCAGAGGGCCGTTCTCGCCGACTCGCTGCGACTCGTACGGGTGTGGCATGGGCACGCCATTACTGGTTGTGTAGAGTGTATCTTGTGCCTTTGCGTTGCGGTCGTCATTGTAGTCGCGGTAGACGTCGCCGCTCTTGGTACCGTCGGCGGTGTGGTGGGTAGGTGCTGCTGCTGATGGTGCCATTGTCGGAGTAGTGTATATGATTCTGGTGGATGTGAGGAAGAATGTGTAGAAACAGGGCCAGAACAACGTTTATACTCTTTTGTTCGTCCCGTTTGCCACCTCTCCATTTCTCGTCGGCGTGGTATGACGTTCATGCGTACTTCTTCGAAATATGATTGGCCGATACTCACCATGGCTCTTACCGCTTTGACAAGATCATCTCCCTCGTCTCCGATCTCATCATGCTCGCTTACGGCGCAAGCATGACGAGCGGCGGGAAAACCATGTCTGCCGTTGATGTCTTTTGCATTTGCCGGCGGTTATGAACATGTGTCTCCAAATATGTATCTTGCGGAGTAGATGCGGCTCAACGCGGCTGAGACGTCACGGCGTTCGCCTCTCGAGTCGTAGAATGTGGAGGCTGAACTCAATCTCGTTGTCCAGTCCTGCAGACCTCATCTGTACTACGCAGCAGCACTATATCCGGTACGTTGGATGATGAACACTAGTGTGGCGAAACTTCAGCACTGAGGATCAATCTCACACCTTTCTCGCATGGCCTTTGCCCGCAGCTAAGTGCAGGAGGGACTATACAGCAGCACATCTTACTTGACCTAGAGCGAGATATCTTATTATTAATGTAGCTTCGAGTGTGGATACTCTGTCCACGAACGTCCTCACGGCCGATCGGACAGATAGCGACATATCAATGAACTCCGCCCATATCCACGCACTCCGTCGAACTTTGAGTGATACTGATATACAGAAGCCGGGCAGTCAATACACCAGCTCTTGGTGGCGAATTCTACGCGAGATTCATGGGGTCGACTGGTTTTAGTGGACAAGCATCTCGACATCGTTGCTGGCGATCAGGTGCCTGGAGGTCAGTACAGCAGCTGAACCTGGCGAATACTACACGAGAATTCTCAAGATCGACTTGCGGTATTGAACGGGCATCTCGGCGATCCAATTTGCCAAATAAGTGTGCGAAGGGCAATACATCAGCTCAAGGCAAAACATTTTACAGGAGATGTCTTTGATTTGACTTTTGACATTGTGGTGAGGAGAATCCAGCCATCTACCTAGTCATGCTCCAACGATAGACAGTCCCGACACATAGTATCACCATTTCCCATCTGGAATGATAATCCACACACTACACAGTGGGACCCCGTCATCCCTACCCTCCGCTACTGCCAACGCCTCATCGCCATCCGTGTCCACCACTGCTATCAAATGACCCACTTCATGGACCATCTCGGACAGGCGACTAGGCATTTTCTGCGTGCCTGGTCAAGTATTCTCCACCATACGCTGGCGGTCGCGCTGAGCGTGTCTAGGTGGTAGTTGAGGAGCTGGGTCCTCGGGACCGAATGGCTCTTGCTGGGGTTCTACATTTGTTAATATCGCAAGCATTCACGATCGTACAGATGAGTCTTACGCTTCTTCGAGGCCTGGTCGACGGTCTGTAGAGAACGTATCGCTTTCAGGTTGACTGTGCATGTGGTGAGCATGTTAGGCATACACTCGAAGTCACAGCGTTATGGCTACCAAGAGACGACTTACTCTTCGCAGGACGTCCATTGTTGCCCGATCGTACGCCGTGTGCGTTCTCACCAGCGGCGGTAGGTCCAGCCATACCGTGTGTGTATATATTTATGGTTGAGGTGAAATGGTATACTATTGTTGGAATACTGATGTCGCTGTACTTTAGAGATTGCAAACAGACTGATCACTACTCTCCTACCGCATACTTATATCATGAGAGCTGCCTTGATGTGATGAAAGGCCACATCGACTGCTACAATGGCCAGGTAGCTTTCTATTTGCTCTCATTGTCGTTCCTATTATGCTCAAACGTTGTCGAAAGCTAACATCATCTCCAGGACACATCGAGACAATACCAGGCATCAATAGCAAAGATGACCAAATCGCCCAGGCACAAACAACAGCGAGGTCAGCCATCAATAGAGCATGGATCGCACAATCGTGCTCCTGCCTATTCGAGCTTTCACGAGCACATCGAAAGCTTGTGTGGCGCTTTGGCCAAGTCTTTCACATCATGCACAACAACGCCGGTTCGCACCTGTTCCGCGCCACCTGTTTGTTTGCTTCTGCATGAAGACTTGGCCAACTCGCCTTGAAGCTCTGCACCACAAGATCACTACACATCGCCTCTCAAACGCCGTCTTCACCACCTGCAGCATCTAACAGCTCGAGGCAGTACTGTTTCGAGAACTGTCGAACATGGCGAGCGCTTCCGAAGCCGCCATCCTGGACGGCATTGCCCAGTAAGTCTCTGGCACTCACTCTGCCGCCATTGCAGTGCTGACCAGACTGTCATAGAGCCTACAAGGACAAGGAGTATGCTGATCTAGAGATCATCTGCGCCGACAAGACTTGGAAGGCGCACAAGCTGGTGCTGTGCAAGCAATCCGACTTCTTCAAGAAAGCTTGCAGTGGCGACTTTAAGGTAGACCAGCTTCTTTATCGCTACAGGCGCTCAATGCTAACGGATGTAGGAGGGCAAACAAAACAAGATCGAGCTGCCCGATGATGACAAGCAGGCCGTGGACGCAATTTTGGCTTTTCTGTACACTCACAAGTATGGAGATGAAGGCAACTCCCAGAGCGACACCAGTCCCATGAGTCTTGACATCCGCGTCTTTACCATCGCCGATAAGTACTTCATCGAGCCACTCAAGGTCTATGCTGCAAGCAAATTCCAGCCCCGCACTACTGGTGAATGGAAGAGTCCGGAGTTCGCCCAAGCCATTGAGGAGCTGTATACTGCAGGACCACCCACGGATCGCTCGCTCCGAAACATGGTCCTCTCAGTCGTCCGAGATAACGTCGACGAGCTTTACGGGAACAAGGACCAGTACGCTGCCTTCCACAAGATCATTAGCAGCATTGGTGACTTCGCTGCGGACGTCGCCGAGTCTCTCGCACGTCCAACATCCTTCCCAAGAACCTGAGGCAGAGTCAAGCATACAAGTGCCCGAGTTGCTCGACTGAATTTGTGGTAAAGCTCAATGCTCAGAACGGCCAGACTTCTTTCGACTGTCCATGCCATTGCTACAATAAGCAGACCCCGGAGTGGTGGAACAAGCACAAGCTGGAGGAGAAATGATCAGCGATTTTAGGATGGGCATGAGGACGATGGTGGCGAAGGCGAATGGAGAGCACCAAGATTCAGTTCTTATAAAACGAACCGAGCGCACAATTGCTGGGCAGAAAGTAAGCTGACATGCCGGCAAATTAATATCCCAACTCCTCCCAGACGAATTACAAACTCGTGCGGGGATTTCACATCAAGCAGTGCATGAAGCAGTTCAGAATTGGAATACAGGAAGTAGGCTAGGGCAGTGGTCTCTCGGCAGTCTAAAGGTGGGCTATCTGCTCAAATGACTATACACTAGCTGACGTCGTCCAAGCTCGCGTGAGAAATATAAATTCGACTTCTGCTACTGAGGTGTGAGAAATGGAAGCAGAAGCTAGTCACAATCCATCGCCAGACAGTCCCAGCAACTCTCCTCACCATCATTTCCACGCAGCGCCCGTCCACATTGCACACAAAGAAGTTCACCACGGGCACGCCTAGCCAACGTCTCGTCACCAGTCGTGTCCACTACGGCGATCAGATGACCAGCCTCATGTACCGTGTTGGGCATACGGCTTAGGACCTTCTTGGGGCCGGGCTGCGTATTCTCGACCATACGCTGGCGATCCCGTTCAACGTGTTGAGGTGGCTGCGGTGAAGCCGGGTCGGGTGCTCCGAACACTCCTTTGTGAGATGTCAGTATAGCTGTATGTTCACAGGAGGGATCGACTTGCCTTCTGCGGACGGACTGGCCGTTTTGTGGATGCCCTTCAGGTTGACTAGATTTACTCTTAGCCTATGCTCTATCGGCAACTAAGCCTTTGGTGACCTCGGAGACGTACCCCTGGTAGAGACTCCGCCAAATTGAGTGGGTGCACCTGGTGCACGAATCTCTCCTTGCCCACTATCCTTCGCCTTGTCGCCATCTACCCTCGTCCAACCCTTCCTCTGCCCGCCCTGGATCTCCCTGGCTACGTCCCGCCCAGTACTAGCGCTGCTTCCCGTGGTGGTATTGTCAGCCATGCCTATGGTGTCTTCGTCGATACTGTCTTTTCTATGTTCGGTGGTGAGCTATGTTGTATATAGGCCAGTACGGTAGTGTAAAGATGTGTGAGAGTGAGGTCAAACAGCCAAGGTAGCAGAGCTGCGAGAAAGCACGGACGTGCCCCGTTTGCAAAGCATTGTGCCTTCCTGATGTGGACGCTTATGTCACATGTCAGTAGTGTTTGTGGCAGATGAGCAGTAGTCCGAAGCTATAAAGCGTAGAGCTGCTTGTAGTGCTGCTTGCCTTTTATGCGGGAGCTGTAGAAACTTGGTGAGTTTGTGTCTTTAGCTGAGCACAATGGCCGACCAAGATGTCGCTGTGGACGTAGTTCACGCTGGTCAATGTTCGCCCAGGAGGGGTTGAAGCACAATGGAGATAGCCTGTTTGTCTTTTAGAGCCCGCAACGTAGAATTGACATTGGACGACCAGCGTCGCAGGACGGCTCTTGGACATGTTCACTGCATTGTCCACTCTGCCGCATGATTACTGTCAGCTGCAGCTCCAGTAAGATTCATAGTCTTTCCCTTCTACAAGGGATCTTGCCTATATGAAAGACGAAGTCATCTATCGCCTGGCAGACGAGACAAAGTTTCCAGTACAGGAAGTAAAGCAGGCGTTACACATGAGATGTGATTGCTCCTCGGATGAAGTCGCCCATTGGGTCTGGCGTAAAATTAATACGATTGGCCTCATCGATGGTCGGCTTTCCCATACCTCACATGAGGTCTGCTATCCCATAAGCCGAGGAGCACGGCAGGCTAATGTATCGTGCATCATGAAGGCGAACGTTCATAGATGCTGCGCAGATGTCATACATGAAGCTGAGATCCAGAGAGCGATATGCCAAGAAATGTGCTTTCCTTCCCCTTTCGGCTCCGCAACTTTTCCACTTTGTCTCGTGTCGAGCCTGAGCATTGAGATCACACGTTACCTACCACCATGCCTCCACGAATATCATCATCTCGCCTATCTCAACCGCAAACATGCCAATGTTTTCGTACACGGCCACAAACGGTGCCTGGACGGCGCCAATTTCATGCCTCTGTCCGCCATGAAACACGACTTCGCCAGGACATGTGGACCTGGCTAAAAGGACCCGGTAAAGCTTTTCGCAAACCATTACCAGGCAGCACAAATTATCTAGGCGCATACGATAAGCAAGGACAACTGGCGCGGATGAAGAACAATCGTGACGGTGATCAGGCTGATCGGCGAAGAAACGAACCTGAAGCTCTAGAGGATGAAGATGTTGCTGCGAAACGTGATATGGAGGATGAGAATTTGTCGGAAGAAGACAGAGAGCTGCGAGCTGAGCAGAGAAAAATTGCACGTGCCACGCGAGAGGCAGAGGTGGATGATATGGATGAGCGGGAAGGCCGACCCAGAGAACGACTAACAGATCTTCGACCCTACCCACTAAATCACGGCTTTCGAAGTCAGCCGGTACTGTCAGAGGATCTAAGAGAGATGCTATACATTCAGACGGTGGAGCAAGGGCACGACTTGTCAAGTGTTGCTGCTACATTCGGCGTGGACTTGAGAAGAGTGGCTGCTGTCGTTCGACTGAAGACTATTGAGAAGCAATGGCAAGCAGAGGTAAGCGCGGTTACAGTCCATTCTTTCTACCCCACTGCTGCTCTGATGATTCAAAATTTCAATTCGATTAGTCTTGAAGACATCTACATGGTTACAAAAATTGCATGCGAGCCTCTCTGATTACAGCCACCTAACAATACACTTCTGGACGAGAATGACATACTCTAGCGACAAGCACTGACATGTATCTTCTAGGGTAAACCACTAGCTACGGCCTACAGCGAAGCAGTCCTCAAGATGCTCCCTACCACACCTTTTAAACCCAACACCAACAATCCTGTCACGCCACACGAGCCCATCAACGATCTTCCAGTACACCCATCCACGCGCCCACAAATCTTTTACCCAGCTTCAGAGTCCCGATCCTTCACCTGTGAAGATGCAGCCGCAGTCTTCGACCGCAAGCTATTACCTGCCGACAAGCGCATCCCTCTTCCTATGCTTGTGGATCTCGAGAAGTGGAAGAATGAGGGCTTGAATCGTGCTGAGCGCACAGCGAGGCAGATTGAAAAGGACCGCTCAGCGCGAGAAGAAGCCGAGACGAAGGAGAGGAAGAAGTTGGAGTGGGAGGAGAGGACACAGAGGACTGTGCCTGGAAGGAGATGGGATTTTAACTTTCAGGATATTAGTGCTGAGAAGGTTGGGAAGGATGGAAGGGGACGAGATGCGATCGGCTTTAGGTATGGTATGCCGCATATTGATCGCAAGGCTGGTGTGGTCAAGATACCTACGAGTGTGCAGTAGGTTTGGCCGAATCGAAGAGGGGGCGAAGCACTGTATTATACCCAGTACATATGTTACGATTTGAGGTTTGTGGCATATACTCTGGACCTCAATCTGTCAGCCTGTGCCATTATCTCTCCTTGCTCCATGCACAGTCAAGCTGATCCCGGCCGGTACGGTATCTCAGGAAGCTGAGGTTTTGACGGAGAGCTGGATGCATGTCGTGTTGTATTGTCCTCCAGACTCAACCCTAGCTGAATTTCATCTGGTGGCCTGGTCGTGATACTGTAGCAAGCATGCCCTTCTCTTTCACCTTTCGTGCTCGGCTTGGAGTGCCTGCAGGCCGTGACATGGGCACAAATTAATCTTCTCATGACCGAGAGCTGGCTCATGTCCTATACTTTTTGGCACAGCTGCCATTGACATGTGACTGGCATTTGGTCATGCAGCACCCCGCAAGCACTTTTGAACTTTCCTCTGTCGAAAAGCAAGACCTCTCCATCCCAACAACAAAACCCTCTCATCCCACCATACAAAGGTTGATACTGGCAGAGGGTCTCATGCATTCTCGCCGTGAACGATAACACTAGATTTGCTACAGAGATCCACCACCATGAACTCCATCCTCTTCTACTTCCTCCTCCTAGCCTTCCTCGACTTTGCTGTCGTCCAAGCACTACTCATAACAGCCCGCCTGACGAAGAACCACATCCTCACTTTCTACGGCCGCTCAGTAGCTTCCTTTACAGCTCTAGCTCTCTGCGCGGTCTATGGCACGATCGCCTCAGCTTGCTTGAACGTTTTTGGCCGTGGTGGCCTAGGCCAATGGACAACTGCCAGGGCCTTCAAGTACTGCATGCTCTTGTTCACTGGGATCTGGTTCGAGGTACAGGATGAGGGCGATTGGTTGAACAAGACGAGACCGGCGGTGTTGGTGGGGAATCATCAGACGGAGCTGGATGTCGATGTGATTGGGCATGTGTTCCCGCCTTATTGTTCGGTGACGGCGAAGCAGAGTCTGAAGTGGATCCCTGTCTTGGGGTGGTTCAGTAAGTTTAGCTGTTTACGGTACTGCTGAGCGCGGAAGATTCTGTAAGTTCTGACACGACTTTATACAGTGTCGCTTTCCAAAACCGTCTTCATCGAACGTAAATCGCGCGACCAAGCTGTCGCGGCGTTCGCTCGAGCAGCAGAGCAGATGCACAGTATCCAGCAATCCGTCTTTATCTTCCCAGAAGGCACGAGGTCGTACTATGACCACCCGGACATGCTACCGTTCAAGAAGGGTGCTTTCCACTTGGCTGTACAGGCACAGGTGCCGATCATACCGGTCGTGGTGGCGAACTACAGCAATGTGCTTAATGTGAAGAGAAAGATTTTCAATCAGGGAACGATTCCTATCAAGATACTCGAGCCTATACAGACAAAGGGGAAGACTAAGGAGGATGTGGATGCGCTTTTGGAGGAGGTCAGAGGGAAGATGGTGGCGGAATTGAAGAAGCTTACGTCGCGTGCGAGGGAGGAGGGCGTGGCGGTTCAAGCACGTGAGGCTACTGCTACAAAGGTGAATGGTGCGGCGAAGGCTAGCGGTGTTGATGCGAGGTACAATGCTGCAGCCTGAATGACAGGGTCTGTGATATCAGGTGATGAAAGATGGGAAAGTGCAATTTGGATGATCATGCTGGCAGCTCAATGATCGAATATATACCCCAATAGCGTATGCACTTTGGGAGTCCTGGAGTTCTTGATCTTTTTGAGTATTAAAGCAGACCGCAGACTTCGGGCCATGATGCGTGTAGACATTCACTTGAGCACATACGTACTTTTCCGTGAGCGGTCCACAAGTTTTTAAAAGAGGAAGGCACGGTCGAAGCCTCTGCAGCTAAACAGCACTCGCTCGACCACTTTAGCGTGTCGCAGAGGTATGTTGACCTTTCTTTGGGTTCTTGAGCTTTAAACTCTGCTGGCAAATCTCATGAATCTGCTCGTTTGGCCTCCGTTGGAACTTCGATAGGTTGATTGGCCCCCGGACGATACGCGATACATTTGGGTCCATCAGCCTATTGAAGTTCACAGCTCTGGCCTGACATGCTCAGGATTGAGGCAATGCTCACGGGCTGAACTGCAGCTGAGGTGCATTATTGCTGTGCAATTACTGGCAACATTGCATCGATGCGATCAAGTTGTTCCACCATCCAATTACCAGACATATCCATGACCACTGCTCCGTATATCATTCGGTGACGCAGGGATTAGAATTTCATGAAGTCGGAATACCATCGTCATGACCATTCGGAGCATTATTGCAGGACCAGTTCCGGCCCCCGGATCGGACCTCCTGACTGCAGTGCTCCCAAGACATTTGCTCGATAGCGGAAGAAGTGGACATACGACAGCACGACTACCCCTTTGCAACGCATCGAAGAGAACACATCTCCCTCACGTCCGGCTCTCCATATTCATGCCGTGGCGTCGATGGAACAAGGTCGTGATTGGTATCGCCGCGCAAAAAGGAGTACGGCAAACGGCTGCGGTCTGTGCTTCCCGACGCAGTGACGGAAGATTGGCGCATGGTATCTTTCTTTAGCAACACGCCTCTCAGCCCTTGAGAACTATCCTTCCCGAAAGCCGTATCGTGTGAGATATTAGATAATTAACGATACCGAATTCTAAATAGGTGAATGGAGATGTTGGAGGATGTGGATTTAGGAAGGATTTGGTCTGTAGCTAATCGATCCGCACAGTCGTTGAGTTCATGTCGATACGTACCTGACAGATACGCTCGGCCCTACTGCAAGTTGACGTCCCCAACAGTGCGTTCTCTCCGCCGATGAAGCGGACAGCCAGGGTCATGAAATGCACTCCGCAGACTTGGGACTGCTCATCGGATGCTCAAGCTCGCCCACCCACATGAGTATATCGTGGTGGGACGCTGGCTGCTTGTTGCTCGTGTGCTCTGCCTGGATGGCGCATTGTAGACATCTCCTGCCTTGCGAGGCAAACTCGATGATGAACAGTGTGCGGGACGAATAATCTCCATAGCTGTAAGTCGACCGTTGGCAAAAATTTATGGTGTTCTCGACGGATCCCACTGCGCTGCTAAGGATAACTCTGCCTTTGCCGAAACGGGTCGAATGTGAGCTGCAAGAAGTAGACCCCTGCCCAACATTTGTGTAGTGCAGTGTAGACAAGCCGGAGCAGGGAGCTTGGGCATAGAAATTCATCGATTATGTATAGATCACAGCCCTCTCAGCTCGTCTCACCCTCGAGACACTTTTCGCGCCCTCCCTCCTTTCCACCTCCCTTCCTCACTCATACACATCATTTGGCGTGCGGTTGCCTTCACTTCAGCATTGCACTACCCTAATACGCACCGTTCTCACTTTGATTGGGGCAGCTTTTGTTGTACATAACCCCCACAACAAAAAGCTGTCGGTCCCTGATCATCGACTTTGATACCCCTCAAGCTCACGACCACACCGCTCCTTACCTGGATCGCATCTAGAGCATCAGCAGCTTCTTCCCATCACCCTACAGCTGTTTGAAACAGAATTGCATTATACACACCATTGCGAATATGGCGGACGCAGTGGGCGGAGCAGCCAAGGCTAATGGGGTCAATGGCCATGCGAATGGCTATCCCAGCCAGTTGGCGGCGAAACACAACTTGGCATCTCATTTCATCGGAGGCAATGACTTGTCAAAGGCAGCACCGAGTAAAGTGAGAGAATTTGTGGCTGCACATGATGGCCACAGTCCGATCACCAAGGTAAGCAAGACTCGAGAAGAGGAACTGGAGGCTGAGCTGAGCTGATGGATGTGATAGATCCTGATCGCCAACAACGGTATCGCGGCCGTCAAGGAGATCCGATCGATACGGAAATGGGCTTACGAGACGTTTGGCGATGAAAAGGCGGTGGAGTTCACTGTCATGGCTACACCAGAAGATTTGGGAGCGAATGCCGATTATATTCGCTTGGCTGATCACTACACCGAGGTTCCGGGTGGCACAAACAACAACAACTACGCCAATGTCGACCTTATTGTCGACGTGGCTGAGCGAGAAGGTGTTCACGCTGTATGGGCTGGATGGTAAGTGTAACACGCATAGCACAGACTTAGTGGTGAGGAATGGAAGTCTAACAATCGTTTAGGGGCCACGCATCTGAGAACCCAAAACTCCCCGAGTCTCTGGCGGCTTCACCCAAGAAGATCATCTTCATCGGTCCTCCCGGATCTGCTATGCGATCACTCGGCGACAAGATTTCCTCTACCATTGTTGCACAGCATGCCCAGGTGCCTTGCATTCCATGGTCGGGTACTGGCGTCGATCAAGTTGAGGTCAATGAGAACGGCATTGTCACCGTTGCCGACGACATCTATATGAAGGGCTGCGTGACCAGCGTCGCCGAAGGCCTAGAGGCTGCCAAGAAGATCGGCTTCCCAGTGATGGTGAAGGCGTCTGAAGGTGGTGGTGGAAAGGGTATCCGCAAAGTTGACCGAGAGGAAGACTTCGAGCAGCTGTACAAGGCAGCCGCTAGCGAGATTCCTGGCTCACCAATCTTCATCATGAAGCTCGCTGGCCAAGCCCGGCATTTGGAAGTCCAACTTCTGGCCGATCAGTATGGCAACAACATTTCGCTTTTCGGACGTGATTGCTCGGTTCAACGAAGACATCAGAAGATTATCGAGGAGGCTCCGGTGACGGTTGCCAACCAAGCTACATTCCAGAAGATGGCTGACGCAGCTGTGTCTCTTGGACAGCTTGTCGGCTACGTCTCAGCTGGTACCGTCGAGTATCTGTACTCGCACGCTGACGACAAATTCTACTTCCTCGAGCTCAACCCACGTCTTCAGGTCGAGCACCCTACCACCGAGATGGTCTCGGGTGTCAACATCCCAGCTGCCCAGCTCATGGTCGCTATGGGTATACCTCTTCACCGCATCCGTGACATTCGATTGCTCTACGGTGCAGACCCGCACACCAGCAGCGAGATCGACTTCAACTTCACCAAAGCCGACACCTCGCTCAAGCAGCGCCGACCAAAGCCCAAGGGCCACTGCACCGCTTGCCGTATCACATCCGAAGATCCTGGAGAGGGTTTCAAGCCTTCCGGCGGTACCATGCACGAGCTGAACTTCAGGTCATCCAGTAACGTCTGGGGATATTTCTCTGTCGGTGCAGCATCCTCCATTCACAACTTTTCCGACTCGCAGTTCGGCCACATCTTCGCGTATGGCGAGAGTCGACAGGCTTCCCGCAAGCATATGGTCGTGGCTTTGAAAGAGCTGAGCATTCGTGGTGACTTCAGGACAACGGTCGAGTACCTTATCAAGCTGTTGGAGACTCCAGCTTTCGAGGACAACACCATCACCACCGGCTGGCTCGATGAGCTTATCAGCAAGAAGCTGACTGCTGAACGACCGGATCCTATGCTCGCCGTGGTATCTGGAGCCGTGACCAAGTCGCACATGGCTAGCGAGGCGTGCCTCACTGAGTACAGGGTAGGCCTTGAGAAGGGTCAGACACCTAGCAAGGACATCCTCAAGACTGTCTTCCCAGTCGAATTCATCTACGAGGGCATGAAGTACAAGTTCACCGCGACACGCTCGAGCGCGGACAGCTATACACTTTTCATCAACGGCAGCAAGGCTCTCGTTGGTATCAGGCCTCTCTCTGACGGCGGTCTTCTTGTCCTGCTCGGCGGTCGTTCGCACAATGTATACTGGCAAGAGGAGGTCGGGGCTATCCGCATGTCCGTAGATGGCAAAACCTGCCTTCTTGAACAAGAGAATGACCCTACACAACTCCGCACACCTTCACCGGGCAAGCTCGTCAAGTATGCACTCGAGAACGGCTCGCACATCAAGAAGGGACAAGCTTTTGCCGAAGTCGAGGTCATGAAGATGTACATGCCGCTTCTTGCTCAGGAAGACGGTATTGTCAACTTCCTCAAGCAGCCAGGCGCGACACTCGAGGCTGGTGATGTCCTCGGTATCTTAGGCCTTGATGACCCGACCAAGGTCAAGTCTGCTCAGCCTTTCTTGGGACACCTCCCAGAATTCGGCACACCCCTTGTGTTGGGTGCCAAGCCACCGCAGCGATTCACCTACCTGTATAGTGTCCTTCAGCACATACTGCAAGGTTATGACAACCAGGTCATCATGGCCCAGTCACTCAAGGGTCTCATCGAGGTCCTCCGTGACCCCGAGCTCCCATACGGCGAGTGGAGCGCACAAGCTTCTGCCCTTCACTCCCGTATGCCCGCTAAGCTGGATCAATCTTTCGAGCAGATTGTGGAACGTGCTCACGGCCGCCAGGCTGAGTTCCCAGCTAAGCAGCTGCAAAAGGCCCTCGAGAAGTTCTTGTCAGAGAACACAAGCCCAGGGGACGCTGACCTCTTGCGATCCGGACTTGCGCCACTGCTCGACATCATGACCAAGTACAACGACGGCCTCAAGGCGCAGGAATTCGGAGTCATGATCGAGTTGTTCCGCCAATACTATGCTGTTGAAAGCATCTTCTCTGCGCGCCAGACTCGTGACGAGGAAGTGGTCATTGCTCTTCGCGACGCCAACAGAGATAAGGTTGCCCAAGTCGTGCAGACTGTGCTCTCACACACTCGCGCCAGCGCCAAAAACAACCTCATTGTTGCCATTATGCAAGCATACCGCCCGAACCAGCCAGGTGTGGGCAACGTTGCCAAGTACTTCAAAGACTCTCTGCAGAAGCTTGCCGAGCTAGAAGGTCGGGCTACAGCCAAAGTCGCTCTGAAGGCACGTGAGCTTCTCATTCAGTGCGCCATGCCGTCGCTTGAGGAGCGTACGTCCCAGATGGAGCATATCTTGCGATCTTCAGTGCTCGAGTCACGATATGGCGAGAGTGGATGGGATCATCGCGAGCCCAATCACGAGGTCATCAAAGACGTTGTCGATTCGCGCTTCACGGTCTTCGACGTGCTGCCCAACTTCTTCACCCACCAGGACCCGTGGGTATCGCTAGCGGCTCTTGAGGTGTACATCCGACGTGCGTACCGTGCGTATCAACTCAAGACCATCGACTATGTCACCGACAACGATACTCCTTACGTTTTGGCATGGGACTTCGCGTTGCGCAAGGTTGGCGAGTCTGAGTTTGGACTGCCAGTCATCTCCTCGCACCCATCTACACCCGGCACACCAGCAGAGGGCTTCCAGCGTGTCCACTCGATCAGTGACATGAGCTACTTGTCACGTCAAACCGGCGCCGAGCCAACGCGAAAGGGTGCTATAGTACCAGTGAACTTCATTGATGAGGCTGACGAGCACCTTGGAAAGGCTTTGAGCACCTTCCCAGTCAATGGCAGTAAGAGTGAGCCTGGCCTTATGGCCGACCTGAGCCGCAGCCGCCGCCCACAGATTTCTGTTCAACAGCCGGGTACCACCGATGAGCTTACGAATGTATGCAATGTGGCTGTTCGTGACGCCGAGAGCATGGATGACCAGGACATCTTGGCACGCATCAAGCCTATTGTGGAGGACTACAAGGGCGAGCTGCTCGCTCATGGCGTGCGCCGATTGACCTTTATCTGCGGCCACAAGGACGGCACATATCCCGGTTACTACACTTTCCGCGGGCCACAATATGACGAGGACAGTAGTATCCGTCACAGCGAGCCCGCCACTGCCTTCCAGCTTGAGCTCACGCGCCTGAGGAACTTCAATATCCGACCAGTCTTCACCGAAAACCGCAACATCCACATGTATGAGGCTCTCGGTAAGGGCAATTCGGAGAGCGACAAGCGCTACTTTGCTCGTGCCATTGTCAGACCCGGCCGTCTTCGCGAGGACATGCCCGTTGCTGAGTACATGATCAACGAGGCTGACAGATTGATGACCGACATCTTGGACGCGATGGAGATTATCGGCAACAACAACTCTGACATGAACCATATCTTCATCAACTTCTCTTCGCCACTGCCATTGGACCCATCAGAGATCCAGGAAGCCTTGTCCGGGTTCCTGGACCGCTTTGGTCGCCGGGCGTGGAGGCTTCGGGTGACGGGTGCTGAAATCCGAATTATTTGCCAAGACGAGGTCACTGGTCACGCCTATCCTCTACGTGTCATCATCACGAACACTTCCGGATACATTATCAAGGTCGAGTTGTACGAGGAGCGCAAGTCTGACAAGGGTAATGAGTGGTACTTCCACTCTATCGAGGGTGGAAGCGGAGGGAGCAAGACAGGCAGCATGCACTTGCGACCAGTTGCCACTCCCTACGAGATCAAGGGCGCCCTGCAACCAAAGCGCAACAAGGCTCATCTTATGGGCACGCAGTATGTCTACGACTTCCCTGAGCTCTTCCGCCAAGCTATTGAGAATAGCTGGAAGAGTCTCGTGGCCGTTCATCCCAGCTTGAAAGGCAGCCAGCCACAGCAAGGCGAGTGCATCGACATCAACGAGCTTGTTTTGGACGATTCCGACAATCTTGCGGAGGTCGATCGCGAGCCGGGCGCCAACACCATTGGTATGATCGCGTGGATCATCACTGCCAGGACACCCGAGTATCCTCGTGGTCGCCGATTCATCATCATCGCCAACGATATCACTTACAAGATCGGGTCCTTCGGCCCTCAGGAAGACAAATTCTTCCACAAGTGCTCCGAGCTGGCTCGTAAGCTTGGCATTCCTCGCATCTACCTGTCTGCCAACTCCGGTGCACGCATTGGTATGGCTGAGGAGTTGATCCCTCACTTCGATGTCGCATGGAAGGACGAGAAGAGACCGGAGATAGGCTTCGAGTACCTCTACCTTACCCCGGAGAAGAAGGCTCGCTTCGAGGATGGCATGCTCAAGCACGTCATCACCGAGGAGATCAAGGTCGATGGCGAGGTCCGCCATAAGATCACCACTATCGTTGGTGCTGAAGAGGGTCTCGGTGTGGAGTGCTTGAAGGGCTCTGGTCTCATCGCTGGTGAGACTGCTCGTGCCTACGAGGACATCTTCACCATCACGCTCGTCACCTGCCGATCCGTTGGTATTGGCGCTTACCTGGTCCGTCTCGGCCAGCGTGCTATCCAGATTGAAGGCCAGCCAATCATCCTCACTGGTGCGCCTGCCATCAACAAGCTTCTTGGCCGTGAAGTGTACACCAGCAATTTGCAATTGGGTGGCACCCAAATCATGTACAAGAACGGTGTCTCCCACATGACCGCCAACGACGACTTCGAGGGTGTCAGCAAGATCATCAAGTGGCTCTCATTCGTGCCAGACAAGAAGGGCAACCCTGTGCCCATCCAGCCCGCCGCTGACAACTGGGATCGATCAATCACCTTCACGCCACCAAACAAGCAGCCTTACGATGTCAGGCACTTGATCGCTGGTCAGCAGACTGCAGATGGCTTCTTGACCGGTCTTTTCGACAAGGACTCTTTCGAGGAGTCACTCGGCGGCTGGGCCCAGACCGTTGTTGTCGGACGTGCTCGCCTTGGCGGTATCCCTGTCGGTGTCATTGGTGTTGAGACCCGCTCTGTCAAGAACGTCTCGCCGGCTGACCCTGCCAACCCCGACTCCATTGAGCAAGAGACCATGGAGGCCGGTGGTGTGTGGTACCCCAACAGCGCCTTCAAGACTGCTCAAGCTATTCGCGACTTCAACAATGGCGAGCAGTTGCCATTGATGATCTTGGCCAACTGGCGTGGTTTCTCTGGTGGTCAGCGCGACATGTACAACGAGGTTCTCAAGTACGGCTCGCAGATCGTTGATGCACTCGTGCACTTCGAGCAGCCAATCTTCGTGTATATTCCACCTTTCGGCGAGCTTCGTGGTGGTTCATGGGTATGTCTCACTATGCTTATACTGACTATTTGGATTATGCTAACATTTTGCAGGTCGTCGTCGATCCTACCATCAACCCGCAGATGATGGAGATGTACGCTGATGAGGACGCTCGTGGTGGTGTCCTTGAGCCTGAGGGCATCGTTGGCATCAAGTACCGCAAGGAGCGACAGCTCGAGACCATGGCTCGTCTGGACCCAGCTTACGGCACCCTCAAGCGTCAATCTCAGGACAAGAACCTGTCTGTCGAGGAGCAGAACGTCATTAGGAACCAGATGACCGAGCGAGAGAAGCTTCTGCTGCCAGTGTACTTGCAGATCTCCCTCCAGTACGCCGACCTGCACGACCGTGCTGGCCGCATGAAGGCTAAGGACACCATCCGCATGCCTCTCGTATGGAGCAACGCACGTCGCTTCTTCTACTGGCGTCTGCGCCGTAGATTGAACGAGGAGTACGTCCTCAAGCGCATGGGCGCTGCTCAGTCCAAGGAGCTCGCCAGCCGTGGGAGCAACCTCAAGACTCTTGAGGCCTGGACAGGCATCACTGGCTTCGCTACCAATGACCAGGAGGTCGCGGTCTGGTATGAGGACAACAGGAAGACTGTGTCCGAGAAGATTGAGCAAGTCAAGACCGATAGCATCGCGTATGATGTTGCTGCATTGATGAGGAGTAACAAGAATGGCGGTTTGAAGGGTGTTGCACAGGTACTGTCGATCCTGCCTATTGACGAGAAGCAAGAGGTGCTCAAGTGGTTGGCGAAGCAGTAAATGGAAAGAGAGATGTCAGTACAGACTATAGTGTTCAGACTTGTAATTAGCGCTTGGAGTGAGACAGGATCGAGGGCTGTAACATTGCGGCGGCGCTGTTAGGAGGCTTAGGTGTTATGGTTTAAGGGACTGCTTTTGTTATGCTCATGATATAGATTCCGCGAATGCATTGCATTGTTCATTAAGGTCCTCATCACACGTCGAGGTACACATGGCGTATATACCTGTCGCGGACTATACGCACCGAGCAGCCACCACTCGATCTGCTCATACCATCATACTGCCATATTGCAACCTTCATCACAGCTCGGGGCTCCGCCTACGAAACGAAGGAGAAAGGATTTCCAGCCGAAGCTTCAAGCAAAAGGAGTGCAAAAAGAAAGTCGCAGCCGGCAGTCATCAAGCAAGGCACTAGAAAATTGAACACAGGCGCCCTCTTGGGTTGCTTGTCGCTCAATTCGCTATCTGCTTTGTGCCTTTCCGGTTCCCGACATTGGGATTGCGTTGTGCTGGATTTTATCAATGCAGCTATCGACAAGCATGAACGGCATACACAGCGACAGCGTAGTCGACCATTGTGCTGACCAACATAACAAGCTCACCATAATGCTGCAGCACTACATCAAAGGCTTGCGGCACAAGAAGTCACTGTGTGCTGCCCACTTCTGGACCATTTTCCATTAAGAACATTACAACTCCCATGTCACGTGTGCGAACGAACGGGGAAGGTACGACCTGAAGCAAGCACAATGTGTGGCTTCGTAGCTCTGCTGCCTTCGTACGAAATTCTCTCCTCGCATCTATGCACTTTCTACATTAAGCACAGGTATAACTACAAGACATTACAGCACACATATATATGACAGTATCGACTAGTGTACGGGAAACATGTCTGGTCTTCCCAGCGAAGGTGGGAAGAGCATTGGGCGGTCTACAGCGAAGGAGATCGAGAAAGGAGAGAGGAAGGGATGGGTGAGACCGGACATAGTACTGGCAACGGGTCATGAGAAGAGAGGTGCGGGTGCTGTAGACCCAGCAGCCCCCGTGGGAGGACTTAGGATGAAGAGTAAGTTTCAGAGATCACCAAAGACCGATTATCCCCCAGGTTAGTACTAATTTTTCGCACAGTCGACCTTGAGTCGATACGCAAGCGGGAGTCTGCCTCGAGAAAGCGTGAGTATCAACTTTTCCTCACATACAAAGATCACTATACTGGCCCACACAGCAAACCCGGAAGGTGTCCTTGAGCGCCAGACCCTCCTCTACCTCCGCCTTCAAGGAAGACCGAGCGTCCCGGTGACCGCGACAATCTGGACGAGAACGGGAAACCTCTTTTCGTTGCAGATAGGGTAGGAGAGCTGATTCCACAGGTGCTCGTCGAAGGTGGGTGGCGATGCAGACTGTGCGGAGAGGCGAGTCGCCTTGTGACACCCGACCGAGAGACATATTGGCAGGGAGGTGATGGGGAGGAGTTATGTCGGGCATGCTGGGAAATGGAGGCTGACTAGCCATGCGATGGTGGAGCGTAGAGGGGGATTTCAAGAATGGCATGCTGCACGAGTAGATCGGACATCTCGATGCTTCCGAGAAGCTATGCCGGCATTGATTGCGCTTCGAGAACCGTACTCGGGCACTCATTCGTCAAATCAGTACGGATACATCCCTCCATCAACAGTTATAACCTTGTTAGTCAAATAAGCCGTCTCCACCATCCACAATACTGTATTAGCAATCTCCTCCGGCCTCCCAGTCCTTCCCACCGGTAATCCTAAAGAAAGCACACATCATCAGCACAAATTTCACAGGAAGTCAAGATCATTCCCAACTTACGCTCTCCCATAGCCTTTGCCTTCTCCCCATCCTCCTGTCCCATCATCCCCGTCCCCGTCACCAGCGCCGGCGCAACCGCATTGACCGTGACCCCCTTCCTCGCCACGTTCCCCGCCAACCAATGCACGAACCCATGTTGCGCGGCCTTACTACTCGCATAATGAGGTCCTACACTCCCACCCGTAAAAGCCGCAACACTTGAATCGAAGACCACTCGGCCCCAGCCCTGTTCTTCCATAGCTGGGAGACAGAGTTGAGTCAAAAGGATAGCGGAGCCGGTGTTGACGCGCCAGGTGGATTCGAAGATTCCTATTGGTATGTCCGCTAGATTCTTGACGCCTTGGTATCCTAGTGTCGATCCGGCGTTGTTGAATAACACGTCCACTTTCCCGAACACCTTCGCAACATCTGAATGCAGTTCCCGCACGGAAGCATAACCCCCCATATCTGCCCGGAAGAACTCGACCCTCGTCTGTCCAGTCCTGGTAGCACCCGTATCTGGATCAGGCGAAGGGGCGAGAGCGAGGATGGTATTCTGGATTTCATCCCGAGTTTCCTGGCTAGCATTGCTATAATGTAAGGCGAGATCGTACCGTCCCGTCTTCGCGAAAGCGATGGCGGTTGCGCGACCGATACCGCCTGTGGCTCCTGTTATTAGTGCTACCTTTCGTGGTTCGGACATGATGTTCAGGGGTTGGACGGGTAGAGAGTGTGGCTCGGAGCTTGCTGGTAACGTCTCTTCGGAAGTGAAGTGGAGTGAAGTGAAGTGAAATAGCGACTGACGTCACCGTACATAGGTGGAGAAGGAGGACGAAGTGAATGTTCAAGCAGTAGATCGTTTACCATGCATATATCCATTCGTGAAACATAATTCGACGTCCGTTATCCTTTCCCTCCCCAACAACGACCTCCACCGTCTTCCTCATCTTAGTAAGTCTCCCCAACATCACTCATCTTCCTCCTACTCGGCGGCCGCTGCGGCGGCCTCATCTCCCCCTCCTTCGGCCCCTGCAACCCGGTGCTCATTCGCCTAAGCGTCTTAAGCGAAGGCTGCTGGAGCTGGAGCTGCTGCGGCTGTAATTGTCCACTTTGTCTTCTTCGCGTTCCCAGTGCAGAGAGACTGGAGGTCCCGACACCACTACCCCGTTCGAGTGTCGTCCTCCTATTACCTGACGTGGTAGCAACGGGGAACCCGAAATTACCCAGGCCCGAGTCCTCGCTCCCGCCACCAGCTAAACGTCGGAGTTCGGAGACGCTGGCGCTGGGGCGGTGAGAGCGGGGGTTGCCGTGGACGGTGGCGTAGGTGCCTCCCATGCTCGATCTTGGTCTGGAGACCGAAGATCCGAACAATGTGGCTGCTTTGGGGGGAGAAGAAGCCATTCCGCTCATTGGTGTTCGGGCCCCTGCTCGACTGCTTGGTCGGCCGAGAGTGCTGCCGCCGCCACCGCCTACCATACTTGTTCGGCTGGTGGGGCGGTGGTTGGATGCTGAAGAGGTGGGGCGGTCGAGGGCTGAGGGCGGACGCTCGCCTGCAACTGCGGCGGAGGAAGCGGGGCGTGGGACACCGTAGCTTAGACGCTTGATATGGCTTTCTCTTCTCGATGCTGCTGCTGCTGTGGCGGGTTTTATTTCGCTTTCCTCGGGCGTCTGGGTGATATCGTTTGCCAGGGATGATGCCATGCTCCCGCTAGGTCGCTTCATACTTCTTCGCATCGTTACGGATGCTGGAAGGTGCTCTGTTGTTGAACCTGTTGCTGAGCCGGTGCGAGGAGAGCCGGTGGGTGTTCGTGAGCCGGGAGGTGGGAGTTTGGAGCGAGCGGAGTGCACTCGTTCTTCGATCTTCTGCATGCGGCCGCGGAGAGCTTTGATTTGGTATAAAGAGTCCGACCGAGGTAGACTCTCACCACCTGTGGCGTTGCTTGGTCGCTTGATCGTCCTCGCCGTTGAAGTAGGTGGACGCATCGAGTTCTTTCCATCTGCGGCCGCATTCGAAGAGCTCTTACTCGACACCATAGACGGACCTCGAGTATGTTTTGACGCAGTTCGTGGGCCATACAACGACTGTCTCGGCGTCGCGCCAGAATCAGGAATGAGTGACGTCCGCTTTCCAGGCGCGGGTGTCCTCGACTCCGCTTTCGCATGCACAGGCGCATCGGACAGCGGAGGCGAAGGCGGCGTCGCTGCTTCTGAGAAGGTGTCTGATTTCGGCGGAGGCGTAGAAGCAGTAGGAGAATTGGGCGTCACACCACTAGCTTCACTCGCCGGACTCTTGGCTCGCAAGTACTCCACTGCCAATGGACTCGGTTTCCGCGACCTCAGACGCTCGATCGTCTCGTCCGCCAAACGCAATTTCTCCTGCGTGATATCGCTCTCGACCTTCAGATCCCCATAATCGTCCCGCAAACGCTGGGTCTCTATCCTCAACGCCTCCCGCTCTTGCTCACCGACTTTAATCTCCTCCTCCAACATCACCGCTCGCTCAATCGCGACATTATACTTACTCTCCAGATCCTCCAGACTCGACTCCGTATTCCGCGCCTGCCGCTCATAATCATCGTTCACAACCTCGATATCCCTCAAGTTCAGCTGCATCGCCCGACTCGACTCCCGCATCGTCGTGATCTCCTTTTGCAGCGCATTCTGGGCACTGTTCGCTTCCGCCTTGGCCTGCTTGTGCTTCGTCTTCCATTCTTCTGTCTCGAAGCCCAACTTCTCCACCTGCTCCTTGAGTTTGCGCTCGTTCTTCTCGGCCGCTTCGATGTCGCGTTCGAGTTGCTCTTCGAGTTCTTTGCTGGAGGCTTGGAAGTCGGCGAGGTCGGTCTCCAGTTGCTCGTATTGTTTCTTGTAGTAGTCCAGTTCATCCTCTAGCGTTGCGCCGGGTCGCAAGGGTGAGGAGGTCATGATGTCGGCCAAGGGAGTTGATGCGCGTTTCTACCGGCGCATGCTGAGCGGTCACGTTGTGATATTACCGTGGTCCTTGTGTATCGTGATCGAGTAAATCCTCCTTGCTTCTCGTGCTTGTCGTCCTTGTTGATGTTCGGGATGGTCCAGTGATATGATCTGAGCGGGTTAATGTTGTGCGAATTGTCGTTATGTCGTATGCGATCCAGTATCCAGGCTCCAGATATCGTATCCTGCCGTATTACGTCGTGTGTCGTTGTCAGTCGCAAGCGCATTCATTGTTTAGCAACAAGCCCAGGGAGTTCCATAGACTCAAAGGACAGGGCAACGCATCCAGCCAATCACAGCACGTCTGCCATGCGCACCTCCTGAGCTTAAACCCGAACTCCAATGCATATACATGTCCCGACTTTCAACTTCACGAATCGAATTGCATAAACAGTCACATTCCCTCCCTCTGGACTCACCGTATACACAGTGGTGTCAGCAGAGTCTCGAGGTACTTCGTCACTCCACCGACCGACCGACTTCTCGCCAGCTGACGCTCATGGTACCGCACAATACGTGCCAGCGTCGACCATGTCAATCGTTCCACGACGCTCCATGATCTCCAGTGGATACGGCGAATGAATGCCGTCTCCCATCCTATCAGTATCACACTGACAGCCAAGAGTCGATCTGATCAAGTCTGCTCGAGCTTTTCTGCATTGATTATTGATCTCTACATCTACAAGCACTGCTGATCACGGCAGTAGCTTTCTTCTTCCTTTCGCCCCCGTCCTTCCGGGAGCGCCTGTATACTGTTGTTACATGGCCTGGTTGGTACTGTATCTCTCTGTGCACACCCCAGCCTTTCTTCTGATCTGAGTCTACTGGAAAAAGCGAAAGATGCATGTGATGTGCGTGATGCATGATGGTCTACCCAACCATCCCTGAACTCCGGACCCCAAATTACCGAATACATCAAAGACATTAGTATTGCTCCTTCTCAGCTGTACACTCGCTGCACCTTCCTCGGAGCAGCAGCAGCAGCAGCAGTCTGCCTCCGTTCTACCTTGACCGGATCGCTGTCAACAGCAAGAATACTCGACCCGCCCCCACTCCCCGCCGCACTCATCTTAATAAGCGTGATCCTCAACCGATACGTCCCCGACTGCCTTATAAGCATATCCGGGAACGAAACATAACCCAGCACAAGCCGACAGGGCTCGTTATTTGCCAAGCGATCGGCGCATTCTTCTGGAATCGAATGCACGGAGTCGAACATTTTCTGGCCCGTCATCATCCCCGCTTCCAGTGGGACTCGTTCGCCGCTCCGGTTGTCGGCTACGAGGGAGGCGACTGCGAACAAGGACGAGGTGTCCACGGCTGCGGCATTGATGGGTTGATCCGCTGATGGGAATCGGAGGCTTACCATCACTGATGTCTCGACTGACATACCCAGGGGTACACCGGGTCGTGGTTGCCCGATCACGTCGAGTTCAAAGTAGGGTCGTTCGACGTGCGTTTCGGTGCTGCGACGGGAGGAAGATTGTTTTCTTCGTGGGGTACTGGAGTCCTTCTTTGGGGAGCGATGGTCGTCTTTGCTTGGTCGGCGGGAGGACTTGTCGTCGTCGTTGTCGCTTCGTTGGCGTTTACTGCTGCTTCGGTTCTTGTCTCGTCCGGTCCCGGAGTCGACGGCTCGTGGGCCTGACGTGCTTCTGGCGTAGGAGCGTGAAGTTGACTCCGACATTGTGGTTGTTGGTAAGATGGATGAACCTAATTGTCGGTCACTGAAACGTGGGCTTGGGTTGCAAGTGATCTCGAATTGCCTATTGGTAGTGGTGGGTAGGTGATTGTTTGGTCCTCGGTACGTTGCACAGTAACGATGTCGTCCAGTTTCTTCGTCGAGAGCGTATGGTGCGTTGCTCAAAAGTACGAGTGTAGTTGGTAGGAACCTGAAACTCTATCGGTGCTGGAAAGTATAAGCTCAAACTGTAACTTCTTGTCCTATCGTTGTGGATGTCTGCGAACGTACTTATGTGTTCCTGTCTGTCCTACGTCAACAATCCCTATTTGAACTTGTTCGAGCACTGCGTCCACCCGGTGCAGCTATCGTGTGAGATGCCAGTTGCTAGATCAGATACAAGACGAAAGCCACTACTCAATACTTGTGCATCAGTTGTCCCACCCACGGAAGCCGATCCTGCAGCTCCCCGAGGGAGAGGCACCGCCGCACCGCCGCCATCGCTGTCGTTTGGGACGAGATCCGACAAGATTGCAAGGGCCGTGACCGTGCGACATGAACGATTTGACAAAAAGGTCGGGCTGCTTGCGCAATCGACGACCTAAGGAAAGAACGGAGCCTCGACCTCTCGCCTCGACACAGTTCATTGGTTGGGCGCTCGTCTATTGAAGTCGATGTGGTTAGACACGACTCGGGCCGTGAACAGAACGGACGTCAAAAATAACGGCTTCGGCAAGGTCGTTCCAGGCAGATCATCGCGCAGGCCAGGATCTGCCGCAAGTTACCAGGAAGATCTCACAGTATCGGATCTGTACCGAACCACAGCAGCGGGTCACTTCTTCAAGAGTCAGCCACTTCTCTGACATCAGCCTTCTGGTAGTATTATCCATCGCCTCATGAACACATCGAAATGAAGGCGACATGCTTGGAGAACGCTAAGCAGACACCTGTTAAACAAGGTCCACGAGACCATGTCAAATCCTCCGTCTCCCAATCGAGCAAGGGATCCCACGTCCCACGCTCAAATGCAGGTAACGCATCACGAGTCAGGTAATACCCCGCGCAGCCAGGTATATCACGAACCGACCAACTCCGGAACCATGTCTCTCCCAGGGTTGAAGCAGGGGTCTAACACAAATACCTCTGCCATGCCGAACGGATGCCATGTGCATGCACGCGGCTACAAACGTCGCGATCCGATTCGATTGTGAGACCCGAGGGGCACATCGATCCCGAAGATCTGATTTTGCACGTCTCTTTTATGCTTGATTGTTTTGCCGGGATACGCTGTTTGGACTCCTCTTCGTCCTGAAGGGGGAAGTCCAGGTTGGATCCCCAGGCTTATCTGAGGCGGATGGAACAGGCATTAAACGAGATTCTTCTATCATTTGACAGCTGTGTAAGTGTGTTAGGCTATTAGCACCATAGATGCTAGACGCCCGCCTGTCATCGATTATTAGGCTGTCAGGATAGGATTATCCCCAGGGCAAGCGAGCCGTCACACTTCATCGTTGTGCTCGAGCACGAGACTGCAGTGTACCATCGTCTCTCTGGTCTTGGCATCCGACCCACACCATGCAAGCCATCTCCGTACCTGTGATGAGATCTTCGCATCTGCACGGCATGAGCCACCCAGCGATTCAATCGGACATCGCCTCTCCCATCGACATCCTGCCTACTGCAGTCACACACGATTTGCTATTTCCCAATCGGGCCATGCATACGCATGTGTCTGACTTCGTGGCAGCTGGAGCTACGCAAGTTGAACACAATGATTTGTCTACTGCAACTCTTCTGCACAAGCACGCATCTGTAGGTCTGACATTCAGCCGGGACATGCCAAGCCCTGTTTCATACGCATCTATGCAGTGGAACAGGCATCCGATAGCCCTAGACGCCACTACGTCGGACAGGGACAACCAGGAGTGAAGCTGCGGCCCGCCGACTGGATGCTGAACTTGAGACCACGGTATCACAGCCCGAGACCACGGGGCTGGATATTGGCAAAGTCGTGCAGACGATATGGCAGGACGACCGCTGCAATGACTACAGGTATCATCAACTCGCACTACGCGGAAGATGTAGAGTGAAATGTGCTCCTCAATTCCTCGTTGAAGATCGTCCGCCTCCATTGCGCAAGGCAAGGCCTTCGATGAGATCTTGGCACCGTGGAGATGTATGTATGTACCAGACTACCGAAGAAGGATAGGCTATGATGCACGACGCGCGTGGCGCCATGCAGTACGATACATCGTGCGTCGTGCAACCACATACCCCGGTCCTCGTGCCCTGGTTACCGGGACAGGCCTGTTAGTCAACGTCACCTATTGTCGGGCTTCGACTACACAGTTAGTGCATGGCTCGCGCAGTGAAAATAATCTGCTTTGGCTCTATTTCGCTGTCCGCGTTCATAGGTGGAGGAGAGCAGCATGTTCATCTTGGTGGCTTTGAGCTGGCTGCATGTAGGCCATTGAACGTGGCGTGCCTGAAGAAATGGGATGTCACATCCCTTCATTATCATTCCGTGCATACATTAAATTACTATCATGTATCTTCTCGGCCCAAAGGCCCGATCCCGTCCGCTCCTCTCGCCAACGTGCAGCTTCGTCGACATGCATATGCCGCAGATATGCCGCGACCCGGTAGCAGACGAAGGTGGGACGAGGTTGCTTCTGCAGCCAGCCTCAAAGTGTACCTGGTGGCTTTGCCAAACGCATTGCGTGATCGGTGATTGTTCGATGTGGTATACGACGGCTATCATGCAGTAGGGCACGGCACATGTGGATCTTCCGAGCGCTTCTTTCCAAGCACACGAGGTGATACGTCCAGTGGGGTTCGTTCCCGGATGACGGAGAACATGCATGCATGTCCAACCTGGTTGGAGATATCTAGATCCATAACGCAGGATCGCGCTCCATAGGCTATGCTTTGCTATTGTGTTTCCCAACCAGGTTGGAGAAATCCGCAGCTCCCTGCAGGCTGATGGGGAGATCATGGATATCGCTCATTGATCGACCTACAAGATGCGCGACCCTAGTCCACCCACCGCGCTAACCTGCATGCCCACTCCACAGCACTGCCTTGATTCCTGCAGTATAGCATTAGCATACCATAAACGCATCTCCGCAGATCCACCTTCACTCACTCCACGGCAACTCCCGCCGCGCTCTCCACAGCAGACGCCACAGCCCGCCACGCCGTCCATTATCCCGGCATCCCGTGAACTCTGTCCGTGACGACCAAGGGCCACGAAGGCGCGAGGCCGCAACCCGGTGCGACGCTACACATCCAAAGCGACAGCACACAGTCGCCGCGAGTCTGCATGAAGAGAATCCGCCTCATCGGCGACCCCGGGCTCCACCTCCCAAGCCTCATTCGAAAAGTCTCGAAGACCTTAGCGGGGCCTACGTTGCGCACAGCCGGCTGGGATATGGATCGTCAAAGCGGGAGATTCCCGAGATATCGGAGAAGTGCTGGAAGCGGCATGTACGAAGAGTGTTGTCGCTGGTTTCCCCCCCCCAGCTCAATTGACAATGCTGGAGTGCATAGGCAGTAGGCGAGGCGGAGAAAGGTCGGGCCTCGTTGCGATCACAGAGGGAGGGTCCCTTGTCGGCTGGGTACGTGGTGTAAGGCTGTTTGAGTGGGACGGTTGCCTTTCGTCGTCATTGGGGGAAAGTGGTAGAGGCGCTGGTGGCGACACCGCCCTTCATACCCGAGTCCCATGCAACGCAGACAAGAAAAGAAGAAGAGGCAAATGCCAGGTGATATATGCCGTCCCAACAGAACCCCACCATCTCCACCTCTCACCCCTCCCCCTCCCCCTCCTCAACAACACCAGCATCATGCAACCCCCTCTCCCTAACCGGTACAATCCCCTCCCCCTCATACGGAAACCCAAAATCCTCCTCAACCTTCCACCCTTCCTCCCCCAACCGCTCCAACACAGCCTCCTGCTCTTCAAATAGAACATGATACCCCTGTGCCTCATCATCCAGATCCGTCGGTATCCACGAAACACTCATCGCCTTCTCAATCAAAGACAAGTCGGTTTCGCATTTCCTGAGTAAAGCCTCCCGAATAGCATCCCTATGGACAGAAAAGTATTCGGCAGGACAAAACTCCAACCCCTCAAGCAGCCGAGTTTTAATACGTTCTTTCATCCTCCCAAACCCCATGTCAATTTCTTCGACAATCCGCCAGGCATACCCCACCCCGCCCGCATAAGCCATCTGCTCCACGAACCAATAATCCCCCCGACTCCTCGTCGTCACAACCCTCTGGGGCACATTCAAAACCTTCGGTCTCCGCCGCCCCTCACTCAATTTCCACAACTGCCATTCCCTCCAAACCGCCTCCGCATCTCTACATCGTGCGAGCGCGGCGATCCAGCCGTGGAGGTACTGCCAATCGCTCCTATCCAAAAACGTCCCCAGATGGAATTGTTGTTTGGGGGGTAACTGAGCACAATCGTGGAAACCGGTTAGGACTTGGAGGAGTTCGTGCCGTTTCCAGCGTCCGTTTCGAATCTCGCCTAATCCCCTATGTCCAATCGAGAATTTCGCTATCGTGGCCCGGAAGACATTACTCGTCACATCCCTCCTATCCCTGGACAAGGCACGGAGGTACTTCTTCATATCCGCCAAACTGCGTGTGCGAGCGGCGAATTTGAGGCCCAAGGCGAGGAGTTGCGTGTTAAAGGGGACTTCGTGCACGGCGTAGCGGGCCCGCATGGCGTTTAATAAGCTCAGGACGGCGGTATCGGGGACCTGGGCGCGGCAGCGGTAGAGTGCGCGGACGAGGGGTTCGTGGAGGGCGGCGATGTGGGTTTTGAGGCGGGGCGTGAGGGTGAAGCATAAGGCGAGGATGAGTTTTATGTCGTAAGGTGTTCGACAGCGGAGCAGTTGGGCGCGCAGGATTTGCCGGGTGGTTTTGTCGTTGGGGGAGGTGAGGAGGAGGTGGCGGAAGGTGGGGTGGGAGATGGGGGCGGCGGTGGATTCGGGGAGGTGGGATTTTGGTGGTGATGGGGAGGAAGGTGCGGGGGCTCGGTCTTTGTGGATTCCGCTCTGTTGGTCCTCAGGCCAGGGGTTTGATAGTCGTTGGAGGAGTTTGATTCGCTTGTCTTTCTCCCTCCATAGCACTTCTAGACCTAGCAATGCCTCTTGCACTTCTTCCGGCTGGTGGTCCAGGTTCCAGGCTGGTAATGCTTCGCTCACTGCTACTGCGGCGGTCTGCTTGTGATCCACCGCATCTGCCTGCACTCTCCGACGAATAGCCTTCCTACTCGCCATAATGTCGTCCTCGTTGCATCCATTTGCCCGACTTGACATCGTTTCGAGCTGCCGTCTCTTCATGCCGGGGGGTCTCGGTCTCCGTCTGCCAATCAGTGCCTGCCTGGCTTGACAAGCCAGACATAGCGACGATGCCCTTCTCGCCGCCATGACGGTCCGCTCCCGAGTAGAGTAATTAGTGTAAGTGAATGGAACGGAACGCTACCACTTCTGCTCCATGAGTCCATGACAGGTTGGTGGATGTGGTATCTGCTCGTTGCCGACTACCGAGAGTTACTTTCATATACAGTATATAGTGGACCCTGACATACAGTATGCACGAGTGACTGTTCCTGAATACTGTAATGTGGGGAAGCGAAAGACATGTCACATGTGAAAGCGAAAGTCTACTTTTTCTTGCATATACTATCTTTATACCTGCAGTCCTGCACCATTTTCACCTCGAAAGCCGAGGGCTCGACTAGAATTACCCCTCTATTATCATTCCATTATGGCCGACCACGAGACCACAACCAGCCCAGCACAGCCTTTCGCACCCCCACACAACTACATCGAACATGAAGGATATGTACCAGAAGGCCAGACCCAACGCAACGCCATGCCCGGAAGTGCCCACGATGCTCAAGCAGAGGCCCAGGAGAATGGTGAAGACTACGACGACCTCTTCGACCCCTCAGAAGAAGAAGAAGAAGAAGAAGAAGAAGAAGAAGCAGACCTCTCCGACACCGACCTCGGCGCCTCCAACCCATCCGACTACACCAAAACCTACAATCGCCAACGACGACAACACCGAAACGACGCCTCCACCCCGGACCCCCAAAAGCCGAGAACAAACCCGCAACTCAATACCCGAGCCAACATCGACGACCAAATAAAAACCTTGTCAAAACACACCGGCAAACTCCGCCTTACAGATGTGGAAGCAGGGCTCGGAGGCAAACAACATGGTGGAGGCGAACGCGCCGATCGCGCCACCACGGAACAAGTGCTCGATCCGAGGACGAAGATGATATTACTGCAGATGCTGAACCGGAATATCATCACTGAGATGAATGGGGTGATTTCCACGGGGAAAGAAGCAAATGTCTACCATGCCGTTACCATCCCCCAAGAAGGCGGCGAAACCGAAACCGGCACGGCTGCAAAGACGATGCACCGCGCCATCAAAATCTACAAAACCAGCATCCTCGTCTTCAAAGACCGGGACAAGTACGTCTCGGGCGAGTTTCGCTTCAAAGGCGGCTACAACCGCTCCTCGAACCGCGCGATGGTGAAAGTCTGGGCGGAGAAGGAATTTCGGAATTTGAAGAGGTTGAGGGCGGCGGGGATCCCATGTCCCGAGGCCGTTTATTTGAAGGCCCATGTGCTGGTCATGGGGTTTTTGGGCAGTGGGAGGGGGTGGGCGGCGCCTAGGTTGCGGGATTGGGCGTTTGGTTCTTCTTCTTCTGCTAAGATGGAGGCCAAGAAGAGGGAGGAGGGGTTTGAGGGAGAGGGTGTTGAGGGAGAGAGGGAGGATGAAGGGGTGGAGGATGGAGTGGTGGGGAAGTGGCGGGAGGTGTATATCACCCTCCTCGGGTATATGAGGAGGATGTACCACGTCTGCAAACTCGTGCACGCGGATCTGTCCGAGTATAATCTCCTCTACCACAACGACAAACTCTTCGTCATCGACGTCAGTCAGAGCGTGGAACACGACCATCCTCGATCCTTGGAGTTCTTGCGCATGGATATTAAGAATATTTCCGATTTCTTTCGGAGGAAGGGCGTGGATGTGCTTTCGGAACGGACGGTTTTTGGGTTCGTGACGGTGGGGGAGGGGGCGGTGGAGTTGGGGGAGGGAATGAAGGGGGTGGTTGAGAAGCTTTTCGAGGCTGAGGCAGAGAAGGCGGAGATTGAGGGGGATGTGGAGCAGCAGGAGGTTGATAATGAGGTTTTTCGGCAGCAGTATATTCCGCAGACGTTGCAGCAGGTTTATGATTTTGAGCGGGATGCGGAGGTTTTGGGGCGGGGGGAGGGGGAGGGGTTGGTTTATCGGGGGTTGCTTGCTGATGCTGGTGGTGCTGGGGGCCGGGTGGCAGAAGGGGGGGCTGTACAGGCGTCGGCGCCTTCTACCGCCAAGGACGATCCGGCCGGCAATGATGTCGTTGTTGAGGGTGAAGACGAAGACGATGACGATGAAGATGATGACGAAGATGATGACGAAGATGACCTTGAACTCGACGAAGACGGCAACCCCATCCGTAAGAAATGGCCTGATGACGAGGACGCACGACCGAGGGGGAAGCGGTTCGAGGACAAGGAGGCGAAGAAGGCGCATAAGGTGCTCGTGAAGGAGGAAAAGCGGGATAAGAGGAAGGAGAAGATGCCGAAGCATGTTAAGAAGAAGTTGGTTGGGCAGGGGGGAAGGGGGAAGAAGTAGGGAGGCGAGGTGGAAGTCGATCTACGTAGAGGTTGGAGTGGAAGATCCTGCTAATCCCCTACTGCTCTAAATCAATGGCGAGCTGTGCTTCTCCGGACTAGATCCTGCTCGTGACATAATTCACAGCAGCCCTTCATCCTGCCCAGGTATCGAATTACTGCTTCAGCGAATCCAGTATACTCTTCCCCTCCACCCGTCAAGCCCTTCCATTCCAGACACTGCAGGCTCAACAACGGCACACTCAACGAAGTCAAACCCAAATCCAGCGGCCACTCAACGTCTCAAACAAATTATTCGTAAATGAAGGCGCGGCCAATTTCACAAACTCCAGCGCAAAACACAGGAGATTATTCTTCTCTAACAACTTGGGAGCAGCAAGCACGCCGTCCGTGAGGTTCGAGAGATCGAGGAGTGTGAAGGAATTGGTTGTCCTGGTGTTTCCGCCGATACTGGCTAGTTCCGGGTGTTTGAGGGTCCAGGAAAGGATGTCCTGGTTCAGTTCTGCGAGGCCGTAGGGGGTGGGGCGTGGGTACCAGTTTAAGGGGATGCGCTCGTGGCCGTAGGTGTAGGTGGGGTTTGAGTCGGAGGAGCTGGTGAGGCCGTAGAAGGATCTTAGGATTGTGTGGTCTGGGTTCGTGGTTATTAGGCAGGGAGAACTGTGGGTCTGTGGAGGTGCGTATGAACGGGCTTCCCTAGTCTGCCGGATGGGTTTGTGGAGGAGTAGTTGGCGAAGAGGCGCGAGATGAGGAGATAGCCGGCGTTGCGACTGACGAGGCCGGTGAACTGGGAGATATGTATTAGCTACTGTGTCAGTCGATCGTCTTGCGCGGGGTAAGCGTACTGGGCCGTAGAAGAAGTGTGGATTACTTCCCACGGTTTGCTTGAATCGCTTGACAGCAAAGTCTGACATGGCGTCGAATGCCGTGTTCGAGTCCTCATCCTCAGGCAAAGCATCCAGCATATCCTGGAAGTGAACCATATTCAGTGTCCACGCGTCTCCAGTCTCGAATAAATCGTCTCGAGTAGGCGAGGAGTCCGCCTCGACGAGATTATGCGTCAGATTCAGTCCTTGCGGCTTTCCAGCAATTCCTAGTAGACCTTTCAGAAGAAGACTGACATCCTTACTCTCGCCTCCGATGGAGACTCGGAGGTTCAGGGAGACAGGTGCACCGCCTGATACTACTCCCAAAGTCGCCAGTAGTGTTGCCAGACCCAAGCCCATGTTGAATACACTGGTTACGGCAGGATTTGCCTCAGGCAGCGAGACCACGCCATCGCGGGAGATGTAGCCGTAATTTGCGAGTGCGTTGAGGCCGGGGCATGGTTCTCGTTGTTGGTCTGCGGTGGGTGCTTGCCATGCGTGGGCTCCTGAGACGTCCACGGGGTTAGGCTGGGTGCTGAATAGGTTCCTCTCCTGGAGGCTGGCGTGAGGGCTGGTGTGAGGGTTTGCTGAAGCATTTGGGAGGGACAAACACAGTACGAAGATGCTCAACAAGCCGACCGTGGCGAAAGCCATGGCGAGCGGGGTCTAAAAGGAGGATCCGCCCTCTCGCTGTGGTATGATGTGTTTCTTACCTTCAGGCTCAGCAGCTATCCCAGTATTACATACTGTACGAGGTGGATGCTGAGGAACCCTGTGCTGATATCCCAGCTCACGGCGACATGCGTGAACTTGCCGACATGAAGATCCGCTGCCCATGTTGTGCTAGCCCATTCGCCTGTGGCATATCAGCGACCATCTGGTCTATGCTGTGGTGGCAAGTCATGTCCCTGCACTTGTGGAGGCGCGAAGGACATGCGCCCCTGCCCGCCGACTCTCCAAACGTCGACAACAGAGCCGACGTGGAGTGGCTTGGTTGAAGTGAAATCAAAGGAAGATGTCCACGGACCCCAACGCTCTTGGCGCCAAGGAATCACTTGCGACTTTGGCACCAAACCCATGCCCGTCCATCATGGCCATGCTTGCCATCCTGCATTGTCGAGACAGTTCAGCCCACTGCAGGGGCAGATAGGCGAGAAACCGAAGCTCCAGGCCAGTGCTACTTACGACTATGATAGCGACATGCATCTCGAGCGTGATACTCAATCGGAGAGTATGTATACTCAGCTCATTAACGACCTATGAGTACTTCAAAAGAAGCATGGCAAAAACCGCGTCCCGCATACACGGCCGGGGATCAGTGGCCCCGGTCAAGACTATCTTGTGTTATCCTCCGTATTCCCCTCACATTCCTGATTTCGAGCGAGGCGGATGTCAAGCATTTCATTAAGGATGAAGCGTGGGGCCATCATGCGTCTTGCTCTGCACCCATCGGTGCCGACGACGACGTCAATGCTGTCCTGGATACGAACTTCAAGGTTCGTGGCGTTCAGGGCTTGCGGGTTGTTGACGCTTCGGCCTTTGCGAAGATCCCGGGAACATTTATTGCGCTGCCCACGTATATGATCTCTGAGAAGGCGGCGGATGTGATCATCAAGGGCTTGTGAGTGGCGTGAATCGTGGCGAGACTGCTCCGAAGCTCGGGTAGTCCAGACGATGTAGCCTTTCACTGGCGCAGTCCTCCATAGCGAGAGTTAATAGATCTCTTTCTAAAGGAGCTGGTCGTGTCTTTCGACCAGGAAGGTTCCACTTATCGTCGCTGCATCCACTCTCTCGACATTTAGAGCGTGTCACGGAACTGATTCCTCGTCACTGTTCCTTCCTAGAAGATGAAATGTCAAAAGTGCTTGCCCTAGGTAGTTCTGGCTGGATGTGATTATCCGCAATGGGCGCATATCATACAATATCATATGTGTAATGCAATTAAAATTTACCTCATAAAACTCCTCCCCCGCCACGCAATGCTTCTCGAAATCTCCACGCAAACAGCTGGACAGAATTTCCAGCTCCCTCGGTGACATGGACAGCTTAGCCAGAGGCTCTCGTATTTAGGATCAGTGCCACGATCAATCTGCATCACGACGTCAGCAAAGTCCTCAGTTATCTCACACAGCACTACGCCACATGCTCCCATGAAGTGAAGCAAGAAGAGATAACCAAACTCACCCATACAACCCAAGCACCTCCCCAAAAATCAAAATCAACACCATGCCCACGAAAATCCGACTCTGCTGCATATAAGCCCGCACACCAGCATCCCCCACCACCCCAATCGCATAACCCGCCGCCAATCCCGTGAGGCCGACCGAGAGGCCACAGGCCAGGTGCATGCAGCCTTCGAAGAGGGTGTAGTGTTTCTCGGGCGGGGGTTTCATGTTGCCGGCTATGAGGACGGAGACGACGAGGGAGTAGACGGCGATGATTCCGGACATTACCACGGGGATGAGGGACTGTGGGGGAGAGGGAGATGTGATTAGTGGTGTCTTATTTTCCCGGTGTCGGAGTGAGAAGAATGAGGGGTGATGTCTGGATGAGGTGATGTTGGGTGATAGAGATAGACGTACCTTCATGATCAGGTCGCCGCGGAAGGTTCCTACGCCTGCGATGCCGATGCCGGATTTGGCGGTGCCGTATGCTGCTCCTATGCCTGTAGTATCACACAGTCTCAGCTCCCATATCCTCTACCAAGTGCTTTGTTCTTCATCTCATATGGATAGATGGTGTAAGGCATACATCCAAATATCATGGCAAATGCCACGCCGGCCATGCCTAGGAAAGGCGCGAATTTGGGCGCATAGTCGTTCTCGGACATGATGGCGGTTGGCTGCGAGGCTCAGATGGGGACGTGGTGGGGGATGAGAGGGCGGATGGCGTGGGCGAGATGAGGTGTGGTAGGTGAATGCTCTGCTACGGTATCCTATGCGCCTTCCAAAAGCACGTCCGGAGATGTGTCGGAGCTTGGACATGGATGATGACCGACTGTCGGCACGTGAGCGTCACTTTTGAAGACGGTTCATGCTCGATCGGATGTTTTGCGAGACATGGACGGTGTAGCAGAGCAGCATATGAGACTCGCGAGACATCCCCAGACCATCAGACAGATATATACTCCTTGTACTTTGCTGCTTCAACCAATATCTGCTGATAGAAACATAATTCTAATCATTCTGATCAATCCACGAATCGCTCTGCTTGGCACAATCGCGGACCCTGCTTTCTTGTGCCGCCACGGCTGCCATCTCTGTTTCCATTCGCTGCAACTGACCCTGTCGACCAACCACAGCCGCGTACCGACAACTCCTGCTTGTGCGACCTCTACGCCTGCGTCTGAATTGCAGTGCATGATACAACCCGCCAACCCGATTCACGCACACAATCTTTGATCTTGCAGCGACTGCTTCCTGGTGGAGACGGAGATAGTCGGATCGGTGAAGTGAAGTGAAGTGAAGTGCTCGGACGAAAGAGGCGAGGAATATACCTTGAGCGACAGGAAGGGAAGGAGCAAAGGAGCAAAGGAGGGAAGTGAGTGAGGAGGCCGAATGTCTGGCGGGGTTGGACCTGCAACAGCACGTGAAGTTGCCAGCGAACCAGGCAGACGCGCATCCCCTGCGGCGCCGTAGTTGGTAACGGCCATGGCATATCAGGCCCAGTCGGGGCGGAATTATGGCGGAGGGCCACCAGGAGCAGGAGGGAATCAGTTCGGACCTGCCTCGTCCGCTGCTCGGGATGCCGCCTTCAATAACATCTTCGGCGCCGCACCTCCCGGCCAGGGACGAAGCCAGACGATGACGAGCGCGACCCCTCAGATCCCCAATGATCGAGCGGCGACGATGAGTGGAGCGAGTGCCCAAGGCTTCACGAATAGAGGGCCAGCGATGAGGCCGGGGACACAGCCGAACGGAGCATATCCCGTTCCGCCTCCACCTCACAGTATGCAGCAACAGGGGTATGGGGTCCAGAGTAGTCCGCAGAGACGACCGCCACCGCCACAAGCCCTACCACAGCCCATACGGCCCGATCGAACACCCTATGGTCAGCCACAACGGGTGGACCCACGAGGATATCCCATGCAAGGCCAGCAAACACGCTCCTTCACCCAGCGACCATATGCACCACCAGGCCCAGCATTGAACACCGACGGCTATCGTACGCAGTCACTATCGCAAACACGACCACCCGTGTATCAGCCACCCGGCGGCAACTACGCACAATCGCCCGCCAATGCCTTCCGAGCACAACCATACCTCAACCAGCCCAATCGAACAACAGCACAAGGTCGTGTGGTGCCAGAGCGGCAAGATGAGCGGAGTATGACGATGGGTTCGCGGATAGGAGAAGATCACATGCAAACGATGAGTGGACGAGTCATACCCAATCGGCAACGGATGGGATCGGAGGATACTACGGATTCTAATCCACACTCTGAGACGCCGACTATGACCAATGGATACCACCCGGACCGTTTGACGAATGGATCTGGAGCACCCCAGATGAACGGCAGGATGCCCAGTAACGCCTCAACCATCTCTAGGACGACGAGCATGGCGTCGACTATAGTTCCGCCAGGTCTAGATGCCACAAGCCCACGCCCCTCAGTCACAGGCACGATTCGAAGCGATTCTGGACGAACAGGGACCATGGTGGCTCAGAAGAAACCTTCGCTCGTCTACGGCGCACTTCTCTCGAACGTGGCGAATGCCTTTCGGGAACGGGTGCCGTTGATAGAAAAGGAGAAGGATGGCTTGGTGTACAAGAATGCCTTTTCTGGTTACGAGGCTGTGGAGCTCATTGCGTATATCATCCGCACGAGCGACAGGAACTTGGCATTACTTCTCGGCCGATCACTGGATGCGCAGAAGTTCTTTCATGAGGTGGCATATGCGCATAGGCTTCGTGATAGTCCTAACGAGATCTATCAATTCAAGGAGACGCTCAATGAGGATCCGCCGGAAGTCAACGGCGTCTTTACGCTTTTGACGGAATGCTATTCGCCGACTTGCAATCGAGATAATCTATGCTACTCTATCGCTTGTCCGCGACGACTGGAACAGCAGCAACGACTCAACATGAAGGTGACGCCTGGTCTGCGCCGTGAGACGAGCCGATCCAGTTTGCACGACGAGATGGAGAATGAGCAGAAACTGTGGATCAATACCGTATCCAAGGAAGTCAGTGACGGTGTTTCGGAACGGGAGAGGAAGAGGCAAGAGACGATCTCGGAACTAATGTACACCGAGCGCGACTTCGTCAAGGACCTGGAATACCTCCGCGACTTCTGGATCAAGCCCTTGCGAACACCGGAACTGTCACCCATCCCGGAGCATCGACGCGAGAAGTTCATCCGGACCGTCTTCAGTAATTGCCAAGAAGTGCATTCAGTCAATGCCCGCATGGCACAAGCCTTGACTCGACGACAACAGCAAAACCCTGTCGTTAGAAACGTGGGCGATATCTTCCTCGAGTACGTCGGCCTCTTCGCCCCCTTCATCAAATACGGCGCCAATCAACTCTTCGGCAAGTTCGAGTTCGAGCGGGAGAAGTCGAGTAACCCCGCCTTCGCGCGGTTTGTGGAGGAGACGGAGCGGTTGAAGGAGAGCAGGAAGCTGGAGTTGAATGGGTACTTGACGAAGCCTACGACGCGGTTGGCGAGGTATCCGTTGCTGCTTGGCGGGATTCTGAAGGTGACGGCGGAGGATAATCCGGATCAGCATGATCTTGTTCGCGCGATTGCGTTGATTAAGGAGACGTTGACGAGGGTGAATGAGGAGAGTGGGAAGGCGGAGAATCATTTCAATTTGATGGCGTTGAATTCGCAGCTGAAGTGGGGACAGATTCCGCATATGGATTTGAAATTGACGGAGGAGACACGGCAGTTGATTTTCAAGAGTGCGCTCAAGAAGGCTCCGACTTCCGAGGCGGCGGATGTGACGGCTTACCTTTTCGACCATGCCGTGTTGCTTGTCAGGGTCAAGATGGTGAATAAGCGGGAGGAGATGAAGGTGTATCGGAAACCTATCCCATTGGAACTGTTGCAGATCAAGGAGATGGATGCGGTGTTGCCGCGGATGGGGGTGGTCAAGAGGCCGAGTAGTAGTATGATTCCCGGTGTGGTTACCAGGGCCACAGGGACCATGACGAGCAGTGTGACGGGTAAGGGTGGGAGTGATAGTCAGGGGTGGCCGATCACGTTCAAGGGGTTGGGCAAGGGTGGGTATGAACTTACGCTTTTCACGCAGAATCAGATTATGCGGGAGAAGTGGATGGAGTGTATCCAGGCGCAGAAGGAGAAGTTGAGTGAACGGCATCGGATCTTTGCTCTTACGAAACTCTGCGAGGGGTTCTTCACGAGTACGGTCCGCATTAACTGCTGTCGACCCATGGACGGCGGGAGGAAACTAGTCATCGGGACGGACTTTGGCGTCTTTGTCTGTGAACGGCGGCCAAAGGACGGCCCAGGTGCCAGTTCCACAGGCCCCAACAAACCACGTAAGATGCTCGAAGCGAAATTCGTCACACAGCTGGAAGTGCTAGAACAGCATCAAATCCTCATCGTCCTCAGCGACAAAGCCGTCTACACCTACCCGCTCGAGGCCCTCGACCCAGAAGAAGGCCCTAACGCCCCGAGCAAAAAAGGCCGCCGGATCTGCCACGCCAATTACATCAATGCCGGGATGTGTAACGGACAGACCCTCGTCTGCTGCGTGAAATCCCACTCCCTGAGCAGTACGGTCAAAGTCTTCGAACCAATGGATATGCGCGCCGGACGGCAAAAGAAATCCGGTCTGGCGAAGATGCTGGCTTCAGGTCAAGAGGTCCTGCGCCCGTACAAGGAATTCTACATCCCGATGGAAAGCAACAGCGTCCACTTCCTGCGCTCCAAACTCTGCGTCGGCGGCGCCAAGGGTTTCGAAATCGTCTCCCTCGAAACACTAGAAACGCAATCCCTCCTCGACCAAGCCGACACTTCGCTCGACTTCGTCAGTAGGCGGGAAACCACCGTGAAACCCATCTACATCGAACGCAACACCTCGGAGTTTTTACTCTGTTATAATGATTTTAGTTTCTATGTCAATAAGAATGGGTGGCGGGCGAGGGGCGATTGGAAGATTTTGTGGGAGGGGAGGCCCGAAGCGTTTGCTACGTGGGGGGAGAAGTTCATTATGGCTTTTGAGCCGGAGTTTATTGAGGTTCGGTCGAGTGAGAGTGGGGGGTTGGTTTGTATTCAGACGCAGAGGCAGACGAGGTTTTTGCATCAGAGTACGCGGGAGGTGAGTAATTTGTCCCTATTCTGGAGGCTGGTGGGTTGGTGTGGGGTTGCTTGTGCTAATGTGGTTTTCTTGGCAGATACTTTTTGCGTACGAGGATGAGAATGGAGAGGATGTCATTGCTTCGTTAGATTTTTGGGGGAAGAGCTAGATTCGGCGGGCTCTTTCCCCTTCTGGTCTGATGTGCATATGATGTGGAACTCAGGGCCACTTTGGACGACGGCTTGGCTATCTTGACCCCGGCTTTAGCGTTGATCATGGCCTTTGCAACATGGCCTTCGACATGGCTGAGTCGCTATCCGAGCCGCCACGGCCTACCGTCAGTGGCAGTACAAGGACCGAGGCACGAACTGTGCAGCGCGCAGGCTTTGGTTCGCCCTCCCCAGCAAGCCTGTGTGGCATATATGGATCGTGTCCGAGTTGCAAACCTGGCCTGTCAGTGGGCTACCAATGCGGAGTCTAGGAAATCCCCGCCTGGTAGACGATACGAGGGGAGGCCATGTCGTGTCGTGGAGTGAAGAGAAGCGAGGTAAAGAAAGAGAAGAGATGTGCGAGCGAGCAAGCATGAATGTATCTTGGAGCATAATGCTGGCTTAGGAGGTTGGTGGCGGATTCGTTGCGGATGCGTACGTATTGTACATATTACCTTTTGATCAACCTTTTCTTGCGCCTTCAGCCAATCCGGAGTACTGGTTCTTACTAACTGTCTTTTGCATTGTTTCTGGGATCTTCCGATTCTGCCTGGCGATGGCTGTGGGTTATGGGTATCGCTGACTGCTCACCCGGACGCGCAGAGGAATAGACGGCTCAGGTTGCAGCAGCATTCAAGGATCTAGTATTACGCCTTTAACCACGCCCGAATACCAGAACATTCATGAACTGCTGACAAGGGCAGAGCACTCTCAAACACTCCGCCGAACTGATCGATTCTGCTTGACCAATTTGAGACAGACGCAACGGACAGAGTACTCGTACAGGTCCGCTCACAATCGTCCGCAAAGTCAGCGCCGAGTCCCACACGAGATCATTTCTCAGCCTTCGACCACTTCACTACCTTCACTCGCCTTACTCTGGAGCCTATTTCCAAGCACAACAGGGACCTACTCCTCTTTCGGTTCACCAGGATGGTGTGTATCCTCTTCCGGTACGCTGATATTCTTACGTCGCTGGCATAGAAATGTGGTATCGTCGTGTGCGTGCTTCCGCGTAGTAATGTACTCAGAATTTCGGGACTTAGGCTGGTAGGATGGAATAGAGGTGATTGGTATTGATGATGTCGAAGTAGTATTATTGGGCGAAGAGATTAGTGGGTTGACGTTGGGATGTAAATGTTGATGTGGATGGACGGGAGCATCATTGGGCTCGACGCTCGTTCCGTGGTGTTTGGGATTGAGAAGGGGACAGACGGGCAGTGGCTTTTTCAGAAACACGACCTTTCTCTTTTGCACTGGCACAAGGCATGATGCATTTGCCCGAGACGGCGAGTGTGACTCTGCGCAGGAGATTGCCGGCTGTATACAAGGCGGGATCGAATATTGACGAGGCGCTGTCAATGTATAGTTTCGCACTGGTGTGGAGGGCATGTCGCCCGACCGTCAAACTAGAGGATGCATGCCAGGTTCGCCCGAGTTCAGTCGCGTCGAGACCTTGAATTCCGGATGAATAAATCCTTGGAGCTCGAGGGACGAGCCTGTATCTCTAGATCGATCGAGCCTCTATACCCACCAAAGTGCTACCCCAAATGCGGTGACACATGCTACAAGCCCAAAACCAGCCACCAGCATACCTAGTGAGATATCAAACGTGTGTGGTCCTGTCTGAGCTGAGTGGAGTATCCGTTTGTATATCGCTGGAGGCTTGACCCCGCAAGCGAGGGTAGTATTGCAGTATTCGGAGTACTAATTGATGCTGACCAGTGTGACACACGACTGCAAGGCATTATTCTGCTCTGACCAGCGAAGGTCCTTGACAGTGATGAGACCAGTCCAGACTGGTCAAGAAAAGCCAGCAATTGATACGAGGGAGCCGACGGCTGCGATGAGCTTGCCAGTGTAGCTTGAGGGCAGAAGCCGCGTGGCGGTGGCTTTGAAGCACGATATCCTGCTTTTTGTTGCCACTTGCGGTGTAGCTCTCTGGACTGAGGAAGTCATCTAATGGCTTCCTGTGGTCATGTTCGTCTCCGATATAGAGTCGACTCGTGGCGGTATAGGACTCACTCGATAATGGAATGCCGGGCGGGTATCCTCCAACAATGACATCTCGATATGATAGCACGCACTCCTTCACCTCTTCAATCAGGGCAAGGACGAACCTTACAGCGTGGGACTGCAGCAGGTCGCACGGCCGGTATTCGTTGCACGGCACAACCCTCCCGAACTCTGAAGCGTTGCTGCGCCAAGCTTGCACCACGGTCATGAAGCAGCGCCACTGCCATTGAGATGCCTAGTCGTTACGAGAGCGAACCCAAAGGAACGAGATTCTCACCGAGACGCTGCACATATGTGTAAAATTTACCAGCGTATTGAGGCTGGCCTTGTCGTGACCCCTTTTAAAATCGTGGTCCGCATACACAAGTCTGTGGATGATTGCTGCTTGGCAGAACGTTCCCACAGTCTCTTGAAGCGTGGCTGAGACAGCTCAGGAATGGTCATTGACCAGCTAGCATTCTTTTCCCATCCTGACTATCGTGAACTAAGAGCTATGTATTCTCGGGGTATTTCGCTAGATCCAATGGATCGTGACGACAAAGAACAGTGTGTAATAATAAGTAGCTAGTGAGAGACAAGTCCAGCCCTTCGTGTCCAGACTAAGCGAATCATAGAAGGTATATCGTCAGTATTATCGCCGCCAACGCCTTGCCATAAGTCACTCTCTGAGTCACCATCTACACAAGTCCATCTTGACTCGAACCTTAGTGTTGCCTTGCCTCGCCCCTCTCCCGCACCGATCTTCGAACCTGGTGAATGTGTCCAGATTAGGTATGGTCCGTCAGTCAGCATGCCGTCCTGTGCGCCGGCATATACTCTGAGCACTTCTACAACAGACGTGGACCACTTCACTCAGCCCACTCCTTCATATACTCATCAATCTTCCTCCGTCCAGTGTCGATCCTTAAGAGCCTCGTACTGCGACTCATCAACCACATTCCGCTTGAACATATCCTTGAACACAGTCCGGAAGCGCTTGCCAAGCTTGACATGCTGTTCGGGAGTCTCACGTCTGGTGGCACTTCGCGCACGCGTGCGAGGCTTGACCCGGGTCCGGGAAGGTGTCCTGCTTCGACTGGCCATTGTACCGGGTAAGGCATGCGTCATCTGATGTGGCAGTGGTGAACCAGTAGCGGAGAAGGACGAAGAAGTGTTTGATGTAGTCTCTGAAGGCCGAGGTGATGCTCCTGTGAAGTCGTCCGGGGTGGAGACTCGGGCTAGAGATTGCACAGGAGGTGCCGTTGCTGGACCCGGTGGGATGTATGTGAATGATTCGTAGGGAGCGGCTACCGCACTCGACGGATACGGGTCGACGTCAGAGGTCTTACAAGCGTAGGCTGCTTGTTTCCGTCCATCGCTGGTGCTTGGTCGATGGCGGGAATATGAGTGAGAACGAGTTGCCCAGAGGTCTCCGAGTGCTCTGCGCTCCGTCTCGGAAAGAGGTTGGGATTTCGAGTCGATATATGGTACTTGAGCAATGCTACGACTCTCCCAGGGCGGGCTTGCCGAGTCAGTCCTCTCTGGTACGGAATGCACACCGGAAGATGATGAGAGTGAGCGTTCCATATTGTCGATAGGGTAGCCCGGTCTCCGAAAATGTGTCGCAAAGGGTTATTCAGGTGAGCGGCCAGTGGCCTAGTATTATCTCGGTGTCGAGGACAGCTGACCTGCAGCTTTCGAAGTGGGGGCTGTGCACCTGGCAGACAGGCCTCGTACAGCCCGACTGTATTCGTGCCTTACACCAGGACAACGACCAGTCGGTCGTGAGTAGTAACAACAATGATAGTCGAGCCAAGGAAAGGAAACAAGGACGAGGACAAGACAAAGCTGCTCCGCCGCACTAAACAGATGTGACTAGTGAGAAGAGAAGGGAAGGCCGAAGGCAAAAACTATGGGTAATAAGAAAGAAACTCGACCATGAGGCACAGTCTGCACGCGACAACAGCACTTACCGCTGTCAATAGCGCTGGGGACGCGCAAAGATGTTCAGGCTCTCCACACTGCATTGCATCAGTTTCATATAGTCGGTACAGGGGTGCCAGAGGGTGGTGTGGTTGATGTGGTCCGGTGTGGCAACAATGCAGGCATCGTATTGGTGAAGGACAGGTAGAAGCCCGGGGTAATGGTTCTGTCATCATTGATGGGTCTTGCTGGCACGAATGGGATGTCGTGTAGGAGTATGGCTTTGCCGCCTGGTATGACAATGCCGTTGGAGAAGGCTGAAGCTTTAACGTGTGGTATGGCGCTTGGAAGGCGGGTGCCAGTGATTGGTCGGCTGTGCCTCTTGCAAGCGCCCGGTCTGCTTCGTACACCTGTTGCGAGCGTGGTTGTGCAAATTTGGGTGTCCAAGCATGCCGTTCCTCGTATGCTCCTCACTGATTTTCTGCAGCTGTCATATGGAAGTCTGTCCGGTGATGCGCCCCCAGGATGCCAAAGGCGTTGCTACAAAGCTTGAATGTAACGCCACCGTCCGCGATTGCCTGAGGCGCAGAAAGCTTGGCTCATGGCGCAAGGAAGGTACCGGTAGCTGTCAACTACTAGATACATGCTCCCTCCTCCGCCGCTGTCACGTTACGCACTGGTTATGTGCTTAGCATCCGAGCAAGAAGATGGACACAGATGCGTGATTGCTTAGGGCGTGCTCTATGCCTCCGTCATCGCGATGCCGGCAAGTGCCAAGCATAGATAGGCAGTTTCTGCCGACGGAGGATCATAATGCAGCTATCCTCAACCAGAACAGACTTCAGATAAGTCTTTCTCGACGACATATATCCAGGTCTGAACGGACGACTCAGCGATTTTCTGTCGCACTTCGAGCTCCAGCAATCGACGACATAGTCTCGACCACGACCTAGTGAGCATTGCTTGACATCATCGATCATTAGCCAATCATCTCCTGACGCCAGTAGCAATGGCGGTCTTTGGAGACAAGGGACAAGCCGATCAACTAAGATCAATCCCACCGGGCCTCGACTTGGACACCACCAAGGAAGCCGAAGGACTACGAGACGTAGCCGCAGATCTCTTCCTCGAGATCAACCAGTACTCGCCCGAAGAACTAGCAGCAGAACGGAAAATCGTCAAACGAAAGCTCGATATGATCATCATGCCTATGTACGTAGTAAAAGACTAATCCCAAACAACTACTGATCGTGATGTACAGTATCTGCATAACCTACTGTCTCCAGTTTCTCGATAAGCTTAGCCTCAATTACGCAGCTGCATATTCGTTCATCCCTGACCTGCATCTGGAGTGGAACCGCTACTCGTGGGTCGCGGCCATATTCAACTTCGGGTATGGAAGAGATGACCAGCCCCATCGGTAGACATGTACAGCTTGGCTGACACTTTGCCCAGCTATCTATTCTGGGCCCTTCCAGCGAATTTTTTGATCCAACGAGCACCCATAGGCAAGCTGACAGGCACCATGATATTCATCTGGAGTATCCTTCTGGTCTCTCACGTCGGCGCGAAGGACTATGCCGGAATTTTGGTTCTGCGGTTTCTGCTCGGATGTTTCGAAGCTGGCATTTCGCCTTCGATCATGAACATTGTGGCGATGTACTATACTCGTCCCGAACAGCCGTGGCGGATGTGTATTTTCCTTGGCTTTAATGGCATGTCTACTATTATCGGATCTTTGCTGGGCTTCGGACTTGGACATGTCAATAACATCGGTTTGAAGTCCTGGCAGCTGATCTTCCTTGTCATCGGGCTAATGAACTTTGTGTGGAGTATCGTATTCGTAAGCCATGTGTCCTGAAGATGATACAGATCCGTGCTGACCATCACCAGCTCCTATTTATGCCTGACTCTGCGACCAATGCAAAGTTCTTGTCACACAAGCAAAAGGTCGTGGCTGTAGATCGAGTCTCGAAGAATATGGTCGGGGTCAAGACGAAACAGTACAAGCCCAAGCAGATCGTGGAAGCATTACTGGACGTCAAGGTCTGGACGCTCGTTCTGATTGGCATGGCTACCGGGATCATCAACGGTGGTGTTTCGAATTTCGGCTCTGCCTTGATCAAAGGATTCGGCTTCTCGAGTATCGACGCCACCTTACTGCAATTGCCCAACGGCGTTATCGAGTTCATCGTTGTACCATCTTGTGGTCTGATAGCAACCTTTGGTGGGAATGTACGATGCCTGACGATCATGGTTGTCTGCCTCATACCGCTCGGAGGTCTTCTAGGCATCAGACTCACAAGTCTGGACCACAGATGGGCTCTGGTCGGCTCGAGCTGGCTTCAAGGAGTGGTCGGAGCACCTATCATCCTTTGCTGGAACCTGATGACCACGAACATTGCAGGACATACTAAGCGAAGTATCTCAAATGGCATGTGGTTCGTCTTCTACGCCGCTGGCAATATTGCTGGAGCGAACATCTTCAATACTAAAGAAGCGCCGAGATACTTCTCGGCTCTCACCGGATTGATCGTGTGCTATATTGCCACCATCTTGCTTGCAGCATTCCTGTGGGCGTATATGGCGTTAGAGAACAGACGAAGAGATCGTCTACTTGGACCAGGAGAGGAGGTCATCCGTGACGCGGAAGAGAAAGCTATTCTTGAAGGCTTTAAGGACAGTACTGACAAGGAGAGCAAAGGATTCAGATACAGTCTGTAGTCCGAGATGGTAAGCAGGCAACGTGACGGCTCGAAGTTGTATATACAAGCCAGCAACATCATCAACAACATACCGAGACTTGATCTCACGTGAGGCTGTTCGAGCCAAAGAGTCGGTTCACACAATATCTGGCGGGAGCCGAGATCAATTTATCCACTCTCACGACCCCGTCCAGCCAAGAACTTACACATTAGCGTGAAAGAGTCGTCCAACCAATCATACCTCGTAGGGGCCAACTCGGCGCTTACAGCGCACACAGCTAGCCGATCACAGCCAGCTGCATCGCACGTCGTCCTCAGTCCGGCTCACTCCAATCGCTTTGCTGTATTGCCGCCAAGCTGGCTGCGATTCCTGCGTGCTCTTGCGGTATGCACGGGAGTTCATGCCGTGGGCGTGCGTGACAGCGCTAAGGATTGCTGGTGAGGTCGTCTGGTTTCTTTATCCCTGGTGTATCTGCTTCCTTGCTCCGAGCGATTGAAGTTGAGGTTGTTCAAATCTGACTGTGTCATCCTACTGCTGTTTCATGACAAGTCGTGTTGCATCTCACTATTCCTTCGATACCACTGTTGGAGCTACGGTCGACAACGCGCGGCCAGGTGTCACTCACTAGAGAGGCTTTGATATATCAGACGACGAGCCATAGCGAAAGGGTTTGCGACTTCACCTTACGGCACAACTGAGGAGAACGAGCTCGGCTGAGGTGCCTGGCACAACATGGTTAGACTCTCGAGTTTGGTGGCGGCGGTCGCAGCATGCGGCCTGGCAAGAGCACATACAGTCATCACATACCCTGGCTGGAGAGGGAACAATTTACACATGAATGGTTCGGCACCAGAGGACTGTCCGGAATGTCTAGGTATAATGTATGATCAGAATGGCACCCAATCGTTCCCTTGGGGCATGCAGTGGATGTATCCTTGTGAGTATAGCGCCATGCGCAGCTATAGGACAAGCAGTAGCTGATTTGCTCTAGGTGGCGGTATGCCTCAAACCACAAACCGAACCTTTTGGCCGCTATCAGGCGGTGCGCTCTCGGTACAGCCCGGATGGTTTCCTGGGCACAGCAAAGCATTCTTCTACATCAATATCGGCATACAAGAAGAAGGCCAACTAGCGCCGCCAAACATGTCACATCCAGTTGTACCGCCTTTTGAGATCACAGGACCTACGAACGACGAGTATCCCGGACAATGGTGTATACCGCAAGTGGGTATGCCGGCGAATGTCAACTTGACCGTGGGACAGAACATCACGATTCAGGTGATTGAGGCGGCGCAGCACGGAGCTGCTTTGTACAGTGTATGTACCACTTCCTATTTTGTCAACTCAGGGATCAACAGCTGACACCTTCTACAGTGCGTAGATGTAACACTCGTCGAGGACGGCAGCCCACAAGTCGAGACAGTCTCGCAAGACAACTGCTACAATAGCTCAGACCTAGGTTTCCAGCTGGTCTTCACCACGACCGCCTTAGCATCAGGCGCATACTCGACAATGGAACAACCGCCCGTACAAATGGCGTTTGCAACGGCTTTCTTGCTTCCTCTTCTACTCGCGATATTATGATGATCTGCTTGATGGGTGGGCATCGGGAGTTTTGGGGGATGACGATTTCTTTTGATACCACTTGGAGTGCTTCGAAGATCATTGCGTGGATCAGCACGGTACCATGACGACAAAGTCGGTCTACAACCTGTTCATAGTAATTCCCTCAGCGCTAGCTGCGTTTCTGACTGCTTCGGCGATTTGTATGAGAGCTTCACCGCACGGCAAAATGTCATGAATCTGGGAAGAATCCATAACCACGTGTCAAGGAGGACTAATGAAGTTCATATTTGTATGTTAGTATCGGACTGTACGGTGATTGCTTCTAGTATGTATCAGGCACTCCAAGTAACCCCCTCAGCTCCGTCCTCAACCTCACCGTCTCCGTCTGCTTCTGCGCCACTGTTTCGTTCACATCCGAGCCAGCTACGTACCTCGACATGGCAGCATGATGGGCGATAGAGCCAGCACTGAACATCCCCATAGGTGTCAGGGCAGGAAGTAATGGTGTACTGCCCAGCTCTTGATGCAACAAGTGCGCCTTGGCCTCCTGAATCTCCTGCTTCAGCCGTGTGATTTCTGGGGTCAAGTGCTGTATTCGATCACTGATCATCTTGAAGGCCTGAGCAAAGTGTATGATACAAGCTACTCTCTCCGCGTCTCCAACATTACCATGGCTAATGCGTACGCAGTACCTCAGCCATGCCGCCCGGATTGCAGTGGCGGACATGTCACAGGTATGCTCTGTTTCCATCTGTAATTCTTCTAGGGTGAAGTGGGAAGCTAGCGGCGTATGCTTGACATGCGTAGCGTAGCATGAAGGACAGACAGCCATAGTCGGAACATATGAGCTCGTGTAGATAGGCCCACCACGACGCAAAGTGACTGGGTCGCAAACGAAGCCTCTTCCCGGCGTCGCGAAAGGCTGCGAGCTTAGCTGGGGTACTGTTGGCGCATTTGTGGCCCTTTCTAAACTTCGACGAAACTCCGCTTGCGCTCTGTCATTCCGGGCGATTTCTTCATCGGCGTAGCTCCTAAATTCCGCTTGGGCGATTTCGTTGCGTTGGACAGCAGCGGAAGCGTACTGCTGGAGTTCGGCTTGTGCTATTCTGTTGCGCTCCAGAGTGGCATCGAAATGCCGCTGCCAGTCTGCCATCGGGCTGAGTGCCTAGTCGACTTGAGACTATGTCCCAGGATCGTTGACCGAGAATACGTTCTTATGGTCTTGTAGTCCCGGAGCATATATGACTGCTCAATTGGTGATATGCAGCAGAGACCGTCGTGCAAGCGCATACGAGTGGCGAGAAAACATTGCTGTCCTCCGATCAATCATCTGAGAAACGCCGATTCTATTGGCGGTTTGGACCACGTCCTGCAGGGGGAGTGGCAGCCTCAGAGGGTCGAGGCTAAAGGTTCAGTGCTTGACGGCAAAAGCATGGAAGAACAGATTGATTCGTGCTTGATCGCGATGCTATCACGATCGAGGTCTAGTATATGCAGCCACGTTGCACTACTGCAAGTGTTGGATCTGGTGTGAAGCCTCATGAGCGTCGCGGAAAGACTATCGTCGACCAACACATTAGAGTAACATCTTGGGAGAAGCAGCTGGTCATGAGATGACCGGCATCGTTATTGATGATCATGCTCTGCTCCGCTGAGACATGAGAGCTACGCAGGCTCACAGTGAATGGATGGCCAGTTTTCAGGTCACCGACGTCGTCATCGTGGCAGTCGGTGTTTGATGCGGGAGTCACGATACTATGGTGGCGAATGTCTCGCTTGAGTGAGTCGTACCTTCCTAAAGAGCAAGGCGTCAGCCACAACGTCACGTGCGCATGATTGCATGTGAGTCTCTTGCTGGATCTTCTTGATATTGCTGTATAAGCCAGCACACAAAACTTGCAAGACAAGTTGTACCGCAACAATGTCGACACCGATAGCATCGGCTCTCGACACTGAGCTGCAACAGTATACGTGAATCGCTCTCATTTCTGAGTACGGCGTAGCTAACTTTTAGTAGGTACCTCAGCAACAAGCAGCACTCCGACATCACTATCGTCCTCACCGACCGTGAGATCCATGCTCACCGGTTCGTGCTCGTCCTTTCATCGAAGTTCTTCAAGGCGGCGCTGGAGGGCCAGTTCAAAGTACATCCGTCATCTAAGTCATTGCCGCGTCGAGAGACTGACGACTTTGCAGGAAAGCAAGCTCGAAAATCTTCAACATGCCCGACGACGATCCAGAAGCGGTGGTAGGTATGCTCAGCTACTTTTACGGTCTCGATCCGCACAGTTCGATGGGAGGGCCCGGTGGCTACCTCAACCTCAAACTATTGGCCATAGCGGGCAAGTACGATGTCCTCGGCCTGCTCGAAGACGCGCGGGATCGTGTGCAGCGATTCTTGTTTTATCGCGTACTGGAGCCAGACTTCAACTCAGTGGTAGAAGATGTCTTTGAGAACGAGATGGACCACGGCGGAGGGTCGCGCAGATAAATAGCAGGGCTGTGTCGAATGCGCCTCTAAGATCTGATCCATTCAGAGTCGTTCTGGACGCTGCTCGGGGATTGTCCTGGGCTTAGTGTGAAGTTAAGGGAGATCGTGGCAAGTGAAGACCGAGGGCATCGGCAAGCATATCAAGGGCTGAATCATCTTCTCACTTGGCCACACTCGTTGGTCAAAAGGTATCACAGTGCTGACCTGAGGAAAGACGCGTATGTAATTGCAACACAGATCCACGATACTCTTGACCACGTGACAGAGCCCTGATCGGGCAGCAGCATCAAACCATGCATCTCGGAAAACAGCGATTGCCCTGCAGAACCCTAGTTCGCTTTCGCACGACGCGTCAAGCTTCCAGAGCTCTCCTCCCGGGAGTCTCAGCTGCAGGCATTCTGCACGTTCTGCTGCACGATGTAGTGGAAACGGTGGAGTTGCAGAGTCAAACGACGAATCGTGGCAAGCACCGTGGCTGATGCGATGCATGTGAGATGTGTTTGTAGAGGCAGCCAATGGGAGATGGAGATTCGGTAAGAAGGTTTGGATGTACATGTTCTGTAGGTGGAGTGGTCTGTACAAACAGTAGTGCTGGAGGGCGTTGGTGGGATTGCACGAAGACATTATTGTGATGGTCAGAGGATGTTGCATGATATCAGGCTGTACAGACTCTTCGCCCATGTATCTCTTGATAAGGTGGAAAGAGTAATGGTCGCCGTCGCCCAGCCAAACATACGCTAAGCTGTTTGTTGACGAGGGTCCAAGCTGTGCGCGATGGTCGACTAGCCCAGCCACTCCCCTCCACCTCTTCACTCTCACTCGCACACCGAATCCCCTTCCTGCATCCCACACTACTCACCACCAGCTCAAGCTATACAAAGTCCGCAAATCGGCTCGCCGGTTGAGCCGCTTTTGCATTGCCTTTGCTCTTGCTCTCCTCTTCAACTCTCTGACATCTCTTCAACCCATCCCAAAGCTCTATTTCGAGTGCCTTCATTCACCTGGAGGCCTTGAAACCGCTCGTCAACCTGGATTTCGACGCTAGTGAGTCTTCATCAATATCATAACAATAACTTTAATGATCACCTGCTAATGATCATGCAGGAGTACCTGTCCCGTTCAGCGTCTTCCCATCATCATACAAAAACGAGCAGGCATCCGCCGAGACCACTGAGGTCAAGAGCGAAGAACGCATCACAGTCCAAGACGCTGGACGGGAAGGCCGATACCAACAATCGCAAGCCATCCCTTCCCGTCGAGACGACAACAACCGCTACACGCGTGAGGACGTTCGCATCACCGAAGAAGACCGCTACCGTCGAGAGCCCGATCGACGCCGTGTAAGAATCGAAGAGGACGTCCGCGTGCACGAAGACGACCGCTTCCGAGATCGTCGCGACACCCGCATCGAAGTCGATCGCGAGAGAAGGTACGTTTTCACCCATCCCGTCGCCATCTCTGCTTCCTCTGCCCTACTACCTCACTCTCTGTGTTGTATTGGAGGCTCTGCACAGGGCACCCCCTGATGGCGCCTTGGCAAACACGCTAGAGCGCCATGTGGGTCTTGCTTTGCTGTCGACCTAGCAACCAACGCCTTGACTCTCCTTCTCGTCTCACCTCTTCCCTGTCGACAATTTTGCCTGCATCATCACTACCGAGACTCGCTTCATCCGAGACCAGCTCGCTAACGAGTTCGGTTCCACAGCTACCGTGAGCCATACTCACGCTACACCAACGCTCAGATCGACGTTGAGGACAAGACCTACGACCGCGAGTACAACAGCCGTCATACTCCAGCCACTCAAGTCGACTACGATAGTCGTCTTGACGTCGTTGAAGACCAGTACCGTCAACGCACTACTCCTTTCACCCAGGAGTACCGTTCAGAGCGTACCTGGCAAGACAAGTCCACCTCGCCCCGCGACTACCCAGCCGCCGGCTATCCAGAGCGTGAGCCCGTAGCCTTCGACGAGAAGAAGGTCACTGTCACCGAAGAACGCACGGTCGATCCACTGCGCACCAGCGATCGTAAACACCGTCTTGATATGGGATATTACGACGAGGACGGCCATTATCATAGTTTCCGCCACGGCCTTCACCGCGCCGCCGACCGCATCCTGTACGGACCCCAGCAACACGAAGATCGCCACCATCATCATCACCACTCCGACCGCCACGAGGACCGCGAGGAGACTGTAGTCGAAGAACGCGAGACCACTACCATGTCTTCCCCACGCTACAGCAGCGAGGAGCGCATCTCCGTCTCTCGCGGAGCCGGGATCCCAAACACCATCACCATCCCATGTCACCACATCCGCATCGGCGATCTCCTGATCTTGCAAGGTCGTCCGTGCCAAGTCATCCGCATCACCACCTCCGCTCAGACTGGTCAGCACCGATACCTCGGCGTCGATCTCTTCACCAAGCAATTGCATGAGGAGAGCAGCTTCGTCAGCAACCCATCTCCTTCCGTCATTGTCCAGAACATGCTGGGACCGGTGTTCAAGCAGTACCGTGTCTTGGACATCCGTGATGATGGTCGTGTGGTTGCTATGACTGAGACTGGGGATGTTAAGCAGGGTCTGAGGGTGCTTGATCAGTCGAGCTTGCTTGGACGGTTGACTGAGAGCTTTAACAATGGTCGTGGTTCGGTTCGTGTTTTGGTGATCAATGATGAGGGGAGGGAGTTGGCTGTGGATTACAAGGTTGTGCATGGCAGCCGCTTGTAGAAGGAAGTTGTCAGGGGTGGGGAGGAATGTGGTGAATGTCATTGGTGTTGGTAGATGAGTATGTGACATAGGAGACAGATTGTTGATAGTGTTGAAACGCCTTTGATCTGTGCAATCTGCCTTGACTTGATCGCATTCGAAATCATCGAAGGATTCCACTTTAACACACCTCATCGCGACATTAACTACTACTCCGTTAATGTTGTCGCGATTGCGGGATGCTGTCAACAAACAACACCCGTCTACAGCTCGAGCTCGACTAACATTTGCGGGGTCCAGTTTCCATTACGATGCCGAATGGCAGAGGTAACTTTGTACACTGACGGCATCGCTGTGTAGACCTCGGACGTACTGCGAAGGTACACAATAGTAAGAGGCGAGGTAAGTGATTACAGCTCTCGCATAACATTCTCCCTCCTTCGAAATTGGCGTAAGGATGTCGCAAACTACAACTACACAGCTGGGCAGCGAAGCCATCGCTCACCATCCTCCCCAGAACTACACATTGCCTCCGGTCCCTGCACTACATCATCTGGATGATGGGATCACGAAAAATGGAACGCAGGACAGCGGTGATGACCTCGAGTTCCATGACCTTCCTCCGTTTCCAGACGATGTACCCACAGCACCACTTCTTCGTCTCAGCTTGAAGAAGCTCATCGATCATGACTCGAACGAAGAAGAGAGATTATGGCAGACGTGCCGTGACGTTGGGTTCTTCTACCTTGATCTCCGGGACGGTGACCAGCCAAGCTCCGCAAATGGTACACAACACCCTTCCCAAAGCAACAACAGCAACGACAAATCCGGTCCAACCCCCAACGGCGCCGCCCTCCTCAACCACGCCAACCAGCTCTTTCCCATCGGAGAGAAAGTCTTCAGCCTGAGTACCGCAGAGAAACAGACGTACGACTTCAAAGACCAGGGTTCTTACTTCGGGTACAAGGGCCTCGGAGCTGGTGTGGTGGATGCCAAGGGGACGAAAGACGCCAATGAATTCTATAATGTTTCCAAAGATGACCTCTTCGGGATCTCAGAGGTCTTGCCTGCGCCGGAGGTTTTAAAGGGTGAGGAGAGTAGGGAGATTTTGAGGGGGTTTATGACCGAGGCGCATGGGGTTGTGAGGCTTTTGCTTGGTGTGTTGAATAGGAAGTTGGGGCTGCCGGCTCGCAAATTGGAGGATCTGCATAGGCTTATGGGTGTTTCGGGAGATCAGGTCAGGTGAGTGTTGGCACTTGTCTCGTGAACTTCTGTTTCGTGACTTTTCGGACGAGCTGACGTTATTGAGTTCTGATGTAGATGGGTCAGATCTCCTCCTAAACCAGACCAAGATGCTAATCAGCTTGCTCTTGGCGAGCACACTGATTTCGGCTCGGTGACTGTCTTGTTTAATCGTCTCGGTGGTTTGCAGATCCTGCCTCCTGGTGGGGAGGAGTGGTGTTATGTGAAGCCGTTGCAGGGCCATTGTATTGTCAACCTCGGTCAGTACTTTACCACATATATTCCACTCGTCGGTCGTTCGAGCTGGCGGTTGCTGACAATGAAGCTAGGTGACGCGATGGTCAAATTCACGTCCGGCGTCCTACGCTCGAATATCCACCGCGTTGTCAATCCACCCGGTCAACAAGCCGATCAGACGAGGATGAGTCTTGTGTACTTTGCTCGACCTGAAGACGAAGTTCTACTGAAGCCGCTGGAGGGTAGTGAGATTATTGATGCTAAGCAGAGGGAGAACGGCGGTGCGGGAGACGATGAGGAAGTGATCACTTCGAAGGAGTGGATCAAAAGGAGAGCTTTGGGAAGGAGGACGGGAGGGGACTATGCCGCTTCCCATGGTACGGAGGGTGGAAGGATGAAGGCGTGAGTGCTGTGGTAGACAGTGGCTCTGGCTGTCCGAAGTAAGAGACTGTATTACCATATCTGCTTGATCGCTAATTGGGGTATCTTTGAAGGCACGATGAAACCTAGGCTGTATCTGCCGACTATGATCGTTCCGTTCGCCGCATGCATTCATGTCTCTACTTCTGCGTATTGAGAATCAGAGCAGGCTTCAATCCACATTGTCGCCATTGAAATAGTTCAACTTCTTCCCCGTCTGATCGCTGGAAGACGTGCTCTGTAGCATACGACTTATGACGGATTCGGCAGCGACATCTGTTGACGCCTGTGTCGATGCCGATGCCGATGCTGTTGGCACAGAGGATGCTGCAGCTGATGCACTCTGATCTCCAGGATGCAGTCGCACGTTTTCTGTGGCAGTCTGTAGGCCTGCCATGTCCGGAGCTGTTCTCGAATGAGTTGTGCCAAAGTCGGCTGCTGCTGCTTGGTTGCCAGGATGTAGTTGCATGTTCTGTGGTGCGGTGTGCGAGCTTACGCTCTGATCGTTGGTGCTTTCGCGTATCTGAGTCTCTGGTGGCGGCGCTTTTTTGGGTTGCGCTGGAGCAGGAGCACTACTCGAATGGTCGCCATTCCTGACACTGCTCTGAGATCCTTCGTGGCCTTTCGCCATCCGCCCGTTCTCAACCACCGGTACCTGCTTACTACCACCCACCAGAGCATTCAGCGGCTGTGTGACCACTCCTTGGCTGCTTAGCTGCCGCTGCTCTTCTTCCCTCTGTACAGCCTGCTGAAGCTGCTCACCCCAGAGAAGATGTATGTGCACAGTAAAGTACACATCCTGAGTCTTCCTGTTCTTGAAGACATATCTCAAACAATGGCTCTTCTGATCAATGTACTTCACCACCTTCAAGGAGAAGCCTGGTAACTTCAGAGAGAAGTTTGGGAAATCGAGGTAGGGGTTGTAGAAGTCGCCTTGGTACACCCTACCCTTCTCGAAAGTGAAGGCTTCTCGATGGGGTGCAGAAAGGAAGTGTTTGCGTCTCTTGTCGCCTGTCTCTGGCAGGCCAATCTTGTGTCTGATCTCTTGCCCCTCGCCATCGCCACCTTCTTTCACCACTCCAGGTTCAGGGAAGTCTGCTTGTTGTCCTACCTGGTCGCCAACCCTGAACGCAAACCAGCATGAGAGACTCGGGCCGTAGAGCCATGGCTCGTCGGCATATGCGTCGCACTCCAAGCCAGGATCGATGAACTCCTTGACGATCTTGAACGCGGTATTGAACCCGGGAGGCAGTTTGTTCTTGATCGGGTGATCAAAGTCGTTTCCCCAAACTGTGTCGACGCTCGGTAGGTTTTGCTTCGGCACAAAGCTGAAGGCTACGCTGTACTGGTCCTTCTCATGTACAGGGTCGTCGAAGTACGTCGATATTGCAGGTGTGCCAGACGGTAGGCCATGATATCCTCGTATGTTGACCTTTATCTTGGCGCGCACGAACTCATTCTCGACGTATATAGCTTCGTTGGTGTTGACCCGTACAACCTGGTGTTGGTCCTGATTATACGATGGTCCAGCTGTAACCAGAAGCTTGTACTTCTCGGCCTCTTGTGCCGCTTCGGCATCGTTACCGCTACCACTTGTTAAGCCGTGCAGCTTCTGCTTCACAATCGATGCCATGGTGAGGTTTTGATGGGTGTGTACATAGTCGGGCACGGCGAGACAGTTATTGAATGTCTGAGAGGCTCAGACACGGCGCCAGTGCACTCATGAGCATGTCACTCAACACGAGCACATGGGCCAGGCGCCTCATCGGCGACGTGGTGCTGACGTAGTGCTTGCCTAGTTAGTGAAGCGGAGCAGGACGGCTCGGTCCGCGTCTATCTATATTTCGTCTCGAGATGAATATGATCTCTTGTTTCTCGCCCTACAAGTCACATACTGCTGTACCAAGACCAAGGGAACACATGATGCCTACATCAGGCCACCTATCTAGCCAGCATCCAGCGTAGTTCGGCCTGCATGCAGATCCGGGACATTTGACGCCGTTCCGACTGGACGAAAGGCTAGACTCCAGCTTGGTAGGCGGTGATTCCGAGACTCACTCTACTGGTGCGCCTTAGTCGCTTTGTTTTTCTCCTAGGCCCACGAAAATCAGCAGCATCTCATGCTACTGCTGATACCGACTTGCTGATTGTTGATGTATTATCGATCATGGAAGTCGCTTTTCGAGGCCGACACGAGGCAAGTAGAGTATCTCCGGCGAGGCTGCAGAAAGGCTGTCCACCGCGCACGTAGCCTGAGTCGCGAGCCTTTGACACCTTGATCAGGTTGCATGAGTATGGCCGCTTTTGTGCGGCCAGCCGCGATAGTGGCGCCTTGTCTTGCAGCTTTCTGCAACTACCCGAAGGTGGTGTGGGCGGATGCTCAATGGAATGAAATGTCCAGCTCCTCGGGTGTCACCACATGTCGTAAGCCAACATTATCTCAGTAACCGGTCGGTGTGGAGAGCAGTAGCTCAGAAGCAATGATTGACCGTGTTCTTGTTCACGGTCCACAGCATCTACATGGCTGCTGATCTGCTGATACGAATAGATAGCTTCGCAAGCACAACTTGCGCACACGCAACCCGGCGCAGAGATCTTCTTGTGTGACCTTTCAACGGGTGCCGACATCGTGTACTACTCAAAAGCGCTTGTTTGCGGCCTCTAGATTGGCAGAGTCTTACAATGGCATCACCTACCGAGAATGGCGAGTATCATCCGCTGAATCCGGAGAGGCCCTATTCACCTCACACACCAAAGATCTCAAGCCCCTTGGCGATTGTGGAAGCACCATCGCCAAGTACGAGACGCCGTCCGGGGTATGCGAGGCTGCCAACTACTTCTGTTGGACTTGACAGGACTTCCGAGATGGACGACCAAAGACCTTACGAGCGTGAAGGGCTGGGCATCACTCTGGCTTCAACATCACAAGGCAAACCTCGAAGGCATGACATGCAGACACCGAGCCGCGAACAACGATACGATGACTCCCCAGACGTGACAATGTCACCACCATCCACCGGCGGCTTCTCTGGAAGCACTTTCTTCGACTCACCCCGAAATTTCGATACTGCATACCACGGTTTGAAACCTCTACCAAAGCCATCGGGCTCCTCACTGCGATCGAGCGCCCAACCATCACTTTACCCTCAATCAGAGACTGGTCTCCTCTCGATACGATCCAGATACGACGACTTCGAGCCTAGAGAACACTGCCGCAGCCACAAGCCAGTCGTGCGAAAATGGTTCTCCAAGACGATCTTCTATCTCTCGATTTGCAGCACCGGGATGTCAGCGGTCTTCGTTGGTACAGTAATTGTTGCTCCACGGTACGGAAGATATGTCACTACCAATGGTCTACTCAAAGCTTCATCAGCTGCCACTCTAACAACGTCAATTGCTAAGCTGATTGAGCTGTCATTCATCACAGTACTGGTTGCATGCATCGGTCAGATACTTGCCCGCCGAGCATACAAATTGGAAAGTGGTTCTGGGGTTACGCTTGCCGAAATGAGTATGCGCAGCTGGATTGTCCAGCCTGGAACGATGCTCACGCAGTGGCAGAGTGTCCGCTATGCCGGGATTACTTTCCTTGGCGTTGTGTCGCATGTGGGAGCTCTCTGCGCAATGCTATATGCTCCGGCGGCCACGGCGTTGGTACAACCACAGCTCAAGTGGGCGAACTGGCAAACCTCAGGTCATGTATGGCAAAGTGAAATCGCAGTTTGCAAATCCAAAGTATGTACAGCGTAGTTGCAAGACACCCATTCAGCAAGGCTATGATAGCGACTCGGCGACCACTTGCCTCCAGATGGAGCATGCAACGATGGGCTATCACAATTACTTCAGCTATTTGAATACGTGGACGACTGCCCTCAACAATGGGACGAACACTTCGGATCCGAGTCTGCGGCCTATGGGATACGCTCTTCTGTCAGATAATACGACCATAACCGCGCCGTGGATCGAACAAACCGATGTCGCGCAACTACAAAGCCAATACGGCCTGGTGATCAATAACATCAGCATGGCTATGCCACATCCTGGCGTCATCCAGGCTGCCATCGATTCGAAGAACAGCATCCTGCAGCCCGGAAATTTGGACGGTCTTGGTGTCTACAACATTCGCGCCTCCGTGCCTTCGCCCGTTGTACATGTTCTCTGTGTCACTCTCACGCAAGATCATATCCGGCCTTTCGTGTATGAGTTGTGGGAGAACGTCACTAGTCAAGTTGACATGACTGCCTGGCCACAGCAGCTCGGCAATTACAGCGGCTACGATGCATATCTTGGTGGAACAGATCTTGACGATATCTTCCGCTGGGGTGAAAAGTACGGTGCTACAACATGGCCTCCAGTCTTCGGGAAGGCTCCTATCGACTACAATACCATAATCAATGACACAATACATGTTGCTGCTTACGGGAGAGAGGCAATATATCTTCTTGGGAAAGGTGGTCCCACTGATTCCCCTTGGAAACGCTATGGAGGATCAGAGATACGCTCTGTGCCAAATACAAGCTAGCCAGTCGTTAAATTGCTCAACATCATAAAACGCGAGCTCAAGCGGTGCACAGCTTGCAGCAAGATGCGAGGACGATAGCGACGAGTTCGCTTACGTTCACACCACGCCCGCAGCGCGACGCGGAAATGAAACACTCAATGCCGACTGGCCGAACATTGCCTTCGACTGGAGCAGGAGTATGTTGCGCCACCCTCGCCTGCTTGTTACACGCTGACGTTTGACAGGCCTCGCTCTTGATGACGGAACCTTCGAGGGTAACGGCTCAAATGCACGACTGCTGACTCAGCTCATGCTCACCCAGTCACAACTCAACCCAGCTCTTCCTTCCATGGCAGAAGCTTTGGCAGTCCTCGCAGGCTGTACCCTGCTTTCATCGTCCGTCGACGCACCTTTCATCGGCTACTGGAATTACAGCCTTCCGATTCTAGACTCCGATGACAATTATCAGACATTCACTGCATCGATTCGAGCACAACAATACGCAAGCGGAGGCTTCCAACCATATCAGAAGGCCTTTCATATCGTCCTCGTCGCCGTCCTTGTCATGAACGTGGCATGCCTCGTATACTTCCTGACACACAGGCACTGGTACACGGACTTCAGCGAGCCCACGATACTCTTCTCGCTCGCAGTCAACAGTCCTCCTTGCCAGGAATTAGCCGGAAGCTGCGATGGTGGACCTGAAGGTGAGCACTACAACGTCAGCTGGAAACTCAATACTGAGGGTGAGCACGTGTATTTAGAAAGCTTGCAGAAGGAGGAAAGCGGTGATAGGAGAAGCTCACCGCTGATTAGGCGACGGCGGAAGCTGAGCCAAGGGTTCGATATCATCAGTAGCCCTAGACATACGAATGGGGAGGGGCAGTCACTCGGCTGATTTGCGTGGCCCGATGGAAGCCTGGCAGCATGCGAGCAATCCGATGGAGCTCACTCGTTCCAGCGCGGATCGACTCGCATTGTGTAAAGAAGTAGTGTGCTACCAATACTGGGTCTGTACAAACGCAATGATCTTGTGACGTTGTGAAGATCAGACATTCGTTATTGCCACGTCTGACTCGAGTGTGATGGAGGCATCGCTAAACATGTGAGCGATTTTGTTGCAGATGATATATATTCTTAGTGATCTACTCCACAAAGACAATTGAATTCTACACTGTAGCTATTCTAATCGCTTTTGCCCTAGTCCAGCCTATTTTTGACATTCTATTCCAGGTGCTTTTCCAATTCCAAGCAGTCAGTCTGATGCACCCAATCAACCAAAATCTCCCCAACGCCGTGCTGAATCGTGTACAAGAATCCATCAATGTTTGCACTCAGCGTCAGGCTCATCTCCTGACACTGGGATCAACGCTCTCCTCCAGGCGATACATCGGGTGGTATTTCTGAACATCGCCCGTCAATATTGACTTCAATGTCGATTGGGAAGACGGCTGCGACTTGCATTTCCGATCATACGACTTTGGCTCAGAAGCTGTTTGCGAGGCAACGTGGTCTAAGTATCGGAGATGATGCTTGTGCGCATCGCCGACGAAGACTGACTTCAGTGTTGACATTTTGCTGGACGAGTTCTTCTGTTGTGATGGTTGACGGGAGTCCTTCTTCTCAGTCACGTCGACTGAGGGTCGACCTTTTATTGCTTCGGTGTAGGCCGGTAGTTGTTCCGAGTTGTTTCTTGGCGTTGCTTCGAGAGCCTGGCGTTGGTCTTCGATTAACTGGCTCCAGTTGGCGATTGGCATTCCTTGATAAACCATTGTTGCTGTCTGCGTTGGTTGATGATTTGAGGTGATGGTTGGTTGGAGTATTGTGATGGATGATATTGATGAAGTGATCGATCTGTTTATGAGAGGCTTGTAGATATCGAGCTTGTGATATCGAACAAAAGAGAAAACACATGGAAGACAGGCAGACATATATACCAATGCCTCCTTGTCGACAACCCTCGGAATGCCATCGGAGCTGACGTGAGTATGGTAGTCACCTGAGACTCTTTTTGCAGCCTGATCTTGAACACCGAAAGGCAGTGCACGTATTCAAGGATAGTTCACGTCGCGTGTGCACAGCCATGCATCGACAAGCAGCTAAATTGATGACTCCGCTCCATAACGTGCTTGTTGTGATCAACCTGGTCATCGCTGATATACTTTGGTACCAAGCTTTCGTACGATCGACTGAGCCCTACACAAGTCGTTCGCACGGTCCGAGCTTGTGCGGTGTTCAAACCAGGCACCGGAATTGTTCACTGGGGCCAATCGTTTGCTATGGTGCAAGCTCGTAGGATGGCTTCGGCTAGATCAGCAACACGTCGTAGCAGGCCTGGGCCTTGCGGTACCCATTGGTAAGCTGCCTGCAGTGCGTCGTGGCAGACAATGGATAGTGGTGTCAAGCAATTTCAGCATCTCCAAAGCCATGGCTCGGAATCGTACAATGTTTAGCTGATGACTCAATCATTGTTGCTTCCCAAGGCAGGGTTCCACATTTTCTATGCTGCATGGGCACTGCTAGTTGGCGCGTATACAGATGATCGGTAAGCACACCAGCCCACCTCGTTCTCTCCCATTGGCGGCGGCGGCGGCACCGATCTCAGATTGGCTCTCGGTGGTGACTCCTCCAGAACTAATGCTCGGAGTTGAGATTGCTCGCATTCATGCTTAGCGGTGAAAGCCGACGCAGCAATGTATCATAACTGCATTGAAAGACGTAGTAGCAGATACATCCGAGCTCCGTTCGTTGCCTCTAGAGGAATGGAGAAAGCGACGGTGTTCAGAAATGCGACCGTGTATTGAGCGCTTGAGGGATGATCGATTGCTTGAGCGATGTCAAGGGGCAAGTAGCAGGCGTTGCGAACGAGACAAATTGATCGAAGCCGGACGCCGTAGTCCTCCGCATTGCGAAAGATGCTCCACAATGCGGCGTTCCGGCGTTGGTGAAGCTTGAATGCCGTCTTGCTCAACTCCAGGATTTCTAATACCTCCTCATCGTCACCTTCAATCATACTGACACAGTCTTCGAAGTCTAACGCCCTGCGTCGAAGCTTTATGCAGCGCGATACCTAAGCAATAGTTCCACGAAGCATTGTCAAAGCAGTACACATCGCATCATATCAAATCAGACCCAAACGAGAACGACGGTACCCCACCTATCCCTCCTGCACGGCAGGCATACGCAAGATCAGGCATCCGCATAGAGCCCTTGGGCGTTGCAGCCTGGACGCAGCTTACTACCAGACGTGCTGTCCCGCAGACGACATAATTCCTTGCACTGCTCACGGCGGTGAGTCATTCGGGACGGCCGCGAAAGCACGGTCGTCGTAGACATATGGAGCCACCCGCCCTCAATGGCTCGACGATGGAGCCAGCCATGACCATCGAAGGCACTAGTGCAGCGTCCGTTACGCCATCTTACCGTCGGTACATGATTTCTGCCTGCTTCGCGTCGTCCTCATCACGGCATTGTACTGACCAAGTGCGGATAGCAATGGCAAGTTGTTTAGCTGCGAGCCCGTAAGTGTCTTGATGATCTGCAGTCGAGCAGAAGACGACGACGCATTCCTCGTCATTGCTAACTCAGTGATAGTGTCGACGAGGCAAGCTTCGTTGTGACCACAACAGTCCGGTGTGTGGACGTTGCGCCAGACGCAACAAGCCTGATCAATGCATATACCATCCCGCACCGTAGGTCCCAGATATCTTGGAGCGATTGTACTTTGTACTGACTTTGTCAAGCCTAACCAAGCCACGTGGATCTCCTGGTGCTCCCAGTCAGAAGACAACCACAACTTCGAGAGCATCTACGGTCGCACCATACCCTACAACTCGACCAGAGCGGCGATTGACTGGGCTAGCCTCGCCTTCATCAAGTACTGATACCAGACCATACGACCCCACTGCATTCCGGCCAGTGAGCAGCGCCTCGATCGATCCAAGTCTTGGCTTGCCTGCTCCTAGATTGTCGATGGCACCGACGCCCGGCGAGGATCGTCATACTTCGTCTTCAGCTTCGTGTGTGAGTCCCGAAGGCGGCATGTCCTTCCGCGAGGGGAAAGTCGGCTTCCTTGGGCCTACGAGCTATTCCGCGATCTTCACGGAAAATCCCAACAGTCTCGGAGCCAGTGATCCCGATGATGTCCTCGAAGAGACTCCTGCCATAGCGCCTATCTCTGCCGACAAGATCCAGCGTGGAGCTGAGATACTGGCTCTTCTGCGAGACATCCCATTGTACGAGAAATTTACGCAGCGGTTCTATGATCTTTGTGACGGTATACTGGTTATGCAGCCAGCGCATCGCATTTGGGTCGATGAGCTGTGGTCTGAGTTTGGACGTTTGCTAATGGAGGGCAAGCCTGATCAGCTGCGCAGCTTGTCCGAGCTTGTTTGGCGGAACACGCTGAAGCCCATGCAAGTGCATGGTCAGACGACTGCACAACAATGGGCTAGATGTGCCTCTGGACGCTATCTGAGGTGGGAGATTGTGGGCAGCATCTTGACCCATACTGGCCTCACGGCCATGGGCCTGAGTAATTGGGACAGCATCTTCGACAACATCCGCGACCGCTACGTCGATCGCGCAACCTTCGCCGAGCGCATGCGCAAAGCTTCTGAGTTCTGTCTGTGTTTCTGCTACGAAGCTGAGGTACTAAATGAGCTATACCTATGCTTCATGTACGAAGACCTCATACTGGTGGAGTGCCTCAAGGGTGACGCGCATTACGCAGCGTGGCAACGCACCGGCGAAGTCTGTGACGCGGTCGTGGCAATGGGACTCCATCAAGGCAATCCAGTTGACGCGGAGACACCTTTCTTCCTTTCACAGCTGCGAAAGAAGATCTTCGTCTCTGTGTACGGCAGAGACAAGGTCATCGCCACTTTCCTGGGCAGACCACCAAGGCTCTCACATCGATACTGCAAGATGGAAATCCCTCTGGACTTATCCGACAACGAGCTTTTCTCCACTGCGCCAGAGTTGGAATTAGCAGTATCTAAGCTCGATGCCAATGGTTGGAACACTAGCGGTGAGTTGAGCAGAACGACATGGCAAAGAGTCTGGTTTCAACACTGCCAAGTCCGCGAAGATATCCTGGAGATTGCACTCGGCTCGCAAATGGAAGACATCACCTACAAAGCTGAACAAGTACGTCTTAAGCTCGACCGTATGCACGCCAATTACCCGGCATTCATGTCCGTTACACCAGAGGAGGTCATGAACTGCGCCGATGTGCAGCTGGGTACCGGGTTCGGATTCGCTCGATCCGAGAAGCACATGCGGCAGGTCAATACGCTCTTCATCATATGTATACACAGTGGGATTGCTCATACCGAGTTTCTGCTACAGCGGGCCATGGTCAATCGACGTAATATGGGCTACAAGGAGTTGATACCAATCTCGCGCAGAATACTCAAGCTAGTGTTGCTCGCGCAGTCACGTCGGGACTTTTTCAGGGACTTCCAGGGTGATCTTGTGTATCTGGTAAGTGCAGGTCGTGAATCGGGTCTCTCACAATCGTATACTGATATTCGTCAGTGTGCCTTCCACGGCCTGCCAACGGCCGGCGTCCTCGCGATCGAGCTCCTCAAACAGGAGCAATCACGGCAGTTCACACCCGATATACTGCCCAGATCCGAAACGATACAGGACCTGAGCGTCTTCATCTCCGCTCTCGGTGCCGTCTCGCCTGGCGAAGGCAACTACAACATCTGCAACCAAGGGCGCCGCTCACTTCGACGCGTACTGGACCAGATCCTCAGTCCGCAGCTGCCACCTCCAATCACGCCAAGTGGTGATCAACCAGCCTTCGATGAGATGAGTCTGTACTTCCCTACGGCTAACGATGCGGATTTTTTGTCGTGGTTGGAGAATGTGGAGTGGGACAAGGCGCTTATGCCGAGTTGAAGACATTACATTAGTTAATTACAGTATGGCGGGCGCCTATACCAATCCGCGAGGATGAGCTGACATCTTGTAGCCAAGACATACGATCATTGCAGCAGTGTCAGCTACCATCGTCAATCAAACCGAAAAATCCCAAGATTACCTCCGCTACCGGTATCCTCTGCATCGGGCATGCCACCTGCACACTTCGTCCTTGCCATCCTTCCTTTAAAGTGATACATTTCCCGAGATCTGCAACGCCATCGAGCGTTACACTCTGGCCATGACACCTCTTCTCGGCGTAGACAGTAATTGTGCAACCTTGCCATCTCCAGAAGCCTGTCTCCCTCGTGCCATTGATAAGACCCACCAATCCAACAAAGCCGTTGGGCAGCCATTGCACCTTCTTCATAAATCCAGAGTCATCAACTGGGCTGTAGAAAAGGGTAGTGAAAGGGATATCCTGTGAGGAAATCCAGGTTTTGCATGTTGTATTGTGCAGGTAATCGTCGTGACCAATCTGATGACTGAATGGGCCCGTGCCATTGCATTTTCCGTGCGTATCGTAACGGCGGAATTCGATCTTGAAGTCGTCTGAGTAGAGTGCCACTTCGATGAAGTGCTGTGCTGCCCACGCCACAAAGATCACTGCGAAAATGAGAGCAAAGACCTTCAGCGGTCCAGCCCACCGCCACGGTAATTGGTATCCCTTTTCTGATCGTAACAGACTGGTGTCGTCCTGAGATGGCGATGGCGTGTCTTCTGCTCTCCGTTCCGATGCTTCTCCTCCTACGTACTCCAGGGTTGAGAGACTGGGTGAATAGACGGCTGGTTGGGTCCACTGTCGCATGTAAGCATGTCAATGCACATAGGGTGGAGATATGTGGCGCAACGGGTCCAGCTCACTTCTTGATGGCAGGTCGGGCAGATCATGTGTACGTTGTTGCACCACCGGCATTGCTCGAGACGTGAGGTCGATGTCTGTAATACATGTACATCCCCAGACGGAAATGAAGCCAGTGAGCAGGACGAGCGCGACGAAAGCGAGTCCCGATCGCGTACGGCTCTAGAAATGAGCGGTGTGATGGTCACGCGATCATCATGGTGTGTGTGAATGAGAGTCAGTGAATGCACTTACCTAGCACTCTCGCAAGCCGGCGCAGTCATTACTCCTTGTTTAGTACATGTATTCATGCACGCATGCGAGCTGCAATGAGTGCTGGATGCTGTTGCCATTGCACATGTATTCTGGGGGAAACCTTTTGCTAGTGCAGTCGTGTTCGAGCTCGGGAGGCGGGAGGCAGCATGCTCGGCTTCACAAATAGGGAAGGCACGGTGACATCAGGTCGCCATCCAATTCGGTCTGCATGGATCCGTTGCATGCTCTTCATCGCAATACTATCCTCACCATGCGACCAGTTTAATGCGTGTCAGACCGGACACAGTAATCGATACGTCTCCATGGCAGTACAAAACTTTGTCATGGCCTAGGTACATACTGTTGCTCGGACGGTGAAAGCATGGCGACCGCAGTTTTACGCTGGCGTTGTCACGCCGTGCCAAACGATGCCGATTGTTCAGACTCATCATCCATTGATGCAAGGTCCACGGCTCAACAGAGGCAATCCGTGGTGATTCCGCGCAAAGCTCAGCGTCGCTGATATTTAACGACAAGGTCTCGACGAATTCCTTTGGCAATAGATCATGGGCTTGTCTCGCCAAAAGTCTTGCTTTCGCCGTTGGTCCAGAAGGGGACATGCAATTTGGACCTACGACACCGGCAGGAATAAACGTAATGGTCGCACTCTCGCCGACACGTTCATGATTAACAGCGTTGCTTCATTTTGCGATGTGAGCTGGTGATCATACAAGCAGGATCAAAATAAACATCGTTGTTCTGACGAAATAACAACCGATTTCACTGCGACGACATCGGGATGCTATGCCCTTGTTCTGAAACGCCGAACAGCGCGGACCGTCCCGCGGGAGACGAGACGACACTTTGTTGACGGCGAGGCGCTTCTCCCCTGAAATCACCGCAGACATTGCCCCGAAAAGCGCCAATCACCATTTCTTTTCGCTGCTAACACCGTTGGAACGTGGTGCCGGACGCTGACATGCATCGAAAATAGCCAATCTGCCTTCATTGCCAAGTGGACAGGACGCGACATGACGGAGCACTGTAGGGATCTCTTTCAGCCTGTGCACGTTCGCTGCACCCACGGCTCGCGTCGTCTTTATTCTGCTTTCCTTTCTTCACGTTCACCAGCCAAAAAGACAATCGCACGTGGGAGACCGTCTTACCATTCGTTTGTTATTCGTCACTCTTTTCACTCATTGCTATCTAGAAGAGGCAGGTCTCTTTGTACCACATTCATTTTCCCACCACCACATCTCTTGAGCCAGCCAGTCTGTCCTTCCACCACATACCCCGTCTACCGAAGCAAACGAAAGCAACAATGCAGTACGCTCTCGTTCTCGCTGGTGCGCTGCTTGCGGCTGCCCACCCTCACCAGAACGAAGCGCATGGCCGGCTCCATCGCATGCACAACCGCGATGTGGTTGTCACCGATGTCGAGATCGATACCGTGACTGTGACCGACTACGTCACGGCTGGTGAGGCTCAAGCTACACCAGCTGCTGCCAGCTCCGGTGACTGGGCTGCCGCCGGCTCCTCCGTTGCCGCTGTCAGCAGCGTTGCCCCGGTATACTCCTCTCCCTCGTCGAGCGCTGCTCCGGTTGTCAAGGTCGCCCCCTCCAGCGCCCCAGTCTACAGCGCACCAGCATCGTCCGCAGCTCCAGCACCAAGCAGCTACTCCAGTGCTCCCTCGAGCGCTGCTTCCAGCGCCGCCTCCAGCGCCAGCTCTTCTGCACCGGCTGCATCTGGCCTCAGCGTCGGCAACTTGACCCCCAAGGGCAAGAAGGCCGGCCTTTCTGGCTACCCTGGTGTCACCGGCAAGAGCAGCTTTGCCTCTCTTGCCCCATATATTTCGTGGTACTCCGACTACACCGCCAACACTCCTGACTCCAACGGCGTCATGGGTATTGGTATGCTTTGGGGTGCCAGCGGCTCTCCATGCGGCGAGTTTGAGGTATGAACCTTCGATGTAACTTAACAGAAGCTCATTCACATGCTAACACAATCCACGGACCGAGCGCCTCGCAACCTTCAACGAGATGGCCACCAACAACACCACTCCCAGCATCATGTTCGGCTTCTACGAGCCCGACTGCACCTGCACCATGTCTTCAGACATGTCCACTACCGATGCCGCAACCCAATGGAACTCCCTCATTGCCCCGATGAAGGCCAAGGGAACTGTTCTTGGTTCTCCCAGCATGTGCAAGCAGAAAGACGAGGACTTCCTGACCCCATTCAAGAGCGGCATTACCACCGACTGGGACGTCACCAGCATCCACGTCAACAAGAACAATCTCCAGGGCGCCAAGGACGACGTGGAGTACTACGTCAACAAGTACAACAAGCCGGTCTGGGTTTCGGAGTTCGCTTGTGTGGATGATGCTAATGGTTTCACTGCTTGCACTGTACGTACTACCAGCCAACTCTCGCTGCGCTCTTTGACGGTACGACTTATGCTAACAACTGTTCCGCTTTACAGGACCAAGGCCAAATCGACCAATTCATCAATGACGTCGTCTCCTACTTCGAATCCAACTCCAACGTTGTTGCCTATGGCCCCAGCAACGGCGACGGTCTCGGCACCGTCTGGCCTCTTACTGACGCGAGTACTGGTGCCCTGACGCCCAGTGGACAGACTTACCTTAACGCCATCAAGAACTTGTAGACTACATGTGCTTGCTTGGCGTGTAAATATACCATGTGCATGGTATTGTGGTAAAGATGTGTTGTTTCGATTCTTTGCACATCTTTGGATAGATAACGATTACTGTATATACAGTACAGTACTGGATGATCAAGATCAAAAGCCTGATTGTTCGTTTGCCCTTAGCTCCTCGCCTTCGCGAGCGCCCGTGTCTCAGTCAGTCCGGCAAACGCCACAACATGCATGCACTCTTCATATCGCTGCCGTGTTTTTTCGGCATTTGTAAGCCTTCTTTGTATGTTTACACGGACTATGCTGATACTGCGAAGGAGACGGTCGATAAGACGCAATAACCCAATATGAAATAACCCACGATCCGAACGCTTTGATACTGTTAAGGTCACAGCCTTGACCACTGATTTCAAGATTCACGATGTGTGCCAAAACGACAACGGACAACCAATGCCGAACCATGGACAGAGATGATACAAACTTGACTCTCACGCGCGTTTCCCAAAAGGTCTGCCACATCATGTCACGCCCACCGTTCGACACTGCCCACGACTGCACTCACATCGAACGCGTGGTAGCCCTCTCCGAACTGCTTGCGGTACGGGAGGCAGCTCTACGACCAGCGACACGTTTCGATCGCTTCTTGATCAAATTGGCTGCTATGTTGCATGACATCGGCGACAGCAAGTACACATCGCCGACCTCGAAGCAGCCAGGAAGTGGCACTTCTGCGGTGGGTGAACCCGAGACTGCGACATCCATCTTGTTGGAAAGTGGCGCCTTGCCAGATCTCGCTGCCAAGGTGCAAAACCTGGTCCACCACGTGTCGTGCTCGCTCGATGCAACGAGACCCTCAGCTTAGAGCTCAAATGATAGACCAGTATCCTGAACTCGCAATTGTGCAAGATGCCGATCGTCTCGACGCAATCGGCGCCGTTGGCATCGGTCGAGCGTTCACATTTGGGGCTTCGCGTGCTCGCACACTAGTGCAGACTATGGATGTGTTTGAGCCAAAACTATTGATGAGGCAAACATTGATGAAAACGCAAAGTGGGAGGAAGATGTGCGAGGTGAGATGTCAGAGGATCAGGGAGTTCATGAGGTGGTGTTGTGATGAAGAGAGCGAATCGAATTCGCCACTGGTGCAGATGCATGAAACTGGGAGTGTATAAAGGGCTGGAATCAGTGGGCAGGACAAACAAAGACAAAAGCACTTCAGCGAACACATTGTATGCAGTCAGTGTACGCTGTCGACGGCTGGCTGCTTACTTGCAGCAAAGGCATGCAACGTGAGCTGGCACACAATGGGCATTCGTTTCGAAAGATTGACGTGGAGCTAAGCTTACGGTCCATTCGACCAACCGTACGGTCTGACATACAGCCCTCCATTCTCTTTTAAGCGCACTCTTCCCCTACCCATCAACTGCCTTGACCCCTACCTACCTCATACCCGCACTCAATATATCGACATGACCACTAAGCAAGTGCCGCAACGACTGTATCTGAAGTCACAGAGCTCAGATCCTGCGACGGGCCGTTGGCTGTGCTACTGCGAAGACACTCGTTTCGAGGAGGAGCCAGCGACCGCGGCGCTCTTGCGGTGAGACCCATGGCACAGGGCCTCCTGCTTGCTCTTACGGACGTAGCTTGCCGCGAGAACGCCAGTCGTAGCGTCTGCTTCAGACAAGGTGAGCCTTCGCTTCACGGTCATGTTCGACCATGTTGGTCGTCGGAGCCAAACAAAGCCATGTCACCATCAAGTTTTGCTTGGCACGATGAGGCGCTCCCAGCATGAGAAAGTCTCAGGGATGTGCGAATGAGCTTTGTGGCCCGGTAGGACTGGTCAGGTCAAGTTGCGGCAGAAGGTGGGGATGAATAATGCTTTGGATACAGTATATCCAGATCTCTTTTTCGTCAGTCGAACCATACTTCAGTAGGAGGCTTGCTGATCATCCAGCATAGAGGTGTCGTGGCCGAGGGCTCCGAGTCTCTTCACTCGTGAATGAGCAATGTCCAAGTTCAGTATTGGCTTCTCCGACTTCCCCCCATGACAATTGTAGGAGTGCTGCATCGGTATCCTCGCCCGGTGGGTGGCACGCGGCAGAGATTGCAACACTGCAGGAGGACGCGAGAGGCATTGAACTCGCAAGCTTCCGGCAGCCGAAGCCTATGGCTCCGAGTACGAGTACAGATCCGACGATGATGGTAGCCAGTATAGGCGAGCATGAGAAGCCGAGCGACGATATGCGATAGTCTTCTCCTTGCGAGCCGGTGGTGACACGGACTAGGAAAAGGCTTTGGGATACCAGCCAGTGGAGAAGTGTTGAGATAGCAATAAGAGGGATCGAGTAAGTATATGGGAGGTGCAGAAAGTACTTTGACCCTGCGAGCATGTCAGTGTGCGAGTTGCTGGAGCGCCTGCCTGTCCACCGTTGATGATTCGGGCACCACATACTCTGTTCGCCTTTTGGGCTACTGACCCGCAATGCCTTGCGGCGATTTCTGAGCATGTATTGGCTGTACTCGTGCGATAACACCATGCTTGTGAACAGCCCGTTGTATGCAAAGTACAGCAGGCTGCAGATCACCTGTGGTAAATTGGCGAGCAGCACCTCCGTGGCCAGACCAGCATTCGGGAGAGAGTCAATGATGACTGCGCGAGCATCCACAGCTCCGAAGCCTAGGCCAAAGACAGACTGGCCAGTGTCCAGCTTCAGTTTCAAGAAATTTGAGGCCACGACGAGCAAAGCCACGGCACCACCCAGGGCCCCTGTTATCAGGCCCAATGTGAATGCCCATCTCCAGATGCCGACAGCTGCGAACCATCGTTGGCGCACTGGATGCCAGTATGCCGCCACCGGCTTTAGCAGCTCGCGGCCTTCTGATGTGGGTGAGCTCCATCGCAGTGGTCCTTTCGCGACATCAGTTTTCGCCATCAAGCAGCGACCTTCTGTCAAAGGATCTGGCTTTTGAAGAAAGCTCGATAGCGCGTCTCCCACGGTGACCAGCGGCACTTCCTTGCCCCGCCAAAATGCCAGAAGCATGACGAGGCACTTACATGCATTCATGACAATGACCACAATGAGGATATTGACCGAGAACTTCAACCTGCACAGTCCGGGTCCAGGGATGAGCTGCGATAGACAATACTCGATTGGTAAACCCGACTTTGTCCAGGCTGAGGCTTTCCGGCGCTGTTTCGCGATATTACAAGTTTTTGCAGTGGCTGTGGGCTCGTCGGAGCATATCCAAGCTTCACAGCTCAAGTTAGCACAAGACTGAAGGAAGATCTCTGCGAGACACCTACAATAGGAAAGTCCGTCCTCGGTATATTGAGAAGGTACGAAGCTCCAAGATTCGTCGAACGCGGTCTGGTTTGCGATAACAGTGCGCGCGCTTGTGACAACGAGAACATCCGCCCTGTCGGTCACGAAAGGCGTCCCGTAGGTACTTATACAGTCGCTGTTGGTGAGGCGCTCATATAAAGATGCATTCTTGTATGCCGCGTTCGTTGAAACGTCCTTCTGAAGAACGTAGAGCTGGTTATCGAAGGTCTCATTGATCGTCCGCTCCACACCACGTGAGTTCGTGTACGTCAAGTTGTAAGAGTCGAGAAAAGGGTTGCCATTGACTAGCAGTCATGACTAGAGTCAGTTTGCACAATTCAAGACTTGTACCCCGAGTTGTGCTCACAGAATTCTTCGTTCACAACTGCCATATAGTAGTCTTCTGCTCCAATCGTCTTGAACACTGCAGAATTGTAAAGGAAGTGGATGGGAAGGCTTGACAATGCGAGGACACACCAAAGCAGTACACGGTGCCATCGAATCCTGAAGAGGTTGCGTAAGCTAGGAATACCGATGTCCAGGTATGTGCCTTTGGCGTGGGCCTGGTTGATCTCTGCGCGAGTGGGCGAACACAAGCATTGCATTGTGTAGTTGGATGTGCTTAGCATAATCGAGCTCAGTACATTGATTATAACGTGCAGGCCAGTACTCCATCGGCCGACCTCCTTGCAGCTTCCGGTTAATACGGTACCTACCCCGTCCCCAGTTGAGGCCCGGTCATGTACAATCAGGTAAGCTGTAAAGGCGATGTTTATGAGCATCACCACGAAAGCTAGGACGGCGGAGCATAGGACGCCGACTCGCCATCCTTTCAGCTCTCTCTTCGCTTTGGTTCTGACCCTTGCCAGTGCGCCCGTCCCCTTTGCGGCGGCAGGTTCGACGACATCCACAGACTCTGCTGGTTCTTTGCCCAACCTGTCGTGCTTTCGAGTGATGAGGTGAATAGTATCACCGTCACGACCAGAAGAGACGACGTCACCGAACCGGCTGTCAACAACAACATTAGCCGAAGGCCTGGGCAATCAAATGTTTCAACTGCATGGGGAGGCCCAAGGGGACGGGGTAGATACACTGACCCAGAATGCGAATATGGAGCCAGCTCTACCTCCTGCTCCAAGCCATTACTCATCGCGTATCAGTTGCTGGGTTTCCGGACCACTCATATATATAAGCGAGGGTAGCTATCTTAGAGCTCCGACTTGCGCTTTTACAATACACATTTACACTTCTAGCATCGGATGTGCGGTGACAATACATTCTTTGACAAAAGCAAAGAGCAATGGATGCACGTCATGTTCGACCTGCCACACCACAAGCATTGCTCCATAGACTTCCCGACAAGCCGGAGCCCTCCCGCGCTGAGGTGTCTAAACCTTCAAAGTTCGTCATCTTGATTGTCGCTTCTACTGCTGTAGCTGGCAAAGTCCAGATCGCGAGGTCAGTCTACTGCACTAGGATGTCCTCTATTCCAAGGCGACAGCCTGCACGAGACCGCTGCGAAGGCTGCCGGAGTAGGAGCGCCAGCTTCGGCAGCCATGAGCAGCACTCAGGATGACATCTCCAACGCGATAATAGCGAACGAGCCACGCTACCAGCGCATGTAGTTGTCAAAGATGACCAGGACTGGTCTTCTCTTTCCTAGTGAATCACATCCAGCGAATAGTGGCTTCAGCGGGTTTGGCGGTACATCGTCGCCATCTACAAGTGGGCGAAGTTCCATCAGCTCTGCAGCGTCACACGATGATACGGCCGCTTCAGACTCTCGCATGGCAAGCAGTTCTACAGCTTCTGATGGCTCTACGCGTGGCTACACGAACAAACCACCACTGGCGGCACTCTCCAACGAGGCCAGGCTACGTCACGAGAACCCGGCTCTCCTGGTGCTCACACACCCTGGATTGGAACGCTGGCACAAGGGTTGCATCAGAGATGCTATTGGAGCCTATGGCATTGGCGAATCTTTGTGCCACTGGACGACGATAGTGAGCCGCCTCCCCTGCAGATGCTGAGCCTACAATTGTTCACTCAGTTCACATCGCTGGAGGAGCTTTCTGCAGCACGCAAGGCTGCTCCTCGTGACTGGAGCGAGAATGTCACGCTGAGTATCAATACGGAGGCTAACGTCGAGGAAATCGCTGACGAAGTGGTTGACGTAGTGCGTAGCATCATATCTGCGTGATCATGATCGATTATTACAGCAAAGATATATTTCGAGACTACTCCAGCTACCTCAGCCGCAAACGAGGCTGCATCACTGTGACCTGTCCAAGCAGAGCTGACCCTTGATCTATCCCGAACGTTTTGTTGTCACCAACCTTCGCCCCTTTCTTCGGCTGGAGACGCTCGCCTTGTGTGCGTCGCCAAAAGCCTCCCGAATCCCTGACCAGCTCAAGAACCACGTTATTGCCCCCGATCCAGCAATTAAGCGGCAGGCTGATTTCCTTTTTATCGCGACCTGTCATCCTGCTTTTCATTTCTTTGAGCGGAAGCGCAAAGTTGATGCCTTGATGGGTCTTCGTGAAACCATTGCCAAGTCTCCGCATGACGTCTTTGTGCTGGATGCATATCTCCTCGTGTTCTTCGCCGTTCATGTTCCGCCTGAAGCAATCGGGCGATGGTGCCAATAAACCAAGTGCACCGGATTCTAGTACCGCTGATGTTCTATAGCAGTCCAGTTTACCTTGGACTGGCAATCGCCAGGCAAAGAGCGACTCGTCGAAGGCATGTGGACTCGTCATGACAGTCTCTTGCAATCTTGAAAATGCTTCCGCACCTTCGCCATACATCGGAACCATGTTGACGTCTAGAATACCTAGCATGCTGTAAGCAATATCCTCTACATCTCGCGTGGTTCGTCCCGCCATCCAGCTCAGTCTTGTCGCGATCGATGCCGAGCGGAATGTCAAAGCTTCACTTCCTCTGTCCTGGAGGTAGTCGCGGGAGATCCCGGTAATGTTACTGACGGAGTCGGCTAGACTGTTCCTGGAGCCCATAGGCTGCCACGAGCGGTCGTAGAATTGCATTGAGCGTGGAGCCAGAAGCTCCTGAAGTGTCCAGCCACGTTCGAACCATTCCGATGGTTGATGACCCTTTTTCCCGCTAACCTCGTCTCGAGAGAAGGTGCCGTTTCCAGACGAGGAGTACGTAACGTCGCCAAGGTACGTCAGGCAGATGGCGGCCTCATGGTACCAAGCAAACATGGAATTGAGTGCCGTCCTCAGCTCTTCGCTGCTCGATTTGTCGATGCAGCAATTATCAATCCAGATGTACTTGAGAGACCGCTGCTTCGCCACTGTGCATGCACCTCTGATCTTGCGCACGCTCGCCTCCTGGTCTGACCCTGGTTTACCGAAGTTAGGGTCATTCATCAGTGCTTGTTGGTATGTTTTGTAAATAATCTCATGCTTGACCCAGCGATGTGAAAGAATGGCGTATTCGGGCTTTTCATCGAGATCTTGCTCGACATGTATGAGTGCGTACGAAGTGGTGTCAATGAGATACATGTCAGGAGAGTGCTCTCGGATTCGGTGTTGTACCGAGGGCTTGATGAAGTAGGTCGGGGAGCAAAAGTGTGCAGCGAGCACACACGTCGAAGTGCCCGCTGTGACATTGGGGCCACGGATGGGAGGATTCTTATGGTACTACAGCGATCGACAGCTCACATCTGCATCGATACACCAGTGTAGGTAGAGAGCGGGTGCAACGGCAACACACGCAGCCGCTTCTAGCCTTGCCCTCATCGTTGTGAGCAGAGAGATGAGCAGATCGCTCTTACTTCGCATTAGGGCGTACAAAGCGCTCGTTGCCACTTTACGATACCAAAGATGTGCATTTTCCATCGTGTTTGGTTCCCACACGCTTCGATGGATCATGAAGCGGGGTGGATGTTTTGTCACGCAAGTATAAACTTTGGGGGCCAAAGCTACAGCCGAAGCTTAATGCACTGGTTGCCTGTTTCCAAATTGCTGTATTTATATAGATCTCCACGCTTTGACAGAATTGCAAGCAATCAGCAAAACTTTGATCTGGTTTGTCCGAGATCCTTTTCGTCTTGACGCACTCTAGATTGCGAGAAGCACGATGAAGTCCTCGCAGGTCACTACACAAGGCGGCATAAGCTGGTACGTCGAAGAATTCTTCCCGACAGGCAACGCGCTGGAGGACGTCCCACCGATAGTCCTTATCCCGTCCGGTGAAGGAGACTGTCACAATCTTCGCGAGCTAGGAGGTCTTCTGGGGAATGCAGGATTCCATGCATTTTCCTTCGACATGCCGGGCTTCTCTCGCACGACCGCGCCTGTAGCAGCGTACTCTACGATCACAGCAGGACTCCTGGCAAGCCAGATTATCTCCTTACTAGACGAACTCCACGTCTCCCGTGCGGCCTTCTTCGGCTGTTCTTCTGGTGGGCTTGCGATGCTCGCTTTGGTTGCTCTCTATCCCGAGCGTGTGCACTGTGGGATGGTCCACGAAGTCCCTTTCGAAGCTCCCCCACAGCTCTTGGCAATGACTCAGAAGTCGGACGATGAAGTGTCCGCAAACTGCGAGTATTTTTTCGCCAACTATCTCATCGAGCAGACCGACAACGACGGACGGGCGAAGTGGGAAGCGCTCGGTTCAGAGTACCATGCCCGCTTGAAGCGGAACTACGTGACCTGGGTTCGCCATTATGTTGGCCAATTTGAAGCCCATAGTCTCGGGCTTGCGGCAAAATTCCAGCAACGGCCAGTATTCTGGACAGTAGGTGGATTGAGTGACCCGAAAGCATGGTCAAAAGATTGGGAGGTAGCTACAACAGCTGGTGTCAGTGTCAGCACTGACGTCTTACCTTGTCTGCACTTTCCAGCCGTGACAGTCACGAAAAAGACGAGGGACTGGATATCAGGGTGCGTTGTGAGTGTCAAGCCGCAGCTTGGGGAAGGTGTATCAAGTTTCGAGAAGTAGAGACTTTGCGGCGCAAAGAATGTCCAAAAATGTCAGCCGTCGTCTTCCTGACTGTCCGGCGGATTTGCTCGCCGTCGGACACAACATCACCCTACAGTCGTCTGAGCGTTGGGCAGCTGACATTACATCATATCTGGTTCTGTTCTGCAACCACAACTAGCACATACGACCATAGGTCGCAGAGGACAGAGGATCCCTCCGCATGACCTGCGCCCCGGCTCAAACGCACCTTGAATAGCGCAACGGATCCAGCATCCGCCGGGCTGTGTCTAGACGGGCTCAAGAGGTTACCCTCGTCTGGCTGAATTGACAGTCTCACGCAGCGCCTCGCTGGCAACCTTATGCTCTCTTCCGCTCGGTGCCACGAAACCTCATGGGGCCTTGCCACTCTCTGATCCGCCTGCCCAGATCTGTAGGACAACGACGAAAATAAGTGACGCCCAAGTGATGCCGGCCTGAATGGAAAACACTTTGGCGGTGCCTACAACTCGGTTCAGCGCTTTGCGATAATACAGCAAGGGACAAATGAGCGGGTGCGTACCATCTCGAGCGACCCACGGCAACTGCTCATACGTACTCAGCATCCCGCCCAGTGTTCTACCCAGTACAATCCACACGTCGACCTCATTTGAGCCTTCGGGATATGCGTCTAGTAGATAAGCATTCACAGCGGTCGAGATAATATTAATGCCGAAAATCTGGACCCCAAGCAAGATCGAGAGACCATACACGTTCCAATGACGTTGCAAGGCATATCCGATCAACATGATTGCCATTCCGGTGAACGGCGAAGCTACGTAGATGATCCACAGTCGAGCTTCTGACGCAAATTCGCCGCCGTGGATGCGAACGTACAGTCGACCAAAGAGATCGTGAACCCAGTGGCCGAGGATGGTGCTTAGGATGCTACCGACGATTGGACCGAAATAAAACAAGGCTGTCTGTTTGCTGTTGAAATGGTAGGTGGCTTTGAGAAGCACGGAAGTGCTGGCGTTCACGCCAATGACCCTGATACACGTCAGTCGCAACGATTTTACATACTCGAACTACACATCTGCCACTCACCACGCGAAGTTCAGAAAGTAATACACGGTTATGATTAGCACGGGAAGTTTCGTGCCCGCAATGAATGGGCGTGATACAGCTTCCAACCAGGACTCCCGTCCATGGCGTTCGCAGCCAATAAGTCTCAAGATGCGAGACCTCCACGCTGGCTGTCGGTCGTCCGAAAGCCTTCGGTCATAAAACGTCTCATCGATGAAAGCGCATACTACGAACAGGGCGACAACGTTCATGATCGCGTAGATGTAGTATACCCAGCGCCAACTCTCACGCCAGACCACGAAGTTCGCCATCCAAGGCCCGAAGTAAGGACTGACCTGCGAGCATCACTTAGCACAAGGCTTGTCAAAAGTGGGACAGTACGAGCGGATGATCGAAAGCGGCTAGAAGGATAGGACGTACTATGATGAATCCAGACCAAATATTGATCTTTCTTGGAAGTTCATGGCGGAAGAACATGTCTTCAATCCACATCAGCCCTCCTGACTGGCCCACCCCGACGAAGAAGCCCACAAGAATCCTCGCGGAATAGAATTGACTGTAGCTTGGTGCGAAGGCGTACCAAAAGACCGCGCCGAGGACAATGAGTCGCATCCAAAACATGACCGGCGCGCGTCCGAAGAAGCTTGATAGAGCGACGACCACGATACCGCTCACACCAGAAAGCATGGTGTTGATCGCAATGCTCTCGGCGATCGTGTTGACTGGTTTGTGCCACTGCTTGGCCTGGGGTATCTGAGTAACGGAACCCATCGCAGTACCAAAGTCAGGAATGAAAGAGATAGTTGCCAAAGCCAGCAGGACCGAATGCTTCTTTCTCCAGGACCAGTTCAAGGGATCATTAGGATCGTCTGTTGGTTGTGGAACCAACACTGTGCGTCCATCCTTGGCCAGCTTGAGTCCATCCCGATCGACGTTGCCCTCGACTCGATCTCCATCGGCTGCTGAGCTATCGACAGCGTGCTTCTCGTCGACGCTGTGTTGCGACCCTGGCGTGAATGCGTCCATGGCCAAATCCGCGCAGGATCGTGAAGAGAAGGTGGGAAGAGCGACCCTCAAGCAAAGTGGCCCCGTAAGCCGTAGTACTGACTGCAACTTCGTTCGTAACGGCAGGACGAATCATCTATCTATCTCATCCACCAGCAATCGACTTTAATCGAGCTACGTGCCGCGATCAACGTCGAAGCTTAGGCCCTTGCAAATGTGCCGCACTACCAATGCGACCAATATCGGACCCCAGCTAGCTTGGTCCCGCTGCAGGGACGATATGCGTTGGTACATCCCACGACATAACCGAGACTACCCAAGCTTGCTGTCATCAAACATCGAACATTACTATCACGACCATACACGACTTTCGACACTCTCATGCTCACATAACGGCCATCATGACACAATCTCGAAGCGTCTCAGTGTCTGACGCCCTCCATAACGTGCAGCAGGCTCTTCAGGCGGACGATGGAACTAGTTTAGCGAAACACGAGGAAGCTCTTGATGCCATCGTTAAACTCCAGCGGGCTGTAGAGCGACCGGACGAGACGGTAATGCGACTTAGGTTCAGTCTATTGGTACCCTTTGTCATGCGTCTTGCTGTGGAATATGGCCTGGTCCAGGATCTCGCAGCTGCGAACGGTGAGACGAAAGCAGCAGCTGATATTGCGACTCCTGGTGGTGCAGACGAACTGCTCGTCCTGCGGGTCATGAGATTGATTACTGCGCACGGGATCTGTGACGAGCACGGGCACGGCAAATATTCTGCAAACGCGGTCACAGAGTTTTTGTCGCGAACTCCAATCATCGGCGGTCTGAAGCATCTGTACGATCATGCAACTCCAATCCTTGCCAAAACATCCGATCTCATTCATGAGAAACGACTGGCTAGCCTGGAAAACGTCTCTACAACCGCCTCGCCACTTCAAGAGGTTTGGGGGGCACCCATGTTCAGTCTACTCGCAATCAACCCTACTCGAAAGCAGAATTTCGACAATTACATGCAAGCACGGCTGCATCCTTCCATCCCGAAGTGGTTTGATATCTATGATGTCCGGACTGAATTGGCTTCTGCAACGGATGTCACAAGCGACATGGCCTTGCTCGTGGATGTTGGAGGCGGCAAAGGTCACGACATTGCACAATTCGCTGAACGTTTCCCCGACCTGTTCGGTGAACTGGTCCTGCAAGACTTGCCGCAGACCTTCGACTCTGGACTTGTTGCATCTCCCGACCGAGTGATGATCATGGGACACGACTTCTTCACTGACCAGCCTGTCAAAGGTAGGTCCATGTTACCGTATGCAAAGTACAATTGCTGACTTGACCAGGTGCTCGGCGATATATGATGCGGCAGGTGCTGCATGACTGGAGCGACGAGAAGTGTGTAGAGATTCTCAGGCCGATCGTTGCTGCGATGGATCCTCAGAGTTCACGCTTGTTGCTGGTTGAGGAAGTTCTCGAGGAGGATAACGTGAGCTGGCTCACTGCATCCTTCGACATCGTTATGTGGATGTTTTTCAATGGCATCGAGCGCACTCATAAGCAGTGGACGGCATTGCTAGGGTGAGTTGGACTGTCGATCGTAAAGATCTGGGCATTGCCAGGGACTAAGGAACGCGTGATTGAGGCTGCCATCGAGGTCTGTCATAGAGCCGGAAGAACAAATGTAATGTGCTAGCACTCGGTGCCGCACAAGTATCGTCATCTACGAGTAACGCCGTATTCGCGGGGTGCAAGATTGCCGTCTCACCTGGAAAACGCCTGCGAGATCTGGGTTATCTCATGAGGGTTTGTGCATCTCAGATACCAAACAAGTTCGGGCACCTCTCACTAGCATTAGACTCGTGGTGGAACTTGAGGCACTGAAGGAACGGATTCCCATTGGTCAGATTGCGGGCCGTAATAGCCTGTTTACATGCATAAATGCAAGGAGTACAGGCATAAATACACAGCCCAGGTAGATGAATGCGCGATCGATCTACTCTTCGACGCCGCAATCCTACAGATCCGTATGGACAAACCGTTTTGGGCTGGTCGAAATGTCCTGGTCACGCTGTGAAGAGAGCTGATACGCAGACCCACAGCGTCGCTCTGAGTCGGTGGAGGACGAGCTGCCATGCAAGGACGGAATGCGGCGAGCTCTTGCAGTGGTGCATGCAACGCAACCAATGATGCTTTGTAGGGCCATGAGCATCCCACGCAACAGGTGTCTCGCTCCCTGCCGCCTCATTTCTACGACGCCACCAATATGGCATCTGCCAGAGACCCAAGCAGCTTATCCGTACAGGTTGTACTCACTGGCGACGCAAGATCTGCGCAAAGGCTTTTGTGCAAGCACCTCTGTCTACCCTAGCGTCGAGTCTGTGCCATGAGTGTTCCAAGAACGCCGCACACATACATCGATCGCTTTGCCATGTATAGTCTGGCTGGCGAGGTAATGGCGGCATCCTTCGCCGATCGTGTGAAGGACTTCAGGAGAATGCTCGCATATAGGGCGTCGTCATTGGCCAGTCCACTCCACAAGGCAATGTGTTTCGAGGTGACCGCCATCGTCCGATTTCCGTGTACTTGCAACTCCGCGCTCTCTACATTGATTCGCGCCAACGAAGCCGGCGATGAGGAGCGAGGCTGCCGCCCATGATGCCTATGGCGGTGCAGGTCCTTTGGAGATGGGCGTCACATGGACTCTGGCCCTATTAACAACCTTGGCCGTCGCTGCTCGAGTCTACGTATCGTTTGCGTTACTCGAGCGTCGAGACTGGGATCTCTATTGGGTGACTCTGGCGTTGGTAGGCAAGGCAAACCTTCGAGCCTAGTCTATACGCTCACGCTGTCATCAGGTTACTGCCCTCTGTGGCCAGGGCATGCAGACAGCAGCAGCTCTCTATGGTATTGGCAACCATATCGAGCTCCTGACCAAAAGCGACATCGTGCAGGCGTTGAAGTGGGACTGGCTTGGTCGAATGATAGGCGTCTGGGCCAGCTTCTTCGGCAAGAACGTTGTCATTGCACTGATGCTCCGCATCCAAGGCCAGAAAAATACAAAGAAGGCGCTCTTCCTGCATTCCATCTGGGTCAGCAACCTCCTGCTTACTATCGCACTCGTGACGGTGCTCTGTCTGCGGTGCAATCCAACTTCCTTGTGGTGGAACAAAGCGCAGCCTGGGTCGTGCGACAGGATTTCTTCTAGTTTTACGGAGGTCTTAGGCCTCTTCCAGAGCTCCTGGACTACGGAGGTCTTAGGCCTCTTCCAGAGCTCCTGGACGACGGCTTCAGATTTTGCGATTGCGATCTACCCAGTCTTTATATTTTGGAATCTGTCGATGTCTTGGCAACGCAAAGCAGGCATCTGTGCTATCATGGGCGCCGGTATCATCGCAGGTATCGTCAACATCTTCAAGACCATTCAAGTGCAGCTAGCACATTCGAACAAAGACGTCACGTACGATCTGGCGAGTTTGCTTATCTATACCCAGGTTGAGCCCTGGTAAGTCTCTAGTCTGTAGCTCGTGAGTGGCATTATGATTCGGAAAGAATATGAGGCTGGGATTGAGCCTCGTGCCCTGTGAGATGGAGTGTACACGAATAAACACCATTGTTGCGGTAAACACCACATTATTGATCCTCTGTTCTCTGTGACCTATGATCTTATGAGCTCGATCTTCTCTCAATTGACCATTACATACCTTCATGATCATTGAGGCAGGCGCCTGCGAATTGACAGCTTCAGAGTGGACGAAGCATGAGGCCTTGGTGCCAGAATTGGAATGGTCTAGTGTGTCTTTTGCCACATTCCTGCAAAGACAGCTGCAAAAGGCCAGGTCACTGCATCCCGAGCAAACAGGAATACTGCTTCTCAATACAGTTGAATGTCTGCTTTCCCTGCTTCTCGACAAGCCTAATACCTTCGCCAACTTCTGAACACCATCGAGCATGATGGCTTCGTAACCACTGCGTACTGCCAGCCTCCTGAGGTTACCAGCTGATCTGCGTCCCGAGATCTACGGCTTGGTGTTTCGGGCTGACGACGATAATGATATAGACCTCTTAGCGAATCCGGTGAGCAAAAATCGAGGCGTTTGTTCTGTCTCGCGTCTCATACGCTACGAAAGCCTTCCACTTATGCGGGAGGCATGTAAAGAGCAAGCGCCCGGCCAACAAGCTTTACAAAGAAAGCTCTATGATGAGGCACGCGAGGACGATTGGGCTCGGGAGATTCTGAAGCGACACGACAATCCTGACACCAGCTTGGAAGTGTTCGACTCGCGTCAGTCTGCCGTGGCGCGGTACTGCGAGTACCACGATGCGCTGAGAAAGCTGCTGAAGATCGACTTGATGCACCGTACCCAGGGATTCGTTGTCTTCGCACATGCGAATATGCTAGTGACGATGAGTGTGAGCACCTCTACCATTTCGTGGACCTTTGCAACGAGTGCCGCAAGCCTTACGCAGCGGCATGCTAGTATACCCTGAATCCGAAAACCACCCCGTTACTCATGAAAGATGATGGCTCCGGTGCAATGGCAGATGCCGGAGTGCAAGCAGAGCAGTGGAGCGGAGGGCGACTGTGGGAAGACGCCGGCTGCAATCCTCATGGACATTGCACTTCAGTCTTCTCCCAGGAGTGGTGGAGATTCGGGCTGGGACGTCAGCGCCTGATCGACTGCCGCTGCTGCGTTAAAAATGCAGCGTCCGCACTGTACTTGGTAGTTAATGACCTGGGAAAGTGAATCGCCGACACGTCAAACGACACCGACGATGCATGGCGGGAATTGTGGAAGGAGATGAATGCGTTCGAGGAGTCGAAATTTTCGGATGAGCTCAAGGAGATCAGCGACTCCGAACAGAAGTACTTTCGTGATGAAAATATGGGCCGGAGAGTGGAGGATAAGCGGCGAATCATGGAGAGGAAGCGGTTGAAACAAGCGGCGAAACGGGAGGTTGTGTAAAGAATCGCCCTCGACGGTATCCTGAGCTCCTCTTAATGCAGCTGATCAGGGTCGTCGTTATTGCAGTCCTTAGTGTCAGTATCGATTAGCAATTCCCTGCCGCTTCATTTGCCGCACTCTGTTCTGGAACGTCGTGGTAGCTAGATCTACTACTTGTGACAACGCTAAACATACAACGCGGCATGCTGCATCATATCAGCACAGCCAACAGCGTCAGGCATAGATCCAATGTCCAAGTGCTGTTCGCTCAGACCCAACCCCAAGCCATGCGCCAAACACCTCAAAAAGCCAAAGTGGTATCTCGCTCGCCCAACCATATCCAGACCTATCCACCCTGTTACATGCGCTGCCGCTGTTGTACTAACATCTCTACTCCTTCATATTTTCATTCAGCAACAATTCAACCACAATCTGCGTCCTTTCGAGCTCAGGATGCTGCATAACAAACTTCACCGTCTTGCCCGCACCACCGCCAGGAGACGGCCCATTCACGAACCCACCATTAGCCACACCTGCCGCCGTAGCAGTACCCGCTCCATCATCCAGACATTTGATCTCCCGTCCAGCGATGATTTGCTTCAGCCGGCCGTTTTGCGCATTCCTGATCTCCACGAAATCACTATCAAACAAAATCAGATACGCTCCGTATAGAGCAGCGTTCTGAGCATTGCCCACAAAGTCCATGATAACAGATCGTGAAACTTCGCCGTGCTTGTTGACGTAGACAGCACAGTTGGAGTAGCAAAGCAGAAACTCCTGGTCACTCAACCTCAACATTCCTAGAGCACGCTGATCCTTAATATGGGATGCGATATTCTGCACCTCCGGTGCTCGGAGATCAGGGACAGTGAGCGGGTTCTTCTTGTCTAGAGTCAGGACCTCGAAGCCACGGGACGTGCTGACTGCTAAGCTTGACTGAAACAGATTCATGCCCGTGCATTCGGTTGGGATGTAGAATTCATCGAATTCGCGGAAGAACTCGTACGTTCCTCTCTTGAACAGGCCTGCGGTTCGGCTGCGCTTCTCAGTGGACTTTTGGTAGATCGGTTCCAATACTTTGAACACGGAGTTGAGGTTCTCGCGCTTCTTGTAGAAGACTAACGTTCTGTCTTTCTGGCGTCCGATGGCGAAAAGTCCTACATCTCTGCTGCCGGAAAGTTTCTGAGGTGCTTTGCGAGCAGAGTCGTTGTTCGAATTGCTGGTTGCGGGACCGTTGCGGTTGTCTGTCGGGCAGACGACATCAAGATGATAGGCCACTAGAGTCTTGTCGGCGATGAGGAGGAACAGATTGAACTCCTCTAGGACAGCGATCTGTGTTACTTTTACCATTGGGATGGACTATTCCAGATCGTCAGTATGGTTTTTCAGGCATCAAACGTATTACGAAGCAGGAGTCACCTTATTCCAACCTCGTGGATTCTCCATCTCACTAACGAACACCCCAAAATCCGTCCCGACCGCCACCATACTCTTTTCTCCCATCGTGAAAGCCGTCGCACAATTCACCCTCGCGCGACAGATAGGTCCAGGCCGTCCAGTGTCCTTAAATCTATGCTCGACCTCCTTGATTGCACGATCCACAGGCGTACCGTGGATCGTAACACCTTTCTGCCCGGTGTTGCCTGGAGCAGCGAAACCGTCAAAGACGAAAGCGCTATCGGCCATGACTCGGATCTTGAAAGGCTCGGCGTGCTGTGCGTACAGCGCTGCTGCGTGTTTCGTCTTGGCTTCGATGATCTTGGTACACCATTCCCTCCTCGCACTATCGGTAGGTGCAAAGAGCGTGTACGTTTCCCGACCTAGATGCTTGATCTTGAACGGGTACATGATACGATCGCTGTCCTTTCCTTCCAGGCTTGTGACAGTTTGTAGACTATTGGTCGAAGCCCCGGTGTTCACGTGCGCCAGCGCGCCAGGATTGGGTGAATTGTTACTAGCCGTTCTCGCGAGCGCCGCCTGCTGATCTGCCGTTCGCCCAGTCACAGTCGTGACGGAAGTAATACCCTTGACATAACTGCTCTTCTGTACCGCTGGCTCGTTCGCGCTCTCCAGAATCAGAAGATCCATGGGTATAGGTAGGCGAGAAACGTCGTACTTCTCGCTTTTGCCGCCCAATTCGGCCGTGCGCGCGACGGTCTTCGCAATGACCATATAATGATCAAATAACAACGCATGCGAGTCCAGCCACGTAAACCTGTTGCCACCCATTCTCTGCAATTCGCCCCGATGTATAAGCATACGTCCAATATGATCCAGATTCAGCTCAACAGCCTGCTGCATGCCCGGCCGAAGTACCAACTTCACACTAAGATCACTTAGGTCGACCTTCCTCTGCATCTCGGCAACTCTCGCATCGCATTCCAGCGTCACGGCCTTGATCTCCTCATACGCAACCTGCAGATTCCTTTTCTCCTCATCCAACCTCGCGTCATCGCCGCGCATGTTCTTCATCACAGTCACGAGCAGGAGCGTGTATCGCTGTAACCTCGTGATCGGCGCTTTGAGGAAGGTATCCCATTGCAACCGCTGACTCCTCTTATCCTTACTTACCCGATCAATAAAAGCCCTGAAATCCAGATTCCGCTCCAGCTCCTGTCTGACGAGGAAGTTGGCGCCGGGGAAGTTGGAGCTGTAGTCCAGATACGCCACCTTCGCCTTCCGGATCCACTGCCTGAAGATATCCGAGAACCCGATAATCCATGGTCCCTGTTCCTGCTGTCTATATTTGAGCTGCGGAAGCAAGTGGTCTTCATTAGCCTGCTTGACCGCATCGACACGTCCAAACACATCCTTGACGAACTTATCTCTTCGCTTCGGGCTGATGATACTGGGATCACTACTGAAAAGCGCGTCCCGATATAGCATGCGCAAGATACTAAGCTGCTCCATGTATATTTCCTCCGTCTGGACCATCTCATGGAGAACGTTCTGTCGCTCGATCTCCTTTGTGCTTTTGCCTTCGATGTCTTCTTTTTTGAGATGGTAGAAGGTGGCCCAGTCTTCGCCTCTGCTAGCTAGACCGGGTGCAGACAGCAAGTTCACTTTCTTTAGAGTGCGCTGGCAGTGGCGGCTGTAGCACCTTCCGGGGATGATGTGGTCGTGTAGGGTTGGGCTGTAGCAGCCGTGGCCTGTGAGCTGGTAGATGACACCACTGATTGGTGCTGGGAAGAGCTTCACCCACTCCTCTGTTGTAATTAGAGCACCAGCAGTGTACATCTCCGCCGCGGCATGATTACTCAGCCCTTCGGCATCGGCAATGTTCATTGTGGGCACTTTGTTCGTGAACAATGCCACAAGTGCGTCTTTAACTTCTGCTTCCTTGAGCTCGGTATACTGCTCCGGAGGGATGACCTGGAACAGCCATCTGAGCATTCCCATCAAGCTCCAAGGCTCGTCGCACTTGTTAAAGTCTGGTGCACCGAGCTTGGCAGGTATGAAACGCTTGGCTCCCAGCGAAGGCAAGTCAGGCACCACAGAACTGGAAGGCGTCGACTCGAATGTTGGTGTCAAGGAGTTCGAGTGTCGTAATGCCTGGATCTTGAGACGCCGCTCCTCCGCATCCGTCTTAGAGCGCAGAGGTTGCGAGATCTGCGGTGTAGTCTGATGGCTGATCATGCTTGTCGATCTCGGTACCCATTGCCCAGCAGCGTTCATGCCATAAGCATCAGGCGCATGCGGGTACGACTGCCTGATGTCTGTCTGCAATGGTGGTATGTTCTCAGCTCCCGGCACAGCTGGCAGTGGCCTGTTGCTAGGATAAGTAGTCAAAGCTTGCTGAAAGAAGATATCTGGCGGCTCGTCCGGAAAGCGTTCTGGTAATTGTCCTTCCATGAGCACATACTCGTCTCCCTCGTCGTAACTCTGCCGTCTACCGTGACCAGTCGGCTCACTCAGACCCCCCGTACCTCCAACCTCGACACGAGCTGCAGGATTGAAAGGTGGGAACGGGTGAATCGTGTCCATGCCATAGTTGTAGTCTCCCGTCCTACTGATCTGACTCGACTGGCTAGCATGACTTCGCCGCATACTGCTGTGCTGGCTCGAGACAGGTTGACTGTACGCATCGTAACTTCCAGGCGGATCTCCTGGCATGGGCATATGTAGTGGTGTCTGTGTGACCAACTGGGTCGGATCATTACCACCATAACTCAATCGAACATCCGGCCCACCAAACGAGCTCATATCATAAGTCCCGTAGTCATCACTATCGCTAGCACCACCTGTAGCATTTGCATTCCGAGGAGAAAGCGCTTGCTGCTGTGATTGTGTTCGAGAATGTGGTCCAGACATACTTCCATAGCTGAATCGTCCGGAACTATTGAAGTCATCTTGCTCAGCTTCACGCAGCATGGCCAGGCCTTGTGCGCCTTCGGCATCGCTTTCGTCACTTTGGGGATGCTCCGCTGCAGTCGGGCTAAGATGGCCATTCGCCGTACTGCCGTTACGACGGAGATGTGGTGATGTCGGTGCAAACAAGGCTATCGGCTGACTGATATTATCGTAAGGAGGTCGTGTTACGGAGATAGAAGGGCTGCGGCCTCTACCGTCGGCGCCGCTACCAGCATTGAGTACAGCATTCTCGACTTGGCTGAAAAGTTCTTCTTGAGTCATCGCCTCTTCCTCCTCGTGGCTTAGTTGCTGTTGGGAACCATTTCGAAGCTGGAAGTAGTCACGGCCATCGGGGTCCGGCGGTCCGGGTAGTGGTCTTGCCTGTGGATGTCGGTCTAATGTATTACTTCGTGAGATAGCGTGGCTGTGCGCTGGAGGTGTAGGACCAGGGGTAGAGGATGACTGGGGAGATGGTAGTGATGGATGCGACACAGATGGATAGAGTGGCGAAGGTGATTGCCGTGTGTCTGCTTGGCTTAGCGTGTACTGAGGTGGTGAGGGTGCCCATGGTTGGTCGGACAATCCTGGCAACGCAGGGGAGACGCTGGTATATCCGTGCTGTGGTGCCTGCATATGCCCTACACCAAGTGTATGCTGTCGTACTGGCTCAGTGGGATACGGTGCGCTAGCCGAGGACTGTCCGTAGCCATAAGCTGACACAGGCTGCTGCCGTAGTGGAAGCGCGTGCTGCTGGTCAGGGTAGCTATATGCATGACTCGGTGCCGGCTGCGTGTAATTGAATTGCTGTTGTGTCGCTGGTGGCGAAGGCTGATATGTCGGCTGTTGCGGCGAAAATGACGACTGGTAGGCTGATGGTGGTGTATAGCCGTAGGGTTGTGGCGGGTATTGCGTAGGAGGGCTTTGTGCATACGCAGCCGGGTTATACTGTGGTATCGATGGCTGCGCTGGCGACTGCGCATGCGATGGCGCATAATGTTGAGGGTTGTATTGGTACGGCGGCTGTGGAGATTGCGAGCCATATCCACCGCCGAAGCTCGTGGCCCGTGGACTGTAAGCATCATGATATCCGCCCTGTCCGACCTGCTGCACCGGGCCACCACCTGCTCCAGAACCGCCATAAGCGTCGTACTGCTGCTGGCCAGGCTGCTGTGGCTGTTGCGCATACTGTCCTTGTTGGTATCCTCCATTCAAGCCCGGGGATGGTTGTGGGGGGTATTGGCCATACTGGTCCGGGTACTGCTGGTTCGGTGTAGGCTGCTGATATTGACCCCTGTGATTATACGACATACTGGCGGGCGGTCGTACTCCTCGGAAGAGCACTATACGGATACAAGTGTGGATGTAGGTGCTGGCAAGACAGACCCGCCAGCAGGCTGGAGATGAGACTGCGGCGCGACTCTCATCGATATCCTCTGACCTTCTCCTCTACACGCACCGCATCGCCCTGGCCTCGCATCTACTCTTGAGCCCTTCACACTAGTCTGCTGGTGTCTCGAGTCCTCACTGCGGCCTGATCACTCGACAAGGCTGCCTCACGCAGCTGTCCGAGCCTCGATTACTGACGTATATCCTCGGCGCCAATGCTGCTGATCTCTCCAGGCAGTCAATGTATCGCTGTAGAGCACAAAATGAGGCTTTCAAACGCGGGCGCAGCACCAAGATCCAGCTCGCGTAGTCATGCAAGGCGATCGTTGCGCTCTGAACCTACAATAATTCATCTACCATATTGAATACCCTAGTCCGCTGCTGACTCCCCACGTGTGAGGGCGCCACGTTCATGAGCCACAGCGGTTCGGGTGCGGGTACGGGCTCGGAAGCCTCGTCTCGTGCAACGCCCATCTTACAATTTCGGTCCTCAGTTGCAAACAGCTTTACTGCTGCTAAGCCTAACGCCTTCGCAAGAGGCAATTTGGGGCGACCGCTGAAATGAAGGTCATTGGAACAAGTAGTGCTGTCTTGCTGGGGCTCACGTACTACGACGATCTCGGGTCAATGGGACTTAGAACTAATCAGGTCATGAAAGGCAGTAATGACAGTTGCATCAAGGCAAGGACATCTCCATATCTCGGGCATCAGTTGCGACCCATAGCAACCTCACATATGGCGATCATTGACCACCGCCAAAGTCACACGACTCGACCCCAGACTGGTGGCATCTCCACAGGAAAACAAAGACCCGGATTTCCGAGGCGACCGAGACAATTCCATGCTCGGCCAAACTGCGGTCAACATCATCCTTTCACGCCCTGACCTCAGCCCACTTCTTTCGTTGTGCAAAGACCCTCATCTGGTTTAAAGGCGCTTCTGCGACTCATGTCGTACATACCATTGGCCGGTTTTTCTCCGCACACGCACTTTGATATGCTGGTTCAAGGTCGGCACTCATTCCAGGGACCCGGCTCCCGCCATGGCTTGGTTGGATCAAATGCTTCGACCTGAGGATCATATGATGACCTCTTGCTAAGGATAGGCACGATTGTAGGCCGATGAACTCACATGAAAGCCTGGCACTGCGTCCATGCAGCAAGACAATGCTAGACTTGTTGCTAGTCAGCCTCAATTATCCTTGGTGCACACTATATATGGTCCATCAGAGAGTGGTGTTCAGCTCGACTATAGCTACACCACCAGTCATACTCACGTCAGATCACTCGCGCTTTGCATAAACAACTATGGCTTCACGCAGTGAGCGTCCAAAACACACATTCCATGAATCACACGCACATCAATCACTGCACCGCCAAGCACACAATGCCAAACCCAGCCAACCCTTGCACAATTTGGAGAAGCAAGCCTCATAGTAGGCTAGCACAGTCGTGAAACTACTGAATAGCCTTCTCGGAACCACCACGCTAGCCAATGCAAACCGTCGATCCTGTCCAACCCGCTGTACTGCCGTACCTACCATGACTCTCGTGGCACTTGGGAGGCATCCATTAAGATGCTGTCACTTCTCCTTCCAGAACGTCTTTTCACGTCTTAGGCTCAGAAATTTCGAGATAGTTTGATATAATTTCGATTTTGATTGCGCATGCCATCATGCGGTTCGATTTTCTAGCCTATCTGTGGTTGTCGACGTCGGTGGTGTGGGGGTTTGCGCAGGAATCGAGTACAAGTGAAGCAAATGCATTACTCCAATCACTTGCTACATTGCCGAATTGCGCTGTAAGTCTAGGCCTCGAATGGTAGAATGTCGCATTCTTGCTAACACTACATTATAAGCAAACATGTATCGCCGCGGCACTACCAGCAGCAGCCGACTGCGCACTCGGCGATCTAGCATGCCTCTGTGCCAGCGAACCCTTCACAGCATCGAGCGGAGCCTGTGTGCTAGCCAACTGCACTATCAGAGGAGCACTTCGTTCGTGACAGTCCGATCCTGCATCCTTCACCAACCACTAACAAACGGAAACAGAAACCCAACAATGGCAAACGAAGGCTTGCGATGTGCCAGCACCGAACAATGCCGGCCTCACCAGACGAGTCTGCTGGGTCCTTTTCGGCATCGCAACGCTGGCCGTAGCCCTTCGATTCCTTGCCCGGACGACTTTTCTGGAAGGCAACTTGGGCTGGGACGACTGGACGCTGTTGCTTGGATATTGCTTCTTGGTTCCTTGTACGATCATCGTCCAGATTAGTAAGTGTATCTCCATTAGAGCTCCAGTCTGGGAGGTATAAGCTGACACCATGTTCTAGTGACCAATCGAGGTCTTGGGCAAGATCTATGGATGGTTCCGTTTAATAACATCACTTCTGTCCTTTACGTGAGTCGGGTCAGCCGATCGGACTAGGTCTGTAATCTGTATGCTAACAAAGTACAACTAGTACTTCTACATCGAAGAGTACAACTACATCGGTTTCGTGATGGCGACCAAGATCTCCATCGTCCTACTCTACCTCCGCATCATACCCGGAACCGTCTCGCCTCGCTTCCGCATGCTCTGCCTGACCGTAATCGGTCTGATGCTCGCCTATACCGTCGCCTTCATCATAGCTTTGGCATTGCAATGCAGACCCATTTCTTTCACCTGGACGCAATGGGATGTAAGTCTACAGACTATCGCCCCCGCGGAAGCTCCGCCGAAATCAACACTGACATGTTCATGCTAGGGCGAACATGAAGGAGAGTGCGTCAATCTCGAAGCCCAGGTGTACGCCGGCGCCATCGGCAACATCTTCTGGGACCTGGTCGTGTTCATTATGCCAATACCTCGTCTCGTCAAACTTCAGGTCCGCGATACACGAAAGAAAGTCATGGTCATCTTGACCTTTCTGGTCGGATTGTTCGGCACTATCTGTTCCATCATCCGTCTTCGATACCTGACACAATGGGGCAAGTCATCAAACGCCACACAGCACTACAATGACATCGCGATCTGGTCTGCCGTCGAAGGAGACGTCGGTGTCATTTGTGCCTGCATGCCTGCCATCGCTGGCCCCTTCCTGCATTTCCTGAGGAAGATCGTGGGCTCAACACTCAGTAAGAACAAGAGCAAGATATCGGCCTCTGGTGGCAGGGCTGGCAGTACCAAGGACAGCAAGGGCGTCGGTCGCGTCCCGAGCAGTGCGGCCGATAGCGAGAGGGGACAGGCACATCATGAGGCCATGAAGCATGGTGGGATTTCCAAGACCGTGGAGGCAAGTATGTATAATATGCCTTACGAAACTAACAGCGATGATGATGTGGAGCTCATGGCGAGGAGTCATGGGCATGGACAGGGTCTGGGTGGAGAGCCAACGGGGAGGTACCAGCACGAGTACGCTGGGTCTTGGCGGTAGTCAAGACCCAGAGCAAAACCATTACGACTGTATAATTCATGTAGACTCGCCTGGAAATACAGGACGAACACGACCAAGACACCACAGTTTACAGCAGGCTTCAGTAACGAGCGCCGAGCTCGTCTTCGATATAATGGCACACAGCACGCGGAACCTGGACTGCGACATCTTGATAGCATTGCAGACAATTCCATACAGTGTTGCTCTCGTCACTTTGCTGATCCCACGGGCGTACTATACGTACCTGCCTGACGTGAGCTTAGCTTACTTTCATCCCCGCGCTTGGACTCCGAGGTTAATATGTCCAGCTCCACAAGACTTCCATCACCTATGCGAGCTAAGAAGATGCAGCTCGGTGATTATTACAGTGGCAAGCTAGATCTCTGTAATCTATGGTGATGTTCCCTCCTGTTTAAGCCTTCTCGTACATCAAATACTGATTTCCTTCTCGGTTTATAGAAAGGATCGTAAACTACTCCAGGTGTATTGCCCAAAGAACTAGTCCTCTCGCCTATTGCAACGAGCCAGGGCGAGACGAAGTCAAATTCTCCACGGCTCAACAGCTAACAAGGTCGGAAAGATGGTCATCAAACACGACGCACCAAGCAATCTACCCGACAGGACAGCAAGTGACAGCATCTATGCCAATCCCAACGTCACTGACATCGAGGACAACGATATCACAGCCGAACGAGATGGTGCTTACGTACCTGAAGTTGACGAGTCCGGCTATCGGATTCGCGAAGAACCTTACGGCACGAAGCGACATGTCCGGGTCGTCCTGATGGGTGCTGGAGCATCGACCTTGAACTTCCTGAAGAAAGCAGAGGAGAAAATGCAAAATGTGAAAGTCACAGTGTACGAAAAGAATAGGGACGTTGGTGGAACTTGGTTCGAGAACGTTAGTCGTCGTTGCTACATTCATCATGTCGTGATAGGAAGCTAATGGCATTCAGCGCTATCCCGGCTGCGCGTGCGACATTCCTTCAGTGAACTACCAGTTCAGCTGGAAGATCAAGTTATGGACGCACTTCTACTCGTATTCACCTGAGATATGGGAGTACCTCAAGGGCATCTATGATGAGAACGACTTCATCAACAAATACGTCAAGCTTCAGCATCAGATCGATCATGCTGCATGGGACGCAGAAGCAGGCGTTTGGCGATTCAAAGTGAAGAACATCGTTACCGGTGATGTTTTCGACGACGAAGCAGAGTTCTTCATCAACGCTGGTGGCGTACTGAACAACTTCAAATGGCCGGACATCCCAGGACTACAAACTTTCAAAGGCAAGCTCATGCACTCTGCTGCTTACGAGGAGGGTTATCCAATCGAGGGCAAGCGAGTCGCAGTCATCGGGGCGGGCTCCAGCGGTGTCCAGATAGTGGCCAAGCTCACCAAAACGACTTCACATATGTACCACTGGGTTCGAAGTCCGATCTGGATTACAGCTGGCTTTGCGCAGACATGGGCAGGAAATGAGGGCTCCAATTTCGAATACACCCCCGAACAGCAGAAGTATCTCGAGGAGAATCCGAAAAAGTACCTAGAATATCGGAAGCAGATCGAGAATGAGCTGAATCAAAGGTTCAAATTTATCATCAAAGGAAGCCAGGAAGCGAAGGATGCGAGAGATTTCAGCTACAAGCAGATGTCAAAGCTTTTGAAGGGCGACGAAAGACTAGTCGAGAAGATAATCCCGAAGAATTTCAACCCCGGTTGTCGAAGGCCGACGCCCGCTCCAGGATATCTTGAGGCACTCGTAGCCCCTAATGCGACTATCTTCACGGATGCAATCGGCCGCATCACCGAGAAAGGCTTCCTTGACCACGAAGGTAAGGAGCACGAATGCGATGTGATCGTTTGTGCGACTGGCTTCGACACATCCTGGCGACCTCGCTTTCCTCTGGTCAATGGTTCTGGCGTCGATCTTCGAGACTTCTGGGCAGATGAAGTGGTTTCTTACCTCTCCATCGGCATTCCCACATTCCCAAACCACTTTACCTTTTGCGGTCCATATGGTCCCCTTGGTCATGGCAGTTTCATGCCGCTGATCGAGATGTGGACGAAGTACATGTTCGACGTAATTGAAAAGGCGCAGATGGAGAACATCAAATCGTTCAATCCTCGGCTAGATCTCAGCAAGCAATTCCGACAGCACTCGGATTTGTTTCTGAAGCGGACGGCGTGGACTTCGGCATGTAGGAGTTGGTTCAAGCAGGGTAAGATTGACGGGCAGGCGGCAATTTATCCTGGGTCGAGGTTGCATTTCTTCCATCTGCTGGAGAGGGTGAGGTACGAGGATTTCGAGATGGAGTATTGGGATGAGAATCGTTTCGCATTTTTGGGTAATGGCTTCGATACTAGGGAGTTCGATGGAAGGGTGAGCCTATCCCCTGTCTTTGGGATACCCGAGTGCTAGCTGACGTCGTCTTAGGACATCACGCATTATCTTGGTCTTCTCAATGGTGAAGACAAACAGCCGGAGTATGGTGATGAGCTCGTACACAAGATGGCTGGTTGGGCGGTCGGCAAGTAGATCCATCCGAGAGCACCTGTAGTTTCTTGTTCTGTACGGCGAGCGCTTCAATATATGCCTAGAAATCGTGATCCAAGTAGACGCAGAGATATGTGTTCAAAGTTGTCATCACGTCACCAACGTCCATCCTCATGTTAAGTGATCTTTGACCATCTGATTACATCTGATGAGGGCTACTACAATAGTATCCACTAAGGAAAGTCACGCACTAGACCCAACGTAGCCAGAATTCCGATACGGGTTGATTTTCTGCATCTCGTGGCCCGTCACAGATCCACTTCATAAATCTACACCGAACACGAAATCACACCATCGGTGCTATCGTCTCGTGGCGGCAGCAAAGTGAGCTGCCGTTATCATGAAGTCCCACCAGCGTGTGCCGCTTCTACCCCAATTCCAAGGACTCCTCGGGCGCGGCAAGCTGATAACATGTCTTGGTTCGGCCTTGGCAATGCGCACTGCAACCGAAGTGTGCTACCAGCTGGACTGGGCGGAGCTTGCAGATCCTTTGTTCAAATACGATGGCAGCCGCTGTAGCACTGTGCTGAGTTAAGGTGGTAGGCTTGACAACTCTCTTAGTACCTCATATCTTGCGCCTTCTTCTCGTCCTGTCTTGTCACGAACGTTAGTCCTTCGCGGCAGGGACACAATGACAACGGCCTGGACTCCGGGCGGACAGATGCCTCACAGCAACGAGCTCGACTACAAGGACACCGAGAAGTATCCGTACGATGGCTATGGACCCGAATCGCCCATCACTGAAGCAGGACATCTCTCCGACCCGACAGATAAGAACCACAGCTTACATCGAGGACTTTCAGCTTGTCAGGTCTCCATGATAGCTATCGGTGGCGCTATAGGGACTGGCCTCATCATCGGTACTGGGTCAGCGCTCTCTGCGGCCGGTCCAGCCTCGATCCTGATCTCCTACACCATCGTCGGTCTGGTAGTTTATGTGGTTATGGCTGCCCTGGGAGAAATGGCTACATGGTTACCTGCGGCTGGAGGCTTCGCTGTCTACGCTACTCGTTATGTTGATCCAGCCCTGGGATTCGCTCTTGGGTACACGTTGAACCTTGAACTGCGTACGTGTTGTTACTAATTCCATTTCTAGATACACGTATTGGTTCAAATACATTATCACTACACCGAATCAGCTTACTGCTGCTGCACTGGTCATACAATACTGGTGTCCGCCTGAGCGAGTCAATCCAGGTGTCTTCATCGCGGTCTTTCTAGTGGCTATTATTGCTATCAACTATCTGGGTATCTGTTGGTTGACACTAGTGACTCCATTCACTTCACTTCAGACACATCACGTGCTGGAGATAAGTTACACGCGCTAGCCGCCTATTTAAGCAGGCACCGCGTTTCTTCGTAGTTAGTTTCTTCTGTATGCAATACACCTTCAACACAATCTACAGTATCTGCTTCTTCGGCGAGTTTGAGTTCTGGTTGAGCAGTATCAAGGTAAGAGGCAAAACCCTTTAATCCTTGTCCTAAAACTAATCTCTACTAGGTCCTCGTTATCATCGGCCTGATCATCCTCATGGTCATCCTTGCTGCAGGTGGAGGCCCGAACCACCAAGCGACCGGCTTTCGCTACTGGAACGATCCTGGCTCGTTCGCTCAGTACAAGAGTATACCCGGCTCTTGGGGTCAATTCCTTGCAGTATGGAGCAGCATGGTGACCGCCGTATTCGCCTTCCTTGGGACTGAGCTCATCGGTGTCACGGTTGGAGAAGCACAGAATCCTCGCCGAAACATTCCTCGTGCCATCAAGTTGACGTTCTGGCGAATTTTGGTCTTCTACATTTGCTCAGTCTTCCTGTTAGGCATGGTCGTGCCGTACAACAGTAAAGAGCTAGCCTTTGCAACCAAGGCTTCGAGCTCGGCGGCCGCGTCCCCATTTGTCGTTGCTATCAAGCTTGCTGGAATTCAGACGCTACCAGGCTTCCTCAACGGCTGCATTCTTATCTTCGTCTTCTCCGCCGCAAACAGCGATTTATACATCGCCTCACGCACGCTCCACGGTCTAGCTTTAAAGCGACAAGCACCAGGATTCCTTGCTAGAACTGACAAGCGTGGAGTGCCATACTTTGCCCTTGGTGCTTCGGCCCTGGTCTGCTGTCTTGCGTTCATGAGCGTCAGCACCAGCTCGAAAGTCGTCTTCACTTACTTCGTCAATCTCGTCAGTATTTTTGGACTGTTGACATGGATTTCGATTCTTGTCTCGCATATCTACTTCAAGAAAGCGCTGCGAGCTCAGGTACTTGATGTCGACAGCAATACTCGAATTCTGCCACTGACGTTGTGTTGTAGGGCGTCAACGAACGCGATATGCGCTACAGATCTCCATTCGGGATGTGGGGCTCCACCGTTGCTCTTGTCTTTTGCATCATTATCGCTTTCACCAAGAACTTCACAGTCTTTATACATAGTCCCAAGACATACGGTAACTTTGATTACAAGAACTTTATCGTGAGTGCATATCCACCGTTATACCTTAGACATCCTGCTGACATACGATGCGCAGACCGGATATTTAGGGATACCACTGTACATCTTCATGATCTTCGGCTACAAGCTGATCATGCGGACAAAGGGCGTCAAGCCTGCTGAAGCTGACCTCTGGACTGGCAAGGATGTCATTGATGCTGATGAGCAGGAGTGGCTTGCGAAGGAGGCGGCGGAGAAGGCCAGTGGGAAGCAGGCATCAAGCTTGTATCGGCATACGTTTGGCTACTTGTTCTAGTGTCCCGATAATAGCGCATGCAAGCTGTATTGTCAGCAGCCGTTGTATCAAGTGGCTTGGTCCAGGGAACGATCTCATGTGGATGGTGGAAGATGAGCAGCCAGGAGTAGAATCTCAGTGCGAACTCCGCCCTTCTTGTCGACAACGATTGGCCTCGAACGCCGTCGGGCCAATAAGTGTTCCGATAATCGGCCCGACTTCAACCACGTCGCTGATGTCCACGAGGATGACACAGGACGTGATTAGAAGCGAGGAGCCGCGAGGCAGACATAAGTCGGGTTTCCTCATTTTCATAATAACCACCGTACCATCAGATTTGCTAAGATGACTGCTCCCGCCTCAGGCGCCATCTTTGTCCTCGGAATCAAGCTCACGACACTACCGCCTCACCTTGAAGCTACATACGGAAGCCTCAAGCAGATCGGAGCCAAAGTGACAGAGGATCTCGAGCGCTGTCATCGCAATGGCTTCCCATGCACTTTACGGGTCATCGATCCTCAGGACGTCGACGGCTCAGTCTCCGCCTTCGCATCGGAGCTTAAAGCCAGCGGCAACAAGTATGAGGCCGTGATCTTTGGTGCAGGCATAAGAACACATACAGATCCTATACCTTTTGAACGAGCAATTGCAACTGCCCGACGAACTCTGAGGCCGGATGTGCCCGTACTGTTCAATGATGGGCCGGACAGACATGCAGCGGCCATCGAGAGACATTTCGGTGTGAAGTTTGAGCAAGATTAGAGGTCGCAAACCAAGCCTTATATAGTAATGGAGATTAGGACCGTGCCACTTGACAAGGTGACGTTCGAGTGGAGCGGCTTGGATTGAAGCTCAAAAGGTGTCCACAGGTCTCAAAAGCGCGCGCGAGCGAAGCATAACTCGGAGAAGGCAGATGAAGCTATGGGTACGGAGTCTCATCCGGTGGTTGATTGAGTGTTTCTGAAAAAGGAGCAGCCGGGCTGAAGATAGGAGTAATCCAAGGTCTCGTGATGATTGGTCCCATAGTGACATCCTAATTAAGGCACAGTATTGTCCGAGACGAGGCTGTACCCCGGGCTCCCTTTTGATCAGAGGAAAGTCGTGTTGGCTCATATTGAACATTCAGCAGTCGGGTGGTACTGACTGTATGTTCTGGACCTATTGAGAGCATTCTTCCTAGGTACACAAGCTTTCTTGGCTGATTTCAGCTCGTCACAACACGATATGCTGGCAGAGTTCTGCTACTGGATCCCGAACACTTACTTTTGTCACAAGTATTTGATGTGAGACGAGCTGTGGTCGGTACAACAACTGCCATTGTTTAGCATCGGCAGAATATATGATCTCGAAGTTCTATCAAGCTTGAGAGGGCTTTTTTACTGTATTGATCATCATTTGCCCTTCCCTCTTGTCTCAGGGTATCGAATCGAGCTTGTTCATTCATACGCATATCGAGCTCGTTCATACGTACGCATAGTGAGCTCCATGTAAGGAGTGACGTCTGTCTTGTAGAAAAAGAAGTCGAGCGATACGTTCATGGGCAGTGCACGGGCCTCCATATCGCGGCCAACCCATTGCACTTCCGAACTCCGACCATATGCACAATCGTCAATCCACCCACATCACCCACCACTCCTCCGCACCATCGTCAAAATGGTCCTCCGTCTCCGCCTCGCCCGTGTCGCAACACCCGGTGGTGCACGTCGCCACGCCCCAATCTACAACATAGTCCTCGCCCAAGCCCGCACAGCCCGGGACTCGCTTCCCCTCGAAGTCCTGGGAACATACAACCCCATCCCCACTCTACCAGAGGGATTCAGCGAGAAGGATGTGAAGGAGGGGAAGGCAAGAAAACAGAAGGATATCAAGGTCGATGTGGCTAGGGCGAAGTATTGGCTCGGTGTGGGTGCGCAGCCGAGTAATACGGTCTGGAGGCTGCTGAGTCTGGTGAGTTCTGGTACTTCTTCGAGGGAAGTGAGGATGTGTGCTGATGAGTTTGAGTGTAGATTGGACTACTGGAGCCAAAGTACCTGCCTACTGGACCGCAGACGGAGAAAGCGCTTAAAGCTGTGAGGTTCCCTACTCATGTGCCCAGTAGCAAAACCGCAGCTGGGTCAGAAGCGACTGAAGAGGGCGTGGTTACCCAGGCCATCCGGGAAGCAGCAGTGGCAAAAGGATGTTTAATCAGCACCATGGTACGCTACCAAGAATAGTGGGAAGGTCGTCTTGCACAGCTTCGAGGATGCTCGCCCGGCCCGGTGGGATGGCTTGTCAAAGTCACCTCCGGAGAATATCTCGCTAGGTTTCTCACCAGCTACAAGACGCCTTATCGAGTATGACATGGCAGATCATTTCAGACTTGAGAATTATCACGCGGACGAGACTGGGCAGAGAAAGTTGACAGCACCTGGCCAAAAACGCAATAACCATTGCCAGCTCGTGTCTGGTGGAGCAAAGCCTACAGTGGGCTGACACGTGAACCGGATTGAAGCAGCACGTGGTCAGAGAATATCCGGGTCAAACGATCTGAGCAATCTCGTGAAGGAGTTGAGACTAGCTTCAAGTCGCGAGAGGCAGAAGGAATCTGCTGTGAGGGAGGTGGGCAGGGCACTCAACAGAGCTCTCCGCAATATAAGGAATCTGAAAGGAGACTGCCCGCTCCAGGTCAGGCAAGAAGAGCGAGTAGATATTTGAGGTACAAAGAACAATCCATTAGACTACGTACAGAACAATCACCAAAGCACATGCGGGTATAGCTCGATTCTCTCACCTTTCGCAACAAAACAAGCTTGTCGAGCATACTATATCCCGTCTGCTCCAATCCGCGCCCGCTTCCAAGCTCAACTTTGATCACAAAAGATATGTCATGTAACCACGAGCAGCACTCTGCCTCCCATCCCACCCATCCATCTATTACTTCCTAGCTTACGCACCAACAACCGAGTCCTCCTCCTCATCACGCATCTGGCTACTACCACCGCCCATCCCACCACCCATCCCACCACCCATCCCACTGCCAGCACCAGGCGTATGCTCCCGAACCATCCTGGACTCCAGCTCTTTCAACTGACTCTCCCTTGCCAGCAACTCCTGCCTCTTGCTCTCAATTTCACGCTGGACCTTAATCTCAATCTCCCTCAGCTTCTCCTCTTCACGCTTCAACTGCTCTTCCTTGAGACGCACACTCTGACTAGCCAAAGACTGGGGATCCAGGCTCCCTTCGTCAGCACCAAGGCCCGCGGTAGTGGTGCTGTCGCCGCCGGAGACGGATTTGGAGAGTTTCTCGGTACGGTAATTCTCGTACAGGAAGTCGTGGGTGATTTCCTTCAGGTCGGCCAAGTGCGAGTGCAGGAGCGCACTACGGATGGCGAGGAAGTCGCTGTGGCGCGGGTTCTCGACTTCGACTATGCCCCACGGGTACTGGCGGGCACGGGTGCGTCTGTGTACAATACCACATTAGCGTCCGGCACAATCCAAAAGCCAAGTTTAGTAGTAGAAATGATGTCTTACCGTCCCTCAACCTCAACAACATCCTCACTTCCTACAATCGCAAACGGCATAAGACCTCTCAGCTCAGCATTCTCCTCGACAGTATCTTCATCATCCTCCTCGATGTCGTACGGGAAGTTGTAGACGGGGATACGGTAGTGCTCGATATCCTCCATGATCAACTTCTTGCTCTCAGCCAGCTCGAGTGGGGTCAAACTGTCCGCCTTGCCGATCACGGGGATAACGTTGACGCGAGGCGAAAGGCGGCGCATGAGCTCGATGTCTAGTTCGCGGAGACCGTGGCCTGTAGAATATGTTGTCAGTAAAATACTGGTGAGGTGTGATGAGATGCTTGTTACCAGTGGGCTGAACAAAGTACAACAGCACATGCACCCTGTTATCCCTGAACCTCGGGTTTCTCTTGATCCGGCTCTCCTCGGCCAAAATATCATCATACTGCCTCTCCAGATATGTCGAGATCTCTCCAAAAGCACTCTCATTATCCACGCTATCGCCAAAACCAGGCGTGTCCACAATGGTCAGACTGACACGCGTGCCTTCCTCATCAAGCTCTAGCTCGACGGTCACGGGCTTGATCTGGACGCCTTGCTCGAGGTGAGCAGTGCTCGGGTCATCGGAGTCGAGACCGGCGAGGACGCGACGGCCGCAGAGGGTGTTGACGAAGGTTGTGCGCCCGGTTCCACTGGCGCCGCAGACCATAAGGCAGAACTGGATTCCCTTTTTGACGTTCTTCTTGCGCCGGAGCCGGATCGCGCTGTTAGATGACATGCTGGCGGTATTCGTGTGCCGGACAGTTGATGGTAGGAGGTGTGGTCGGGCTACGTGAAGTGAGATGACGTGTTAGCGAATTGTGCGGTGAACAGCCCAGATGAATGAAGCCAATGCCTCCTCTGCGCCTGTCGTCCAGAGGCATTGATGTTGAAATAGACTCACCTTCTTCTTCGCCGCCTTCTCGCACCTACTGAAGTGAATGTGATACAGTGACTTCACGTGAAGTCTCCAGCCTAACAACAAGTGCAGTCAATAATTGTGCCTTCGTGTTTCCAACTTTCACGAGCAAGCATGGGGATTGGGGAAGGAGCGGCAAAGGGGTTCGCGGAAGCTTTGGACACCTCGGCGCCTCCCAATTGGCTGCGCTAGGGGAATTAGAGATGGGCCTGTGCCGATATGAACCATTTGAACCACACATGTGATGGTGGACTTGAAGCGGATGTCAACACTGCCTAGTCCTGGTATCTGCCTAGATCTCTGACACTGATCAATACTCGTCACTGCTGTATTTGCTGTGACATAAGGCAAACTTGACAAATGTACTGCTGAGGCGGCCAATATGTATGCTCGGATAAGGACGGAAAGTTGAATGTCACCGCACCCGATTGTGGCCATTAGACATACAAAATGAATGCTCGAAAGCCCATTCAGCCGTCTGATCAGCCACCTGTGTACAGTCTCGCCTTCTCCACAAGCAAAAATCGCTTCATCGCTGCCCTAGCTACTGGACTGAGGAGTTTCAGGACGGACAATTGCCTGACCACACACCAACCTACCTTGTCGCAATCGGAAAGCATAACTTTGGTAGCACAACATGATGATAGATTCCTGGCGTATGTTTATGGTGGCGACAGCCGTGGTGGCAAACCAAGCGAGGTGATCTTCTGGGATGCGGAGGTGGGATGTGAGGCCCAACGCTTCGACCTACATGAGGACGTCTTGGGACTGAGGCTGGACGACAACTGGATGATAGTGATCTTGCGTGAGCGAACGATAGTCTTCCGGTATGAAGAGTTACCACGTCCGCAACTGCCTACGCCACCACCTGAGCACGAAACCGACGACATGAAACATGCAAGCCCTTCGCCCTCGAAAGGACCAAACATCGTCCATGCGCTCTATCCAACTTCTCCCAATCCACACGCCCTGGCGAGTCTGCGGAACAACACCCTCATCCTCCCAGCGGTCACTCCTGGGCAGGTGCAGATAATACCACTTCTCGGCGGCTCAAAACGTATACTGCGAGCTCACAACGCAAGCATCCGAGGCCTCGCCCTCTCCCCAGACAGTAGCCTCCTAGCCACAGCCAGCGAACAAGGCACTCTCATCCGAGTCTACGACACAACAACCCTAAACCAGTTAGGCGAGTACCGCCGCGGCAGCGACAAAGCAGACATCTTCTCCCTCGCCTTCTCGCCCGGAAAGAAATGGCTGGCTGTGACAAGCGACAAAGGAACACTTCACCTCTTCGACCTCCGACCCTCCGCTATCGTAGATGAAGAAGGCCAGCAGATCGGGACACGATCTCAATCCCACCGGAAAAGCAGTAGCTATGCTTCTCACCGCCTATCAGCTGGTATGGCAGGCGCGATTGACAAAGCCTCCTCCAATTCCAGCGGCGAACGAGCAAACAGTAACCCGATTGCACCAGGCACAGGCACGTACCAGGGTTCGGTACAAGAGTACTATGGTCTCCGACCTATACCTGCCTCCGCTTCGAGCCCTCCACGAGTCGGCATTAGCGCCATGGCCGCGCTGAAAGCTTCGCCTTTTGCTCTGAAACTTCTGAAAGATGTCCGAAGCGTAGCCTCTGCATCTTTCTTCATGGGCGACGAGGGTGCTACCTGGCAAGGCCTACACCAACTCTCTAGACCTACTACTGGCGCGACAACAGGAGGGAAAGGTAAAGGTCGTGCACAAGCACCGGCTTTACCTGGTAATCCTGCTGGTCGCCCGCCGAGAGGAGTCCTAGCTTTCGATGCCACAGCAGACGGTGCGAACGAAGAGGAAGGTGCAAGGATTTATGTTATCGGTGGTGGCCTGGAAGCGAGATGGGAATGCTTTGAGCTAGTACCTAGGGAAGGGCAATTTGGCATGGGATGGGTTTTGGTTAAGAAAGGTTTCAGGCGGTTTCTGACACAGCAATTCGTGGACTGACTCGCATTATGATGATGAAGGATGGAGCGGGATTTGATATCAGGATGACTAGATATGCTTCTACGCTTCAACGAACGCGATGCAATGATTGATGAAGGATACGAGGCATGAGTAGCACAGCATACATGTCAAGAATGGATACTTGCTTCGTGTGTTCAAGAACTTCATGACTTATGAATGATACCCTGGATCACGTTGACGGTGGTCGACGATTTCCCAACACAGGCCAGACGACAACCCCTGCATCCGGCACAAATATTTAGGATTCCGAGTCATTACACTGAACGGATTTGCGATTGAACACTTTAGATATCATAGCATCAGTACCTCCCACACAATCATGGCCCTCGTGGATGGATGTCCAAGCAAAGCATATGGGGAGTAGCATAGGACACCCTAATCATTCGACGAAAGTCACAAACTGAGTCGGAAACCTCCTTTGCCCAACGTAGAGTAAATTGTGTTTGAGCGTAATGAAAAGCCACAGACCACGCCAGGCCATCATGCCAGCAGACAAGTGAAGAGAGCTTCAGATATTGGGTTAAGCACAAGATGAACTGATGGCTTGTTTCACGACCGTGGCCGGCATGAGGCTTTCCAAACTTTGGGCGTGCAAGTAATATCTTGGATTATATAGCATCTATATATATATACATCATGCACTCCTCATACACAAGAACATAGCCAATTGACGGCGGTGAACAGTAGTGCAAGCGCACTCTGTATCATACACAAGAACTCATCAATTAAAACACCTTCTATGCAAGCCTTTTCACGCAAAGCAAAACGCTTAGATCATCATCAAACCAACAACACCAGCAGCAGCAGCCGCGAGCCACCTAGCGGCCACGACGCTGCTAGCAGCACCGGTGTATGGCGTGATAGGAGCACCACCAGTGCTGGTGGACTTGGCTCCTCCCGCGCTTCCGCTGGCCACGAAACCAGTCACCTTGGTACCGTTGCTGCTGCCCTGGTTGTTAAGCCAGTATGTAGCGGTCGGAATGGCGTTGGTGAAGGTCAGGGTTGGGAAGTTGGCGTAGGTGGTGGTGGAAACGCTGCTGGTGTAGCTGACGACGGCTGGTGTGCCGTTGAGAGTGGTGACTGCGGAGTTTGTGGCTGTGACTGGGGCCACGTAGGTGGCGGCGACCGTGGTTGTGAGAGTGGAGCTGTATGTGCTTGTCACAGTGCTGGGCCCGGTCCAGGTTGAGGTGCGGGTCAGATTGCCTGTGGTGTAGATGCTTGTCTGCGGGCAGACGGTTGTGTAGATGCTGGTGAGGTCGGTGACGGTGACGTATGGGACTGACTGGGCCGCGCCAGACGAAGCAGCACCGAGAGTGACAGGGACTGTCGTGGTCACAGTGGAGCTGTAAGTGCTCGTCACGGTCGAAGGGCCAGTCCATGTGGAGGTTGAGGTCGTTCCGTCAGAGGTAATGACGCTGGTCTGAGGGCAGACGGTGGTGTATACGCTAGTCAATTCCGTGACAGTAACCTGGGCGACAGAGGTCGAGGCAGATGGCGTGAACAAAGTCAGGGAGCCGGCGGTCGAGATGCAGGATGCGCCATTTGGGTAGCTGTGCGCTGGGTTGCAAGCGAAAGAGCCATTCGACGAGGCACTGGCAGAGACGGTGACGGTGACTGGAACGGTCGTGCTACCAGAGGCGCTGAACGAGGTGGTCATAGCAGCGCTGCTAGAAGAAGACGTTGCCGGGACCGCGCAGTACTTGCCCTTCGTGAAGCTCTTGACGAGGTCTGCGATGTACTGAGCAGCCTCAGCGCTGTAAAGCTGGAAGTAGTTGGTGTGGGCCTCAACAGTGTTGGCACCGAGCCCAGGAGCACAGATCAAATCATCATAGTTGCAGTAGTCGTGGAGCCTTGGCGTGTAGAAGCCCATGCGATCCAGACCTTCGGCCTGAGAGCGGTTGCTGTTCGCCATGCCAGGAGATCCAGCAAGGACGTTGTAAGGCTGGTTGGCAGTGTGCCTTGGGTTACCGAACAGTGTGACAGCAGCAATGTTGCAGCTTGGGCCCGATGTGGTGTCGGTCAAGCCAGGGTGCCCAGAGCTTGGGCAGAACACATCGCCAGTATCGCCAGCTAGGACATTGCCAATGACCGTCGCACCTTCACTGTATCCGCTGAGCACGATGGCGGTTTCGGGGCATTTGGCGTAGTATGCGTTGATTTGCGAAAGCGCAAGAGCCTCTCCAGCGTCTACGGAAGGGCAATAATCGGTCGAGTATGCGTCGTATGCAATGTCCTCATAGTCGCAGGTCGTTCCAGGCAGATCGTTGCAGACACGAGTGGTGAGGTTGCCTTGTCGGCCGGGGTCTGGTCGAGAGGGTCATTAACATTTCGAGAAGCGGGCTTAGTAGAAAACATCACTCACAGTCCTCGTTCCATCCACGAGCGATAAAGATGTGAACATCGGTACACGAGCCAGTTCCAATGCTCTGTGCCAATACCGCCGGAGCCGCCAACAAAAGGGAAGAAAGGGCAAGTGTGGTGAACATGATTACAAATTATAAGTAACTGAACGAGAAAGAGCGAGTGGGTAGAGACTTGTCTAAGTAAGTAGAGAAGTTCGTCAATAATAAGAGAGTAGGTGATGGGGGAGACTCTTCATCGCGGGCGAACAGCAGTACTTACGCATCCAGCTAACACGACTCCACGGCATCTTGTTGACACATCCTTCGGCCTACCAGGGGCGTGCATAGTCCATGTCGAAGAAGGATACAGACCGGCACGCGACTTGAATGTTGGCGAATGGACTCGCCAGAGTCATTTGACCATCGAAATAGGTAGTCTTGCCACAGGCGACCGCGGAGCCAGTCCGTTTGCGGATCGTTCTTAAGTCTCTACAGTGTGATTTGCAAGACCTTGCAATGCTTGTTTCCTACCGGCCTGACGCGGAGGTGAAAATAGACGTCCGATGGGATAGCCGTACGAGAGAAGTGGACCTCGCCGACTCACGAGAGCCGAGAGTCAAGGCTAACGATGTGCCGGCTAGCAGAAGAAGGCCTGGGATTAGAAGTCGTTGCGAATAGTGTCTTCATCCGTGATAGGCTACAGACATCCGAGCCTCGACTCATAGACGATTCGAGCTTCGGACAATTGAAGCTACGGGAGCACTGGAAGTCGGCAACGAAGGAAGCGAGGTGAGGGTAGAATATCATGGGTGCGTGAGGTGGAAAGCCCGCGCGAGTTTGTCCGATAAGGCTCTTTCCCGTATCCGCGGCCCCTGCGCAAGTTCCAACCTTATACACCGTCACGTGAGCACGATTGTGTTCTGTGAATGTGTAATACATCATGCCAAGCCTCGTTGAACTCAGTCTCTCAAAGGCAAGTCCACGAGCATCTCGATCTCCGAACGCTGGCAGGGATAGGCTGAGACGGAGACGGAAGCTCATGGAGACAAAGCCGGGCCAATGGTTGCAGTTGTTGTACTGCGCAATCTCTCTTTCTCTCTTGGGATAGTGCAAAAGACGAGACAGTCAAATGTAGCGCTGGATGATGACTCGGGTTTCGGTTCTTCGAGACGAAGGAGGCCTTAGGCTGGCTGCCTACGACATATGCTTCAGCACGCGACAGGTCGAGAATTAAAGCAGCCGCAGCACTTCACAAAGCTCCTATATTCTGGGAGTCTACGGACCAGTTCACATGCACATGCACATGCACATGCACATTCGTACGGCCATGGATTAGCAGAATCGGCTACGTGCGAGTCCGATCCGAGAAGACTAGAAGAGCATGCACCACTTACACGTTTGAGGTCCATGGTGCTAGTAGACCTGCGTGGCGCGAGTGTTCACGTTGGTTTGAAAGACCACGGGGAACTTGTGGAAGGCCGGGGAGACAACTTCATCTGATCAGAGGTGAAAGTAGTCTGTTCACCAGTGACGTGCGGCCATATTATACAGGTCGATGGCCCACTGCCACCGCAGTCTGAAAGCGAAGAAGGAGCAAATACAATGCTGGATTGACATCCAAGTTTGAATCTCCTTCCTCCATTATCCATCATCCGCAATAATCTCTTGCCTTAGCTAGCAAGATCAATGATGGGCAGATCTGACATGTGCGTCTTCGCACTTCCATACGGCACAAGCCTTAGCTTCTGAGCTGGCGCCGTGCACTTCTTGGCCTCGCCAGTGGGCGGATAGCCAGGTACGCTTCCGAACGCCAACGGCCAGTCGATCAAGCATCCCATGACGCTGATGTACGCTGGCGGAGCATTGGGAGCAAAGATAGGATTTGCCAATGCATAATCTGGAGACTCGGAGTCTGGGCCATGATACTGGAGGGTCTTCGGGTCGACCGCGAAGTTCCAGGCGGAAGTGTTATGGTATTCCCAATCTTTGCTCTGTGGGGGAGCGTAGCTGTCATTGTAGAATGAGCCGGGATTGTTCCACATCTTAGGTGCTGTGGATGTATTCGTGCTGCTTATTTCCAGAGCGTAAAGCAAGGCACCCTTGTGGACTGCGATTGTATCGTTCTCCCGCGACTCGGTATACACATCGCTTTCCAGGTTGTACAACACAGTCGAAGTACCCTTTGGCAAACTGATCTTATGCAAGCCCGAAACTGGGTCGGGTGAGAGCGGTGTGGATTCATTCGAGCCGCAGGAGATTCGCGATCCGGAAGCCGCCCAGGCAGGGACACGGACATAGAAGTCGAAGGATGATCCGGCAGTGATGCTATAATTCAGCTGGCCAAAGAAAGGATACGCTGTCGTAACATCGACCATGACACTGCCACCGGAAATGTTTGTGCGGGCTGTAACAGGACTCAGCAGGACGTGGGCAAGACCGCTATTCCCGACCCGGACGAAACTGCTTGACAGGTACTTAGGCCAGCCTTGAGGGTGGTTGACTGTGCAACACGGGTAATTTCTGGAATTCGAATGGCTGTCAGCAGCCAATGAGCAGTTTACGGACTGGGCAAATACTCACGGCTCTAATCCAAATGTTTGTCCCCAGCTGTTGGTGTTGTAGAACGGTGTCTTTGTGAGATTGATAGCAAATGGCTGGTTACCTTGCTCCATATATTGTCGACCCCACCAGTCAGGCGTGAGCATCGATGGAAGTGCTAATGAATCTTAGCCACCGATCGAGGAGTTACGCAACGAATCATCTTACAATTGAAGGCTGCAAGCTCAGTTCGGTCGGCATAGTAGCTATTCCCTAGACTTTGGTAGAGGTAAGACAGAGAGTACATGGTTTCCACAGACGTGCAGAGTTCGGCTCCTGAGTACGGCGCTAGGCCAACAAGACGCTCGTCGGCTATGACTGTGCCAGAGGCAGCACCATGATACTGCATAGTCCAGTTGACGCCGTTCATCGCAGTATCGATCAAGCTGTCGTTGTGAGTAAAGCGGCGGATCACAGCCGCAGCCTTTAGGCCTTGGCCTACGTTGACGCCATGCTCATATGGGTAGTTGACAGTAGTGAGATTGACGTCGAGGGTGTTTAGATCCTTGTCCATACCCTGACCAAAGTATGCAGCCTGCGAAGATGATGAGCTTGACTGTAGCCGTGTTGGCGGCAACAATGTCTGCTTACCTCATTGTACCAGTCTTCCCAGTTCAGACCTTCGTCGTGTAGATACTTCATGTTCTCGAGTAATATCTGACTCTGATTTCCTGGATAATGTTCGTACAGCCATTGAAGTGTGATTATCATGTCTTGACTGCGGACCCGTCCCCATGAGTCGTCGTCTGCGCTCAACTTGTCTCCCGGATGGCTGATGTAGCCCGTATAATTGTTGGAAAGCATGTCATGCATCAGCGAAGTGAAGTCGTGGAGGGCTGTCACGACAGGCTGCGTCCAGGTACTGTTGGCTTCAGCAAGCTGAGTCAGTCCCAGGCATAACGGACTGGAATGCATTGTCAGAGCCGTTGAAAGTGATATGAACGACTGCGATCTTACTATCTCGCCCAAAAGTTACGTGCTGATCCTGTCTCGGGGCCAAGCCATCCATCGCTTGCCTGGAGATCCAAGACTATCTGAGCAGACGAATGAACCTGATCCTTCAGTCGTGCATCGTCCAGACCATAAGCCAGAGGCACAAGACCGTTAAACCAGTACGGGAAGCCTTCATTCAGGTCGCTGTATTCTTCGGTGCCTCCTAACCAGCTAGACTTGGCAACATAAGCATAGAAGTCGTGTTCGTGACCAGCTAGTCCATCGCTCATCAGCTGGAGCTGATCCTTGAGCCAGCCAGAAGGCGATATGGATCCCAGAGGTAGAGGCTCAAAGGCAAAGGGTACAAGAGAGTCGTTAGTGCTCGCTTTTGAAGTGCCTAGTAAAGCAAGCACTACTGGCAAGGCGAAGCGTGCCATGTTTGGCGATGGGGCTTTTGGATGAAACTTTCGAAGCCAGAGCCGAAGAATGAAAGCGTTATGTACGCTTTCAAGATCGGCATGATCGTCTTTGGGGAGTCACCCTACCTATGCTCGTTTGCTTCTCCACCATCTCCTCATCATCTGCAAGTCGTCATGGGCAAACCATGGAAATCCTACAGCTTTGGACGACCGAGCTACTCGGGTACATCGATACCTTTTAACAAAGATCTACATGTGGTCCCGAGGCAGACCGACTACCAAGCTCGAGACATCTTCGACTTCCTAGTGTACCACAGCACTGAGAGGAATATTGCTTGTGATAGAGCATGAAGGTGTGCTGCGTAGGTGACGATGGGCGAGAGGACGAAGGCATCGCCGGTGAGGTTTCACAGATTCGGCATGACTAAGCAACATTGGTCGAAAGGTGGAGCCGATGAAGCCAATCTTGTGGTGTTTTTGACAAGCAGCAGCGGCAACATCTGGATGTCTACAAGGTGTAGGACGCATGCAAACAGCACCGATAGGACTCATTTTCAAACACAATCCAGCTCGTGACGACATCCTTACTGCGGTCGATCTCCATATCGGCCCACGTAGATCAAGAACCACACACCCGTCTACTTCTTGTCAAAGAAGGTCCCACGTTCTGCCACCTCATCCTTGTCGCCCTTCTTCTACTTACCACCAAGCTTAGGCGTGGTATCTTTCTCGGCGGTGATCGTCGCCTTCGTCTCCATCTTCTTCGTCTTCTTGACGAGTTTGTTGGCGAGGGCCTCTAGAACCTTAGGACGCGGGTCCTTAGTGGGTGCCTTCGCAACCTTGTTCTCGGCGCCTTTGGCCTTCGTCTCCCGGGCAGTCTTGCCGGAGTTGCTCTGCTGGGCACCGCCACCACTCTTGCCCCTCTTGCTTATGCCGTCAAATGGCATTTTTACTTTATGATACTCAGATGTTTCTGATGCAGATTGGTGAGTGAGACGTGTCGTAGAGTATGTTGCAAGGCCTCGAGTACTTCCGTATAGCTTCATATAGCGCATGTGAAGCTCTCCGCCCTCGACGCTCTGGGCACAAAGAGAACGGGAGCGTGTGTGGCGCGTGGTTGGTAGTGGCAAGTCTTTGTTCTTCGACTGTTGCGACCAACCATTCCAGTGAGTTCTATTCGGCTTCAATTCAGGCACTTCATTGCACAACGTCACGCTCGCGTTGCCACTCCTGCTCTCTTTCTGCCCTTCTAGCTTCCTTCCGCTGCCTTCGTGTCTCCTTTTCCACGAAATAGCCATCAGGCCTCTCCCCATTCTGCCAACCAGGATCAACTTTCCGCTTCCGTCCCCGCCTACTGCTGACAGTGCTGTCCTTCTGGTTCGAAGCAGAATACTGCACCAGCCCAGCATCCTCCAGAAAGTTCTCGAACTGTGGGCCTAGCGGATAGAATGACACATCCGAGGAGTGTTCTGCCAAAGGTGATCGTTTCAATGGCAATAGCCAATCGTGCATCTTCTCGCCCAACACGTTCGTGAAATTTCGATACGGCGTGCCGAGATCCCATGGGTTCATCCTAGGTGGCGTCTCCAGTATGGCAAAAGTGCGCGACTGAGGTGCTGGAAGCGGTGGCCGATCTGTCGCAGGCTGTAGCGGATATGTCACTGTGCCTCTCCAGAATTCGGATTTGGTCGCACGTCGGAAGGCTCTATTGTTGCTATTGTTATTACTGAAGTAGCGGCTGTGCGACGGATCGTCGATTTCAGATGTAAGAGGCCGCTCACTGTCTTCGTCGTCTTCCAAAGGTGACCTTGAGGAAGGTGTCCGGGCAGTACGTTCTGGAGCAAGTGGTAGATTGCCATTCACCGATGCTTGCAACTCCGGTGGCAGAAGAACTGCCATAAAAAAAGTGAGGTCTCTGCCAGCATGTTCGATCGTTGTCATACCCAGAAAAGCCAGGTGCAGACTATTGAGGACCATGCCAAGCGTGAAGAATAGAAAGAAACCTCCCAGGCCCAAGGCAAGATCCCACTGAACGTTTGATCTTCGCTCGTGGACGAAATATGCCATGACGATAGTAAGATACAAACACAGGACCATGGCGTACAAAAGAAATTGCAGGAAGAACTTGATGCTACGCTCCCCAACCACACCGCCTACCCTAAACGTCTGAAGTCAGCTTGTTGTTCTTTTCACGGTAGTAGCCCGTAGCATAGCTAAAGGCAAATGCTATCAGCCACTGCTAGACAATCAAGACCCAAAACAATTTGGGGCTTGTGACGTCCGGATGGTCGTAGCATGTGGTAGTGAGCTGACAGTGCTCGCTGCTAGCTATGGTCGCTCTAATCTGCACGTACCAGGGACAAAAGTGATCCATTTTCAATGTACACCTTCCCACATCCTGATTGTGATGAGCACGATCTGGCTTCCAGCTCTCGCAAAAGCTGCACCAGATCGGTCTGCCGTTGGCGTCACACACAAAGACATCTCGCATCCAGAACTCAGGCGAAGGATCATCGCGCAGCTTCTCATTTCCGATGTCTGTATAACCAGGCGCGAGGAAGACCACAAGCAGAAGTCGAAGGTAAGTGGCGGCGACAGGTATCAGGAGAGCAAACCATACAATCGGTATGGCTATGCCTGCAGCGACTCGTGGCTTTAAGTCATCCGGGGCATTAATCAGGTAGTTGATGCTCAGTGGTCCGACAACCACATATGAGCAATATGCCACAATCAGGACCAGTATCACAGGCACAACCTTAGCAGTCGCAAGCGATACTTTGTTCTGCTGGGTGACCTGGATAGGCCGATCGGCGGCCATTGAGGCCAGTGGCCCAAATGAGGTGCTATAAGAATGGAATCAACTGGAGCAGACAAAAAGATGACATGATGTCGATGTTGTTGTGATATTGAATGGGAGTCCGGGTGGCTGTTTGGCGGCTGGAGGTCGAATGGTGGTGTCACTTCCTCGCGTGGCTGGTGACCGAAACAACCGAAAACACGCTATGGATCTACCCGACTAGCTGCATGATGACGAGATTGTAATCTAGATGTAGATATGAGCTTGAAGCTCACCAGCAGGACTCACGTTATTCCAAGGAGCTGTTTCGGCGATTGATGCCATCCACGATTCCATACTGGCATTCTGGGATATGGCGACAACTGCAGCGAAGAAGAAGCTAGTGGTCTGCGGCGGCAATGGGTTCCTTGGTAGCAGGATATGCAAAGCTGCTGTGGCACGAGACTGGGATGTCACATCTATAAGGTGGGTGCTTGTGGACGCACGGAAGTAGTTGTGTGTCGGAACCATATTGACCTAATATCAGTCGATCAGGGGAACCTAACTGGCCCAGCGTCTCATCACATCAAACCGCACCGTCATGGTCAAAGTCAGTAACGTGGCGGGCAGCCAATATCCTCCAACCAGAAAGCTACAAAGCCGACCTCGAAGGTGCAGATGCCGTGGTGCATAGCATGGGTATCCTACTGGAAGCAGATTATAAAGGTGTCTTGACAGGCAAAGAGTCACCAATAGCAGGCATGAGACGAGCGTTCTCGGCCACGAAGATGGGCAGCAGCGCAAACCCGCTCGACAGGAAGTCTGGTGAAGCACTAGAGCCGGGCGAGCAAGACGGTCAACTCACATATGAGCTCATGAATCGGGACTCGGCAGTTATACTGGCCAAGGAAGCGAATGAAGCAAAGGTATCAGCCTTTGCATACATATCTGCGGCAGCCGGAGCACCAATATTGCCGGGTCGATACATCAGCACGAAACGAGAAGCTGAATCAACGATCTCGACAACATTCCCGCGCATGCGCAGTGTCTTCATCCGTCCTGGCTTCTTGTTCGACAGTAGTCGAGGATTTACGATGCCAATGGCTGCTGTGACCTACGGCGGCTTCCTGGCCAATAGTCTGACAGGCGGCAATCTTACATGGCTGATGGGAGCTGGAGGTGCCAAGCCATTGAAAGCTGATCTTGTTGCTGAGGCTGTGGTGGAAGGGCTTGCAGACGAGCAGGTCAAAGGCCCAGTCGAGGTCAAGGAGATTGAGTCGCTTGCCAACAGAGCATGGAGGAAGGGAATGCTGTGATGGCATGGCCTCGCACTCTACTCCGCCGTGTCACGCATTGAATGCTGATACTGTATAGTAATGTACCATCAACTGTATGCTCAACAATATAATAGCTCCATGTCTGTGGTCTGATACTGAAACTTTCGCTAATCGTGAGACGCAGTTCGTACATTCAAGCAGTGAAGTAGTAGGCTTCCAGCTGCTTCTTCGTTCTGGCACCTGCATTGTGATGTCGATTCTCTTCCCAGACCTGCCCGCCTTCGCCATAATGATTCGACAGATGGCCGAGGAAGAAGTCCAGGTTCTTGTCTACCGGCCAGAGTTAGTCATCATCATTCGCTGCGCAGACGCTACACACGCGAAACCTTACCCGCCTGCGGGAATGCGTCCTTGAACGTCTGGAAGAGCTCGTCTACGCTAGGCTTCTTATTCGCATAAGTAACCTTCTCGCCGAAGAATTGCAGATACTTCCGCATATGCATCAAGTCCTCTTTGGCGTCTGGTTCCCAACCTTCCTCGATATGGCCTGGGATGACCGTCTCAGGCTTGAGACCAATCTCAATCAAATCGAGTGTCTTGAACCAAGCGTCCAGCAACTGCGGTGATTCCACTTCCTCCACCCAGACGTGTGTTGAGCGGGCATAGACAGCATCTGGGAAAGTGTCAACGGGAAGGTGTTGATGTTCAGAACGAAGCTTCAGTGCATCAATACTTGCCTCCACAGATGATGGTCCTCTCGGTAGGTAGCCAGAACAGGGTGTGATCGACCGAATCACCCTGCAGAGGTCCCAGGAGGAGCACTGGCGATGCCTCGTTGCCTTCCAGCACAAATAAGCTGTGATGGAACGGTGTCGGCTTCGTAGGATTGGACGGCACATTTTCCTTGCCAAACACGCTTGGCCAATACTTCACTTTCTCATCGTACTCGCGATCGATGCCGGCGCAGACTTTCGGCCCTACTCAGCACGCACGACCCTGGTAACTTCACACAGTGATTGTTGAACTCACCGTAAGGAGCTGCATACAACGTGGCGTCTGCGTTCACCTCCAGAATTGGATTCGCGCTGAAGTAGTGGTCCGGGTGGTGATGAGTAACGAAAATTGCTTTCAGCGGTACGGATGTCTTTTGCTTGATCCAAGCGACCAGTTGTTTCGCGTCTGGAATAAGGAAGGGAGGATCTATCAGAGCAGCCGCTTTCGTGCCCACGATCAGCGTTGATACTGATGAAAGGCCCTTCTCGGAGGAAGAGTGGTAGTATGTTTGTAGCTTGCTGCTGGTAGCCATAGCTTGACACGGAGCTGTTTGACAGCTTGTACATAGAACGGTAGCATATGCTTCTTTGGACCTCGAGTCAATAGGCTCAATCGTCTTTCTAGATAACTTATAGCACAATCTTTCGTATGATTAGTGACAGTTATGCCGGCAGATCTGATTATGAGTCGATTATTATATAGCCTCGGGTAGGATATCTGCCGTTGATACGGTAAGCAGCCTTAATTTCCTTATTCCCTCTTCCTCTCGAGTCGGCAGCCACCAATTATCAGCTCGTGCCGTGCGGTCATGTTCCTATAATCTTCAACCCCTCACCTTACTCTTGCCGTATCTCGCAACGCAAAAACTCTACAAGCACCAGCCACATTTCCGATCGGCAGGTCGGAACGATCGTTGGTCGTGTTTGAGTTCAAAATCATTTTGAGTTCAAAGTCTTTTTGAGTTCAAACTCTTTTGCGACTGCGCTCGTCGTCGTACTTCGTATATTGGAGCACCTGCAGCCAAGATCAACACTTTCATGGCCAAATAGAACACACTGCCGCCATGTGATCTGGATCGAGCTTCGGTTGGTGATCCGACCAGGTGTCGTTGCGGACCTACTGCCATTGGTAACGCTATTGCTGTCGACCCCACTGGATAACGTTCTCACTGATATCGATGGGATCGTGCTGGCATTGGAAGTCAAAGATCTCACACATCAATCCATCGGAGCGGATTCCATCGTTCCCTGCCACTATCCTGTTTGGGTGCGGCTTTCATGAAAAGGAACACCACGTTACGAGGGTCACAGCCCGAGGTTCCGAGAAGTTGAGCAACGTGCATGAACCTACAAAGGATCAGACTTCGACTTCAGACTTCAGACTTCAGACTTCCAAGGAACGACCGTTGAGAACCAGACATCGCCCTCTCCTCCTATCACTGGCTACAGTACCGGACCTCGAAAACAAGTTCCGTCATAAGCTACCGAGACAGCTGCGCTAACCGAACCTTCAGATGTTGTCGTCCAGGCTAGAGTTCGTTATAGGTCAATCATGATGCTATCCGACAGCGGTAAATGCATCTCCGGCATCATGCGATGTAGGACCCAAAGTCAGAAGATGTGGGCGTACCGCTGATTAACCTTTTTACTGAAGGGGCTGGACTACAGGATCACTGGGCGTCGTTCATCGTATTTGTCCTATTGCTTCCCCGACTCATCATATGGTTACATCGAGACACATGCGATCGGCAACCCGATTAGGGCAGCGATTAAGGCTGAGGTCGCGACCGTATCGCCCTAATCTACATGGTGTATGCATCTTTCGCGAATCCGGCTTGTTGTAACCCGCGGGCTGTACTGACCATGCAGCATGCAGGTGTGACATGCTTGCAGGAACCTTTGACATGGCGTGTCTGTGGAAAGCCGGTTTGTCTTTGTATCAGCGATCAATCGGCAACAATGGCTCCACGTCTGCAACATCAGACCCCTCCGCGGTGGTATGGACTTGTAGATGCAGACGCAAGCAGAGCATGGTATACGTAAATCGGACTCATCAGCATGCAGCGTGGATGTCGGTAACGATATACCGTATAAACTGGTTGCCAAGACCATGGTCTTATAAGATTTGATTACACTTTCATCAATTTTTAACGTGGTCTTCAAGCGCAGGTGGTCTTGTGGCAGAGCATGGTCTTGGCAACCAGTTTATACGGTAGTGTTTAGCCTGGTTCGAGATAACAAGGTAACTCGTGGAGAGCCGAGCATGATCAACGATGCAGGATCCATAGACTCACAAATCTTGGCTCAAGTCCACATATGAAGGCGGCGCCGCGGACGCGGCAGGATTTTCGAGTTTCAGCGTCCGCATGCGCTTTTTACTTCGACAAACCTCGCCTGCCGGGTGGGGGGGCAGTGCAAAGTGGATGTCTCAATGATTACGAAGCCGCAAACGATGTTGACACCCGTCAAAGACGATCTAAGGGCTCGTTCTCTTGCTCCCATCTGAAGTGAAAATTATCAGACCCGGTTGGGCCGGTGGGGGAAGTCAGACGGTTTAGAGGACCTCGAGAAGTCCTCCAAACCGATCTGTCGGAAGCAGCCCCCACGCTCTTGAAATAAGTTGGAAAAACTCCAGATGGGAGCAAGAGAACGAGGCCTAAGCCGAGATGTTTGCCTTGTGATCCAGGCCACCAAGGACCGGAACCTGTGCGTTCACTTCGGTATGGAGATAACCTGGCCGGGTCCCTCATGGTTCTCGAGATGTCTGATTTCGTTCGAATTTCTCTAGTTTATTCTCTGCAGCATCAGAAAAGTCGGTCGCCGAACGCCCATCCACATCTGTACGCGCGTGATTATATTACAAACGCTGTATAGTTCGTCTGTCATGTAGCTCGTAATTCGTCTTGTAACGAGGTTCTGTCCTCCAATTGCCAACAGCCACTCTTCACATCATCTCAACGTCGCGGCTCGAGCCGTGATGCTTGTCACGTCGATCGCGTAGCTCTGGGCACCGACGACGATGATTGATGAACCAATTACTGACCTGAGTCATGCTGATACCAGTAGCCTGAGCTGTATGTCAGCGTTTGCATCATGTCGGGTTTCTGGCAGACTTACCCGCGAAAAGAGCGCTTTCTGCTCCTCGCTAGGGTATGGGTTGGTTATGTTCTAGCAGGGGATCAGCGATGTAGCACAGCCATCCTAGGACGACGCGTATGCTTACTTGATCGAACCACGTCTTCATGATCTCGGTCGACTGCTTTGGTAGGTTACTTCTCTTTCTTGCTTTGCCCTGCTGATGGTCGTACTGGCTTGGCATGAAGAAGGACGAACGTGCCACTTCATAAGGAGAGTGCTGGTATTGGTGTGCGGCCCGGTATCCTAAGCCTTCCAGATGAGGTTGGTACGAGTCTCTTCGCATAGGTTGCGGATCGTTCATGGGCGGGTAGGTATAGCTTGCTGGAGGACGTGGCTCGAAGGCCACGCTACCACGGTGCCTGTCTGGCACGGCTTGTATAGGTACTCTTGTGGGAGAGCAGCGCGTTTGCGTTTGGCTGGGATCGGCGGACGAGTACGGTCTGTATTGTGCCTCTTGTGCTGAGATCTGTCCGGCTGTATAGTAGTGGTGGTCACTGTTCCCTCTGTCCATAGAGGCCATGCCCAAGTCGAAAGTGGTAGGTGATGCGTGCTCAGATCTCGAAAGCCTCCGATTCGGAAGCTCTGTAAACTGCACAGAATAGCGACGAGGATCTTCTTGCTTAGGACTTTCGTTGACGCGTCGACGTGCTAGATCTCTGCTAGACTGTACCTCAGCAGTTCGCGAGATTGATGGACCGTTCAGCAAAGAGCCCACAGACCCACGAACATCCCGAATTGGACCGTCACCGTCGTTCGCAGGCTCAGTTCGTTGTTTCTTGTTGGGGTAGAATGCAAGAGGCTTATAAGTCGTAGAAGTGAAGACCGGTTCACGAGGGCACGGTTGAAGTGGTGCCGCGAACTCAGTCGGCGTTTGTGGTGGGCTGGACATAGTTTGTCCCAGTATCTAGAGATGTCAGATGCTGCTTACGTGGTACAGTGTGCTCAACAAACCATTTTCAGAGGAGGGAGAGATTGCCTGTGCGGTTCTGTTCCTCTGTAAGGTGGTGAATGTGGTGCGGATTGACGACCCAAAGGAATGTCGAAAGGCTTCAGTTCGAATGGACTATTTGGCGTGGTCATCGACTGCCCCTGGCGAAACTTGCCGCTGGCAGGTCTCGGACGTTTTGCATCGCTACGCCCATTGACCTCGCACTCAGCTTCGAGCGCATCATCGCTGGAACGGGATGCCTCTGGTGTCGGCAATCTAGAGAAAGGCCGGCGTCGATCTTGTGGAGATGATTTTCGAGACCATGCTCTACCATCCTTCAGAGTGAGGTTCTCCATAATAGCAGCGTTGTTTCGTGAGCGTATCGTCCCAAACGTGACGACAGCGTGAATGAGGTACGGCCTGACGTGATGTCGCCAGAGCAGAAGGACCACGCCGTTTCCTGGTCGGACGAATCCTCCTGTCGTAGCGCTGGGAGAATCCAAATCGTGCGCAGTACAAAGAGTGTCGTTTGCACAATAAGAGTGCAGCCAGAGTAACAAGCTGCACTGCTGTTCGCAAGTTCTGAGAAGCCGGCGTAGGATGAGGACCCGTCAGCCCCTCTCGTCGTCCAGGATAAAACGCTCGTCAGTGGAGGTAAGACCGAGATGTGTTCCAACGGGATTGACGATCCAAATTGTTTCCTGGACCAATACTGCAATCCACGAAGCAGTAATATGGACCTTGAATGCTGCGAGGCTGTGGAGTTGAGGCGGTGCGAGTGATGATTGTGCCGACTAGAACAACTCTGAGGCACAGAAGCCAAGTGTTGAGTATCGCCGTATGCAGGTCATCGCGGTAAATCTAAACGCGCATTCGGACGAGACGTAGATGCATACTTTAGAGCCGAGTCAAAACGCAGGGAACGCAAGGGTGAGGGTCCGAGCGAGAGGTTAACATCTCTGTACCTGGGTACTACCGGTACTACCATCATGGGAACAGCGTGGACCCAGCTGTAACGGCCCGCATGGCACAAGGCCCATGCGAGCACCGCGACCATCGCTGACCAGTAGTATCCTCCTAGCCGGAGAAAGGTGGGTGGCAGCTCTGCTTTTGACACATGCCTAGAGGGCGAGTCCTGAGCGGCAGGCTGAAGAAGCATGCTTACCAGTCTGGGACATTGCGAAGCCGGGAATCTCGTCACGGTACTCAACACGCGTGGCGCATGGAGACCTGTACAGATACGATCCATAGTTGTTATGGACCGATGTCGAACAATTTGCGCCAAGCAAGGAAAGATATAGCTACTGTTCGCTATCGAGTGGAATCTGTTGACCACGTATTGCCAATGCAGGGTATTGCTCGCTCGCCGCCTCATGTTGACAGCGATAGATAGCTTCACCCTCGTATTGATTGGATTTCTCTGAGCGGCGAGGAAGTCAGCATGTCCGCAACCGCTAGCCGGACGCCTCACGAACTAGGTTCTCCGCAGAACGCCGAGCATGCGTCTGAATTAATATTGTCGCTCCGACCGCTCGATCATCATAGCTTCGATCTACGGTGCCCGTCTGCTTTCTGCTACGGCCTTCTGGATCTGCTCCACACGGACGTAGGGGGCTAGAGTGACAGCTAATAGCCTACAGAGACGCCACTGTCACTTCAAGCCTGTGGCATACTTTGCTTGGCGTCAGCTTTGATTAATTCGGTCCTCCGCGCGAGATGGGTCCCGACCATGATTGAGCTGCAATAGCCAAGTGCGCGATGCAACAACGGTCCCACCGACCATGCCGTCCGCGTCTCGTAACCAGGTTGCTGGCTCCTGCTATACGCACGGGGCCGGAAAGACAAAGCCTAGCCGCATGGGTGTGGTCACTGTGGTGTGAGAGGTTGACGGCAGCAGGGGTAGGGTTTGAGCTCTGATTTTTGACATGCCGAGTTGCCCGCGTGCTACTGGGTTCACCGCTGCGCCAGTGACGCAACTCTCACGCTCTACACAGCATAGGTCTCTTGGCCTTGCTGATCTCACCCGATGGACCGATTGATCGATGTGCTGTACGCAAGATCAGCCGTAGACGCCCGGCATGCACTGTTCGTCTCCGGCCATAACGTGATCATGCTACTTGTGGCCGCTCTTCGGGACAGCATGAGCCGTAGTGCTGACTGCCCAATGACAGCGGCAACCATAGATTGATCCGCACCACAGTAATGTAGACAGACGTCGTCCGATTGGTACAATATTAGCAGATGGCGTGCGATTACCATCGTCACGGATCTCGGGGGGTTACTCGCGATCTCTCATTCTAACCTCTCCTGGCCGTAAATTGACCCGCATCGCATCCAGGGTGACTTCTGTTCACGGACCAACGTTGCGTCTCAGACTGCTTCAGCAGTGAATCAGGCACGAGTTGGTGGCGTCAAACTCGCGCGTCCCTGAACTTTCAGTAGCCCAGCCCAAACATTCACCTCAAAGGTGAGCTTGTCAACCATCGATCACTGAGCAGACTGCTCTGAAGGTCGACATGACAATGCATGCGCTTGTGACTAGCCAAGCAGCTACCAGCCGAGCATGTGCGGACCGTGCAGGGCTCACCAGGACACATCACCACAATCTGGGACGAGGATCTCGTGGCTCGGGACATGCTGTGCGCCATGTGGCTTGAAGGATCAATTTTCCTTCCTTCAGAAATGAAAGCAGTCAAAGGATGCTTGTCGTTGTGCATGCTCAACTACCCGCCACCTGTCTGCACCACTTGCAGATCCTGCAGAATCTTGGGTTGCATCGCCTGCAAAAACACATATTCACATTCATCCTCATGGTGCCAAAACTTCACCGACCGAACAGCCGGATCCCCTTCATCGCGCACAGACTTCGATGGCCATTTGGGCTCGATCGCAGCTTACAGCATGCACGAATACAGGGTCCCCATTGCACGGCTCATCGCTCATGTGAGCGCATCTTGGTTCGCCTGTCTGTCCACCCGGCTCACATGTCACCTAACCGCTCCCAATGACCAGGCGTAGGGTCATCCCCTCATCCCAAGCATGTCGCTTCTTACCGATACTCTGGGGCCCAATGCAGTGGCACTGTCATCCCCAACCCTGTGTGAACTTCATTTGTGCTTCCTCAGCTTTTGCGTTGTAGCACCGCGCAGCTTTTGACAAGTGCGAGGCTTGCGATAAGTAGGATGCCTGTACAACAAAGATTTTGACATTTCCATGTGTCACGACGCGAAGTTGACCGATGGCCGGGTGGGCCTTATGATTTGATAAGTAATGCTATCATGCTATACATCTGCACCTCCCCATCATGAAACGCATCCATAACGATCTTTGTTTTCCCTTCACCTCAACAATGCAAGGCCGCTGTGCAACTACAACGCGAAATGCAAGACTGCCAAAAGCGTGAAGCACAGCGTCGCATGTTTGACACCAGCTGACCCGGCGCCGGACGTGCTCTGGTTTTGCACTGCTGTCGAGGTGGTCGTTCGACCCACAGGATTCGTTACGCCGTTCAAGCGGTCAACAGTTGCGATTGCCGGTCCGGCGTTGAAGAAATCGACCAGGATGAAGGTGGGTGCGCGGCCGTACTCGCTGGTGCACTGCGTCGCTGCATTTCCAAGGCTTCCGACACCGCCATTTTCCGAGTTCGTGACTGAGAGGTATGTGTCGTTCGGAGTCTGGATGCCAAACACTGCCTGTTCGTACAGAAAGTGGTTCATCAATGGCATCATACCCGACGAGAGCGCACTGTTGGTGTTGTTTCCTAAACTTGTTGGTCGATTCGCCGTACAGGAGAAGCCAGTGAGGTCCGTTATGTCATAATTATTCTCGAATATGTAGGTGAACTCGTTCATCAGATAAGGAGCAGCTGAGTTGCTGCTGAGATCCGCAACGAAGTTTACAAGGCGAGTCCCATCGTTGATCAAGGTTTGCAGCGTTGGCCATTGTGTGGTCGCCCTCGAGCTTGACGGTTGATAGGCTATATTACTGATGCCGGCGGCCTCGTACTCGGCAGCCAGATCACTGGCAGTGGCACTAGCACCATTGACCAGCAGAATCGTAACGACCTCGTTCGGATTGATTGTCAACCAAGTATTGACCTCGCTCAACCAATCCCGAAGACGACCAGCATCTAGCAGGGAACAGCTTGTGTGGCAAACGTTCAAGGTCCCAGCACTCGAATTTGTCTGCACCTGTGCGCTCAATAGACGGACGCCAGCAGACAACTGCGCGGTGGTGTTGAGGTACTGGTTGCCGCTGACATCGTAACCATTCGATGCATCACGGATGAAAGGGCTATCGTGGGCTCCTAGGTGAGTGATGTTGTCGTAGGCTCGACTGCAGAGAGAAGGAGAATTGTTGCATGCTGTAGAGGAGTTGCTGCTTGCTGCGTAAGCTACCCGCAGAGCAGCGGGAAGCAGCAGTAACTTCTTCATCGAGATCCCAAGCATGTTGGTCGTAGATGCCTGGCTAATAGTGAGTGTGATACACCGTTGATGTGTGTGTATGGAGGCTGGAAGTGGCAAAACGTGATGACAGGAAGATGTGAAGAATACCAGAAAGAAGGTAATGGCAATACCTTTCTACCCAGCACTTACGAAGCTGTGGATCAGACTCGCCAGCAATAGGTCTTTCCAAAGCCGTGTCTCTCATCATCCTAACTGCGCCTTCTGTGGATTTCGTCTTGGTTGTCGTCAGCTGCTACCCAGAAATAGCCGCGGACCCGAGTACAAAGCGTGGCGCCACGTAACATGCTGCTCATCCAGGAATCTCTCGTTGGAAAGGAAAAGTCCTGCAACAAAACCGCTTGGATATACCGTAGGCAATGTCGACCTTTCAGTGCTCGAAAGCGTGATGAGGCTGAGATTATGTCGTCGACTCATGTCTGGACGACCACGTGATGACTAACCTCATGCGGGATACGCGAACCATCGGCACCTCTAAACCGGAGACGGCTGTTGATCGTGGGACAGCAGGGCGACGAGTGGACGACAGGAGTATAATAAAGTGCTGACGCCAGATGTGCGCTGCCAGTTCGCGAGCCAAGCGCCACAAGCGCTTTCAGTGTTCCGAAAGCCGGTTACGAGGCCGGCACTCGCTGTTTGAGACACTCATGTGGCCACCACACGCTTGACAAATACTACCTCAGTATAACAGCTGCAAGTGTGACAGTGGCTTGAAGCTTGTTCTCGTGCTAAGTGGAGAGCCATAGCCTATAGGTATGGTTTCTGACTCCCTGAGAGCACTGTGGAATCATGGTACGGTATCATTTGATTTGGGTCGTAGTCCGTGAGGAACTCGTGGGCTATCTAACTAAAGCGGAATGTCAATGGCCGTTACTGAAGCGAATGGATGGGAAACAAGAAGAGCACGCTAAACCAAATCCACCAAAGCAACAAGCAGTCTCGATAGGCCGTCATCCGTCTTTCCTTAGGCACACCATGTACTTCTGTCGATGTTTCGCAGGCTTTAACTCTCTTTTGAACATTCTGTTCCAAACGACTCACACCTGCCTGTATCCGAAAGGAGATCTCACTTCGTGTAGACATAGCACCTATGACACTTGATGTGCTTGTTGCAGATACACTGGTCGCGGACGAGAGCTGGATTGTTGGTATTTCGACAAACGCAGCACACCCTGCGCAGCATGGTCAGTATTGTCAATTCGGATGGGCCACGAACGACGGAAAACACCTACCAGTACCCAACTACACTTGGCTGATTTGGTGGCGCTCCACCTCGGCCACTGTGACTGACACCCTGCGATGTACCAGAGGAGTGATGGTGGCTGTTTGTCGTCTGGTCGGGTGCTTGGCATTCAAGAGTGCGGCCGCGATGCTCCTCGTCGTCCTGGTCGTGCGCGATATGAAGAGCAAGTGCAGCGCCCATTGTGTCTAATGTGTCTGATATCCGCGGGGAGATATGCGTGATGTGAATGTTCTCCTAACGTTCTTTCGAGGTATGGCTTCTCTTGGGCGGTGGTGATGCTGAGGTCTGGAGCTGGTGCTGGATAAGCCTTTGCAGTGAGCTGGGTCTTGGTGCTTGATATATCCAGCGCAGGTCATTGTAACAGGCATCTTGTCGCCTTCACTTACACCAGTGCCTTCACATCACCAGATTGACAACGCCCTTCAGGTACAAGGGTATAAAGATTCGTGGCACTGTTGGAGCCAGAAATCCCACTGCGCCTGGTTGAACAAGAGCTCAAATCACCACGGCAGCACCGACGGACCAGTATCATGCTCGATGACGATAAGCCCTGGAGAAGACCACAGACCGCCGTCAAGGGATGGCGGTTATCTGCAGGGGTGAAGTAGGGTGGTGCCTATTGCTTTAGCACAAATCGATCGCATCTCAATCAAAACGAGATGACAACCACACTAGCGCTATGCGCATCTGTCCTCCAAGTGAACGGCAAGGAGGCGCTGTATTGCAAACGCCCTGTACTAACGTTAGCCACGTGGGATGGCATCTATGTCCATGACTCAGTACATGTCAACGCCACTCGACAGCCCTATTGTATGCGCATTTCTTACAGGTCTCTACGACATGCTCACTGTAGTCATGACCTGGGCGAAGTATGCCAGGCGTATGGAGGCGACATTACTGGAGCGCTCGTCATTCAAGCTGGCTGTGAACACTCGATCGATACGCTCTCGTCAACCTGCGCCACCGCATCGCGACAATCTCAGCACATCAGCGGGCGACAACAGGCATGAAGAAGTGTCGTAGTCTTCCGAAATTGTGAAAGGCCGTGGAGGTGAAAGTTTGTGTTCAGTTTCGAGCACAGTTTGCGAAACTCTCCGTGACTTCAGCGCTGCGCCACAGGATTTTTGGCTGGCGCTCTAGTCACCCTCCAAATGGCGAGAAACAATAGGCGCCACGCTCCGAGACAAAGATCGTAACGCGACTGCCCGATCTGGCTTGGATATGTGCCGGGGCTTCGAGCATGAAGTACCATGTATCCCGCGGGATACCACAATACAATGGCGCGACAAGGGCATAAATTCTTGGCCGCATAAGGCAGAAAGCCAGCTGGAGTTGATCCGCGGTCGAACAGCAGTCTTCGTAGTGGCAGATCCCTGGAATGAAAGTGCTAAGGACCGTCGGGGCGCAAGCTCCTCAGTGACAGGATTGAACAGCATATTCGAATTTACTATCTTCGTTCCGAGGCAGTGTGGGCGGCCTCCTGTTGATGAGGCCAGTCCGCTGTCCTTCGGGGAGCTGACGTGTTTCGAAAATGCGAGGCTGCTTGTAGAAAAGGGCGACACAAAGTCAGCAGACAGGGCCGTGACGCCGCCGGTGATACACTGCCTTCATACGACTAGGTCTCTGGACATCTGAAAGCGTCGGCGCAGGCGGAAGCATCGCTGGATAAAAGGACACAGGAAGTTTGTCTCGAGCAAGTTCGCCTTTTTTTTGCCTTGATGTCGCCCTACATGATCTCATGACCTGCATCCCCCGTGGCAGCTGTTCGAACGAGCGCTGGAGTCCGTGAAAGTACGTTTGACCAGCAACTGCTCATTCCCTTGGCTTCCATTGTCATGGCAGACGTGTAGTGGCGCTTGTAACGAAACGAGGAAGAAACTGCTGGCTGTCTGATGACGGATACACAGGCTCCTCTGTTCGGGAATGCTCTCAGTAAATGGTTGACACTCTCGGTGGCCGCCAGCTGCAAGGACATCATGTCTACCTTGTAGTGTCGTGATGTGAATATTGCTGTTGATGTTGAAGTTGTCAAGCGCGTGTGACGTGAAGCTGCGGAGCGGAGAGTCCCGGACGTGGAGAAGACGGAACGAGCTGGAGATGGAGATGGATGTTTCAGAAATTACATACAACACGGGCTAAGAGCCATAACAATACCATACCCCGACCTTACCAGCGATATCCTTGCGCACGTTGCATTGGAGAGACCACGGACCTGGAGTGAAAAGGAGCAAGCAGAAAACAGACACTCGACCATCGAGTGGAGCGCGCGAGGTTGCGCAGCCTATCGGCCCAATGTACCACGCGATACCTGTCTTGCGCCAATAGCAAGACTCTAGCGTAGCGACCACAACACTACTCCCAGTCCCCTCAACAGGCTGCTCAGTGGAGCCTACCACAGCTATGGCATTCAACTTCAACTGGTCGCCGCTGATAGCGGATACTGACCGGGTACGCGATATGCTCACCAGCTCGTTGAACAAATCGCCGAAGCCGCCCATTATTGTAGACGATATCCTCGTCAACGAGCTGAACCTGGGATCGACACCACCGGAGCTGGAGATATTGGAGGTTGGTGACCTGGCAGAGGACAGGTTTAGGGGCATCTTCAAGATGAGCTATACCGGCGACGCGTACTTGACGCTGAAGACAAGGGTACAGGCGAACCCGCTGAACACTTTCCTGTCCACGAAGCCAAGCTTTGCGAGTCCGCAGCCGCTGGCAGCGAGTAGTGGCTTGACTATACCGTTGCAGATCACACTATCAGATATCCGGTTGTCCGGGTTCGTGATACTTGTGTTTTCCAAGCAGAAAGGTATCACGCTAGTCTTCCGGAACGATCCGCTGGAGTCGCTGAAGGTGTCTTCTACATTCGACTCGATACCATTCGTGCGGGATTATCTCCAGAAGACGATCGAGAATCAGCTGAGAGTTCTTTTCATGGAGGACCTGCCGGCTATCATACACAGGCTGTCCTTGCGCATGTTCAATTCTGAGCTACAGCCAGCGGACGACGCGGAGAAGGATGCGACCAACGACCAGGTACCAATCGATCCGTTGGCGAGCCCAGCATTGCAAGCCATGGACGGCTCTGGTGATGCTTTCGATGCGGCCCCATTATCGCTCGACACACCCACAGAAACATATGCATCTTTCTCACAGAAGAACCTGCTACGACTCGCTGCTTTGAGCGAAAGCCAAAGAACCCTCAGTCTCTTCACACCCGGGATGCGTGATACCGTCTTTCGTGCATGGGCGAGTGCAGCAGATCGAAACGAACCCAGCAACGGTACGCATACACCTCTACATCGTCCGACATTGTCTAGGATGCAATCTACCTTGGGTGACCAAAGTGCATGGTCATCATCAGCGCCATCACAAACGTCTGAGGCAACGTCTGCTGCCTCACGACCATCACTTGCCAGTGCAGCGACGATGCCAAGCACATATACCCTAGGCACAAATAGTTCTCGCACGCGACCACGAAAACGGAAACACCGAATCGTCAACCTGCGCAAAGACAAGACACCTGAAGACGCGACAGACGGCACGAGCGTATCAAGCGGTTACAACGATAGTGCAAGCAGAAGCGCAGGCACGTCTGCTGAGCCAAGCATGGCGGAAACCGAACCAACGACACTACCAAGCTATATCTCTCGAGAAGGCGAGATCAGTACACCACCGCGAAGTCCGAAGAAGAAAGTCGACTTCAAGGCTTCGTCCGACGGAGGCCAGAACCACGACAGAAACGCCACAATACGTGCTCGACCCGTCACACCTCGCAATACCGCCGTCCAGCTCAACGTAGACAACGACCCAACACCCCGAGCGTCAATGTACCTGCCAGAGAAGCAATCGCAAGAGCAACGACCACCGCTTCGTCGTCAGCCGCTGCCACGAATGCAGACTGTACCCACTCCAGTCCACCGAGCCCAACTATCTCGGTCGACGTCGGAGCTCAGTTTGCGAGGTATGCCGCCAGCTTTCGAAAGTAGTACGGGAGGTATACTTGAGCAAGCCTGGATGATGAAGATGGCAAGTGAGATTGCTAGAAAAGTGTCAGAGGAGAAAGCTAAGCAGGGGACCTGGCGGCTCAGAGGTAGCGGTAGTAGTGATGATGGCTTGCAAGTCGGTGGCGAGGCGCCGCCGGCTTATGTTTCACGAGATGGATTTGCTCTTTGATTTTCTAGGGTTGAAATTTGAGCAAGGTGTTTGGGTATCGGTGGCAAAAACGGAGTCGGTAGGCAATGGACGGCCACGACATATAATCCATGACCATGACGGCGTCACGATCCTCCCCGACTACGGCTCTACTACGCTAGATCAAGACAGGGACAAGCTTCTCGAAGCGTTGTATTAGCGTCCGAAGCTCAGCAGGCACTCTACTACATTAATTGATCTTCAAACATCATATCAGTGATATCATGACTACTCATCCTGTGCAAGCAGATCCTCCACTGCTTTCACCTTATCTTCGAACCCTTGCTTCTTATCCGTTCGAGTCCCGATGCGGATATCACTCTGTATCCTCACCACCCCATTGGCATGAACAAGAGAGTGGCACTGGCCAATGATGGTCATGCATTCGTCCCAGGATCCTTCTATCAAAACATGTGTCGTCGTTAGTAATTTCACAATTTTCTGAAGTAGTTTTGGTTTGCTGGTAAGAGAAATAATGTCGTACCAATTGTTGTTCCGGCAGAATGCATACTATACTTCACCCCCGACTTCTTGAGTAGTCGCTGTACAGCTGCTACCTCTTTCGAGACGGAGGCGGTTGGTGTGCCTATGGGCACGAGGCAGAAATCTTTACGCTAGTGTCAGATTATGCTGATTACTTGCACTTGGTTTGGAGGCCACGTACCTGCCACGCACGCCGACGGCGTTGGCAACTTGCTGGGATCTTGCTCTGCCATTGTGGTTAAGATGTGGCGAAGTTGTGGTGACGAATCCATTGCATGGTTCGGGGAGAAGTTGCGAATGCGGAGGGCGAAGCGGGAAGTTGAGTTCTAGGTTCAGGATCGAGACTTCTCTTCTTCTCGCACATCGTCACTTCGAGATTTGGGTGACCTATCCCAGGTATATCGGGGTGTTGCGACGTGGCCCAGCACGCGCGAGCAGGGACGCGTGAGTGCTGCGACAATGGTCGGTTTACGAGATCTAGCGATTCCTCCCAACAAGAGCTCAAGGCTATCTGATACAGCAGATCACGAGCCCACCTCAGCAACAGCATTATCTCACATGCCAGTAGAATATGAGTCAAGAGCCTCCTTTGAGCGTAACGGAGTTGTTCTACAACGTCCGCCGTACCGCGAACGCCGAGAGCGTCGAAGACACTGAAAGCGATGCCCTCTCGTTCGAGAAGGACGAAGTATCTACAACCGTCTACTACCGCGAGGCCACGAAAGTAAACTGCGTCGTCTTCACCAGCGAACCTTGCCACGCCAACAACGGGACACCGCTCAACCTAGAGTATGTGAACGAAGGCGGTGCGAACATCATCTTCCGCTTCCTACCCCAGGGTGCCGAAGCGAAGCTCCCTCGCAGACTTCAAGGCAAACTCCTACGACTCCCCAAGATCCCTCTCGAGCCTCCTGATATGCACTGGAACCCCGAAGCCTACTTTCAGATCCCTGCGATGGAACAGCATGAGTACTGGACTGAGATACTAAGTCGGGAGGCAGTGCTGGATCTCGAATCCGTGACCCTGTGGCCCACACTCGATAAGCTGATAAACTTCCATCTCGGGAACGCAGCACGTACAGAGAATCGGCGATCGACAGAGTGGGAAGGCGGAGCGGTGGGATTTCTGACCACGGATATGACTGCTGGAGAGGGCGAGGAGCTGCACGAGTTCAAGCCTAAGTGGTTGGCTCAGTCCCCCAATGCGCCACGGCATGCACGGCGGTGTCGGACGTGTGCGCTACGAGCCAAGCGGGCTACGGAAAGTGTGGTGACGAGGACTGATAGACAGAGTCTCTGTCCACTTTACCTGCTTACCGTCCTCGGTCAACGTCACGCAGAGCGGTTCACAGACAACCCGCATCAGCTCAACTTCATCACCAAGGAAGCCCTTCCCGTCCTCAGAAAGCTGCGGGAACATCAACTAGACAACGATACGGTCGGCATCCTAGACGTCTGGCAGAAATCTATGTCGGATGCTACCCCTGTCAGGAAACTCGCACGGGCGATGACATCACGGGATTGCACGATCTACGGTCGTTGCAAGCAAGACGGGACGATTGAAGTTCGGGTTGGCGATCTCGATATGAAGCCCCCAGCGGTCGGATGGCCGAAGTGGGCTGCGATTGAGAAGGGGTTGCGGGATGGAGGGTGGTATGATGGGCTGGATGATGTTTGTTTGTTGTCGAATGAGGAGGATATGGCGGTTGTGAAGAGCTGTTATGAGCCTGATCTTCGCAGGGCTGTGTTTCGGTGGACGGAGTAGATGGTTTTTGGCCGAGACAGTTGCTGTGGGCTGTTTATGCTATAGGTTATTGAATTGCTACAAGTAGTTATAGCTACGAATATTAGATGCTGTGGAGCATGTTCATGTCTACGGAACTACGATAGAACCCTTCTCAAAGCAGCGATTTGGCTACCTCCAAAGCCTTATAGCCTGATACCTTATCTATCGTTTGCGGATCTACCCTAGACTCAGCGTTCCTGAAACCCAGTCAGCGAGTTCAGGGTCCCGCTCGCGCCAGATATTTCGTGGAGAGGCCTCGAAGTGGCATAGTCTCACTTCTTTCGCCATTGACAATCGCTTACCTTCCGCCGCCTCATTATATTTCCTGGGTGAGCCCGTGCAAGGTACTGCAGTGAGGGACCTGGGTGAACAACACGACACTCGCTTAAGTCAAGATTGACAGGGAAGATATCGCTGGGCGGGAAGAACAGATTGCGGGGAGATACGACGAGGGAGATTTTTGGGCGGTGTGTGTGTAACCAGCAGCCATTGGGACCGATTTGCGGAAGGCAGAAGGAAGGAGAGCGACGACGACGACGACGACGACAGACACAGTAGAAAAGGAGGATCGATATACGACGATAGACGGAAAACACCATTGCGATACAATATATCAGACCAGTCAATCATGCTCGTGGAGCCCTCCACCACAACAACGACAACGACAACCACGACATCCCTATCCTTCAACGAGAAGACGACTCTGGAACCACCACACCAGCGGGAGCCATACACGCCTCCACCGCACAAAATGACACACGTAGACGACATGCCCACCACCGACATCACACCCACATCCACCCCCACCCCAACACCCGCCAAACGACGACGACGCAGCAAACCCAGCAAGCCCACATCCTCCACCTCCACAACCGTAGACAGTCTCTGGAACATGCTCCGCAAAGGCATAGTGCAACACCAACTCGGCCTAAGCGTGAACCTCATGCTCCTAGTCCTCCTCCTCTACATCGCCTTCCCAGCTCTCCGGGAGAAGATGACCGCCTTCTTCGGCCTCTCATACCACAACCCCACACCCACCAGCTCGCGGATGTACGGCCAAGGACCCCGAGACTTATACCTAGTAGGAAGTTTCATCGTCCTCTTCACGGCCCTCCGCGCCTTCAGCCTCGACTACTTACTATTACCACTAGCAGGCTACTGCGGCATCGCGAAAAAGAAAGACCGCATCCGCTTCGCGGAACAGAGCTACATGCTCCTCTACTACGCCACCTACTGGACCTGGGGCCTGATCCTCTTCCTCCGCAACACCCCCTCCACAGTCACCGGCCTGGAATCCCTCCTCATCTCCCTCTGGACCGACTTCCCCCACCTCCTGCTCGGCCCGGGAATGAAATTGTACTACCTCTCCCAATTCGCCTTCTGGATCCAACAAGTCGCGGTGATCCACCTGGAGGAACCGCGGAAAGATCACTATCAGATGCTCTCGCACCACGTCATCACTATCGCTTTGCTAGCGGGCTCGTATCCGTACAGGCAGTGGCGGGTTGGTAATGCGATCTTAGTCTGCATGGACCTGGTGGATTTCATTTTCCCGGCGGCGAAAATACTGAAGTATTTGCAGTTGCAGACGGCGTGCGATGCGGCGTTTGCCCTGTTCGTGGTGAGCTGGTTGGTGAGTAGACATATTGCTTATGGAGCTATCTGCTGGAGTATTTATGCTCATGTTAATACTGTGACGATGGGATATGGGACGTACTCCACCCGGACGGGGGAGAGAGTTAATACCGATGGTGGGAGTTTAGTGCTGGAGAACCTTTTCCAGCCGATTCTGTGGCCGGGGAAGGAGACGGTGGGGTTTAATGCCCGGATTCGGTGGACGTTTCTGGGTTTGTTGGGCGCGTTACAGGGAATTACGATTGCGTGGTTTGTTATGATTGTTAGGGTTGTCGTGAGGGTGTTGAGGGGCGAGGGAGCGGATGATAGTCGGAGTGAGGCGGAGGATGGGGAGGAGGAGGATGATGAGGAGGACGTAGAGGTGGGAGAGATGCTGGAGGATGAGGAACTCGGGGTCGAGGATGTGCCGCCGGAGCAACCGAGTAGTCCTTTGTTGGAGCCGAAGGCGGCGGGTTGGCAGGTACAAGGGGAGAAGCCATCGCCGCGGTATATTGAGATCGAGGCGGATAGTACAGAAGACGTTCATACGTACTCGAAACATCGGAGTGCGAATGGTGGCGCGTCAGGGGCGAAGCGGAAAGCGAAGGGAATCTCTTCGGGGTTGAATTTGGGGGAGCATAAGGAGATTCTTAATCGGATTGGGTGTTTGAGTGAGGAGCAGTTGGCGAGGGAGAGGGAGATGAGGAGTGGGAGTGGAAAGGGTGGTGGGGGTGGAGGTGGCAGTGGGAGTGCTAACGGGAGTCCGAGGCCGGCGGGTAGTGGTGGGCGGAAGTGAAGGGTAATTAAGGGAAGATGGCGTAGGTGCGTGGAAAGCTCGGCTATGTCGGCTATGCCTTCTACATCAATCTAGATATGATAACAACGCAGCGAACGAAGATCTTAGGAGCACTTCGTCCCTCTCCTCGGCCATTTCTCCTTTCTGCGCATTACCTCGTGCCGCGCACTCTCCCACTTTCGGTCTGATTGGCTCGTGTATTTGCTCTACACGCAGCAAACGCGCTCTCGAGGCCCAGTCTCGGATCCGTGCAAGACGGACGGCCGGAGACGTGTGAGGTGGGATCTCTCCGATACGGACAGTGCTTGAGCTTGCGCTGACCAACGAGCTCGTGGAACGTAAGCTTTCTGTCGATCACGCTACTCACAGCGCAAGTTCTCGATGGTAGACCAATTTCTGAGGGACAGCCTGCGTAGTCGAGTCTATGATGATGATGCGGAGCTGAAAGGACTTATCTTGGCCTCCACCTCTCAAACAACCCCTTCCTCCCTCCTCCTCACCCCTTCCTTCCGCCTAACAGCAATCTCCACCCCTCTCAGCCGCTCCTCCCACTCCGCCCAATTTTCCCCCATATCTAGACACCCTTCCTCAACCCACGTCTGCACCGCCCGTGCACCTCTCGCCCTTAACACCTCAATATCCCGGTCCTGTTCCGCTTGCTTGGCTATTACTCTCTCGATCCGTGGACGCAGGGTGATGAGTTTGGTTAGCTGAGCGGGATCGGGGATGGAGTTTTGTTTCGTTGTCGTTGTTGAGGAGAGGTGGGTTAGGGATGTCGAGGTCTTGGTGTAGAGGTCGGTGTGGGAGAGGATTAGGGCGGCTAGTTGGGTTGGTGGGAGGAGGGGTGGGGCGTCGGAGGTGGGGTGGAAGATGGCGGGGTGAGTCGTTTGCAGGGCGAGGACTTGAGCTACGGCTGGGGAGCGTTGGGTGAGTTGGGCTAGAGTGCGCTCGAGGTGGTGGAGGCGTTGGGTTGCTGTGCCTGTCTTCTTGCTTGATTCTTCTGCTGGGTCGTCGCGTGTGATATTACTGCCGTTGAGTATGTAGTCGACGCGGCGGAGTCGTTCCTCTAATAAGGCCAGTGTTTCCGCCGCCGTCGCTTTCGCGTCTGCCATTATCGCCTGACGAGGATGTTGTCACATGTCAATAATAATAATGTCTATGGTATTAGTGTTTATATGCTGTATGCTGTACTTTCTTCCAATTCATATATCTAGCCAACCCTACCTCGGCCTCTCGTACTATCAGACAATCTCGCGTGATATTATTGCCGCTGTAACTTCCCAGACATAACCAAGACATTTTACAGATCTGCAGGAGACGAGAAAGTAGCCAACCGATCGCTGACCATACGCGACAGCAGAGCTAGCCTCAAATGCCGCCCATATAGCCCAAACACCTCCCACCAGCTACCCACCAGCTAACCCAATCCGACCCAACCCAACCCAACCCAACCCACCCACTCACACCTCCACCAACATGGCCTCCTACGCCGCCATCCATTCCACTCCCTCCGAACACTCCTCCCGCCCGGCGAGCGAAGCCTCTCAAACCCGCCGTCGCCACCCCAAATACACCGGCATGGGCGGAAATGCCTCCTGGCTGTCCTCCGTCATCAACCTCCTCAACACCATCGTCGGCGCCGGCGTCCTCGCCATGCCCCACGCCTTAAGTAACATGGGCATCCTCCTCGGCACTCTAATCATCCTCTGGGCCGGCCTCACAGCGGGCTTCGGCCTGTACCTCCAAACGCGCTGCGCGCGTTACTTGGACAGAGGCAGTGCGAGTTTTTTCGCGCTCAGTCAGATTACCTATCCAAATGCGGCGGTGGTGTTTGATGCGGCGATTGCGGTGAAATGTTTTGGGGTGGGCGTGAGCTATTTGATTATTATTGGGGATTTGATGCCGGGGGTCGTGAGGGGGTTTGGGGAGGTGGGGGCGCAGGAGGGGTATCTTTTGGATAGGAGGTTTTGGGTTACGGCGTTCATGTGAGTTGCAGACCTGTCTCTAAGAGGAAGGGATGGAAGGGAGAGGTTGGGCGAGATTGGTGCTAATTTTTGGTGGTACAGGCTCATTGTGATACCCTTGTCCTTTCTCCGCCGCCTGGACAGTCTGAAGTATACTTCCGTCATCGCGCTGATATCCATCGCTTACCTGGTCGTCCTGGTCGTCTATCATTTCAGCACCGGCGATACTCTGGCGGAACGAGGCACGGTCAATGTTGTGAAATGGCAGGGCCTAATACCCACCCTCTCCAGCTTTCCCGTCATCGTATTCGCATATACATGTCATCAGAACGTGAGCAACCCCCACCGATCACAAACGCGATGCATATACAGAAGAAAAAAAAGCATACTGATTCGAGAGATGTTTCTTTTGGCAGATGTTCTCCATCCTCAACGAAATCAAGACCAACACCCCGTTCCGCACCACCTCCGTCGTCACCGCCTCCATCGGCAGCGCAGCAAGCATCTACATCTTAGTCGCCGTAACTGGCTACCTCTCCTTCGGCGACAACATCATCGGCAACATCGTGGCGCAATACACGCCCTCTGTCGCTTCAACCATAGGCCGCGCAGCGATAGTCGTGTTGGTCATGTTCTCCTACCCCTTGCAAGTCCACCCTTGTCGCGCGAGCGTGGACGCGGTGAGTAAATGGCGGCCGCGAAGGAGTGCAAACGGAAATGGGAGTGGAAGTGGAGGCAACGAGGAATTCACTCCTGCGTCGGGGAGTCCAAGCCGGCATAGCCTACTCGGCCACACTCCACAGCAAAAATCACCTAGTCAGAAAGGCGGCAAGCCGGAAGAAATGTCCGAACTCCGCTTCGCCATCATCACTACGGCGATTATTATTCTTTCTTACATCGTCGCCATGACGGTCTCGAGCCTGGATAAAGTCCTCGCGTACGTCGGATCCACCGGCTCCACGTCGATTTCGTTCATTTTACCGGGGCTGTTTTATTACAAGATCAGTTCGCCGGAGTCGGCGGCGCATCAGCGGTTGTTGAAGGATGAGGATGATGAGGAGTATGACGGTTCTTCGAGCGGGGAGGAGTCGCCGCTGGAGCGATCTGGGTTTGGTGGTGGGAGTGGGAACGGGGGTTCGTGGCGCAGTGGGTTGGCGGCGAAAATGAGGAGGAGGGAGTGGAGGAGGGGGTTGTTGAGGAAGGGGAGTTTGGCGCTCGCGATATATGGGTTAGGGGTCATGGTTGTTTGTTTGGTTACTAACACGTTCTTGGTCTCGGCGGCGCATTAAGACGTGGCGAGGGATGTGATTGGATAGGATTGGCATATACCATCTCTTTTCCGCGAGTGCGTGTGGAGCGTTAGAGCGTTTGTACGTCAGGGACATGGGATGAGCTGTATAGTATTGCATTGCACTGCATTACATTGCATAGCCGCATATCATAGAGGCACGGCATAGCAGAGCATAGAATATGGCGGGGTATATACGGCCAATAGTCATTTGAGTCAGTCAGAGTCCAATGGACCATCTTTTTCCTTCATCATCACTGCAGATGTTCTACCATCGTTCCTCGTATACCGGCCCTGCAAGGCTCGCTAAAGCCAAGCAAACCAAAGCACGTCCTCCGTCCATTGTGAAATGGTCTCGTGATACCATGAGTGTTGTAGTCACTCCACGGCTTGGCCGGTCTGGTAGCCGCGTACCGGCACGACTAGCCCAGTTCGTAGGGCTAGGCAGATACTGCATCTCCTGATACGTTAATGGCATTGGCGCTGAACAGTTGATGGCACTCGTTGATCACGCCTAGTTCTCCCGCCGGCACGGTTGAGCGTACACAGCCGCTTGGCACGAAATGCCTCACCTACTCATTGCGGGATATACTACTATTACTACTACTGCTACGACTGCTGGTGCATAGATAGATTGCGGACCATGAGGCCCCTCGATAAAGTATCGTCGTTACTACCTACGTGGCCTACACATTTTAGGCACCAGTGAAGGAAGCCGATTTAGTAAGTCAATGTTCGTCAGACGAGGTGGATACGACAGCATCAGCATACATACGTCAGCAGCCCTACGCATTTACGTGACCAATGAGAGAGGCACTCGGAACAGAGTTGCGTGATTTTCTGGGCGTGCAGATGGCGGCTGGCCCGTAGCGTGATCCTTCTCCTGCAGGTCAGTAGCACGTTCGTCCAATGGCAGAGTGTATGCTTGTCTGTGCGTTGCTCTGCATCAGTGACATTTCTAGGCGGCGGTCAAGCCGACGGGAGTTTTAGTATGATGTGGTTTGGAGTATTTCGGACACCGGCATTGGGGTGCAACTTGGCTGGTTTTTGGGTATGTTGATCATGGGGTTCGGGTGGTGGTGCGTGAGCTGAGATGCATAGCTTGGGTTTGGTTTAAGATGTGCTGGTGTCCTGATCCTACAATGGTCTTTTGGAGCCCATCATTTCTTTCACGAACAGCAATCAGATCTTAAGCAGGACTCAACCGAAAGAACGATCGCAAGCACTTCTGTTGGCTGCATCATCACGACGCATGTCTTCTTCTTCTTCTTCTCCATCTACAACTACATCGGCAACGAGCAGCTCAACACAACGTGATCGATCAATGATTTCAGACCAGACCACAAGCACGATGTCCGCCTTGAAAACCAGGACGTTGAGCGATTCGCAAACCCGACCATCACTACCGAGCTCACCAAAGCACAAGCCCATCGTCAAGCGTCACAGCAGTCATGGCAGCGGCCACAGCACTGGGACCTTTTCTGAATGTGGAAGGCACAGCAATGATTGGCTGTTCCGTGGGATTTGTGTCAGGGACACGGTGAAGGGGTTGCTTCATCGTGAGAAGTGAGAGTCGGGTCGCAGCTGGAGATGTCGTATTAACCAGGCGACTGCCCTCGAAACCTTGATGCCGTGTCAGACGAGGTGAAGCAGTCATACGCCAGCAGGATGATGATTGGGTCAGTAATGCCATGAGGCAGTTTTTGCACTAGCGGACTAGCAAACCGCAAGGGCAGCAGGAATTCGAACTCTACGAATCCGGAACAGGGAAGTAAAGGCCACGGCTGATGGATAGTGTACAAGATGATGAGACTGAAGAGCAGGATGGTGAAATCATTCGTGACGAAATGAATGAGAGAAGAAGGTGACAGGCAGCACATGAATTGCTTGGATGTAGACTAACCAATGAGATTTGTCCTGAGCCCTTTCCTTTCCCCACTTTGCCGCTGAGCCGAAGCCACAACCGTGATGTCTGGGGATGAACCGAGGAGATGACCGCATGGAAGTGTGGAAGGTCAATCTTGCTGGCGGCGAGCGTACACTATCGACAGGACAGCGGCATCACTATATCCGTGTGATAGCAGCTTGTTGTTATTGATTGCTGAATCAATTGGGTCATCCACCGGGAACCAAGTATCGTGGGCTGTTCGTCGTCAGTCGTCGACATCGAAGAGGGTAAGTCGTGACATGCTTGACGACGAGTTCCTCAGCCAGGACTAATGACTAATGCATACCAAAGACGTGACTCTTCTGGTTTACCAGACCTGAAGAAAACATGTCTGAGGCGGGTGCGAAATATCGTAGCGATCTTGTACGCCACTTACCTGGAGTCGCTTGAGGGCATCGTGCTAACATCGACGACAAGGACTCTTTCGAAGCCTACCATGAAGTCCAAGACTCGCATCACTCGAATACAGGCCCAGCTCTTCCTGCTTTGGGCCATGCCGTTGCAGGCGCTATAGCGACAGCGTAAGCAACGACCTGCTGAGTGCGACTACTGGTGAGGCATGACCAGCTAACCAGCCTTGACAGCGGCTCCAAGGCGCTCTTATATCCCATCGAACTCATCACAACCAGACTCCAAGTACAAAGACAACTACGAGGCTCCAATGAAGCTCCATCCGCTGGTCGAGAAGCTCGCGCAGAATACAAGTCCTTCCTCGACGCAGCGCAGAAGATCTACCGCGATGAAGGACTCGGAGCATTCTACACTGGCTGTGCACCAGATGTAGGCAAAGGCATTGCTGACTCCTTCTTGTTTTTCTTGGCGTACTCGTATCTCCATCAACATCAGCTTCGCAAAGATGGGACGAAACACTTGTCTGTGTTCAAGGAGCTGGCTGTTGGTGGTGCTGCTGGCGTTAGTGCTAAGCTTGTTACGACACCACTGCAGAAGTAAGTCAAACCGCCATACAATGAGTCTTAAGAAAGTGCTGACGTCTGTTCTAAGCATCATTACCCGCCAGCAGACCGCCGCACTAGTCGCAGCCAGAGATCCAAATAACAGCAAGTCCCCCAGCGAAAGCGACAAACAGTCCATCCAGGAGATCGGCCGCCAGATCTACAATGAGCGAGGGCTAGCTGGTTTCTGGGCAGGCTACAGTGCTTCTGTCATCTTGACCATGAACCCAGCGATCACTTTCGCAGTCGACAATCTGCTGAAGCGCCTCCTACCTACACAACGTCGGGACAACCCGAGCCCGCAGGTGACCTTTCTGTTGGCCGCAATCTCAAAAGCCATTGCCACTTCGATCACATATCCCGTCATGCTAGCCAAGTCCCGCGCGCAAGCTGCCTCGCCAAGCAATGTTCCAAAGGCCGAGGGTACAGAGAAGAAAGCTCCTCTGCCTCAGATCCCAGGCGTCACTGTTGAGCGAGATGTCGCCGCCAATGTGCCAGTGTCCGACGACACCAAGGAGAAGGTCGATCATGGTATCCGACGTCTGCTAAGGCTCTTTAGCGCACAATATGCAATCTTCCTCTCTCTTCGCAAGATCTACCGGAATGAAGGTCTGGGTGGATTGTACTCTGGTATCGAAGGTGAAGTGCTGAAGGGGTTCTTGAGTCATGGTCTTACTATGGTTGTGAAGGAGAAAGCACATGTGCTCGTCATCCAGACTTACTACCTCCTGCTTCGACTGACGAAGCGATGGCCGGATGATGCAAAGGACATGGCCGCGGAGGCCAGAGAGCGAGTAGAAGCTGCTGGCACGAGAGTGGCTCACGATACGAAGACTGTGATTAATGATGTCAAGGAGCGATCAGAGAATGCTGCAGTGACGATGGTCGAAGGGGCAAAGCAGTTGTCGCAAGATGGCGGGAAGAACATTTTGAGCCAGATGCCGCAAAATGCCAAAGGCCTTACCGAGGACGTCAAAGAAAGGGTCGAGAGTGTCAGCACGACAGTCGCACAAGGAGCAAAGCAAGCTCTTGCGGAGGGCAAGAAAGCTATCTCGGGAGACAAAGAATGATGAGTGTGAATCATGACGGGCATGTCAGATTGGCTGTATTTTGGGCTTGCGATGTTGTCTTGTACTTTAGTATATCCTGCTCAGCGTATGTAGGAGATATTCACTTCAATGACATCATATTATTGCATTATCTCTTGCCGAGTTTTAGATATCGGCACATGTGATCATCTCCAAGCAGCCCACATAGCTCGCAAGCCACCCTTACCAGCCCACTGACTCAATCCTATCAAGCCTCCCACCACGACCGCAAAGGCAAGACCTCCAGCGAGAGCATAAGCACTCCCTTTCCAGCCTCGAAAGTCCGCTTCCAAGTCGCGCAGCCTGGCAAGGTCCTGCCGACGCCTGAGTAACAACTCCTCAGTGAGGTTATGAATTGCTTCGCCGACTAAGTGCGCCACCACTTCATCGCAAGGACAAGCTCGTGTCCCTGCCTCGTGAGCATGGTGCCCATTTTTCCGATGCTCTATCTTCATTGCTGTTCGAACAAGCAGGATCTGGCGTTCTTGGGGACGAGCTGCCAAGCGATACAGTCTCTGCTGAGCTATCGGCACGAGAGTTGGCGTCGGAGTCGTCATAATCTCGTTCAATCGGAGGATCTCCTAGGTCCCGCTGGGGTCCCTGTAGCTGCCTCGTCCGAGCAAGATGTGTTGAAGCACTTTTGGCTCCAGATGGCTGCTGCTCGCTGCTTTCATGAGGCTTCAAAGCATCGGGCGGCAAATCACCGTAGGACCAAGTGTGACGGGTCCTAGCGCCGAGATGAAACATGCTGTCCGTAAGCTGGTGTCCAGCGTCATTCATCCTTGGCATTTGAACGCGGTGGTCGATGGGTGATGTTGTACAGAGCCTGCAGGAAGTCTGCAAACAGAATGACTACAATGACATAGCCAAGTAGTAACTGAAATTGCTTGCCTTGCCACAGCCACTTAATGACTGGCAATTTGCGGAAGACAACTTCGCGTCGTGGCATGATCGTATGAGTGACTGCTGTTCAATGAGCTGCTCAGACAGCTTTCTTCAAGTAACCGAAATCAAACATCATCGGCTTAGCTCCAGCGATCTGCAAAGATCTTCTGGCGGCGTTGACTTCCTTGGCAGCAGTCAATGTACGATGCTCCCGATCCATCCATATCCTCGCCTTGCGCTTCTCAACCTGATGAGGATCGCTCCATTGATCAGTCGACAGCATTGCAGGTCTCAGGAACAATGCTCTCTTGATTTCCTCGTTCGCGGTAGCACCTAGCGATCCCACTCCGTCCAGTGTTGGCATCCAGCCTTGTGCTAAGTTGACGTAGGAGAGGTTCTTCCATGATGTGACGAAGGTTGTGAGTGACCCGCCATCATCGGTAATCGGTCTTTCGGTCCTTGTTCTCCAGCTTCGCGAAGAAGCAGGTCGCTCGACAGTAGCCAGCGTGCCCAATGCAGGCGACCATTCAGCACATCCTTCTAGATCAAGCCATTGCAGACATAATAGATTGTGACTTAATCTGCGCAGCAACGCTGCAGGTTCTGCGTAGTCCTGGTCAAGCTCTGAGTAGATGCTTGACCCACCAGCGGCGATATCGCGATTGTGCGGGCTCGCTATCGTAGCCGTAGCAAGATTCGGGGTCAAGCTTGGCCGCGGCCAGTAGGCAAGTGATACGTGTGTGAGTTGTGAAACATGCTTCGATAAGGCCAGAAGATCACGCCACGAAGCTGTAGAAGGGGGATTAGACAGACTTAGATGCGTCAGATTGGTAAAGGCTGAAACTGTGAGGTGCAGACCGGACAAATCCAACGACTCATCGTCCCATGCTTCAGCAAGGTTCCCAGATATGCCATCTACAGTCGTTGGACTTGATGACTCGAACATCCTCGCCAGCCTCTTCATCGTCAGAGTTCCATGTCCAGCTATACTTGCCAGATCCAGATATGTGAGTTCTTTACTGCCTTGCGTTAATGCTTGCAACGTCGCTGCATCAATGAGAGGCCCGTAAGATCCAATGTACGATAGTAATCGCAATCGCAGTCTCAACGGTATTTCGACTAATGCCGGATAATCTTCTTCGTCGAACAGATCCCATTGCTCAGCCAGACGCTTCATGGTCAGATGCACAAGGCCTCTAGGCTCAGTCTTCTCGTTGATCTGTTGCCCATCAACCATCCGTTGGAACCTAAGGATTGCTTTTGGTCGATCTAGCCTGACATATTTGGCCTCTGCTCTACCACCTCCAGCCTTCGAGGCACGACGATTAATGATACCAGGAGGACGATACCCGAGCCAACTTTGCGGTGGGGGCGGACCAGGCGTTCTCATCCTTTCCCTTAACCTGAACCCGATCTTCGGCCTCGGGGGCGCAGATTCTGAAATTCCAAGTAGTCCTCTCAGCTCCGGAGGCACTGACTTGAAGTTGACAGCTTCAGCGAGATCACGCTTCTTTTGTAGGCCCTCAGGCGTCTCAGTCATGCGCAGTTCACTCAGTCGCTCATTAACAGACGCTGCGGGTGAGTCACCGCCGGCACCATGATGACTGGAGCCGGCAGAGACGGGCGATGATGGGCCTTGATATGTCTTGAGGTTGAAACGGCCCTTTCTAGGCATAGACCTTGTCGGCAAGGTCAGTGTTGTCTCAAGAGAGTCTTCGTCGGATGAAGCCCTTTACGACTTGAGATGAGTCGAAGTGAGCTGTCTGCGACTAGAGTCGTCCGAGTTACAGCATGGAGGGATGATGTTGGTGGCGATGTCATCTCGACGCAAATACGTATGACTCAGCTTGTCAAGCTTCGAGTTGTAGCGAGCTTCAATTGTGGAATGATTGAGAATTGCATCATGAAAATGTAATTACATTCATCGCCACTGTAGGTCCAGCGCGTCGATCAACAGATTGCCATCATTACCATGCCATCTATCTTGATCCGCCCACCTACGTTCTCATCAGCCACTGCCCCGCCAGAATGGCAGTCCCCAACCGTGACCTGGCTAACAGAGACCTGGCACGTCACGCACTCCAGTCTGCCAATGTGGAAGAGCAAACGTAATGTCCGCATTCAGTACACACCACTTCCGCCTTCGGACTCGTCGATAGCGAGCGAGCATAGTGATCGCATCGATGACCTCGTGTCATACCAGAGCCTCGATGGAGATAAAGTCAGCACAGTACATGGCATAGACAAGCTGGCAGATAAGTCAGGTGATAGCCGAGATTCTTGGGACTGGAGAGGAAAGGGCTTATTGAAGGTCGCGAGTAGTCACTGGGAAGTGCTAGGATATGGCGAGGAAGACAATGGAAGGAAATGGGTGGTGACTGCATTTGCGAGTACCCTGTTCACACCTGCTGGTATCGATATATACTCTCAGCATGCCGAGGGTACGCAAGTCGAGACACTTGAGGAAGTCAGGGCCGCCCTGAGCAAGGTCGATGACAAGGATGTGAAGAAGATGGCTGCGGATCTGTTCGAAATTAAACGGGATGGTGCGAGGAAGGATTGAGTGAACGCGACAGCATATCAGAAATCTATACGTCGTGAAGCCCAGGCATTCGTCTGTGAGAAACATGCTTCATCCATGGGCGCCACGCAATTCACACAAGCCGCCCGAATTAGTGCTTCACCAAAAGCTTCCGCAGCTCTCCCTTGAACAACTCTTGATAATCCTCCTCCTCGTAGTCAGGGATGCTGTTTTGAGTACGACGCCACCACCCACGGTTACTCTTGGAAAAGTTCTCGTCGCCCAGCTCCAGGATCTTGACGCCGGCATCCTTAGAACCATTGGCCAGACCAAACCCTTCGAAGAAATAAACACCGTCACGGTAAATCTGACGGGCCAGGCCTTTGGGATCACGCCAGCCGCCGATGTTACAGTTGAGTGTGATTGATTTGAGATTGATGCAGCTGGCCAGGAGGGTGAAGCCGGTGAAGTTCTGGACAGGACCGTTAGTATTGGGCAGAATGTCCGGAAAAGGGATGGACGAACCATCGACTTGTGCGCTCCCCTGCCTCGTCCCCATCCTTTGATAGTGACATTATCAAGTTGAGTACGATGACTACCAAGTCCCGCGACGAAATCATGCAGGGCGTAAGTATCCTCAATAACGAATCGTTGCCGGTAAAGATAGCCGACTGCCTCAGCATAGATCTGCTTGTTCACAGCAAGCAAAGCTGGAATGAGCGTCGGCATCGGCTCTCTGTCGGCGCCGTTCTCCTCGTTCTGGATGGCTGGACGGTAGCCACGGCGCGACCGTCCATACCAGTAACCACGATCGTCCTCTTCGGTAATGTGGCCACGGGTCACGGTGCGACGGTACGCCTTGGTCTTGGACAAAAGACTGATGCCATGTGGATCAACGAGAGCGAGCTCATAGATCTGATCTCGCAATTCGGCGGGAAGATCAAGAAAGCGAAATGGCTTCTGATTCTTTGGCTTCTTCGGAAGCTTGGCTTTCTTTGCGAGTCTGGCGCTGCGTTTAGGCTGAGAAATCGTTAGAGTGTTGTTGTTTATCAGACGGAAGGAATACGTACCTTGCGCTTGCCGTAAGCCACATCATCGACATCGTCACTAAATTCGTTGATCGATTCGCCATCATTGTGATCGTCCATGCCAAGTAGCCCGTCCAGCCCATCGTCTTCATCGAGATAGGAGACCTGAGCACGCTTGCGTTTGCCCAAAGTTATGACCGGGTTGTCTGCCATTGTGGGGTCGTGTGTTTATCCGCTCGACTTTGACCGTTGGTTCTAATCGTCCACTCACCTACTACGACGCATATATATACTTCACTTCACCATTTCTTGGCACGCGCTGCTGCCTAGCTAGCGCGACGCCAATGGCTCACGTAGGCACGTGAGAGGCTCTGATACGAGCTTCTGCCTGGAGCTCCATTCTCAGCTTCTGCCGCCATTGCCACTTCGATACAGCATGCTACTGTAATACTGTGTGCTGGCTACAGAAATCGTAGAGGTCATTCATTGATGATTATCCGCAAAGCCCAGCGTACAAGTGAATCGTACGTCGACCCGATACTGGCCGATCCGCTATCGGCAGTTCTCAGTGTGACCCGGTAGAGTGTATTGCCGAGAGCTCCGATATACGTCAGTCCAACCTCCATCTGCTTGCCATTGCATATGTCTTTTGACTTTCCTTGTCCATATCCTTAGTTGCACATATTACGTGTTTAGCAGCGATGGAGTTTGTATGCTCTTTTGCGCCAAAGCTGGCAAGTACGCCCATTGTGCGAATACGGCTTGCGCAGCCCAGTCGAGCAGCATGGAATGTCAAGCAGAACAGAGGATTCCGAAGCAGTGCCGTATTTGCACGAGAAGCTGGTGGTGGTGCCCCTTCGAAGACCAGAGGACAACAGAAGGTCTTCGACTCTGTAGATGAGGCAGTCGCTGACATCAAGAGTGGATCGACCCTGTTAAGTGCTGGCTTTGGCTTATGGTAAGATCGTCTGGATCATATATACATTCACAATGCTGATTATACTCTTCACAGTGGTACTGCAGAAGTATGAAGTCCGGTGGGTAAACCGTAGCAAGATCACTGACTATGAACAGACCATCATCGGTGCTATATCGAGACGAGGTGCCGAAAGTCTACACTCGCTAACGGCCGTCTCCAACAATGCTGGAACAGCTATTGGTGGTGGGCTGTCACCTCTGATTGCCAATGGTCAAGTCAGCAAAGCCATCTGCAGCTTTCTTGGCAACAACAAAGCTCTCGAGAAGAAGTACTTGACTGGAGAAATCGCCATCGAACTTACACCACAAGGAACACTAGCAGAGAAGATCCGCTGCGGTGGCGCGGGTATCCCAGCTTTCTTCACTCCTACCGGCGTAAACACATTCATCCAATCTGGTCAGATCCCGCAACGGCTCAAGGGTGGCGAAGTCATCGAACCTGGGAAGGCTCGCGAAACACGAATATTCGATGGCAAGGTCTACAATATGGAAACTGCAATCAAGGGTGATGTAGCAATCCTCCGCGCTCACAAGGTCGATAAAGCCGGCAACTGCCAATTCCGCTACACGACTAAATCCTTCGCACCTCTCATGGCCAAAGCCGCAACCGTCTCGATCGTCGAAGCTGAACACATCGTCGAGATCGGCGACCTCAAGTCTGACGAAATCGATCTGCCTGGTATCTACATTGATCGCATCGTTCAAGCTACCGCGGAGAAGATCATCGAGGTAAAGACGCTCAAGACTGAGGAATCACCCGAGGAGCAAGGAAAGAACAACCCAGCTCTCGCTCGTCGCAATCGAATTGCTAAACGTGCCGCCAAAGAACTGAAGCCAGGCTTCTACGCAAACCTCGGTGTCGGAATGCCGACTTTGGCACCTTCGTACCTCCCACCTGATGCCAATGTCTGGATCCAGTCTGAGAATGGTATTCTTGGCATGGGTCCCTACCCGACTGAGGCTGAGCTCGATGCGGATATCATCAATGCTGGCAAGGAGACTGTCACGCTTGTGCCTGGTGCTAGTGTCTTTGATAGTAGTGACTCTTTCGGCATGATTCGAGGCGGTCATGTGGATGTGTCTATGCTTGGTGCGCTGCAAGTTGGTGCTAACGGTGATCTGGCCAATTACATGATTCCTGGTAAGTGAAAGTACCGCTTTCAGAAATACTAGGGCGGAGACTTACTGTGCAATAGGGAAAGTCTTCAAGGGCATGGGTGGCGCTATGGGTGAGTCCTGTTCTACCTCGTTTTGTTGATCGACGCACGGACGCTAACCACTCGTCACAGACTTGGTCTCAAATCCAGATGAGGTAAGAAGATCATGACATAGCTGACACTAGTATTGTGAGTGCCTGCTGATGTTATACAATAGACCAAGATCGTCGTGCTTACCGACCACGTCGACAAGAACGGGAGATCGAAGATCGTCCAGAACTGCACGCTTCCACTGACTGGTGCTCGTGTGGTCTCCACGATCATAACAGACCTTGCTGTCTTCGATGTGGACAGGAAGAAGGGCGAATTGACACTCATCGAGCTTGCGCCAGGCGTCGAGCTCGACGAGGTCAAGGAGAAGACCAACGCGAAGTTCCATATCAAGGAGCCGCTCGGCCGCATGGAGTGAGAACAGGGTGAGTATATTGTATAGCCGCATACATTATGTGCAATGTGGACATAGCACCACCCGTATTTGTATATTACATACATGTACATTTCTACAGTTTGGCCTTTGGCGTTTGTGATGCATATCCAGGTGCAAAACTGGTCTGACCATCTCCAATGGCCTCTACGATCTTATCGATCGACTCAAGCAACCACATAGCGCCCTCATTACTGGCCAGCCACTTCCCACCTTGCACCTCCGGTTCAGCATCCGCGGTTCCATCTTCATAAGCTTTTCTCAGACCGAAAAGGTGACTGACGACCTGCGGACCGACACCCGTCTGCGACCGAAGTACGGAGACGGCTAGAACGCTCATCAGTACGCGGCCGATATTTGGTATATTTGGGTCGTCGCCACTTGGGTATCGCGGATCAGAGAAAAGAGCACCGTATTCGCCCTCGATGATGAATACCGGGAGATCTGGATGAGATTGGGCGAGTTTGGCTGTTAGCTTGGAGGAGAAGGGGCGGTAGACTGATTCCCAGAGATCATTTCCACGTTGGAGGGTGTGGGGTATTGTTTCTGTGTTAAGATTTCTATGCATGATCATTAGTGTTATGTGATATGTGCAAACCAGAGGTTCTGGTGAATGTACCTCCGTGGCTTGCGCTTCTTGAGCTCAGCTTGTACATCTTGTGGTAGACCTTCGAAGAAAGCACCGAGCGAGTTGATCGTTCGGGGAACCTAAACCGTGATCAGTTGGATGGGCTGAATAGACACAACATGCAGGACGTACTCCATTGAGCCCGACACACTTCAAGCCGACCTCACGCATGAGCTCAGCGGTCCACACCTTGTTATCTTTGCCGCCGTTATACTCGGGTGAAGTTGCCAAGCCATACAGCTGAAGGAGAGATTGTGGCGAGTTGAGGGTCATGGTCGTAGCAGTCTATACCTTATTGTCAGCGACGATAGCATCATGGCCTCACGAGTGGTCTTACAGATGCGGTGAGCCATGCTGGTAGTCCGACTTGTTTGGCCGCCGCCTGCTTGGCTATCTGACTGTAGACGGAGAAAGTATGCTTCGTTGCTGGAGTAGTGTTCGGACGTGCATGGGCGGCGCTTGGATGACAGCAAGTCAGTCTTGGTATGCAGCAGAAATCGAGGTGTCACGCATACTTGATGAACGCCTTCAGCGGCTCTGATAGCTTCGACATTTTCTACTCTGCTCCTATAGGGCATGTAACATGAAAAGAGGTTGATGATGATATCGCAGGCATTGTGAATGTCGTCGGCAATTGCGGCACTTTCGGCTCATGCAATCCCGAGGACGAGCTCGATGCCCTCGTCGAGACTGTGCATCACACCCTGCAGGCCGCCTTCTTTGACATATGTTGCTCATCCCATTCGTCAAGATCACGGCAATCTGTCAATGGAAGGGCGCGATGCAAGGCACAATCATGCATAGCCCTTCGAGCTCGAATGATGACTCAGCTCAGATAGTCAAAATTCAAGATGCTTGATGTTTTAAATATCCCCAATGGAAAAACACAAATTCGGCAGAACTCTAGACACATCTGATACTGGATCGTTCGCGATCAAGATTACAAGATGACAGCAGATATGAAGTCTCAGAAAATCGCCTTTATCGGTGCGTGTCCTACTCGATGATATTTACAGATTGCTAACAATGGTAGGGGGCGGTAATATGGCAGGCGCTATCATTAGCGGCCTAGTCGCAAAAGGATTCGAAAAGAAGCAAATTACCGTCGCAGAACCATGGGAAGTCAACAGGACCAAGATGTCCGAGTTTGGCGTGAACGTTACCACCGACAACATCGAGGCTGCCACTGGGTCGTCAATCATCATCTTAGCGGTGAAGCCTCAGGTCGCAAAGAGTGTATGCAATGAGCTCGGTCAGAAAGCATTCACTTCGGACGATGCTCTACCTCTCCTGGTCTCTATCGCTGCTGGCATCACCATGAGCAGTCTGAAGCAATGGAGCACAACCTCGTCTGGCAAGTCTCCACCTGTGGTAAGAGTCATGCCGAATACTCCTGCACTACTTGGCGAAGGCGCAAGTGGCGTCTATGCCGGCAGCGACGTCTCCAAAGCACAAAAGGAACAGGTCACCGCGCTATTACAAAGCGTCAGCCGCTCCTTGGAGTGGGTCGATAGAGAGGAGCTACTTGACGCCGTCACGGCTGTATCAGGAAGTGGTCCAGCCTACTTCTTCGCCATGGTCGAGCACATGATCGCAAGTGGTGTCAAGCTAGGGCTTTCTGAGGAGCAGGCTACGAAGTTAGCATCACAGACTTGCTTAGGTGCTGGCAAGATGCTTGTCGAGGCTTCTGACTCACCGAGTCAGCTACGGAAGAATGTCACAAGTCCTAACGGAACTACGCAGGCTGCACTGGAGAGTTTCGAGGCGTCTGATTTCGCAAGTATTGTTGATAAGGCTGTCAAGGCTGCAAGTGATAGAGCTGAGCAGCTAGGGAGCGAGTTGGGAAAGCAGTAGGGAAGTGTATTTGCAAAATGCAACGACGCCAATGATAGAAAGATGCGCCATGACTGACTCGAGTAAGAGCTTCGTGTCTAGGCTGCTGGTGGTCAAGCGTTGGCGTTATCGTCCTACTCGTGAGCTACATAATGCAAAGCCTCAATCAATATGCAGATCATGTTACGAAATTGGGATACAAAGCGTTAGGAACCCAGTCCATTACAATCTTTTTCGTCTGACTGCTTTTCGCTACTTCAAAGTTAGGCTGCACCGCGTGCCTACTATATTAGTCTACCCAGGAGCACGACTCTTTCCTGTCTGCTTTTTCCACTCGCTATGAATCACACGTCATACTTCACATGGCCTGGGTCTTCTATCAGGATCTTGCTCATTCATTGTGCGCCACAACTCCGTCCTGCAACCCTGCCCATGACAACGACCAGGTCTTAGCATGTATACTCCAGACTCCAAGCTCAATGCTAGCATGAACTCCAAGAGGCCTTTCCGATCGGGACGAAGAGGGCTGCAAATGAGCACCACAATCGCTTGTGATGTTGGAGCGAAGGGCGAAGCTGAGTGAGATTTGGCAAATAACCGAAGACAATGGCGTACTAGCAACAACGGATGGAGTCCTATACCATATCCCACGAGACATTGCTACGAGGGCGACGCAAGAGGGTCTGGAAACGCAAGAATCGACCGTAGTTCATGCATACTGCGATACACCCTTCTCATGGCGCAATCCAATACCTTCTGACTGGAAGCCGTGCTGATTGTTCGTCACACCGTTCGAAATGGGAAGTGCAGCGATGGTCGCGAGCTTGCTTCTAGCCCTATGCACCTTCTAGCGTAGCAAGGCTCTGACTGCAGAGCAATCGAGTCTTTGCCAGCCAACGAGACAGCAAGTGTAGACGCTGACTGTTGCAAATTAGCGGTCGTATTATTAGCGGTAGCCACCTCGTTCCTGGGAGGTTTCCAAGAATGGTAAGAGGGGTGCAAAGGTCAACCAGAGTATGATGACACCTCTGGAGCCCAAAAACATCTCGTAGATTCAAAGGTCATGCATATGGCGACGTTGTCGTTCGTGTCTCGCGTATCTTGTTCCAGGGGATTGCTGGTCATTGCGCTCAGTGTCGAGACCGACACGACTTTAATTCATTCCTGTAGCTCATCTCGAACAGGTTGATATGAAGGCTTCAGATCAGATAGACTTTAGCCATATGCACGTCAGGCCGTAGAACCCGAAGCTTGGCAGCGGCATTGTCGATCTGGTGCAAAGACCTTTGGTGGCACTTCGTCAACTTCTCGCAAGGCCGACAGCAGGTCTTCTTGCATTGTACCTTGACGCGCACGAAGCTTTCTGGATCGAAGGGATAGCGCTGTAAACGGCTCTACGCTATCCTGACCCCGGTGCTGCATAACTGGACCACAAAACAGCCGCCGATTCTCATCGAGCTCGAGCCAACAACGGAAGACTGCGTGCCGCTCTAAATCCCTACAAGGTTCCTTCTTGTAACGCTTTGGGTAATTCTGCCAAGCTGCTGTGTCTTAAATCGCTGGAAACGTCCTACTTCGGCGACCACGAGCTGCCGTGCCACGCTACAGCCATGCAGGCGGACAACTACAATCATAGCGGCTCCACTGCTCAGCTGAAGTCAACCATTCGTATGGCTACACAGACCGTGTGGACAGCACGGAAGAATTGTTCTTTGGTCGACTACTGCAGCATGGCCCAATCAAACTCTTAGGTAAAGGACAACACGTGAGCCTGATGAGTATCGATCCACTCCGCCATGCTGTCCGTGGAGTTCAAACGCTGGAGAAGCGAGACTACGAGCATCTGGATCTATTCCAGTGCTGCCAAGGTTCAATCGAAACGACCATGGTCTGCTAGGTCGAGGCTCGCTCCAATGGTTTCTCGATGCCGAGCGGTATGCGGATGCCAACTCCCTTGGAGACCCAGCGGTGCAGCGTATGAGCACAGGGCTCGTGGCGTTATGAGTATACCAGGATGAGGATACGACTTTGAATTATAAGTACAGCACCGTGACCTACCAGAACAGTCATCTTGCACCCAACCTTCAACAAAGTCGCTCTCACCACGGTCTTGCCAATTCGCAACCATGATGCGTTCGTTCAGTGTCGCCGCCCTCGTTGTGGGCGCTGTCATCGCTACTCCAGTGCCCCAGGGCTTTGACTGGGACGCTATCGCGGATCTCGCTCCTGTGCCCTCCGCCAGCATACCTATCGTCAACGCTGCCGCTCAGCAGACGACTGTATCCTTCGCAGCCACTGCGGCAGCGTCGTCGGTGTCGTCCGCCGTGCTTGCTCAGCCAACCGACACATCCTTGAGAATGGTCAAGCGAGTAGACAATAGCGCCTGCGCCGTCCAGCCAAGCTCGCAGGATACCGCAAGTGCTTTCTCGAGCAATCAGGACTTTGCTGCCGATGCCAACAACGCTGTCACACCCGTTGGGTACACACTTGCTTACTCCAACAAAGCTGGATCTAGCGAGGGCGTTTACGGCTACATGGGCTACAGCTTGCTCGATGTTTATGACACTGCTACTTGCGCTGCAAGGTGTGACAGCGTCCATGGCTGTTCGAGCTTCGTGAGTAGATTGACCGTGTGAGCTCCAGAGTGAGACATGGTCGGACTCTGACTATTGCTTCCAGAACATCTATCTTGAACGGGACCCATCACAAGACCCAACGAGCACCTGTAGCGACCCAGCGTCTACTACGGTCATCAAGTGTGTCTACTACGGTGGCCCAGTCACTGCCACATCCGCCACCAACGTTGGGTAAGCATACATGGTGACATCTGAACGGCCAACGTGCTGACTTTTCTGAAAGCCAATGGCGCAACGACTTTCACGTTGTGATTGCCGGGTCCAATGGGTACGTCAACAACAGCATCTCCACCCCAGCAGGCTACACCGGACCGGTAGCCCTTGGCAATGCCGCAATAAACGCTCCTCTGGACTGCGCCGGGCACGACACCTACATGGGTGTCAAGATCTTCACATCCGGGCCTTTCGATGCCAGCTTATGTGCCGCAGCTTGCTCTTCTCAGTCGGTCTACAATCTCGCCCATCCTCCACAGAATGGTGTGGCACAGACTTGCCAATTCTTCAACACTTACGTTCTGTACAATGGCACACAGAGCGTCGGACAGTACTGCAGCCTCTACAATGAGAGTTGGCCCGCAAGCTTCGCAACGAATGTCGGACAGTACAGGAGCGCAGACCACTTCACGGTTGGCTACTCGTATACTTTCTCGAACACGACTGGTGGTGCTGATGTGCCAGCTGGCTGCACCAACCCAGCTCATCCATAATTAGCCGCACTCTGGCCGTAGCATCGAGGTAGTAAAGGTGAGTCAAATTAGGATCTTATTGGCAGCGGCGTAGCATCGTCATTATATATCTCACATAACGAGTTAAAGTAGTTCATTGCTGTCCTCACCGACCCTGGTGTCTTGGTTATCAGCGGAAGGCCTTTACATGCGACTGCGGCAGCCAACTATCGCCACTTCAGTGTCTGCCTGTGCTGCCCGCACAACTGAGCAGCCATACCCTGCATAGAATTCATGCGCCACTCTCCAGACCGCACGCTCAATTTCATACTGATAGCCCATTTGTCTCTGCTGTTTACTGACCACATAGGACTTCTCAACGCATGCGCTTCCTCCCTACTCTTATAGCTTTGCTGTGAGGTCTTACATAGATGAGCTATGAATGGGAGCTGACGCATTCTGGTGTGAAGTGTCATATATCTGCAGATATGCATTTGTAGATCCTGCGCTTCCAGGCATGCGCACTTCAACGGGGAGAGGGACTAGGACAAGGATGAAGAAGGTGATGATAGAACTGACAGAAAAGCCGAGACTGGGACTAGCACGAAGAGGCCCGGGAAGATGGTGGACAGCGACAAGCGCTCAAGGTATCAAGAGGCGATCAGGGTCGCTAAAGAGGAGATTCGTTTGAGGTTGATCAATGTGCCCAGGCTGAGCTTCTGGAGGTGCAACTCAACCCGATCCAGGCACGCTAGAGCCCCACGAAGTCCAAGAATGTCCAAGATCGATCCGCATTATTCGAAGCAGAAGCCACTGCATTTACGACAGCAAAGATGACAATACGCCATTGGTCTGATCCAGTCGCAGCTCTACTCGAAGCTGCTGTCACTCTTCCGAACACAACCTTGACCTTTACCACAAAGGCCACGGTCCCGGTCGTCATCCTAGCCTCAGATCCGATGCTCATCCGAGGCGTCTGATGTAATAGAATCTTGCAAGGGGGCTCATCCGCGATCGCAATTCGGCTTAACTCATTCATAGGTGGAAGTGATGCCGAAGAGAATCCTTGCCCAGGCAAAGTCAATAACCATCCGGTTTTCGAACCTCCGCCCCGAGCTGAACGCCCCGAGCCAAGGTGTCAGCTACCAGAGGTTCGCGCTGTACACAATAGGCGGATGAAGACGATGTCAAGGACAGTCCGCATTCGTTCCTCAAGAACGTATCTCGGCGAAGCACCTCCTTTCCCCGGCGAAAGGGATTCTTCATTAGCTACCATACTGTTATCTGCCAACATACATACTCCAAGTAAGTCCAGAAAAGCGGAGAAGGTCTTCACAGTGATGCTTTCCTCATGCCAGGACTTGTAGCCCTCGCAAGTATCAGGCTGCGTTCCTAGCGCTTTATGTCATTACTTGCCGAATGTCAAGGAGGGTTTTAGACTTCTCCTCGCCGTGCGTGATGGCAGGGTTCTGCTCGCGGCATGGAGTCGAATGACGGGTACCTCTCAGTAATGATGATGCTCCTAAATCCGGGCTATCTTTCACATCGGCCCAGATGGTATGGTTGGCACAACAGCATCCAGTAGGTTCGCGGACACGGCAGAGCAAGCATGTCTGCATCGTTGCAATTCCTTGTTTCGTGGGCGCTAAGGGTATTATCCGTACATCCTAGTAGACTTGTCAATAATGACAAGTGGAGCGGGAAAGTCGATATTTCTTGCATGTGATGTCCAAGGCACGGAGTACTGGGTGGAGCACATGACGGTGAGTTTAACGACGTTGGGGATTCGAAATCTGCCCGATAGAGGAGCGTGGAAAGATCGATGATCATACGCGGGAAGGACCCGTTCCTGCGCCGGCTTCGCCCATGCTTGCGCAACTGATCATTTTTGATGTCGCTGACATTTCTGTCGCTCATGAGATCCTACCGTGGCTCCACTTCGTAAGTCTCTGCGATCCAGATCGTCCGCGAGCGACAGCTGCAGATCCCATATGAAGACTATCGATGCTATTGTGTGTCCATTCTGCTATGAACTGGCGCTTTCGGCAGCCAGCACGATAAATCTGCATCGTCAAGGAGAACTGGACAGTGTCAAATAGACACCACCAGGATCGACGAAACGTGTATCAAGCTACCGCATCCCGGTGCCCGTACACGACCGCGTAGGTTGTGGAATAATTTTCTTTATACGCTCCCTGTTTCGTCAGATTTCCTTCACCACAAACTCTTTCGTCCCCTTACGCGTGCTAGCCTACTGTCCTTATTCTGACCACAGTCACTCATTATCATACGTTCTACCCTTCGGAGGTCCTACCTTGCACTGCCTCCCATATCGTATACCAGGATACCAGAATACCAGGAACAGACCCATCATGGCAAGAGTCCTGACGATCGGAGGGCTTTTCGCAGCGACCGCCAATGCTTTGAACGGTATCGTGGCACCCAACTCCGTAGCCGCAGACAGTGAGTTCCAAGTGACGTTCCAGAATGGAAATAGCGATAGCTACCGGATGTATCTTGCCGCCGCCTTGACAGGTGTCAATGGACCAGCTTGCTATTTGACGAACTCCTCGACTCCCTCCTCACCTCTCACCCTCAACATTCCCGCCTTGGTTGGGCCATCGGCGAATTACTACAGCATCGCCGCCAAGGACCTCACGACCGGTCAAGGTCTGACCTACAGCAATCGCTTTAACTTGACTGGTGGGAATGGGAACTACACGCAGTACGAGAAGAGTCTCGGCGGTGCGCCTTTCTGGGACGCAGACGCTCTGCCCTGCAGCTCATATGCTTGTGCCCGCGAATGTGCGCAAGCCAGCTATCCCAGCGACCTGACCAATTCCGAGGCGTACAGTACCATGCGATCGTGCTTCCTTCAATGCCCGGACGTTCGCCCAGCTGCTAGCGCGAGCCAGACCGGCCCTGCGCACGCCACAGCAACAACTGCCGGAAGCATGACGACTCTGACGGCGGGTGAGGCGGTGGTCACCCTTGGGAATGATGTGATTTCAGCCATTGAAACAACTGTCACTTCCGGCGGTAAGACATACACCGAGGCCATCTTGGGTGCTGCAACCCTTACTCTTGGTGGCTCGTCGACGACGATCAGTGGTGAAGCAGTCAGCCTTGCCAGCTCAGGACTCAAAGTCGGAAAAACTACCACGGTCGCTTTCAGCAGCGCCCTCGTGACGATGACCGCATCTTCTACAGCTCAAGACGGATCGTCAGGCTCCAGTGCGGCAGCGGCGTCCACGTCGTCCAAAAAGTCCGGCGCACTGTCAGTCCGATACGAAAGCTTTGGAGCGATCTTTGTGATCGGAGCAGCAGTATTGGCTGTATTGTCGATGTAGGCTCGGCATTGTGCGGGCAATACATTGTGGGACTCTCGGGCCGAGTCGTGATTGCCAATCGAATTTCGTCATGCTAAGGCGGATAAGCCGTCGTGTCAGCTATATACATAGGTACGAGCCTTGGGATGGAGCGAGCGGGGCCAAGGTTACGTCGCATACTATTGATATACTGCGTCGATCTATCAGATGCTCGAATCTGTTCTGGAGATCGGCAAGCTTGGGAACTTTAGAGTATATACATAGAACTAATACGAAGTAATGTCTGAAGGGTCATGCCTGTAGTGGTCTGCTAGCTAGACGTCCTGTCAAGCTGTAGCCTGTAACCTTGCTGAGCCGAGATAGCTGGATTGGGGAAGCCAGAGAGGAGGTATGTCCTTACGATTGTGAGATGTAGACAGAAGATGTTTGGTATTAATGATTGATTGTCATATTAACGACAAGACATTAGCTGGGACTACTACGGTGCTATTTTTACAAGTTGATTATCATGTAGAAACGGCCGTTGAGTCTCTAATAGCGAGCCAAAACCTCTGCTCCACATTGTGAAACTCCAACGCTTGTCGCATCGCAACAACAGATCCCAGCGCCAACGCTGAACCTGTGAGTTCGACCAAAACGAACGCCAACTGATCACCCCAAATGCAGATGTGCTTAAGAACCAAGGATAGTGCCGTGCCCAAAACGTGGACGGCTCGTGAGGGTATCTCGTGAAAAGAACGGCTCGCTCCCAGAAGCAAAAGTTTTCAATAGATACCTCATCCCAAATTGAGGTGGAGCCAATAGTGTCAGGCCATAACGATAGTGTGAGTGCGCAGTGCCTTGCTTCTCGTGTTGTAGTTCCAATTAAAGACCCAAAGGAACCGCAGCCGCGAGCGGGGTGACGAAATGTCGTGCAGCGCCCTGCCTTATTTCCAAACAGGTAACCAAGTATCGTGGTATTCTCCCGATATGTAGCCAAAGTCCTGGCAGAGTAATCGCTCGCGCGACACCAATCACAGCATACTGCATCGGACATTTGGGGATGCAGTGCACTGAAGATCACCATCATCTCGCATCGCCCTCCTGCATCGTCGCTGTTGCATTGGTCGCTGGACGGGTGCCAGGCTGGGCTGATGCTGACGCTGACGCCAGAGGCTGAGAAATGGAGGGGGAGAAGCTCACAGCTACCCTTGATGGCTGCTCTTGCTTCAAGCCAATATCCGAACCTGCATATGCAGGTCTGTCGAGACCTGCAGCTTTCCGCTTGCGGAGCTCCGATGATGACTTGACCTCAAGAAATTGTGAGTGACACCTCGTATACTCGTATCGGCGGTGTAGTTATCATGGACCAGTGATGCGAAGAGGTCGATAGGAAGACCTTGGCTCAACGTGGCCGATGACTCGGAATATGTGCGTCTGTAATGCGCGTATTGCTCACCAGTATCGTGACTCCCAGGGCGACATGAGGTGATCAGGGCATTGCACTTCGGCGGCCTTCATCGACTCGGCCATGTCCATGAACGAGTCTTTGCGGTCGATAGTGTCCTTCGAGTGGACGAGAACATCCTTCTCGAGGTGCAGCTTCTGGAAGGCAGGCACGGACAGGCCGTGAACAGCGCCTTGGATGGCGCAGCTGATCATAAAATCTTCCTCGAAAGACTGGATCTTCATCTTGACGTCGTCGACAGTGCGGCCGTGTAGTTTGACCTCAACATCGTCAACCTCCTCGCCCCACTGTCCGTGGGTAGAGCATCGTGCGATAGTTCCAGGTCGTGGCGATCGCACGCCAAAGAACTCGAGGTTCTTGAGCCAAGGTGCCAGGAGAGCCTCGCCGGCGAGCTTGATGTAAGCCTCCTTGTAGCAGAAGTAGGTGTAGAATCGTCTTAGCTTCGCATCGATGAGCAGCTCCGACGAGAAGGTGTGTTCATTACCAGCCTGTGTCACGCATGTTAGGCTTTGGTTTCGCTGTAAGCACCTGTCGTTTCGGCCGATGTCCTTTGCAGGTAGCACGGTACCATCCAGAAGTGTGACTCGGTCGACGTCGTATTTCATGCTCCATCGCTCCTCGTCCGAGAAGACGGCATCGTAAATATCGACCCATCCATCGAAGCCCTCCATGTCGATAGTCGTCTGAGCACCTTCTCGCTCGTTGACGCACACAATGTCGACACCAACCATGACGTCCTCTTCGGTAGGTCCAGGTGAGAAGACACCCTGTATCTGTCCGTTAGGCGCGTATAGCTGTCTCCGTCGACCATCCCAGCCTATTAACGCGACCAGTCCATTCTGATGCGACACGTTGAAGTCGATACCCTCGATGGGTCGACCATACTCATCGACAGCACAAGGCTTGCCATGCTTCTCATTGCCCTTCCTTGCTATCCGGACATCCTTCCACGGAATTCCGAGCGTCTTGCTTATGAAAGCTCGCTTGAGCAACGCACTTCCCAAGCTCATCTTTGCGTCAGCCACGAACATCTTCGTGGTGATGATGTTCTGCTCCGGCTTGCTGACCAAACTCAACGCCTCTGCCGCGCCTTCTGCTGTTAATATGTTGTCGCCCTTCCATAATGTTCGTGTGTCCAGGAACCACGTTGTGACCTCGGGCTGGTCTTCGGGTGGTGTAGGATATGGCTCAGGCACTACTCGACCAGTGTCTGGCTTTAGACTGTCCAGAGAGCCAAGAGTATGGCCGCTGAGAAGAGGCATTGTCGGTAGTGGTATCTCCAGTGAGAGGAACTTCTCCTTCATCTTCATGACCAGAGGGGAGATGGGAGAAGGACGGGTAATAGCGGGTAGCAACTGAGTCTGTACCATTGTCGCCATGACGGAGCTCCGACCATCGAAAGCCAGTATAGGTGTCAACCCAACTTACACGGCAGCAGCACGCAAGGGTTCCAGTCTTCCCCTGCAACAGCTAGTCTCGAGCAAACCAGTCAATGTGTGTTCCAGAGGTCCTCGGTCACGGCGTCCCGTAGCGAGATCGTCCAGAGGTGAGGTGTGAGTGGGTATCAGAGAACAATGAAGTCAACGACTGTCGGTAGGCGGCAGATGTGCAGGAAGCAACAGGAAGTATATTGGACGACCGGATTATGCTTCAGTACTCAGATGCAGCAAGGCGTGGATCCTAGGCATGGCCCCCCTCTAAACTGGTAGCGTGCCGGTGTAGGAAAGAGGCAGCGCACAGGTGCAGGTGCAGCAGCAGCATGGACCGCAGCCCTCTCCATTCTTTCGCCCTCAACCCGACGCGACCAGGGGGTGACGAGAGGGAGCAAAGACCACGGGATTATTCCCACTATCCTCGTATGTTACTATCTTGAGGCGCGTTGGCTTGTGCACGCGAAAGCTTGGTCGTCGCTTCGGACGCCGGCTGTGGCTGAAAAGTTGGCTTTGCGTGACGATCGCGTGCCTAATACAGCCAGAACGGGGGAGATTGCAACGCTAGATTGCCAGACCAAACACCGCTCAACCACTCAGCGTATTGATGCGTTGAGTTGATTAGGATAGAGCACCACTATACTGTGCGTTTCACGAGTCGATATCTACTTCCCGTCGCCTTCGCCGATCTGCTGTGGCACTCCGATCTATCAAGTCCATCTTTCGTGCGACCATGCGCGTGCCGTTCGTGCTGCTGTAGACCGCCAAACGGCCAACGGCTCCCAACAGCCAGGGCGCTGCACTATTCCATCATGTGTAAATGACAGCAAAGCGAGGCGAGCGAAAGCAGGAAGTGGCTCAGGCTTATGCCATCCCGAAGAGGAATGGCAGCGGCCAGAGTACCAACAACAGGCTTAGCTCAGGCACCAAAACTTGCACAAACAGCTGCAAGTCCTGAGCTTCTTCACAGCCAGGCAGACCCGTCCCTCCTCATCAGGGTTGCAGACTTGGCTCACTACTAACGAAGTGTACTACTTGGGGACCCGATCGTTAGCCTCCGCCCCCGACGGGACAGACAGAGAAAACCTTGCGGCGGTAATCATGTAACGTCATGCATTGGCATGACGCATTCTCCCGCCGGTCTTACAGGTGCGTTGTGCTCCACGATCGGAATTTTGGGTCAGAGTGATGTTGTCACAGATCTATGTTTTGTCCGAAAGGACCCATCTTGCTGCAGATTAATGACTCCGAACCTCTCAACGACCAGATCCACGGAAAACGCTTCATCGAGATGAAATGAAATGTTATTGTCGTTGTGGTCGGGTGTCCACGTTGATGCGCAATACAATCATTTGCTACATTAATGCTGTGCGCATTTGCCTGTCTGGTCGACAAGGTCGTAACGGCCATCGATGTGTCTTACCAACATGATACCGCATCCAGCCTTGTTGTTTCGGCCCTTGAGACATGAATAGTTCAAGGCTGTGACGAAGATGACTCCCTCATTCGTGCTGTCTCGAACGGGAACGAGAAGCCAGACAGCATAGCATTGCATGGACTTCGATCATTCGGCTCTGGGTCGAGCGATGTGATCGTGACAGCGAGCCGGTATCTTTCTCGTGTGGTATCCATGCTGCCTAGCGGGCTTCGATCGTGGTTACCAGTGCGTAGATAACAGGTAGTGGTACTATCGTGTAGATCTCCACCATATTCTAGCAGACTACCGAAACTCTCTGACCGTCCATAGTGTCTCGGGATTCGTTCTTCGATATTGGAGTCTCAGTAGCATGATACTGTATCTGGCCCGGAATCATTTCTTCCTGGTAAGTAAAATGAGTAGTGGTTCGGATGACTACATCTCCATGTGGCGAGCAGTCATCTTCGCCGTCACTCAGCATCATAGTCACGTGAATTCCTTCCCTACATGGCTGTAACCATTGGCGCGAGGGAAGCGAGCTGGACTATCTGTGGTACGAGGCCAAGTAGTCGCCAAAGTCCCTCTGGCCTGCGATAATCAGCTTCGCTCAGGTGAGCTCTCGTTTAGCAACGTCTCGGCATACGAGACAATTGCGCAGGGCCGCAGCGACTTCGCTCCTGCGGAAATGATTCCCCGAGTCAGAAAGTCAGCTCCTGTCCTGTCAGCCCACTGCTCGCCTATCACTCGCATAAGAGGAGCCTACTACTACAAGCATTAATACGAGTACACGACAGACGAGATATGAATGCCTAGGATTGCGCAGTTGGGGAGTGGAGATTCTTTCGTTGGAGCCTCCACAACATCGACACCGCCTCGTAAGCTGGCCCCAAGCTGAAGAGGAATCCACAACTCACGCATCAGGCCTCCCACGAAGGATTGCATGACAGTAGCGGGGGAATCCTTTGAGGCTCTGCTGCTGTTTTGGTACTGTAATCACTGCTGTTTGCGCGCGCAGTGCATGCGCAGTGCAGATCTCGGCCTAAGGACCGCCTTTGCTGTGTAAGGTTCGGGAAGCCAACGCAAGCCAGTCTTTCTCGAGATCGGGTTCCTTTCGCGCGAAAGATATCAAGCAGAACACCGTAATTCGCGCCCGTTGCAACGGCCAAGCAGTGGAGATTCACTTCCCTGCGCACTGCTCGACTTAGGAATCTGCACTCCCCGGGCCTACATCATCATTTCTCACGTGCTTTCTTATCCACTTTCGGCAACTGCCAGTTTCTAGGCGGGCCCATCAATTTCTCTTTTCGGATATCAACGTAGCGCCCATCTTTCCTATCTGGACGTCGAGGCGAGGCGGTAAGCTTGCTTGCACTGGGACTCTCGTCGGACTGTGGAGTGGTAAGCAAGAGTTGAGAAACGGTCCTGCGTATGCCGGCGGCGAAGTGATATCTTGCGAGGCCGACCAGTGGAGCTGTTGCCGATTGTAAGCAGGACGCCACGTCTGCCACGCTGAGGCCACGCTTTCAGGAAGCCGCCCGCATATCGGATCCAGGAATTGAGGCTTTCAGCTACCAGAGGACTGTCACGCTGTTCGAACGAGAACCACGGGCGCGCTGGTGGGTTTGTAGTACCAAGGGCCTGGCACTACAACGTGACACTGCCACGCCGCTGGTCGTCCCACTCGTCCAGAAGAAACGCCGCTGTCCTTCGCCTTGGTATCGCACCAAACCCGGTAGTAGAGCTCCTCGTCTTCCAAACCGAAATCGCCGGATAGAGGATGCCGGGACTCACCGTAGGCGTTCTCGCACTCCAAGGCGCTTTCGTGGAGCACATCAAGCTCCTGCGCCAGGCCGCGGATGAGCTGCAAGCACGTTGGGTGGCTGCCGCCGGTGAGGAATGGGAGGCGAGTCAGCCGCGACAAGGTGGCGTGACAGACATGGCCTCAAGACGTGGAGGTGAGGACTCGCAGATGCCACAGAATGAGGAGCATCAGCACGAGCATGCTGTCGGCGTGAAACTTGCATCCGCCACAGTCCGTACTCCAGGCATCGGCCAATCTGGACCAGAGGTAGGTGTCAAGTCTCATCCCTCCGCCACCGCAGACCCCCTCCTCATCCACATAACCGAAGTCCGTACCCCTTACCAACTCTCAAAATGCGCCGCCCTCGTCCTCCCGGGAGGCGAAAGCACAAGTATCTCCCTCATAGCAGCCCGCACAGGCCTCCTCGACCCTCTTCGCGACTTCGTGAAAGTCAGATGCCGGCCCGTCTGGGGTACTTGCGCCGGTCTGATTCTGCTTGCTGAGGAAGCGGTGAGTGCTTCGCAGGGAAAGGATGAGGGGAGGGGGAGAGGGACCGAGTTGATTGGGGGGTTGGATGTTAGGGTGCAGAGGAATTATTTTGGGCGGCAGGTGGAGAGTTTTGAAGCGGAGCTTGATCTTGGGAGTTTTCTTGGAAGGGGTGAGGGATCTTTCCACTCGGTTTTCATTCGTGCGCCTGTGGTTGAGAAGGTGCTCGTTGCCTCTAAGTCCGAGACGTCTGTTTCTCAGGAAGTAGAGATTTTGGGTCGTCTGCCTGGTCGTGCGAAGGCACTTCGGGATAAGACTGTTACGGCCGAGGATCTGGGAGAGGAGGGAGACATTGTTGCTGTGAAGCAGGGTAATGTGTTTGGGACGGCTTTCCATCCTGAACTGACTGGTGATGGGAGGATCCACCTGTGGTGGTTGAATGAGGTCGTCGAGGAGTTTGTGAGGAAGCAGAAGGCGGAGTAGAAGTAGACCCCTGTGCGCACAGTGATGTGTGAGCACAAGAGATGGTGTCGCCATGTTCATGGTCAGACTTAGATGGTACAGATCTTACTAGAGCTAGACTCATAGATAGTACACCAGTATACATCGTTAGATAGCAAGATTCGCTGCTGTGCTAGCATACCAGCAGACAGCAGGCTCATATAAACGCCACTAACACCATCGCTATGCTCCCAGTAAAAAGCACAATAGGACGCCAAACCCACCTCACTGACCTTGCGCATACTCTGCTCCATAAGCCTCCTGCTCCCTAACATTCTTCCCAAACCCACCCCTTCCCGGATCAAACTCCTCCCGATACTCATCCCTCACCTGCCCGCCCGACTTTCCCCTCCCATACTGTCTGCCCTCACTAAAACCCTCATCCAAATCACACCGGATAATCCTCTCATCCAACTTCGTGCCTCCGACATACTTCAGACAATCTAGCGCATCAGAGTGAGTGTAGTACTCCACGAAGCAAAACCCACAGGGTGTTTTGGTGAAGCGGTCGAGACCCATTACGAGGCGTTTGAGCTCGCCGCATTTGCTGAAGAGGTGGTGGATTTGCTCTTCGGTGGTGTAGAAGGAGAGGTTGCCGATGTAGAGGGTTGTCGCTGTGGAGAGTTTCTCTTCGAGGTCGGGGGAGGGAGCGCGGGTGTTGGGTTGGTCGTTGTTGGGGCGGCGGCGTTTTTTGTACTGTGAGGGCATGTGTGTTAGTAGGTACTGATGGGGAAGGTTTGGGAGGGGTGGTACCTTGCTCATGGCGTAGGAGGAGGGTCGGTCTAGTCGCTCGACTGTGTTGCGCATTTGAAAGGGCGCCATGGTGCTGGATATGGATTTGTCGCACTGGTCAGCGTGTTTGATAGGTGCATGTGAAGGTGAAGGTGAAGGTGAAGGTGAAGGTGAATGGTTAGCGGGTGACTAAGCGGAGCTTGACGCGGGTCCAAGCAAAGGTACGCGCCAGACTTCCTGAAGTAGCAAGCGAAGGTCTTTACCACCACGCAATGGAGCTGTAAGGAGGTAGAAAGTCGACCAAGATGGTGAAGATAATCGCGCGGACACCTCGCTGGCTGTCCCGCCCCTCTCCCGGCCACCAACTGTTCCAACACAATGGTCGCTCCAAAGCACCGCAAACGCCTGGTCTTCGCCCAGAAGGATCACTGCGCAAGCTCGCCCACCGCGGCACAGAGATCTTTATCGCGGTGGGGAATGAGCTGAGATGGAGTGACTTGGCCTTACTGAAGCATGCGGATGACGAGGGGGAGGGTGGGGACGATGTGGAGGACGAGACGGGACAGCTATATCGCCTGCTCAAGACGCCTGTCTCTCGCCCCATACAGCAGCTGGTTGTCTCACCGAGTGGCGACTTCATTGCGCTTGTCACATCGCATACATGTCATATTGGGATACTGCCGGCCTCGTCACATCTAAACTCCGGCGACACCACACCACTACGTATGAAGTGCTTCCAGGTCGGCCCAACGGCGCATGTTCTAGAGCAGGCACCTATCGTCTCCGCCGTCTGGCATCCGCTGTCATCAACGGGCAGTGGTCTGGTCACGGTCACCAAGGACGCCTGTGTGCGACTATGGGAGCTGGATCGCGACAACCGCTCCACCTTCGATGAGCCATCTTTGGCTGTGGACTTGAAGAAGCTCGCCAATGCTGCCGATACTCGAGCAGATCTTAGCGCGAGCAAGTATGGCGTGAGCAATGGCTTCTCGCCAGATGATGTGGAGATGCAGGTCGCGGCTGCTTGTTTTGGTGGACAAGGCACAGACGAGGAGCATGGCTGGTCAAGCATGACTTTGTGGGTGGCCATGACAGAGGGTGATGTGTACGCATTATGTCCGTTCTTGCCAAGCAAATGGCGTGCGCCAGCCAGCATGCTACCAAGTCTCAGCACAAGTGTGGTTTCGAGGATGCGAGCTGCAAATGCCGACAACGAGGCCACGGAAGCAGAGAGGAGAGTCGCGAATCAGCAGACTACTTGGTTGGCAGAGCTCGATGCTCAGGATGCCATGGTTCTCCCTGGTCCCAGCGAGTACGAGACGATGGAGGTGTACAGTCGACCTGAAACGCCTGGCATTTTGCCGAAGCTGCAAGGACCTTTCTACATGACTACCGACATCGAAAGTGGCGAGATCACCGACATCCATGTCATCGCACCAAAAATCGACGAGGACGACATGTACGATGAGGAGGATGATGATGTGCCGGCTGCAGAAGGGCTAAGCGTAGGCGTGGTCTGCTTAGCGACCAGCAACAGCAAAGTCCACATCTGTCTCGACCTGGATGGCGTGGAAGCTGAATGGCTGCCTTCGAAGCGCTCGAGAGCTTTCACATTCGACGATGGGGAGATCGGAAATGATCTCTTGTTATTTGAGACACTGGATCTGTCTACCGCCAACATCGACCCTGACGGCTGTTCCACTTTCACCGCTTCACCCAATGACCGTCAAGAAGTCTTTGTCACTACACCTGCCGGCGTTGTGCATCTGGACTTCAAGCCGTGGACCACTCTCCTGGACGATGAGTTTTGCGCTCCTTCACCCGAGGGCTTGAACTTTCGACTGCGAGTGCTTCTCGATTCCGCTTCTACAACTCTCACATCTCTTATCGCAATGCCCACAAACGCCGAGCGAGGTGTCAACACCGCCATAGCTGTCTACGACCCGTTGAATCTCGGCGGCGTAGCAGTCTTGACGAGCGCCATGAACACACCCTCCCTCGCACTCCTCGACGTTCCACACGAGCAAGCCGCGCATCCCTACGCACCCGACGAGGTAGCTGCTACTCTGCCCGCTCCGGAATCACGGTCACCATATCAGCCCGCAGAAGCGTTCTACGCCACCTCCGCCCTTCCACAGTTAATCAAAACCGCTCACGACAAACGCCTCCTAGGCTCAGACCTCAAAGGTCAAGTTCGCTACTCTTCTGCTACGCTACAAGTAATGACAGAAGCCCATCGTATCCTCAGCGCAGAGACGCATAAGCTGGGCTTAGCGGCCGCAGATCTGTTCAGGAGATGCGAACGTATGCGGTCTGAAGTCCGGGATCAAGTACGCCGTGTCAATGAAATCGCGGGCAAAGTCGATGTGGTGGTCGGTGGCGAGAACGACGAGGGGCAGGACGATACACAAGTCGCGCTCACAGGCGGCGTCACAGGTGGCAAGGCTATGGAAGACCGTGTCCGTGCTTCCAGGAATCGGACCACACAACTCAGAGATAGGGTCGAGGTACTGAGGAAGAAGATGGCGGGGTTGGGCGGCAAGGAGCTGAGTGTTAAGGAGAAAGGGTTTGCGGCTGAGGTGGAGAGGGTGTGGGAGAGTCTTGCTGCTGCGGGATCCGCTTCGCATGATACGGGTTCTTCAACGAAGGTGGCCGGGGTGCAAGGTCCCGTAAGACCGCAGGCGCCGACTCGTCCGAGCAGGATTCTGCATATGGATAATTCATGGCAGGATGCTGAGGAGCGGGAGCAGCAGCACGAGGATCCCGAAGACGAAGGTCATGAGCGCGTGCACAAGGAAGCTGGTACCCTGATTGCACGATTCGAGGCTGTACAGGATCTACAGGAACGTTTGAAGGCGCAGGTCGAGGAGGTAAGCAGGAGATCAGAGGAGGCACAAGCCGGTGCTGAGCAGGAAGTCAATGCGAGCGCACAGGGTAATGCTTTTAAGATGCGGAAATTGGAGGAAGTCAGGATGTTGTTGGAGCGGGAAACGGCGTTAGTGGAGGGTGTGAGCGAGCGGTTGAGTAGGCTGGCTGCTGGATGACGATCGTTCTGCACATGATCTAGCTGGATAGGATACGATATGACACCGCATCAATACCTATTAACCACAACAACTTATCGTCCCCTCGTACTCATACTAGCCGATCGAACAACACAATCCCATTCCCACACCCTCCCCGCCTCATCACCAGTATACACGGCGTTCGGCAACGGCAGAATCGCAGTAATACTCGCGCTCACATTCCCGCCGTCCTCGCGATGGCCATCTACATGACTCATCCTCTTCACGAGCTGCAGATACCACGTCCCGTCGTCTAGATTTGTCAACGTCCATATATTAGCCACGCCGTGCGTATGGCCTGTGAAGATGAGTATACGGGATGTGTACTCTGACCCAGGAGGTTCGTAAAAGGCACATGTCGTTATAGTGTCTGAGGCATGATCGGAGCAGATGTTCTGGTCAAGTAGAAGATGGCCGTTGAGGGTATAGAGAAGGAGATTGGAACCTCGGGCCAGGAGAAAGTGGCCGGTTGTATTGCTCACCCTGCAAGCTTGGATCGGTGCACTACCGGCTGGTAGTAAGACGCGGATGGGAAGGAGTTTGTTCAGGCCCCAGACTATCACTTGGCCATCAGCTGAGGCGCTAAGGAGTGTGCTGAAGACTCGGCTGGCGGCGAGGTGTTTCACGGCCGTACGGTGGCCGAAAAGGTGGGTTTTGAGGTGCATGTCTATGAGGTCTCGTGAAGCGCTGAGGCGCCAGACGCCAATTGTACAGTCCGCTCCTGCTGTGATCAAGGTTTTGCTGTCCGCGAATGTGGCGGTGGTCACTGGTCCTATGTGTGCATTCTCGTACAGACCCAGAGAACGCTTGGTGTTGGAGGAGAAGAATCGAATCGAGTTATCTGCGAAACCCCATTGCACGAAGCGATCGTGCCGTGGCGCAAGCTCGAGACGGCCATAGCCGGCACAGAGTAGTCTCCCTTGCGCTTCGGAAAAGGTCAGGTTGCGCACGCTCTCGTCACTTTCGAACAGAGGGTCCGGTAGCCGCACGAGCGATTCGGCGAGAGCGTCTAGTCTTGCTACGACGTGCTTGCTTGCTTCTCGTGACGGATGTGGTCGCTGAAAGACTTGGAAGGGTGTCTGACCGAACGAGTGGATGACGCCTATTGTTGCGAGTCGCTCCATAGGGTCGCTAATTGTGTCCAGATCTTTCGCGCCTTGATAGCTCAAGTGCGTGAAGACGTTGGTAGCTTCAACAGCAGCGGTGCCTCGTTGCTTGAAGCCAAACACCAGATCGATCCATTGGTGCAGATGCTCACTCACGTACGGACTTTCCAGCGCCTCTCTGTGCTTAGTGACGAAGATGTACGGACTACCCTTCGCCCATGGAGGCAGGAACACATTATTGACTTCCCCGCCATCTGCTTGTTTTGTGCCGAAGTTATAGCCGTTGAGGTTGACCAAGAACTCGGGCAGGAAATAGAACTCTGGTATGAGCTCACGCACATCAGTCATGTTGTCCCGCGAAGCCGACAGCCATGCCTTGCCAATGGAGTCGAAAAGCCGATCTGCATGATCGAAGCTTCCGCCTTGCAGCAAGAGGTATGACTGCACAAACGGCTGAAGTCTTATGAGGTACGAAGCCACAATCATAGCAGATGAATAGTGCGTGCCGTAGTGGAAAGGTGGATCCGCTCCGTCCAGCATCTCGGCGAATTGCTGGTATCTGTCTCGATACTCTGCCTCTCGAGATGACGTCTGGCAGCCCATCGGCTTCGAGAGGTCGCGGAACGTCTTTGGATCGTCCAAGTCAAGCTCTTCGCTAGTGTAGTCTGCCAGCACCCATGGAAATACAGGATACTGCGTGAGATCGTTGAATGTACGGCCAGCCATGGTATTGATTAGCATGAGATATTGAAAGTTGCTCATCTCACCCTTTGCCCACTTCTTCGTCGCAGTGTACGTTGGAGTATTGTTGAAGGCAGCCGCAAATCGTGTCCCAAGCGACTGCGGGACCTCTTGTGGGTTGACCAGATTGTCGAGCCTCCAGGCATCTTCTGACAGGACTGCCGAGCTACTGTGTACGTGTGGTGCTCGACTAACGATGGCGCCATAGAGATCGTCCCGCGACTTGACAGAGATGCAAGTGAGCAGGTAACTCCTGCCGTCCGTGAAGAAGACTTCGACCGAAACGTCTCGAAACAGGAATCGCCTCTTCGACACACTCAGCACTTCTGACCATGTCCAGTGCCGAGTCTCCGAGTCGCCGATGCTGTGTTTCGTACGCTGGACACCAACGTCCTTGCCCGAGATGAGCTGAACGTAAGGATCACGTTCGTCTTCCGGAGCTTCCGTGGCGCCAACGATCTCACCATCGGATCGCTGGAAGTAGTTGTCCTGCAGGTACAACAAGTTCTTGCCCACAATCAATAAGCCTTCACAAGCTTCGAGGCCAATGATCCGGGATATGTTGTAGAGCTGTTGCACCATGTCACCGCGCTGAAGACTTTTCATGATCTTCCTGTTCTTGTCTTCGATCACGCCATCCTCTGCTTCGTTTGGATCATCAACTATCTCGAAGCCACCATCCAGCAATTGCGAATTCGAGGTCGAATCTGCTCGTGCTCTGCCTTGCCCGTTCTGTACTTCTCCCAGACCCGCGGACATCGGGCTCGCGGGATATGGCGATAGCATATTGTCTGATACAGGACCGGGCACCAAATGAGTGTTGATTGTGAGCTTGCCGTTCGCCATATGTTGTTCACTGGCTTTACGTCGCGGTTGCACGACTTCTCTTCGAGCCTTGTCTCGAATCAGTCGACCTCGCATGCGATTCACAGCCTCTGTCTCGTCCAGCTGCCACGTCACATTGTCTTCTACCGCAGGCTCGAGTCCGCACGGCCGTCGGACGCTTTCTTCTAGATCCGCAAAGTTAGTAAAGAGATTACCGACATTCTCCTGCTGGTCTTGGACCGCTCGCGCGAGCTTGAGGCGCTCTTGCGCGTGGACATTGGCTCTCCAGTGTGAAGTAGAGACCTCCAGTCGATGTATGGCATCATCTGCTGCAGCCTCCTCCGCATGCCATTGCCGCAGCCTCTCCTTCCGCTTGTCGAGTCGGCTCTGTGCGATCTGAGCATTTCTGGCATTTTCTTCCTGCACGAAATCCTCCCACGGTCGACTCAACGTCTTCAGGAAGGCACCATCGAGTTCGTTTCTATTCTCATCGATCCACACAATAAACTCTTCGTCATCCAGTTCCGCCAACTTCATAAAGCCTGTAGACAAATGTCGCTTCTCAGCACCCATGACGAACGTTAACAATGTGGCCGAAGTTGTTGGCTTCTGCACCAAAATCGTCCTCCACAGTCTCGCAGCCGCAAGTCGTACCGCGGTGGCTTGGCTGATGAGCTTGATATACAAAAGGTAACATATTAGTCTGATGAAGAGAGTTTCTTGGTTCTCGACTGAGAAGAGAATCATCTGCCAGTAGTTCATCTGGTCCAGGAATTTCACTACTTCGGTTTCATCGCTTGACTCGCTGAGCTCAGAAAGTCGCCATAGTGTCACCCGGAGAAATACAACTCGAATCACGCTGATGTGTTGGCTGCAAAGTCTTACTGACTTGCTCTCGGCAACATCAGGCTGTTGGAGATACTCTAAGATCTGACCTGTGAAGTCCAGTGCTGTAGGAGACGTTAGCGTGAGTCATCACAATATCAGATCTACACAAGCGGCACATACCTGCTTTAGCGCCATCGATGAACCAACCCTCGAATACTGCTTCAGCAATGTGTTGAGAGTACCTCGCCAAGTTGGTCAGGACTCTTACCTCACACAGCAGATTCTGATTGAGCTTGAGATGATTCCAAAGCTCGGACAGACCGTTGGTGAGAACATAAGACTCGAAGTATGCCTGATGTTCGCGGAAACCAGGTGGTACTTTGAGGAACAACCCAATACCCTGGAAGTCTTTCTTGTTGCATATGAGGTCAATGAACAGACTTAGCGCAACCTCAAGCAGACTCTCGACAAGGTCATTCCCAAGATTCATCTGTAGAGGCTCAGACTTCACGGGTGCGAGCGCGGTCGTGAATTTCGCCATCTCAGCCACCGGCGTTACCATCACGAAGGACGACAGGCGTCTTGGCCCTTCAACGCGAGCTTTTGGCAATGGAGAAGGCGTGCGTTTATCGTCTTCGATCGTGACACTGCGTATCGACGGTGGCCTCTCGCCCAGCGACCGGGAGTGTGGACGCAGCTTGACTTCCTGGCCGTTGAAGGAGAGCGCATCTTTTTCAGCTTCGAGTTCGGTGGCAGCTGCCAATCTATCCGAGCCAACGAGGACCGGGAAGAGCACAAATAAGATATCCTGAATGTACCGGCTCGAAACAGCATAAGTCAGAAAGGCCTCGCTTCTTGTATACAGTTCGCTGAAGAACTGGATCGCTGCCTTCAAGAGGCTAGTCTCATTAGCACTGTGCTCGTAGTCGTCCTTGACCACAGTCTTCAGGCCAGCTTCAAGCAATGCCATGATGGTTGGCATGACTTCTGGGTGAACCACGGCAGTATCAGCTCCCACTGCGAGGGCCTCTAGGAGTGTGAAGACGGTTAGTGGTCCGCCAGTGGGCACTGATGGCATATCTCGGCCAAGAAGCATTGCAAAACATGCAATCCATACAGTCTCCGAGCGCCAATGAGGTTTGAGGCGACTTTTGAGTGTTGTCCAACCAGTATTTCGATCGGCAAAGGCGGTTTTGAATTCGCTTCCAAGTGCTGCCATCGACCGGGAAATCAGCCTTGTGACCGACTCGACAACTCGAGCTTGATTTTCTGCTAGGAGATGCAAGAGCCATCTATTTGGTACAACCCGGTTGAAACGCCTCGTGGCAGCCGCATTGTTGGGATCGGAGACTATGTCTGTAAGCAGCTGCAGGACGTGCACTGCAAGTTCGGCACGAGTAAGGCTCGTAGTTGATGTTGGTGGAGCACCACCAGGTGTGCTCGGACGCGACCCCTTGGCATGTCTCGCCCATGAAGCAGCTCTTTGTCGCAAATGTACCACGCTAGCCAGATTGCGCATAGCACGAGGTGCCGCAGCTCGCTCGTCTTGCAGCCCATATGCTACGAACATTGCCAGGTCTCTGTGGAGTGGCGCAGCAGCTGGGCTATCGAGCAGTGCTTTCATTGCTGCCATGAGCGGCTCAACCGTCTCTTTGGATATGTCCTCGCATTTCATAGCCTCGATCAGCTTCCTGACAACCCGCATTCGTATCAGCCTTTTAGCATTGAAAGCATGATGCCTGTTCTGGCTGACGAAGTGAGCAAATTGATCATAGTAGAGCTGTTGAGTTACGCTATCGCCTCGTCTGAAGGTGTCGTAGTCTACCAGGAGTACTCTATACGCCATGGCGTTCACGATCATGCTATCGTCAGGCCGAGAGGAACGGTAGCCAACAAAGTCCAGTATCAGCTCCAGTAACTCGCGGGGAAGAGATTGTCGATCCTCGAAAGGGAGCATCTGCGAGGGTTTGCGCGATAGTACGTTGCTTGAGACACTGTTGTCCATGGCCAACTTTTCTCGAATGATTACAGATAGTAGACCGAAGCCGCTGTCTTTCTCCATCGCCTCGCTGATGCGCCAATTATCGGAGATCATGCCGCAGTAGATCTTGACGCCTTGCAAGAAAGCTGACTTCGTCTTTGCTTGTTCCAGAAGTCCAACGACCAGTGGCATACAACCCGCCAGAGACCAGGCTGCATCGTCTAGTGATCGTGGGACGACAACTACAGGATCACCAATCAGCAGGCCTGTGCCGTATGATCTACTGATCGCTTCATTGATAGTAGGTACAGCCATATTTATCGCGATAGCCTGGGTTTTCTGCTGAAGCTGTTGATACCGCGCCGATGCCTTCCTCTCGAGGCCATTAGGTGAGAAGTGATAATTGGTGCCGTCACCATCAAGATCGATGATGGCAGAAGCGGCAATACTCAACACCAGACGACTCTCCGGCACGACGTCGCTACCCTTGGATTCAGTGGCAGTAAGAATGTCAGACTTCTCGGATTTGTCTGGGTGAAGGAGCTCGTTGTATCGATTCAGTTCAGCGGAGGCACGATACGTCAGGAGTGGTCCCAAGCAATCTTGCATGTTACCAGTATATCGTGGCGAGAGTCGGTAAAGCACGGCAATAAACTCATCGGTAATAGGTGAGGCATATAGATGGGCGCTTGCTAGACTCCAGTGGGATGTGATCTGTCCACCACCTACGCGCGAAGCTAGATCAAGAGGCGTGCCAAAGAAAGCCTGTACGGGCTTCGTTCGACTGACTGTCGAAGCTGATCGTGCGAGGCCTGGTGAGGCGGTGTTATCTTCCTCGTCCAATGGAGCAGGCGTCTCTGGATAAGCGCACTTCATCTGTTCGGCGAAGTCGCCATTCACAAATAGTGCAGCCGGGCTGCTCTTGCCATCTGAAGCTTTCCGGTGGATTAGAGCTACGTGGTACCATTTGCCTCTCTCGAATCGCGTAGACTTGAAGCGTACGCTAGGTCGTGACGACCGAATGGATGTCTGGAGAATGAGCTGGTGGCTATCTTTCTCCAGGTATACAAGGATGAAGCAGGCTTGCGAAGCGTCGAAAGCACCAAACAAGGTAGTGTGGCAATCACGATCGAAAGAATCGATGCGTATCCAAGCACAGAGCGAGTAGCCGGTCGTAGGCGGAAATGCGCGAGGCAAGCTAGGTACTTCAATAGAGCAGTAGCCATGCAGAGTCAGATCAAATTGGACAAATGAAGGTCCTTTCGACTCCTGCAATATGTGGTAGAGAAGATCTCTTGCAAGATTGGAGTCGTGCGCTTGCTTGAATAAAAGAGCAACATCTTCTCCCTTGCCAAGACCGAGGGGTGCGAAATCTAAGATAAGTCGGTGCGCTGCTGAGCTTACAGATCCAGAGAGTGTCTCGTTCAGTGCAAGACCCAAGACGTCCGACGGAAGTCCCGTCAGACAGATACACGACATATTCCGCAGGCTTGATCTTACAACAGAGCTGAGGGTTATCATTAACCTCGATGCCAGGTCGTCAAGCCCGTCTTTCGTAGAGGTGTTGCTGTGATCATTCACAGCAGTCGAAATCAGGTGGAGAGCAATGGCCAATGCTTGCGAATTCCTCACAATAGCAGCACTCGCGTTCCTGTCGTTTTCTGCATCGCCGCCATGGTCGTGATCGTAAATCTCAAAATCTTTGTCGTCCAGACCTAGTTGGCAAAGACTGCTACACAAGCTCGAAAAGCACTCTCGTCTCATCGTCGCTGCTTCGAGTCTGCTGAACGCGACCCACATACCTGCACAGGCTGTTCGTAACCTCGTCCAACCATCAAGATGCTGGTTGAAGTACTTCTTGTTGCCACGATGACCCCGCAGAGCCGTAGCCAATACTCCCATCGTGTTGCCAAGGAATGCCGTGATCTGCTCATGGTCGCCTGTAGAATTATCTAGATCAACGTCCCCAACAGACTCCAGCACGTTCAACACATGTTCGAAGCCTGTCGCATGGCGGAATGTGCCCTGAGCAGTGGTGTCGTCGAGCAAACATTGACGAATATTATGAGCCACACCAGCCAGACGGCCTAGCTCCAGCGATGGAGGGGCAGTATTCCGCCAGAAGAATTGCTCAACAGCTTCCGCCGTCGGTGATAATCTTTCATCCGGAGAGAGACCTCTCGATGCACCAGTAGAAGACCTCGCTCGAGCGGTCTGGCCCACACGAAGGGCCATGCTTACGGCCAGGTCTTGTCCGAAACTTGAGCAGTCGCTCGCTCATTTCGAGGTCCGGCAATGTCAAGCCAGCTACTGTGAGGCATCAGGCGTAAGTCAAGTTCAGCTAGCCAAAATGTTGATATACACAAGAATACGAAGTGAGATCGAGGACGCCTTCGAGAACAGCCTCAGGCTTGGCGGTTTGGCTCGGGTTGTTTCGAGCAGGCGCTTCGTCTGATTGGCGGAGAGTCACGGGATCTGAGGGCTGCACCTGCCTTGAACACTGTTGCACACGACTATAACATAATGTTCCACACCGAATGCCTTGCTTATCATATTTCATAAACCTCTGCATCGGTATGCTCATCGACGTCTGCTGATGATGTGAAACATCCAGTCACACGCACGTGATCCGACAAACGCCGCGCCACAGTGGGTGGCTAGTGACGAATCGCCGAAGTTTGCACGAGCCGCAGCGTGCATCCATGACGAAGCGCTTCCCAGTCGAGCGAGCGTCCTCGGTTGCCTAGGAGCCTAGGACAGCTCTCTCCGTTATCAGCAGATAGCTCGCAGTCACACGATCATCCTGGCGAGCTAGCTGTACAGTCAACTCTCTTACAACACCTTCTTCCTTATCAACCCGTCCTTCTTCTCTTTGTACCATCATCTTGTAGTTCACTGTCGTCAACACACCATCCATCACATCATGAGGAGCTTCGTAGGCTTCTCGCTGGCGGCGCTGGCGTCAGCCTCGCCGGTCTTGCTCGACCAGAGCATCCACAGGGATGCGGCGCCTATCTTGTCAGCTACCAATGCAAAGGAGATCGCCGACAACTACATCATCAAGTTCAAGAGCCATGTGACGGAGAAGCACGCCGCTTCCCACCACAGCTGGGTGCAGAGCATCCACGATGATGTACAAGTCCGCAAGACTGAGCTCCGAAAGCGATCTCAGACTCCCATGGTCGATGATATCTTCAGTGGCCTCAAGCACACCTACAACATCGCTGGCAGCTTGATGGGCTACTCTGGTCATTTCGATGAGGACGTGATTGAGCAGATCCGTAGACACCCTGACGTAAGCTGCCTGCCGCCTAAAGCACGCCATATGAGCCAATGCTGATATCTATCCTTCAGGTCGAAATAATTGAGAGAGACCAAGAAGTCCACACTCTTGGTGATTCAGACGCCGAGATCGAGAAGAACGCGCCATGGGGTTTGGCTCGTATCTCCCATCGCGATAGCCTTTCCTTCGGCAACTTCAACAAGTACCTGTACTCCGCCGACGGTGGTGAGGGCGTTGATGTCTACGTTATTGACACTGGCACCAACGTTGACCACGTCGATTTCGAAGGCCGTGCATCGTGGGGCAAGACTATCCCACAAGGCGATGAGGACGAGGACGGCAATGGACACGGCACTCACTGCTCCGGCACAGTTGCTGGCAAGAAGTACGGTGTTGCGAAGAAGGCTCACGTCAAGGCCGTCAAGGTTTTGCGCTCCAACGGCTCTGGCTCCATGTCTGATGTTGTCAAGGGTGTCGAGTACGCCGCTGTCCAGCACACCGAGCAGGTTTCGATCGCCAAGAAGGGCAAGCGCAAGGGTTTCAAGGGCTCTGCCGCCAACATGTCGCTTGGCGGTGGCAAGTCTGATATCCTGGACCAAGCTGTGAATGCCGCTGTTGACGCTGGTATTCACTTCGCCGTCGCCGCTGGCAACGACAATGCCGACTCCTGCAGGTACTCTCCCGCGGCTGCTGAGAAGGCCGTCACTGTTGGTGCCTCCACTCTGGCTGATGAGCGTGCTTACTTCTCCAACTTCGGCAAGTGCAACGACATCTTTGCTCCGGGTCTTAACATCCAGTCCACCTGGATCGGCAGCAAGTACGCCATCAACACCATCTCTGGTACATCCATGGCTTCTCCTCACATCGCTGGTCTCCTCGCCTACCTGCTGTCCCTGCAGCCGTCCAAGGACTCCGCCTATGCTGTCGCTGAGATTACGCCCAAGAAGCTCAAGTCTCACCTCATCGAAATCGGTACCGTTGGCGCGCTTACTGACGTCCCATCAAGCACCAAGAACGTCCTCGCCTGGAACGGTGGTGGAAAGAGCAACTTCAGCTCTATCGTCCAGGAGGGTGGCTACGAAGTCACCGAGCGCAAGGAGAGCACTGTCTCCATCGACTTCGGCATGATTGAGGAGGAGACGAAGCACGAGGCGGCCAAGTTTCGCGTTAAGCTCAACAAGATCGGCGGCGAGGTCAAGGACTTGGTGTCTGAGGAGCTCAGGGACTTCTTCCGCACTCTTGAGCAGGAGTAAGAGATCTCCTATATATCTTGAGTAAGGAAGAGCAGGTTCACGCTACTGGATGTGAGAGTTGAGTAGAACATGGATACTGCGTTGGCTAAGGCCGTGCGATTGCATGAGACAGTATGAATTACTAGTGTTGGAGAGAACTTGCGAGGATGGCTTGGGTACGAGGTAGTGCCGTCAGACATTTTGCATCGCATAAGACCTCTATTTGAGAGGATGATACATGTAGCATATACAAGACAATGCAGATGACTCTTTCCTAAGCCCGGTCGCGCTTTTCACCGTGACCTCGAGCTTGCTTGCCAGAAGATATCGCTTCAGGACTTCGAAACGGCAGGCATTACCACAAGATACCATGAGGAAGTCAAAGCAGAGAACATGAAGGCTCGAAATGCGGCAGCCACAATGATCAGCACCTCCGAGTGCGAAGTGACTGCCTTCGTTGCGATCCGATCTCGACTCTGCACTACAATGCATGCACACCGTCGCATACTAAGCAGAATAACTTTGCCGTGCCCACGACCTCGCAGTCGACTTGGTCAATCACATCCCGAACTTATTTTACCAGCCGAAAGCTTACCCATGCTCTCGCATGCAAATAGCTCGCCTGGCGAACGCGTACGGCGGGCCAAGTCAACATCCTCGCAGAATACCACATCCTCCGGCCACCAACGAGCTTCGACCTCCATCGATCCGTTGGTGGCTAAGCAACAGGCTGAGACAGCAGCAGTGGAGGCCTTTCATCGTGCTGGAACTCAGGCCGACAATGCAGCAGCCGCTCGACCTCAAGCTCACCGGAGACGAAACCAGCGGACCGAAGGCAGCCATTTTGAGGATGCGCGATTAGGGCGACGAAGATCTGGTTCGAAGAGGAGAGATAGTATGGTTGTGCCACCGGTCAATGCCGTGGCGAGGCCGACCAAGATCGAGCGCGCGGTCGATGGTAGTGGTGAGGAGAGAATCGTGACACGTAAACGTTGTATCATCCCGCCTGCATCCCCGACCACCTCGCGGTCTGTTAACCAGCAGTATCTCAACGTGCCTTCCAGCGAGCACATACGACAAGCACAGTCTGTAGATGCAAGTGGGAGCCCTGCACCACGATATCGAGGCTCGACTACCGACCATAGTCAAGGCGCGCAAACGAGCAGTCAGACGCTTCATCAACGGACTGATGAATATGCTCGACAGATGGCAAACCTTTCCGACTTTGACGAGCCGACAACAAGGACGACCGTCTCCTTCACACAGTCCACTCGCGAGATGCAGACAGACGATCAGATCATGGCATACGCCAGAGATCGTTGCTTGCAGGACTTCCAGCAACAGAAGATCCGTGAGCGGAAGTCGTTCATTTTGGCACCATTCCAGAAGCGTCGTGGTGTCACTGTGGGTCGATCTGCTACTGGAGGTTATGATACTATGCTGCCACCCTTCAATCAAGCCGATAATGTGGACATGCAAGCTTTTCAAACATATGCCGAGCCGGTCCAGACCTCCTTGAACCCTGCTCCGAAGGCGCCCACGAGGAGTCGATATCTCCATGAAACTATCAAGAACCGTGTCAAAAGTGCCTTTCGAAAGGTATCAAAGGCACCAACTGCGCTACCAGCTCAGCATTTCGAAGCTACCCAACTACATTACATTCACGGCCCTCTTGTCACTCCTACTGAGCGCCCTGTGGACCCTTTCGAGTCTTTCGGGCAAGCACCATCGGACAATGCGGGCGAACTCCGGACTGCGAGTGCACACAGTCACGGTACTGCAGGTCAAGAAAGTGAGGCAAGATCTAGGATCACAAGCTGGACCAACTCGACGGTGGCTGGGACTCTGAAGTCGACAGCCACGGCTGGACGTGGAACAGATGTTGGTGAGTATGGTGGAAGACTCGGCACAAAACGCAGTAGTGCGACTCTGCGTAAGGCCACCTCTTTCTTCGGCAGACCTGTGCAGAACAAGCTTCGGCGGTCAAGCAAGGCCGAGCTCAATACTTCGGAGGAGAGTCAAGGCTTGTACAGCGCGTTGCAGACTCGATTCAGATCATCAAATCGTACTTCGACGCCCGAACTGATAGTTACTGGTGTTGGCAATGACCTTTCCCGCGGTCCTTTAGCACTTTCGAACGAGGCTTTGCCGCAGCCAACAAGCAGATACAGCACACCGACGATCCGCTCAGTTACTCCGGACCCGTTGGCATTCAAGCACGGTATATGCTCCCCTGTCCCAGAGGCCCTGAGCCCCGAAGCACGAACCGGAGATGTGCATGATCCTTACGACCTGCCTGCTCCGCCATCATCATTGACGCGCCGCCATGCTACCAGAGCGCCATGGCCTTCGCAGGAACAGCTGCAGAAGAGAGCAGAGCAGTCAAAGAACAGATGGCAGAGCCCCTTGGACGAGCTCTCACCACGACCCTCAAAAGCGGACATGCAGGAGAATCCTTACGAGCTGCAGATTCTAAATGCTGCATGGTCACAACCGGTAGCACGTAACGACCTCCCACACTCATCAAAAGTCGGCGTGAGTACCCAGCAGCATGTACGCCCAGATGTGCTGTCACCCAGTGTATACTCTCAAGCAAGTAACTGCGCTTCACCTCGACCTCTCACCCCTCCTGTCGATCGAAGTGGCATGATTGTCACTATCACTGGACACGAAGTGAGGAGCTACTCCATCTCACCACCGAAGCAAGAACAGCCAGTGAAATCACATTCCATTCGTCAGACGAGTGGCCAGTGGCGACGCTGGCTGTCAGATGAGATGCACAGTTTCCGAGACGCAGTCAAGGAAGACCTGCCGCTTGCCCAGGCTTTCTTGGATGGCCATACTGGTCATGATAGAAGTATCTCTGAGCAAAGTAACCAACAGAGCGGGAATGTCAGGCCATCATCTCTGTCACCTGTTCTGGGTGCTCGACCGGATTCAGTGGCGATGAGTAATGGAGCTGCTGCATCTAACATCGCGGGTCGACCACGACTGAGGAGCCGAGGGTCAAGTTTCATGAACGAGCGATTCCCGATGCTTGATACTGGCCGGAACTCAAGTGATCAAAGTATCCGGAGCCGCAGGTTCTCATCCGGAGCCGGCAGCTCATCTGAGAGAGACGGTACGGCACGTCTTAGCCTCAACGGACGGACGAGTGGGCTGTCCGCAAAGCAGAGAGTGATCACTGGCCGCGCATCTATAGCGCAGATGCAACCGGCTGTACCAGACACTGGCATCGCAGCCACACGGAATCTCCCAGCCAAAGTCATGATGAGTGGTGCACTGATCGAGGACGAGAAGGCCATCGACCATGCCGACAACGATACGACCACGTCCATCATCGTCCCACCTCGCAGTAGGAACCGGCACAAGTCCGCCTTCGAGCTACGAGCAAATTACAAACGCAACATTACCACGCATCATGATTCTTTTCCAATTGAGAACAACAAGCACTTAAGTGCATCGGAGAACAAGAACACTATAAGCATCCTAGAAGACAACACCATCCGCAACATTTCCGCCGGACCCTACGCAGCCCAACAAGCCATAGCAGCTTGCTCCCGCTCCAAGAACAGGAAAGAGAACACGCCGCCACCCATGGAAATGAGCAACTTGCCTGCTCTCTCGAGCTCTGAATGGCTTGCAGCTGGACCGAACAAGTCCAAGAGGCCGGAGACCATCCATCCTGCACTGAGGCAGAGGAGGAGTGTGTCGAGGTACTCGCCTCCGAATCAAGATGGTAAGGGTAGTCCGGCGCAGAGGATGGCTAGCGAATGGTTGGAGAAGAGGAGTCGGGAGAGCACTTCTGCTTTTGTTTAAAACATTATATTTTGTGAAAGTCGGGATATTGCTACAAGTGAGTATAGTGTACTAGCTAGACATGCTATCTTTGCACGCCGTCTTCGGACCATATCCATATCCGCTTCCGCTGCCACCCGCTCCTCGCGGTGACAACATGGGCTTCTTCGTGCAGAGACAATTGCCGGTAAAATGCTTATGAAATCTGGCATAAATCTGCCGGACCATGCCGCCGTACAAGGGGTACCTTGCAGCGGTGATCTTTCCGTCTTTATTTTCCTCGAGATTAGCAATCGCATCATCAGCATCTGTGGTCCCAGATAGCACCGATGCAATGGCATTTTGCGTACAAGAACAATGGCTGCACAGTATGCCTTCGACGGTCGGGACTGATCTGAAAGTTACATGCAGCTGAATCATCACCGCGGAATCATGGCTAAGGTTTTGCAATCCACCGTCGTGACAAGGTCCATCTTCGGCATCTTGTTAGCTTCTGTCGCCATCGTTGTTCTTGCATATCAAGTGGCTCTTCCCACCGACATGCTGTCTTCTCTTGGCCCACTACGTTCTCTGCGCACTAGAATCTTCTCTTCCAACACTACTGCTTCGTTCAAGACCTTCTCACCTCTCACAGCCAACACCAATACTCCATATCGAACCTTTACCTCTTCACAACCAGCCAATATGACCCACGATAGCTTGACCTTCAAGGAGGCGATCGAGAACCGTCGTTCCATCTACCAACTCACCAAAAAGTCGCCCATCGACGACAAGAAGATCAAGGAGATTGCTGAGTTGGTCGTCAAGCAGGTGCCTTCCTCCTTCAACTCGCAGTCGAGTCGTGTGGTTGTCTTGCTCAATGAGCACCATGACAAGTTCTGGCAGATCGTGACGGATATCTTGAAGGCGCATGTGCCAGAGGATAAGTGGGAGCACACTGGGCAGAGACTTGGAGGATTCAGCGGTGGTTACGGCACTGTAAGTAGACTATTCCTATTCCTATTATGAGCTTGAACGAAGCACCATGCTAATAATCCATGATCTACTGGCCCTCTTCTACGAGGCCCCAGAACCCGTCAAGAAACTCCAGACCAACTTCCCACAGTACGCCGACAAGTTCCCACAATGGTCCGAGCACACCTCCGCCATGCACCAGTACGCCATGTGGGTGGCTCTCGAGGCCGAGGGCTTCGGTTGCAACCTCCAGCACTACAACCCTCTGCCCGACCAGAAGGCATCTGCGGAGTGGAATATTCCTTTGGAGTGGTCGTTGAAGGCTCAGCTTGTATTTGGTGGTGTCGCGGATGGTGCCAGGGAAGGCCTGCAAGCCAAGGAGCAGCAGCCGCTTGAGGAGAGGTTGTTCGTACATGGCGCGTAGGAAGGGCCGACGGACAAAGATTGGATGCAAGTGAAGTGCAGGACATAGCGGATCGCGATAAGAACAAACCAGATGATCACGATATCCGAGATACTGGCGGGACCGGAGAATCCCACAGTTTCATTCACTTCACATGTGACCCACGATCCGATGTTGTATCATTCGTGGTTGTACTCGCAGTATGGGTATTGTGTACAAAGCTTGTGGGCCCAATCATGTCTACGCCTCAATGACTCCAAGGATCTAGGCAACACACCTCGGATTGTGCCATCCCCTCGAGGCAATCAATTCGTTATTGACCTGCCACATCGAACTCGAAACGAGAATAAAACAAAAATACTCTCACCAGCTCCAGATCGCAGGATGGCAACAGCATACGACGAGCTAACCAGCAACATCGACCGCCTCATTGTGAAACCACCAGTAAAAACGAATTCCATCAAGAACTTCGACTCAGCCACAATCACGTTGGACGCAGCAAGTACGCGCGTGATCATTCATCCTCGCTACCCAGATCTCGTCGAGAAGTTCTTGGCCTACAAGCGGGAGCATGGATCCGTAATCGAGAAGACCCTCTACACTCAGACCATAACGACGTGGCAAGCTGAAGTACGACGCCTGTTGGAGAAGCGCCCGCTCACTTTCATGGGCGCCCACGACTTCACAATCTTGCGAGACGGTACTGAGATCACCAGCAACTCCACCCTGGAATGGGACCGCAATGGGACGCCACTTCAAGACAGGAATAAGCACCTCAGTCTACAAGACTACCTCAGCTACGACGAAATTATGCTCGGCTCTTTACTGGGCGTCAGCGGACCTTCCCACTTCATCAATGACGGCGGACGCTACAATTCTGGTCGAGCTGGTCATGAAGGCGAATTCGAGCCTCGAGGCGTGATTGTTGGTCTCGTCGGTGCTAGATTCGAGCGAGCGCGAAGGATGGACAGTCTATCCTGCATGCCGCAGGACAACGGAAAGGCTGTCTTCGACATGGGTCCCGCGCTCCAGCTGTTCTTGGATTTCTTCGGAATCGAGGACGATGGTGAGATGCATGGTGAGCAGACTATCTTCCGCCATGCTTATATTGCGCGGATGAGGATCACAATAGATATACTACTGCTTGAAGCGAACCAGCGCGGCAAGGAGGCTGGCAAGAAAGCATATACATACGTGGTCGGCTTAGGCCTGGGCGTGTGGCAACGACATCAGATGCAGCCGAATTGGTACATACATGCTTTCGCCGAGGCACTGAAGCTGCTCGACGTGCCACAGATCAGTACGATGGAGTTCGCGTGGATCGGCGACATACACCCACGATTCAAGCAAGAAATGGAGAGCGTGGGCTCCTATAGGAATATCAACGTCATCTTCAGCAAGCGCAACCCAGCCGAGAAACTCAAGACGGACGAGCTGCTGGTATTGAGCTACGCTTGGGACGGTAACGCTTTTCCTGGGAATGAGTACTGGTCTGGCTCACTAGCTGGATCTGGTGACCCAGCAGCAGCATGTATGAGTACTATTGGTGAACTACACAATCCACTGGTCAACCCAGGCTTTCTATCACGCATCAGGATCGCGGGTACAGAAGAAGATAGCTAGGCAGGCTAGGATGTCTGTTCACCAGGCACGCCTCGCCAGGGATCTGCTAGCATCTTCCGGCCTTGCTCGGACTGCCAGAATGTACCATTGGGACATTCAAATTTTTCGAACTCGATTTCTTTGACGTCGCAGGAGTAGCCGGGTATTGAGGGAGTCGAGTGGTAGGCGTCTGAGGTTATGCGGGCAGGTGCTTCGAAGGCTTCGTGACCGTGGTCGGTATACTCTAGTATGCTTTCTGGGATGTTGACGTTAGCAACATGGTCGGACAATAGAGACCATTGATGATGTATACTTTTGCCCGCCACGACAACAAAATCGATCGTACTAATATGCGAGCATAGCTCTACCATGCCTGCGCCACCAGAGTGTGGTACGACCGGCACGCCAAACTTAGCACTGAGCAGTAGAATGGCCAGTATCTCGTTCACTCCAGCAAGTCTGCAAGCGTCTAGCTGGACAGCATCGAGAGCTAGAGTAGAGTTAGCGAAAGAACGTCGGCTTATGGCACGCAATGCACTTAACTTCAGCTTGTAATAATTGCTTGAACATCACCCGATTATTGACATGCTCGCCCGTAGCAACACCAATACCATGTGGCTTCAGCGCCTTCCTGATCTTCGCATGCCCAAGTACATCATCAGGTGAAGTCGGCTCCTCGATAAACCACAAATTGAGATCAGCAAGTTTGGGCATGTACTCGATCGCCTCATCCACGTCCCAGATCTGGTTGACATCGACCATGAGTACGGCCTCTGGACCTGCAACTTCGCGCACCATGCCAAGACGCTTGCGATCTGTTTCGATGCCGAGTCCAGCCTTGAGCTTGAAGTGCTTGAATCCTGCTTGTGTAGCTTCCGTGAGTTTCTGCTTGACTTCAAGGTCACTCATGCCTAGCCAGCCTACAGAGGTATTATATGCCGGTACTGCTTTGCTTTGGAGGGCGAGCTTTAGTCGATCCTCCTTGTTTTTAGCTCGATTCTTAAGCATACTGAGTGCTCCTTCAGGAGTCAAGGCGTCCGTCAGGTACCTGAAGTCAATACATTTGATGAATTGCTCTGGTGTGAAGTCGGCTACTAGTCTCCACAAAGGTTTGCTCTCTGACTTCGCCCACAAATCCCAGATGGCGTTCAAAACTGCACAGGTGGCGAGCTGGAGTACGCCTCGCTCCGGTGACATGAACCGGATCTGACCTGACTGGAACTTGCGTTGCGTGGCGGCCATATCTTTCGTCCAGTCGCTGAGCTTCCTGCCGACGAGACGGGGTGCCAGGGAGCGGACCGCTGTACACAGGACACTTTGTAGATCGTCAGTCTAGAGCAACGGAGCTACATGCACGCCTAAACATACTCGTTGCCTTGTCCGTTGGAGAACGACCAGCCGACACCCTTGATGCCAGAATCAGTATGAAGCTCAAGGTAACCAAGTGCGTTCTCGCCAGCAAGGTTCATAGGGTCTGAGCCGATGTTCTGCAGTGAGGTTGGCCATCTCAAGTCGCGGACATTGAAGGCAGTGACAACAGGATCTGACATTGTCGATGTGTTATCGAGCAATCGCTGGTTGGCCTACTCTATCTGATCAACCAGCTGCGAAGCGACTCCGGTCATTGTGCTCACGACCTCTGTACGGACTCCTGCCCCACACTGTCGATCGTTATGGAGGTCGGTTCGGAATATGGATCCGTTCAATCTTGCCAAGCCGGAAAAGCTGGAAATTTTCGGAACACTTGTCATGGCTTTGTACATCATGGTGGAGACGTAAAGTCATGGACCAATGGGTCATTTCAGAGCCAAGGCGCCCCGTACCCGTGCTGACCATGAGCGGGACTTGCAATGCCATTCCAAGTATTCCAGTCATATCCGACGTCTTCGGCCACGGGATAGAATTCCTGCACATAGCCCGCCTGCTGAGCAAAATCGACGGCACCGTACGGAAACAACGCGTTGACATCCTGCGGAAGTGCCATCTGGTGGCTTCGTTGAGCTGGGCTGGGTTGCTCGATCAAGGCTACGACCACGTTCGTGATGTCCTTTAGGTCGTCCAGAACACGTCGAGCTGCTTGTAGACCGGATCCCAGCTGCTGCAGAATATACAAGGCCTGTCGAAAGCGCTCGATATACGCTGGACAATGGTCTTGCATCTGGATCTCATCAAGTGGACGGCATAGTAAAGTCGCTAAGATAAGGACAGCACTGCCTAGCGAGACCGTCATGTGGAATCTGAACGAGCTGGGTTGGTTCGCTTCATCCGACGAAGGAACAATCTGTAAGACGATGTCGCTTGCCAGCTGACCAGTGATATGAGCATCTTGTGAGCTATAAGTCAGGCTTGTCATGAGTCTACGCCGCAGTAGGAGCCGCAAATGTGCAAAGCGCTTGCTCGCGGTCAGCAGGTACGAAGTGTTCCGGTCGAAACTCAACTTACAGTAGTCACAAGCAGATGCTGCCTCAAGTGTCGTTTCTCGGGCTCACGAGTGGCTGGTACCAACGGAGTCTTTGGCAGCACTGTATCCGTCCAGTGTCTGATTTGTGCATCGAGTATCGTGATGGCTTCGGTGTCCACGGCGGCGTTGGTTGTGTTAGCTGCGTACATCTTGTCCCAGATGTGACCGGTAAACCTCGCAAAGGCTATCATGCAAGCCAGATAGACGCAGTGGGATGCCTCTGGTCGCGGCGCGGGCAAGGGTCGATCGGGATATAATTCCTGCTCGAAGGTAAGCAGTCCTCCAATGAGGAGCATCACGCTGGCCACTTACCTTATCGTCAAGCCAAGCCGGCTCATCTGTGTCTATATCGCGGTCGTTCATCCCTGTTGTATCTCAGTCACAAAGTTCGTGTCATGCTGTTGAGTCACCCACCATATGGCCTTCCACAACTCAACGCAATGCGGCGATCAAGAAAGTAAGCGGTCCAGAAGATACGTTGCTTCTGATGCTGCTGGAAGCTATTCTGCGGCTCAGCCCATCGGGACTGTTGATGCAGTCCGAACTGGAAGCACAAGCGGCACATCACTCCAGATATGAGGTAAGCACCGTTGGGTCGGTCTTCGTGCATCAAGTAGAAGGCCTGTGTTCGTCAGCAACAGCGGTATAGATCGACCGTATGGCATACATACTTCGAAAATGAGATACTGTAGCAAGCTGAGATCACCTTGACCCATGAACTTTTGTCGTCCGACGAGATCTTCAGCCCGCTGGTACCACTGCCAGCCCGGAGATGTACCTCGCTGGTCCGGCGGCCTGACCTCGCGAAGCATATCGGCCATGGCAAAAATCATGTAGTGAACGGCTAGAAAGCATTTCTCACTCTGTCGTATTTCTGTACGAGACAGCATCTCGGCACTTTTCGCTCGAAAATCGTTCTCACTTATGCAAGGATGGCAAGGATTGATGTCTGTAAAGTAGAAGTCCAGATATTCTTGGTAGGCATGCTCGACTGGGAATGGTAGTGTCTTGGAACCGACTCTGATGGTCGTAGTCTGCCTGTTGCTGCATGTTCGGCGCAAAGACGATCCTATGGTGGGAGTTGTTGGGCTTTGGCTAACGACTCTCGCAATGCCCATCTTCTGCCTGACCTACAAGCCGACGCATACACGGGTTAGCAGACGTCTCCGACCAAATTGCAGGCTTACAGCAATCGATTTCTTACGTGGTGCAGGCTTTGGTTGAAGGCCTCTATCGGTGCTTGGAAGCCAGAGTCACCTAGATAGTCTAAGTAAGTGGAGGCTAGTATCATGAACGATGGTCGTACCTTGAAACGACTTCGCTGGCGAGTGAATCTCTGGATCCTCGTTCATCGGTGGCGTATCAGCCAGCGGTATGCTGAGTTTGCTGTTCACGATGCGCATCTGCTCTTCGAGCTGTCGTACGCGCTCTGCTAATGGTGGCGTCTGCATACTGTTGGACAGAAGTTGTTTCTTGGTCTGTCGTAGTATCTCTGCGACAGCCCGATCATCAGTGTAAACGCAATCATGACCTCTCCGGCCACAATTGCGGCAAGGTGATCCTCCAGAGCATCTGCAAGGCGTCATCAGTCCACGCCATTATAGGTCATCTTTCGCTCTACGAACTTCAGCTTCCTTTGACGGCACTGAACACAGGCCTGTGAGGTGTACTTGCCGCGCAACTTCCTCTCCTGACCGTCATCTGGGCTGGCATGAGAAGGCCCAGCATGTATCTCCATTGCGAGCACGGCACACGGAGCCCGACTTATTGCAAGAACATCAAGATGTACACGTGATGTAGTGAGCTTCGAGGCTGTACTAGGTCTAGCTACCGAAAGTGGTTGTCGACATTCATGCACGGTTCCTCCACCTCCGCCCCCGCCTTGTATAACCTTATACACAACCATGTCTCGCCAAGGACACACCTTCTCATGCCACCGAACCGGACGATCGATACTCAAGCCAAGGTACGTGGGATGGAGATCATGGTCTCAGATGTTCGGTTACAAGATCAAGCCATACGAATAGAGTATATTGAGAATTCGAATTTATACGTCATTGCACTACGGCAAACCCACACGCCACTCATTGCTAGGATCATTCAGACCGAACTTGTAGGACGACATGTCCTTTACAGTTGTTCGTCGCATCTGGGAGTACATATCAGCGCCATTTCTTGACATTTTCCACAGTCACCACTTACGTCACGAGGATATTTGCCTTCATATGTCCCTCCAGTGGCTCGGTGCAAGACGCTGGTGTTGTCCCAGATGATCATATCGCCGTTTTGCTCCCACGGCTGTTCAGAATATCAGTAACCACCCTCGGTTGTATCGATAAATGCTTACTATCGTTGTCCGATATTTGGGCTTCGAGACATGTTCGATGAGGTCGTTGATCAGCCCTGTGCCTTGCACGGTATCCATGCCATCGATGCTGTAAACATACGATGCGATGTACAGGTTCTGCTTCAGGATTAGCGACCACTTCATGGGATTTATCTGATGCTAATTCACCTTCCGGCTACTCCATTCATGGTCCTGAATCAGCCTGTGCTTGCTGAGTGGCAGCTTAGAAGGGTCTGTGTCCTTGAAATAGTCCGGTACAGCCTTCTTCCTCGAATGGAATAGTGAGTGGTTGGTCACCAGAGTCTCGAGCTCTTGCTTCATCTCCTCAGACAGATCATCGTATGCTGTTCTCGAGTCCGCAAACTACATCATTTGTCAGAAGCGGATGAGCATAATTTTACAATCTACTGACCTCAGTAGCACCGCCCATACCTGGCCAAGATCAGCACATGCGCAATGATTACGGTGATCGATGATACTGACCCTTCGGAGGTATGACATGAGCAAGTAGTAGGGAGTGGCCTGCTCGTCTCGCATTGAACGACGAATCAACATGGAACTGCTCGTTTGCCTTGTTGCCAATGACCTGTGCAGCAGATAACGGTGCAGCATTTCCAGTCTCGGGATCAATGTTGCCAGCGTCAAACAACTCCGGGTACGCCAGACGGTGCTTGCGACCAGCATCGATATATGGTCGAACATCATCAAGGTCGCCAAAATTGCGCGAGAACTCGATATGAGCCTCATCAGTCAGACCAGTGTTACGGCATGCCACAACACCATACTAAATCGAGTCGTTAACTTGATCAGATACAACATTGGTCACCGATGACGTTATACCTGGTCGGCAATTTGGCGGATCTCATCGTAGGCCTCTTGGGAAATCGACTTGCTCCAGTCGACGCCTCGCAGCTCGCAAGCAAACCTGATTAAGGAATCTTAACGCATGTTTGGAAAGTATCCCCGACTAGAGCACATACGTTGGATGCAGCGGCACGACTTCTAGGCCGCTGTTGGTCGTGTATGGCGCTGGGATGTCTCCTTCGATTGGCAAAGGTTGCCACAGAGGCGTTGGCTTGATGGTGAACGTTTGCAAGGTTTCCGCCGACGATGTCTTCGTTGCGGTTACGGTGGTGGACATGGTGGGCGTTCGACTTGGTGCTCTCGATCGACAGGAACGCTTCAATGTGTGACTCTTCAGGCACACGAAGCTCTCTTCGTCTCTTGAACATCCACATTAACCGTCGCAGCCATAGCCAAGACCACCACACTTGCCGGTTCCGGGTGGCGAGATCAAAAATCGGAAATAGGCTCCGCTCTTCGGAAAGCACATGGGTGAAGCTTGGAGGTGGGGATGATAGATCACCTCACCTCCACAACCCCAAGGCGGAGAAGATGACCGAACTCGAAATCAATGAATCTGTAGGATGATTCAAGAAGGAAGGATCATCCGCTTCGCAAGACGATAGGCGAGGGAAGCTGTCCGAGCAATCTGTCCGTTCATCTTTCGTGTAGTTCTCAGTTTCTTGCACTCCTCGATAGATTACCAAGATGGCGAAGAAGAAGGAAAAGATGAGTTTTAGCCATCTGAAGAGTAATGACTGCACCCGTTCGTGAGACTGGGCCAAGTGCTGATAAGCCACAACAGACAACACAAACCCATCATGGTGGAAGGACTCTGCCCTGCGCAGGAATGTCTTGCAGTGCATAGGCCTATATTTCTGCGTCTTCTATCGTACGTTCGACAGCTTATCCACTCGAAGCGGCCGACAATCGTTTTGCTAATATGTAAGCATAGTTGGATATGATGCCGCCCTCCTCAACGGACTGCAAGCAATGGACCAGTGGAATGAGTACTTTAACAGCCCCAAAGGCAACCTCCTAGGCCTGATCTCCGCATCGCTCTTCCTGCCTGCGATCGTAACACCATACATCGCTGAAGTATTGTCGCACCGCTTCGGTCGGAAGATCACATTGGCAGTCGGCTCGCTTCTGTTGATCCTGGGCGCATTCATCAATGCATTCGCCAACAGTCTAGGCATGTTCATAGCCGGGCGTGTCCTGGTGGGAGCCGCTGGACCTTTCGGAAAGATCACTGCCATCGCGCTGCTACATGAGATCGCACATCCAAGGCTTCGCGGCATGGTAGCGAGCTCGTACTACTGCAACTATTATTTCGGCAGTATAGCGGCAGCATGGTTCTGCTATGGATCTCTGCAATGGGGAAATACATCATGGGCGTGGCGGGCGCCGTGTCTGTTCCAGATCATGGCGCCTTGCGCCGTTCTGCTTTGGCTTGTGATTATTCCTGAGTCTCCACGATGGTTAATCGCGCACGGTAAAACGGAGAAGGCGCTGCACATCCTAGCTAAGTATCATGCCAATGGTGACCGAGAGGACGAACTGGTACAGTATGAGTATCGAGAGATCTGCCATGCGATCTTGTTGGAGGAGGAGAGTAAGCAGACCAAGTACACCGACTTCTTCAAGACTTCCGGTAACAGACGGCGACTATTGGTGCTCCTGACCATGGCCACTGGAACCAATTGTAAGTTCACCATGTAGTGGCCGACGATAGACCATGCTGACCAAATATGTCCACGGCAGGGATTGGCAACAGCATCATATCCTACTACCTTTCGCCGGTCCTCAAACTGGTTGGCATCACAAGCTATGTTCAGATATCTGGTATAAACGGCGGGCTCGCCGTCTGGAATCTCTTCCTGGCCTACGCTGGCTCCTTGAACGCAGAGCGAGCTGGACGGCGCAAACTGTGGCTGACCAGCACAATCGGAATGCTGTGCTCGTATATCGTCATCACCGGATTGTCCGGAAGCTTCGCCATGACCAAGAGCCATGGTGTAGGTCTTGCGGTTGTGCCGTTCTTGTTCATCTACTACGGCTTTTACGATATCGGCTGGACACCGCTACCATTTTCGTATGGAGCCGAGATTTTGCCGTACCATTTGCGCATGAAGGGTTTGAGTGTCATGCTTTGTACGCAGAATGTGGCGCAAGCATTTGTGAGTCCATGACAGCGGCACTTCTTCTCGCACTGTGCTAATCGGAACGTAGAACCAATGGGTAAATCCTGTGGCATTGGCAGGTATCGGATGGAAGTAGTGAGTAATTCTGGAGTATTGAGGATAAGCAATGTCCATCAGCTGACACGCCCCAGCTATATCGTGTACTTGGTCCTGCAATGCGGGTACCTGGCACTCATCATCATGTTCTTCCCGGAAACTAGGTCGGTCTACTGTGGCAGCGCTACAGGAAATATGCTGATGTTCCTCGCAGACGTCTTTCAATCGAAGAAGTATCTGTATTGTTCGATACAGGCCGTCTCGGTAATGCAGACGCAGCCACGGCGATCTTGCAGCAAGACCAGAAGAGTGTGTCGATCGCGGATCCAGCAGGTTCCGATGACAAAAGAGGTGGTGTCTCTATGGTCGAGAATGAAGCGCCGGACCATGGACGTCATGTATAACAGATACTCGAGATGTTTCGCCATCACAACCCTGCGCTGAGGATCTCCCGTGCCAATGTTGCGAAGTGACGCTTCTCATCAACCATCTCCCACAAGTTTGGCTGCGTGAAAACAGCGAGTGTATTCCGAGCAATGTGACCTCCCTTGCCAGGCGCAGCACCACGTACAAAATGTGGCACAGCTCTGAATTTGCCTTGTGTGATTAGCTCAAGCGCCTGGCCTGTCTGGAATGCAAGACAACCCCGTGGGATGTTGACTTGTGTTGTTCGGCCAGAGCGGTCCTTGATCCAAAGCCCCGTCTTGGGATCTGGGTGAGAGTCTAGTTCGGGTAGTGAAGGTAGTGTGCCATTTGCATCAGCCGTGGCGTGTGGAGTGTGGATGCCTTCGTCGACGAACATGTTGCTCGTGAGACCTGTAAGTGCGCCAAGATCAAGATGAGTTGCGCACCAGTCGTCATCAATTGACATAGCGGAGTCTGGCCGCGTCTCCTTCGTGGTCATGGCCTCTGGTGGAGGAAAGTAGTGCAGCAGTCTAGCTTTGGTAGAGACGCTCGTCCTGACAATATTCTCTAACGTGCCCTCCCGATATCCTTCGAGCTTCGCTGTACCGTACCTGTCGCAGTTCCGTGCTACCAACGCAGCCGTGTCAACCATAAGATGACAGAGCTCTTCAAAGATCTGCTCGAAGCCTGGTAGGACACTCTCGTCTGGCCAGACATTCGGCGAAGTCATCTCAACATTGTCAGGATACAACTTCCTCGCCTTGACTTCTAGCTCAGCGTCATGAATGGGCTGAGCATAATACGACCCCTTCAGAGTATCATAACGACCATTAGCCAGTGTTTCTTTGCCACAAGACCAGCCAACACTATATTTCGCCTCCGGCCTCTCGACCTTCGCCAGCTCGTCTTGTGGTAGATTGCCCAAATACGACGCGTAGCTAAGTAGCCTCTTGCGTAACTGTGTGAACTTCTCCGGTAGATCAGAGACCAGGATGATTCCCAAAGATGTCTCGCCGAATGCTTGCTCTAGCGTTTCCAGCGAGACTGTACCTGCTTCAAGCTCCGAAAGGCTGACACAGACTGCCGCGGATGCAGGTGAGCGAATGCTGTCTTGAGCCATGATCTTGTTTTATTTGGACGAAAACACAATCGACAGTGAATGGATGTCGAGAGGGAGAAGCGAGGAAGACATTCGGTGCATGAATTCGACCTTGCCAAGCACGGCCTAGCGTGAACCTACAGTGCGCTGTGAAGAAGCATATATGCGTTGACAGAACAGCCAGCAGGCGTAGATGATGGTGGACGACCAACGTTGTACGAAGAGGTGATTCCTCTTGTCTCAGACCACCCCTCCTGGCAATGGTGTACTTCCACTACTACCTATGCTCGATCAAGCCACACTGATCTCCGACCATCACCTACGCTCTCCTAACCATACAGCCCTACTACACAGCTCCTGCACGGCCTCTCTGCCTTCTGAGCGCCTGTATCACACCGTCGTACATAAGACCACCTCCACCACCTCCACCACGTCCGACCGATGCTGTTGAGTGGCGAGTACGCTATCCAGTAGAGCCCATTAATCCAACACTGCAATCAACGAGCGCCTGAAAACACCCTTCGCCCACAAAGCGCCGATCAAAATGCAACACAATGCGATGCGCCAAACGAGCGAACAACCAATCAAACACACTCAAACAGCCCATCGACACCAACAACACCACACCGCCCACCCAGCTGTACAGAAAACCAGCACAACCCAACTCCCCACCAACTGCTACGCTGTAATCTGACCCGCACCTCGACCGCCAGCAGCACGCTGAGGTGGTGGCGGGTGAGCATGAGGATGAGCGTGCGTAGGCGTTCCGGCTGGAGCAGGCGGAGCGCGGTAATACGGTTCCCTGAACTCGCCATCCGGCCCCCTACCACCATCGAGATCGTCTTCGCCTTCGTAATCCTCCTCGTCTTCCTCTTCCTCGTCGTAAAGTTCCTCATCGCCTTCAGGAAGAGGGAGACCATCAGGATCATAGGCTACATCGCCTACAGCACCACGCTGGCCATTGGACACATTCGTCGCATTGCCAGCAGGCGCCACTGTGTTCGCTCCTTGACCTTGCATGTTATTTGCGCCCTTCTTGCCGCGTCCACGACCTTTCTTACCCTTCATCCGAGCCTTCTCGAGCAGACGTCTCTTCTCCTCCGCTTTCTTCCTCTCCTTCCTGTCGCGGATCTCATACGAGCGGATTAGTGCTACAGGCGGTACACCGAATATGTCCTCATACTCGCAGAAGGCGCAGATCCACATTGTATCCTTGGTTGGGCGGTGGTGGTAGTTCGTGTACTCTTGTTGAAGCTGACGTTGGCGCGCGGCAAGAGCATATTCTTTGCTGGGCTTACGGCGAGGCTTGGGTGCTGGTGGCGGAGCAGGTACATTCTGCTGTTGAGGATGAGGATTGTTTGGGTGAGGTGGTAGAGGAGCGCCACCATTGCCGGTCACAGGAGGCGGTGGCGGACGAGCAGCGTTATGGCTGCCAGCCTGCTGCTGTCCTCGAAGCGATGGTGTAGTCTGCGTACCCTGCGCGCGCTGCATGTTTGCGTTCACATGCTGTCCATTCGGCATCCTGTTCTGCGGTGGAGCGGAAGACGGATAAGATCCGGGCATTTGCTGTGCAGTAGCATTGTAAGCAGCTTGTGCATACGCGGTCGCAGCCGCAGCCTCCTGATCGACCATTTTCGTGGCGCTCTCCGAATCACAATGAAAGGTGAACTGCGTCTTAGGCGTGACAGTATTGTTTGGTGATGACGCAGTCTGAAGCAGCGAGGCGTTCTCCTTGCCGCCGTTTGCAGCTTTCTGTGGCGTAAGTGGGCCTTGTTGTGCGGCTGTTTTAATAGCTTGACTAATGATGCCGCCTGTATTTTCATAATGCTCTGCAACAATGTGTCAGTGCGAAGATTCGGGAAGATGCAGTGTTTACGTTTGCGCTGTGAAGCGACGTTGCCACGAGTCTCACTTTGCCACTTACCATCTCCATTCGGCAGCCCTTCGCCGCTCCTTCCCGTCGACTTGTGCGGGCCATACCCGTTTGGCACGTTGACAGGTCCACTACCTAAAGGTCTTCTCAAGCCATTCTTCGGCACACTAGCTGTTCTGCCGTATCGTCCTCTTCCAGCACCACTGATGCCGGTACCTGCAGCAGAAGCACCACCAACTGCCGCCGCATACGCCTGAGCCTCAGATGCCACCGATCTCAACACTGCACTCTCATCACCCGCTCCATCGCCCTGGCCCGATATGCCCATACTAGCCATCTCCGCGCTCAGACTACTCTGATGGTGCAAAGCACTGCTTGCAGTCGACAAAGGAATCTTCCTCTTCTTCTTGTTACTCGTGTTCTCGAAGCTCTCGTATCCATCTCCACTACTCGCCGTCGATCCAGTAATCGGTGGCGGAAGTTTGCCCGCAGCTCCAAGCCTTGCAGCCTCCATCAGTCTCCTCTGTACCGAGTCCAACGGCGGCTTGCCCATCATCGCAGTCCCATTTATATGCTGTCCGATGGGTGTTGGCGTACCACCTGCGACTACACTAGCGGGAGCATACCGATAGTCCGGATGATCGAACTCCACCTCCTCATCTCCACTGTCGACTCCATCCTCCCCATCCTGCCCACATGTACAATGTCCAGCATCAATATCATGACGGTGGTAATGCGGATCCTCATGCGAATGCACATGGTTCGCATATCCCTGCACGCTCCTGCTGCCGTTACCACTCCGCTGCGCCATCCCTCTTGCTCCTTCGTACTCGGCATGAGGCGATGATGGTACAGGCGAAGCAGCCACAGCAACAGGAGGCTCCGAAGGGTATTGGATGTGCGTCGCCTGCTCGGGAGACAACCGACTCTTCAGTCTACTCCTAGGCAGAGGCCTGATAGCCCTCTCAGGATAGATGGGTGAAGCAGTGTCGGGGCTCCGTGGCGAGCGAATAATAGACGAGGAGCCGTTTGCTAGTGGTGATGCCATCCTATCCTCAAACACTGCCCGCTCGAACTCGGCATCCGCAGCCGCATTTGCTATATCGACCATCTTCCACCACACTTCCCAATTCCCTCCACCTTCCCGTATCCAAGCAGTAGTTCGTGTCGGGACTTATCGAAGGTCGATTTGACGTGGCACTATGCGTCTCTGTTAGTCCATGACGAGCCAAGGAAAAGCTCCAGAAATGTAGGGCCCATCTAAGGATAGCGTATTCCAGGTAACGTACATTGTAATATATCGCTCCAAGGCGTATCTGCAGGCAAAGCAAGGATGATTATACTCTCAGCGTGTATGAGTGCGTGTTCTGGAAGCTGTCCCGAATTACTAAAGGAGGGCTTCGCTTTGTGCATCTCGAGTCCCATTGGCCCGCGCGATGGTCTCCACCGTAGAAGCCGCTATTCCACACAACTGATCGCGTGCCTTCTTCTTGATTCTAACATCGTCTGACAATCTGTAGACATCGCCGACATGGCAATGATGAAGATGGTCTATGGCGGCGGCAATATGTCGAGGGCCGACGCAGCTTTTGGGCACGTCAGCAACCAACGATGACAATAACGAACGCCAGAGATCTGGTCCTGTATGACATTGGCAAGATACGCGATATGTTGATGACAGGAACGCGAAAAATACGGTCAAACCTTGGTAAAGATTGTCTGCTCCGAATACAGTAGGAAGACTACCCCTCGCTCATGCAACGAGCAATTATTAAATCAATCGAACAACATCACAGCTTGTCGATCAACACTCATCTCCAGCTCGAGGTTCGCCCCTACATATTTCACTTACTACTTTGGATCTGGGATACGCTTTCCATTTCCTCTGGTCCTTCTCGCGCGATTCTTTTGCCTCTTCTCCGCCAAAGACATCTGCATCTCCGGAGTCGAGTCCTGTCCATTGTGCTGATTGAATGGCTGTCCGCATTCCATGGTCCTGGCCAGCTCTCGAAATGCTGTCAGCTTCTCCGCCAGATGAGCCATACATTCTACCAGCGCACCAACCTCTGCCGTCATTTTACCTATCATGGGCACGACAGCAAACAGATCTTGACGCTCGAGTGCCCGCCAAGCGGCCTGCAGTTTCTGTTCTAGCTCCTACAATCTCCCCTGCTGTGGTGTTACGGCATTAGCTTAATGGTCCGCGATGAAAGCCTGACAGCAGATCTGTCTTGTGGTTGATGAGATGCTGGGTGAAGCGATCACGGCTTGCGGGAAGCTACGAAACTCATTCGAGAGGTTTGTGTACTGTCTGGTTAGCAGATGAAGGTCTTCTTGGGTCGTGTTTAGGCACTGCCGGATGCTGTATTGACAGGCCGGACAGATGTTCCCTGATTGACAGGTGCACACTTGCCGAGCACGAGCCTGCAGACTCTTCATCTGATGAGATGACATATCTTGGCCTCTTTCTGACTGAGATCTGGGTTGACAAATTCTGCGGTGGTCTTACAGCTTATAACGAGACGCAGTATAGTAAACAAAGGCACAATGCATTGTTCGTCCAACAACCATTGTTTGCCTCAAGGGCGATAGTACGCGAGTGAGCCTCATCGACCCATCTCGTGCTCTCGCTCGGCCGGACAGCTGGCAAAATGGTCGTCAATGTACGTATTATCCACAAGCATAGCAAGAGATTGCGCCCGGGAATTATCTGTTGGAGAATATCTTGTTGCAACATGGACTATATCTTCTGCCATCTACGGAAGTCCTAATTTACTGGTCCAACGCCACCATCTCAATCTCTGTTTACTCACGCCGCCGCATACGACTCAAGCAACTTCTCATGCGCCACGATGCTCTCCTCGCATTTGCTCAGCATACCTTCGACCAGCTCGATGAAGTACTCCCCAATCTCGACAGCCAATATAGCCTCGTCCGCAGAACCTTCACCCAAACACTCTTCTCCAGTACCCAGGGCATCAGTCACGTGTGTCAGGAGCATCTTCTCGATGGCAGGCTCTTCAGTGAAGCGAGGACAGAACGTGATGTCTGCTTCACCTCGGACGTCCTAGGGCAGATCTGGATGGCCGCGGAACTCTGGTGGGATAAGGAGGCATCGTTGCTCGAGGAACCGATATCTGGCCCATTGCACGGCTACGATGGGTTTGAGATCGTGAACATCGGCCGCCGCATACCTTAGTCTACGCTCATGCGGATTTTGTGCTGCTGGAGGATCGAGTTGCAAGGACGCTACAGCGGCCGACAGGCTCTCGGCCGCTTGCTTGAGATCTGGATTGGCCTCCTGCTCTGGAATTAGGTTCAGCTATGCTATTGCGGCTGTTATGGCCGATGTGTTGAGCAACATATTGTTGCTTGGATTGAACTGTTGGTCAGATGAGATCATGTTAGCTATGGCCCTTGGGTCCGCTCTCACGTTTACGACAGGAGGTATCTCTCGAGGTTGGGACAATTAAGGGAAGCTTAGACAAGACTCTGTGCTCCCAACTGATGTGTTTAGAGCCACAGTGCTATTGTTGGGCTGTCACTTTCACATCTGTCTACAAAGGCATTAATACGCGACTTGCCGTGGTCCGGATCAGAATCGTGAACGGAGCGATGCCTAGCTTTACGCCTGCCTGACTGGATGTTCCGAATCGTGTCGAATTGTTCCTTACGAGATACCCTAGCACAACTTACAAAGACACGAGCTTACCGCCAGGCTATCAAGCCATGACTCCAACAGAGCTGTGTCACGTACGAACCCAAAAAGCAGAGCAGATCGCTTTCGGTGTTCTTATATCATACACTACCGGTGGCACATTGCTCAAGAAATGGTCTCGTCACCCTCTCACAGGACCGCCCATTTCAGCTACTCGATATGTTACAATGTCTGGTAAAGCTCCCAAAACTTTTCGTTCGCGACGACACTCACCTCGCAGGTATTCAGCATACGCTCAATCTCATCCATAGAGTACAGAGCGGACACCTTGGCACACCTTGCGCCCTCCAGTGCTTCGTCATCGGCACCCTCCAACCCCTGTTCGCCGATGTCGAGTCGCTCGCTTATCTCTAAGAACAAGCACTCTTCCAGCGGCTGCTCACTAAGCAATGGCTCGAATGTTGTTGCAGCCCAATTTCCGGGCCCATCAGGGATGGCGTCGTGATCTCGGACGTGGGTGGGAATGTGGAGGCAGCGTTGTCAGAGGAGGAAATACCTAGCCATTTGGATGCAGAAGCGGTTTCTGGTAGCGCGAAGGTCATGGGCAGCAGATCCGAGCATTGCTGGAGTGCAGTCATCATCAATTCGCAAGGGTTGTGGTTCACGGGTCAGATGAATTGCTGCCAGAGCTTCTGTCAATGTGACGGCGGCTTGCTTGAGGTCCGGGTTAGCCAGCTGACCCGATGTGAGGTTCAGCGATGCCATGAGATTTGTAAGAGCAAGTTCTTGGCTGGTCATATCTGTTGATCTGGCGGCAACCTGTTCGGCTTGCTCTGAACCGGTTGTGGAGAGATCGAACTCGTTAGTCATTGTGCTCGTCACGAGAAGTGTTCTGTCTACTGTTCAGCCCTGAGGAAAGACTGATCGATGTATCTACTTTGGTACTGATGTGTCTCCAGGAACAATGCGATTGAACAAGATCACTTCCATTGATCTACACAACGCTTTTGACCATGTCGCGCTCCGTGCGTGGAGCGAACGGATCTATGATATAGATGTACAATGGTAACATACATCGCTGACCTCGTAATGCTAGTTAAAGAACAGCCTGCTGCTCTTTCCTACGTCCGAAACATCACGCAGCTACTCATAAGCAGCATCCACCCTCTTGTCCCAGCGCTACCTGATGATTCTAGCCACCATCACTGCTCTCGTTGACGCCGTCTCGTCATCTCCGACTTCGTCCGCCTGCGCATTCTCCAACACAATGCCGCCGAGCGACTGCACCATCGCGACACTGGTCTTGAGCTCGAATAGACTAGCGCAGGAAAGTGAGTAATTGATTCTGGCTTTGTTGCGGCCTGCGGAGATCATGTCTAGCTTCTCTGCAGTCAACTCATCTGGATCTACGCGAAGATCGATCTGACATTCTCTGATCAAGCGAACAGTATGCCATACATCTGCCATCAACGGATCCTCCGGCAAGATCATCTCTAGCTTCTCTGCAGTCAACTCATCTGGATCTACGCGAAGATCGATCTGACATTCTCTGATCAAGCGAACAGTATG